TCAGTGTCTAAAAGATCAGTGTCTAAAAGATCAGTGTCTAAAAGATCAGTGTCTAAAAGATCAGTGTCTAAAAGATCAGTGTCTAAAAGATCAGTATTCTCCAAGTCAAACGCGGTATTCTAGGGGGCACCCATTCTTCCGGAGTCGTATTCTCTCCGGCGCCTACAGAAGTACCTACATTAAGTACCTTCGGCATGGCATTGTCGAACCAAGCCGAGGTGGACTGGCGACACGCATTCAGCTGCAGCTAGACGATTCTGAGTCGACTGCTGTCGTACCTAATACCAAACTCGGTAGCGGCCTCTGCTAGAATGAACCTTCACTCCAGCTCCAAGTTGGTACGTGGAGCTGAACATTGTTCCATTATCGCCTTACTTATTGCTCTTTGTATTTGGGGGCCGCGTGGAGAGCGAGACACGGCACGGCACAAATGTCAGTGCGAGGAACAAGCTCAATTCCCTCTACCGTCACTATAGTACGGCATTCTGGCGACTATGTTTATTTTGCAATTTCCTATTATTTCATGCATACCATATGATTCACACTGGTTGCGGAGTACATTTGTATGATATATACGCTTCCAGCATTGTCAACACCGCCGATCATATAACTGACCTTCGGCTATGCTGTGCCGCAACACAATACTATCGAGCGCCTTGACCACCACCAAGGAAGTTTCTTCTTCATGACGATAAGCTTTTATTTGAAGGTGGAAAAAGAGAGAATCTCAAGCTGAACATCAACACCACCACCGCCAACAACAAGAACAACGACGACGGCTAGAGCCAAATCGACCTTAAACTACCGCGCCTCTGTGACAGTGGAAAGGAACCGAGTTATGGCGAGAGCGTATCAACAAGCCCTCGTACCTGATGTACGTATCTACCTAAATCTTTGTACTTTGTGTCTTTTACCACCACACCATTCATCCCCGTCTCAAATCACCCTCGATGCACCCCTTGTACGACGAGTGCTGTGGTATGAGAGAGAGAGAGCGCGATAATCATCTCGCTTCTTTTTTCTCTTCCGCCCTTCGATATACTCCCACCACTTATTTCACTTCCCTACCTTTCTCCTCACATCCCACACCGAATCCTTATGTACCACCCAGAATTGGAGCTCTCCTAACACATTCTCTACCAACACTCCACAGCCCGACCCTGGCGAGGACAACGACTCGACATTCTCCGAAACACTAGATGACTCGTGGACGGCGTCCCTCTCGACGTCGGTGCTCAACTACCGCTATGAGAACGGGCGGCGGTACCATGCGTTCCGCGAAGGCCAATACGTACTGCCCAACGACGAACCGGAGCAAGACCGGCTGGACATGTTCCACCACATTTTCAAAATGCTGCTCGGCGGCCACCTGTACCGGGCGCCTTTGTCGGCGCCGCAGCGTGTGCTCGACCTCGGGTGCGGCACGGGCCTGTGGTGTGTTGAATTCGGCGACGAGCACCCAGAGTCAATCGTGGTGGGCGTCGACCTCTCGCCGATCCAGCCGACGCTGATCCCACCCAACGTCAAGTTCTACGTCGACGACATCGAGTCCGAGTGGACGTACCCGCCCCGCGAGCGCTTCGACTACGTGCACGGCCGCACGCTGTGCGGGTGCATCGCCGACTGGCCGCGCCTTTTCCGGCAGTCCCTCGCGGCCCTCCATCCGGGCGGCTGGCTCGAGATGCAAGACTACCAGTACCACATGCTGAGCGACGACGACTCGATCAACGGCGCCGTCTACCTGCTCGACTGGGTCGAGCAGATGAACGAGGCGTCAAAGCGCTTCGGCAAGATTCTCAAGTCCGCAGAGGCGATGAAGGACCACATGGGCGCCGCCGGCTTCGTCGACATCCACGAGGAAGTCTACAAGGTTCCCATCGGCACCTGGCCCAAGGAGGAACGCTTCAAGGAGCTCGGCATGTTCTACCGCGCACAGTCCATCGACGCCGTCGAGCCCTACACCCTGGCCCTGTACACTCGTGTCCTGGGATATTCGCCGGACGAAGCCAGGATCGTCGTCGCCAGAGTGAAACGAGACCTGGCCAATCCCAAATTCCACATGTACGTGCACTTTCACTTTGTATGGGGACAGAAACCTATGACGTCGACTGCGGACTCCTAGGAGGGAACACCATGATGATGATGACGATGATGATCATGTTCACGAGATTGATACTACTCTCGTACTTGTACTTGTATCATGGGCACAGAAGACCCTCCCTCCCTACCTACCCACCCAATATGGAATACTACTATGTCGACTCCAACAGAGGATCATGAAACTGGGTCTGAGCACCTCTACACATATACTCGTACGAGTACCGAGTATTGTGAGGAGCCAACACACACACACACACACACACACACACACAGATTCGTGATAGTTGACCTACCATTTTAAAAACTGAAGAAAGTAATATTTTGTTTGAACGATAGTAAATTCAACCTACCTTACACCTGATCACCTATCTAGATGCCACCTTCTATCTTCTCTCTACCTGTATGGGATGCCACCTTCTATCTTCTCTCTACCTATATGGGATTAACATCAGGCACCTCTTTTGTAACTAATATGTCATGTACTCGTAGAAGTCTAGATTTTGCATACCTCTAGGTACCTTAGGTGTGTAACGTTCACACCCATTGACTTCCAACATAGGGGACATAGAGGGGTAATTCTGAATGATGGGGGTGTTAAAAGAAACACGATACTGGCTGTGGCATCAATCTCGACACTTCTCATCGTCCTGGCCATGAATGAAGGCTTTCTTGACAGCCAAACCTCCCATGGATGAGCAATGAAAGTTATGGGTCAATAGTCAACTATGAAGGTACTTTCATCTTCTTCGGTGGAAAAGGTGAAGCAAAACAGCAAGTCTTTGCAAGTGCAAGGTCTGAGATGTTGAGGACATATTCAGGTCCGGGCGAGGTTTCCCAGAAATCGACTTTGTATATGAATATCATAATAGGGCTGATGATAGTCCTGCTTCCAAAAGGGGAATCGGCCTGGGACCATTATATGACGAGCGATTGATGTTTCCTTATGTAGTTCCTTACCCGATTCTGGGCGCTTCTGGTGTTGCCGTGGTCTTTAAAGGCGCCTAACCGAGGGCCTGATAAAGCCTCACGAGCCTTAGCCAGGTATTGCAAATAGCACTCAATGAAGCTAATCGCTCCAATCTCACCTGAAGCTTTGCTCCCATTTTCATCAAGAGGTTAGGCACCTCATGATCTTCTTGAACACACTTCTACCTGTGTTCGGCTGTGGGGAATATCGGGGAAGTGTCCATACCTTGACGAAGGGCTTATCTGCAAGAATGACTGCTCCTTAGTACGTACCGGGCTTCATGCTTTGCGGAGTGAAGGACAACCTCAGTCGTGCTCCAATGTCGCAAAATCTCTTTGTTGAACGACACAATGTACTCCAGATGATCGTCAAGATCGTGAGACATGAGCGAAGAAATAATGTCGTGTGAGTTGCAGTGTATCACGGAGCGACAATGCTGGCACAAGTTCATCTCAATAAACAAGTTGCAGATGTTGGTGCGCTCACGACAATGAGGTCGACGGCGAGACAGTCAGAAAACTGTGGAGAATAGCTGTTTGGTGTGAGAGCAGTGCAGGTCAAATCGTAGTGGCGTGGTCTTTGGCTAGGTTGGTCTTTGCCAAAGAAGTAAAGGAGGACTAGCAGATGCACCTACCGTGGTGCTCTGTAGTGTGAGGACAGTGAACAACAAAAGAAAGCGCTCACTTCAATCCGCCCACGTGACTTGACGATTGCCTGCGGCATCCGCCAAGTGAGCAGCATTTCGGCAGGCGGATGCAGACATCACCATACACTTGACGGCGAGTCTTTTTTTCTTATTCTCTTAGTTGTCGACAGATATTCTAAAGGCAAGAACATCCTCGTCATCCACCAGTTGGCCCATCCTGGTCAATCGCGACTCCGACGCTGCTCCGAGCAGGCACAACCGTGACGTAGCAAGGCTGCGATTTGGCTTGCTAAGCGCCTCTAGCATTGAAGCACCGACGAAGCAGTCTGACAGCCTAATCCCTTGCTATTGCCCTTAAACCTCACCGAAACCTCTCAATTGTCGGCGCGGATCTCCTTCAATTCATATTCTTGCACGGCAATGCCATCGTTGCCTTAGACCTCTACACTGTGGCCGCAGACTCCAATGAGTTCTCGTGCAACTGGACAAAACCATGGAAAGTCAACGACATCATCATGTCGAAGGGTTGGTGAACGGCAGTCTTGGGAAACACGGTTCAGAAATATCCAGGGCTACATCTCCGGCCGGTGCAGCGAACATGGAGAATGGAAGCCCTGAGGGTGAAGACCTGGTCAAGCGCAACAGGCCGAGAACGTATCCTTACTTCGAAACTCTTCCCTATCCTATCGAAGATGAGGCCACAAGACAGGAGAATCTGTCTAAGATCCTGGACCAGCTGTATATTGCCCTTCAATCGAGCGACTTCACCCCGGGAGCGGTCCATTGGACAAAAGAACTTCGAAGTTGGATGTCTCTAAAGTTTGATCCTACAAAGGCACAGCGTGTGAAACTTGTCAAGCTCTATTTCGAACTCGCTCTGGCTCCAGGCATCGAGCCGGGCGTAAGTGAGCGTTTCGCTAGCATGTTCATGCTTCTCACAAAGTACGTTGTTTGCAACGCCAGTCCTGTACTTCCTCGATGCCCAAGTCGCTAACTGAACCGCAGACGAAAGCATTACCTGCGTCCCCTCAAAGATCTCACCCTCGACTGGCGACCGTTGTATCGCGAACTAAAGGTCTTCGTCCTCCCTAGCGAATCTGGGCTGATGCAAACTACTAGTTTGAAGAGAAACATCAAGACCCTCACCAAGATCACTTCATTTGCTCAGTTATACTTCGACCCCGAAGACATCCCAGCAATGTTAGAAGAGATGTTGCCACATTTTACAATGTCGTCCGCCGAAGGGGCATTTGTCGTGATAGGGCTGCTGAACATGCTCCTACCGACGGCACCGCCGCCGCCTAATAGGCAGGATCTAGTCCCTCAGCAATTCCTACCCACATTTTTCCATTTATGGTCATTGGTAAATCGCTCGCGGACGACAGATGTTGCATTCCTTGATCTGTTCTCGCGCATGGCCAGGGACACACTCCCGTGCAGTCATATAGACTTCTCGGAGTTCGGTATTTTCACAGCTGAGCAGTCGACTCTGATGACAACGGCGATTCTGAGACTCTTGGAAATCCCAGTGGGTCAGTCCACATCTCCGTACAGCGCTCTCGTCGATTTATCCGCGGGAATGGGTATTCTTCTGGATAGAGACTCTCGAAAGCATCCCGTGTCACACCACATTGCACGCTGGTTTGTGATGTCTTTGTCGCCTGCTTGCCTCGAGAAGAAGACATCCGTTCTCTCATTACTTGAGAATCTAATCCAAGCAATCGAGACCTTCTTCCATCCTTCTAATTCAGGTTCGTGGACGAGAACGCTAGCTCAACTCGTGTTCTATCTGGCAGACTTCTTTGTCATGCGGTGGAACAGAGAACGCAACGGAGAGATGGAGGTGCCTAAGGAGAGACGGCTGAATGAACCCCTTCGCAAGAGATTTGTGTTATGTTTGCGTGAAGTCATCTTCATGGGCATATATGCCAAAAGCGGGACAGCAATGAGCTATTCGTTATCAACTCTGCAGGCATTAGCATTCTTAGAGCCAGACTTGGTTTTGCCCGGGGCCCTGCAACGAATCTATCCTTCGATGCAAGGGCTCGTTGAGGTTCACCGCACAGTGTCATCCTTGCGGTCTCTACAAATCTTAGCGCGGACAATGGTGAGAACGAAGGGGTACCGATGTCACATCACAGCCTTACTCGGGCTTGCATTGCCTGGAATCGATGCCAACGATCTGGAAAAAACGCTATACACCCTCTCCTTTTTCGGGATTGTTTGCTATAACATTCCTTTCGAAGATCTTTCCAAAGACCGAACAGACATTCAAGGTAACATGTTGGCGATGGAGTGGATCACTGGTGAAATGGAGCGGATGGAGCAGGAAGGTGCTTCTGTAGAGCTCAACTATGCTGACCTGGATGAAAACATGGAAGAGATGATTCTGGCCTCGTCAACTGCTGGTTTTAGCGAGTTCGTTTCCTCTTTCTTGGGTCGAGTCTTTACCCTTCTCGAAAATCTCCCCGATGCTGCACGAATAAGGAGCGGATCACCCGAAGAAAATATTGTCAACACACTACCGGCAGCCTTCCAGCCTCTATTGGCATCCCTATCCCCAGAGCTATTCGACTTGGCTCTCAATAAGATCGTGGATTTTGTTGCAAACCATGTCATCCACCAATCTAGGGATGCTATGGCCTTCATTTGTAATTGTCTCTGCAAGGTCAATCCAGAGAAGGCCCTCGCCAAGTTCGTCCCTGTATTGATCAGCGCTATTCGCACAGAGATCGATGAAAATGGGGCCGGAACAACAAGAAATGCTGCGGCTGATGTCCTACCTCGCGATCGTGGCCTGGTTTGGAACATCAGCATGCTCAGCATGTGTGTGGTCCATGTTGGGTCCGCCGTCCTCAAATACAAGCAGGAACTATTTGATATCGCGATTTACATGCAGCAAAAATGCAAGGGCACGTCGACTGTACATGTGTCGAACTATATTCACCATTTACTGCTGAACCTCACTGTCACGTTTACGGCGGACCACGCTTTGTATGAGCCGGAGAGACTACAAGATGGCATAAAGCCTCACTTGTGGGGGCTTGCGGAACCTCCAGCGACCATCAAACCAAAATGGCACGTTCCTTGCAAAGAAGAGATTGAATTTGCAGTTGAGCTTTTTCAAAATCAAGTAGAGACTTCTCTAAAGCATCTCAGAGGTCTCATACAAGGCACATCTAGCATCAAGCGTGACGGGAGCGGCAAAGAATGGTCAGACGAAGTCTCACGCAATCTCGTCCTCCTTCGACTCCTCCTTGCAGGTATCTCAGCTCTATTCGATTCTAATGGAGTCAATGAAGGCCTGAAAACAACAGCGGCGGGAATCGATGCTGAGAATTCCTTATCCGAAACGAACGGTCATGCCCTCGACATGAGTGACAGGGATGATGAAAGTGACGACACGAGTGGAGGGGACTCGTACCTCGACAGCACTGACGAGACGTCCCTTAAACCATCCTTCCAATATCCATGTGGACAGGTACTCAAGCCTGGCGATGATCTGTACCGTGCTCTTCATTCCCTGCGACAAGATATTGGGCGCGTGTTGCATGAAGTGCACGAGTTTCTTACTCGAGAAGGTGAAGACGACGTTTCATCTTTCGCCCCTTTGTACACCGCTTATAGGTCATGGTTTGTTGATGTCGGCCTCGAACGATCAGCTCACGTGCTCGACAGGGTTACTCGTCTGCTACATGCAGACGAACACCCGTATAAGGTCAGTGGTGTGAGGAAGGACTATCCTCGGTCTATCCTCGTTCGTCGCGCAAATGTGTACCACACCCAAAGAGTTAGACACAATGCGACCCCCAGACCTCGATCAGAGTTGGATGAGCAACTCCTGCTCGACCTTGCCCAGTCGTCTGTGTCGCTTTACACCGAGGTGCGCAGAAATGCACAGAGCGCTGGGGAGTCTGCCCTCAAAGTCATTTTTGGCGCTCGATTGTTTGTCATTCCACCGCTCCTGGCATCATTTCAACAGGCTGTGAAGATCAACAACTTCCCTCGCATCAAAGGGGGCTTATTTGCCCTCCTCTTTGGTAGTCTTGCCAAGACGGTAGGCAGACATTGGAAGTACACGCCTGACGTGATCCGAACTTTCATCGAAGCCAGTACAGCCGATAAACCGTCGATCCAAAAGCTTTGCAGTGGTGGTCTATACCAGATCATGGAGTATGGTCGCCCTGGGCATCGCATGGCAATCATCGACCGTGCATTTGTTGACCCATTCGCTCCTGAGGAGGATGTTGAAGATAAAATTCAAAAGAAGAAGAAATTTATTCTCACCAAACGTGCTAATATTGAGCGAAAGAAAGCGGAATTGGCCGAAGAGCTCATTCAGCTTGCTCGTCTATCTCACTGGAAAAAGGCCACTCGCGTTGCTACCATCGTCATGTCTCTTGGTCTTCGTTTTGATCATATTGCTTCTGACAGCATGATCGACCTCATTACACGTGGCACAATCGACCCTCATCCTGGACTTCGGGGGCTCTATTCACAAGGATTGGTGGCCCTCTTCACTATGACTGATGTTCGAGCCGTTTGCAACCACGACTATGCCAACTATATTCAGGCATTGCAAGAATTTCCTGCCAAAGTGAAAGTGGACACTCACGCAGAAGACCCAGCATGGACAGACGGCTACCTGAAAGCATTCTCTCAGCCAGAAGCTGACGTTTACATTGATCACGACTATCCAGGTTGGCTGGTTTGGTCCAAGACCATGCCTGGGTACAAAGCCAATGTCAAAGATGATATCATTTATGATGATCTGGAGTATAGGAAGCGCGGAATCATCGGCAAGTTGTTGGACCGAGAGTGGTTCGTTACCTTTTTCAAATACCTCAAACAGGAACCTCGCGACCAGTCTGCCGATAAATTCCGCATGGCCAGTGCTGCGATGTTGACCTACGCCTTCGAATTGGTCATTAGAGATGGCTTAGCTGTTGCGACGTTCGAGGACATTAAAGAAGAAACACTGAAGGTCTTCGAAGATGGAAGCGACAAACATCAACACCGTGCGACGGCCGAAATCCTTGCTGGTTTAGTGACATCCGTGATGGACAATTCAATCGAGAGACGTACTATGGTCTGGGAGTTCGCATTTCCTATCATTCAACGTGTCTTCTCGGATGGCTTGACCCCGGAGAACAGTGGCTACTGGACGACGTTCTTGCACATGATCATGCAGGCTAGAGATCCACGGCGAGCTTGGCCTTTGGTTGAGTGGTTGACAAATTTCCGCCTGGATATGGGTTCCAATGCTGCATTTAAAGAGAGCTCAAAGATTCATCTCCTCCATCAAGTTATCATGGATGCTGGCTGGCATTTCCAGCTTGATGCTCCCATTACAGAAGACTTTTTCGCTCACATTGATCATCCATACAAGGGCGTTCGCGAAGCCATGGCACATACCCTTGCTACCATCACCCGAACTCGGTATCATGAGTCCTTCAAAGATGTCCAAGACCTTATCAACGCGCAGAAGGCTGCCGGTTCTATTGGAGTCCAGCCCTATGTTCCCACCAAGGAATTCGATGACAGAATGCTTGAGATCTTCGAGCGTCTCGAGAAATGGCGACATGAACGCGCCCCAGGTCAACAGACGCCGTCACCCTACACTTCAGGAAGTAAAACGGTGCTACTGTGGCTCGATTCCATGCTTTCATCTTACGAATGCACCCAGCTCCTCAAATACTTTCCTGACCTTTTCACCGAGCAATTCTTGCATATGATGGATGTCAAGGAAGACCCCGAGTTACAATCCCTGGCTTACCATGTTTTCCGCCATCTGCCAAATATTCCTCACCATATGGGAGAAGACGCGAAATTGATTGCCTCTTTGATTCGCATTGGACGAACGTCTCCGTCATGGCATCAACGGCTTCGAGTCATGATCAACATGCAAATCATCTTCTTCAGACGGTTGTTTCTGTTATCCGAGGCAAGCAAACAGAAGCTGTTCGACTGTGTAGCCGACATGCTTGAAGACTCCCAACATGAAGTTCGTGCCGGAGCTGCTACCACCTTGTCGGGGATGATCAGATGTTCGCCTTTAGATTTGAGAGAGAGGATGATCATTAGCCTACGTGACCGATTTACTCAGATGCTGATTGACAACCCCTTGCCCAAGAAACCTAAGGGTCAACTTGCCGGGTTGTCCTCGGCTCGCACGTCAGGCACGAACACACCAACGCCAGAAGCTCAACGGCTGGTCATTACCCGCCACGCTGCAGTTCTGGGACTGGGTGCACTGATTCAAGCGTTTCCATATTCCAGCCCGCCACCGCCGTGGATGCCTGATGTGCTTGTCACGTTAAGCCAGAAAGCCGCCAATGATCCTGCAACTGTGGGTAACAGCGTCAAGAGCATCATTAGCGACTTTAAGAAGACGAGGCAGGATACTTGGCACATTGACGTGAAGGTATGTCGTTCACCCGAGTCGTGTCTCTGTGGACTTTATGCTAACAGGTTTGTCACATAGGCATTCAAACCGGAACAAATCGACGACCTCTCAGGTGTACTGTGGAAAAGCTACTTCGCGTGATACTGTCCACACCAGCGACTTTTCCTTTTCCACTTCGTGGTGAGGTTGGCCGGCATAGCGTCGGTCGCTTTTTCCCCCCCCAGAACCCAAGACTTTTGCTAAAAATCTGTCTTCAACCATGGCGATGGCAGTCATCATGGGGAGATATGTGCATGTTCCCAACAGTTACAATTTTCGCAACCTTGTCTAAGTAGATGTATTGCTGGATAGTACGCGGGCATCCCAACGTCAGCCTTTGTTTTGGGCATTGGTCTGACTGGTACAGCGGGAGATGGAACATGAGAATGAATAAAGAATGAGACGACAGGTGGTTGTTCTCAAATCCGTCCGGGAATCTGGAATTGGAATCCTGCAAAGCGAAGAAGGGAAGGGACCAAAGAGTAACTCAGATTACCACAATGAAAATTAAAAAGTAAGAAGAATAGGAATAGGAATGCTTATCATTTTTAGGGGCTGATGATGCTTCCTACTCGTCGCATGAACAGGTCTCTCTATCTACAGCTTAATAAATCTAATAGATGTACTCAACTTGTACAATAGAATAGTGCGATAGAATTATTACCGATTGGGAAGAAGATAACTCGAATGGGTGCATCTTTACCTTCGTACCGCGTGTGTGCGAACACTCTACGGCCGAACGTCAGGCTGTAAAAGGTACCTGAGGGAGAAGGCACTACTGGGCCAAGATTGGCAGCAGCAGATTTTGTTTCCCCCCAAGTAATTGCAGAGTATCTGAAATTCTCACTCATCCTTAAAGCCTCTGTCGACCCTCTCTCTTTTTCAACAAGGAATGCGTATATCACAGTACACATGTAAATACATACACACATACGTATGCGCACTCACGCAGGCAACTCCTCTCCATGGCACGGCAGTACCTCAAAGCAAAGGGGCCAAGTGTCAGGTAAGGCAGCCAAGTCTTTCTTCCCCAGCCTGGTCAGGCCAGTTGAGGCCCGTCGCTTTACTGGGTTCTCTCATGCTCAAAGGTTCTCGCCAGCTTGCTGTAGCGCCTAATACGCGGGCCGAAGAAGAACAGGATGTAGATGATGGCGACGAGGCCGAAACTGAGGAAGCCGAGCGTGGCAAAGGCCCATTTCGTGCTCATGTTTTCGAACATGGCGACGCCGGCATGCGCGAGGGCGGCGGCGATCAGGAAGCTTGGGATTAGGAATGCGGCAATGGCACTGGCAGCGACGTTGGCGTAGCTGTCGGTGATGTAGTTGAGCATGGCGAGCCAGAGTAGCGGGTCGCAGAAGCCCAGCACGCCGCCGGCGACGATGGGGGACCAATAGGACACGGTGCCGTCGGAGGTGAAGCCGAACCAGAGCAGGGAGACGGGGAAGAGCCAGACGCCGACGAGCGAGGTGAGGAAGCGTGCTTCGGGTCGGTGGTAGCCGTGCTTGAGCCGGTCGCGGCGGAAGAGGTACGTCTGGACCGGGACGAAGCAAAAGGTCACAGTGACACCTGGTAGGAGGGGTTAGATTGAGTCAAGTGTGGAAGAATTTGTCCCGAACGTAGAATCCCAAAACGGATTCCCCCAGAAAGGATAAATTTGTCGTATTGGATGGATAATGAAAGGTCGGGGGAGACTGGATAAGGAGAGATTGAAAGAGGGTGGTTTATGCAAGGAAGCCGGGGCACGGCTAGCAGAAATAAATTTTGCTTACCAACACAGAAGTTCAGATATGTCAAGTCAGCGTTGATGTAGCTGAGGCCATTGTTGAAGACAAAGACGTCAAACACGCCGTCCAAGTAGAGAAAGAGCAATCCGTACGCGAAGCCGTTGTACCTGTTGAAAACAAACGGTCGAAATGGTCAGTTTGATCAGAATCAGAATCGGATTTTGGGCAAAGATGTGAGGTTGGTGAGTGCATTTCGGGGTCGCATGAATCACAGCGCAGAGGTTGAGAACGTACAATCCAAGAGCAATGACAATGGGCTCCGTGACCATGATCTTCAGTGCCATGGTCGTGACAAATTTGAACTCCTGCATAACGGACAATCTACTCGATCCCAACGCAATTTCGACGGCGTTCTGGTCGACGCTACCTCTTCGTTTGACGGCATTAGAGATTACGACTCGTGGAAGTGTTTCAGGAACAAAACACAAGATGACGGCGAAAGCGCCGCCGATGATGATGTTGATGTAAAAGACTAGAACAGGGGTTTTCGGTTTTAGCATTTTCATGATCCCCTGAAGCTGAGGAGAGGAGGGAGGGGGTGCATCGTACTCCATCGCCAGCTGAGATTGTCATTCTCTGCGATCCATTCTCCAATCGGTGAGCCCAGACTAGGACCGAAGTTGGCGCTCAGCACGAAGAGTGCCATCGGCTGTGCGGCATTGTCCGCATCCTATAGGGATTGTCAGATGTTAAGGAAACCAGGGTGAATGGAGGCAAGAGATCCCCGGGTCTGGAAATGGAAGAGACTGAAGGGAGCGACATACGCCAAATAGATCCGAGATGGTGCCCGCTACATTGTTCAATGCAACTGATCCGGCCACACCGATCAAGAAGCAGAAGATGACCAGCATAGGGTAGTTGTCTGCCAGCGCAGTTCCGATGTTGAGGATGGCGTACAACAGAACTTGCAAGTGGGTTAGTTTGCGGGAGATTCATGTTGCCCAAGCCAAGTGCCGGGATACTAACTTGCGCCAACATAGACCCATTTGCGACCTCCGATATCAGACAAAGGACCTGTTCAAGACGAAGAATCATCAGCCAGAGACGTCTTCGAATCTGAAAAGACCCTGTTGCGTTGCATACCCAGAAAAGCTGGTCCGACGGCCGTCCCAATAATGAACATCGACTGGCCCAGGGTGGCGACTTGAGCATCCGTAATGCCGAATTTCTCCTCGACCAGAAACTCGACAGAGACGTATGTGGTCGATGTGAGCGTGACAAACACCTGCAGCAGACAATATATGAAGGTGATGGCCCATTTCTTCCACAACGGCCATTTACTTGGGTGCGCATCATCGTTTGTTCGGATCTTCTCTAGCAGAGCTAGAGGATCTTGACTACCGCTGAGAGCGCCTTCGACATCTGTCGTCGCGGCAGGGGGGGTCTCCTCCTTCTTCTCTGAAAGAGTACTGTCCGGTGGAGTTGTCGAATCGGGCGCGCCAGTCATCGTGGCAACGAAATTGTAACTGGGTTGCGCGCAAGGCTAGGGCTGAAAAGTCACAGTGCGGTTTTGAGTCCTACGAGGCCTTGAAGCCGACGGCAGTTAATATTGAAAGGGGCCAGTAATTGTCGAACGAAGTCGCAAAAGAATCACAACAACGATATTATTGACAAGGGGGACCAGAATCAAATATTGTTCGAATCAAAAAAAGAAACAGATCCACGCTCGGGAGACAATTGTGGATCGATCGAGGTCGATGCGCCCGTGACATATATATTCTTCTCATCGGGGAGTCCCCCTTTCGACAGACATCATTATCGCGAGACTGTGTATGGCCGGAATATGGCACTTGGTCACACTCGCATTGGGAGAGGCATAGATAAGCGAGACGCTGGCCCTTTTTGAGTGCGAAGCCTGGGATGGAGAAGAGCCTGTGCTATCACAAGCTTGGAATGTGGCCAGTCAGAGGGCGAGAAATGATTGTCTCGCGATTGATACCGGCACGTTGCGGAACCCGGCGGATTGCAACGTTTCTCTGCCGTGGTCCCTGGGAGAGGAGGAGAACTCTTCGCCATGATGGATACCGCGCGTCTGACGGGTGGTGTGGAGGATTTGATGACGTGAAACGAGGTCGCTGCTGATGCAGGCTGCCGAGCTGCGAAGCCAACGAGACTGCAGATCGAGCACTTTATTAGCCCGTCGTCGAGGTCCAGCTAAGCTTTGCCACAAGAGTGTTAGCATCCCTTGGCCGGCTTATTCTGGCAGCTTATCTTTAACTAGCTCTAGCTTATGATTAGCTTGTTCACAACTAGGAACGGGCTTATTCATATCCTTATCTCTAGCTTGGCATGTACTACTAAGGTATGCTTCAGCATTGTGTCCTGCACAGTCATGGGTCCGGAAGCCTCGCTAGCCACGTGGATATCGCGTCTCTTATCTCCCGGAGCTCACCTGGGGCCCAAAGGTATGGTCGTCGGCAGCCGCCGCCAACGGATAACATTGACAAGAGGAAATGAGCAGGTTATAGCTATAGTCACGCCTACAGTCATGGATATAGGTGAAGTGAGCGATGCCAACTCAAAAACATTCCAAAACATCATCTGTGTGCGATAAATTTCCAAGGTCGAATAACGCTAATACCACCAACAAACCCTTTTGACCTATAATCCCTTGAGCGCTTTCACTTCGGCTACAAGCTCAGATATTGTTTCCGTCAAGCTATTGATCTGCCGTGATTGTTGGGCCATCATGGCTTTGATGTTCTTGATCTCATCACCGTCGTCCTCGGCTCCGACCTCGTCAGCGACGGGACTTGGAGACTTGACTACAGGTTCAGCGGTCTTACGTGATATTAGACTGTGGCCAATTTCATGCGGGTGAAGCGAACATCACTTACTGTTGGAGTGGGGACGGCCTTCGTATCAGGCGCTTTCACATCGTCCGAGAGCTTGCTAGAAGCTGGAACCGAGTCCTGTCTCTTGGGTTCTAGGCCAGCGGGTTTAGCGGCTGAGATCCTCTCTGTTGGCTTCTGAACCTCTTCGAAACTTGAATCATCGTCTCCGTCGTCTTCCACTGGCTCGGTATCCTGGAATTTATCGGCGACAGCCATCATAGTAGCGCCTTGTTCTTTCATCGTTGGGGGTGGTGAGCGTATCGCTGACGTTGTGACTGGGGAAGGCTCGGCAGCTTCCTTCCTCACCTCAGGCGCTTTGATCGGTTCAGGAGCCTTCTTTGCGGGTGTTGGTGCGTCTGAAGGGACCTCCTTGACCCCTTGCCCTTCATACAGGCTTTCCATGGAGATCTTGGGGGGTAAACCTTCGGCTCCTCCGAACCATTCCTTGCTACTCATGGCTGGTTTCAGTCCTACCGTAGGTGGGTATATATCTTCCTGGAATGTCTCTGCTCGTCGAGGCACAATGAACGAGATCGGCTCGATGTAGGTGTCGTTGACAGTTTTATAAGCTCGCATCACTTCGTTTTCGTGCATGTTGACGCCTCTTTTAGGGACAAAGGCAACTCCACGCTGCGGATCGGCGGACTTGTACTCCGACAGATACTCGAATTTATCGTGTTCGTATTCGTAGTAGCGGATGTTGCCATCACCTTTGCCGGCGAGGTACAAGCACTGAGTGCCGTCATCCCAGAAAGGTATGCAAACGCCAGAGATCGAGTCGAGCATTTGGAAACCATCGACGGGCTGTTCAGGGGCTCGTACATCCCAAAGAGCTAGTTGTCGATCACTCATTCTGGAAAATCCCGTCGTCGCGATTCTGTCGTGCTCACCCATCCATACGGCTCGGCTGTTTTTGGCACCTGCATGTCCTGCAACTTCGTGAGCTGGCTTCTCCTGTCTCGTATCCCATATTCGCAATTTCTTATCCCGAGATGTGGTGACCAGGAGAGATCCGTTCGCGCTCCAAGACATGGATTGAATGACCTCGCCAACCTTCAAGTTGAGTTTAGCATTGCCAGACTCGATATCCCATATCTTGACGGTGAAGTCTCCAGCGGCGGATGCTAAAACGTTCTCGGCGGCGGGGTTGAACAGGACATGACCGACTTTCCTGATTGAAGTCAGCTTTCACCCTCCGATGCGAGAAAGGAGAGTGTACTCACTTCGGGTGACCGCTCAGCTTGCCCACTGGAGCAATATCCTTAACCTCGTCCGCGGGAACATCAAGATGAAGCGTGAAATCGTCGGGAACTCTCCACAGAAAGACCTGCGCAAAATAAGAATGCATACTCTTATAGTCTTCATGATATCTTACTTTGCCGTCATCGGAGCCAGAGGCTATCAGAGAGTCATTGAAAGGGTTCCTTCGTCTTGTGAGTGCTGCACTTCTAATCTCGATTCCGGGGCCCCCACCAGTCAGTGTCTAGTACGACGGCAGTGTGTCCTCGAAATAAGGGTATCCTTTCTGGCAGTCGACCTCGTTCGTTTACAGGAATGACAGCGAATGCGCCGCCACCACTACTATCCCAATTGACCGAGAGGTATTCCGGGTTGGCCTGAATAGTCAGCGCTGTTGCCCTTGTCTCGTGTGCGCATAAGCTGTCCCGCACATACCTTGACGAGATTCGTGTCCCAGGCATTCTTCGACACTCTCACATTGTCATAGCATTGTTCCTAGACCTCTTAGCGCCCAGATTGGTTTACTGCTTCCCAAGGGATCTGCACCTTCCGGGTCGACCGACCAAACACGTGCCGATATTTGGAGGACCGAACGAAGCGATTTGCCATGATTTTCTGGGCAATTGAGGTTTGTGAAGAGAACGGCTACTGAACAAGAGAAAGACTGAGCCTGCAGTCCTTTACAAAAGACCTGCCAACGCACCCAGCCACAATGAAGCTGAAGCAGTCAATGTTTCAACGAATCCTTTGTTAAGCTGCTGACTGCGGTCCAATGCTAGCTCGAGCCCGGGAGCAACCCAAGCCAGTAGTACTATATGCCCCACCGTAACTCAGGTCATGTTCATGCTCGACCGTAATTCAGCTCCGTTCTATGCTCCACCGTACATCCGGCTACCAAGACCCAGTTTCTCTGCTCTCCTGAATCAACGCGACTTCCTTCCTCTCCAAGTTCATGATCAATAATTGGTGACATTTCTCAATTCATGCGAGCCACCTCCCAGAATATTTTCATTCCTGGAAGTGTTCGATGACGATTTCGTCGCCAGTCGCTAGCGCATTCGGGCTCAGTGCGGCTCGCAGAGTTGCAAGGATCCAGCGCAAAGGTTCACGGCAAGCACCGTATTCCTCCACGGACGCCTTGCATATGTCCAGAGCTTCCTCTCCTCTTTCGAGCTCAGGCTCTCGGGCATTAGACTGTCTTCCGGCTGCGACGTGCCTCTCAACGACATCGTGGCGGTAGGCCCAGTCGCTCTCCGAATGAAGAAATTCTTTCCACAGAATGCACGAGTTCACATAGGACGCGATACAGCTCGAGCAGTTCTTGTGGTTCTTCGTGCGGCCAAAGATGCGTTTCTTGCTCATATGCCACATGTACCCGTCGTGGTTGTATTCCACTCTTTGTTGGAAATACCCGCTCAAACATCTGTTTTCTAATTCTTGCCAGAGGGTGTAGTCGACGTAAGCTATGGCGCGCTCAGAGACGGCAGAACGCGCAACGCCATCGTCATTGAGATCGAGGTCAACGGCATGATTGTTGACACCATCTTCAGCTTCCCGGCCTGTACCAAGAAGGTGCCTCTCCAAGGCAATATTAACACGAGCAAGATCGATCTTTCCTTGCTCGGGTTGCTGGAGCTGGTGCTTCATCTGCCGAGACGCATCATATGCTTGAGGTGCTGCAGCACTTACGGTTGCAGGTGCCACTGCTGCTTCCGTTTGCTCTGGCGTCGGCTCTGGCAGGCAAATCTCGTGGTAGCTGTCTTGAGGTCGAATTGCCATTCTTTCAGGCAAGGTTCTCTCTTCTTCTACGCAAAGCAGGCCAGTCAGAGAATTTTGTTTTCGGCTTTCCCATGTCATTTTTTTGGACTTCAGGATAGCCCGCTCTTTTAATTACGGTACTTACCTTGGAGAAGTATTGCTGACAATCACAAATTCAATCAATCCACCAAAGACACCAGCATTCGTTTTCCTCTCAGACTGGACTGTGGACAATGCCTCAAAGTTTCAGCTGCGTATTCTTATCGAAAGATCGGCAACCTCGATCCCAGGTAAGGTAGTCTAGTCCTGCTACTGGTTTGTCTCAATATCAATAACGACGAGTGACATCGACGTGGAGAGAATCAATCAGTCAATCAGTCAGGTGTTGCGTTGTCGCGCTCTCACGTTTCCGTGATTCTCCAAACGATATCTATCACAGGCCGTGTTCGCGTTCGCGTTTGACCATTCACTTACTTCGAATGCCGACTAACTAGCTAGGTACCTTCATGGATGGTACCTTCATGGACCTTGACTGCTATGCCCTGGGAAGTATTGAGTGACGAGGAAGAAGTCCAGAGTGTATACCTGGGTGCCCAAACTACCTGCATACCTCACTACCAAAGGTCACCTTTCCAAATGAACCGACCGACACAGACGTACCTACACCTCCACTGACTTGAATAGCTGACCTCGTTTTCACCCCTTCGCCGGATCAGTGTTTGCTTCAAATCTTACACCTGAAGGGTGATTCATTCATCAAATGACTTGAGGGCTTAGGACACGTCTGCCTACCTGGTAGCTAGGTCACTTTGAAGTGGATACGTACATAAAACACGGTATCGCACCACACACAGCCTGACTATAAAAGTCACATTCATAAGGGGTGTAACTGCTCCTTCTAACTCTCTCCACGCGACCCAGAAAAGCACTCACTTTGTTTTGACTTGGTCCCAAAGAATTCTCGATCAATAGCGTTGAAGAGTGACAAGTCACGATATAAATGAACTTTTTACCCATAAACTTTCAATTTCGTACCTCAGAAGTCCTATCCAATCCATAAGAATCATCAAGTGCTACAAATGGCAGAAATTCCTCCTATTCCCAAGCCAATGCCACTTGGTTAACTTTTTGCCTTAAAACTTTCGACAAAGTCTATTGTCATCATCATCATCGTCAAAATCATAGACTCTGAGGTTGTTCCTTCATGGTCTGATGTCCCGTGAACTAGATCGTGATACTTATGGTATGCGCATGCTGGTATGACTGTACCTTCTTATGAAGTGCCCCCTGCATCAGCCCGATGCTATATCCCTCAAATACGCAGCAGGACAATAGCCCATGTCTCCAGCATATACCCCGAACCACCAATCCTCATTAACCTCCTCAATCTCACTTACCTCCGCATGCCTTGGGAACATCAATTCACCCTTCCCTTCCTCGCCTTCTTCTGGATAGTAACTCCAGAGCGCCCGACAAATCTTGCCGATACCTCCATTCGGAGGAAAATCGGCAGGAGCTGACAATCTGGCAGTTCTTGCCCGAGTTGCACGTCTTGTGCTAGTGGTATCCTCACGCCAAGTCCATTTTCCGCGGGTAGTGCTGCTGTTTACTGCAAGATCTGCAGAGGGTGTCTCGTGGAGATTAGCTCTCGCAAGTTTCCACGCCGCCATGTCCGCTCCGGTCATCTTGGTGCCGCCGACGACATCAGACCTGATAATTCTTCGCTGGCCTCCGTCCGCATCCATCTCGAAGACCACAGCTATCATGCGATGACCCTCAGGGCAAAGGCGCCATCCATCCGGGCCGTCTTCATGTTTGATTCGTCCCGACTTGACAAAGCTGAGATAACAAGATTGGCATAGATCATAGTCGCCTTTCTGATCAGAATTCTCTGGAGAAGGTGTGACATGCTCTGGACAATGATAGCGAAGGTCATCTGGCGGAATAGGTCGTAAGCAAATATCACAATTCGTTGTGATTACCAGAGGGACAAAATCAAGGCGAACATCAGCACCGAAGCCAGTCGTTGAAGTAGCACTTGAAGGAGCGCTGTGTGCTGGCGACGGCGCCCCTCCTACAGCACTAAAAGGGCTGAGCGTCGGGGCGCCAGGCTGTGTCGATGGATTAAGTCGAGGAGCAACGTTTGGAACTGTTGACTTATGCGCCACAGGCAACAGCGGGTGACTGCAGCAATGGTTTGTGTTTACGCAATCGTTGCAGAAACCCCATTCGCCATCATTGCAGTAGTCGCATGACCAAAAACATTCATTGGCAAATGCGCCACATCGATCGCAGAAGTTACCCTCTAATAGACGCGAGTTTGGTGAGCTTGTATCCAGGGATGTCTGTGTAGAATTCCGCAAGGACAGCTCCTGGAAGACAGAGGGTCTCTGGTATTGTCGGCCAATAAGTAAATGGGGCAGTTCAATAGCCTGTCCAGGTCTCGCAGGATGTGATGAATCGAACTTGAACATCGCAGCATGCCCAAACCCGAACCAGTGATTGCAACCTCGACCAATTCTGTAACAGCTCATGCACAGATCTAGGTTGCACGAAGAGCAATGTTTATGGACCTCATATTGAATCCTACGCCGTGAGCATCGTGCACATGTGACCGAAGGTTCTGTATGTCCAGTCGACGTTGCAGTCGCAGGAATCGCTGGGATAGAGGGCTCAGAGCTTGGAATTGTGGTCGGAACTGGTCCAGTGTTCACACTTGACATCACTATCCTAGGAGACTGCGATGCTGGCGAGCCAGTTTGAGGAGGGCTAGCTACTTGTCGGCCAGTAGCTTGCCACATCTCGGAAGCCCTTGGATGAGTTCTCGGTTCGGTGTTTGCTCTGTTCGTATTAGCTAGTTGCCGAGGACGTTCCAAGGCGGTGGAGCTCGACTGTGGCCTTTCAGCCAAATCCGTGGCGGATCTCCTGCCAGTCCTTGTGGCTGATTGTTCGCTTCTGCCGCTTTCATTCGAAGCTCTGCGGCGATGGGCTCTATCCTGAAATGTTGGCAAGACCGGGTCAGTCGTCGATTGAGGAAAAGACGTCGGTGGTCGGATAGCCGGGCTACTGATGACCACACTGCGGCTCGTTCGAGGACTCGGATGGGTCTGCTGCCTCTGACTGCTACTCGATACCGCACGCGGACGGCGGCCGACCTCCTCTCTCTGCTCTTCTGAGCGCCCCGATGTTGGTCCCTGTCCATTAGACGCGACGCCGTTTGATGGTGCTCGGCGTAATCTCTCTGGGTGAAGTTGACGATATCTCTCCGCTATCATTTCGCTGAGTTCGTCTTGTTCAGCCTCTGTCAGATCATCGATGTTGATACCATCCAAGAGTCCTGCAGCCAAGATCTCTTGCATTACCTGTGCTTCATTGAGGCTCTCGCCAGTCCCAGTCCCGCTTTCTGAGGCGCTGACTATTGATATCAAGCTGGCCTGGTGAGCAACAGTGCGTGCCCCTCGCTGGCGAGCTTCCACTGCATCTGGATGACGCGGCGACCCGAGCGCTGGTGAAGAGGATGGCACATCTTCGGTACTGGTATTGTCCCCCGACCTGGCCCGTGAGCCTACAGCATCTACGCTTGATTGACGTTGATGCCTGCCTGTGCGATCTGAGTTTCTCGAGCTGTCAGATCTTGGTCTGCGCTCACGGGTCGTGGTGCTTCCACTAGAAGACCGAGGGCCACGTCTCGTATCAGCTGAGGATGGGTGTAATTGTTGTTCTCGTCTACTTCTGTCATCCTGGCCTCTTCGATCGTGCGAAACGTTCTCTTCCTCCCGTCTTCGCCGCTCTCTACGTCTATGGCCGTCGATCTTTGGAAGTATATCATCGCCCGGTTTGTATGCCTGGGCCATCTCCGCCTTCTCTTCCTGCGACCTATCTTTTTCCGGGTTCGCAGCCAGAAACATTTCCAGCAAGGTATTTATCATAGCATTGTGTTGAACGTCTTTGACGACCGCACGACATGTCGGGCATGTATACGCAGCTGCCGAGGAAGAGGAATGGGAGTGTAGGGCCTTTCGATGTTGGTGCGAGAACCATTCTTTCAGACAAGAGCCGCAAAAGGTATGTAAGCAGTCGAGAAGAGTCAGGGGTTGGTAGAGAATTTCTGTGCATATGAAGCACACAAGCTCTTTCTCCAGGTTGAGCAGGCCTGTGGACGAAGGGACAGCAGCTGCAGCCATTGCGGTGTCGAGGTCATGCTCTTGCCATGTCGAGAAGGACGAACGAATATAAGCGATGTTCAAGACATGATCTTGCCGATAAGCATACTAGCGGTGCTCAACCAGGATATAGAGGCGACAGTCATGTCAGGAAAGGAGAGAATCGTCGCAGGCAAAAACCCAACCGTGCGTACGGATGGTGTAGCTGAAGTGGCAGGCGAGAGAATGATGATGCTTGTACAGGTACCAAGACGCATGAGACTCACTAGGCTGGTCCAAGGCAAATTCGACCAACCGTAAGCACTTGTTGGACAGGAATCGTAGCCTGATGGGCGGCGGCGAGGGGCAACTAAAACCCCGCCTAAGACGTCTATCTTAGTGGGCTCGGGATGCCTAAAGGCGGCTACAGGCGGCTTACCATGCGCCTAGAGAGCCTTTCGTGACAGGGCGTCTACAATTAGATCAGGTAAGCAAGGCTGCTACGCCTCCAACGTGGCGAGACTCGTATCGTAAACTTGCCGACTGTGTCTGCGCTGTGGCGGATCCAGGACGCATTGAGGGAAAATAATATGACATATCGACGGAAGGCTGCACAATGATTTGACAATTGTCATCGTCAGAAACTCAGAGACATTTATTAGTATCTGAAAGATAGCAAAGTTCAAGACGCGAGCCGCGGGAACAGGTTTCTTCCATGTTTGGCAACTCAACCGATTTGGGCACGTGACATGACTCCACCCGTCCCCATGTACCCCTGAGTTCATGGTAGCAGCAAAGGTCCTGACATTGGACGAGGCGAGGCTTTGTAGGTGAAGTATCTAATAGAGTTTCTCGAGCCGGGTGTACTTGCAAAGAGTGAGTGACTGAATAACCGCCCTCCTCTCATGTCTCTTGTGGGCCGCCGCCCGCTCGCCCCCTCTCCTCCCCGGGGAACATCCCCTTCCACTCCAACAATGTTTCGATGCAAGGGTTCAATGGTTTAGCCATGGATCCTGATAGCATGAAAGACACATTCGTGAGATCCTAAGTCCTTCAAGAAACTTCATTTTTGTCGACGGTATGAGTTGCCGTGGTAGTGCCGACGACATCATGAGGTTGGTTCTCGTGATGCTGGCCACCAATGCTCAACTTCATCTCCATGTCGACGTCACCTTGTTCTTCTCTACGAACACGGTGGAAGTCCACATGAGTATTCCATGGCTTGATACCGCTACTGAACAGCTCGTCGACCTCTTCTAGTGTTTTGCCGGCGGTCTCGGGGAAGCAGAAGAAGACGTGAATGGTCATGGCGGTGCAGAAGCAACCAAAGACAAGATAAGTCTTCCACTTGATGTTTTCCTGGTTCCCAGTTAGTGTTTCTGCGTTTCGTAAACTCAATTCGCTGTGGTACTTACGAAGGAAGGTGGTACAAAGTATGAGAGGGCAAAGTTGAAAATCCAGTTCGAAGCAGTCGTAACAGCAACAGCCTTCCCTCTCAATCGCAGAGGGAACAGCTCAGGAGGATACACCCAACTTACAGGCCCCCACGTTGGAGCAAAGGATGCCACAAACAGATATGTGCATGCGATGACGGCCCTAGCAGGAGCGCCCGAGATTTGCCATGACTCTTCGGGGACACCATCAACACCTCCAGGTGGAGCCGGGCTGCCATATGAAGCCAGCAGACCAGCATTGGCCCAAAGCCAAATCATCATCAAGGTTGAACCGATCATCAGGGGCCATCGACGTCCCCAACGGTCGATGTAGATCAATGCGAAGATTGTCATGCCGACATTGATGACCTGGAAAGGGGTGAGAAATTTGCTCTTTGGGGAAGTGTTCCCGATTTGGTCTTACATATTGAATGCTACTGGCAATCAGGTTCGTATTGCCAGTCAAGCCAGCCATGCCGAAGACGTACGTGATGTCTAGTTCTTCATGAGCATAACGCTTGAGTCTCAAATGCCATACCACTTACAATACATCATCACGTTCATGCCTGTCAATTGAGACCAGATCTGTGTGAAGACACCGACATGGAGACGGTAAATCATGTTTGGCTTGATGAGCTCAAGGTAGGAGACATCCTTGTTCTGGGCCTCAAACGAAACGAAGTCGCGGATCTCCTGGAGTTCTTTCAAGACAAAGGGTGCATCGCGATTACCCTTGGCGTGAACCAGAGCTGTGACAGTCGGTTAGCCAGATAGCCAGAGCTTTCGAAATGGCAAGCAACTATATGTACCTAGAACGCCGTGCGCCTCGTCCCAGCGATCCTTCCGAGCTAGCCATCTGTCCAATTATTAGTAATCCCACACAAGCCTTTCTCAGGACCGCACCTTGGAGACTCGGGAGTCAAGAAGAGGGCGAAGCCAAGGACGATGGCAGGTATCATCTGCAAGGCCCATGGAACACGGAAAGCCGCACTGCCCTTGATGTAGCTACATCCATAGGAGATGTAGAACATGATCATGATACCCCATGTGATGGCCCATTGTTGAGCACCGACGACACGGCCACGCTTGCTAGGAGGAGCCAACTCGGCGACGTAGACAGGAACTGTGGGTGCGCAATTAGGCATATTCGAATTCAGCGTTGGCAAATCTGGGCATACCTTGCGCTGAGCAGATACCGACACTGACACCGTTGATGAAACGCCCAACCACAAGCATGCCAATATTCTGGGAAGCACACACAATGATGCAGCCAATGCACCAGATAACTGCGCCGATTTGGATAGCCTTCTTACGGCCAAAGATATCGGTCAACTAATCGAGGTCAGCAAGGAAAAGTTTCTCCTGGTTCAGGACTACATACGAAGCCAGAAGCGAGGGCGCCAACGAAAGAACCGCCGGGCATAGCAGCAGTAATCCCACCCTGAGTGCTGGAGTGAGGACCAGAGCAGTTTGGCGGGCCAGATCCCTGGTTGAAGTAGCTGAGAGACCGCAAAGTCAGTGGACAAGAGGTCTACAGGCCAATATTACGAGGCTTGAACATACCACTTGTACTGATCGGTGCCGATGATAGCTGACATTGACGATATGTCGAAACCAAACAGGCCACCTCCGATGACGGCGATGGCCGTGATGAAGTAAATGTTACCAATCCGATACATGTCGTCGCTCGAGTTCTCGTACCTGAAGACAGTATGTTTGCCTTAGGAGGTTTTGGAGAGAAGATTGACACCTTGAGGAAGCGGTAGTGTTCATATATATTTTTCGCAAGTTACCACAAGATATACAGTCATACCAACAGATCGTCTTAGCATGGACCCTAGGAGCGAAAAAGAATGATTGACCTCTGCCTCCTACCCTCGGGTTCACCCTGTGACCACCCTAGTAGGCCGTCCGGGCGGAGAGAGTTACATGTACATTCGTTCGACCGGCCCCCCCAGACCTCAGCATGACTGGAAGGTACATGTACTGTGGGGAAGGATGAAGGAGGTGGGATCAAAGCCCGGGCACGGCCAGAGTGATAGGAGTGGGACATGTATGAGGCTTCATTGCACGGAAAAGGTCTGCCATGGTGACTCCTTCCAATCCTGGAGTACTCGTATAGACTCCCCGTAAGGCTTGATTCACGCTTGTTTGCGTCTAACTTAATTCGCCGCCCGACATTAGAAGTGGCTGTAAAGAGGCTGCCGTCTTGCCGAGAAAGCATTCTAAAGGCGCAACTGACCGTACGGGGAAGAAGGGGTGATCAACAAAGCTCGTGATGGATGCCTTAAATGCAACTAATCTGCAGATCATTTACCATTGGCATCGTACAATGTATACTCCCACTAGGCACTCGGATATTCCACGTCAATCGCTGTCCAATACGAGTACAGCGTTCCTTGCGAATGCAACGTCGCAAGTTTCAGGGTCGAAATTCATGCCCACCCTGGCCTATCCCCACGCAGGTTGTACTCCTAATGCTGGACGAGCGACGAGCATGCCTTGTTTTTCGATTCATCACCAAGCAAAGCAGTCAACTCATACGCACGTCAATCCACCAACCAAATGATCGAACCCGGGTCGGGGACCCACGTCGCATAATGGTACGACTGGAGATAGTTGCTCGACTGTATGCATGCTTTGAAGACATTGAATGACACGCGGTTAGGAGCTAGGACGATCACCCACACCTATTGAGATTCCATTGCTGATCGCTTTCGTGCTCTGGGGATTAACCTCCAACTTCACGTTTCAAAGCTTTCTCAGAGTGGGAGACTTGTGGTAACAATTGTAGCTGTGGCTGGAGTGGTTGAAGAAGGGACCTGAGAGCTGACCGCTCCTTCCTGCCATGAAGAGGGATGCAAGCTCCAGCAATCGAGGTTACTCCTGTATCCCACACCCTTGCATGGCATGAACGTCAACTGTTTGCGAGCTATCGACGGGAATTTCAAGTCTCAGGTGACATATAAACCTGGTCAGTCCCAGATCTTGCTTGCCGCTCCTGACCCTACGTGAGCAAAAGCCGTGTGAGGTCTTCCAGAGTTCACAAAACGAGCCGCACATATCGAATGACCATCGAACTCCAGGGACCCTGAGCTCCTTTACTCAGGCTTTCGGTGGGTGACAGAGCCAAAGAACTTGGCACGAAGTGCGCGGACCGTCTTGGGATCCCAATGGCTTCGCAACTCCCGTTTGTATTAAAGATGGTTGGCAGGTTGAGGACGATCAGGAAGCACATGTCAACAAAGGTTATCCTGTGGCGGCGATACGCGCGGGCACTCTATGTAGATAGACAGGCTTCTGACTATAGAAGGGCAGCTTCAGCTTTCGTATGCTGATTCATCATCAGTGGAAATTGATGATTTTTTAGTACTGGAGAGTGTAGTGACGACGGAGACGCTGCCAAGTCGATAACTCTGTATATGGTGACAGAGGCAGAAGACAAAAGCAAAAGACCTCGGTCTGTTTGGCCTTAATTGTCCCTTTCTGGGGCCTTGATCGACGTGTCTTCGGTCAATGCAACATTAAAGCACGCGATACCCTCTTATTCAAAGCGTGATGTTGGTTCCGCTCGCTTCGCTTGTGAACGGTTGTGGAAATGCGGGTCATACCTGTGAGTAGCCTCGTGGAGTTTATCAAGCATCATCTGAGGGCTATCGTAGCATCGCTATAATCAATGAACTCTGATGCTATCATGTCCTCCAGTTCCGTGATGTGAGGATCTTTATGAGGTTCCACATGTCTGACACCAGAGACGCGGTGCTCTCCTTTGCCGTAGAACACTTGGATATGCATTGTCGTGCAACAGATAACGAAACCGATCCTCGAGTCGACCTCTTGCTTTAAGTGCTACCAAGGGGTCGTAAAGAGACTTTGCAGGTTGTGCGCAGTTCTGGAACATGTCGAATCTAGGCGCCACCGAGGAATATGACGACAGATCAACGTTCAGAATCTGCTGTTACACGAGGGTCTGATAGATATAAGGTAATGGTGCAGTATATTGAGGATCGCACACTGGAAGTGATCGTCGTGAGGCTTATGAAGCGGTGAATCTGCCTTGCTAAACGTTCTGTTGCACCGTACACCAAGGCCAATCGGAATCGACACATACGGTATGGGAAAGTTTCGGGTGACGCATTTTGATCAGAACATGATTTGAGTAATCGAGACATCCTCCTCAGTCCACCTTCCAGCGGCCTGGACATTCTTCATCAACAGCAGCATGCCACGCAACGCCGGTCTATCAATCTGTGCCATCCTACCGACTGTTGTTGAATCAATTGAAGAAATTCTTGGACTGTGTTTTCAGCGACAGGTACAAAGTCTCGCTGCGGCCCGATTCTTACTTGCAAGAACTGCCGAGGAAACTCGAACGAGTAGGTCATCAGGTCATCTATCCCACATCCCAAAGAACGTTCTTTGGCCAATCTTTATTTTGTAAGTCTGAGCTCAACGAGCTTAATCATGTGTGAAGCGGAGAAGACTAAACATTTCCACAAAAATTCGGAAATGAGCCATTCGTCGAAGTTTGCACATTACCGACGCAACGGCCAAAAAGTATCGACTCAGCCATCGTCGGACCCAAAGCAACCTCTGCTGGTTGGCACACTTCCATAGGCAAAATCTTGTCCCTTTTCAATAGCATTCGTTCCCTAGCCACAAATTTCCAGAAGTGCTCGTGTCATGAAAACTGCAGTCTTCAATCGGCTTGGCCATCACCAGGACTTCGACCAGTTCTGTCGCAGAACCTTCCACAGTGAACTCGAAAGAGAGGAGACGAGCAAGTCAAGCATGATTGGTCGGATTGAGATTGGGGCTTGTCTGCGCGACTATCCTGTGATTTCAAGGCCGAGAAAGACATGCTACTTGCACATAATGCAGCCAGAAGCCAGAACATACTGAAGCCACTGGCAAGTTTCAGCTGGCAAGGCGTTGGCTACCTACTCCTTCCATTGGCAGATAGTGTCCTCCTAGGACTTTGAGCTCGTGGATTGCTATCGTTCCAGTCATCGCTCTCCCTCTCAGGCGCCCAAGATGGCACTCTCTCGCAGCCTCCATGGCCCGGTGTCTGCAATGGCAACAATCCATTCCAAGCCTGTGTCCGACATAGGCGTCCCACTCTTACGGTGTTCACTGAGACATCAAACCGGCCAATGTTCTTCTGTTTTCTTCTGATCAACCTCCAGGGCCCGGGGTGCTCCAATTGTGCGACATAGGAATGCAGTACCATCGTCGATTCCAAGCGTGAAATCTCCCCTACTAGTTCTGCGGCCTTTGGGACATATTCACCACCTGAGAAAGTGCCTGACGGCCCATAATCTTGAGCGACCGTTGTATGGGGACTGGGTCGCGTTATTCCCGACCACGTTGTGTGGCTTTTCACGGACCAACAAGGCATCGAGTTCTTTGGAGCAGAACGGTCACAGACCTCGTCTCCCCTAGGGATGCGCTTCATCAATGAATTTTTCTTCAAACTTGGGGCCTTTCGAGATGTAAAACGATGGCGATTGATGGCGATGCCTCACAACCTGTAATAATATGCACCGAATGCAGGGGATGTCTGGCGAGCCAACCTTCACCGTGACGAAACGTTCACCGAGACTATGGCAGCCCCTCGAGGTAATCATAGATGATATCCCGCTGATAGATCCCACGCGCACGTCTCATATATCTGCAAAGGCACTGGAATTGAGTCTGGTGCAACTCCTCGACGGCGCAGAGAACAAGACTTGTGGTGATCAGGCTTCCATGATGTCCGCCCTCGCCCAGAATCTGAAAAAACATAGGGGTTCGATGTCCAGCCCTTGCTGGTGCCACAGTGCATGGCCAGCATGATACATTATGACTGCGTCGGACCGATACCCTACCATTACTACCTTCCTAGTAGTTCCCTAGTAGGTAGGTAACCAGTAGATTTCTGAGTTACGTTGCCAGATCGCAAGATCTCCAACTTTGGCAAAGTCGAAGGCCCCCAGTTTTTTTATGAGTCAACTCGTTGCCATGATAAGTAAAGCGATGGTCGTACGACGAGAACTTGGACAGACTTCCAACGTCTTCTGTTCTTTTGGCGAATTCTTCATCTCATCGTAAAAGCAGGAGCAAGTATAGTACCATCCAGGGGGGGGAAACGACCGCAAATTGTTCAGTCCCGTACTACTACCAGGCTCTAAAGTGGAGCCTGAAGGATACTTCCAAGAAGGCGGCATACTAGTTGAGGTACCATCCAACAGCTACCTCTGCAAGATGTCTCCAACAACAGCACAAGCACCTCCGACTTCCACTACACCACGTCCTCCGAACAGCGTCAAATACACCATCGAGCCCGTCACGTCTGAAGCCGACCTTCCCGCACTGGCATACCTCTCTGGCCTCGCCCTCGGACCTGACCCATATTCGGAATTTCGTGAACGCTATGGTCCGCAGAGCCTCTACGATGACACCCTGGAAAAGTTGACCAATGCAATGCGGGACAAGTCAGGTCAATCGTCCCTTTTCAAGGTCGTTCTGGTACCGGATTCCGACGAGGAGTCGGGGAAGGAGACTGTCATCGGCCTGTCACAGTGGAGGCTGGGCTACTTGAACGTGCCCAAGACCGACCCTTTCGCGATCAAAAGGGATAATGATGCCCCGTCATCCACCGCGCAGTCGGTGGAGACTACTGTTGTTGCAAAACCAAATGACGATGGCGAGGCTGAAGGGCTTGATATCGCCAGGGCGAAGAAAACACCAAAGCCGAAGCCGTTCTACTCTAACCCTCTCGAGGAACACGGCCGGATGATATGGAACAGTGTTATCACTCATATCAGGGGCAAAAGGTTTATGGGTAAGTCTTTGAATGCCACATGGTTGACAGTGGAACTGGTCTTTTACAACAAGCTCAACTGCCGGGGACTTTCGAGCGAGTCTACAGGGTCATGATATTGTGCTGATTTCATCTTTCATTCGTCCCAGGCTTGCATCGATTGGTCGTTCATCCATCATATCAGCGACAGGGTATCGGGCAGCAGCTGATTAATTGGGGTACCGAGGTCGCTGATCGCGAAAATGTAGTTAGTTGGCTTAATGCTCGACCGGCTGGATCCAGGCTGTATGAGCGAAATGGCTGGCAAGTCGTGGATGTGGTGGAATTTGATTCTCCAGAGCTCGACGTACCGCACACTGTGACGATGATCAGGTTCCCTAAGCCTCGGTTGGCGTGAAGGGTAAGAAAGCCTCGTGAGGGGAATGCACTGACGACAGCTACCCTCTGTAGTACCGAAAGACGATAGAGTGGCAGTGGTGCTCTAGATGAAGGCTGGCCTTGTTTCAATCTCGACCATCTCATTTCTCGATTTGACGACGTTTAGACCTATAACTCAACAGGGGAGAGATACCAAGATACCATGCGAAACAATTGTGTTATTGGGTAGTGGCGCTGGAGGCATGGATTTTTGATCGGCCACCCCAGTTTGTTAGAGATCTTAGACACCCAGTCTGACAACCCCTTTCTTCTATTTGAGCTTTTTGGCTGATGTGACACTGTTGGTTTCAGTAAAAGCCTTGCAAAGTTCGCTGTAGGCCAGAAATAGCACCCAGCATGGTATAAAGACCCCTTGTATGTTGTCAGTATCATCTCATAGATTCGCGGCAAAACACTTACAGAGCGTGTTGAAAAATACAAGGTACAGCCACAAGTACACTGGGTCATCCCCAGCTAAGCTGTGATTCCCACTGAGCCATTCAGGTGCAAAAGTATACCACCCGCCCACCAATTCGAGGGTTGCGACCACAATCGCAACAAACCAGAGGCGGGACAGGTATTGGCCTTGCAGTGCAGGATCTTTCAGGTTCGCAATCTTGGAGATTAGATAGCAAATATACACTGCCCCTGGCCCATCGAGGAGTACAGTGACAAGCTCGACAGAAATGACCATCAAGTCTGCACCTCCCCATCGCGAGTCTGCCTTTGCGTATTCCGCCCACAGTCTCGCCATGGGGCCAGACGAAGACAGAGCTCCATACTGGCGATCTGGCCGGTCGAACAGTACTGGGATGTTGCTGCCTCCTCTTGACGACTCTGCACCTTCTTTCGCGGCCAATTCGATGTAGGAGAAAAAGCAGTGGTAGAGAAAGCTCCCTTCGATGATGAAATGGGTGAGGAAATCTGCAACGTAGTGCTGGTCAGAACAGCAGACGAGGAAGCTCATGGACCATCCATACCGTATGCATGCCACAGGAAAAGCCAGTAGTGCTTCCTGGGTGTTGCTGGAGGCAGGAAAGTAGCAGCCAGACCTTGAGCCAGGGGCATCAGTGCGAAGGCGATACCCAGAGAGATGGCGGTTCCGCTGTCCAGCGTGAAAGGGGGCGGCACAGCACCAGCCAATGCGTCCGCCATGGCCTGCCTGGTCCGGAGAACAACAAGGTGTCTGAGTTCAATCGCAGCAGAAGAAAAGAGATCTGACTTTCAAGCTAAGCAACCTCGTCAGGGAGCAGTTCCCGCTTCAGGCTGGACGGCGGAGGGCCCATGTAACTCGGGTTCGCCTTAGCTTTCCCCAGCTTTTTGGGCGTCTGTTCTTGAATGGATGGTTGGTGTGCAGGGAGGTGAGACACCAAACTCTTTAGCTTCGGCTATTGATGAGATGGGCGTCTAGAAGGCCGCTAGAAGCTTCCAAATTGCAACCATGTGTAAATCTCACCTGGTGAAACTCCCCCAACGATTAGTATACGCTGTAGCACAGCATTTACCACTCCAGACATCGTATTCAAAGCCCCCACCCCGCACTCCCTCAACATGGACCTGAGCCTGGTGACGAACACAGCAGCATCACCATCATCCTCACTCTCAGACCCATGACTGTAACCATTCATCGTCACATTCGGTCACTCTGCAGAGCACCGAACTTTGTACGCCTGTTCCTCTGCCGCCGAGATTGTGTTGCAGAGTATTTCTCGAATGGCTGAATCCGTCGAGGACAATGCCGCCGCTACCACAACGCCCGAATCCCTCCTACCCTGCGACGCGTGCCGGAAACGCAAGGTGAAATGCTCCAAGACCGAGCCTTGCGAGAGATGCGTCTCGGCCGGCTTGAGATGCACAAGAGATATTGCGCGTAAGAAGAGAGGCCCAAAGAAAGGCTCAGGGTCCGTCATCGCAAAGCTGAGAGACGAGAGCCAGCAGCACGCGCAGCAAGATGGAACACTACCCCCATTCGACTTCTCCCAGATGCAGATGCAAATACCAGCGCTGAATAGGACATGGAGCCACGACAGTCCGCTAGGATCACAATTGAATTCGCCATTGTCGTCGCCATCCAATTCACACTTTGGCGATGTCTTTGCTGCGACGCCAGATCCTCACAATGCGCCTCGATCCGTTCCTACGACGTTACAGAATGGCACTGCGTTTGAACCAGCCTCGCATACAGCATTCACCCAAGTAGGAATACAGTTTCCAGCATCGTGGCAGGTGCAGCCTTCCGAGCTTCTACAATTCCAGGCGCCCATGTCTCCCTCAGGTTACATGACCGTCAGCGACCTGGCCCAACAGATTTTCCCAGAGACCTTCATTCCGGAGGAAGCTGTCCAGCAGCATACTCATTCGAGCCAGAGCCAGCACTCACCCTCTCGAACATCCACTCCCCTCACAAAGCTGACGTCCTTCGAGGCCATGATGACAAATGCTAACGGCGCAAGCTCCCCGGCCACCACAGCATCCTCGCCTATGCCGTCGCTGGGTCCAAGGTTTCTCTATCGGAGCGACTCTCATTCCTCGCCCATTGAACCACAGATCCAACAGCTAGCCAACGAATTCGGCCTCTCCGCCCTTCTAATGTCTCAATGCATCCGCCAATACTTTAGACACCTCTACTCTATACGGCCCATCATCCACGAGAAGAGCCTGTTGGCACGTCTGCGATCCATAGAGACCCTCAACCTCGAGGAAAAAGTCCTCATACTCTCCCTCTGTGCCACCACAGTCCTCCATGCCGCTCCGCAATCCGAACTACCCCTGGAGAAGAAGCACTCCCTCGGTCTCCAGTTCGTCCAGCTTTGTCTCCATCTACGGCAATCCACCGGTCCCGACTGGGCCGAGAACACGACGCTGCTCTCCATCCAGGCGTCATATCATATCGCTGTGGCCCTCTTCGAACTTCAGCGACCCAAAGCTCATGCGTTCTACCTCCGCGAAGCCATTGGCATGGCCTTGGACCAAGGCCTCCACCATGAATCCACATATGCATCCCTCCCCGACGTCACAGCGATATGCTCGCGGCGCACCATTGCATTACTATTCATTACCGAGCGCGGTCTCGCCATTCTCCGCAACAAACCAACACAAATCACCCGCCTCCCAAGTCTGCCAACCGAGTACTTTGACGAAACCGACGCCGTTGTCCTCGCGGGCTTCACGGCTCTGGTGAACCTCTTCTCGATACTCGACGAGAAGTTTGTCCGCCTATGGTCCGGTAGCGGTGACACCGAGGCGGAACGCGAGCCTCTGGAAAACATTGCAGGTCTCCAGCGCGCACTCAACGAGATGTCGTTTAGCTCATTCTCCATGACGGACGTCCAAAAGGCAGATGTGCTCATTACGCACCAATGGCTGCGGCTCATCTTCTGGCAAGCCAGCATGCGCCAAGGTCTGATAAGCTTTGCGTCGCGCGACCCGATTTTCAGCTCACGCTACCCCATCACCATCGCGCAAGACCTGTGCGCATGCCTGGGCCTCGATGAGGCGGACACGGACGGGGCGTACGACGCTATCCTCGTGCACGGCATGGGTATCTTTGAGAAACTTTTCGAAGTCGCCTACACTCTCATGGACATGTTGACGCTGGCGAATCGCCAGTGGAGCGAGAGCCGTGAGTTGAGGTGCTTGTTCAACGTGTTGAGCGCGAGCACAAACAGCCAAAGTACGTACGTGAAGATGTTGAGGACGAAGATTGAGAATGAACGAAGTCCTGCCCAGAGTCCGACTTTGAGCTGAGATTCTTAGCCTGATTTGATCTGTTATGTATTTGCGGAGAGATAAAGACCCCGTCATGAGGCTCTGAGAGTACATATGTAGCACGTGATGGTGATTTGTACATAAAGGGAGCTTGTACAGACAGACAGCACCTACGATACGATGTCCAATGTAACGTGAGAGTACAAATGAGGAAAGCATGAGATGATGGGCCCACATAGAAATTGGATCAAGGAACGAACGGGAGAGAGATACCCATTTGCAGTATTCATGTTGTTTTTTCAGCAATGTTTAGCAATATCTACACAGTTTCAATCAGGACCAGGGCGTTCCTCTTCCTTCCTGCCGTCTCAGAATACATAAAGGGAAGCTAAGGTGCTTTGCCGTTCCTACGTAAGGTTTTCAACGACCAGCGGCCCAGCCTCCGTCAACGCTCCAACTGGCTCCAGTGACATAACTCGCCTTGTTGCCCGCGAGCAAGAGACACACGTCGGCGACTTCCTCTGGGTGTCCGAAGCGGTTCATAGGGTGTCTCGGTACGGCGTTCGCTTCGAGCCAAGCCCTCACCTCCGCGCTCGGGTTCGTCATAGGCGAGTCGACGACGCCGGGCAACACGGCGTTGACGCGGATCCGGTCGGTGGCGTAGTCGACAGCGTCGGAGCGCGTGATGGCCAGTATCGCAGCCTTGGCGCCACTGTAAGCGGGAGACCCGGGCATCGTGTACAGCGCCAGGCCAGATGATATGTTGACGATGGCACCACGCTGTGCGCGGTGCGCCGGGATGAGGGCGTCCGGGTATGCTTCGCTGTCGAGGGGCTGGGAACGCATGATCTTGATGGCTTCACGAGAGCAGAGCCACAGGCCACGGTAGATGACGGATGTTTGGTGGTCGAAAGACTCGATGGGACAGTCGGCGCTGCCGCCACTAAAGACGAGGATGCCGGCGCAGTGGACCGAGTAGTCGATGCGACTGAATTTGTCTTTTGCCGCGGCGAAGGCAGCGGTCACAGATTCAGCAGACGAGACGTCGACCTGGTAAAAACCGATTTCGAGTGGTTTCACGGAGCCACCAGGGATGGTTGTGTGGTTGAATTTCTCGAGGAGGAGTGTTCTGGTAGTCTCCAGCCCTGCCGAGTTGAGGTCTAGAAGAACGAGTCGTGTGCATCCTGCCTCGGCGAATGCTACGGCTGTGGCACGGCCAATACCTGATGTGGACTTGTCAGAAACATGCACGTGAGGTATTTTCGGGTGCCATGTTGATCTTTGAAAGAATAGGTGCTTACCTGATGCCGCGCCTGTGATCAAAGCGACGCCAGGGACGTCGATATTTCTGGCCATGATCGCGCCTTCCTAAGATGGAAGAGTGAGTTGAGTTTAAGATGGTCGAACCGTAGTATGTGTGAGCGGCGAGTTACCCAGAGATGTGAAGTTGCGATTCTGTGCTGTACATACAAGTCCTCCTAGACAGGGAACGGTGGAAATTTATCCCGCGAGAATATGTGCGACTTTTAAGGGCCTCGTATACTGGTTGGGCACAGACTTTGGTTCCTCAAATCATGGATTCAACAGAAGTTTGAGTCTCATCAGATGACAGGACTAATTCAGCTGGAGACCAGGATCGCAGTTTTGCCAAGGGTTGGGTGCAGGAAATAGCTGCAGACCTGCACGCCGAAGGTGAAAGATTTACCTGGTAACGAAGAGAGGGTTGTGATTCGAGAACAGCAAAGGCCAAGCTTGGTTCAAGGTGCTGGAAGTTGTTTACCCATTGTACCGACGAAATCTCTGAAAGACCGGCCGGTGGCTTCACAGCCACTGTCTTCATACTTTCTTAGAGCTTCTGGCATCCACTGCTTCAGTGATTCGCTGCGATTATAATGCGTCGGATGTGTCGATAGGAATTGAGGAGGTTCGTATTTCTCTGCCTTCTTCATGCGTGTCCAGAATGCTACCGCTTCTCGAGGATCATAACACGCCTCGGCCATTAACAAGAGACCAATATGGTCGGCCTCGGCTTCTTGGGTTCGTGAGTGCGGGAGATCCAGCAGAAGATTCACGGCAGAATCAGAAAGGAAGGCGTCAGTCTGGAAGACTAACTGGATAATAATAGACGCAGCAGCAAGGGGTAGTCTGCTGGACAACCGTTCGGCTGCGTGATGCGCAACATTATGGGCAATCTCGTGTCCCAAGACAGCAGCGATGCCTGCTTCAGTTTGGCAGATTGGTAGGATGCCGGTGAACACAAACACTTTGCCGCCTGGCAGAACAAACGCGTTCTTTTGTTCCGGGTCATCGATGACGTGTACCCGCCACTCATCCCCGGCCAATCCCCCGGTTGATGGGAGTAGACGTTCGACAACACGGGCTACCATTGCTGTTGTAGGATGGTCCCCTGGAAGAACCTTCCCCCGGAATTGGTCGAGAATCATATTATAGGCCTGTGGACCACCGGCTTGCGCTTTCTCAGTCTCTGGAGAGTAGATATTGAACCGTCGACGATGTGTGATCGGGACTTCCTCGAGGTTGTACACGTAGAACACAACGCCAGCACCGCCAACCGACAAGACAGCAGTTCGGTGGTATCTCCAGAGATACTGAGCATTTCGCACAGGGCCAATCCGGCTCCATTGCTGTTGTCCATTCCTTTGGCTGTATGGTGAACGATCTGCAAATTGGCGCAGTTGATGTCCTGACAGTCGCTTAGTATGTGCTTGTGCTTGTGCTTGGAACCGAGGCCGAACATGCAGCGATCGCGTCGCTGTCCGAAACCCAAGTCTTGAAGCGAGCATTGTCAGAGCTGCGCTTTCAAGAAGGCTTGTCTATCGCGATGGGACCGTGCAAAGTAGGGAAAGATGGTGAGCCTGGCCTCTATTTATTTGTAGTACGAGGAAGAGATAAATCTAAGGTCGCCAGGCACCGTAGTCGCTACGTCATTTGACCATCATTTGAACCTCATGAAAAAAGGATCAACCCTCCGCGCATTACCATGAATCTGTAAATCTCTCGCTCTATTCTGCGCAATATCCTACCCGACGTCAGCGGCCTTGCGACACTAACTAGCAATATGTCTTTAGTCGCATATTCGGATTCCGAAGGCTCTGAAGATGAGAGTGCGCACCCCAAAGCCCCTCCACCCAAGTCTGCCACTCCGTCCTCAAACAATTTCGCCGTCCACAAAACAAATCCTAGAAAGATCCAAGTAAAGCTATACGACATTCCATCCAACGATGATACAAATCGCGAACCGGCTGCTAAAAGACCGCGAATCGGGGCGAGCGCCTTTAGTGGCTTCAACGCCATGCTTCCTGCTCCCAAACGAGACGCAGACGCAAAGAATGCACCCAAGCCTGCCGCCAGAAAGGTGTTCAGTTTGAAGACTGGAGCAGAACCAGGTTTCAGCCGTGAGGCTGATGCTGAGATGAGGCAGCTATTTGCCGAACAAGAGACGGGGGTAAATGGGCATTCTGGAAGTGGTACGCAGGATCAGGACGAGACGTTACCTTCAATTCCAAAGAGGAATGTGGACGGTGAAACAAGCACTCCCACGGCCACACCTCCCAAGGGCAATCCATTCATGTTCAAGCCACTGTCTGTGGCACGGAATAACAAGAAGTCAAAACGTAAAGCGGACGGCCCTATTGTTCCAAAGATTGCTGATGGTGTTGGGACGGCTTCGTTGGCTTCTACTAGACGTCACGCTGCGGAGGATTCTTATCCAGCATCCGCTTCTGCTTCTGCTCCGGCTCCGAAGAAAGTCAGCCTCTTTGGTATGGGAGTTGAGAACACTCCCGAAGAGTTGCCGCAAGTACCGGATGAGGAAGACGAAATAGTCGAAGTTCTAGACGATCCGGTCGGTGAAGACCTATCCTCGACTTCAGCGAGTCAACCTGCTACAGCGCCCTCCTACGGTCAAGGTCAGAGTCTTGATGCGATTGCTTCAGATTTAGGTCTTTCCAAAGCCGACCGGAGACAGCTATTCGGCCGGCGAGGAAACACTGGAGGGACAGCTATCAACGTAATCAACTTCAACATCGACCAAGAATATGCTGCCAATGAAGACCTTCGAGCTGCTGGCGAGCAGGTCCAACATAATCCTGTCCGGGCCATTGCTCCAGGCAAGCATAACCTGAAACAGTTACTCAACGCCGCTACGACTCAGAAAGATGCCCTGGAGGAGAGTTTTGCCACAGGACGAAGAAACAAAAAGGAAGCCGGTAACAAGTATGGGTGGTGATGGTTTCATGTTAGGAGATCCGGTCCAGAAGAAGCCATATTCTTATGGGGATGCTCAATGGAGACCGAAGATGTTTCAGACTGTGGACAGCAATACTTGATCCGCCAGGAGCACTGCCTCAATCTTTCAAGCAAGACGTACTGGTTGTCAAACCGCATACTGTGACTAAACGGGCCCGAGTCCGTCCCAAGATACTGCAAAGAAGCCAACGGACTTTTTGGTCAGTGTGCCTATTCAAATTGCTGACACTGCTTTGCCCCGTCCAACTCTTTGACCCATGGAAGACGATACTTGACCCACAACTCGGCCTCTGGGCTACCGAGCCCTTCCGCACCTCCCTTCGCTCTGAGATCTCCTTCGTCGCCGTCCAGAGAGCCCGCGAACATGATTATCACGCCCGGAAATCCTTCGGGGGCAGTTTTGTATATGATGCTCGGACACTTGGCGCAGCCGAAGAAATTAATCTTGACCCCAGTTTCATGAATGGTTGAGCTTTCACGCAGAGGGGCGTCTGTTTTGGATTGGAGCTTGAATTGTGCTGCAGCTTCGGGCCCGCTGTCAGGATCCCGGATGAGGAAGCATGTCGTGTAGCTGCTCCCAGAGAGCTTGCGGCACGTGAGACAATGGCATATGGCCTACCATCCGTATTGGATTGTTAGATGGTGAACTTGAGTAGGTACCCATACGTTGGCGTGCGAGGAATGAAAGGGATTAGTTAGTTACCTTGGTCAACACTTCACCGGAGATGGTGTAGCTAATGTCACCGCACAAGCAGGAGCCGGAGAGCATCTTGCTTTAATCACCAGCCGAATTCACAGGTCTTGGGATTATTTGGTGGCGAGCTAGATCAATGAAGCAGGTGTGAGAGAATAAAGGTAGGAATTGCTGAACTGAGCATATTTCCCACCCGTTACGAGGGCACCTCCTTTTATGTCGTTAAAGGTCCGGCAAAGGGCTCGCCTCGTGACGTTTCCCGTGTTCAGCATCTCAGCTCCAGGGTTCTCCCGTGTCCCCCAGGTCGATACGTAGTGGTGACACATTGTTTCCCAGCTGCCAAGGAGTCTAGATCAGGCCTCTCGTATTTAGGACCTGAGAAGGCCATTTTCTTGTCTTGATTGGGAGTGGCAGTCATCAGGCCTCGCATTGGCCCATCGCAGACGAAACACTGCCGGAGCGTGGGAACAACATATCGACATTCTTCTCGTGGCTTGTTGCCCAATTGAGTGAGTGTCCTGGTACAAGTAAAAACATCGGTAGGCTTTGTTGCAGTAGTCCAGCGTTATGGTCTAACTGCCTAAAATGGCAACATCTTTGCCTCTTTTGGACGACCGTCGTGTTTTTTCATGGCACAGCACCGACTTTAAGCTTATGGCGTAGAGTTCAAGCTAGACCGCCAGAGTGTCTTGTCTACCATGTCACACAACCACTTTCTAGACGGCCACTTCGAGAATGACAAGTCTCTACCGGCACCTCAACGGCGCCAACGGCGCTCCATCTTGAGCTCCAGTGGGACACAAAGTCCGAGTTAGGCTGGTTTCAATGCACTACGCCGCGGACCATATCAAGCATAGTTTAACACCTGTTGTCTAGACGGTCCGAGGCCTTGCAAATGCTAGGCCCTTTTCTCATCCCGATCTCAGGAGAGAGTCACTTGTCCGCTTTTCTCGGTGCTAACACAGACTACGACACAACCACTACCTTACGTGAGTGATATGAAGGATACATGACTACTAACAAGAAACACGTAAAGTTTCGTCATCAACAACGAAGGATGCACGATCGAAGGAGGCGTTCGCGGGCCAGAGGGCACGTACAACGACGTCACGACATGTGATACGCATATGCTGAGGCTTTTCGGGGCAAACGACTGCGACAGGTGAACACGGCACGTTCGATTGAAGACGGAGATAGAAGTCGTTCTGGGGTGGGAGCAGGCCAAGGCCGGAGACGAGCTCCAACTAGTTCATGGACGTTGCAGTGGCTGTTGAAGAGGCAGATTGAGCTGATCATGCGGAAGGGGAGGAAAGCGGTGGCAGTGAAGAGTGGGTTGGACGTGGGAGAGGGTGGAAAGCAGGACGAATGTACTCGTATGTGCATGCTGGCCATTTTCGGGACGACCGGCCCATCGCCACTTTGACGCTTCAAGATTGTAGTTTTCTCCGAGTACATTTCGTCCCAACGAACCTCCAGTAGCAGACGAAAGAACCGTCATATTGAGTAAATGTCGTCCGACGAGGCGAGAATTTCCAAATCCGTGTGGATCGTCTAATCCTCGGTGGCATAGTCAGGGACAAATTCCTCACGTACTTCCTCCTCTATCTCCCTCCAAGCAACTGTCTCCTCCGCTACTTCATAAGACTCTGGGTGTTTCAGCACGAGGGAACCTCCATCCACTTTCAAGACATGAGCTTGAATGTTATGACCCGAAACTCAAGTCGAGTCAGGAGCTGCTGAATACGGTACACCGCAATGGGACCATGCATACTACTCACCTACATCTGAATAACTCACTACTCTAACCGCCTCTGCACGAGGGGACTGTGGGCCATGTCCAGTCATACAAGATACGACAACATTAGGTTCTCTTCCCACCCGCAGTCGAGCCACGATGTGAAACTACGCCGTAACACGTCTCGATCTCGTGAAGGTAGGAAACTACTCTTGTTGTAGTAAAAGAATTGTCAGGCCAGATCTTGATTGTGCGTATATACCAGAATGACCGTCTACCTATCCAAATAATCATCTTGGGAACTTTGTGCCTTGCGTACCAGACACAACAAGGCCCAGAGGTAAATGCCCACCCAGATGTCCAGTATCAAGCATCTGGCCCACGGCTTTTTTTAATAGATAAAGGGGGTTGACTCGGAGCAAAGCTACACAAGTCCGTCCGCTAGTCACCATGCTCCTGCATACCGGTGAACCTGAAGTCTGCATGCTGAACTTCAAGCCACCAGGAGCATGTTGAAAAGGGACCTTCTCCGGAGAGGACCAAGGCGAATCGGCACCTGACAATCGCAAGCTTCTGGTCTGTTCGTGGTACATGCGTTGAAAATAGACCAAAGTTTCCGGGATAGCCGAGATCGTCAAGAACCTTGCCGCCAATGCCTCCTCGAAGGAGAAAGCTCATTCAGGCCGAAGCCAGGGTCTCCTAGACCAAGCTGTTCACCAGGTGTCACCGCTTTCAACTTTCTCCGAGGATCAGTGAAGAGACAGTGACGACTGGCTGAGGCCGAAACCTCTGAACAGCATAATCGAGAAGTCTGACGACGACAACGAATGAGGGCCTCAGCATCCATGCGCACATCAACGACTGTCATGAAACATCCCTCAAGACCATAGCTCAACAACAGAAAAAATTGTCTGGGTTGGAGAGCCTACACAGCAACGACCCAAAAGAGTCGAAGGGGGCCCAAACCAACTTGCTCCAGACGAAGAAAATTTGCAAGACCTGCTTCATCCTCGAGATACCAGACGCGTCGTGAAATGGCGCGGGTATATGATCGAAAGGATTTATGATTCCACTCCATCACGCGACTCCAGTTGCGATAAGTGGTACAGTGCCAAAACTCGGAAACACCACGTCCTGCTTGACACCTCTTACAAGTGTAGAGGCGCGAGAGCCACTGTCGGGATCGAGGGCTCTCGAAAGATTGGCGGAGAAATGGCATAGTCTTTCCACCAAAGGAAGAAAGGCTGTCTGCACCACTGGAGAAGGGGCAGGGAAGGAACTCTGGTCCCTCGGTCGTTGTCGTGGGAATGCCTTTGTCGACGAGAGAACAATGACCGGGTATTGTTCGCACGCTCCTTGACTGATTGGTCCGATCGGTTCTCAACTCGACAGAGCTTTCCTCCACAAAGCATGTCAACACTCAACATACACACGCACATAACGCAATGCCACCCGGGGGCTGCGTTCATCACTTCTCATACTCATTATCGGAATTCCATCCTCTCCACAAATGTGCCCTTACTCTCCGCTGTATCGCATTTCTAGACTTTGTATTGCTCATCTAATACGATGCTTGAATTGTGCATTCCTGCAGACAGCCCGTATGTTTGATCCTGGGAAGCTGGGGTTTGTATGTCCAACGTGTCATTTCCAAGAACGCTTCAAAAGGTAAGTAAGAAGATATTCAGTCGCCTTTCCAGATACTTCCGCGTTTGCTATCAATTCCTGTCATCTGTGTCTGTTCATAGCCTCGATGGCCCGCGTAGCCAAGGTTTGAGTCAAATTGCTCTTCCGCCCTTAGTTCCATTTCTTTGGAAGGGGTGTACTTTGGCGCAGGAGACATTGGTCTCCCAGCGTTAATGTCAGCCAACGGGACATCCACGAACCCGGCATATCGATCTTGATTGTCGGAACGGAAGTCGGCATTTGGCGCGGCGGGGCCGCCTTCACCTCTCATCTTGTCTCGGCTTGACCATTGCATCAACGCCCGAATCGTGGCAATCAATACGATCATGAACCAAACAAGGAGGAGGGAGGTTGAGATGAGTGCCTCTGTGCGGATGCCACTTTCCACTTCGTCCACGACTCTTGCCACGGCGCTTGATATTTTGTTGCTCGCTGCATCTCCTGGACTGGCTAGGAACGAGTCGTCCGGATTGCTTGTTGACGCTAGACTTGCAACAGCACCCAAGCTGAAGGTATCGTTCGCAAGAGTTGGAAATTCAACATGTGCATTATCATGAACCCATGTCAAGCCTTTCTGAATGCCTGCAATCTTCAGGAGAAGAAGACAGTTTAAAACTTCCATGATCGGCTCATACAGGGGAGTGTTGCCGAAGGTGGCGTTGAGAACATCGCTAGTTTTGTCCACGAAAGTATTGAGAGTATCATTGACTGCAGTCGTCGTGGTGGTTACCCATCCCAACATATCCTTGTTAACGTCGTCGCTGACTGAAGCTATGGCTGCATTTGTTCCGACAGCCCATTGCTCGGATGCATTGTTGAGTTGCGCGACGACTTTGTCGGAGAAAGAGGTGACTTGGTTCGTGAGATTGGGGACTTCCTTCGCCATCGAGCGAAGGAGAATGGCCTGGCAAGCACACGCAAGCAGGCCCGTGACGGCTAAAGCCAGGACGAACAGTGCCGCGTCAGTAGTTGCATATGCTACGACCCAGCGAGTCAAGCTCTTTTTCCGCTGTGACTCAAAACGTTGAGACATTTTCAATCCTGCCGAGGCCGTGTAAGGTCTGCTGACAATGTATACCACGTCCATAGGATCAAGGTCGTTCGCTTTGACGATCTGGCTTCGGGCTTGCATGATGCGCCAGCGTCTGATCTCACGCCATGCCATTGGGACCATTGCCAAGATCGCAAGGACTAAAAGGATGCCAATGGCGACTTTTTTGGCGGCGGAAAGCAGGTCTACTAGACCATCAAAGAAGTCATTGATACCGTCGTTGTCACTACAGAAAGTAAGTTGCTCTTTCTGCGGGACGGGAAACAATGATCGGTTGAACGTGTACGTTCCCAAAGACTGATTAATGAGTTGTTTGACTTCGTCAAAGGGAAGGCGGATGACACCCTCGGTGAGATTCTTCACGTCATCGAAGGTTGGGATCGAATTGTTGAGCTTTTGAAGATCTGCCGTAAGGTTGCCTGGCAACTTGAGGCCTTCCAGGGTATTCACCTCTTTGGTAAGGTTTAGTGGAGGTGGTGTAGGAACTGATACTCCGAAGGCTGTGAAACCTTTCAAAGCGTCCAGAAATTTGTTGTATGCAGATTCAAAGTCGCCTAAAGCGTCGGACATGTCACCTCCAAGGCTTTTGGTTAAACTGTTGAGGCTCTTTTGCGCGGAGTCGAGTGTCCCGATGACTGTGTGTAGACTTCCGCTGACGGCTAGAGTGATCAGGCAAAGATAGGTGTTTGTCATCATTCCGATCACAAACACTACGATTTCTTCAACAGCTGTAACACTCAGGGTAGTCGTCTGCATCAGACCGCTGATCGATTTCTCAACACCAGTTGCAGCCAATTCATTTAGTCCTTGGGACATGTAATGAGGCATGGATGCCATGGTGGAACCCATCGATTCAACGTCTGAACATGCTGAAAGAGCCTCACGTCGCGCTGAGCCTAGACTGTTGTCAAGCCCAGAGATAGCGATAAGGGTGCGAGCGAGGACAAGGAGGAGTAAGATGGTCCATCGATTGAGCCATATCTGTGATAAACGAGCCCGGAGGCCGAGGTAGGGTGTGATGGATGGTGCAGTGTGTGACAATAACCGAGGTGGGCCTTGGTTGGAGTAGTAGTCTTGTATCTCATGACTGCCGGCAGGCATGGATGGAGGAGGGCCAGCCGTGAAGGCTGACGGTGCGGACATGGTGTAGAAATTGGCTGGAAATTATCTGAAGGAGATGTCGAGTTAGGTTTGCAAGGTCTTGATCAATATCTGATGCGCAATGAATTATGCAATATGTTGTCTGTTGTACAGGAAATATGAACCCGAAAAGAAAGTGGTGATGGTACAGGTGGCAAAGGATATCAAGTTATGGGCTCGAACAAGGAACTATTTTGAACCAAACAAAGGAAATTCGTCACTCAAGAGAAGGAGTGATGTTTCGACAATAGCGAGAATAGTGACAAAGGCAGTTGACAAAAGATGAGGGCGAAGCAGCACAATAAGAACAATGGAAGCAGACAGTAGTGAATTCTGCCATACGTACCGCGTTTCCAGTCAACCTCCACTCCCCGCCGCAAGAGTCCAGCGACATTTTGCGCAAAGCTCTTCTTGAGCATCAGGAAGGAAATGATGTTTCAAGAGAGTTGCGCAAGTCGTGGACCAAGGACATCGGCTGGTCGTGATATCTCCAGGTGAATCGGCGCGTAATCCAGAAATAGCGCGACCAGGCTGAAGAAGCGCCCACCAACCATCGCTTCCTCTCTTCTCACACGCCAGACACGCGGTCTCACGTGCGAGTTGAATTGAGACAGGGTGAGATGGCAGCCTCGGCGCTCCTCCAGTTTGCTTCACTACCTGCCCAGCACTCTCGTGGCAGTCCTTAACATGCATGGTCCCGTCGGAAAGATCTCAGGCTTATGGTCTGAAGTCGTCGATTTGTTGAGGCGGACGAGCGCAGTTGCAGGATCAGCCACGAGAGACTGGGGAGGCAGACACTGTGAAGCAATCCGATGGCCTGAATGAGTGTCTGCAGAAGGACAGCAAAGTAGTGCAAAAGCAGGATATTAATGCGATGATGATTTCAGCCACCAACCGTGTGGCGTTGCAATAAGCTTCTTGTGCGTTTCGTCATTCCTTGATTTAATCCGGGTCGAGTCTCTTTGCCATTCCATTTCTGGTCTAGTTTCCCTCATACCCAATCTCTACCTGCAGCACGAGTACGAGTACGACGAGCACGAGTAATAACGAATGCGCAGGCACAAGGCAGTCCCTGTCCCTGCTACGATACCTGAATGCTACCTGGCCAGGAAAATGATACACCCGGCAATTATGAATCTGTCAGCACTGTGGTCTGAGCCGCGAATTGTTGCTAAGCATCGGCCTAGCCCTTCTTCCATTCTCTTAGCAATTCGCTTTACGCAACGGAAGTGCAAAGTAGCCACACACAACACAAGGATGCTCAAATATGACCATGAATGGCCCGCAAGTCATAATTGCGAGTGCTGCAAGGTCCTGAGACCGATGGGTCTGCTAAATGCAGCTTCCCGGCACTGCAAGAAGACACGACGAAGAGTCATGGTCAAGCGATTCGGTTCACGCTGATATCGTGGTGGATCGTGCAGCAGGGTAACAGTCATCGTCGTCAAGCGGTATGTCCCATCATCGGATCGCGGCAAGGGTCACAAAGGCACGGTACTGTAGAGCAATGGCGTAAAGGTGAGTGTGTGGCGGTCAATTTTCCAAGCAGTGCGAATCAAGTCGTCGAGTGGTTCAAGGTCATCCGCCAAAAGAAAATCAGAGATTCCAATCACGAGCCAGGTCACGGTCACCCAACAGGCCTTATCGTTGCTCACCTTGACCTTGGCCACCCTGCTGCTGTTGTTGTGCTGCCATTGCGGCATACCACATCTGGAGGTAATTCTGATAGCCACCGTAAGCAGCGTAGGGATCTGCAGCTCCGGCGGCGGGGGGTGGCGCAGCCGGCTGAGCAGGTGTCGATGCACCCGGCGGTGGGTAGCTGGGCTGCTGTTGTGATGTGTAACGATCGGTGTAGTCATCGCGGCCATCGCGAGCTTGGGATCGAGCACGCTGGCAAAGTGTTAGGGGTAGTGCTCAGTGTAACGATGCTGGAGCGACTTACCACTGTGTCAACCTTGTCCATAATAGCACGTTTCGCAGCGTCAATAGCATGGCGACTGCCGATCAGACCAATCTCGCGCTCGACATCCCGACCAGAAGCAGGCGAGACATTGATCTTGCATCCTGTTTGATTCTGCATGTCACGAATCGACTCACCCCCTAGCAATAGCGTTAGCTGAATCCTTTGAGATCACGCGCGCGAAGCGTACCTTTCCCTATAATCATGCCTACGGCCTCTCCAGGAACATACACTGTTTCTGAGATCTTGCCTTGGGTTTCTTCTCGCTCTCGATGAAGGTCTTTGATACTGATACCCTTCTGATCACTTTCGACGATTTCCAAGATCAGGTCTCTGGCGTACTGTTGAGCTGAGACACTGCCAATAAGATTGACAGGCCGCAGTCCGTTGATGCTCTTGTTCTCGCCGAGGATGTTGACATGGCATCCGCTCTTATCTTGCAGATCACGGATTGTCTCTCCACCTCGACCAATGATCAAGCCTACGGTGCGGTCAGGCACCATCATCTGAAGGCTGTCACCGTCTTTGCTGGTGGGAACGGAAGCTTTGCTCGGTCCCCTCGATTTCTCTGGACCGCCTCCCCCGCCTCCCCCGCCTCTCTTGGCCACATCGTTGTCGTCAATAACTCTGAAGATCTCAGCCTTTGCGGCTGACCGTGCTGCGCGACTGCCTGAGATTCTGCAGTGTCTCTGTGTGCCGGCGACCTCGGGTCCATCCAAGAATTGGACGCGCGCACCTGTAGTATTCTCGATCCTTCGCAAGTTTTCCCCTGAACGTCCGATCACCAAACCAACGACTCCTTTCTCTAGAGGCAGAACTTCCGATTCACCTTCAGCACCCGCACCCCGCTCGCGTCCAGGAGATCTGTCGTCTCTGAATCTGGCAGGAGAATACCGCCCACCTCTCGGGGAAAGCGATCTCTCTCTCGTGTAAGCGCGTTCGTTCCCACGTCTCTCATCGCGATAGGGGTTATAGCTGTCGCGGTAAGAGTCTCGGTTCATCCTGGGCGGCGACCTCGATGGAGACCGTGAGCGTCGATAGGCTCGACTGCCGGAGCGCGGATCTGTGTTGATGGGGGCTGCCTACTTGTAAGCTTAATCCAAAGGGAGAAGATAGAAAAACCTACGTCTACTAGGGTCGTAAGGAATGCCTTTTTCAGCAGCGATGCCTCGGGCTTTGGCAATCGCATCTGCGATGCTAACGGAACCCGAACTGACGGGCTTTATGCCTGCCAGATCAACACTACCGGAACTGATGGGCGGAGGAAGGCCATAGGCTGGCGGCGCGCCACCGGGAGGAGTGGCATATTGCGGCGGAGGGAAGCCGGCTCCTGGTAATGGCGGAGGAGCTTGGGACGGTGTTCCTCCTTGTCGCTGTTGTGCAGCAAGTGCAGCAAGGATGTTGCTTAAATCCGACATCACAAAACCCAACTTCGGTTGGTGTGGATGAGAACAACCAAAGACAATGAAAGGAATAAGGGACGCAAATGAAGCTGGGATCAATTGATCCTGTCCTGTATGTGCAACAAGAATGAGTTAGTCCCCCGTGTGCAGTCGCAGCCGAGTCTTGTGGCTCGGCGCAAATTTCAGGCTGCACGTGATATCCACGTGACTGAGACTTTCGACGCTAAGCTGCAAGGAGATGCCAGTCGGGTTGGACGTCTACCCCGATTGTTGTCCACTAGTCTTTTCTATTCATTCTTCCATACGAAAACCAAACGATCTGTTCGATGCATCTGAGCCTGCAGAGTCGAGCTTCAGTCCCTGAAAGCGAAAACACCGATCCCAGTAGCGTAGATTGTTGCAATCTTGTGCCGCCACAGACCCTACTTCTCAGCAACAGCAATGCCATCACCCCGACGGACGTAGAAGTCGCAAAGAAATCCAGGGCATAACAATGACTGCGTCACTCCCGGCGCAACAGTCCTTACAATTTCTTCAGCGGCAAGATTCACTATGGTCATATTGTTTGGTCCTTGTTTGGCTTTCGTTTGGCAAGGACATCTGCATGCCTGCTGCGGGAAACCGACTGGCTGCAACGATGCTTCCTTCTATGTGGTTGGGAACAAAGACTTCCAAAGGAGGGCAATGTCGGAATAATACCACGGAGAATCACCATTTTGACCGCGTTCTTTATCAGGAGCCTCTGTTCTTGTTCATGAATATCATCTATCTCCTATGGTATTTTTTGGACGCAGTATTCTGGCGGCACAATCCAATTTATAGCTGAACTAGGTCTCTGGAATCTACCGAATATGTGCAGTATTTGTACCGCCGTTCTCTACTGACACCGCGTACGCGTACACACGCGTGTGACTGTTAATGTGCTGGAGCAGGGTCAGGTTCACTTAAACCTGTGATTCTTTCTTTTCAGGACCGGTGTGGGCAATCATGAACACCTCAAATGACCGAGTGGCCAGCACGCCATCCGGATGCGAAGATACTCTCAGGATGAAGAGAACGGGAACAAGATTGACCAAGACGCAGATTCCTGTCCAGGTCGCGGCGAGCGATGCAGGACAGCCTCAGCCACAAAACACTGCCCTTCTTGGTTCCCATGAACCCCCCAGTCCTCAGCTTCGAACTTTTTCCGAAGTGGTATCTGGGAAGGCTCCGCAGTTATCGGCCACCAATTATGGGGAAAGTGCAGCGGGTCAAACTACTCTAGGATATGAAGAACAAAATCATCATGAGAGGCATCAGGGACATCACACCAGAGCGTTCCGAGCAAAGGAGACTTCAACATGGGAGGAAGATTTCCCTAGCCTCCCTAGCAAGGCAACACCCCCTCAGCGGCATTACCATACGACCACGCACAAAGCCCTAAGCAACAGTGGAGCGGCCATCCCGTTTCCAGGTAGAGCTCCTTCGAACAAGCCCGTTGATAGCTCTAGAAGTGGTGCAACTCATAGCCGCAAGGGGCGACATGAAGAGCAGATCCAGGTACATGAAACCATGAGCAAGGATAGGAACACGGAGGACTGATCTGTGGTAGATTTACGAAGTTGATAGAGAACCAGAAGTCAAGCCTTTCAGATTTGACGAGTATGATCTGCGCCTGCGTTGTAGGAAGCCAGACTGCCGCAAAATGACAAGTTGCTGGGATTACTCTGTTGTCATCTGCCCTGGATGTGGACCAAACAGCTACGTAAGATATTGCAGCAGACAACATCTCTACGACGACATTCAATACCACTGGGTGTATCATTGTGGAAGACACCGCATTACCGACAACATCGAGCGCACCACGATCCGCCCTCATCAAAACCCTCATCGCCCCTATGCCCTTGGTAAAGGCTTTAATTCGGTCGAGAGACATCGGCAGGCTGTGTACCGATCGCTGGAACCAGGTGATTTCTTCCTGTTCGATGACGTTGGTCTGCTAAAGCCAGATTTCATCGAACCAACACCAGAACAGTGGTATCTGATGCGAGGAACGGGTCCATGTGTCTTCCAGCTGTTCTTCCCTGATGACATGACCAATGAATCCAGACGGAACGTGTTCAATACCACAATTCTCGAATGTCTCGGGGTAGGGTTTCCCCGAGCAGAAAAAAGCTGCCTCACTGCTTTGCACCTGGTCAGGGAGTCCTTCATTTTGACGGGCAATTGGACGGAGCAGATGCTGAACTTGTTGTGTTTACAGCTTGCGGGAGAATGGGGTGGCTTCAAGGTTCCAGAGAGCTTTTACAATGTCAAAGCAGCAAACTTGGCGTGGCGGAGACACCGCATCCTCCCACCAACACCCTGACCCTTGCTGTGGCTCTCTTGTGGCTCGCAGGCTGAGAAAATTGGATTAGGTATGACATTCTTTGTTTGGATAGTACAGAGATGAAGGCAGAGTCAGCAACAAATGTGACGGCCTCTCGATCTCTTATTGGATGGCTCGAGTACGAAGTGTGTACCCCAACTTTCGCACGGAGTGAGAGGTAGTCGGCGCCCTCCGAAGGCACGTGACTGCGATATAGGGCTCCGCAGGAGATATGCGACTCTGTGCGATGCGATAGAGGGGCATCGAGAGTAATTGCTTCTCATCCCATTCGCTGTCCCTCTCTCGATCGCTCCTCTATCAGATCGTTTTCCATGCGTGGCCTGTGTCTGATTCGCGCGTCCACCTCCTTCCTGGCCGCTTCCTATCAACTCTAGGCATAAATTGCTTTTGTGATGAGGTGAGAGTTTCAGATCCTGATAAGGCCAATTTGTTTCTTGGTCCTCGTTCGGCTGGCATTTCCTTGTCATCGTACAATCTGATCTTCTTTGCCGTACCCCGCTGTGATAGACTGTCTCCTCTCCGTACTCATACTCGCTTCTATTAGGCTATTGCCACCCAGAAGCAAACTTGGAATGCTGATTCTATAGATTGGCTCACTCCCTCCCGTCCCTTGTTGGACTTCTCGCACAATCCTTACAACATGGCTCCAGGCCTTCTTGACCCAGCTGCGACCGTCGAAAAGGTCGTCTCGTTATCCTCCTTGACCGAGAGTTACGATGATACGATCCGTTTCTATCTCAATGGCACCAAGGTCGAGCTGGATGCTGTTGATCCAGAAATCACACTGCTGGAATACTTGAGGGGTATTGGGTTGACGGGCACCAAACTTGGCTGCGCAGAAGGTGGATGTGGTGCCTGCACAGTCGTCGTGTCGCAGATGAATCCTACCACTGGCAAGATCTATCATGCTTCTGTCAATGCCTGTCTGGCACCTCTGGTCAGCGTCGACGGCAAGCATGTTATCACAATTGAAGGCATTGGCTCCTCGAAGAGCCCGCATCCGGCACAGCAAAGGGTCGCCGTGGCTAGCGGTAGCCAATGTGGCTTTTGTACACCGGGTATAGTAATGAGCTTGTATGCGCTTCTCAGGAACAACAGCTCAGAGCCATCTGAAGAGGAGGTCGAAGAAGCATTTGATGGCAACTTGTGCCGCTGCACCGGCTACAGACCCATCCTTGATGCAGCCCAAAGTTTCAATAACAAATGCGGACGCTCAACTGCGAACGGCGGCTCCGGCTGCTGCATGGAGAACGGTGGTTCATGCAAGCGTTCTGATGAATCTCTTGATACGAATGGCGCCGCCGAAAAGAAGTTCACACCCCCATCATTTATCCCTTACGATAAGTCGACCGAATTGATCTACCCTCCCTCGCTCAAGAAGCACGAATTTAAGCCTCTAGCTTTCGGTAACAAGAGAAAGAAGTGGTACAGACCTGTTACACTTGAACAGCTCCTGGAGATCAAGAACGCCTATCCACAGGCCAAGCTCATTGGAGGCAGCACCGAAACGCAGATCGAGATCAAGTTTAAAGCCATGTCATATCCTGCTTCCGTGTACGTGGGAGATATTGCAGAACTTCGCAAGTATTCGTTCCATGACGATTATCTTGAGATCGGTGGCAATGTTGCTTTGACCGATTTAGAAAACATCTGCGACGAGGCTGTCAAACACTACGGCCTACCAAAGGCACAACCTTTCTCTGCAATCAAGAAGGCAATCAGATACTTTGCTGGCCGCCAAATCAGAAATGTTGGAACCCCAGCTGGTAACCTCGCAACAGCGTCTCCTATATCTGACCTCAACCCAGTTTTCGTGGCCACAAATTCGACATTGATTGCGAAGTCACTAAAGAAGACAACTGAAATCCCCATGGGGAGTTTCTTCAAGAGCTACAGAGTGACAGCTCTGCCGGAAGATGCGGTCATCGCTGCGATGAGAGTTCCTATCGCCTCAGAAAAGGGAGAGTACATCAGAACCTACAAGCAGGCAAAGAGGAAAGACGACGATATTGCAATCGTAAATGCCTGTTTGAGAGTGCATCTCGATGATTCCTATAAGGTCACCAGTGCGAATCTGGTATATGGTGGCATGGCTCCGATCACTACCCTAGCTAAGAATGCCTCCGAATTTATTGTTGGGAAAACATTCACAGACCCGCAAACGCTCGAGGGAGTAATGAATGCTCTGGAAAAGGACTTCAGCCTTCCTTTCGGTGTCCCGGGCGGTATGGCCACGTACCGAAAGTCCCTTGCTCTTGGATTCTTTTATCGGTTCTATCAAGATGTGCTTACCAACATCGAAGAAGTAAGCCAGCAAGCTGACAAGGAAGTCATCGAAGAGATCGAAAGGGAAATTTCTCGAGGCCAGAAAGATCTTGATGCAACTGCTGCTTACACCCAGAAGGTGCTTGGCAAGGCTAATCCACATGTCGCTGCCCTCAAACAATGCACAGGAGAAGCTCAGTACACGGACGACATTCCATTACAGAAAAATGAATTGATAGGGTGCCTTGTCCTGTCAACAAAGGCTCATGCGAAGATCAAGGTTGACGCCAGTCCTGCCTTAGACCTTCCGGGCGTTGTCGCCTGGGTTGACAGAAACGATGTTGTCAATCCACAGGCTAACTGGTGGGGTGCCCCGGTTTGCGACGAAGTCTTCTTTGCGGAGGATGAGGTTTTCACAGCTGGCCAACCGATAGGCATGGTGTTAGCTAACACTGCTGCCCAAGCTTCCGCCGGCGCACGTGCTGTTTTGATCCAGTATGAGGAGCTGCCCGCTATCTATACAATTGAGGAAGCCATAGAGAAGCAAAGCTTTTTCGAGCACTATAGGTACATTCGCAAGGGCGATGTTGACAAAGCGTTCAAGGACTGTGATTACGTGTTTGAAGGCACTGCAAGAATGGGCGGTCAGGAACACTTCTATCTCGAAACCAATGCAGCTGTTGCCATTCCCAAGCCTGAGGATGGTGAAATGGAAATCTGGTCAAGCACACAGAACCCGACAGAAACACAAGCCTATGTCGCCAAAGCGCTCGGAGTACAGAACAATAAGATCGTATCAAAAGTCAAACGTCTGGGTGGCGGCTTCGGTGGCAAGGAAACACGGTCCATCCAGCTATCCACGATATGTGCCGTCGCAGCCAACAAAGTTCGACGACCGGTTCGATGCATGCTTAACAGAGATGAAGATATTATGACCTCTGGGCAGAGACATCCGTTCCTCGGCATCTGGAAAGTTGGCGTGAACAAGGATGGCAAGATCCAAGCACTCCAGGCCAAAGTATTCAACAACGGTGGCTGGTCACAAGATTTGTCCGCCGCCGTCGTTGATCGAGCCCTCTCCCACATTGATGGCTGCTACAACATTCCGAATGTCGACGTTGACGGCCGTATTTGTAAGACCAATACGGTCTCAAACAGCGCATTTCGCGGGTTCGGCGGGCCTCAGGGCATGTTCATCGCCGAATGCTACATGTCTGAAGTGGCTGATCACCTCGGCATGTCCGTCGACAAACTCCGTGAAATCAACTTCTACAAAGAAGGCGAGGAAACCCACTTCAATCAAGCTCTCGAAGACTTCCACGTCCCACTGATGTGGGAACAAGTCAAAGAATCCGCAGAGTATGAAGCCCGTCGCAAGGCTGTCGATGAATTCAACGCCACTCACAAATGGCAGAAGAAGGGCCTTGCTATGATTCCCACCAAGTTCGGCATCTCCTTCACAGCGCTATTTCTCAATCAAGCCGGCGCATTAGTGCATATTTATCACGATGGATCTGTACTAGTCGCCCATGGTGGAACAGAAATGGGCCAAGGTCTACATACGAAGATTTGCATGATTGTTGCGGAAGCACTGCAGGTGCCACTGTCTGATGTCCACATCACAGAGACTGCGACTAATACTGTCGCCAATACATCGTCCACTGCAGCTTCTGCATCATCTGATTTGAATGGCTACGCCGCGTACAACGCATGCATGCAAATCAATGAGCGTCTTGCTCCGTACCGAGAGAAGCTCGGTCCCAGTGCATCAATGAAGGAACTCGCACACGCAGCGTACTTTGACCGCGTCAACCTGAGTGCGAACGGATTCTACAAGACACCCGAGATCGGATATATCTGGGGTCCGAACCCAGCTGATCCGTCGCTTGAAAACACAGGCAAGATGTTCTTCTACTTCACTCAGGGCGTCACGGCGTCAGAAGTTCTGATTGACACCTTGACTGGCGACTGGACAGTTCTCAGAACAGACATCAAGATGGACGTGGGTCGAAGTATCAACCCAGCCATCGACTACGGCCAGATCGAGGGAGCATACGTCCAGGGCCAGGGCCTCTTCACAACTGAGGAGAGCTTGTGGCACAGAGCCAGCGGACAGATATTCACCCGTGGTCCGGGCGCTTACAAGATCCCCGGCTTCCGCGATATTCCACAGGTGTTCAATGTGAGCCTGCTCAAGGACGTCGAGTGGAAGAACCTCCGCACCATCCAGCGCAGCCGAGGTGTAGGTGAGCCGCCGTTGTTCATGGGCAGTGCGGTATTTTTCGCCATTCGCGACGCTTTGAAGGCGGCAAGAAAGCAATTTGGCGAAGAGGAGGTATTGAGTTTGAGAAGTCCAGCGACACCAGAACGTATCAGGATCTCGTGTGCCGATCCCATCTTGAAGAGATGTGTCGTTGAGCCGAGAGAGGGAGAGAAGAGTTTCTTTATCTCGATTTGAGAATAGCTCAAGCATCACGGTGTGGTGGGTAAGGTAGTACAGTTCTGATTGTGTAGAGTTTGATCTGCCCGATGATGATAGTCCCTCCCAGTATAAATAGGGACATTTGTCTCGCTGATTTCGTTACGGATTGGATATTGTGCGATATGATATATCTGTAGTATCAACAAGTCTTTGCTGAGAATTACCAAGTAATAACGATACGCTGTGAAGTCTGTGTTGATGAACCTGGGAGATTAAATGGACTCGTTGAGCAAACCGTGAAACGATGACCGTGTATCAACCGTCAGAAGTGATTCTTGTTGGAGATTCGCTTCAAAGTCGACCGAGAAATATATTGTACTCGTACTGGCGGTAGGACATGATCATTGATCAATCAGAGTTGAGTTGACATGGCGTTCCCGTGTAGGCAGGTACTTAGGGATTGTCAACCTTCGATTCAGAGACACCGATAGATTCTCTAGCTAGGTCATTCTATCCAAGAGTACGCGTGCTCCCACCACTCTCTACTCATCTAGGCGAAGCGTGCAGTAGATGAAGCACTCTTTTGAGGCGCAAACAAACCCACAGGGCCGTAGATCAAGATCTACCACACCTGACTCATCCTTGAAGTAATCAAACACCACTTGACGGGCCATCCACGACTATCCTCACGCTCTTCTTCGCCTTCGTCTTTGTTTGGGTAGAACCAGAATGACTCGGACCACCGCCGACCACGAATCCTGGAACCTCTACTGAAACATTATCGAACGGAGAATCGCGGGAGGAGGTCGCGACGGTGCCCATGCCGCCGCCGTCGCCAAACGCAACAGTCATTGTCTGCTTCTCCTTTCCTTTGCCTCTCTTCTTGGCCCTTTTGGTGGCAACGTGCTCGTCCTCCAAGCCGAGAATGAGCCCGTCGTGCCCGTCACCTCCACCAACACCACCACCCCCACCGGTATTGTTACCTGTTGCGAGGTTGTCTCTCCTCTCGAAGAGAGGCACAGGCGAGTCGAGCTTGCCACCGATCAATCGCTCCTTCTCCCCTTGGGCGAAGGCGAGAAAGCCCTCGGCGCTGATGATGCCGTTCATGGTTCCGTCGTCGAGCAGACTCTTCTCGGCCTTGACGAGCTCAGCATTGCTCATCTGTCTGCGACGTTGGAGGATCTTCTCCTCCAGCGTGTCCTTCAGCACGAGTGTCTCGACGTACACAGGTTTCGTTTGGCCGATTCGGTGGGCGCGCTTGATGGCCTGAGATTCAATGTTTGGCTGCCAGATCGGGGATACTATGAACACCCGGCTCGCGGACGCTACGTGAAGGCCGTGCGACGCTTGTTTGAGGTCCATCAGCAAGACGCGAAAGGCGTCGGACTGGTTGAACGTCGCGAGGTAGGCTGCTCTTCGGGTGACGGAGAGCGTATTGGCGTAGATCAAGAAATGGACCGACAAGAGCTCCAGCGCCTCGGCGATCCAGAACGCTATGTTGTTGGAGTCGTAGAATATAATGATCTTCTCGTCCCGCTGCAGTTCGAGGATCCTTGAGCAGAGATAGTTCAGTTTGGCAGACGTGAAACCAAGTATTCTCGTCTCAGGTAATGACGACGGCAATTCGCCATCTGACGATGATCTAGGTCTTTTCTGGACCGGAGGAGAGAGGTGAGGTAGTGGTTTCCCTTTGTCAGTCGAGTTTGGGGTGGAAGAAGAAGAAACAGACATCAAGGAGGATGACAATGATGACGACGACGATAATGTCGACTGATTCCTCACCTTGGGCTCCTCACTTGTACCGGCAGTGGGTGATTTTGAGGAGTTGCTGCTGTTCGACTTCTTGCTTCTTTCTTGCTGCTCTTCTATGGCTCGTTCTCTGGCAGCGTGCATTGCTCGCAGTCCGGCACCAGTCAGGCCGTCAGTCGGCGACTCGGATTCGAGCCTCTTCAAGACGTACTGCTGCGCCTCTCGAGCTTGAACTGTGCCGAGCAATAGCGGGTTGGTATCTTCGCCGTGCAACGCCCACGCTTGTCGCGCGTGCTCGGGAAAGCCTTCAACGTAGACTCCAATTTCGTGAAAGAACGAGAATGCACGCCACGTGGGGTCGCCCAAGGCACGCTCACCATTCAAGATGGCTTCGGTGAGCAAGCGACCATCGCTGTCTGTGATTGTGTCGATGTTCTTGTCCAGATATGTGTTGCTCACACGGATGGTCTCAGCCACCTCGTGCTCTGTAAAGCCAACCCAGTGGAAGCTTGAGTGTCGAAGATTGGTGACCAAGTCGTCCAGATGTTTTCTGTTCTTCGGATGGAACATGTAGTCTTCATCCACTCGCTCGGAGGTGACGGCGTTGGAGCTCAGCTGCATCCGAAACATGTTCATGCTGAGCTTGTCATAGTAAGATGGCTCCAGGTAGACGGTAGTATTGTGTAATGGAGGCAGGCAAAGGTCCGCATCGATATCCTCGATGCGATGCCGCACGATAAGAGACTGGAGAACGCCTCTCAGTGCTGGTGCAAAACGTCGCTTGCCCTCCCCATCGAATGGTGCGAGATATTTCTTCCAATCCGCGTAGTCAGCACCCTTTTGATTAGCCCAGGGTTGAAGCTTGAGGAATTTGACCACCATGACACGCAATCGCTCCATGTCTTTGATCTCTTCTGCAGCTGGGTCTTTCATCTTCCTGCGCTCCAACGCCTCCTGAATCGAGACGCTTCGAGACGACTCATGACTGAGGCCACTGTTGTTCAGCGTAAGATTGATCTCCACGCCATGAAGCGACTGTGAAGGCGTGCCGGAGACCACCCAGCGTCTCTCAATTGACATTTTGTCTAACATAGCCATAGCATGAGTCCGATAGCTCGACCCGGCAAAACCATGACCCTCATCACAGATCACCCGAAGCCAGCGTACTTCAGTTAATGGTGAACGAAACTTCTCCTTCCCGTGCATAAGTCTTCCTTGATTTAAGTCGTCATCGCGATATTCTTGATCAAAGCGCGCCTTCGTGATCAGTACGACATCGTACTTCATAAGGGTCGTATATGAGGGTATCTCTTTTGTTGACGAATCAAGCACAAGGACATCTAGAGAGTTCTCATCTGTATGCTTTCCAATCTCATTCTGCCATTGTATCAAGAGATTAGGCGGTACGATCAACAGAGTGGCATAACATAGACGTAAGACTCTGAAATCTTCACGTTTCTTGAGTATTCGACTCGGGGTTATCGGGTGGAATATCGGTTCCGCGAATTTGGCCTCATATTTGTCAATGGTCTGGATACATTGATCGTACTGGTATCCTTCTTTGGCAAGAGCAGCAAAATGAGCCTTCCAGGGCACACCTCCCTGCTTCAATTTCTTAGCGGCCAAGTCCAGCAAGCTAGGAGTTCGTGGGTTCGCATCTTCCGACAAAGTGTCAAGCCTGCCATCCGGAAGTTGCGGGTAATGACCTCTCGTCGCAAGAATAAGGGCGATGCATATCAAAGTCTTTCCGTAGCCCATGGTCTCTGCCAAAATGCCACCACGAGGCTCGCTGTAGTACTGTGGGTGGACGAGGAGCATGCCTTCGAGCACATCAAGGTAAAATCCTCTGCCGTGACAATCTGAGAATTTCACTTTTCTCGGGTCCATCAATTTGGCTGGATTCGCCTCCTTCTGTAGCATAGCAGCCACCGAGCGTTTCTGATAAGGGTACAAGGGCGTCTTGAGTCCGTCGATTGTGTCGCTCAACACAGACGCCATGGACTGTTGGCTGTAAGGGCAACTCCCAGCGTCATCATAAGAGGTTTTCGGGGATGATAGTGTGTTGAATATGTAGAACAGAGACTCTTCTTCTGAGGAATGCGGCCGATGATATGTCTGGATTGGTACGTTTGGCTTGTAACTGCCTGTCCAGGTCTGAGCTGAGGTGTCAGTGAACTCGATCACGAACTTCAAGACCTTTCTAAGATCTTTGATAGAGCCGCGATTACTGCGATCAACATCCTCCGGAAGAGCATAAATCCTGAGACAGGCACGACGGGGGTCATCGGCATGGGGGACAATCTCAGTCTTCAGCCACTGTCGTCTTTCTCCCAGGTCAAGAGGAGAATTGGGAACAGGGTAGAGGTGTTCGCGTCTCGGGCCGATCATTATCCAGTGTCCAGTATCTGCATCCTCGTCGTGCTGATAGAGTCTGATCGCTCCCAGAGCCACATATTGCTCGACTTCGTCAGGCATTTGCGCGTGCTTGTGTTGCTGACACCGGATACCCTGATCATGCCGTTTTGAATTGGCCCAGTAATGCTTCAGAGGCGGCTGAGCAGCCTATGTCTGTTCAGGAAAAGTACATCAATGGGATGACAAGGGATGGCCTTACCTGCTGGCAAGTGGTCCTTGATAACCTTCGTTTTGATGCGCTTATCGAACCCAGAGTATCAATGTTTGATGAGCCAACGTAGAAGTCGGCCTCCCTGAAAGACTCATCAGGATCATCGCAAGGTCGAGCTACCAATGAGTCGCGTTGAGACATGGTGAAGGCTCTGCCATTCACTTTCTCCGGAGCTCGAACTATTCGACAGCTGAATTTGAAGTGGAATCAAGAGACGATATCAGTGTTAAGGACAAACATTTCTGTCTGACAACAAATTCAGGTAGAGTCTCCCTAGTCTAGCAATAAATCGGTGCTACTGTTACGGGTGTCGCGGCCACCATCATGTCAGACGAAAACAATATTCGGGTCTGAAATCTAGCGCCGACTGCAGCCTAATAAGGGGCTATGGAATGAACAGCCACGGTCAACAACGAGGCTGAGCCTTCAAAGAGGGCGAGATAGAACATGTCTGAGGTCTTGACATCCTCTAACGCTCTGGTCACTTTGACATCTTTCCCTGGATGCAACAGTAGCTGATAGGTCTACATCAGGAGAGGAGGCGTCAAGTAAATGTGAAATACACAACCAAGACCTTGGGTGTCCGATGTCTTCCACACACCTTGCAGTTGTCGCTGAAGCTTAATTAACATACCATGTCCATGTGAGGTTTCCTCATCAGGACTCGCACTGTGTGACAACGCACCCTACAGTAGAATATCCAAAACGACGGCGGAATGTACTGCCCCTATGGGGAAGGACGGCGTGCGGTCCTCGTTGGTGGCTGACAAATCCGGAATTGCGTCAACCTCCACTCCACGAAGACCGCGATCATCCTGGTTATAACTAACGAAGAACAAGAGTATAAGACATCTGGACCCGGGAGACGAGGTCAGTCTATAGTCGGGAACGCTGATGCTCATGAAACCGACCCAGCGTCTTTTCGCAGCCATGACGAACTACAACATCACCATCACCAGCGACATCGTGTGCCCATGGTGCTACATCGGGCACACCCGGCTATCGAAAGCCATTGCCGAACACAAAAAGACCTATCCGGACGACAAATTCCACCTGAAATATCTCCCATTCTATCTTCAACCACCACCACAACTTACAGCGAACGGCCCTCCGCCACCGCCATTTCCAGCACCCTCGCGCCCGCGCCGCGAGATGTACGCTGCGAAATTCGGGCCGGAGCGCGCCAAACAGATTGAGGCGATGATGCTTCAAACGGCAGCCGGCGAAGGTCTCAACTTCAAGTTTGGCGGCATGACAGGCGTTTCGCGGAATGGGCACAGATTGGTGCGCTGGGCCCAGAATCATGGTGGCGAGGACGCACAGAATGAAGTCATGCTCGGTCTGTGGCGACGATACTTCGAACAAGAAGTCGACATCACTACACTGGAGACGTTGATTGAAGTTGGCCTCGAAGCTGGTCTGGGCACCAAGGAGGAAATCAAGGCATACCTGGAAAGTGGAAAGGATGGCGAAGAAGTTGACCGAATCGCCGAGGAGGCCAGGCTGAAGGGAATCAGCGGCGTCCCAAACTATGAAATCAATGATACGTGGGAAGTAAGCGGTGCGCAGGAGCCTTTGGCGTTCAGAAGACTGTTCTTGAAATGGAAAGATATGGAGAGCAAAGGTCGGGTCGGTAGCGATGATGCGAAGACCGCGAACGGAAATGGATGCCTGTAGGAGGGCAGGACGGAGTATCCGTGTTTGAATATGCTCGGCGCACAGTAAGAATGAGCTGAGTGTGGAATGACGGGGCGAATCTCGTGATTCGTTGAGTTGATTAGTCTTGAACAATCGTTCCTATATATCTTCGCAAAAATCTTTGCAAAAATCTTTTGTACAATACATAATGTGAGGTAGACAGATCCCACGTTCTCATGCTGCCACCTCTAGCAATCAAAATTTTCGAAACACCACTCGTCGTTGTTCGAGTGGACGCGCATCATCCAGATATGCCCCTCTTGTTATATGATTAGTTGCGTTTCGACCGACAGATTCACTGGTAGTAGGCGAAACTACCAAGAGAACTTCCGAGCTCTTGATCCTCATCACTGCAGTATGGAGGACGCCGGCTAGCTTGCCGTGATATGAGTCTCAATGTAGAGACTGGTAGAGAATGATAGCAGGGCAGTACCGAGCACCTATAAGCCTTAGGCGTCGCCTATTCATGATCAGAAATACGATTTGCCTTCCATCAAATGAGTTCAGTTGGTCTGGGCTGTCGGCTCCTCTAATGTCAATTTTTCGACGTCGTTGCTGAGATTCCCTTCCAGCTGTTCTGGTAGAATATAAGAAGTAGGACTCCTTCTCCGTAGTGTATGCATTTCCGGGATCTCGTAATCAACCTCTTCGCCATTCTCGATCCAATGCTTCCGCACGTGCTCTTCGAATCTGCTGGCAGCCTGGCGCAAGTCTGACCAGGCCAGCTCTTGCTGCTGAAGCAGTTTCGCTCTCTGGTCACTGTCATTCCATACGTCTTCGAAGGCTGCTCTCAGGGATGTCGACTGTGGCAGACCCAGTTCGGCTCTCTCCTTATCGAATCTCGCGAGCATTTTGGGAGAGGTCATTACGAGCCATCTGAGCTTCCAGCCTAGCATCCCCAGTTCTTTTACCCGCGCTGGTTTCGTCCCCATGACATACTCATCAATACCACCACATTTGCGTATCGTTCGCACCACTCGGGCGGTTACCGGAATTCTGAGTTCTGTGTCTAGTGCATCGCTCTTGAAATTTTCGATTCTGACGTTGGGAAACCATTTTCGCAATGTCTTGCCCTTATTCCGGCCTTTGGAAATTTTGTTTCCCGATTGTAGCGTTGCGCCTCCATACAGTCCAAAATTCGCTTCTCGAAACGCAGCATTCTTGCCGTATGGATATGGCGGCATCAATGGATCAGTAAAGCGAAACTCTGGTCGTAAAAGTGTATGTTTTCTATCCTCGGACTTGAAGGTGAACCGGGGTTTGAAGTAGGGCTTGTCTAACTTGACTTTGTGCTTGTATTCGAGGTATTGGAGGGTCGTGGGACTACGCCGCACAGGCGGCAGCTTGGTGATTGCTGCAGCCATTGCTATATGATAGATGAGTACTGCAATTAGAGGACGAGTTGCATCACCGAGCAGGGTGATGGTGGTTGTACGTGAGGTTGAGGTTAATTAATCGCCAGGGAGACTTTTGCGGACAATTGCAAGCTCCAACTTTTTAGCGCGAAATCCTCCTGCGCATCACGGACGGACCAGACACGAAAGTCGCCAGGATCCGTCAATTTCTCAACATCTCAAATCCCTCTGAACGCGCCTCTCCCCATCTTCCTCTTCTCCTTACACCGTTGTCGACATCAATATCGGCGCGAAAATGGTCAACATCAGTGAAGTCAAGGGCAACACGCGCGAAAACAGGACCGCGGCGCATACACATATCAAGGGATTAGGATTAAGGCCAGATGGTACCGCAGAGACTTCCGGCCATGGCTTCGTCGGGCAGACTGCCGCCCGAGAGGTTAGCAAGCAATCTTGGTATAAATCATGATTGGCATTCTGACTTGAAGTAGGCTTGCGGCGTGGTTGTCGATCTCATCAAAGCGAAGAAGATGTCTGGACGAGCGGTTCTGTTAGCCGGAGGCCCAGGCACCGGCAAGACCGCTCTAGCGTTAGCAGTCTCGCAAGAACTTGGGACAAAGGTTCCTTTCTGTCCCATAGTGGGCAGCGAAGTGTATTCTACGGAGGTCAAGAAGACCGAGGCATTGATGGAAAACTTCAGAAGAGCCATTGGTATGTGCCATATGATATGTGTCATTCTCATGCACGAAAGGCTGACAACAGATGTGAAGGTCTCCGAGTGCGGGAAATGAAAGAGGTCTACGAAGGCGAAGTAACCGAACTCATCCCCGAAGAAGCAGAGAATCCGCTAGGAGGTTACGGGCGCACGATTTCTCACCTCATACTCACGTTGAAGTCGGCCAGAGGCACCAAGAAACTACGTTTAGATCCAAGTATCTACGAAGCCATCCAGAAAGAAAGAGTGAGCGTTGGAGACGTGATCTACATCGAAGCAAACACAGGCGCATGCAAGAGAGTTGGCCGTTCGGATGCATATGCAACCGAATTCGATCTCGAGGCTGAAGAATACGTCCCGGTGCCTAAGGGAGAAGTCCATAAGAAAAAGGAGGTTGTACAAGATGTGACATTACATGATCTTGATATCGCCAACGCCAGACCGCAGGGTGGCCAAGATGTTATGAGCATGATGGGCCAGCTGATGAAACCGAAGAAGACAGAGATTACAGACAAGCTAAGAGCCGAGATCAACAAGGTGGTCAGCAAGTATATCGATCAGGGCGTTGCCGAACTCGTGCCTGGTGTGCTGTTTATTGACGAAGTAAGTGTTCCCCTTTTTTTCCCAAACGCAGCGAACGGAGCGTTGACTGGGCGACAGGTGCACATGCTCGATATTGAGTGCTTCACCTATCTCAATCGCGCTCTCGAATCTCCCATCTCACCAATCGTCATTCTGGCCTCGAATCGAGGCAACACTGTGATCCGCGGCACACAGGATATCACAGGAGCACATGGCGTGCCTCCGGATCTATTGGCGCGTCTGTTGATCATTCCTACCCACCCCTACAACGAGTCCGAAGTTCAGACAATTGTTCGGTTGCGTGCCAAGACAGAAGGCCTGGCTATTTCAGATGCAGCGTTGCAGAAGGTTGCCCAGCATGGCACAAGTGTCTCGCTACGATACGCTCTGCAGCTGTTGACGCCCAGCAGTATCCTGGCCAAGGTCAACGGAAGACAGGAAATCGCACCCGAGGACGTGGCCGAGTGCGAGGACTTATTCATCGACGCGAGAAGAAGTGCTAAAGTTGTCGAGAACGGAACAGGATTCATCAGCTGAAGTGGCGAGATGCAGGTGGCCTTGAAACCTTCGTCTTTTGATTAGAAGAAAGCTTCCGTCGAATTTACCCAATCTCACCGAAGGGAAACGCCGTTCCTTGCATGGTAGAACACAAGGTTCCACCATCAGCACGCGCTGAGCTGCAACTATTCGATTTCAGCATGCGCCCGCTGTACCATTGGCACTACATTACGAGTCAAACTACCGTACTGCTGGCGCCAAATCATGCGCCCTGAAGGGTGGGAGCGAAGGGCAGGAGAACGACAGGAATTGAATACAGCAAGAACTTGTGTTGTAAAACCAGTATCGTGGAAAAGATTTTGCCATGGATAATGTCATGGAGAACTAGCAGAGAAATGCATTTTGCCAACTTTATGAATATTGATTCTGTCTGTACCAGTACGACTGCTTGGAGCCTCCTCTTGATATTAAGATGTCTACGTGATCCTCACAATGTTTTCATCGGGATGCTAGGAGAAGCACGAAAGAGACGAGTGAACAGTACGGATATCTAGGCATCAGAATGTCAGCACATAAATCCGGATAAAGTGCGACAAGCGTATGTAACAGGAGTAAGTGTCAATCAGACATCCAAGGAAGATTGCAACGTTCACCGACACCTGGACTTATGTAGGTTCGCTGCCAGGGCTAACGTGGAAACTGCGAATGTGGAAAAGGTTTTCATCATAGGAAGGAGAAAGGAGATACAAAGCGCCGAATGGGAGGTTGTACATACCACGAAAGCATAGGACACAAGCGTCGTTGGCACGAAACAAGATTCGATCAATTCTATCTGGAAACCACGTTAGCAATATGAAACGAGGGTTTCGGTGTGTGCATGATGAGATCAGTGTACAATCAGACATGTAATACTGGCTAGTAACAGACCATTCAGCGTTGACGGTCCGAATGTTTCTTCAAAGGCGAATCAGGATAGAAAGAAGTGTTGAAGTTGTTGTCATCTTTGAGCTGTAGGAGAAGAAGGGGCAGTAGGATTAGAGGACTCACCATAATAGCATTGATAAAGAGCATGCAAAAACAGAGAAGCAGAACATGATTTTTGTGCGAGCAGGAGAAAATATGTTGGATGGTGCCAGAGGCAGAGAAGGCGTGGGTAGAACCAGGTATTTAAATTCTGCGGTGCAGGCAAATTGTTTCATCGAATAAAATGATAGACACAGCAAGAAGCCACTAGCGTCCGAGCCGGAGGAGGAATAACTACCGTGCCGGCTTGGCATCGTTGATCGGGCGAGTCAGGAAGCTTTGCGGCACTCGAGTTTGGGCGTCCGTCGTCGCTGCTGCTGTTCCTGCTGTTCCTGCTGTCTTCATCCCCCAGCGCCATCTTTTTGCCGATCCTGCGTCCATCCTGCACCTCTGCCCCCGAGAGACTTCATCCCATCTCCCTCCATCGTGTGTTCTGCGGCATCAAACTGCAATCTATTCTTTCTTCTCGCATCATCGCCGTGTCGCTCATTCTCTCTCTTCACCAGCTTTCTGTCCATTTCCCGCACAAAGTCATATCTCGGCTCCTGCCCCCGTCATTTCTGCCCGGGCACTGCCAGCAATCGCCCCATAACACTCCCGGAACACGACACCTCAAGTTAATACCTCACCTGATCGCGCCCCCAGTCATCTTCCTGGTCGCTTTGCCCTCCGATCATGACTTCTTTGCGCGACGTCTTTAAATGATTTGTGTGCCAGATGAATGGTTTCTCTGACCTGCACTTGTCGCGACGCTGACCCAGCCCCATATCTCTCCCGGCTTGGTTTCGTTCACCAGCTTTCCGGCCAGTCCCCGCCAGTATTGCGCGACATCGACTCTACAACCGCACCCACGTTCCTCCTTGATGCGCCTGGTTTCCCTGACCGCAGATGTAACGACACCTCCCTCAGTTTGCGATTATTACCAGAAGCGAACTCGGTAAGAGTGGGGCCAAGAGGTTCGGACTTGTCAAGAGGAGGGAATCATCCAGTAATCACAAAAAGATCTCACCCGAGCCACTTGTGCAGTAAGCGCAGTCCGAGTGTCGCGTACAAGCATCAAATCTAGGTCAGCCGTCGAAGATGATGGCCCAGCCTTTTCCCACCCATGCCGGTATGGCTCCCGGACACCCAGGCATGTCTCATGGCCATCCTATGGCAGGAATGCAACATCCTGGTGGTCATATGGGAGGTCAACCCGGCGGTATGATGCAAGGAATGCATCCAGGAGTATCAGGTCCACAGGTTACCCAAGGCCCTATGGTGTCCGGTATGCCGCCAGGCGCAGGAACTCCGGCGCCCGGACCTATGCACAATAACATGGCAATGGCACATCTGGGACCGCAACAGGCCATGTTCCCTCAGCATAACCCGCAGATGAACTTTGGGCCGATGCAGATGACCCCCCAACACCAGCAGATGCTGGCTCGGCAACGAATGATGCAACAGATGCAGGCACAGCAACAGCAGCAGGGTATGCCAATGGCCATACCCACTGGACCAGGCGGTTTTAACCAAGCACAACTGGCACAGATGAAAATGGGGATGCACCCTCAGATGCAAATGCCGATGAACCCAAATAACCCTCAGATGCAAAACTACCAACAGCAACAACATCAGCAGCGGCTAATGCAGGCTCAGCAAGCCCAGGCTCAAGCAGCACACCATGCCGCACAACTAGCTGCCAACCAAAGAGCAGCCGCTCAGCAAATGTCAATGTCTCGGTCTCAAGAACAGACAACACAACCTCCTCAATCCCAACCAACACCGGCTCCTCAGCCACCAGCGCCACAACAAGCGCCACCAACATCACAACCTCAACAACAGCAACCTCCACAACCCAAACCTCAACCACCTCAGCAACAAACGCCCACAACCCAGGCACAGAGCCAGCCTAATCAACCAGCAAAGACCACAGAACCTGAAGAAGAACAACCTCAGATTAAACAACAGCCCGATTTGCCTGCCGCGATGATGATGAACGATCTACCGAAGCAGGACATTCTCGGTGGCCAGTGTATTCTACAGCTGATCATGTATCAAGACACGCTGGCCAATCCGGACCGACCTAACGACTTGGATTACTGGGAGCAGACGATATCACGATACTTTTCGCCGTTGGGCTCGATGAGGCAACAGCTGTTCAGCAACAAGAATGGGATCGACAAGTCGTTCCAGCTACAATTTCCCAGTCTTGCGCGTTACTACCATACACACTTTGCAAGCGGGGTGAAACAAATTCTGTTACAATCCTTCGACCACAATCAGAACAAACTTCCGAATGGAGGTGTTCACATTTGGAGTACGAATGCAAGCTTGACTTATGTTTTTGGTAGCGATATTCGAGTCTCTACGACGGGACAATTGCGAGTGATATTTGACGAGTTTCAAAAAATCGAGCATTTCAACATTAGTACATCTGGTTGGCAAGAATACATTCCTCGAAGTTCTCTCACGCAGCCGGCGTCGCCAGAAGAAACCAAAAGCAGTCCCAAGATCAACAAGAATCTCAAACGAGCCCAAGGGAAGGCTAACGCTCCAGCTCAGCTGATAATTCCGAGTTCAGGGGTGGGTGAATGGGGTGTGCCAAGTCACATCTTTCAGTTCCTAGAGGTTTGTTGTTCTTATTGATGATTGTTGGGGACGGTACTAATCCGGAGTATAGATCGCTGAAGTTATGACAGCAATGGGACCCCTCATGGAATACTTCCACAGCCATCCGGGGATCGGCCCGAGAGATTCGTTATTACGAGTGACCCAAGAGAATGCACAGAACATGGCTCAGATGAACAATGCACGACTACAAAATCAAATGGCGAGAGCGGCCAATGGCCAAGTGCCCTTCGGTAATCAAATGAATGGCCCGACCATGATGAACTCACCAGCAATGAGTCATCTTGGAATACCACAAGCTCAAGGCTCTCCCATGATGGGAGGTCCTGTACATACACCTAGTCCGGCACAGAATGCAGCGACCGGAGGGGTTGCGATGATGCATCAAATGAGCGCTCAGGGATCGAATCTGAGCGGCAGTCAAGGCCCAAGCACCAATACCAGCCCGAATGTTTCCAACAAAAGGAGACGAGCGAGTGCGGTGAAGGTCGAGGATGATAATGCCGGGCAAGAACAAAGCGGAGCCAACAAGGTGAAGCCAAGTCCTAAAATCGGCGGGAAGAGGCAGAAGGCAGGGTGAGCCACTTTGAACGTGTTTTTCGAGGACAAGATGCACAACATCTTTTTTGTCTCTGTGGAGTACTCTCGGCGTTTTCGGAAGTCTGAGTCAGGCTTCGATTATTGTTTTCTGTTTCGATCATTAAGGATGGTGTGCAGCCTCAGTCTCATGATCTGAAATGGGAGTTTATTGGATTCATGCATAAAGTCTTTTTTGGACCGGGTGTTTAGATATGCACTGGACAGGCGAGGTGAAGCGAAGTGAAGCAAAGCGAGACAAATCTTGTTAAGTCTCTTTCTCTCTCACCGATGCAAAGTTTCTCGGCCTGGCGAACGCGGAATAGAGCGAGGTTCGAAAGGAAAGAAACTTTGTGGGTGGTCCAGGCTCCATGGGTCGGCTCTTATTGAATTGTATCATATGCGCGCGCGTTGGATGTGAATGGCAGTGTTCTCTGAAGCATTTTGCAACGAGACTTTGTAGCTGCTCTGGGATTGTGGAAGCTCTTTTTTTCAACCATGCAGCGGAGTGTGGCTTTGGGGGGTTGTGGTTTTCTGTTTCTGTTTCTGTTTCCTTTGATACGTGAAGATGCAGATTAATGGCAGACATGTGTTGAGTATGTAGGCATGATGGACAAATCAGCGAGAAGGGTGAATGAAGCACGGAAAAAAATGCGGTGGTGTGTAGTTGCAGGTGTCGAGAGGGATCGAAGATAGTTACTTACGGCTTCGATGATGCTTGCTAATAGAATTTTGATTTTGACTGAATGAACAAGTGAACGACGATCTGGTCGGGTTGTTTTGTATCGGCAGTGTGTTGTGAAGGTTGAAGGAGATGGATCTGAGAATCAAGGGATGGAAGGGTGATGAAGGATTGTCCCTCCAGGCATATAATATGATTTATTCAAGTATGCATGTGGCATGTGAGACGGATGAGGTGGGAAAGTACCAAATTTGCATCGTGAGAGTACATAGATAAGACCTTTACGAGAGAACCTACTGTACTCGGTATTAACTGCCTAAGAGACCAGAGTAATTACGGTATAATAAAATGCTTACTTTTCCTCTTTGATTGAATTCTTTCCCTCCTGCGGCGCCTGATGTTGAGTTCCTCTTACCCCCCTCCCCAGTATAAGCAGATTAACGTACAAAAGAACATCAAGACACAGGTAACTGTACAGGACCTAGGTACTCACTTTAGGGCATTGTTGTACCCATCGTTGTACAAGTGTTATCCTTCGTCCGGCCCGTACGGCAGTTGGTCGGGGACAAAAATCATTTTTATCTCTTTCTCAGTGCGAGCGTCGAGGACCTTGAACAATGCACACTCTCCCGAACGATTCACCACCGCCGGAGGAAAATCCGGCTCAGACCACGGCGTCCCAGGTGCCCTTGTCACCGTCGCGGACCATCGTTATAGGCCTCTCGGGCCCGTCGAGCAGTGGGAAGACCACACTTGCTCGATTATTGCGGAGTGTGTTCAACGTTGACGTTGGAGGGCGTGTCGAAGCCGATGTCGATGGCAAAGCCAAAGCCAAAGCGCCCGGGCGAGAAGAGAAGATGAAAGAGGCGACGGAGGACGAGGGGTACCACAAATTGAGTCTGTTTATTTTACACCAGGATGACTTTTACAAGACTGACAAAGAGTACGTATCTGATTTCTTTTCATTTTTTTTGCTGGCTTGTCCCGGACGCCCTTCACCACTTATCCTCTCTCACCGTTTACGTGTTTGCGTTTGTGCGTGAAGGAAGCAGCTCAAACACCCAGAAAGGGCATGCAATGTCCTCCTTTGTCGTGTGCTTTGTTTTGCTTTTTTGTTTTGCTGACTCGGTGATTTTCTTTCTCTTCCTTTCCTGATGGCCGATAGTGTCCCCTGGGTAACTATATCCTCATCCAAATACGGCACACGTACAGATCAAGACTGGGACTGCGTCGGGTCTCTTGACCTTCCTCTCTTCCGACGCACCTTGACCCATATCCGCGACCATGGCACCTTACCTCCCGACAACGTCAGTATGGAGGACCAGAACTCGGTGGGCGACGTGCACGTTACGCCTGACGAAGTCGAAGCTGTCAAGCGACGAGTAAAGGATTGGTTTGAACGGGTAATCAGGGATTCGCCGAAATCGTCTAAAACTCGGACTCTGACGCGGACGAACGGCGCTGCCACTGCGACTACCACCGCTGCGCATGAGGAGGTCCCGAGAGAGATCCGAATTTGCATCCTTGAAGGATTCTTGTTGTTCCCCCCTTCACCTTCTGACTCTTCGGCAAGTTTCAAGACCGCGGCACAGGGTCTAGCGGGCGATGAGACGACGGATCTGCTTGAATTGCACGATCTGACGCAGAGCCTGTTGGACGTGAAATTGTTCTTACCGTGTACGAAAGCCCAGATGATCGAGAGGAGGGAGAGGAGGACAGGGTACGTCACGCTCGAAGGATTCTGGAAGGATCCTCCTGGGTACGTGGAGGATTTGGTGTGGGTTAACTACAGACGATATCATGCATGGATGTACCGGGATCATGCGGACAACGGAGACGGAGATGGAGAGGGTGAGGGTGAGGGTGAGGGTGGTCGAAAGGAAGAGGGACACCACCAGGAAAGAGACACGGATAAATCGGAAGCATCGGAAGAGTTTGATGAGGAAAAGTGTGGACGAGAGGGAGTGCATTTGTTCCTGACGCATGAAAAGGGCGTTGGCGAGGGGACCATGAAGGAATGTTTAGATTGGGGTGTTGAGAGAGTTCAAGAGGCGTTGACAGATTTGATTTAGTGAGGTGGTCTTATGTGTATTGCTGCACAGTACTAGTAGGTGTGTGGGTTGAGAATCCTGATGTGCCATGATCTACTGCGAGTTCATACAGTAATGTTCATTGACCATGTTTCATGTACAAGTCCAAGTCCATGTACACGTCTATGGAGGATCATCATACTCCCCCACGGACTACCATCACCCTTGACCACCTCCATCTCCCATCTCCCATGTCCCGTCTTATAACTTGGACTTGGCTTTGGCATCGTCACCCACACAGGACCCTTCAGGAGTAACAGGTTTGGGATCGACAAACAACGCCTTCGCCGCCGCAAGCGCCTTTCCCTCCCCGTCCTCAATGACGCCCTTGACCCACGTCTTCCTGCCCGACCTCTCGACCGCCCATGCCCTGCCCAACACCACTCCCGGCGTGGAGATGGGCGCCCTGTAGTCCACCGTCATGGTCGCCGTGGCGGGGGCGCTCGAGCCCCCGAAGACCACTCCCACGTGGCCGGTGAGTTGGTCGAGGAGCAGGGCGTTGAACCCGCCGTGTGCGCGACCTGTCTTGCCGTCGAGGCCCGGACCGAGGGAGAAGAGCGAACAGTATTCTCGAGGGGTGTGGCGGCGGTATTCATCGGCGGTACTCGTACTCGGACTCGTGTTTGCTTCGCCGTCGCCACTGCCGTCACCGGGCCCGGTACTGGCCAAGGCGTCGCTCTCGTGCGTGGGTCGATTGAACGAGACCTGTGCCCTGACTGTCCTGGGCGTGTTCAATGTCTCGGTGAACATGGAATTCGAGACGCCTGCTAGTCTTGCCGCCCTGGCCGCGCTGTCTGTCGGTACGACGACGTTGGCAATGCCAGGGTCAGAAAGAAGACGCGTGCACCATTCTCGAGAAGAGAAGTCTGGATGGATGTTGAGCGATCGTAGTGGAAGGAGTGGTGGTGGTGGTGGTGGTGGTGGTGGTCGTGATGATGACATTTTCCTGCTGCTGCTGCTACTTCTTCTTCTCTTTCTTCTTCTCTTTCTTTCTTGTCACTCCGTAATGCGTCGATTGGTCGTATATATCAGTGACCGAGATGCCGACGATAGAATGGGAATGAATGAAATTCTACCTCGGCAAGTTGACATGTACAATCTGATTTGTGCACACGGATATAGACACAGTACATACAAGTAAACATACTACGTACAGTACGTGCACAAACCCACAATAAAGTCTCGGATATACTATAATGTACTTAAGTCCCTTACCTCTGGATACGATAAGTAAAACCAGCTCCTCCTACATCAAATCATGAAGCTCAGGGTAGAGACTCCGGTGTCTTGAAGATAAACTCCATCATACCAGCTACTACAACACACCTACTGTACGAGTACACCTCAAACTCCTCTCACATCGTCAATCGACACACTCCAGAACAAAAACCTCAAGCTTAATCAATCGATTAACATTAACAGCGTAAAACCCAAGTCGGTAGCTCACTCAAGAACTTATTTACGCTCGCTCACAGCTTTTGTTTTGCTCATCTTCTTCCTATCTGCAATCCGTCCATCGTTGTGGCTCAAAAGGCCAATTCCTGCTTTGTATCTGCACAGAGACCATCTCTTTGACCTCGGTGTATCACCGCCGTAGAAAATTCAACAGTACATAAAACCAAGCTCAGCGCCAGAGCGCCATGCGAAAACAAAAAGCAACCATAAATCCTGTCCCCATCTGGATTATGGGTGATCCTCGATCTCTGACCACTTTGTCCGATCGAATCCCTTTTTACAAATCATAAAAATCATCATGGGTATCATTCATGGCATCGTTTCAATTTTCCCTGGGGTGAGTGTTTGTTTCTGGCATATCCCAATATCGACACCCAACACACCTTGTGTCGGTCACACTTTAGGCACAGTGGGCTTGTTTCCCATGCTGCCAAAAAGTGCTTCAGGTGGTACCCGGTGAATATTCGAATTCTTATCCGCATACGGAACGCTGGGCACCGTCTTGTAACCAGCCCGCCGCCGTTGAATGCGATTGAGGATTATGCCGATTAAGATTATGAGGAAAATTGTACCTAATGCTGCGCACAACGCAACTAAGACCGCAATGCCTTTGGAGTGCCCGAATCTGCCTGTGATGTGTAAGCATGTGAAGACGATCATATTCGGAGACAAACTTACGACTTGACTTGAGATTGTTGTTCTCGTACGTAAAAACTTGACGGATGCTGCCAGGGTCACCATTCGACTTGCTGGCCAGAATCAACGGTGTCATTGTTGTGCCATTGAAGAGAGCAGCTGCTGCAGTGCCAAAGTTGGTCAAATTCAGTTGGCCGCTGACCAACAGCGCTTGATCATCGTCGAGGTACTGCGACGATCCATGACTCTTGGACAAGGGCATGATTGTAAGACCTTCGATGGTGGTGCCGCTACCAAACGCATTGGGAACTGGCCGAGTATTGTCTCCATCGAGCTCGATCAAGAAGGTGGAGCCGTTGTTTGCGATACCTGCAATCCACATGTGATCGGCATTGTCAGTGGCGGGACAAAAGGCCGTCACCACACCAGGGACACCCGGAGGAGTGGTCGCAGTCCAGACTTGTTCCTTGGTGTTGTACGATGCCAGTGAGGTTTGATTGCCGGCGACAGTGAGGTTGCCAGTTGCGAGAAGGGTCGAGCTAGATGTCCAGAAGAGAGACATGACCGTGCCGGCGAGCTCAGTGCCGACTGTATTCCATTGGTTGGTGGCCGTGTCGTACATGCATACCGAGGGACAGGACAAGCCTTGAGACGTCTGATCGAAAGATCCACCAACATAAATGGCTGATGTGCCCGTTTTAGAGACAATAGCATTGACTAGCACATTCGGACCACGGAGAGAGGCCGGTTGAATGGTGCGATAGTCGGCGGTGGTCATATCCAACAGTACTAAGCCTTGAACATTATCGTCGTCGAAACGGGCCGAGAGTCTACCTCCGACGAAAAGAAGGTTGCCAGATACAAGGAGCGTAGCGATGGATGAATTGGAATCAAGCCCCGCAGGAGGACCACTCACAGAATTGTTGTCGGAACTGTTCAGGAACATGAGATTCTCGATGGTAGACCCGTTGGTGGCGGTTGCGCTAAAGCGACCTCCAAAGACGGTAACGTTCTGTCCATTGCCATCGTAGTATGCGATACTGGTCACACCATCCACATTCTGTGATGACGTGATAGCTCGCTTTCTCGTAGTTGTCTGAGAAGAGCTCGAGTCAATGTTGATAGGCAATTGTTGAAGGGAGATCTCCCCAGAGGCCGATCTTATGCCTGCTGCACCACTCATGGCCAAGCCTAGCGAATGAATCGTACCAGCTCCGATCCAAGTGTTGTTGGGCAGAAAATTTGCCGCGAAGAGTTGCCCTTGAAGAGACTGCTTCTGTATATCCAGATTCTGGAGCCACGCCTGTTGTGACGGAACCCAGATTGCCAGACCGTTCGCAGGTGCAGACGGAGTTGAGCCGGAGGCTTGGATTTGGTCAAACGAACCACTAAATGCAATGACTGTCTCTGCATTCGACCCGGAGACGTTCAACAGCATTGGAACCACGGCTTGTACTGGCCCATTCAAACCAGCGGAGAGTGGAGCCCATGCGCCTTTGGAATGTTGATAAGCAGCGACGTTGTTTAGACCATCAACACTGCTCTGATTGGTGTTTGTGAAATTTCCTCCAACATACAGAAAGTCGTCCAGACTGTACATAGCCGAAACAGCGGCATTGAGACCACCACCCGGCAACGAAGTTACATTGTTGTTATGGAAGGCCATGATGTTCTGGAAAGAATCGTCGGAAAATTGGCCGCCAACATAGATTGTGTCGTCTCGCGTCGTCAAAGCTGACATATGCGCATTCGGGTGCAACATAGTTCCAGCATTGTTGATGGCCGACTGTGAGAAATCATTACTGACAAAGGGACTGTCTGGGTTGTAGTCGAATAAGCCATTGAGACCTCCGGTGCTTGAGATGAATCCAAACTTGACGCGAGAAGCGACAATAAGCTGATCATTCTGGAGTCCAGATGGAGTGAGGGTGATGGCAGGTCGAAAGCTCGAGGTGGAGGCGTCGATGTGCCCTTGGTACACTTGATCATACTTGTCAAAATCATTCGTCTGATAGATTAAGGTACTGAATGTTTGACCGCCATCGCTCGTTAATGTGCCAGAGATGTTAACAATAGCACGCGCAGAACAAGAGCTGTCCTGTTGGCAGCCTGGTGTGTACACAACAACCGAATAGTTGCCACTAGCTTGGACCTCCGGTTCGAAGACAATAGAAGTACTGTTGACGGTCGTGGGGCCGACGACGACTGTCAGGTAGTTGGCTACGCTTTGTCGAGATGGAGTTGCGTACCACGGGCCGGTAGCGGTTGACTGTGAGCGCAAGCCATCCGTCAAACATTGCGGCTCATTGAAACCTTCGATGGCATACGAAATGATATCGCCCTGAAAGATTTCGATTCCAGCCAAGCCTCCTCCGTCACCGTACCAATCCGTGATGTTGATGGTAAAGCTGTTCATTCCTACCAAGTTAACGAATTCAAAGTCTTGAAAGGGTTGCGAGGTGTTCAGAGCAAGTGGACATGATGCATCACAGTGTTCGCGGTTGCCAGTCTCAGGGTCGATGAAGGTGAAATTCATAATTCCGTTGATCGGATGAGCTGTGAAGCGCCATGTCTTAGTGCCTCGCCCGTCCTGATCTACATTCCACAAGCGGAGTTTGGTCGGTTGAAAACCAAATCCAAAATCCGCACGCCACGAACCCGGTGTGTTATCAGCGAGTAGGAAAGTTGTGTCGGCGGTCGAGCTGTTGGACGGACAGACCACGTTACGAGGATCGCCCACGCCGGCTTGAGTCGAGTTTCCTTCCGAGCTAATACTGGCCGAGCCCAAGTTGATGACCTGCGACGATCGATTGTTCAGGGAGTTTGTTGTGGTCACATTGCCAAGGCCAGTGAACGAGCCTCCAAACACAATATGTCCATTAGGAGCTTTCGTGATCGAGGCCACTGGAGCATCGAAGCCGGCAAATGGTAGCGTTGACCAGTTGCCATCTTTCCAAGCGATAGCATTGCTTGAATTTGCAGCCTCAAAAGCGCCACCCAGATAAACGGTTCCGTTGTCTGGATCGCAATACAGAGCCGAGACCGTTCCTTGGATCCCATCAAGCGGGTTCACCTCCAGGGTAGTGGTGTTTAATACCGCAGCAGACCTTGCTGCCACACCGCCGATACTGGTGAAATTTCCCCCGACGACCACACCCGATAACGAGCCGTCCTGCAGCACAAGCGGACAGACAGCTTCAATGCTGGCGTCCGTAGACGACAGGATTTTGAACGCTCCTCCGGGCAGTTGTGACAATACCGATTGTGAGCCGTTGCTATCCAATCCTCCCTGCTGGCCCGAATAGACCTGGATTGCATCGAAGTTGCCCGCGAGTGTAACCTGGCCCAATGAGTCTAGATCGAGATTTGGCGAAGATACGGACTGGCACGCTCCTTGCGTTGAGAGCAATAACAGAGCGGCCGTCGCCCGTGGGCCGAACCGCGACAACAGATGCATGTGGTTTATGCGTCTGCGCCGAAGCGACGGACCAGAGATGTTCTGTTATTGCCTTGACCGTAGGAAAGACATGTGTGTTGGTGTGTATGCAGAATGAACAGGCCAGAGAGATCCTTCCAAGCCGAGTTCCAAACCTGTAGTCGGAGGTCGGGCGGCCAGTCGTGGGCAAGACTTCTGCGTAATCACGACGAGGAACGCGTGGAGAGATTTCGAGGAACAGGGATCCGTTGAAACGATGGTCGGCGCGAGATGGAGGCACGAACTCGTGTCAGCAACGGGTGCTTCGTAGAGAGGTGTGAGTTGTTTGTGAGGCGTGTGTTGAGGTAAATTGTGAACGACGGACAAGGAAAGAGCGACAGTCGCGAAACGAAGTTGTGAAGACGCAGATCAGATTGATCGGAGGAGCTGTGCCAGAGTGACGAAGAGGCCTCGATGTCCGTAGCGGCAGAGTAGCGTGGAAGATGCAGAAACTGACAAGAGCAAGGAAGTTGGTTCAGGACTCGCAGTCGCCGTGCGGTTGGCGACAACAAACTCCGCGACTCAACGCTCTGCAATCCACCTCCCGCCCGCTAATCCAGCCACCAACGTGCATGGCCGGGTGCAGCCCGAGTGACAATTGGACGGTGGCGGGTGCAATCAGCCTGGCAAGCCCACTCAGGCACAAGGGACAGTCACCCCGGGCAGCCGAAGCCTCCCAGGCCAGCCTGCTAGGCCGCTATTGTTAGGCCTGTGGACTCTCGCGGCCATTGCTAGGGCTGCCTCTGGTTGCCCCCAACACCCACCACGACCGCGCAATCTTGCATTCCTCCACTCTGTCTACCCATGTCGTCCCCCTGGCCTCGCCAATCATTCTGCTCAATGCTCTGTTTGAAAACAATCCGTATCAAAGGATCATCGATCAACTGGACAGCCAACGGCCACAGAATATTCTACGCAGCTTCGCCACTGGTTACTCAGAGCCCCTCGTTCCTCACGCCTTCATCTCTCCATCTTCATGTCCGTATCCTCAGATGAGAGAAACGAGAATCGGAATCGACGCGACCACAGCCAAAACTCAATACCGAGGCCGGATATGCAATTTCCCCTGGATAGAGAGCGAAAGATCCACCGAAAATGTCGTGGCTGACCTGGCCCTGTCTGACCCTTCACCTCGACGACGGCTTCCACTGACCACCCGTACCTCTACGACGAGGGCCCTAACGGCAGTGTGCATACTGTAAGTGACTTCAAAACATGTCGAGTCAACGCGGAGGCTGGAATCGAGGAGATCAGTATTCCGTCTCTGAGTACACAGTTTGCTCGTCTCACCAAGGCTCGCTACTTCATACTACGTGAGTTCGGTAATACACCCCTGGTCTTTATCGGTCCATGTCATCTCTCTACCGCGCGTACGAGTGCAAGCACCAGAACTTGCACAGGGTTACTATGCAGACCTCCTCAATATCCAGCTTCACGTGCTTCAATGAATTGGATTCATGTCCGTCAATGTCCATCAGACTCTAGGGGTGCGACGCCTCATCTACTATGACGGGCCCATCCTGGAGGGTTGACAGACGTCGCATCCACACCTTGATAATGAATAAAGTGCCCGGGTTTGAAACGCTGACGCAAGCCTCGTCAAGCCCCATTGACGAGTCTCGACCGGGATTGATCGTGTTTGAGATAAGAATGATGGTTTTTTATACTCAAATTCAAGGTTTCGGAAATCTGTTTCATCGTCGCCTCCTACGTTTGACCTTCCCACTGCCACTCTTCTCGGTCACCACGGCCTGCTCAATCTGGACTTGGGTATGCGGTTCATCTTCAAGCTCGCGTTTGACTGTGACGCGTTGCACGGTCTCTTTCCGATCGACGACTGGCTCATTTCCGTTTGGCGAAACTTCTTTTATGCTTGTTTCGACTTTCACAGTCAGCCTCTCGGCAAATGTCCTCAAGTCGGCCGTGAAGAGTACACTGTGCGCCCAACCCGCCTCTTTACCCCAAAGTTTGCGGAAATGGTTCGCTACAGCATCGTAGGTCGCCTTCGTCAGGCTGCTGTGCTTCCCCTTGCCAAATTTGTAGTCACGTTGCGCAATCTGCCAGACGTGTGTGTCTACGGGTACAGCCTCTCCCCAGCCTAGTCCCATCAGACATACGCAGTCTGCTACTTTGGGCCCAACCCCTTGCAGACTGAGGAGCTGCTCGTGCGCCTCCCGATACCGATCTCGTCCCTCGGGTTTCATCTCTCCGGCAGGGGATGGTTTCTGGCCATAGACTGGACTTTCTGGGTTGCTCAAGCCATCCAACCAGCCTTCCTCGTGATCTTCGGCTATCATCTTGGCCGTCCGGTATATGTACTTTGCTCGGTAGCCAAAGCCCAGTTCTCGTAAATGCGCTTCCACGTTCGTGCCAGTCAAAGATGACGGTTGTGGGAAATCGTGATACCGGCGACCGTCTAACGTCCCAATGTATGGTCCGTAGTGCGTGCATAGCTTCTCTACCATCTGTGAAATTCGAATGATGTTGTTGTTGCTGCTGCAGATGAAACCTATCAGTGCTTCCCATGCGTCTTGCCGCAAGATCCGGACGCCAGTGAATTTCGGCGCCTTTTTTCTAAAATTGCCATCGGAGGCCGACCACTGGGCATATAACGTTTCGAGGTTGGGTTCTAGGTTCAAGTAGTGTTGGAGAAGGTCTTTCGTGTCGTCCGTTTCGTCATCGTCTGCGATGGTAGATGGTATCGAAGAGGGAGGTGTCGGGGGAGTTTCGACGGCAGCAGGCCATATCGATCGGTAATGGAGGTGAGATGTATCTTGCGACACTTGTACAATGCGACCTCGAAGTGTACAGGCCCAACTCTCGTCCTCACACTGCCGCCATCGAAATGACTGTCCGCATCGAAGAGTGGTTGCGATGCATATTTCGTTGAGGGAGACAGGGAGCTTGCGCCATTCTGTTATCCTCGTCATCTTTAGTTGTTTCCAGTGTCGGGGTGAGCCAGTTGGTCCCCCCCAAGTTGAAGATGTGTAAATCGCAGTGGACGGAATTCTGCCCCCTTGGCCACTTCCTCCCGCGCGGACGTGTCCCCCACGCGTAAATTACGCGCCGAGGTCTAGTTCTAAATGGGGCGCCTCGAATTCCTACTGTGCGAGTACTTCCAGTAACAGTCTACAGTACAACAGGCTATGGCTCGTGCTCGGCGCTACAGCACAGAGCAGCCAGTAGTCAGAACTTCGAGTGCTTTTCTTCAAGCGAGCCCAATCGGAGCATGGAAGCCTTGTTTGTTTCTAGCTATTTACGACAAGCCGCATCATACAACAATGCATCTTCATGACGCTGCTGCAACGGATCGATTTCGTATGTACGCCATCTCGCATCCGAGTGCGCAGTCAACCGGAAGACCCCTAGAGATTCTTGGTTATCTGGGCTGGCTGTCCAAAGGCCACCGCTGCATCCCGGCCGCTTACCATAGCTGCGCCATGCATGATCACATTGTCATCAAGAATGGAATTACTGAAGACCAAGTACTCATGTCTCCCTTTCCAGCCCCAGTAGAGCCCACACAGCAGGACGACGCCGCCGAGGATTGCTATGGCCCAGTTCATGTTTGCAATCTCACCCACCACAGGCACATATTGTGGGAAAATGTAGAACAGGACAACAACAACACTCCACAGCAAGGAAATGATGTTTACAGCGTAGCCCCATCGTCCAAGGTCAAAATAAGGCCGGGGCGGGAGATGCTGGCGTCCTCTCAGCACCACGCACAATATAGGTATGCAGTATGAGACTTGAAGGGTAACACCGCCACCGGAAATGATGGCGTAGAAAGCGAGGTCGCTTCCAACAACCAGCAAGCCGACAAGGAGGTTGAGTACAATGAAGCCCATCATAGCCCGCAGTGGCATGGCGAATCGTTTGCTGACTTGTGCAAAGTATTCGGAGCAGGGGAATGCACGATCTCGAGCCATGGACCATGCCAATCGTGACCCAGCAGTGTTCATGTTCACGATGATGAGATACTAGACCCTCAATCAGTCATGGCGCTAACGCGGTACTAGATTCACTCACATTCAAGCCCATCATCATTACGGCACACCAAATTCCGCCTCCATACGTTGAATCCAATACATCCATGAACCACGCCTACAATACAGTCAGAACCTTGACATGGGCCGGGTAGCCTCAAACTTACAACGTAGGAAGAAGTGGCCTCGAGATAATCTTCCCAACGCGGACCGACGGTCAAGCACATGACGATCGCTGAAAGCCACGCGGTGACACCAGCCCAGACCATGGACCATAACATCACTCGCTATATCACGTTTAGTATGGCGAAGCAACAGGGGCAATATGCATGACTTACAGGAGCATCGCGAGAAGCATTCTTCATTTCTTCAACCACTATATCAGGGTTAGCTATGACCAATAGCGCGAGGGTTTACGCCGGAAGATTTACAGTGCATTACACCATCAGTCCCATACAGTCCATAGATTGGAACGTACATCGACAAGATGAAGACCCAGCCTGTGGACTTCCAGCCCGAGGCGTTGAGGAAGTCGGTGAAGACAAATTTCGCGCTATTCTTGTCCGCCATCACCAAGAAAACAATGGCCCAGATCAGGCCATTACCGACGTTGAAAGCGGCGCCGAATACTTGCAACGCTGGAAGGTATCGGGGCATCAGATTGGATATAGCAGGTGCTACAAGAAAACCTGAGTATATCAACCATGTCATATAGGGCTAGAAACGTCAGTCATATCAGCAGTTGGCAGGAGACTTGCTGCTCATCACCTTCCAATTAACCTCTGGATGAATAATCTCTACGAGTGCAGACACAATTTCTGCGCTGTTCAGCGCGCAGCTGCTACTCGTTGATATCTCGCCCACCAGAACGCACCAGCCGACCACATAAGATAAGAATCGTCTGGATTTCGCTGGAGCAACAACCTATTCTGCATCAATTGCGTTGTCTAGAGCTCGACCGATGTAAAGGCCTACCTGTGTATAGAACTGCTGTCCTCCCGCAGTAGGCCAGATTGAGCAGTACTCTGCTAGCGATGCCATGACAAAGATCTGCCCAATGGTCACGACGACACTGAAAGATTGAAACGATCAGCTTCCCTTCATCACCGAAATCAACCCTCGAGAACTTACGTTCCCCAAACAAGGCAGACAGGCCCGCCCAAAGTGAATATATAGTAAAACATCACGATATTGCATGACCAGGAACATAATATTGTGGTCTGATATGCCATCACTGAGGGAGTCCGTCAGTCTGGACCATTGGAGAGCAACAGCATCGCAACTTACGACTCCAGAAGCTGTATGTTCGTGTGAGCTCAGGCTTGTGCCCAAGTCTGATGAGTCGGTCCTCGTCACTGCCATGACTCGAAGGTTCGTCCTTTGAGGCTTTCATGTTGATCCTGCAGAGCCGAGAATTGCTGAGATACGCCTTTGGTCCTGATTCCGTCCGTCTGCAAGAGAGGGCAACGATGCTAGCAAGACATGGAGAAGAGCACACCCTCCTCAGGGAAGGAAGAAGATAAGTCTTATGAAAGACATAGACTCTCGGAAATTGCAAGTAGAAGTACACTTATCGAAGTTCTACAGCACAAGCTGCTGTGAGATGGACCTTACGGCTGGGCTCGTATCTCCGCCAGATAACCAATCTGGGACTAGTGGCCCGTAGCGCGAGCAGCATTTCCTCGCACCCGCTATAGCGACAAGCCGTTTTATGATATCGTCCACAGAAAGGACGTTGTTGTTCGAAGATAGCGAGCGGCTCCCACTGAAAAGTAGAGCAGTGTCGATTGATATGGGTCGATGGAAACTATTTCAGTCCGAGCGAGGGAAGGAAAGAAGTTTCTCTCTCCAATGCCCTCTTTGGTATTAGCGCAATCCCTTCCCTGAGTACTATGTCCCTGACCAAAGATTGCTCGGGGCCTAGAAATATGCGTCGCGATATATTCTAGCATCCGAAGTACAGACTTATCTCTACGACTCCATTAGCAATGCAATACGGAGGAAATGGACGGAGCTCGTGTAGACTAGCACATTTCAGTGTTGACGTCGGACATCAAAAAGAGTGAAGGCCTCTGAACATGATGCGCGTTAGTCATCTACCCCTCTCGGAATATACTTGTTCCATCCCGCCTGCATGTGCTGTCGATTTGCTTGTCGCTGGCCACGCTTCAACTCAGCTGCAGCGAAAGCAGATTCACCATGGCGTCAATAAACTGGACCATCTGGTCACAGATCATGACGAGGCATTCTTCAACACGCAGCCCTCTACCGCGTTTCAGCATCGTCTGAGACGTCACCGGCCTCCATAGCGTCGGTATGAAGACACGGTTCTCGCGCAATGGCAACTAATCCACCAACATCAACCTTGGGGATATCGGGAGGAGAGCTTGCGACACCCAGAGAACCAAGCTCTCCGAGCACTGGGTCACAAGGTACTTGCAAACGTCCTTACAACCCAAATCTACGAGATGCGCGTCCTCCGTAACTGACTTGCCCAAGACTGTCCAACATGTGTAAGCAATAGCTTTGATAACGCGCTCCAGTGCGCCCGAATTGTGTTCGCTTTAGCCCTAACTATTCGCCGGCTTGCAGGTCAAGCGGAGAATTCGATGCGATAGATCACAACCTACATGCATCAAATGCTCAAAGAAAGGTCTAACCTGTCCAGGCTATGGACCTCGTTGGCGTTGGGCCAATGGCATTGCAGTTCGTGGCCATCTCAAAGGACGGACAGCACCAGATATCCCAAAGCCAACCAGACCTAGCACTCTCAAAACTTCAGTTTCACCAGTCTCCACGAAATCTCCTGTAGGAGATGGCATTGCTCAAGGCATGTCGGTAATAGATCCGCTGGAGAAGCTATTTCCAGATTTCCCTGACCCTGCTACGAGGGCCCGACTTCTTCAGCACTATGACAAGAACATTGCAGGGTTGATGGTGTGGATAGACTCCGAGCGAAACGAATATCGAAGGCTGGTTCTCCCTTTGGCCAACCGCCAACCGGTTCTCCTCTTAGCCATCCTCGCCATTTCAGCACAGCATCTTGCCGTCACCACTAACATGGAATCTAGCTTCTCAACCAGAGCACGAGACGCGGCCGTCTCAATGATCTCCACCCAAATTCGCCAGGTCACCAGCCGTTTAGCTGCTGGGTTTGACTTGGACAGCGAGATCGATGTGGACACCGCGGTGTGGATGCTCGCGTCCATGCTCACACTAGCATCCTACGAAATGGCCGAGTCTGAGACTGGTGCCACTGCTGCCGACTCACACAGACAAGCGGCTCGGACTTTGGTGAACGCGCTCGCGACCACAAATCGTGAGAGCAACGATCTGTTCAATTTTCTCCGCAACCAGCTTTCCATTTACGACATCCTTGCTTGCACTACCTCTTTCATGAGTACACGCGAGGTGATATTGCCTGCACCTAGCGACGCGAACCTCATCTTCTCCGAGTATCTTGGCCTTTTGCACCAGGTGACGGTGATCTCCCGCCAGATGGTTGACTCAGGAGCTCCGGGAATACCGAACTTGATCGAGCCTCCCATCACGCCAGTCGAGGCTCGTGCAAAGTTCGAGTTAGCTCGAGGTTCAACGCTAATGGCCGCAGGACTTCTCGAATTGGCATGGGACGAACGGAGGCACGACTTTATCCGCATCGTGGACGTATATCATCATGCCGCCCTGCTTTACACTTACAGAAGCATTTTCGGAGGGAGAGTCGATGCTGCAGATATCTCTACTTCCACCAATATGTTATTCGAGCGATTGCATCAGTTAGAGAATCGCCATTCGTGCATGCAAAATTTGCCCTGGCCGGTGCTAATTGCTGGCACAGAGTGCTGTGGCAATCGAGAGAGAGAAAGTTTTATAGCAACCCTGTACGAAGACATTGCTCGGGACATGGGCTTCAAGCACTACCTGGAAGTGCTTCACTTCTTGAAAGACTTCTGGTCGACCGCACGTGGTGATTGGCTCCAGCTGGCACGCCAATATAGTGCTAACGGGAAGCAAATTGTGGCCGTGTGAGGCGTGCAAACGTCGACCTTTGACCTTGGAAGTCTTGCTGCGCTGGCCCCTGGGAGACCTCACGGAATGTCTCCGCCAACCGGTTTATCATCCCTCAAGGGTTCTGCCCGGCTGCACGCAGGCAAGTGGACCCGAGGTTCTGTCCAGCGGGGTAGTAGAACGCGGCGCATCGTGCGTGGTCTGAATATGCTAGTCGCTGGCGGACATATCGTGAGCAATACTGGGTTTGTCGGAGTATCGTTGAGGGGGTGAATGGTGGACTCGTGTACTGGTTCAAACCCCTGTGGTCTATTCGCTAGATAGGCGCCTCACTCGTTAGTCCTCATTATTCTTCGCTATCTGCCCCCTTCTGAGGGCTGATAAGCACCGATGAAGTGCTGAATGTCAGGAGCATCTTGCACAGTCAATGCTATCGCATATCCCCGTGTCACCGACGACATGCAAATGGCCCGGCCCCGTGTTGCGATACGCATGCTCTGAAGTGAGTGTACTGTCAACACAGATGTCGGAGTTTTGGTGCTTCTCGCCGGGCTTCCAAGTAGGTCTCATGCTCTGAATTCAGGACAGAGGTGGGCACCTCTTATGGGGCTGCGGTTGTCTGGCAGGTCGCTAGACCAGGTATCCCAGCCCCTCTCTGGTTAGTTACAACGACACGGTCGATAAATACAAGCGTTGGCGACGGGCAGTATGTCCACGACAGCTGGCCCGTAAGATTCCTCTTTTCAACCAGCCTGAGGCGGCATTACCTCCGTCTGCACACGTGCATGGTCTGCTATCGTCTCCTTGAGCAAGCCACTGGGTAGTACGGAGAATGGGAACATGGGTATGGGTCTTGAGCATACGTGTCCGTGAGCGAGGCATTCACTTCATACGGTTAACCACCAAAGGCTGCTTGGCTCTCGCGGACGTGTTAATATCCTTGACCCGGCAGACGTGGAGCTTGGGTGCATTGGGGGCCTTTTTGGGATGTAGGAGACTAGACTTGAAGAGGATATTGTGAAGAGAGTACAAAACCCAGGTTCTCTACGGGATGGAGGCTTCAGGAATGAGAATCAGAGACCCAGCATGGAGCTATTTTCTAGCGCCGGCACTTGCCCTTCCAGGCATCTGATGAGAGAAACGTTGTGAAGGATGCTTGGACGATCAATGGTGTAACTGGACGATTCCGAGTGGTAGTTATCTCATTCTCCCAGATGCCATACATAAAGTTCTCCTCGCACTAGAAAGGATTAAAATATGCACGGCTCGATCCTCGATGGATGCTCGTGGTCTCTCCACTTGCAAGCTACAGGCCCAATTGCCGACCCAAGAGCACGAACTGGCTGCCCGAGGGAATTCAATACCAAAAACGTGGTCGGACGACGAGGCACCACATCCTTCGACCATGATGATTTCCACAATCGTCGGCCCCCTCGAAGCTTCACACGCCGTTGAGTGAAGTCAGATTGCCTGTTCCAGTCTCTCATCAGTATCTTTATCGTCTCATATCATCACCTCGCATTCCAACGTCGAACCTCCCCATGCCTCCAATACCCCGCCTCGTGATATTCATCATCTCATAGAGATATATATACTCCTTGACTTTCTTCTCCTTGTTTCCTTGGCTAGAGCCCGAGGCAATACCTCCCATCCACGACTCGGCACAATGGTCTTGAATCGGCATTCCTTCCAGCCTCCGGTCATGCACCCCAGGAGGCGGCAGGATATCACAAACAGTAATGTTTTTACACTGTTCAACTCAAAACACTTCCAGGATGAAGTTGCTCATCGGCTGGCCGGTGCAGTGCGAATACCCACCATTGCCTATGATGGTATGGATCTGGTCGGTCACGACCCTCGGTGGAACATTTTCTTCCAGTTTTCCGACTTCCTCAAAAGGACATTTCCCCGAGTGTAGGGAGCCTTGACTCTCGAGTGGATGCTGGATCAAGACTGATATACTTCCTTCAAGATATCAAGCGCTCGTGGTCGAGAATGTCAGCACACATGCAAGACTGTATACTTGGCAAGGCTGGGACGAGACGCTGAAGCCAATGCTTTTCATGGCCCATTCGGATGTGAGTGCATATGAGCCCGCCAATGCCCCGCGGCGAAAATCGATGGTAAATAACAGTCTCAGGTTGTTCCTGCTGGTCACTCAACCTCAGATCAATGGTCTCATCCTCCCTTTTCAGGCTATTACGATGGAGAGTTCATCTGGGGTCGAGGATCAGAAGATGACAAGTCCAACCTGATCGCAATGCTCACTGCCATCGATTGTCTGCTCGCTTGCGACTTCCAACCTCAACGCACGTTGATCCTCTCGGTCGGCTTCGATGAAGAGGGTGGAGCTGATCAGAGTTATGGTGCTCGGTGTCTTGCAAACACGCTTCTGGAGAGATACGGCAAGCACGGCATGGAACTTATCGTATGTCGCTAACACAATGCCACAACCTTGTCGAATCCTAAACACTAACACTACCACATCAAAGTTCGATGAAGGCATTGCAGGAATCGAGAAGCGGTTCGGCACCGACTTCGCTCTCCCTGCGACTGCGGAAAAGGGTTATGTCGATGTGACCATCAACGTCAGCATGCCTGGCGGTCATTCGTCGACTCCTCCAGACCATACGGCGAGTAGGTTCTGCTCACAAAACCAAGACGCGATGTGACCAAGTCTAATGTTTCGATAGTCGGCTTTTTGGCTCAGATCATCAAGTTGATCGAAGACCATCCGTTTCCTTCAAAACTAATTCGTCACAACCCGACTTTGAATTATCTACGGCAAGCGGCACTATTGTCCAAGCATATGCCTGACGACCTCCGAGATGTTATCCTTGGTTCTCAGTCGTCCAGCAAGCTGCTTGAGTATTTGAACACCGATCGTGAGAGGCGTGCGATGGTGAAGACCTCGATTGCCGTCGACGTGGTTCGGGGTGGAGATAAAGGTACGTGGCGGTTGATATGTTTGCTCGTTGTCAAATGCGCTCTCTCGCTGACATTTCTCCATTAGTCAATTCGCTACCGGAGAGTGCCACAGTCCTCATCAACCATCGCATTGCAATCCACGATTCGGTAGATGTGGTCAAGGACCACTATGTTTCGTTACTGTCGCCGTGGGCTGAGAGATGGAATTTCAACCTGAACGCCTTTGGTAGGAAGATGCAACACCACAAAGACGGCACCACGCGAACGGATGACAACAACGACTGCGGCGACCTCACACTCGTGGCCGCTTATGAGCTCGACCCTTCACCTGTGTCTGACACGGACGATGCATGTTTCAGGTGGTTGGCGGGCACGATCAAGGGCGTATTTGGCGAGAATGTAGTCGTCGCCCCTGAGTTGCTTAGTGGTAGGTTTCCTGAGATGGCGTTCATCTGCAAAACTGTACAATACAATCGGTTGACCACATGCCAGGTAATACGGATACGCGATACTACTGGGACTTGTCGCCACATATATACCGAATGTCACCTTGGCGAGCGAGTCACGACCCTCGCGGCACGCGCATGCACACGGTTGACGAAAGAATGCCAGTGGCGGGCCTTTTAGAAATGGTGAAGTTTTACCATGAATTCATCAGAGTCATGGACGAAGTGCGAAAGTGATACGAGACACGTCTCGTCATCGCCCTCAACAACAGAATACAAAGATCGCCGAGGAGGCTACTGGAACAACGTGATGTGACAGAGCTCAGCTGACATGGTGCAAGGAAATCGTCTTCGGCTCCAACTAACTCCTTACGTGTGCACAGGATAAGGATGCCCTCAGCGGGGTCGAAAGGGCTGCTGTCTAGCGTCGTGACATGAGGACGGCTACTAGAAGCCATCGACACGAACCACGCAACGTCACCGCTCTACCATAACATGATCCCATCTCGGGCCACAATCTTGCCTACGTCGGCATCTCTTTCGCCCTCAACTACGGTTCTGATGAACTGACCTCCAATACTTGGGTGCTTTGCCCCCATTTCGGCTGCTTTCTCTGGACCCACGCCTCCCAGATTCGTTGCTAGCATACCAGGTGCAAGAGCCCAAACCTTGATCTTGTCCTCTTTCAATTTGTGGTTCCAGTCCACCATGAGCATGTTCAAGGCACACTTGGTGCACCGATAGCCGATGGTTTCGAATGATATCTGCTTTGGCCAACCTGCTGGCTGAGGAGGCGTAGGGAAGTACGGTCCTTGGGCTGCCTCGGTGATGGATGAGAGCCCCGTCACAAAGATCAGACGAGGATCGGCAGATTTGAGCAAGAGGGGTATGAAAGTCCAAGTCAACACGTTGGTGCCCGATACGTTGACATCGTAAGCCTTGTTGAACGACTCACGAAGGGAGATCTTGCCAGCAAGGAATTCTAGGTCAAGGGCTGCTCCTGCAAGTTGTCAGACACCCTTTCGCCAATGAATTGCCTGCAGCTGTACATACCTGCATTGTTAATAAGAACATCAAGCAGCCCGTGGGTCTTTTCCACGTGCTTGAAGGCCTTCTCAATGGAATCGTCACTGGCAAGATCCAACTGCACGGCTTCGACAGTATTACTCGATTGAGGACATTCCTTTTTCAAAGTCTCGATGGCAGTTTCAGCCTTGTCCAACGAGCGACTGCCCATCAGAACGTGGTATGACCTGGGGGATTGCAAAAGTGCCTTGATCGCCTCATACCCAATACCCCCATTTCCACCTACGGCGATGTTAGAGGGACGGCAACAACGTAACAAGCACACGTTAAGGTCTTACCCGTAACGAAAGCAATAACACGAGATGCCATGGTGACGTGTCGTTGATGAAGCAGTTTAGATGTTGCTTGGAGTTTTGGGATATGACCTTGTCAAGTTAGGAGACACGGACCTACCTGGCCTCTTATACCATTTTGTCAGGAGATAAAGACATCCTGGTGCTATGTGATCCGGAGCTTATCTCCATGACCATAGCGACACACAGCAGTCGGCCCTGTTCAAGATATCCTTTGTGGTAGGATAGAAACTGTAGCTGAGTGCTTATGAAGCACGGGGGTGTAAAGCTCAAATATTTGACTAGGCCAAATAAGGCGAAACTCGCGCGAAATGCGATGCGGAGTCGACGGGAATAAAGTCATTGTCACAGCTTCGTGAGGCTTCCGTGTAATTTGGCGACGGAGATAACAAAGACCACCCTCTGCTAGACGAGACACTTGATATCAACCGTCAGTGATCTACTTCGAGATGGTGAGTGTAGAACAGGATGCAAGCCCCTAGCAAATCGGACGGATGTTTGGTTAAAGCGGCGTGATTCTGATTTCCGCCAAGATCAAAGGCTCTGGAGGCGCCAAAAGACAAAGTCCATTCGGCTGGTGTTGGACGCATATGCGCGACTTTGTAGCTACAGCACTTGGATCATTTCAGATTCTTCACAAGAGTCAACCAAACAGATTCAGTGCTTGTCTCAACGGGACTGTCTTAGTGTCCGACCTTTCAGTCTGTCTCCTAGTACTTGGCCCCTCACTCAGGAGGCAAAGTCCCGTTCCAAATTTCTAGCCCAGTTGCAGCAATGAACGGCGACAACTACGCCTCGAGAGGTAAGGTCCCTTCAAGCTGTTGAGTGCCTATTACTGACTTGCGCAGACTCGGGCCGCTCGAGAGAGCATCATGTACGCCTTTATCAGGTACTCCCTTCACGAGCACCGCTGACGAATCTACAGGGTTCAAGGTACGACCGAGACGACCGAAGAGACCGTGATCGCGACAGGAACCGAGACAGAGGCGATCGAAGACGTTCGAGATCTCCGCATCATCGATCTTCGCGACGCGATTATGAAGATTCATATTCCTCCAGTCGAGACTATCGTGCAAGGGAACGAGAAGACAGATATGGATCTCGACGTGATGATCGCGAATGGGAGCGAGATCGGGGCCCGAGACGACGAGACGATGACCGGCGACGAGACCGAGATCTCTTTGACGACCGTCGCGGCGGTGGCGGAGGAGGGGGAGGAGGGGGGCGAGACCGTGATCGTGGCGGACGCGAAGATCGTGACGAATTTGCTGCGCAAGCACGAGGCCGCAAGAACAGCCCTCCCCCTAAGAAGAGAGAGCCTACGCCAGACCTAACAGATGTGGTTCCCATCTTGGAGCGCAAGAGAAGAATGACACAATGGGATATCAAGCCGCCTGGTTATGAAAATGTCACAGCCGAACAAGCAAAGATGTCTGGCATGTTCCCTCTGCCTGGCGCCCCCCGTCAGCAACAGATGGACCCCAGCAGACTGCAAGACTTCATGAAGCAGCCTGCGGGCGCCGCTACGAATACAGCATTGAAGCCGTCGAATGCGCGTCAATCAAGGAGGCTGTTTGTTTCGAATCTGCCTGCGACTGCAACAGAGGACAGCCTTCTGCAATTCTTCAATCTGCAGCTGAACAGCCTGAACGTTACCAAGAACAGCGATCCGTGCGTTCAAGCCAACATTGCCGAAGACCGGAGTTTTGCCCTCGTCGAGTTCAAGTCTCCGTCTGACGCAACTGTGGCCCTGGCTATGGACGGGATCACCATGGAGGAACATCATACTGAGATGAATGGTAATGGAAACGGCAATCCGAAGGGTTTAGAGATCCGACGGCCGAAGGACTACATTGTTCCGTCTGCAGACGAAGATGCGTACACCGAGGGCGAGGTCTCATCTGAAGTGCCAGACACATCGAACAAACTCGCCATCACCAATCTCCCGCCATTCCTGACCGACGACCAAGTGCTAGAACTATTAAAGGCCTTTGGTGATCTGAAAGCTTTTGTGCTTGTCAGAGATGTTGATGCTCCCGAGTCAAGGGTAAAGTTAACCGTTCTGAAACATTTCCATATTTTTTCTAACCACCATCAGGGGATTGCATTCTGCGAGTATTCTGACCCAGCAGTTACTAGCGTGGCTTTGGAAGGCCTGAATGGTATGGACCTTGCAGGCAATGCCATCAAAGTCACCCGAGCCAGTATTGGATATACTCAGGCTGCTGGGCTGGACATGGGCGTGAACGCAATGTCAATGTTTGCTGGCACCACTTCAGATGGTTTCGAGGATGGTCGCGTGCTCCAGCTGCTCAACATGGTCACCGCAGAGGAGCTCATCGACAACGAGGACTATGAAGGTAAGCTAGCGGTTTTCAATGGACTTGGGTCACACGTCACTAACTTTGTTCACTAGAAATATGCGAAGATGTTATGGAAGAGTGCTCCAAGTACGGCACTATCCTTGCCATGAAGATCCCCCGTCCCTCCGGGGGCAGCAGACAGTCTGCTGGGGTGGGCAAGATCTTCATCAAGTACGAAGACCCTCAGTCAGCGAAGAAAGCACTGCAAGCTTTGGCGGGCAGGAAATTCGCCGATCGGACTGTTGTTACAACTTACTTCGACGAGGTATGTCAAGCTGAAGAGCACCTTTTTTTGGTGTAAGAAATGCGGTTACTAATTTTGATGTTTTAGGCAAGTTTCGACGTGAATGCCTGGTAAACGTGGTTGTTGTCAGGGCATTTCCACAGACATATATTTGCGGTATCGAAGTCGAGGTTCGCCACTGTCTTGGCCAAGACGGGTGCTTGTGCTGCATGCTAGTCTCATCATCGTGTCCGCATCGAGATCCTATGACTTGATGTTGTACCGAGATTTCGGCCCCCATTGTTTCCATGATCGTGATCATGATCAGGATCAGGATCAGTGTTCCATGAACAGCAACGACCTTTTGCTCGTCCTGCTCGTACCCCTTGAACTGCGCGATCTTGCCCGGGCCACGTGGAGCGGGCTTCCAGGTACTGGTCGCTAAGCATCGTGCTTGGAATCTGCATACGTTTGGTTGACTCTTTTTCTCTTGGACGGGTGGATACAAAAATCCCACCTCCTACTTCGATGTACTTTTAGAAACCTCGAAACCTCGAAACCTCGAGCTGGTGTCATTTGTCAGAACAGAAGCTCTTTCTTTCCGTTTTGCGAGGCGAGGGCCGGAGGGTGCAACCAACAAAAAGCCGACTACGGAAGTGAACGACGAACGATATGGCCAGGAAACGCAAGCGGGCGCGGTGTTCATGTTCAGGACTGGACACACGTTGTCGCGCAACAAACTGCCACTTGAGAGCTTCGATCCTCGAGTCGACCTTTTTTGGAGGGATCTGGATTGGGCCTACTGCGTTGGGGATTGCAGCGGCAATAGCGGTTCGTCGCAAGTGACGCTTTCTTTCAGGGATCTGGGGGGGGGGGGGGGGGGCAGAAAAAAGTCAAGCATTCATGATTCATAGGACCAGGAGGGGAGACACCCAAGGTAGTTTTTTTATATTGTAACTGTGAAATCTGTAACCAACATTTCAAATCTCGCCCAGAAGCTCAAGGCGAGGACGGAGTACATCCGCCCATCTGATCATAAGAGTCGTACGGAAGATGTGCGCTTGCTTTGTGTGAATGGATTTGCTGTGGGCGGTTTGGGTAGGGTTCATGCGCTTTGCATCTGCGATTCTTTCTATCTCTCTCTCTCTCTCTCTCTCTACGTACGTGTCGCGGTCAACCAGCCTGTTGTTCCTCGAGCTCATATTCTCTTCCAAATCATGACGGATGCACACAGCCATACATCAATCTCAGTCGTTGTTCTCTTCTTTTCGGACCATCTCCCTCCCCGTCTTCGTCCACCAACTGGGCCCGACGAAGAAATTCTTCTGGCGTGGCGGGCTTTCTTGGACGAACCTCGTACGTCTACGTCAGTTGGCAGAGGAGGCGTTTTGATACATGTCAATACCTATTCTATATGTCTCGCTCTCTTACTTATTCCTCGTCCAGGATCAACTTTGTGATCTTGCCCACGGCGATGGTCTGACCTTGATCGCGGAGCGTGAAGCGACCGAGCTGCGGGTAGTCCTCGAAGCGCTCCACACAGATGCGACCGGCGCTGCCGGTGACCTGCAGGCGGGCGATGATGTTCTGGCCCTTTGCCGCGAACGCCGGAGGCTTCTTGCTCTTCCGACCGGTTTTCGGCTCCAACTTGTGCAGCAGCGCCGCAAACGTGACCTCTTCCGTGGCCGCGTGGACGTGCAGCACGCAGTTGAACCCGGCCGACAGGATCGACTTGAGCTCGACAATGTTGATCTGTGCCTCAAACTCGCTCACGCAGTGCACGAGCCGCTTGGGCGAGCACAGCACGAACCCAGGCAGGATGTCTTCTTCTTCGATGCCTCGCAGGCGCATGCGCACTTGGTCACCGCATGCGGCGTAGGGGATTTCTTCTTCCGTCTCGCCGTACAGCGCCGCAATTCCTACTTCCTCCTTGTTCGGCATCATCACGTAGTTGGCCGATTTTTGGATAACGCCGGCCTCAATGCGGCCTTCGATCATGGTGCCCATGTCTCTGTATTTGGCGCCAACGGGCATCATGAATGGCGCGTTGAGGTTGCGCTGAATCTTGGCCATTCCGTCGAGGAATTCAAGCAGAGATGGGCCCTTGTACCAGCCTGCGACATCCTTGGGGATTCTGTCCTTCACGCCAATACCCGTCTGCGCAGAGATCGGCATAAAGGTCGAGTCCAGCCCGATTCGCTTCTTCAGGTATGGTTTGAGCTTGCCGACAATCTCATCGTAACGTTCCTTCGACCACTCCACAGTGATGTCGTCCATCTTGTTGACGGCCACGACCAGCTCCTTTGCGCCGGTCGTCTTGATCAGCATAGCGTGTTCTTGCGTTTGACCACCCTTCTCGAAACCAGTCTCAAATTCACCTTTCCGTGCCGAAATTACTAGAATGGCGACGTCTGCTTGTGCGGCACCGCTCAGCATGTTTGGTACATATGTTTTGTGACCGGGTGCGTCGAGGATTGTGTACCGTCGTTTCTCCGTCTCGAAAAAACCTCGTCCGACTTCCACAGTCTTGCCCTTTGCTCGCTCTTCCTTGTTCAGGTCGAGAACCCAGGAGATATACCAGGTCTCACGTCCAGCATCTTTAGCATCTCTCTTGTACTTGTCCAGTGTCCGCTCATCTACCATACCGGTCTGAATGAGGACTTGACCGCCCAATGTGGATTTCCCGGCATCAACGTGACCGATGAAGATGATGTTGACGTGTTCCTTTCCGTACATCTCTTCAAGTACCGATGCATCGACATCGGCCGTTTGTTCTGCGGCAATTTCTTCGGCATTTCGCCCCTTCTTCGGTTCGCCGGGAGTAGGAGAGGACTTGCCTGAGGATGGTGTTGGCGACGTCTTGCCCGATACTTTTTCGCCGGTCTTCTCGACGGCCTTCGCTGCAATCTTCTTCGACCCGGCTTCTGGTTTCGTATCTACCTTGGGCTCGATTTTGGACGGAGCTTCTTTGGCGGTCGGAGAGGCGGGTTTCTTCGGGGAGGCTGATGCGGCGGTGGGAACACCAATCGACAGGACTTTAGCCTTCGGAGGTGCGGCAGCAGGCTTTGGCGTAGGAGCTTTCTCAGCAGCTGGAGCAGGTGCTGGCTGAGATTGAGGGGCGGGCTGCGGTGCTGGAGCCGGTTGTGCATCTGACCGTCGGGCAATGCTTATCGGGGCACCCTGTCGTGGCTGGAAGCTGCCAGGGGCTTGATTATAGGCAGTAAACTGTCCGCTGTATCCTTGGTTGTAGCCCTGTTGTGGCTGTTGCTGTTGCTGGTATTGAGGATATTGAGTGTTGTAGCCTTGTCCGTATTGCGGGTATTGGTTGTATCCCTGCTGTTGGCCGTAGCCACCGTAGTTCTGATAGCCATTCTGTTGGTATTGTTGACCCGGTTGGAAAGAGTTCGCCCCGGGCTGAAATGAAGAGGCTCCAGGCCTGAAAGTGTTGGCGTTGGCGTTGATGTTCATGTTTTGTGTCTGTCTTGAAAGATCCTCGTCCTGCGCCGCAGCGTCTTCCCAGGAGTCGAAGTTGCCCGACATGGTGGGGGTTGTGGAAATTCGAGTTAACTTGACTGTGATGAGAGGAAGGTCAAGAGTGCTTGGTTCGGCCAATATCACAATTCGAGGTGTAAGTGAGTCAGGGTGAGATTCTGCTGGCTCGTTGGGTTGGGCCTCAATCGACTGATGGGCGCAGTCATGGACACCACGAGCAGAGACAATTGAGGGGCCCGAGTTTTCGAACTTTGCCAAGGCCGCAGTGGCTTTTCAAATGACGTAGCGCTTGAATGACGCGCCGCGTCAGATTTGGGTTGTTTACAGACTAGAAGTATTGATTATATGTATCAGTATCACTCAACAAGTCACAACGAAGCAGCTGTTGCAACTGGCCTCGAAACCCATTCTTCGTTCCAGTCAGGACTCACGACCTGTGAGATCAAAAGAGATCGCTGAGTGTTGCACACGTCCCGCGTCCTGCGCGAACCGCCCGCCGGACATCGAGGGGTACTGGGCATCGAAGGAACAATTGCTGTCGAGATGTTTTGAGATGACCTCTGTTCGGCTAAAGCGACCACGGAGTGCTAACAGCCTTCTGTAAGTGGAGGTTAAGAGTGTCTTGTCGTTTGATGTTGCTTGTCTTTGTTGCAGAGACCTTCTTTTGAGACGGTGGTTTCGGAGGACATCGACAGGTCACCCCGGCCTGTGTAACTTTCGCAAGCAATATGGATTACTTCCTGGGCAAAGTGACCCAGCAGGCCATGAACTATGCCATACGCTCGGGGGTGGCCTTGACAGCATCTTATGCTCTCAGACAGTCAAACAAGCTTCTTCGCAACGCACCCAAGAGCAACGTGAAGGACGAACTAGAGGTGGCACAGCAGCAGCTTCAGCACAAGATTAACATCATATCACCCTCAATTGACATGATCGAATTGATCGCCGCCAGAGGAAACACATCACTAGAGGCAGCAGTCTCCTTGACTAAAGAACTGCGCCTGGAAATCCAATCGCTCGCTCAACGCCTCGCACAGGCGGCAGATGCATCCGAGATTGCCAACAAAAGCAAACTTAGCAGTAGCAGTCAAGTCAAAGCTCACAATGAGCTAGAGCTTAAGCTGATTGTTTCTGATATCAAACATTTCCTCAGACGACTCGAGGATGCCATTCCTCTCATCACCTTGGCTATCTCCACCTCGGGAGCAAGTCTGTCAACATCTCTTCCTCACACTGTATCACCGTCCCGCTTGCTGCAAGCCAGCACGTTCCTCACCGCCGGCGATACACAATACTCAATCACACCACAGCGAGCCGTACAAATTGGCCCGACCTTTACATTGACAGTGTACATGCTTTTTGCTGGCCACGAGCGCCCACGAAACGAAGAAGAGATCCGAGAGACGACGTGGAAGGAAGTCATTCACAAGGCTCGAGTCAAACTGCGTCGTGTCCCTCTCGACGCCGTCACGAATTCAGCATCGGCCTCCGAAAACATACCCTTCAACGAGAACCCCACGTCATCGCCATTGTCGCGATCACAAATCATACCCGCCACGAACCGTTCCGACGAATATGCCTACCAAATCCTGATCATCGAAGACTTCGATGACGATCGCGTCCATGATTTTGAAGACGATCAGGCGCGCCCGGGCCCTTTTGACGATGTATTGCTCGCCGGCATCCGCGAGACGATCCCTGTGCATGAAATCTCCAAGATCTTCTACGCCGACACAAGCAAAGTCCTCAACATCGGGTCTGATGCGGAAAGCAACCACCCGGTCTTACTGCTGAAGCGTGATTTGAATGCCGTTCCCCCTCGACGCATGATGGAAAGGGAACGCCCCGCCGCCGAAGACTCCACATCGGATCACGACCAGCATATACGTGAGCCCGTTAATCATGACTACGACCGTGGCCAGCACGACCCCTGGCGATTCCCGCCCTCCCTTGACCCCGAGTGGATCGCGTTCGAAGTATACACTGAATCCGAACCTGAAGACTCGGAATCCGAACATGAAGAAAGCGATGTTGTGTCTCGGCGCGCTGACGCGGATCTCGAGTCCTCTCGCCTGTCTGATTCCATGTCGAACATGCACATCAACAATAACGGCAGCAGTCCCGGTTCACAACTCCAGACGCGACACCCGGACACAAACGCCCAGACGCCCCCTCCTTGGGTCAACGGAATCAAGACATCACTGTCCCTGCTCGAGCTCTTGCTGCGCCTGACTTCTCTCCAGCAGTTCCAGCAACAATCCCACCTGAGCATCACGGACGAATTGCTCAATTTCTTCCTCGAGGAGAGCGCGACGACCGGTGCCGGCGGCGACGAGAACTACAGACAGGCCCTGCGCGCCGAGGCGAGGAGGAGAGTCGGCTGGGATCCCTACGACGAGAGCCCCATGAAGAGACGCGGCGAGGAGTACCAGTACTACGCCCCCAGTCCGGCCATGAGTCCCGGCGCCGTGAACGAAGGCTGGGCGAGCCCGAGGAGCCCGAGGAACGCACCGACCCGCTCGACCCCAAGCGTGTCCGAATACACGGGGCCTGCGTCGCCGATGGGATCGCCGCTGGTTGATAGGGAGAAGAGTCGGGGAAGTAGAGCGTCGTGGCTGAAACGGCAGGGGCAGGATGACAGTGCGAGTGCCAGGAAGGGCAGCCCGTTACGACCGTCAACCGCGCATACAGACGAAGGCATCGGGACGAGTCCGGCGAGCAAGGGAGACATGTGAAACCGCATTTGGAGTGTGCGAATTAAGAAGCGAGCAAATGCTGTGTTTTTAGTTCCCGCTGGGCACGGGGATTCTACGATATGTATAGATGTAACGAATTGCGAGCGATGGATTGAGTGCCTGGGGTATGGAAGGTCCTGGGTACCGTTAACTATGATACCCCCTAAAGACTTTGTTCGTTTGGAAATGGCTCAATTGAATTTCACCCATGTACGACGTTCCTGCGTTGAACGTCATGCAGGTCTAGAACTATCTGCTCTGTCGAGGCAGACCTCGATATCACTGCCTCGCTATTTAGGAGTGTCTCGCCGGAGACACAATGCTCCTATCTCAAAACTATCCATCCTCCAGCGCCGGGGCCTGCGGTGGCAGCCGCGTTCGCACCCAAAACTCAACTGCAGGAGTGCCGATCGCAGCTGTTGTAACAATCGATGGGCCGTAGCTTCGCGCCGAATATTGAGTCGTGTAATAGTTATACAGGATTGCTCGGACCTTCGCTTAAATGCGCGGATCGAGCTGACTGAAAACGCGGGCACAATGTTGTAGGCAACTTATGTCCGCGCACCGCTTAGGCCCTGTTTTCACGCAGAATGTTGCGTTTTTGCACGTAACAACCAACGCGCCCAAAGAAAATGAGGGCTTTCCAAATAATAGCCAAACAACGGTCTGGTCAAGACAAGAACTGTCTGGTTTCATCTCACTCCCATTTGTGCTCGAATTTGCATGATCTGCGCGCGCTCGGTAGGCGAGAACGAGTCAATTGTCCGCTGATCCATAGCTAGAATCTGCTGAATCATCTCCTGCTGAGATAGTTGTGCTTGTGCTTGTGGTGGAGGCTGCTGCTGTACTGGCGGAGGGGCATACTGCTGAGGTGGTGGCGGCGGTCTAGCCGGCACTTGACCTGGCACCATGGGTGGAGGATACTGCTGAGGTGTAGGCTGCGGAGGAGGGATAGCAGCCGGCTGGGGTGGTCTCGCAGCTTGCTCGACAACCTGGGCCAGGACCTTCGGGTCCACCAGATTCATCAAGATCAGCGCTTGAAATATGGCGAAGGAAAGTTGTGGAGCGGTCTTGAGAAGGGACGTTGCTCTTGCAGGGTCCGAAATGGCCAACGCCTTCATTTGTGTGAGCACATCGAGAAGCTGAGGAGGGGAGAGATTTGACAGCGTTTGTGAAATGGCATCTGTGGCCCTGAGGTTTGGGGGCAGATCAACGCCAGGTGGCAGAGGAGGAAGCGCATTTGGCCCGGACGGTTGGAACCCATCTGCAACTGCAGCACTTGTCTGATCATAGTTTGCGGGTACTGAATCTTTCTCGTTGTTGTGCGGCCAGTCCACTCGTATTTTGCGTCCCTCAATTTCAAAGTCGTTCAAATTCCGGACCGCGTTGGCGGCAGAATCGGCGTCTTGGAAATCTGCGAAACCAAATCCCTTCGATTTACCAGTGTCCGGGTTGGTCATCAAGCGAAATTTGACGACTGTGCCTGCATAGTTGAGTATCTTGACAATGTATTCCTCGCTCAAATCTAGACAGAATTAGTATTGGTGTTGAGGAGCGGCGCGATGATTATGCGACTCACTGAATGGGATGTTGCCCACGAAGACACTGCGACTTTGACCTGGAGCCATCTTCGCAACGCAAGCGAGATACAACAGGTGGGAGTTTGCAAAGGAAAATGAGCAACTCGTAAGGGTTCGTGGAAACAAATTAAATTGACTATGGCCTGCGCATATTCATGGAGTTGGAGATGTCAACCAGAACATCAGGCTTAGAATGAAAAGGGACCGGGATGATGCCGCCCTGTCGCGAAGGCACCTCGGACACATATGGGACATCACTTATGGATTGGTATTACGCATGGTCAAGTGACTCATGATTGCATTGAAAAGGGTCTGTATCACCTCAATTCAACCTCCGAGACCTTTGAACCACAATAGTTCTAGGGCATTGTCAACTATTGTCCCATTAGACCCAGTACATTGTGCGAGGTGAGAGCCAATACAGGCACGAGGCTCAAAAAGCAGCATGTTTTTAGGTCTTCTTTAGTTGCCAAGCGTGTCGGTCGGCAGCAGCAGCCGCGACTCCGCAGAAGAAGTAATTGACTAGCTCGAAATAAAGTCGAGGTCGTTGATCATCATCGACGTTTGCCTGCAACGAACGCCTCCCATCGCCAGTTCGCCAACCCCTTCGTCTCTCTGCCACGACCAGCCATGTCGTACGATCCGAGAGAGCACTTTCAACAGATACAGAGGACGCTGCAGCAGCGTCGCGGCCAAGGCTTCGGAGGTGTTCCCGGCGGCGGTGGTGCGGGCCGAGGTCTGGTTGCCTTGATCGGTTTGGGTGTTGCTGGAGTCGTCTTGTCCAATTCAATATTCAACGGTAGATATGCTCCGAGGGACTCTGTATGAATCTTCCTGACAACAAATAGTTGACGGTGGTCACCGCGCGATCAAGTACACCAGATTATCTGGAGTGTCAAAAGAAATCTACAACGAAGGCAAGTCGACATCGCGGGTGCAAGGCGGTCACTAACAGAATTCCAGGCACACATCTACGGATACCCTGGTTTGAAACACCTATTGATTACGATGTACGAGCGAAGCCGAGAAACGTCGCATCCTTGACTGGAACGAAGGATCTTCAGATGGTCAACATCACCTGCCGTGTACTGTCCAGGCCTCGAGTCGAAGCACTGCCTCAAATCTACCGTACCCTGGGCACTGATTATGACGAACGGGTACTGCCGTCAATTGTCAACGAGGTTCTCAAAAGCGTAGTTGCGCAGTTCAACGCGAGCCAATTGATCACACAGCGAGAAAATGTTGCCAGACTGGTCCGAGACAATCTCACGAAACGAGCTGCGAGATTCAATATTATGCTTGATGATGTCTCGCTGACACACCTATCATTCTCTCCCGAATTCACTGCTGCCGTCGAGGCCAAGCAAGTTGCACAACAAGAGGCTCAGAGAGCAGCTTTTATTGTTGACAAGGCGAGGCAAGAGAAGCAGGCTACCGTCGTTCGGGCGCAGGGTGAAGCCAGATCGGCCGAACTGATCGGTGACGCCATCAAGAAGAGCAGAAGCTATGTTGAATTGAGACAAATAGAGAATGCCCGCAACATTGCAAGTATTCTCCAAGAAGCCGGAGGCAAGAATAAGCTATATCTCGATGCTCAAGGTCTTGGCCTCAATGTCCATGCTGGTGAGGACAGCACCTCGAAGAAGTAGGCCGGTGGACAGAAAAGTGGTCATATGTATTCTACACAGGTCCAGAAAACTGGAAAAGCTACCCTTTTCCAGCCCTCTGTTAGCGATCAACACTACCAATGTAACAATTCTTCACTCGAGAATTTCGCAAGCGGCAATCAGTGATCAGCAATCCATAATTATCAATCTCTTGGCTCCGAGGCAGACGATCATGAAGTTGTGTTCTCTACATCCCATTCCGCACTTAATAGTTACCTTATGTTCCAGAGATGCTCTTCCATGAGCGTCTTCCATATAGCGATTTCCTCTCTTCACGACGCTCTACCTTTGTTACACTCCGTCTCAGGGTTGTTGATCTTGAAGACCGTCTGGAAGACCTGCAGATGCCAAGTCAAAGTCACGACATAAATAACTGCGAGCATTCAGCAATCGGCCAGGTTCAACAGAAGGCGTAGGAGTGATTTGCATAACAAGCACAGAAACCACTTGTAGAAACATATCAAAAGTCTCAATTAGTGAAAAGAAGGCCATCATTCCCGCATGTAAGGCTGCTTGCTGCCAGTGTGAAGTTCTGGAGGCCCAGAAGTACCTCATACCATACATAGGACATATGCTCTTAAAGCGGCGATTCCTTGATAAGGGAATTCAGCCGAGCCGCTAGTCTGTTTGTCGCTTGTGAAAGCAAAGCCAATCCACCAGATGATGCTTTCAATCTGACGAAAGGCTTGTTGCCTCAAGATAGCCCGTTCCCAAGGGTACGGTGTGCTGTCTAGAATGACAGAACCCTTGTACGACTTTGTACGACGCGCAGGCAGCGTTTGAAGTCAAAACTTCTGGCTACCGCGGCAAAGAGACGACCAGAAACCGTTCACCAAACGTCGCCGGAGATACGCTCAGATGCTGTGCTTGCAAAAAGGACATAGGACAGCTCAAGAAACACCACATATGCATGCAAGAAAGACAACAGTGGCATAACCTCTTTCTTTGACGGCCTCAAAACAGGATGATAGGATTGATCGGAGCAACGAAGAAGACTTCCTCAAGTGGAAGGCCTCTCCCACGTCCACCACCGTCGCCACTGAGCTTCATCAGGCTTCTATGCAGTTGACGATCCTGGAGAGATATTTTGTTTGTCTCAATGGAGTGGTACCCACACGACCTCAGCCGTCTGGAAGATGGTCATAATGCATTATGCCCAATCTGAGCAACTCGCATACAAGGACGGCTGTCCTGGAGCGGCATCATTCCGTCTGCATCCCGATGCTTTGTCCATCGTCTGCATAACAGGGCACATGTACCGTCGGAGTTTGCTCAATCTTCTGCAAAGTGACCCATCGAGCCTTATGGTCCAGTCAGCGACAACCTGGATCTCAATAACGATCCCCAGACTGAAATATGGTTGCAATGGCAAATCGTATGTCTTCTGGAGTTGTCATGAAGCTCCCCTTGGGGATTTTGACACGCTCAGGGGTAGATACTGGACATGATTTGCTTGTTCCAGTGAGCATTCACGATCAATGTTGTTGAGTGTTGGAACCATGGCTTCGTCCTCATCCATTGTTTCGGTCCTTGAACAAGAACACTTGGAAAGCCCAATGGCAGTGTTATCTTCCCATCTGTTTATGCTTGCTCCTCTTCAACAGCAGTATAGATCTGCAAAACCGGTGTGGATACATTGGCTCCGAGCTCTTTGCAAGGAATCGCTGCGTCTCTTGTACTCCACTGGCCTCGAAGTATAGATCGAAATCGAGAAGGCTCAACGCGAGATTCTCGATGAGAGGTGTCCTTGCATGGAGGATGGTGCTGGTATCCACTGCTGGCGGATGAGGCCATGTCGGGTTCGATTCTCACACTTTTCCATCAAGTGTAACGATATTCCTGAAGGCGAGGCTGATACCTGCATGCTATCAACATTCAGGATCCATCATTGGTTTCTTTTCATGCAGAAATATTAATCATTCACGAGGACAAGGAGAAAAACAGGAAGGGATTAGCATCAATAATTAATTTGATGCTGGCCTTTATGAGCGCCGAGCCATGTCTTCACAGAATCAGGCACTGGGGAGGATCGCAGAGCATGGATGTGCGCTCTTCTCATCATTCTCCCATCCAATTCAATTCCTGGCTCCCAAACAACACACAAACAACAATTCTTCTTCTGCTTCAGGTCTTTGTTCTTGGACAAATTGGACAGTTACAACCCTGCAATTGGCAGAATCACATCGCTTCGAATCCATCATTGCCCGACGCATCAGTTGCGGGTTCTCTTCTAAACCTCTCTCAAAGTCTCTCCTCTACTTCAAAAAAAGTGTCGAAACCAGGCCGAATCCTCTTCCTGTATCCCCTCCACCGATCCTATTGTCGCCTACTAGCCGACTATCCTCTTTGGCGCTGTGAGAGGGCATGTCATCATTGGCAGGCTTTTGGCACTCTGGATAACTCTAAACGTGGCTCAGGAGTCAACGTGAAGTGAGGAACAGCCTCAAAGCTATCTGGGAAAAACGGTGGAAGCCTTCAGAACAACTGGTCGAGGCCTTCGAAAGAAACGGGTTGAAACCATTCGAACACACGAATACCGACAAGCCTTTGCTGAAAACCCACCAAAAAACATTCTCGAGAAGTTGGAAATTGGCCTATTGAGTTTGCTGGCTCCGCAGGCACTCATCTCCCAAATTGCTGTTAATCAACAGCACCCATCAATCTCGATATTACAAACTTGCTTGGGAACAACAAGCACTTTTTGGGGGATTCGAATCACAGTGTCACTCATCGAAATACAACAAGTGATTTTTACCTCTTGACTTTCTCGACTTCTCATCTGCCTTTGCTTATGATGGCGAAAGGAAAAGAAAGAGCCAGGGGACGGGACAACAACGATGTCACGCACGACAATACATTTCAGAATAGTGACAACAGCGTTGCTGTGGTTTCAGGAGGTGCGCTGGATGCCAGGTTGAATACAAAACCTCTGGTAAGCTCTACCAATGTTGGATCTCGCAGAAAACCCCAGCTTCGGCCTCGCCCGGTCCGACGCGTTCAACATGCGACCGACTTGGTCCCCGCAACAGCCCGTGTTGCCGTAAACGATCTGCCATTGCCTCAACATTGTGAGGTCGTTGGAACATTAGTATCGCTCAGCCGTGACGACAACAACTTTCAAGAACTCAATGCAGCGCTCGGAGCAGTGTTCGACCCTGACAAGATTCAAAAGACGACCTTCGTCGAACCTGTTACGAACACGAACTCCAAGAATCGCCACTTCTTTCGACGAGGTAAAAGTTTGTACAGTGGACTCGATCCTACAAAACCTCCGCTCCATGACATCGACCAAATCTTCCTTGACATGGCAGAGAAGGCACTTACGCGCCATTTCGATGAAGCATGCCGTACTTTTGAGGAGCAGGCGTTGAAAATTTTCACGTTGTGTTCTGGCACAGATTCTCCTGTCGTGGCAACCTCGCTCATCAGTCGAGCGTTGAGACAACTGTGCGTCAACAATTTCAACGTTAACCATGTGGGAAGCTGCGAGATTGAGCCCGTCAAGCAGGCTTTTCTCGAGAGAAATTTCCATCCCAGTGTATTGTTTCGCGATGTCACCGAGTTCATCAATCATGCCACGCATCCCAACGATGACAGATATCTGCCGCGAACAGCATACGGAGCACCAGCTCGTCCACCGAAACATGTGAACTTGCTCGTCGCAGGCGCATCCTGTGTCGACTTCTCCAGCCTCAACTCAAACCGACCAGTATTTGATCCTACGGGTCAGCAAGGCGGTGAATCTTCAACAACCTTTGCGGGAATCTTTGCCTACATGGAAACCTACCGGCCTAACCTGGTCATTTTGGAGAACGTGGAATCAGCAAAGTGGGAGAAGATTTCGGATCGATTCAAGGAAATCCGATATCACTGCCAGGTCGTCAAACTAGACACCATCAACTTCTACCTCCCACAAACACGGAACCGAACGTACTGCTTCGTAATCGACGAGGATCATGCTGACCGGGTCAATCTCAAGGTTGCACAAGTATCCAAGGACTGGGTTCAACTCTTCGCCTATTTTCAAAAACGTGCGACGTCGCCATATCCATCGTTCTTGCTTGACGACTCAGACCCGCGTCTAATTTTGGAAAAGGCAAAGAATTTCTCCGTCCCGTCAGTAGGAAGGACCCAGGAATGGGACTCTGGGCGCAGGATTCATTTCGTCACCCGAACTCAGCTCCATCTTGGTTCCGATACCCCATACACACAGATGAGAGACCATCCTCCTTGTAACATGGACAACTACGCATCGCAGACATGGGCCATGGGCCAATCAGAGCGGGTTCTAGACCTGCTTGACATTCACTACCTGAACAACGCTATCAGTGCTAAGCGAGGGACGAAGACGACAAACTTTGATATGCGGTACAAACATCGCAATGTCAACTACAGCCAAAACGTCGATCGAGACCTGAATTCTCGAAAATGGGGCATAGTGGGTTGCATAACGCCCAAAGGGTCCCTCTATGACACCGTCCTAGGACGACCATTGGTTGGCAGTGAAACCTTCTCTTTGACAGGATTGCCCATCGGGGACCTTAGCCTCAATAAGGAGACGTCTGCACTGCTTCAAGATCTAAGTGGCAATGCAATGAGCACCACAGTGGTCGGTGCGGCCATCCTGAGCGCGATCCTTGCTATCCAGAAGCAGCAAGTTGGGTTCTTCGACAGCTATGTAAAAGCAGCTCGTTCAAGTAGCGAGCTCAAGCCATCATCGGAGATGATGCTTCTGCCGTCGCGACAAACTGCTCAGGAGAGCGACATATTCAATCACGAGACTCAGCAAGCCGGTACCCTAACTCTTCCATCACTCGAATACCTTGTCGACGCAATGAACAGATCCACTCCATACTGCCATTGCGAAACCTCAGGTCAGCATGCTGCTGCAGGATTGATATTCTGTCCCCAATGTTTCTACACCAGTTGCACTACCTGCTGTAGAAGACCACACGGCGGTATGGAGAATCTCATAATCGACAGCAGACGCCCGTCGGACGACTTCGCTCGAGAGCTTACTCTGATGCTGCCGGCAGTCCTTGACATGAAGCTGGCATGCAGCATCAATGACCTACCTCCGTTTTCATGGGGGGAGCAGTCATCACGAAACGAAAAGTTTTCTGACCAACTACGGTATCTCCTGTTTACTACGCTAAACGAAACGGTTCGCTTTCGAGAGGTCAAATTTGACCGCACATGGAGAGTCATTTACGACTCCAAATTTGCAAAACTTGAGCTGGAGTTCATTCCCGGACCCTTTCGCAGTAAAGATGGCAAAGATTCATCTACACCTCTCCCCATCTGGCGACTGTTTGCGAAGCCTAGGGACACGGAACCAGTAAACAGTAAGCTAAGGAGCCTTTTCCAACATCAAATCGCCGAAATGTCGGTGGATACCAACTTGCTATCAGGCTCCTGGGCTTTCTGGAATGGCGTTTCTAAGCAGAAGGTCAAAATTCAAGCACATGGATCTACAGTACCGTCTTGGAGAAGTCAGCTTGGTCTTGAACATGAATCCGGTATCGACGATCGTGTCTTCACACGGCTGGAGGTCAAAGCTCCTGATAATTACACTCATGGAAGAGGAGACGTCTTGAATTCGAGTTTCGGAAAATACGTGCTACTACCAAATTGCCCTGCCGCATGCCAGACGCTGCACAAGAAAGTTTCAGCCAATGACTCTAACGCCTCAACTTTTATGTACCTCAAACCCGATCCTTTGCAAGATTCCCATCTGGACTCTGTTGTGATATCAACACAGCCAGCTCATCGAAATATGCAAGATGAACGCTCAACCTTGACAAAGTTTCGTCGCGGGTGGATATTTCCTCACGGTCCAAATGAACATCTCTCGCCCTCAGAGCAAGAGGTCGAATGTGAAGTGTTCAACAACTGGACCTTACTTCCCGAACTCAGTATGTGCCCTGCTGCTGAGGAGAATGAATTCAAGTTATCGCGCCCGAGAGTGCTTCCACCACCAGAGTACACACGGAAAAGTTGTGATGATGCAGGACTGACGATTTTCTCGCTGGCAATATCCTTGGATGCTGCATATAAAGACCAATGGACCCTTGAGGAACCCATCTTTATTGAGATCGAAGACAAACCTGAGGCGCTGAAAGACTTTGTCGCGTTTCTGGCTCATGCTACAAAGCTGCTTGACCCTCCTGCAGAATGGAAGACCGTAAGCGTAGCAGCGGGTTGGAGCTGTCGCACGTGTCTTCCTAAACTTCCTGATCTTGAATGGGTGGTCAAGGACAATGTTCTCACAGCCTTTGAAAATCCGAGACAAGCAAAAGAATTCGAGCATGCCTTAGAAATACGCCCAAAGGCCGCAACAGCCATAGTGGTAAGAAGCACGGACACTGCTCACCTTACCGTAAAAATCAACCTGAAGACTTTGGCACATCGTGCTTCATCTCTCCTTTACGAACCTGGCAGACTGGAACTATTGTCCACTGCCCAATGGCGCATCGTCCCTTACAACCGCTTTGCGCTTCATCCCACTTTCGGCCCTTTCGACCTTTCTTCAAATGATAGTGATGTGCCGATCTCGTATGGAGTCGTCGGAAACCGGACTTTATGGCATTCCCAGAGACAGATCTTGTCTTGGATGCAAAATCAGGAAGAGAAACCTGAGAAGTGGAAAGAGCTGTCTCAGATCGAGTGTCGGGTTCCCTCTCTTGGCCTGAACACTGAAGTGAAAGCTTTCTCTGAGAAAATTATTCGAGGCGGCATCATAGCAGACTGTGTTGGAGGTGGCAAGACGACTACCTCCCTGGCACACATCTACCATGGCTACATATCAGGAAGACTAACTAAGGACTCCACAAGCCATGACTCCTCCGGTCTGATTGATAGTGATGCCACGCTGGTTCTTATGCCGAAAAATATCCTGGCGCAGTGGGTTAAGGAGCTCAACGAATGTATCCCGTCCTGGACCGTGTTAACACGAACCAAAAATGATAAAACTGTCAAGCCATGCGACACCAAACCTATTGGGCCTTACTACATTGTGGTCACGAAAACTTCGGAAATTCTGGACTATTCTATCGAAGATTTCAAAAACGCCGCTCTCATACTTGCTCCCTTCAACATCCTCGAAGACGACCAATACTACAAGAATTTGCAAGATCAAGCTTGCGCGCCGCATGTGCCAAATGTTCCCGGTCGCGCGTTCAAACAATGGATGGATCAAGCGATGCATGGCTTGCGTTCTGTTTGCGGTTTCCTGCCATCTGATACTGCACAAGCATGGAATAATTGGGAAAAATTACGCTCCGAGATTCCCAATTATGACCGGTTTCCTGAAACGTTGACTCGTAAAACCAAGAAAGCACAGAAGTCTGGAAAGTCAAAGACTGCTGCATCCAATGATGAGTCTGGTGAGACGTCAGAAGCAACTTTCCGAAAAGACTTCGAGGAGAAGCTCCAAGCGTTCCAAGACAAGGACAAGTTTGAGCCCCTTTTCCACTTATTCCATTTCTCACGAGTCATTGTGGATGAGTTCACCTATGTTGCGGGGAAGTGTCTTCTTGCCCTACTCAAAATCAACGCACAGGCAAAGTGGTTGCTTTCTGGTACGCCCCCGATTCATGACTATGATGGTGTGAACACCATGGCGAAGCTTTTGGGTACTCGTGTGTCCACATTTAACGAACAAGACGGCAAGTTTGGATTTGGAAAAGATCGAGCTAAAATGGTCAAAGACAAATCTGACGCTCAACGATTCAGATACTTACAAAATGTTCTGTCAGCCGGTTACAAGAAGAGCATGTACGAGCATGCTGAGAGCTTCTTGAAGATTTTCGTCCGAAAAAACAAACCATCAATCGAGGGAATAAAAGTGATGTCACATGAGCATTATTTCACTCTCTCGGCGTCGGAAACTGTGGCGTTGGACATGATGAATGATGCGATAGCGAAAGGCCAATGTGATTTCACACGAAAATCACCAAATTCAAAGCAACTCGAGGGTGGGTTGCGAGGCCAGATTCAAGCAGCTGCCCAGAGCTGTGGAAGTCCGGAAGCTGCACGCCTTTGTTTGTCATCCTTTCTTCACACAATCCTTGACCTCAAAGAGCAAGGAGCACAGCAATATGAAGAGAAAGGACTGTCTCTTCTGAAGCATCAACTTGAGGCACAGTGCCTCACCCTTGCAGACAACCTCCTTGAACACCTGAGGGGTCTGTGGCATGCCGACGGGTGTCAGACAGCAACCAAAGTGTTTGACGACCTCATAGACGATATCAACAACGCGGGCACCGAAGAGACCGATGTCGTCCCTCTGTTGAGACAAATGTCCCAATACGCAGAGGCCAACCCAAAGCCGCCCGTCCCAAACTGGGACACCCTCAAAGCCATCCAGAAAGGGAAGGCGGTCGACAATCGGACCACACGTGTCCGAGAACTCATCCCATCCCTCTCCGAGGGGATGGGAAAATTGAGGTTCATGAACTTGGTGTCCTCGGTTGTGAGGTCAGAGGCACTCCAGGCGTGCAATGCCTGTTCCAAGCCCGTTGTGGACTATGACAAAGTCCACATCTCAGTCAAGTGCGGCCACATTGTGGCCTGTTCAGGGTGTGCCTCGGCGTCTTCGCATCCTTTGGGATGCTGCAACTTGTTCCGCCCCGGGGGTATCAAACCGGCTTGCCGGTTTGTTGTTCGACAGCTGGACCCTAGCGTCCAGCATGTCGCGGATGTGGTGAGAGGCACGATGGCCCAAGCGGCCATCTCTCTCATCAAAGGACGGATTCCGCCGGGGGAGTCCGTCGTCGTGTTCATGCAGTTTGCATGGACGCGAGTCCTCTTCGTCGAGGGGTGCCGCCGAACCGGCATCGCGGCGTACGATGCCTGGGGAGGCGACACCTCCTCGATCGAAGACTTCAAGGAGGCCGCGGGGACAGGGCAGGCTGTCCTCGCCTTGAAGGTGGACTCGGAGGACTCGGCGGGCCACAACCTGCAGGTGGCCAACCATGTTGTGTTTTTGGGCCCGGTAATGGGCATGACGGGGGCGGAGAGGGCCGCGACGATGGAGCAGGCAGTTGGCCGCTGCCGCCGACATGGCCAGCGAAAGCTGGTCCATGTTTGGCATTTGGCTCCGGAGTCTGTGTAGGGGGGCGGCCGGGGGAGAGGAGGGGGGAGAGGAGGGGGGAGAGGAGGGGGGAGAGGAGAGGGGAGAGGGGAGAGGTGGTGTGTTGTGTGTTGTGTGGGTTGGTGGTTGGGTGGGCGGGTGGTGTGTGTGTGTGTGTGTGTGCTCTTTTCTTTCTTTCTTTTTTCTTTTGTGTGTGGGTGGTGGTTTGTGTGTGTTTTTACTTGGTTGTTGGAGTAGGAATAAAAAATGTTGGAAAAAGAATTCCCTGTGTAGGCTGTCACTGTGAATTGAACGACCACCATGCTCCCAGGAACTCGTTAGAGGCGACACTGAACGCCCTGTATATGTCTCATTGAGGTATGTTTAGGCTCTTTATGGGATCGCGATATGAGATCGTGGCGACCCCCTTTCGCACTGTCCATCTTCGATGGAATTGTGTTCATCACCCCATCTAGTTGGCCTTGTCTGATTGTAATGATTCCTGTGTCGGGCACCTCAGCTAACCAGGTTCATCAGATCGCGATCTGACATCGCGGCGATCCCCTTTTGCACTGTCCATCATTGATGAAGTTGTGCTCACCACCTCATCTAGTTAATTGATCTTGTCAGATTGTCATGATTCCCTTCTACACTGCACATCACTGATAGGATTGGGTCAGCCACCTCACCCAACTGGGATTATCAGATCGCGATATGATATCGCGGCGATCCCCTCTCGCATCTACTCAAATCCCCACTGAGTCTCTGTCGAACCCCCTCTTAATTGCTATTGCCAGATCGCGGTCTGATGTTGCGGCGAATGTCTTTAGTATCGTCAATGCGCCATCCTTTGAATCACAAGGCTGACGCCACTACCAAGGGTCTTCATCAAATCAGCGTCGCCCAGCGATCGTAGCAGCTACGGGGGAGCCTGGAACGTGAACGTCAAAGACTCCCTTGGGCATATCGGCCTCGAGGAGCCAGAAATGCAAGCTATTATGATCCAACCATATTCTTTTCATGACCATCTGGCGCTGAAACGTACTTCCGGGACCCATGGGCGCCTGGATTGCTCGCTCCGTAGCTCCTATCCCTCAGGCGGTCTCTTTGAGGAGGAATCGGGCAGTGATTGTTCTGGACATCAAAACGAAACGCCGTCTGATCAAAACTAAACTTACACAGTCAATGAACCGGCGTATTCGGGCCTCTTCCAGTCCCCAAGTAGTGTGCTTCGAGATCTGGAGGGCCGTCATTTGGACTTGGGCTTCAGGTTCCGAAAGTGCTCTTCGTCTCTCGGAATTCGTGATTTCGCTCACGTAGGAGACGACGCCGGCCCGAGACGTCTTGGTACATCATCGCCGTGTTTCCGGAACGAGTTTGAACCAAGGTTATCTTCATCGTACAAGCAGTTGCTTGATTACATCTCCAACAATGTGGATAGACTCTTTTTGTTGTCCGAATTGAATGCATCGCTGATCGATAGATAGCCGTGGTCATAGGGGGGCGACAGCCTGACACGTGAGCAGGGAGTGGAGGAATTGAACTGGTCGACGCTCCCAATGAAAGAGGACCAGAATTAATATTACCTGGGTACGGAGTACAATGCAGGATTTTCACCCTGTTCTCAAACATCCAAGGATTAAAATAATGATGATGATGATGATTATTGCATAAACCTCCGTCGTTTCTCAAGTTCTCGATGATAATGAACACCAACAATGTTACAGTACGATTGATGAGATTGGCCCCCTGTCGTGGCCAGCCGAATAGTTCCCGAAGCTTGCATGGCTGGGGGCCCAACACTATATTTAGTGCAAGTCCATCTATCGAACCGGGAGGATGGGGCTAAAAATCATCGGGTTTGATGAGAGCGAGCGGTACGGGTGGTACTCCATAGCTATGCGAAACACTCGTACTGTACGGATAGTTACATACTACTGCGCAAAGGGTTTCCCCCTGAGCACACTGAGCCTGCACCAGATCTCACCCTCGGCATGGCCCCGTGGCAGATGGTTGACCAACCGTAGCGGAGTCCTCTTTCCGGATGTACTCCTGACAAGCCGAGCGGGGATTTGGATCTTCCCGTGGCTGCAGCCTGCAATCGAGAATGAGAGGACAATCGGGACAAGATGATGGGATTGGGAGCAAGGAGGGTAAAAGAATGAGCCCGTCTTCTAGGAGCTGAAGGGGTTTCGGGATATGCATCGGTGGATTAATTGCCATCGACGGGCAGCCAACAGTAAACATCGGACTCCGAAATTGTATTTTGGACCAGGGGGCGGAGTCCGCCTGGGAGCGCCACAAGATCATTATCGATCTCGGAAATCAGGCGCTCCATGAGGCTGAACAGACACAATAATAATAATAGGCCATGGCCATCTGACGGGACAGTCTTCAAAAGATAGCCACCATATACGAGATACGAAGGACCCGTCTGTGCGACCGCCTCAGCCGGTAAGATCATCTTGCTTCCGCGCAGTATGTCGGCGTTGAGAGGAGACGATCTCTCTCTTCCGAAGTTCCTTCTGACCGCAGACCCATTGGGGCAATCAAGGTGAAGAGCGGCAGTGGCGGCTGGTGGGAGGGAGGCATCGATACACTTTCGATCGTATTGTAGGGTGTAGGGGACGGGGAAAGGATGGAGGTGACGCATTCTTTCCACCGGCAGTCGAGTCTCAACAAAGCAGATTGTTGTAGTGTAAAAAATTGTTGGAGTTGGGGATGGGCTCCAAGCTTCGTTCGGGAAATCGGGAAATATGGAAATCGCTGGGCGTGTTTGGCGGGCAGCGAATCGATCGACGGCTGGTGGCAAGCCTAAGGGGAGACACACCCAGTCAGATTGAAGCCGGCGACCCTGGACAGGGTGATGGTGGTGTTGACCCTGGCCGATTAGCCCCGGCGACTTGAAAGGGCTGCTCCCAAGTCCCAACTGAAAATCGCCCGGGAGGACTGGCACGGTGGTACAGTACGGTGCTGCGGGCTGTCAGCAGTCTTGGTGAGAGTCGCAGCAGCCCACTTACTCGGAGGCGCATGGGAGGCGTGTGAGGAGGGCCAAAGAGACAGCGTGCGATCACTGAGTGATGGAGACCGTGGCCGCACAGATTTGGTGATGCGCTTTCTTGTCCGGCCCGCGCTAAACCCAATCGCGTCCCCCCATTCAACAGCTGCAGCACGCGGTGCACAGGACAACTTTTTGCTCCCCTGTACGGCTGTCTCACTAGACCGCACTACGACGTACACATACATCAGCGTTCCCTCACGACGCCGACACTATTATACCTTGCATTGCACATCAGATCTTGCTTGCTGCTGACTTCTCAATCCTCCCGCTCCTCTCCTCGCTTCCTTCCACAAACCTGACCTGTCCACTCCTTACTCTTCTTCCCTTCACCATAGACTTCGTCTGGGTCTGTGTTCGGGCACCTACGGTTTAATTGGCGTGTTTCCAGATTCTCCTTTTTCCTGCCGCGGTCCTCCCTCTCCCTCTCCCTCTCCGAAACGGAAAGACACTTTGCCTGAGCCTCAGCGTCCTCCGCGAGTTGCATGAGCTAGTCGTTTCGCTATAACCATGGCTCCCACCACCAACGGTGTCAACGGGGTCAACGGCGCCTCAGCACGCCGCTCCACGCTGGTCAACAGCAAACCCAGCGAGTGGCAGGCAAAGCACAAGATTGCACCACACTTCATCGGTGGCAACAGACTAGAGAAAGCCCCCCCGAGCAAAGTAAAAGACTTTGTACAAGCCCAGGATGGGCATTCGGTCATTACTTCGGTATGTTGTGCAGAGATGCAACCGTTGGGTGGTTGGGAGCGCAGCTGACACGGACCTGTACAGGTGCTCATCGCGAACAACGGTATTGCAGCGGTCAAAGAGATCCGTTCAGTACGAAAATGGGCCTACGAGACGTTCGGCGACGAACGGGCTATCCAGTTCACGGTGATGGCCACGCCCGAGGATTTGCAGGCAAACGCAGACTATATTCGTATGGCGGATCAATACGTCGAGGTAGGTGACATGGTGTATACTGCAAGATAAAGGATCTCCAACTGACAGTCCCTCCCAGGTTCCCGGAGGCACGAATAACAACAACTATGCCAACGTAGAACTGATTGTCGACGTTGCGGAGAGAATGAACGTCCACGCCGTCTGGGCGGGCTGGGGTCACGCTTCGGAAAATCCCAAACTGCCAGAGTCGCTGGCAGCCTCTCCCAAGAAGATCATCTTCATTGGCCCTCCAGGTTCCGCAATGCGGTCTCTGGGTGACAAGATCTCCTCCACAATCGTCGCACAACACGCACGAGTACCCTGCATTCCGTGGTCGGGAGAAGGAGTTGACGATGTGGAAATCGACAGCGAAGGAATCGTCACTGTCCGTGATGATATCTACGACAAGGGCTGCGTACACTCACCCGAAGAGGGTTTGGAAGCCGCGAAGAAGATTGGCTTCCCCGTCATGGTGAAAGCCTCCGAAGGCGGTGGTGGCAAGGGTATTCGAAAAGTCGAGAATGAAGCTGAATTCACCAGCCTCTATAACGCCGCCGCTAGCGAAATACCCGGTTCTCCCATCTTCATCATGAAGCTTGCAGGCAATGCGCGACATTTGGAGGTGCAGTTACTGGCCGATCAGTACGGAAATAACATCTCCCTGTTTGGCAGAGATTGTTCCGTCCAGCGAAGACATCAAAAGATCATCGAAGAGGCGCCTGTCACAATCGCCAATCCAGACACCTTCCACTCCATGGAAGAGGCCGCTGTGCGATTGGGTGAGCTGGTCGGCTATGTGTCGGCCGGTACTGTGGAATACCTCTACTCCCACGCAGACGACAAGTTCTACTTCTTGGAGTTGAATCCCCGTCTCCAGGTCGAGCATCCCACGACCGAAATGGTGAGCGGTGTCAACTTGCCAGCTGCCCAGCTTCAAATCGCCATGGGTATTCCCCTCCACCGCATCCGTGACATTCGCTTGTTGTACGGTGTGGACCCCCATACCGCAACTGAGATCGATTTCCATTTCAAGGACCCCGCCAGCCTGAAGACCCAACGTCGCCCCAGACCAAAGGGCCACACAACTGCTTGCCGTATCACGTCCGAAGATCCTGGTGAGGGTTTCAAGCCATCAAGCGGTACCATGCACGATCTCAATTTCCGTTCGAGCTCGAATGTCTGGGGTTACTTTTCCGTATCCTCGGCTTCTAGTATCCACAGTTTCTCTGACAGTCAGTTCGGTCACATCTTCGCTTACGGCGAGAACCGACAAGCTTCCAGAAAACACATGGTTGTTGCTTTGAAAGAATTGAGCATTCGTGGTGATTTCAGAACCACCATCGAATATTTAATCAAGCTCCTAGAAACCCCTGCCTTTGAAGACAACACCATCACCACTGGCTGGCTGGACCAGTTGATCTCCAACAAACTGACGGCTGAGCGCCCTGATCCAATGCTGGCCGTGCTGGCCGGTGCGCTGACCAAGGCACACTTGGCTAGCGAAGCTTGCATTGCCGAATACCGCAAGGGTCTGGAGAAGGGCCAAGTGCCGTCGAAGGATGTTCTCAAGACGGTTTTCCCCATCGAGTTCATTTACGAGGGGCAGAGATACAAATTCACCGCCACCAGAGCGAGTCTCGACAGCTACCACATCTTCATCAACGGTTCCAAGTGCCTCGTCGGCGTCCGAACACTGGCCGACGGTGGTCTGTTGATGCTCGTTGCAGGACGATCTCACAGTCTCTACTGGAAGGAGGAGGCGACTGCCATTCGCCTCAGCGTTGACAGCAAGACTTGCCTGCTCGAGCAAGAAAATGACCCTACTCAACTCCGAACGCCGTCTCCGGGTAAACTTGTCAAGTATACCGTCGACAACGGTGAGCATGTCAAAGCTGGCCAGGCGTTTGCAGAAGTCGAGGTCATGAAGATGTACATGCCTCTTATCGCACAGGAGGACGGTGTTGTTCAGTTCCTCAAGCAACCTGGCGCCACCCTTGAGGCCGGTGATATTCTGGGTATCCTGGCCCTAGACGACCCGTCCAGGGTCAAGACTGCTGAGACGTTTACTGGAAAGCTTCCAGACTTGGGACCCCCCCAGGTCGTCGGAAACAAGCCTCCACAGCGATTTGCCCTCCTCCTCGGCATCTTGCAGAACATCCTGCTCGGTTTTGACAACCAGGTCATTATGGCCTCCACTTTGAAGGAGCTCATCTCCGTTCTTCGAGATCCTGAGTTGCCTTATGGCGAATGGTCTGCCAGATCTTCTGCCCTGCACTCGCGAACTCCACAACGATTGGATGCTCAGCTCTCGCAGATTGTTGAGCGTGCACATGCCAGGCACGCTGAGTTCCCAGCCAAGCAGCTCCAGAAGGCCATCAACCGCTTCATCGAAGAGAACATGTCCAAGACCGATGGCCTCACACTCCACACCACTTTGGCGCCACTCGAGGACGTTATCTCTCGATACTCTGAAGGCCTTAAGGTTCATGAGTTCTCTGTTTTCACAGGATTGCTCGATCAATACTATGATGTTGAGAAACTCTTTGCTTCAGGCTCACACAGAGATGAGGACGTCATCCTCAAGTTGCGAGAGGAGAACAAGGACGACATTCTCTCTGTCTGCTACACCGTCCTTTCACATACCCGTGTGTCTGCAAAGAACAACTTGATCGTGTCTATTTTGGAGATGTATCGACCTAACCAGCCGAACGTCGGTAACGTCGGCAAATACTTCAAGGCTTCTCTGCGTCGTCTCACAGAGCTCGAGTCCCGAGCGACTGCGAAGGTTGCATTGAAAGCTCGCGAACTGCTTATTCAGTGTGCCATGCCTTCTTTGGAAGAGAGAGTGTCCCAAATGGAGCACATCCTCAAGTCTTCAGTTGTCGAATCTAAATATGGTGAGACAGGTTGGGAACACCGAGAACCTGATCTGGAGATTCTGAAGGAGGTGGTCGACTCTCGTTACACTGTCTTCGACGTCATTCCCCTCTTCTTTGCCCATCATGACCCATGGGTTGGACTTGCGGCTCTCGAGGTGTATATCCGACGTGCCTACCGTGCCTACACTGTGCGAGAAGTCGAGTATCACAACGATGTTGAGCCACCTTTCTTCCTCTCATGGGACTTTGTCCTACGCAAGGTGGGCCAAGCCGAATTTGGTCTTCCTCTGGCATCTTCGTATCCATCAGGACAGGCTACGCCGTCCCAACAGGGCAGCCCGTTCAAGCGCATCACTTCTGTGAGCGACTTGTCGTACCTGAACAAATTGCAATCTGATGACGAACCCACACGGAAGGGTGTGATCGCGCCATGCCACTACTTGGACGAGGTTGATGAGTGCCTTGCCCGCGCTTTGGAAGTCTTCCCGAAGGGAACCAAGGAGAAGCGTCCCAGCCAGCAACATCTCATGCCCACTCTCGACAGTGTCCGCAAACCTCAGCCAAAGCAACCTGAGCCTGTCGATGATGACTTGACCAATGTCTGCAACATTGCCATCCGCGACACTGAAGATCTGCCCGATGACGAGATCCTCGGCCGCGTCCAGAGCTTGGTAGCGGAAAACAAGGCCGAGCTCCTTGCTCGCAACGTTCGTCGGGTCACTTTTATCTGCGGTCACAAGGACGGATCGTACCCGGGATACTTCACTTTCCGTGGAGCCAATTACGAGGAAGACGTGACTATTCGACATAACGAACCTGCTCTTGCTTTCCAACTTGAGCTCGGAAGGCTGTCCAAGTTCAAGATCAAGCCTGTCTTCACCCAAAACCGGAACATTCATATTTATGAGGCTATTGGCAAGGGCGAGGATAGAGACAAGGTCGTTGACAAACGTTACTTCGTTCGTGCAGTCGTGCGCCCAGGCCGTCTGAAGGATGAGATTCCAACTGCGGAATACTTGATCACGGAGACCGATCGTCTCGTCAACGATATCTGTGACGCCCTTGAGATCATTGGCAACAACAACTCTGATCTCAACCACATCTTCATCAACTTCTCACCAGTCTTCAATCTGCAGCCAAAGGACGTTGAGGAAAGAATTGCTGGCTTCCTGGAACGATCTGCTAGACGATTCCTTCGACTTCGCATCACTGGAGCAGAGATCCGAATTCTCTGTACTGATCCAGAGACTGGACTGCCATATCCCCTTCGCGTGTTCATCACCAACACCTCCGGCTATGTGGTCAATGTAGAAAGCTACGTTGAGAAGAAGTCACGCTCCGGCGAATGGGTGTTTGAGAGCATTGGTGGCACGACCAAAGTCGGATCTATGCACCTCCGATCAGTGTCAACTCCTTATGCCTCAAAGGAGTGGTTGCAGCCCAAGCGTTACAAGGCTCACCTCATGGGCACTCAGTATGTCTATGACTTCCCTGAGTTGTTCAGACAGGCAGTTGCAAACAGTTGGGCAAAGGCTATTGCTAAGCATTCGCCTATGGCTGATTCCAGACCTGAGGTCGGCCACTGCCTTGACTACAATGAGTTGATCCTCGACGATAGCGACAACACCACCGAAGTGTCCCGCGAGCCAGGTACCAATAACTGTGGTATGGTTGCATGGGTGGTGACCGCCAAGACCCCTGAATACCCTAGAGGTCGAAAATTCGTTATCATCGCCAACGACATCACTTTCCAGATTGGTTCATTTGGCCCCAACGAAGACAAGTTCTTCAATAAATGTACAGAATATGCACGCAAGCTTGGCATTCCACGGATTTACTTGTCTGCCAACTCTGGTGCTCGCATTGGCATGGCTGATGAGCTCATCCCACACTTCTCGGTGGCCTGGAACGATGAGGGCAAGCCGGAAGCTGGTTTCAAGTATCTCTACCTCACTCCCGAGAAGAGGAAACAGCTCACGCATAAGGAAGTCATTACTGAAGAGATCCAAGAAGACGGTGAGACCCGACACAAGATCGTTACCATCGTTGGTAGCAAAGACGGGTTGGGCGTTGAATGTCTACGTGGTTCTGGACTCATTGCAGGTGCTACCTCCAAAGCTTATGAGGACATCTTCACCATCACCCTCGTCACTTGTCGATCAGTTGGTATTGGTGCCTACCTCGTCCGTCTCGGTCAGCGAGCGATTCAAATCGAGGGCCAACCGATTATTCTCACTGGTGCTCCTGCTTTGAACAAGGTGTTGGGTAAGGAAGTTTACACCTCCAACTTGCAGCTTGGTGGTACCCAGATCATGTACAGGAACGGTGTTTCCCACATGACTGCCAGCGACGACTTCCAAGGCGTGGAGAAGATTGTGGAATGGATGTCTTTCATTCCTGACAAGAAGGGTCAACCAGTGCCAGTTGGTATTGCCGCTGACACTTGGGATCGTGACATCAGCTTCTACCCGCCTCGTGGACCATATGACGTGCGACATCTCATTGCTGGTAAGGCAGATGACGAAGGGTTCTTGTCTGGTCTCTTCGACAAAGACTCTTTCCAGGAGGCTCTTGGCGGCTGGGCAAAGACTGTTGTGGTCGGTCGTGCTCGCCTGGGTGGCATTCCTATGGGTGTCATTGCAGTAGAGACGCGCACCGTCGAGAATGTCATCCCGGCTGATCCTGCCAACGCCGACTCGATGGAACAGGTTGTGCAGGAAGCCGGCGGTGTGTGGTTCCCTAACTCGGCCTTCAAGACGGCTCAAGCCCTGAAGGATTTCAACTATGGTGAACAGCTGCCGGTCATGATCCTTGCCAACTGGCGTGGTTTCTCTGGTGGTCAACGTGATATGTTCAATGAAGTCTTGAAGTATGGTTCGTACATTGTTGACGCCCTCGTCAAATACGAGCAACCAGTATTTGTGTACATTCCTCCATTTGGTGAACTCCGTGGTGGTTCTTGGGTAAGTTTTGGGTACTCTTCTATGGATTTGAATAACAAACTAACATATCATCAGGTCGTCGTTGATCCTACCATCAACCCTGAACAAATGGAAATGTATGCTGACGAAGAGTCTCGTGGTGGTGTCCTGGAACCCGAAGGTATTGTTGGCATCAAGTACAGACGCGAGAAGCAACTTGAGACCATGGCCCGTCTTGATCCCACCTATGGTCAGCTCAAAGCTCAGTCTCTTGCTAAGGACTTGACTTCTGAACAATTGAACGAGATCAAGGTCAAGATGGCGGAGCGAGAGCAACTGCTTGGACCTATTTACCAGCAGATTGCCCTTCAATTTGCAGACCTTCACGATCGTGCTGGACGTATGGAAGCCAAGGGAACGATCCGTATGCCACTCAAGTGGCAGAACGCCCGAAGATTCTTTTACTGGCGTCTTCGACGAAGATTGTCCGAAGAGGTTCTGCTCAAGAAGTTGAATGCCAGTTTGGCGGCTGGTGGTGTACCCACCACTCCCAACGCCCTGGCACAAAAGGAGAGCAACCTTGCCATGCTCCGAAACTGGTCTGGCCTGCTCGATGTTGAGTTTGACAAGGACGACCGCAAAGTTGCCGAGTGGTACGAGAGCCACCGAAAGGAGGTCTACGCCAAGATCGATGCTGTCAAGAGCGAAGCTGTCAGCAAGAAGGTGTCGGAGTTACTGATGGGTAACAAGGAAGGTGGTTTGAAGGGTGTACGTGAAGTTTTGAGCCTTGTGCCTACGAGTGAGAGGGAACAGCTTGTCAAGTATTTGACCGGTGCTTGAAAAAGGAAAAAGAAGGCCAGAGATTGAAGCATAAATCTGATTGGATTTTGATTTGACGATGATAGCGGGAAATACTTTCTTGTCATTGCAATAAGGTGGTTGCTACAGAGGCATCAGGCAACCGGACCCCGTTGGTAAGGATAAGGACCTGGGAATTGGGGTGGGAAGAGACGATATTATTGTTTTCACTCATCGAGGACTGGTTTACATATGCAGGCGCTGCTTTTGCTTGTTTTCACTTTGATTATTTGAGTTGAGTTATGTTGGGCAGTTACTCTCCAGTTGGTGATGTAAAGAAGCAAATGGAGATTATATACCCCCGGTCTTTCTCGTCTCGTGTCTTTGCCTTTGTCTCATCGATCATGCTGTTCGCCTTGTGCGAGGTGAGTAAAGTCAACATCTCATGGCAGCAGACGCGTCTTTCCTCGTTGCAGCATTGTTTGCTGATCGCCTCGATAGGGACGTTGCGGGCATAGAACGCGGCGTGCCCACTCGTTGAACAGCCTTCCACTGGCTGGCTGCATGGGCCGGGCCCGAGGAAACTTCGAGGTCGGCCATTCTCGGCGGCAGAATAGAGATGGAGAGGTGTTTGTTGCCCCCGTCGTCGTTCCGTTTAGATTTCAGCCGTCGTCAATATTCGCACCCCCCTGGGCCTTGCAAGAAGACGTGGGCCTGGGTGGGTGGGATCTTGACGGGTTTGGGTGTGGTATCTCTATCGTAACTATCGAGGCGAAAAGCCCCCTGCCCGCCCCCCAAGCAAAAGGTCCAGGTTAGCTTTTTCCATGCCTCGAAGTGTGTTTTGGGAGGCTCGGCCCTCGCTGCTGCTGGTGGCCAAATTGACGTTAGTACGTTGTTGCGGCAATACATCTACGGGAGTACTAGTCAGCAGCAGCACTCATTTTGTTTTTGTTTTTTTTTGGCCCAGACCAGTCTCCTTCTGGGTTTTACTTTACCGTAGGTCCAACTCAGATATACTATCGTTGTACGGACTGCATACATAGGGTTTTTGTTTCTTCCACGATTTGGGAGTGCGACGAGCCAGGGGCGCCAGTCGCGGTTCACGGCGGCGGGCCTTCGTACCGGTGAGGAAAGTTTTGGGGTTTGCTTCGTTTTGTTCACCTTTTCTATGTGTACAAATACGTATATATACGTTACATATGTCAGAGTTTGTAACATCCCCTTTTCAACAAGGTCAGTGAATCCCCCACACCCGCACCGTCGCCACGGATAAATTCCCACTTCAAGGCCGTGGCGTTGTAGACGGTCAGTTTGCTGAAGCCATAGTGTTCCTGGTCCAGAACGTTCGTGATGTTCTTGATGGGTTCGTCGGCGTCGAGCGTGCTGTGCGATTCGATGTTGCCTGCCATGCCGTTGATGATGTGCGTCATCTGTGGCGATTTGGATATTGTGTCAGCTGGGAAAGGGAAATTGCATACGGCTCGAAAAATGGAACAAAGTAATAAAGCAATAAAGCAATAAAGTAATAAAGCAATAAAGCAATAAAGCAATAAAGCAATAAAGCCAGAAAGTCAAGTAAAACAAACGAGTGCTTGACGTCTTTCTCTTAAGATCGTGAGTTACGAAAGAGAATATTGGGGCAAGGAAGGTAGTGAGTGTAGTAAGAAGGGTGCTTCGATCACTACCGTAATTGGTTCGTGCGTGTAATGGATTACTTCGGTGCTTGGGTACTGAGACATCATAACAGGGTAGAAGGCGGCATGGGTTCACTTACCGAGGTGCCTGGGTTGGTAAGGTACGTATTGTTTCCGATGATAGACGAAGAATCGATTGTTCCGTTTGCTCCTAGGGGCCAGAGCCGTTCGTACCAGTGGATATGCCTAGCGATACAACAACATGTCAGTAAGAAAATCAATGAATCTTTTGTGTGTGTGAGTGTGTGTGTGTGTGAGTGTCTTTGTGAACCCCCGAGGCAATTCGCAGAAGTCGTAGAGGTCGTTTCCTTACCCTGCCAAATACATGTCGACTTCATGTTCGAGAAGCAATGCTTCGAAGGCGTTACGGATGTATTTCTGATAACTCGACGTCTCGGAACTGTACATCGGTCGATGACTCATGGCGATCACCCAAGGTGTCTTGGTGCGGTCCACGCTCTCGAGATCCTTGACGAGCCACTGGTATTGTTGGTAGGATTGCACTTTACTGTATGGTCCGTCCACGGTGCCAAAAGGACCACTGTCGGTAATGTACGTTTGGTACTCGGTCGGGTGGGTCTCGTTGCCTTTGAGGTCGGCTTCGAACGGATATTCCGGACTATGCGGGAAATCTGTCTCACCGTCGAGGGCGATGAAGTGGACAGTGCCGTAGTCAAATGAGTACCAGAAGTTGCCGACCCCTCCGGTCTCTTCGCCCGGCATGTAGAAGCGGTACTGGAATGCAGTGAAATTTCTTGACCAGACTGTCAGCAATGGACCATGGGAAAAGAAAGAAGACGGAGAAGAGGAAAGAGGGTAAACCGAGACTATCAAGTTCTGGAGGGTGGTAGATTTACCTCTGTGATGGTGGACAACTGTAATACGTCAAATTAGTCTCTGGGGCTGTCGCGTTGGACTTGTCGTCGTTCAGATAGGCTGTGAGAGGGTTTCCGGGCCCGTCGAACTCGGCACATGCCGCTTCGTGGTTTCCTGGCATCACCATGTATGGAATCTTGTTGGTCACTTTGCCGACCCATTGTTGCCAGAGATCCCAGTTGGATTCGTAGAGGACGCTCATATCGCCGCCGAGAGGGCCCCCTTGGTTCGGCACTTCTCCTTCTGGCAAAGGATCATTGTAGTCAGTGGGGTAGTCTCCAGGAGGAATTTGTGTTGATGTGCCATTGTAGCACACGGGCCAGTCGCTTTCGCATGGTAGAATGCCCGAGTACCAGTCATCAGCGTAGCTTAGATCTCCTCCGTGCCAGGCGAAAGCGATACCCTCGTCGACGGCCTGTGTCAAGTGCTTGAATGTGCCGATGGCGTTGGTATAGCCCATGTCGTTGAGCACGGCCATGGAGAATGGAGTCTCGTCGCCCGCTGCCTGGGCCGTAGAGAAACTCATGACTTGGGATGTTGTTGTGCCATTGGCGGCCGGAATCTGGTAGTAGTAAGTCGTCCCAGGGTCAAGACCTGTGATCTGAACGTCGTGGAAGAATTGGCTGCATTGGGTCACGGCGACCAAAGAACATGGAGGTGTGCGGTCGTATCTAGATCCCGTAAGTCAACAGTCAATGATTTGAGCGGGATCTTGGAGGGACATTACTCACGTGCGACTGTAGCCTTGGGCTTTGCGGTCCAGCTTGCCAGCTGTGGTCCCCCAGAAGACGGTCGGAGACACTCCCAAGCCAAAAGGTGTCTGGTAATGGATGTTGATGCCATTCGGTAAGTAGGACAGCTGAATAACGTTGACGTTGTTGGTCGGATTCTTTGTCGACGGCGTCACTGCTGGTGGCTCTACAAGCCGAGCAAATCCTTTGCCGTTGCCATTGACCGTGGGGTCAACCCAGTCACCCACGGGTATCGCCGGACCAGTGTAGTCATAGGTGGTGTCGACGACAGGAGCACCTTCGACAGCGGCAGCCAACAAGCCATACACAGCATATGTTGTTTTGACCTTCATCTTGACGACTCACGCCCACCTTGGAAGACCAGAGAACCTGGGTCAAGCTTTGCCAAGGTCCAGCCACGAACGGGCAGGGCGGAAGCGAGGCTTAAATATCGAAGGAGCCCGAAGGTAGAAATGGCCCCAAGCGAAATGCCCGCCCATCTTGTTCCTACCGATACAGTATACTTTCCGGCTTTCGCGGTGCCTGCAGAGATAACCAGCAACGGGCCAATGAAGGCGCACGTATTAGATGGTGCGCTCTCAGTTCGCTTGCAAGCGAGCAGACACAAATCAGAGACTCCAGGGCGCCAGGCCCGGGAGGGAAGCTCATATCAAGGATCGACAAGGCTAGAGGCCAGCCACAGTAGCATCCGAAGAGCTTCTTCCATGGGGCGTCGGGCCTCTCCGACTCAACGCACAATCTTGTATTCGTGTTCGTGAGTGATACTCGACACCCACGTCCCAGATCCTTAGAAGTTATGTTCCCCTCGGTCAGCTTGTGGGACTGCAGGCTGATTCTGCAGCGACGAATCAAGATGCGCCACGGTGGATGTGGTCAATTCAGCAACCAGGCAGCATTCAGATCCGTAGGACGCCCACTGACATATCGCTCGAAGAACGCCTCGTGCAATGCGGCTGCATTGATCAAAGTTGCTTTCAACAGTCGTATCTTGACAGTCTCTTCTGTGATAATCGCTTCGATGGGTCATATCACTCTTATCGCTCTCGTACTGCCCCACTGAACCCCCGCAAATCAGTAAACCTCTGTCTGCTCCCTTCAGAGAATTCCGTTCACCAATCTTGACCTTTGCACGGTCCGTTTTCGCTTCGAAATGTGAGCACCTCACCGGTTTTTCCTGCGCCCTGGATATGCGGACCCAAACCCGGCGGCCCTGTTATTAGGCCGAGCTAATCAGGGCAGCCCGCAGTGGCCCAGATGCGCCCGAACACTATTCAGAATCAGCCTTGCTCATGCAGGTGCTCCTCCCCGTAAACGTAATCGCTAAATGCAGGAGAATTGAAGAAAAGCCCCAGCCTGATGCTCCATTTACAATTTACCCATAGCACCGTTACGCTCCCCCTTCTCTTCCTTTGAATTCATTCATTGTTTCGAAAGCCTTTCAGAAAGTCTTTTGGAACTGCGTCCTACCCCAGCCCTAAGTATGGCAGAAATCGTCGGTGTCGTCGCCAGTGGTGCCGGTGTCGCTTCTCTAGGAATTGAGCTTCTTCAGATTGCGTACGGGCTGAAGGACTTTTCTTCGTCCATCAAGGATGCGCCTGCGGAGATCGCCTGCCTGATAGACGAGTTACTCCTTCTGACCAATATTTTGAAAGGCATATGGGACAGGCGTCCTCCTGAAACCTCAGGAACAGTTCCAGAAGCGACCTGGGAGGCTTGTCACCAACATTGTGAATCAGCAGTCGGTATCTTGGCTAGCGTAGCCACAGAGCTTGAGGCGTCTCTAAAGAAGCATAAAATATTGGGCAGCTTGAGAGTGGTGTTAAGTCAACAGAAAGTCAGCAAATATAAAGAGCGGTTAGAAAGGGCGAAATCGATTCTCCTGTTGGCGCAACAGGCGTCATTCTTGTGTGTCGATGTCTCGTTCGGTTTTAATGATTTCGCTGACTTTGACAATTTAGCACGTTTATGCAGATCCAACAGGCATCAATACTATCCAAAGTCGAGGCTACACAAAATCTCCTTCAACCTACCGTCCGCCAAATTGAAAGCCGGGCCGTGGTCAGTTCTATCGCTGTCCAGGTGCCAAAGCCTGTGGAAACTGAGACAGATACTGTCCAAATGACATGTTCAAAGCCAAGATACCCCCGACTCAAGCCAAGTTGGGCATTTCGACTCTCGCCATGGTGGCTAAACAGAGTTTTTGAGATGCAAAGAGACCATTCTTGGCAGGGATTCTCATTTTCGCTTCGCTCCTACAAAATTCGTTCCTGGGATACTTTGGCGATTGCTGGAGAAAGCTCAGTTACCGAAGTGGTCCAGATGTTACAAGACAAGAAGCTTTTCTTATGGGATCAGGATCCGAGTGGGCGCACTGTTCTACACGTGAGTTATTTACAAGACGTATTTCAATGTGAAAGTTCTGAATAATTCCAGTTTGCTGCGCTCGCGGAAAACTTCAAATTGTGTCAATTCCTAGTTCGTTCTGGTCTTGACGTTAACTCCCGAGCAAGATATGCTGAAACTCCTTTCGACATGCTATGGGTCAATGACTTCTATGAGCTTACACGTACTAAATATATGGAGAAGCCAGATCTATTTGAGATGGTCAAGCTGCTCGCTATCGAAAACGGAGCCGATGAGATACTGCGGGAAAGCCATCTAGACTCACGCGAGGTATTCAGTCGAAATTCCCCATCAGTGACAGCATTTATTGGGAAATATCTCGCAATGGATATGAGCTATGAGCAAGCAGCTCAGTATCGTTTCACAAGCGCCATGAGCTCGCTGGAGTTTGATGACGGATTCTTCTGGGCAAGACTGGGAACAGAAACGATCCCTGAATTGAACGTGGCTCGGATGTTGAATGAAAACGCTGACGGCTGGAAACTCTTTCACAGAATAGCGGGCCATTTCGGACGCGTTTACTCAACAACAAAGAACCAGCCCGAAATCTTAGAAAAGATGCTTGGATGGCAGAAGGTCGTGGAGTTTTTGGTTTTCTTCCAGCCGATATTGACAGTTCCTCTGGATAGGAGATACGAACATAAGACGTGCCGGTCGCCTTTATCAAGACTCCTTGAAGGTGCACTATTCGACAGGAGAGTTGTCCCTGGACATAACTTCCACCAAAAGGATCTACTCCAAGTACTATACGCCTGGGTGCAATGGCTAATGGATATAGGGGTGAATACCGCCCAGTATGGTAATTTGGAGAAGCAGTGGGTAAAGCTATACCCAGCGCATTTTACTCGCAACTTGGAATTTATTGGGAAGCACAGCTACAGAGTAATCTGCTTGGAAACCGGTCCTTCTGCTTCTGACTGGAATATTTGGCTCAACAACCCCCTGGACGAGCATTCTGAGGATTTCTGGTTCTTGACAGAGAATCCGGAGTATTTCATACCAGGAGCATGGCAATTGTCACCTGCAAACTACGGCTTTTTTCATATGGACTGCTGGAAAGTCTATCTGTCCTCTCTCCGGAGATGCAAGAGGCTGTTTAGGTACATGCAGCTGCCTCAGAAACCTGCTTGTAAATCCTGTTGGGTTGAAATTTTTGGTTATCTGTATGGAGATGCAAACTGTTGCCCAATTTCGCGATCCAGATGTGATAGGGGTATCAATTGCCATTATCATTGTGGTTGGGATCTCAGCGGCTTGAAAGACTCTGACTTATGTCAAACTCACCTTGAAAGCACGGAGGCGGACTTGGAAAAGCTCAGGTCCTATGAGGCTAGGATGACTTCGACTTTCATCCTGGGTCGTGGAGACAAGAGGTTAAGGCATGGGCGGAGGATTGCCTTCGTATGAAATTGGTAGTGCTCGCGTAATCGACTCATAGCCATGGCTTCTTCCTAAGCTTATCCCACGAACAATATAGAAGCGACTATCATGCCTGACAAAGGCAGGCAGTCTTGATCGGCGTACCTCTTGTTTATTCCCACGTCTACTAGTTAGATATTGTCAGTTCTCGACTTTACTAGCCTATTAATCAAAAATCTGACAATTAGTTGAGAGTCCCCCAGTCCATAACCCGATAATCGCACAAGTGCAGAGAAGGCTGTGGAATCCGTAGTAGAATTCGCATCACCAAAGCTTGGGTGCTAGAAGGGGGCTACACTCTGCTCCTTTTGTCAAAGGGAGCTTTTCTGCTGCCATAGAAGCGTTTGCTCCCGTGGCTGATGCAAAATCAAGGCTCCTTTGCGGAAGGCACTTATGCGACACACGAAGCCCACTTTCGCATCATTCGTTGCCCACTCGTCATGGATGATCTTCATGATGCCACTGCAAGCATTGAAGACATGACCTCGGCAATAAGCAGACTTGAAGGGCATCGGATGCCGAGAGAAACTGAAATTAGAAGATAAAGCTATGTAGAGCTGCCATGTCAGGAGACCGCCTATCACGAGGCCGGTCACATGACCCGGGACAGATCATCCCAAAGCTCCCAGAATTGTCGGAACGGGACGGATTTATGTACTACCAGACCTCCTTTTCAGTACACAGGATCCCACAATCGGTCTGACCAGCTTCTTTCTCCCAGACAGCAAGCGAGTCTGCTTGATTTGTTTGGCCTCAACTTGCCCTACCACTGCTTAGTGCTATGATGCAAGGCTTGCGTTGATGGTTGCCTCCAGCGATCCCCAGAGGCCCAGCACCTTGGGATCTGCAAATGGGAGAATCTGCGTTGCAATCATGCCTCCCACGCCTCGGGTGCGATCAGCCCACCAGTACAAATTGGGCAAGCCTGCCCACCACCCGGTGCCTTCGCTGTGGACGACGCCGTCTCTCAGGTGCAAGAAAAACGTCAGACCCCATCCTTGAGGAATGTCGCGCGGTTCAGGGTACAGCTCGGGCAGAGCGTTGGAATACACGGGTTTCGGCGGGACGATCGGCTGTCTTCCAAAGTTCGGGAACTCGGGGATCTGGTTGGTGAACATGATCTGGACGGTTTCCTTCTGGAGCAGTCTCATCCCCGTCGGCGCGTGCACACCGTCGTTCAACAGGACGCTAATGATCTGCGCGTATTCTTTGGGCCGGGCGAAGCAGCCGGCGCCGCCCTGTTGGAAGATAGCGTCTTTCTGGGCCTGGGTTTCGGCAACCAGCGGAGCCCGGTTGAGGTGACCGTCGGTTGCGAGTCTGAGCTCGCCAGTGTGCAGATCGCGAGAGTGCATGTATGCGAGCTGCGACTTCATCTTCGCCGTCGGGAACATGTTGATGTTATGTAGGCCCAGGGGTTGGAAAATGTGTTTCTGGAAATAGTCGTTCAGCGCCAGGCCCGAAGCCCGCTCCACGCAGATGCCGGCCCAGTCGATGTTGATGCCATATTCCCACGCTTCTCCAGGATGGTTGACGAGCGGCTGTGACAGGTAGTCGTACTTGAGCCCAGAAAACTCGTTGACGCCGGTAGCTCCATAGAAGTCGTTCAGTCTCGAATCGAAGAACGAGTAGCCGAAACCAGCTGCCAGCGTCAAGATTGTCAGTGGGAGACACATTCATCAGATTAAAGGGTGTCTTTGCAACAGCCTGGGCAAGGGGAAATCTTTAGCTGACCTGTATGATTGAGGAGCATGCGAAGCGTTATTCCGCGTCTTTTCGGGACCAGCTTTTTGCCCTCGATGACTTTGACGTCTTTCAACTCCTACGAACATCACACGTGGGACTGTCAGCGGCAAAGACGGCTGCGGTCGAATCCACGCATGACGGATTGAGTCCTGACTCACCGGGCACAATTTTTCAACGAGGTCAACGTCGTCAAGGGAGAGTTTCCCTTGTTCGACAAGCTGCATACAAGCAATGCCGGTGATCATTTTGGTGCAGCTGGCGATCCAGAACGTGTGGTCCACAGTCATCGGTGCTCCGGTGCCGACCCCAGCGACCCCAGCTGCATGTTCGAAGATGGACTCGCCCTGTTTGTTGACGACGGCGAAAACAACTCCGGGGAGATTCCGAGATGGGTCACCGGTAGCATCTTCCATCTGTGACTTCACCGAAGCCGCACCGGACGTCGTTATCTGAGCCATATCTCGAGGGAAGTAGTACGCGAAGATGAATGTTCAGCCGCGAGGTGTGAACGTTACACCTGTGACTTGACAAAACGAAAGAGTTCAGTCCCAGTGGTCTGCCCTGCTTCAAACGGCGCATTCCCTCTTCAATCTCTTGTATTCTACCTAGCTGTGTTACCTTTCTTGCCCTCCATACCGGCTGAAGTACGGCTCCGCGTCGGAGGGGTTTGACCGACATCCGCCCTCCGGAGTAATGGAATAAAAAGCATGCTTCCTGGAGGAGACAGTGTCGGTGCACATGACTCGGGGGGGGCTGAGAGGGGGTGTCTTTGTCTTGTTTGGGTCGATGCACAGAACACATTGCATTGATGCTTTGTGAGTGTTCCACCGGAACTTGCTGGGTCAAGATTGCTACTAACAGCGGCTCCGCAACCTAACTATACAATATTGTATTGTAGCCGGCTTGCGGAGCCGTGAGAATATTAGAGTCGAGCATTGCATTTGCGGGGGTCGTTGCCTCCGCTTTCTGCGCAGATGGGGGGGGTGGGCAGGCGGAGGCACTAACTACTTTAGGAATCGTTCAACAACATCCCGACTGCCTTGATGCGAATTCTTGGGACTGGAAGAGCATGGCAAGAGTTTTTGAGCTATTCCGCGGCTATGTGTAGAGCAGTGAGTATGGACAGAACCTATCTGGACCTGTGTCGATAAGAGGGAAACTCTTCGAGGCGAAACTGCAGACTGCAAGACCGGAGTCTATCAGAAGACGTGATAGTCACCCAGCGCCAGGAATGCAGGCTTTATGGCGTGCCCGTGCCAGTTTGGAGGACTACATAGCCATATCTGCCTCTAGCCTCGAGAAAGTGCATCTTGCAAACGTTGCTCCTCGCAGAGATTCGCAAGCCTCGACTGAAGCCTCAACACAACCTGGTGCTTCAGTGGAAGCCCGGCTGGGCCTTGTCTTTCCTCTGGCTCCCTGATGCCCTATACCCAATGACACGAATGCCTGTTCTCATAACCAGACTAGAGGATATGACGCTCAGAGAACTCAACGCCATGGCCAGACTCGCCCAGACAGGGTTCAGCTTCGGGTGTCCAGGCGCCGGATAAATCACTCCTGCCGCGATCGGAACTAAGGCAGCGTTGTACACCAGTGCCCAGGCAAAGTTAAACTTGACTCTCCGGAAAACAGCGCGGGAGAGTGTGATAAGAGTCAACAGGGAGTGCAGGTTTGAGGACACTAGCACGAATTTGGCACTTGATATGGCGACATCTGAGCCAGAGCCGATGGCAATTCCGGCGTCCGCGGCAGTGAGTGCGGGAGAATCGTTGATACCGTCTCCAACCATAGCAACCATTGCTCTTCCTGGTTTCCCGTTACGTCTAGGGGCGGAGTCTTGTAGCCAGCGGATTCGTTCGGCTTTTTCCGAAGGGAGAACGCCAGCAATTATATTGGTGGCAGGGATACCTAGTTGATGCCCAACTGCTGTTGCAGTTGTGGGGTTGTCGCCAGAGATCATCCAGATACTTAACCCTTGCTCACGCAGAGCAGAAAGGACGAAAGCAGCTTCAGGGCGGAGAGAATCAGTGGTCGCAAATTGTGCAACAAGTTTGAAAGTGGTTCCGTCGCCGCCTGAGAGGGATAGTGGACGTAATGCCAGAAGAGCGACACTTTTACCGGCAGATTTCCATATAGAAACAACGTTGGACTGCTCGGTGGTTATCGGAGTGCCGAGGGAGGAGATGAAAGCTTCACTGCCGATGGCAGCTTCGTACTGAGTATCGTTGGCGGGCGTATGGATAGTAAATGTGCCTTTGAGACCGCGACCAGGCAGTTCTTCAATCGAAGAGTCGGCGATGGTCGTGCGATTTTGTTCTTTACAGAGCGTAGCAATTGCTTTTGCTATGGGGTGGCTTGAAGACTCCTCCAGCGCTTGCGTGATTGCCCAGATGTCCCTCATATTCTCCTCACTAGAAGCTATGATATCGTGGTTTGTCACAGTCGGATTTCCGCCCTCAGTAAGCGTGCCGGTTTTGTCAAAGACGACCACGTCCAGATCAGAGGCTTCTTGAAACGCTTCTCCTCCTCCTTTGACCAATATTCCATGTTGTGCGGCTAGTCCAGAACCCACGAATGAAGCTGTTGGGGCAGCAAGGGCAATGCCGCAGGGGCACGCGCCGACAAAGACTGCAATGGCAAACTGTAATGCCCAGAATGCCCATCCACCTGTGTCGACATCAAGCCAGCTCTCCGGGAGCACCCCACCCTGACCTAGTCCAAACCAGACAGTAAACGTTGATACAGCGATGAGGGTAATGACTGGAACGAAGTACCCCGTCAATATATCAGCCACCCTCTCCACTGGAGCTCTTTTTGCCTGCCCTTCACGGACGACTTTGACGATTTGGTCGAGCATGGATGCACCCGAGACTCCCGTGACTCGGATATTTATCGGTTTACCGGTGTTGACTGTTCCGGTAAAGACTTGATCGCCAGCGTTCTTGGTGATAGGCCGAGACTCTCCTGTCAAAGAGCTTTCGTCGAACGTGGAACTGCCTAGGATGATTGTGCCATCGGCTGGTGGGGATGCGCCATGAAGTACTCGGACAACATCTCCGATTTCAAGAATATCGACATTGACACTCTCTTCCGATTCCGAATTGGAGCTCACGAGTAAAGCTTCGGTTGGCCGGAGCTTTCCGAGCATTGTGACAGCATCACCGGCTTTAGATTTACTGTAGGCTTCTAAGTAGCGTCCAGCGAGAATGAACATCGTCAAGAACACAACCGTGTCGAAGTATGTTGATGGTCGCCTGTTGCGTTGCCCAGTTTGTTGCGCGTCTAAGGCAAGTACAGCGATCGAAGGGAAGTACGCCACCGACGTTCCCGCGGACATGAGCAGATTCATGCTTCCGAAACGGTAAAATCTGCGAAGAACTGGGACTTGACTATTCCGGCTCCATAACGCTCGGATTTCCTTGATTGCCCTAACGTGAAAGACGTCGGCAGCGAGGAACATCACAGGCGTTGCAAGGAAGAAAAGCGCCCACTCGGCGCGAGTGTCGGCGCCAGTCCACATGTTTTGTTGGAAGAATATCCGTACACGGTTGGTTGAGGGAACTAGACTCATCCAGATGACACTGATGAGGAAGGTTGGAATTGCGACGATGAAGCTGAGGAGAAGCCGCAGGAGTAGACGACGCCGTTCGTGGAGCTGCATAACTCGCGAGCGCTCTTCAATCGTTGGAGGATGGTATATAGTGGCTCTGAGTTGGTCGCTGACTCCATGTATGATACCTAGGATACTTCTGATAGTAATGATGCCAGGTTGGGGACGATATGTAATCACGATGATAGGGTCGTCGTACGATGGTGGTTTGTCGATGGCAAGTCGTCCCTGGAACGGTGATGAAAAAGCTTCGACAACCCGTCGTGGGCATTGATCGCAGAACATTCCTGCGATTCTGATCATGATTGTCCTTTCCACCACCTGGCTTGCTTGCTGAGGTTGTCCAACTTCAACGACGCTCTCGACGTCGCAGTCATATCCTCTATCTTCGATTCTCTCGACAATCTGATCTATGTTATCCTTCGGGCCGGTAAAGGTGACAGTTGCACTATTAGTAAGTAAATTGACGCTAACATCCGTCAAGAACTCCAGTCCTTGAACCCCTTCATTAATGGAGAGAATGCATGCCGCACAAGTCATCCCAGTGATACTGAGAGTGGCTGTAAAACTTTGCGCCTCAGGTATCGCCACGATTACATCCTGCGACGTGTCCAATTTTTCGTTCGATCTTTGACAAAGAACACAGTGGTCTAAATGCTTCTCATTAAATTGGTAGCCGGCATCGTCTCTGAATTCATAATGTGCTGCCGTCTGGTACCGTGGCAGAGTTGATGTTTGTTCGCTCAGCATATGAGCAGCCTGGTCCAACCATTCTTGATTGGTCTGGACCAAATCTTGCTCGTAAATAACATGGCCGGATTCGTCGACGGTCTGCACACTCTGCACTTCGAATGCTGCATCCGATAAAGCTCGAGCGATGTCGTTTGCAGAGTGGTCGGGAAAGTGGACTATCGTCACTTCGTGTGATATGTAGTTAGCACTAATCGTCAGTGGCGCAGGCTGTAATGTGCTGAGGACATCCTGGATGTAGGAAAGGCAGGATGCACAGTGAACATTGTTTATCAGAACAGTCGTCGTGACATGGCCACCTTGCGGCGGGGGAAACGAATGGAGTTTCATTCGTCTGGAGCAATTTCATCAATGGCTTGATCGCTGTTCGAACCGATTTCTAGGCAACTAAGTTGTTGTTTTCTACATGGTGAACAATAGAGCGAACAGTTATCTCAAGCACAATGAATCAGCGATAATGGCAGGGTGAGAATTTAGCGTCAAGATCCGGAGATACTTCTCTCCGATTACTACACTGGCCTATATGCCCTTCCGTACATGTAGCGGCCTCCAATATCCTGTACTTCCATTTAGGCAACTGATCCTCTTCACGCTGCTACCACCACATTGATTCTTGATAGTTTCTTGCGCGTTTCACTGCCTGATGGTACTCTATGCTTGAGCTGTTTGATTTAAAGCGCTCCTTTGGGGCCTTTTATTTTATGTCATAGCAATGAGAAGACCTCTCCTTCGTTCAGCTCGTTGGCAATGACTTCGAAGCAGAGACGTCACTCCAGCCGTGTCTCTCAGGGGAAGCAATACTGTCAGCTCTTAGCCCTACCCGCCGAGATTCGAGAGCTCATCTTGGACTCATACTTGCAACCGTCACAATGGTCCGCATAAATCGGGCGTCGAGAAGCCTGGAATGAGATCGAACATCGGAAGGGTGCGGTCAAGCCATGCCCTCCGATACTACTGGCTTGTCGACAACTCTATCGCGAATGTATCCTTCTTCTCCAGGCCAATCATCGTACTTCTTTCGTCCTTCATTTGCGCGAAGGTATGCACAGCCTGCCATTGTCTCTGTCATACCGCAAGTTCATCCACCGACTCAACGTCGCCATACTCGCGAAAAGAAGTCGCAGCTCCAGGCTGGAAGTCTACAATCCCATGTTACTGGGACGATTGACCTCGCAAATGCAAACAACCTTTCCAAACCTTCATGGTATAACTTTGACGCTGTGTATCTTGGGCCCAAAGAACCCCCCCGAGTATTATAACTGTCGTACTTGTGTCTTACCTGATCTGGCTCTGAATTCATTCTGGAACGCCAAGATCAGTGGCATCAACCTTCAGATGGGGGCTCATTACACTGTGAAAATCTGCGAGTTGACTCGAGAAGCTCTAGAACATGAATTTGGGTGGATGTATGAGCTGCCAGCTTTGAGATGGATCGACATCTATTGCCAAACGGCACTTTCGCATGCTTCATACAACACATGGGTCGCCGGCCCAGGTGAATTGACTGCCCGAAGCCAGCGAGTCCAGCGCGATTCAACGAGAATCAGACAGCAACTGCGAATGGAAAGGGCTGCTCTCGGAGCTCTCGTCGAGGCATTACCTGTCCTTCTCCCAAATCTATCCATAAATATCTATCGGAAATCGACATGGCGAACTAGCGTTGTCTCCTATGAGCCTCTGGACCTCAATACGCCAGAGGAAACGATCATCCCACGGCTTATGCGTGATAGAACGATTGGGGCTGAATAGATAGCAAATAGCATTGAGATCCTTGATGGCGGCACTCCTCACTTTGAAAATGTCAAACATCCTCTATCGGTGTGAGGCCAGCTTGAGACCTCGAATTCAACTCATCAGACAAGGAGCGCAGCCTTGTGTACTTTGTAGCGCAGCCTTACAAGAGCAGTGGCGCTATCCCCTTTGAAGATATGCTTATCGATAAGGGACGAAATAATTTTCTGAGGCAACCGGCGCTCTGGTTGTATCTCCAAATTTTCTGATTGACTGCGCTTCTCGCTCGCTTGTCACTTTCTCGCTCGGGGTGGTGTCGAGCTCTTCTTTTGTAACACCGCGTGAGGACTGACTGTCCATCGCGCAAACTCTCCCACTGCTACCGAACCTCAGAATCTGGGGCAGCGATGTCGTCCACCGCCACAGTTACGCAGACTCGGCCGAAGTGGTCAGTAGAATACGACACTGTCAAAAGGCACAAGCTGTTTCGAAATACACCAAAAGATCAGAGTGCATTCCCAGCCCTCCAAGCTGCAGTGAAACCACACGTCGAATCCTTCAACGCGATATGGGGCGAAAAGTTGATCGATGAAGCACTGAAAGATATCGGAATACACACTGTTGTTGATGGCGATTTACGGAACCCCAATCGATCGGTTCCCAGGAACAAACTAGATTTGAGAGTCACCGAGGTCATTCTAGAAAAGGCTGTCCTACCGCCCTCTAACAAATTCAGTATCCAAGATCGAAACATATACCCTGCCGAGTGTCGGGAACGACATGCTACTTACCGAGGCAAGCTAAGGGCACGGTTACAATACAGAATAAATAATGGTGACTGGAAAGAGTCGATACGAGATGTTGGACAAATGCCCATTATGCTCCGTTCGAATAAATGTCATCTTGAAAAGTTCTCTCCGGCAGAAATGGTTCGCTACAAGGAAGAGTCGGAAGAGATGGGAGGCTACTTCATTGTGAATGGCAACGAGAAGCTCATACGAATGCTCATAGCATCAAAGAGGAACTATCCGATGGCTATCGAACGAAATGCCTTCACCAACAGAGGCCCCACGTTTTCAAAATACGGTGTCCAGATACGCTCCGTCCGACCTGATCAAACTTCTCAAACCAACGTCCTTCACTACCTCACAGATGGCAATGTCACTTTCCGGTTTTCCTGGAGGAAAAATGAATACCTTGTACCGGTAGTGATGATTCTGAAGGCTCTCGTCGAGACCAATGATCGAGAAATCGCGGAGGGTATCATTGGCGTGTCGGCGAACAAATCTGCAGATTCATTCGTTACTGACAGAACCGAATTACTCCTGCGGACATACAAAGCCTATAACCTCAAGACGAGAGCACAGACGCTAGCCTATCTGGGAGAGAAATTCCGACCAGTCCTAGGGAATCCTGTCACAATGTCGGATGAAAAGGTAGGAGAAGACTTCTTGAGAAAAGTCGTGCTGCCGCATCTCGGCAACGTGGACGTCACTCCTGCTCAGAACAACGACAAATTTCAATTGATACTATTTATGATCCGCAAGTTATATGCCATCGCGGCTGGCGATTGTTCACTAGACAATCCTGATGCAGTATCGAACCAAGAAATCCTGCTTGGAGGCTTTTTGTACGGCATGATCTTGAAAGAGGGTATCCATGATTGGGTCACGTCTATCGGACTCGCTGCTCGTGAGTGGTTACGAAACAAGAACGATGCCAAATTCACAGACCCTGGCTTCGAAGCAGATTTCCTTCCCCTGATCGTCCGAAGGACCAACGAGAATATTGGAGGAAAGCTGGAATACTTCCTGTCTACGGGAAATCTCGTGAGTCAAACGGGTTTGGATCTATCACAAACGTCTGGTTTCACCATCGTCGCCGAAAAGATCAACTTCTATCGATTCATCAGTCATTTTAGGTGTATACATCGAGGCACGTTCTTCGCACAATTGAAAACAACCACCGTACGGAAGCTTTTGCCAGAAAGCTGGGGTTTCTTATGTCCTGTGCATACCCCAGATGGCTCGCCCTGTGGCTTGCTTAATCACCTCGCCCATCAGTGTATGGTCCAGATCAAGAAAATCGACACTTCTGGCATTGAAAAGGCGGTTGTGCAACTCGGTCTCTCACCAGTGCCAGACGTGGAAGTTAAGGATAGCTTGTCAATCCAACTCGATGGACGAATCCTCGGATACTGCCCTGCGCAACGAGCCCGAGAGATCTCACAGCTTCTGCGTCACTGGAAAGTCAATGGCCAACACAATATTCCGAATGAGCTCGAAATTGGACTTGTTCCTACCTCAAACGGTGGCTTGTATCCTGGACTGTACCTCTTCACCGATCCTTCTCGCATGTTACGGCCTGTCAAATATATTCCCGCAGACAAGCTCGATTATGTTGGACCCTTCGAGCAGCAATACATGAACATTGCTTGTGTTGATGCTGACATTATTCCCAACTTGACCACCCATATCGAATACAAGCCTACGAACATCCTGTCCATTCTCGCCAACATGACACCGTTCTCCGACTTTAATCAGTCACCCAGAAACATGTATCAATGCCAGATGAGCAAGCAAGCCATGGGCACTCCTTCCTCGAACTTGATGTGCCGGACAGATAACAAGGCCTACCTTCTCCAGACGGGTCAAACACCCGTGGTCAGACCACCTTTGTACAACGAATATGGTCTTGACAACTTCCCAAATGGAATGAATGCCGTTGTCGCCGTCATTTCGTACACAGGCTACGACATGGACGACGCCATGATTATCAACAAATCCGCGCACGAACGCGGGTTCGGGGATGGTGTTATTTACAAGACAAAGGTGTATCACCTAGACGAGAAGGCTCGGACCCTCCGATCGAAGACAGAAATCAAGTCACTGTTTGGCTTCGCTGAAGCCGACCCAAACATCCCCGAGCAGGCCGTCCGTGGGCTTGATGAAGATGGTCTGCCGGCCATCGGTACCAAAGTCTGCGAAGGCGATATCGTTCTGGCATACCACAGTGTCATGTTCGACCCGTCTCAAGGGAAGCTCAAGAACTTGGACGGAAAGACCAACTATTTCAAGTACAAAGATGCGGAGGAGGCATACATCGATCAGATCCGACTTATTGGGTCCGAAAGTGGCGACCAGCCATGTCAAGCGATAAGCATCAAATACCGCATCCCTCGAAGGCCGATCATTGGAGACAAGTTTTCGTCGCGACACGGTCAGAAAGGTGTGTGCTCGATGCTTTGGCCCAGCGAGGACATGCCGTTCAGTGAGTCGGGTATCCAGCCCGATGTCATTATCAACCCACACGCCTTCCCTTCTCGAATGACAATCGGTATGTTTGTCGAGTCACTCGCCGGAAAGTCCGGGGCCCTCCACGGGCTGGCGCAGGACTGTACGCCGTTCTCCTTCGACGAGGACAACACGGCTGGCAACTTCTTCGGTGAACAGCTCCGTGAGGCGGGGTACAATTTCTACGGCAACGAACCGATGTACAGTGGCATCACCGGCAAGGAATTCGCAGCCGACATCTACATGGGCGTCGTCTACTACCAGCGCTTGCGGCACATGGTAAGCGACAAGTTCCAGGTCCGTACGACGGGTCCCGTCAACGCGCTCCACGGCCAGCCGATAAAGGGCAGGAGCAAAGGTGGCGGTATCCGTGTAGGTGAAATGGAGAGAGATTCTCTGATTGCACACGGTTGCGCGTATCTGCTGCAGGATCGTCTGATGGACTGCAGTGACAAGAGCCGTGCTTGGGTCTGTCGGTCCTGCGGCAGTTTCTTGAGTACCATGATGGTGCCGAATCAGTTCACCGTCGGCAAGAGAGGTGGTCGCGTCGAACCCAGTGGTGTCGTGAGGTGCCGGGCTTGTGCTCGACCTGCTACGTTCAAGGATAGCAAGATGACCATCTGGGAAGACGGGGCGGGGAGGAAATACGTCGGCGGCGACAATACTACTGTTGTCAATGTTCCTGGAGTGTTGCGCTATTTGGATGTAAGTTGACCTCGTGGGTTTTGGGCCCTTTTCGTTTTGTTCTCATACGACTTTGATTTTCGATTTTTCGAGACTAACCATTGTCGGTACACAGGTCGAGTTGGCAGCCATGGGCGTCCGAACTTCATTCGAGATTGAGAATTGAAGATTGATCATGTCAGCATCGAGCATCTAGCGTTGGGCATGGTTGTACGCGGACACGGTACTCACGAACGCATTGCATAGGACTGGATTGGATTGGAATGACATGTGGACTGTACGGTTTCTGTTTCTATATGAATAATGAAACAAGGAGACGAATAGATAAATGTTCAGACCCTCAAAAGCCTCGACCATTCTCACTTGGTGTTTTGTCTCGTGTTATTTCGTTTCGTCCATTCGATTCGTTTGGCTTTTCTTGGTGGTGATTTACATGGTCACTAACTCATCCTTTACCGTCCCCCTGTCATCCACCTCGTCAGCGTTTATCATGCCCAGTTTCAAAGCGAAATCACTCCGGCCCATTTCGCGAGTCAGTTCTCTCGCCATGGCCAGTCTCCGCGAGTACCGTTTGACACTATTTGGGCCAGCAGACACTTTAACTTGGCGTCCGTTCATGATCAGGGGGTTCCCGGTACCACCAGTGTTACTGTTGTTGTTGTTGTTGTCGTTGTAAAGCGCCAGGGTGACGTGGGACAGTACAGCATAAGTGACGATGAGCATCTTGTCCGCATCGGGGGCGTTGGCGAGAACGATCGACGCAACGTACACGAGCAGTCGCGACGTCCACTCGACGATATCCAGTACCATCCGGGTCGAGAAGCTGAAGGAGGAGGTTACACCGTATTTCGATGACGGCGTGGACAGCCAGCTTCCGGACGTGACGGCCTTGAGATCGTCGACGAGCCCTCGCATCCGGATCCAGCGATCTTCCGACAGGAGAATGAGCAGGTCGCCTCGCACGCCGGGCTCGGATTCGCCGTGCCATGATGATGATGATGGCGATGTTTTGGCTCGCAGCGCGAAGACCGACAAGAGCCGTGAGAGAAGGAGAACAGACAGCGTCAAAGCGAAGTACGTGTCCAGGTCCAGAGCTGCGTTGGCGAGGAGGAGGCGGCACAGCACTAGTAGCATGGACGGGACATAGAGCCAGATTGTGTGTTGAGTAAGACTATTGCTGGTTGTTGTTTTTTTTGTCGCACGGCGTTTGGTAGTCGAAGACGAAACCTCCATCGTCACAAGGTGGCCGGTCCGTCCCATGCGCTGGAGGTACATTACCGTAGCCTGATTCTCGACACGGAACACATACTGCACGTTGCGCGTGTGTGTCGCTGAGGTCAGATTCTTTCCTTGGTACAGTCTTAAATTTATCGGTGTAAATGGGTCAGGCTGTGATGGGAGAGTAAGGTAGACAGCCACATTTCTTGAAATTGCGTGATACTTGGATGGCCATGCTTTTTTCTGAAGCCCAGCACAGTGCCACCGCGAACACAGGTACATGTGCGAGAACAGAGTAGCCTCGCGCGTTTATGAGATGTAGAACGAACAATGGAACAAAAAGGGGAGGGGGGCCAAAGGAAAGAAGGCAGTCAGAACGATACGTACCCCCGTCGTCATAGCCGCGCACGCTGGATACTCCCCATCATTCAGCCTCGTGGGGACCAACGGTGTTTGAGTGCCGAGACAGAATAACAGACAATCTCGCCACCTCGGTCGACCACGTTGAGCGGAGTAGATGTGGATAGGTGGGAGGATAGAAGGGTTGGCGAGGAGAAGAAGGGGGAGGAGTGTGAGATTCATCATCATCGGACTCCCGTCGTTTTCTGGAGCTGGATATTTGACCTTCAGACAATGTTGTGCAGTATAGGTCTGAGTTTGATTGTCTTTGTGTAATCGTCTTATCTGAGTGATATAGTCAATCAGGCACAATAGTGATGGTATACACGATATTGGACAAGGCTGTGAGGTTTCACTGCACAGACCGTTAGATATTCGGTGCGGGCGCGTACAGAAAACAAACGCCGAGCCTACTCGGCCGAAGCTATGAAGGATCAAAGTACAGTATCTCGGAAATATACCAACTAAGAAATAGCAGACAAGTACCTCTATGACACGAATATCTCCAATTTCCACTCTTCGCATCAGTAATTACATAGGAAATGGGAACAAGAAATGCACAAGCTGTCTTGTCATTGACGAAGGTCTAAACCAGTACGTATCAATCAGTCCATTCAATCAAGACCGCTTCAGAGAGGGATGCCGAACCCACAGTCGTGTGAGTAACACCTCTAGACGCATGCCCATATCGCCACACGTTTCAGTTTGTCCTCTACGGATCTCCATATTCTCTACATCTTGGATCTAGCCTAGGATGGGACCCATCGACTTCCTCCGTATCGTAAAACTTTTCAAACCACTGAATGATTTGGTGCTCGCTCTCCGTCAACTTGGGCTTCGCTAGCGCAGCCTGTCCTCCGCAGAGCACACTCTCGAGCTGAATTTCGAGTTTCTTTCCCTTCGCATTATAGGGAATTTCAGGGGCTGCAAACACAAACGACGGCACATGTCTCCGGCTGAAGTCCTTCGCAATCTGGCTCCGAATGGATGTCTCGAGGTCAGAGCGCAAACGTAGTGACCCTGAGACACTAGCACCCGGGGTAACTTTGACGAACAAAACGACACGCTCTGCAGGGTCTGAGTACTTGGAATCCACGCGCTGTTGCCCAACGACGATTGAATCAGCAATATCGGAAGTAATCAGGGGTTTCGAGAGTGTACCGTAGATGTCGGCACTACCGAAGCGAACACCAGATGGATTTAGAACGCCGTCACTACACGTGATCAGCATGAGCTTCGGGTCATGCTCCTGAGAGTCGACAAGGGCTCAGGTACCTTCTTCCCAGAACATAGATCCCTTTAGTCTCGGGGTCAACATGAATGAAATCGCCATGTACCCATACGTCTAGTATTGAATAGGCTACTCAGTGCAATACTTGTCCTCCCTGATCGAGCCTGTTAACTTACGTGGGATTTTCGCAAAGAACGCATCAAAGTACCGCTTCCTCTGTGGGTCATTCCAGAACATGGCGGGCATATTTGGGAATGGGTTCCGACAGACCAGTTCGCCGCCCTGTCCGTCGGGAAGCGGAGATCCATCAGTCGCGGTGACAATATATCCATTCCCAGAGCCTTGACAGCTAATTGACCAGGATATGAAGGTAGCGATCGGGTCCCGTGTAGGAAAGAACCGCACAGTTCTGGGCCACCTGACATAGAAATCTGACAGACCGGTCCAAACGCCTCAGCCATCCACCGAGCAACGGAGGGCGTCAAGACCGCGCCAGTGGAAAGGACAGAGTGCAGATGATGAGCGTATTTTTCTAGCACCCTTTTTTCAGCAGGTCCGAGGCATCAAGAGCAGGTATTCCAAAGCTAGGATTGAACTTACTGGGCACTACGTTGAGTTTCTGGATTTCTGAAAAGTACCGCGGGCCGGCACCAAAGGATGTTATCCTGTAGAGAATTAGCATCGCTCAAAGAGCATTCGTTTGTTATCTCTAATTACACTCACCTATGTTTGAAGAGTAATCTTAAACAGTCGTCTGCCGTTGGGTAGAAAGGACTACCATCGTAGAGAACGATAGTTGCACCCGCGAATAGCGCACCGATGGAGATATTCCACAAAGTCCACCCTATCTAGTTGACACTTAGTCTGTACCACTTCGAGACCGTTGTCCAATTGAAGGTCTTACGTTGGTATAGTGAAAGTGCAAGTCGCCTGGACCGAGGCTGTTATGCATTAGAAACTCCTTCAAGCCATTTAACACAAGTCCCTGATTTGGGTCAGTAAGGGTTTCCGTTTGCATCAAAGAGGACTTGATGGATACGAATTCCATGCGAGTGAACAATTCCTTTAGGAGTACCGGTTGTTCCTGAGGAAAACATAACGACAAGGGGTGCATTGAACGGCATCTGCTCGAACCGAAGCTTTCTACCCTCTCCACGAGCAATGAAGGTGTCCCATGATGTACTTTGCATAGTGATCCGTCAGCCAGCGTTCCGATCCAATACTTCCATACATTCCTTCACATCGGTCTTACCAATTTGACGAGAATCCAGTATTTGAACCCAGTATTATCGCTTCGCAAGGTCCTCCCTGTTGCAGTCGACCGACTGCTGTATTTAATTTGCTGGAAATGTTATGGCATTTTCCGTTGTAAGAATACGTCGGCTCTGCAAGCAAAAAGCGTGACTTCAGCTGCTGAAGCCGGTCATCTAGCCCCTGAGCTACAAGTGAGTTACCAGATGCGTACTACGCACTGAATGCCTATAAGCCATGCCACGTACCTTGCTTCCCATATCTGTGGCAAAGGAAGAGAATATCGCTCCAATTGAAGCCGTAGCCAAGAAGATGGAGAGGGTTCGGACACAATTTGATCCCACGACTACGCTGAGTTGAGTATTTGAGCTTTCAGTGGATAGTAAGGTGGGGGAGTATGCGTACGTGCAACAACGTCTCCTTTTATAAGACCTGATGATCGAAAAGCGCCCGCATATTTTTCCACAAGTTGGTGAAGATCATTCCAGGAGTATTTCTGCGATCGGTCCATGTTACTCTCGTCCATGTCCATGACAGCGAGACCAGTCCTGTGCCGAGATAACATGTTCTCCGCAAAATTCAACCTAGTACTACCAAAGAAGACTGGGAACTGATCAATGGGAACGTCACAATCTATTGCCTGGGCCCCAGTGAGCTCAGAACTGCGAGATACACTATACCCACTAGCAGACTGACCTTGTCGGGACAAACAGATGATATGACATGAGAATACTCCCAAAAGGTCATCTAGAAGTCATTCAGCCGTCGCACCGAAAAAGTGTGCAGTTCTTCATAAGTGGCGGTAGCGATTTGGAAGTCAGAGGAACAATTTCGACCCAGGCCGTGCTGAAAGTTCTCGGTAGACGATGCTATTACTTGCCAATTTGTAGACCAAACTTCCAGTTGATAAGTCCCCGAAAATCATCCAGGTGAGTTCGAAGCCCTGCCCGAGGGACATAAGTAGGTGAAGGCCCCATGATAGTTAGAGAGGTCTAGGTAGCAGGGAAAATAAATCCAACAGTCGTAGTTTTCAGGAGACATTGGCCCAGCAAGTTGCAACAAGCAGATTGTAGGTCAGGCAGTAGCAATTCTGGTGGTTTTGTGAGTTTTGAGATTGTATCCGCTACGGTTCTGACACAGACCTCCGCAAGGACCTCGAAGTATCCAGTCCCAACGGGGCTTGACAGGGGATGGAGGCACCAGACCTCGATACTCCGAGCTGGCCTTGGGAGCTGGTTCCGGTGCGTTAGAAGTGATTGGTTACTGAAGTGGCCCAGAGGGCTTGTCACGTGGGCAAGGTTCCCTGAGGATCTGCCGAGACAGAGAGAAGAGATAGACGACAGACGATAGACGATAGACGATAGACGACGGGGCGCGGAATATCGTTAGCCAGCTAGATTCCCGCTCGGCTAGTTCTGTACTCTTCGGATGATGAATGGTGTTTCTATAACCGAGACCTCAATCGGATGACAGCGACCGACAGAATCGCAAAGATGGAATTCCTCGGGTCAAAGCCCATTGACTGGAGGGCAGACAATATGGCTGCTTATCAGCTACCTTGTATATCCAGTCGCCTCACGAGACTCGGCTTTCGCAGGCGCACCTACTCAGCCCATCATGCTGTGTGATCAACTCCCCATTTATCCCGATCTCCGTGGTAAGGTCGCCCTGATCACAGGAATAGGACAGGTTGGCCCATTATGTGCGATCGATACCGCTACTTGGGGTAACGGTGCAGCAATATCTCTCGTTCTGGCACGGAATGGCGTGAAGGTGTTTGGCTGCGACATCAACCTTAAAGCTGGAAGTCAGACCAAGCTCCGAATTCTCAACGAGGTACCCGATGCTATCGTCGATGTGATGACGGCGGACGTCACATGTTCGTCGGCGGTGAAGAGTCTTGTCCAAGCATGCGTACAGAGGCACGGTCGAATCGATATTCTCATCAACAACGTGGGCCGTAATGAACCTGGTGGACCGGTTGAAATATCGGAAGAAACATGGGATGATCAAGTCAATATCAACTTGAAGAGCGTCTATCTGACATGCCACTATGCTCTGCCCATCATGGAGTCTCAAGGGGTCGGGTCGGTGGTGAATGTCAGCAGTATTGCTGGTCTGAGATATCTCGGCAAGGCAGAGGTTGCGTACTCAGCGGCAAAGGCTGCCGTCACACAGTTCACCAAGCACACGGCCATGCTATATGCCCAACGTGGTGTGCGGTTAAACACGGTCCTACCAGGACTGATGTTCACACCTCTGGTGCATCACATTGCCAGCAAATTCTCCAACGGCAACAGCGTAGAAAGCTTTGTGGCTACGAGGCACGGGCAGGTGCCAATGGGTCGGATGGGAGATTCTTTGGACGTGGCGAATGCTGTCGTCTTTCTCTCGAGCAACATAGTCGCAGGATTCATAACAGGTCAAGAAGTCGTTGTTGACGGAGGAATGACTTCTAGTACTGGTCGAATATGACAGCTCAACACACATGGCACTGAGCCGGGGCGAACTGCCGCAAATCTCCTCGCACTTCCATACAAGAGTCATGGACGGGATTCCAAGGGAGCAAGAAAGACCACCCTTGGGCCGAAGGAGACCTCAAGACCCATACCACAGTGGTCGGCCTCTCTTGCTTTCACAATGGTTGCAAGTTCCTCCAGAAATCAGTCATCTGAGAATAGATTTCGGGAGCTCATCAATCTGGGGCCCCTCACCACAACAATCTTCTGCTCTATGCCATGTTCGTAGTAGTCAGTCTCACCCCCGCAAGGTAGTGTGCTGTTGCCCCAATAGCACATCGGTAAGATCAAGCTACTCAATCATCGGTCGTCAGAAACGTAATATTTTGTGCCAAGTTAGGGCTCTCGACTGCTAAAGTAATTGTAAACGCCTGTGTGCTCGTAGGCCGTGAGTCTTGGAACCCACTGGGCCCTGCAAGGGCCAGTGAGGCAACGATGGGTGGAGCCCGTAGCTTCTTATCAGTAGCTGACTGACTCTCGGTCCTTTTGGCCCCTTATCAATGTGTTTGGGTCATTCGACTTATCATCAGTTTCGTGTCCTTCTTGTTTTATCTACAATATCGCTCAAATAATGCACATCTACCACGACAGCCATTCCGTTGCGGTCGGACGAGCATGAGATCATGTTTGATACTAGGGCAGGCCAGCCTTCCCGGACTTTGGCCCAAAACCCTCGCCAGGAGACCAGTAATGCCATTCGATCAGTGGGTCAGAGACGGTCAGGACCTCGATCCCGAGCTGGTTGTGTCACTTGCAAGCAACGACGAGTTCGATGTGACGAATGCCACCCGGTTTGTGGCCACTGCTCCCGACTGCAGCTAAGGTGTCACTATCAGCCTTATGCAAAGAGATCCAGAGCATCAGGGCCTGGCTTGAGGGGTGACCGCATTTCCAATACTGCAACCCATGACATCGACCCTTTGGCAGGTCAGAATACACTGCCAGCTATATCGGCTGGTGGTGTGAATGCGAACTGGTTTACACCACCTCACCCCCCAAAAGTGGGCTATGGATCGATCTCCACGCACTCGCCCGTTGTCGAACCCTGGTCTTATGTGACAAACTTCAACGATCTCGACCTGGCCGAGGATGCCTCTGCTTCATGGGCCTCCGAATTTCTGTGTCTTTTCCCGGAAGGTCCAAACATGCCTATGTCAACTCCATCTGCAAATGAAAATGGAGGTGTAACATCCACTTCGGCGGCCGTACCTGTGCAGGATAACGAGACCAACTCAGGGGAAGAGGTACCACCGACCACTGAACATCTGAAGCATCCTAGGGCATCAAGCTTACAAGACTCCCCTCTGGTCCCGCTTCCAGAAAATGGACGGGCATCAACCACGAGCGCCTCGCCTCTGCAACATAGCCTATTTTGGTCGAACGAAGATGCAGAACGCTGTTCTGAGTCAGGCATCCCGTCGACCCACCTCTCAAGACATTTCCTAAGAATTGTTCAACCTCCAGCAGCCATCCTAATTGGCGGTGCAAAGCGCTGGCGACGGCTGCAGGAATACCTTTGCAAAGTCAGCGAACAGAACCGTGCGGTGCAGAACGCCCTCTTTTGCGTGGTCGGACTGTTGTCAATCGATGAAACAGTCAAAGAACGAGGAAATGCACGAGAAGAATGGATGGGACGGATCCGTGATCGCCATCAGCAGGCTTGTGATAATGTCAGGACCACGTTGGCCGGACCCTTGGAACCGGAGTCAAAGGCCACCGAACATTTGTTGGCAGCAATATTTCTGCTTGCTTGGTTCGAGGTGATTCGTGATATGGAGGATAGGAACTGCCTCTTCCCACGCGATCTGGCTCATTCGGTCATCTCGAGCAGGATGATGTGGAGCAGGGTGTCGCAGGAGTTGCTCGCCTGGATGAACACGCTGGATAACAAAGCCGCACACCTTGGCGGCGACCACCTGCTATCCCAGCAGACGATTGATGTCATCAGTCACCACCAGACCCAGATTACATCTTCCGACGCCTTGGACGATGGAGTGAGCCCTGTTCGTGGTCCATCAGCTGGGTCGGATGGGACACCTACCGATTCGAGTATCGGAAGCCCCTTCGATATCGAGTGCTCGCGGACTCAGCGGCTAGAAATGAACAGTGTCATTACCCAAAAAAGCCAAATAAAGCAAGCAATCCTGAACACCATCCTCCAACCGGCCCTGCAATGGTACCTGACCTCACAATCTTACTGTCGGCGGATCAGCGCGTACGACATGTACCACCGCCGCCGAGCCAATACGGACGACGAGTACGAGATCATCACGGCATGCAAACAGCTCGAGTCAGAGCTGTGCGAACTCTGGAACTTCAGGCCCAGCGTGATCTCCTTGACGGCTGAGCAGCTTATGCAGGTGGTCCCTGCCGACCTTGCCACACGGCTCGAGGAGATTTTCAGCGTTTACCTCGGGAGTTTCTGGACGCTGTTCGTCTACTTGCACCGCGTGAGTTGGTGGAGCCTGCCCCATGGACTGCCACATTCAGACCTCGTCTCTCGCGCATTGGCCGAGATGTGGCGTACCCTGCAGCGAGCCTATGGAGAGGTCATCGAGGGCACGACCAAGAAGATTGTCCACCCTTCTCTGCTGTGGCCTCTATTTCTGTTTGGATGCGAGTGTGTCGACCTGGATCAGCGCAAATGGGCTGTTCAACAGCTGGAAGGTCTTGGGGAAGCGAAGCCTGTCCTCGAGGCCAGGGAGCTCGAAGACGACGTCGACACGCTTCTCCCATTCCGCATGAGTTCGGGCGCTACAAAGAACGCCAAGAGGGCTGCTATACTACTGACCAAGTTGACCGAGGAGCAAGACCGGAAAAAGTGCAAAGTCGACGCACGCGAGCTGTCGATACGACTTTTTGGGTGCCACTTTTCCCTTGTGTAGCCACGAGACTAGGGCAGGCCAAAAATCTGCGGCTGACGAAGCTTCTCTATCCAAAGCCTTCATTTTTGAAGCCATCAATTGTCCAAGTTCCTTTGAAGCGCATTTTGGTGTATTATTATCTTTTATGCTGTCCGTAGGACATGTTGACCATGATGGTCTTGGTTTCGGTAAAGGCCCGCAAAGCCGCCATGCCACATTCTCGACCGATTCCAGATTCTTTAGTCCCGCCAAATGGGGCTTGAACACACAGCATGCTGACACAGTTGATGCCAACCATACCTGAATCCAGCTCTGAAGACACTCTCAGGGCTCTGGTGATGTTCTCAGTGAAGACGCCAGCCATCAAGCCATACCTGGTTGAGTTTGCAATACGGACGACCTCATCCTCATCCTTGAAGCGGTTGACGATCGCCACCGGACCAAAAATCTCCTCATTGTGGATTTCGGAGCCGGTGTCCACGTCGACAAACACAGTAGGCTCGATGAAGTAACCCTGATGAAGTGAGTAATGGTCATCAGCCAACAAATCGTGCGTATACGTACATCCTTGCCCAGCTTCTTGCCACCCACCACGAGTTTACCTGTATCGCTCTGACCCCGTTCGATAAATTCTGCAACTCTCTCAAAATGGGCCGCGTCCACAAGGGGTCCAATCTCCATGATCGGGTCATCAGGGCTCCCAACAACCTTTGCCTTTTCAGCCATTACCCGAAGGTACTCCTGGGTAAATTCCTCGTAGACTGCTTCGTGAACATATACCCGAGAAGCGGCGAAACAAACCTGCCCGGTGTTTGCCACGATGGCACTCGAACACCACTGCACGGCGTTCGCTATGTCTGCATCGTCGAAGACAATAGCTGGCGACTTGCCGCCGAGTTCCAGCGTGACTCTCTTCAGGTTGCTTTTCGCCGCCATTTCCATGATTTTCTTGCCGGTGTTGACGGAACCAGTGAAGCTGATTTTGCTGACTCTCATGTGCGACGCAAGTAGAGCGCCTGTCGATCCGTCGCCGGAGAGGACCTGGAAGACACCTGGGGGGAACCCGGCGTCGCGGACCAACTCGCCGAGGGCAAGGGCCGCGAAAGGAGTCTTTTCAGAAGGCTTCAGGATGAAACAGTTCCCGGTCGCCAGGGCCGCTGCAGCCTTCATCCCGATGGTCGCGCAGGGCGAGTTCCAAGGACAGATGCCAGCCGTCACTCCAAGCGGTTCGTTCCTGACGATCTTGAGAATCCCGTCCTCCTGCGGGAAGGACTCGCCAGCGAACTTGTCGGTCCAGCCGGCAAAGTAGTCGAAGCAGTCGGCGCCGAGGGTGATTTCGAACTCGCCAAATGACCGATACGGCGACCCCAAGGTGAGGCGGCTGAGTTCGGCCAGCCGCTGCGAGTTCTTCCGCATCAACTCGGCCAATCTGAGCAGCATACGCTGGCGCTCGCGCGGCAAGACCTTCTTCCAGAGCGGAAAGGCCGCTTCGACTGCAACGATAGCCGCCTCGACATCTGCTTCGTTGGCGATAGGCACCTTCTGGGACACCACAGAACCAGACGTGGGATCAATCAGGGTAAGTCTACAGGAGGCGCCCCGCCGTATCAGCGTTCTTTTAGTTCCGAGTTCAGAGATCGTGCACACACGAAGACGAAGATAGTGAAAATGATAGCTGCTGACTTTTGGATGCACTTACCGCTCTGCGCTCTTGGAGGCAACAAACTATAATGCTCGCTCAGGGGTTAAAAAATGTGGGAATCTCAAGCTTGTCCGTTTCCAGGGCCTGGCTAGTGTAACACACCTCATTGTTGATGAACAGCAGCTCTGGGAGAGGGAGGGAGTCTGCAGTAAAGTAAAGCATTTCGCCTTCGTAAAGAAGAAGCGACTCGTGAAGGTACAGCTAGCCGCGGTTTCAGAGGAGAGGATCTCCAGAATTCGGGGGTTTCTTGAACCAGATCTTCTTACTTCAACCAGGCGCTTGTAGACTCCAACAAAATCACAACATGAAGAATGATCACTTTCCAGAACAAGCATCATTCCGAGTGCCAAGGGCATGAGATAACAGTATCAAGGGTATCGCAGTTGAGGCGGGCCCGAACACGACACACGATAGACGATGGCGACAGCAACGGCGATGGCCACGGACGGGAGATCCATCGGATTAGAACTACCGAATTGCATCTATCCGAATCCCTCCTTTGCAGAAAGTTGCCTGGGAGGGCGATTACTGGTCCGATGCAGTTGTAAATTATCGATAATAAAGTTAATGCTATTGTGACGAAATACGAGTGCGCAAAGGTGGAGAGCATCATATAGCATTTCTCGAAAGATAACGACCAGCGCACCTTATACGCAGATTGAAGTACTCGAGTCTGATAATGACACGGCAGCAAAGAGTAGAACTTTGATCCAACTAACTTAATCACCTGTTAAGTTAAAGAAAACACCTCCTGGTGAAGTTCAATTTCTGCTACAAAACATAAGACCGGCTTACATCGTCACTCGGCGTGGACCTTTTGCGTTAAGCCACACATGAGGTTTTCTTTTTCCATTCAGAGAAAATTGGCCCATGGATCGTAGTCCTTGGCGGCCAATAGTCTTTCGAACTGGCGTCGTCGAATACCAATATTGCCTCCATCAAACAGAGCGTAGCATGTAGCATCGTTGAGAAGGCGTGGAAACACCGTATCACATGCGTAGGATGTCCTGTCAAGAAACGGAAGCGAGTCAGTAAACCACTACAGAACGCCCACAAGGAGAGAGCAGCTTGAAATGGGAAAACTAGGCGGGTGACTCTACTCACATTCCCACAACTCTCATGCAATCCCAAACGCAAGTCGGGGCCACGTCGCTAGGGTAGATTTTTGCCTCCAAGCATGTCTCGAAGCGTTGACTAGGAGTGCCGGGGCCGTTCTCCAAAGCGTCAACGGCCTTCCACACAATCATGCGGGACGTGTCGATCTTGATTTTGGCGTCGATCAACAGGTCGGCAGGGCTTTGTCGCTGGATGATCGGCACCGTTCCGCCGCGGTCGTCGCGCTTGGCGAAGTCCAGTGCCCTTTCAAACGCCTGTCGCATGGTGCCGATGGCCATTGCCCCGACCAGCGCGGCAGTAACCCCAAAAGCCTGTTCGATGACCGGAGTCGCCGCGCCGGGAGCAAACAGTACCGCGTCCGCGGGGACCTTGAAGTTTGTGTATCTGGTGTGTGGGCCTGTCGCACCAGTATGGCCACTGAGATCTGGCTCAGACAGGACTTTGAAGGCTTCAGGAGAGTTCTGGGCGACAATGTCTCGAGTAATGGCCAAAATCATAACATTGTCCGCCGGCGTGGCGTCGGGTTTCTCTGGGCCGCCGTCTTCAGATAATCGAACGCACAAGCAGGCCAGATCTGCTCCCTTGCCGTCCCAGCCGGCAAGATTCGTCGTCCACCTCTATGTTGCGATTTATTCATTAGAGAAGGGCTCACAAAGGAGTATGTCGAGAAGGGAAAAAAAAGAACAAGGAGGGGAGGGAGAAGGGGGGGGCATACCTTTTCTCCATTAACAACATAAAAGTCACCCTCTTTTTGAGCAGTAACTCCCAGACCCTTCCCTCCCTTCTCCAGGAAATTTGCAGTTCCTCCGGGCTCGGAATGCGCAAGGCTGGCGAGGGGAGTACCTTCAGCCTTGAGGAATGGCTTCAGGTACTTTTCCTTCTGCTCAGGGGTCCCGGCCAAGATCAGCGGCAACAAGCCAAGAGAGGTACCGATTGCATGAACCATGATGCTGGAGTCGATGCCGTGCAGTTCCTCGAGAACGATAGCGCAGTCCAAGAACGTCTGAGACCTGCCGCCCACCGCGGCAGGGATCAGCAGTTGGAGCACGCCGGCTTTGATGGCCTTTTCGTAAAAAGGCTTGGTGGCATGGAATCTTGAGAGCTGGTCCGGATGTTTCGAATAGACTTCGTATGCCGGAGCCAGAACATCCTTGCCGATTGCACGAACCTCTTGAATAAGAGCCTTTTGGCGGTCGTCGATCGTGAAGGACACCATGGCTAAATGCTCTGGGTTCTGATTAAAGTCAGCTTTCGCGATGTTTTTGGTTCGTTGCTTGGGGAAGTGTGGTGATGAGATGAAGGGCAGAACGGCGGACTTACAATTTATGTGCGGTTAACACTGTATCCCGCTTAGCCGTTGAGCCGTTCCTTGGTGTATTATGTAAAGTTTATCTTGTAGGTGATCAGCAATTGCTGTGTCCCGGTAGGTGTCTATTAGATGCTTATCGGATGGAGCACCAGTAGACTTCGGAATGGAGCCGGCGAGGTGTGGATCAAGGACGATGTTATCGAGTATGGAGAGCGGCGACCGGACCGCTGGGCCCGTTCTTCCGCCACGACCAGTTCAGGACAACATGTTGAATTGTCATGTGATCCAAGATAGCGAACTCCAGACCACATGTCTCATGAATCAAGTAATGTCGATCGATAAGCGGTAGGCCTTGGTGCCAAGCTATGTGTCTGGGGCTCCATGTCCTGATCCTGTCTATGTATCAATTGCCGGCCGTCGTTTGTCGTCTATCGTCTATCGTCCAGATAAGGATGGATCCCAGCTCTAATGGTTTTCCTTGCCCCTTTTGGAACCTCATCAACACCAATACGAGCTTTTGGTTGTGTATAATTCTGAGCAGGAAACCCCATATCGACAAGATGGTTGAGAGGCTCAACGCGCTGCCTTGGGGCTTCTTTGAGGATATCGATCTCGAACCCAACTCTGTGGACAATCTAACCGGTGCTATCTCATCATGGCTTTATCTTCTTCTGTGACCCGTATACTCGTAAGTATTCTGAAGGACTCTACGGCGCGAGTAACAGCTCAGCGTGAATTAATAACTGGAATAGATTGTGCTCTTTGTAGCACTGGGCAGCATGACATATGGATACTGTTCAAGTATCATTTCAATCACACTCAGTCAGCCATCTTTCATCTCCTATTTTGAAATGGATACTCGTTCCAATGCAAGTGACTTGACGGGCACCATCAACGGGGTGTTCCAGGCCGGTGGCTTCATCGGAACGTTGAGTTGCCTGGGTACTGCAGACTGGCTAGGCCGCCGCAAGGCGTTGCTTGCAGCAGCGGCTTTGACGGTTCTGGGAGGAGCCCTGCAGGCTGGCAGCGTCAACATCGGCATGTATATTGTGATGCGCGCCATCACCGGCGTGGGAATTGGTAAGGGGGTGCCTCGGGTTTCGCTAGAAGTTCCACGTCCGAGCAGGCTGACCAAAACAGGCGCCCTGGTGACTCTGGTTCCTCTTTATCAGAGCGAGATAGCACCACCGAAGATCCGAGGTCTTTTGGTTGGGATGCACGGGACAATGATCGGGACAGGCTATGCTCTCGCCGTCTACATTGGTTTCGGGTTCTACTTTGTCAATGCCTCCGGCGCGCAGTGGCGCATCCCCCTAGCCATTCAATGCCTACCCCCTTTGCTACTTGCATGCGGCATTATGATGCTTCCGGAGACACCCCGATGGCGTGGGTAGCCTCGTCCATGATAGAACGAAGTTCTTTATAGCTGACAGCGTGATAGTCATCATGAAAGATCGCGTTGGCGAGGCATTCGATGCCTTTCGGGCCACACGGTCGGAAAGCTCGGACAGCCTAATCGCAGACGAAGTAGGGCTACGAGCAGACTTTGACCATCTCCATCGCCAGACACTGCACGAGCTTCAGCACGTGGTTCCTTTCAAGCAATTCCTGTTCCAAAAATCGCTGAGAAAGAGATGCTTTATCGGCTTCATGACTATGTTTGGAGCGCAGTGTACAGCTACAATCGTCATCAACAGTAAGTCGTGGACCGGGCTACTGTTAAGCCGACAGCAGCTGATGACACTGATACTTGATAGACTATGGCCCTTCTTTATACAGTAGCCTCGGTTTCAGCACGGTGGCAACGTTCGGTATACAGTCTGGGTGGATTTCAACAGCCCCCTTTGGCAATTTCATCAACGCCATAATCGTCGATCGTGTTGGTCGTGTCAGATTGCTTCGTAAGTCGCCGCCTCCCCAAGTTGTCGTGCCTTCACCATATACTCATGCTTGTTAGTGATTGGATTCACGGGCTGCCTGTTGGCGCTGATGGGTGAATGTATCACAGTCTCATTCTTTCAAAGCTCTGGCAGTCGTGGTGCCGCTTCTGGGGCTGTATTTTTCCTGTTCGCCCACATCACCGTCTTCGTATTATGTGTTGACGCCACCACCTACATCTATGCTTCAGAGATATTTCCGACGCCACTTCGAGCAAAGGGCCTGGCGATATCTTGCTCCGGACTATTCTTTGCCACAATCATCTTCACGACAGCAGCTCCGACGGCGTTCGCAAACATCGGCTGGAAATACTACTTGGTTTTCGTGGTGTTGACGACCATCACCATCAGTATTGTGTACTTCATGTTCCCTGAGGTATGGTTACTTTCATAAGTGTTTATCGTACCTTACTAACCCGGGCTGCAGACACGTCAGCTGTCACTTGAAGATGTCCAAGGTCTCTTCGGCGATTCTGTTGACGAGGTGGACTTCATTGAAGGGGCTAATGCAGAAAACCAAAGGGTTGAAAAATCGACAAAACACCCAGAGGAGTCTGTTACGTCTGAGGCAACTATCACAAAGGGTTAGTAGCTTTGTCAGTCCCGGAGAGTTGGCAGGGCTCGTTCGGGGAGTATTCTGTGATTCGTGTCCATCTTTGTATAGAGGAAGTTGTTGACTGTGAAGAAGACCGACTGGTGGTATCACTGGTATGGAAGATTTACCGTAGGTTTTCTAGTAGCTACTTGTCGTTTCTCTCGTCTGCTCATAGATCAAAACCATGGCCTGTGCCGAGTAATGCATGCAATACGGCACTTTTCCAACCGTGAGTCGATGATCACACACCAGATAGAATCTGTCGAGTTGTCGTCAACTGCCAAATGATAACTCCCTGTCTGATGAGTGCGACTGGAGAGATCGACGCAGAGGCGCGGAGGTCCAGTCAAGTTAAATACGCTTCGGCCGATACAAAAAGCGAGGTTGACCGAGCTCGGACCTGATTCACTGATATAAATAGCACGCATAAAACATCCATCCTAGACTCGTAGGCGGTGAGAAACTTGGACTCATCCTCATCGTTCTGAATAATTTAGTTGTGTCTTGAAAGGATACTATTACTACTCTGACGGTCTTCACTGAGAATTGCACGGAATTGCACTTCCCGTATGCGGAACTAGTGGTACACGTCCTTCTCTCAGCCTTCCGTCGCGACGAGCTACGGCTTCCATCATACGTATCAGTATATCACAAGAACAATATCGAGGCCAGAACATTCTCCCTCTACAGATACTCACAGACTGTCGTCAAAATGCCCCCGCCAGACTCGTTCACTTCTGATACCTTTGGAGTACGATACACTCCCTAGCATGCTTGTTGGACGCGCTTTACTCTCTCACTCTCTCCACCATTCCTCTTCGTTATCATTATCATTCTCCTTCTCCTCCTGCTCCTCGTTGTCCTCGTCATGAGAATGCTGGCCTCCTCTTTCCATCTTTTAGTAGCACTGACCTCTCTCTATTCGTGTATCACTAGTTCAATGACGGCCGCGAGGCAGGTTTAAGGGACTACATCTTCTCCCGTGCTGACGTCGAAACCACGCTCCGCAACAACCCACAAGCCATCATCGACGCCATCAGCGCCTACACGTCGCAAAAGGGAATGATCACACTAGGCCGCGTCAAGATCAACAAATGCACCGATCTGCTCGCCCGACTTGACCCATCCCCCAAGACGCTGGTCGAACTGGGGTGTTACGTGGGCATGTCCGCTCTGGCATGGGGGGACGCATTGAAGAAGTTGAACGCCACAACGACCTCAGACCAGAGCCAGATCCCAAGCCAGATCCCTTCTGGAGGGGCATCGCCGTGCAAAGTCTTCACGACAGAACTACACAAGACATTTGCGTCCATCGCCCGAGACCTAATCGCTCTTGCGGGTCTCGATGACACCGTTACTGTTCTCGAAGGACCCGCGAAAGAAAGCCTTCGCGCCCTCAAAGCCACGGGACAAATCGACACGGTGGACGTCATGTTTTTTGATCATTGGTGAGTGAGTGCCTGTATCTGTGCCTGACCAGACCAAACCAGACGAGAGGAGACCTTTTGCATATGCTCTTCAAGTCTGAGTCTTGGCCACACAAACAACAAACCATATTTGTCATATCTCATCTCTAACAATATCTCTCTCTGTGTGTATGTTGTAAACAGGAAAGATGCATATCTCCCCGATCTTCAAGCGTGCGAAGACCTAGGGATTTTTCGCAAGGGTAGTCTGATCCTAGCTGACAACACCGACATTCCCGGAACGCCCGACTTTAATCGGTACCTTGAAGACTCGTCGACCGGTCAAAATAAAGGAAGGTCAGGGTACCAGTATCACGTTGAGAGACATGAGACAGAGGCAGAAATGGGCGTGAGTTTGTCCTTTTACTCTCTATCGCTCTCTTCTTTTGCTCCTTCTTTGCTCAGTTGACTAACGTAACATCCCTCACAACTCTTTTTCGATCCGAGCAGAAAATCGTACTAGCTGCCAATGTCGTCAGCGTGCCCTGAGAAGAAAAATGTGAAGAACTGGTGGGAGGTGTCAAATTATCGAAACTCCGGCAGCCCAGGCAGTCAGTTCAGTATCTAGGTTACCAGGTAGATGAACTCGGTACGCTGCACTCTGAGAAGATAAAACTGCTCCTTAGGAAGAAATAATACTTCGTGCACGACTCGCAAAGACTCTCATCAACATCGAGCAAGATCATTGGCGACTCAATGATTAAAACTTAAGTAAGATAAAGAAGTCCACCGTTATCAGACGCACCAGAAAGTGCATTGCGAACTCAAGAGAAAGCTTGGGAAAAGCTTATCTGGCTTAATACTGTCTGACAGGATAACAAGTATTAGTAAATGAGTTTTGAGGGAGTTCTAGTTAGAGGAGTCAGGTCAGCCCTCGAATATGAACAGATAGATACCTATGGGACATATGCGTGATCCTATCCGCCAGAGTATTACGAGGCAACAACCAGAGCCACAATCTCTACTCCGTGCGGCTTGTGCATCGGATCCTGTCCGATTCTCTGATTGTACATCGGGTTCTGTCCGACTATCTGGGGCAGATGGGGGCATTATTCGGTATGGGTACAATATCCTCGAACTTGCTGGTACTCTTATCTTCATGAGATATCAGTGATAAAGAATGTACCTCGAAGGGACCCCCCCACTCTTAAGGCAGGTAATGTTAACAGTTCATCACTCGACTCGTCCCATTTAGTCTCCTATGCCGGCGACATCAAGTATAAATACGGTGTGACGTGCCTAACAGGCCAGGTGAGATGCTGGGACATTACTGGAGCCGTCTTTGCCTGAACCATGCGGGTATCCTCCTTCCTTGTCGCGGGCTTCACCACGCTTGTATATCATTGCAGCGCGGTGCTGGCTGATCTGAGCTACACCTGCGAAAATGTGACTTTATACAGGGGCGTTGCCGAGACCGCACCGTTCTACATCGTGAATTCGACCACGATAGCCGCCAACAGGACCGCCCAGCTTCCAGAGTATTGCTACCTCCAAGCAGTGATCGGTGGCAGGATCAATGCCTGGGCCAAGCTTCCCGCTGCCCCTGACTACAATGGCAGATTTGTCCAGTGGGGTTGCGGCGGTGCCTGTGGGATCAACCCTTTCGACGGCGAGCAGGATAACCGCACCACAGCTCTCGTCGAGGGATATGCTCTTACCACGACGGACATGGGCAACTCGGGCGACGGTTCCTTCTTCCCCTTCTTCAACGATCTTCAGTGCAAGATTGACTGGGGCTACGAGGCCACCCACCTTACGGCTGTGTTCTCCCGGCTTCTCGTCGAGGCTTATTACGGCAGCGCTCCGAGATACGCCTACTTCATCGGCAGCTCGACTGGCGGGCGACAAGGACTCGTCGAGGCGCAAAGGTTCCCTGGAGACTTTGACGGCATCGTCTCGGTTGCACCGGCGTACAACGAGACGGGCATCACCACCTACCAGATGTCTTGGAACACGGCCGCGTGCATATACAACACGGCAAACACCAGTGACCCTGTACTGACGACGGAGGCGCTGTCCCTCATCAGCGAAGCTATCCTGGATGCTTGTGATGGAGAGGATGGCATGGTGGACGGGATCATAGCGAATCCACGTGGATGCTCGTTCAACCTCACTGCGCTGGCCTGCTCCTCGGGCCCGCCCAACTCATCTCAATGCCTCAGTCCAGCAGCCGTCGCTGCCGCGCGTAGCATGTTCGTCGGACCAAGGAATTCCGAGGGCATCTACCTGACTCTAGAAGGGCTGCTGCCGGGATCCGAAGCCGCGTGGACTGGGTCGCTGTGCCCGACAGGGGGTCAAACTGCAGGTTTTTATACGTTTGCCACGCAGTACCTCTCATACTACGTGTTCAACCCGGATGTGGTAGGGGGCCTTGAGGCCTATGACTTCAACATGGACACGCCACTTCGGGAGACTGCCTACACTGAAAGCTTTGAATACGGCGGGATTTCTGATCTGTCCCGATTCAAGCAGCTTGGCGGGCGACTGATCATGGCACAGGGTCTCAGGGATCCTGCTGTGCCCCCCTGGTTCGCGACAGATTACTATCAGAGAGTGGTGACCGCCATGGGAGGGTACGAGCGCACGGTCGACTTCTTCCGCTACTACGAGATGCCCGGTACGGTATACCCCTTTTGTCTCTTCCTCAAAATTACGGACTTTTGGTCTGGCCCGGTACACTAACGGACAAAATCTAGGTGTCAATCATGTGTCTGGAGGCCCCGGTGCCGATTCCTGGGACCAGATAGGCCTCATCTCGGCGTGGGTGGAACGCGATGAGGCTCCCGAGACCATCACGGCGTACCATCTCGACGACGGCGCGGTGAACTTCACCCGCCCGTTGTACCCCTGGCCTTTCCTCCCTTATTACAACGGCAACACCTCGGAGTTCTATGCTTTCAACGCTTCGGGCTCGACGTTGAGAGGCTACACTATCTACTAGAGAGACCGGTCGAGGAAACTGAAGCCGTAGCCTGCTAGCAGGAACTCCCTCTGGATGCAAGACAAGTCGTGCAGGACTCAGGAGGTCAGGGGCCGATCAAACATGTACATAGATGGATATCCCGCTCCAACAACCAGCCACTCCGTAACAAACAATCACGAGCACCTTTTTCAACGAAACATCGGCTATCTCTGCGCGGGGAATGACCTTGAGAGACCGCTATATACTCGGCGACGATACGACGTACCGATATCTGCCCTGCAAGGAGAGCTGGGTGATCCGCCTTTTCGGCCTCGTCGGCTCGGACGAACCTTCCATTTGAAATAAAAAAGGGTTGTCGCAGGATATACTAGGCATCCAAAACGCCCCTGCGCCAGCTCGGCTTTCGAGCGCCTAAAATGCCCAGTACGGCGAGTGTAACAGGAGCAAGACTTTCAGAACTGGTATCCGGCCCAGGCGTGGGATTTATTTCAGTCATTTGAGGCCAGCCATGGACGTGTACGTAGCCGCAGCCGCTAAAAGATTGTGGGACTGTCTGGGCCTCAATCCGTGTTCTCGCCGACATAGCGTATCTAGTGGGTTTGAAATGGTAGTCGAATAACGTCCTCAGCAGCAACAATAGTGAAATCATCCTTCATCACCATGATTGTCCCGGACGTTCTCATCCACGTCACTATCTCCATCTCCGATATCTGTCTCCACGAGCGCTTGCTCCTCTCTGTCAATCTTCTCATCGTGTCGAATAGGAACCTTGGTGGCCTCGATTCCGCCAGATGTGACGAACATGAACGTCTCAATGGGGAAATTGTCGACATGGTTGAAGAAATTCCCGAAAACGTTCATATTCTCTTCATCCTCGTACATGCGCTCATAGATGTGTTTTTGCTTGAACGCGTCCATCTCGGTCTTGTACTTGTCAAAGTCGATCGCTTCCTTGGACATTTCACTCGTGGCCCGTCTGTTGTAGGAATCGAACACAGGCCTTTCCAGCAAAAGACCCAGACTGGGTGCCTTGGGGATCGAGATGTTATCTGGGCCCAAGCTGTCGTTTATCCGACTCGGGTCACAGCCACAACGCACCACCAGCGCAACCATCGCCACCATCTTGCGGATCTGGTGCATCATGAAACTCTGCCCGTGAACTTTCATACTGAGCCATTCGGTGCCGTTGATCAGAATTGGCTCGGGATTTACGATGAAGGATTTGATGACTCGCTTCGCTGATGCATCATCATACGTTTTCTGAACTGTGAAATTGTGATAGTTGCGAGTGCCTTTGTAATAGTTCAGCGCATCTTGAATCCGGTCGAGACGTGCTTTGGGGATTCGATAGGCCCTTTTGGCTGTGATGTAAGCTTGACGAAGGCGCTTCATGGCGTCCTGCAGAATGGCGCTCCGTGATGGTTTGCCAGTGGCTTTTGCGGCATCCACTCCATCTGCAGTCTCAGCTTTCTCACTCGCCTCGTTAGCAGTCGCTTCGTCCGCTGTTTTGGAGTGTCCGCTCACTCCTTTTGACTTGTTGGCATCGCCAACTTCGAGTATTTGTTCGGATAATGTCCCATTCTCGGCAGAGCTCCCCAGCTCAATTCGGTGGCCATCTTTACCCTCGCTTTCATGATAGATATCTCCAAGATCGGCTGGGACTTGCTCGTCGCTTGTCGGGTCATCAGGATCACCAGTCTTCATCCAAAGCGCCTTTTGAAGAATGCTCCTCACATCGTCATCGTACTCTGCAAGTATTGGCTCGATAATCTCTTTATCGACCTTTTCCCAATATCCAGCGACTTCCTCCTGACGTTGTCGGTAATTTTCTACGTCGTCCTTCTTTTGGGCCCACTCCTCGAGTGCCCTCCCTAGGAAGCTGCTCGGATGAGGGGGAAGAAAACTGTGCGTAGGGATGAGATACTCGTATATTCGCGAGTCGACCATCTGATATGCACTGAAACTGTTAATAGTTCTTTCGTAGCCCCAAACTCGTATCTGAGGAACAAGGTTGTCATTGATCTTCTTGACAATGTCTTCGTCTTCAACGATCAATTTCAGAGAGATGACATTCCCTGCGGCATGGACGCCCTTGTCGGTTCGTGCGCATCGCACGAAAGAGGATTTCTTGGGGTCGTCGGCGTTGGCTTTCGAGATAGCTCCCGCTGCGACGAATGCCTTGAAGAGGTCGCCTTCGATAGTTTTGTGATCATGAGTACTATCATTGTTGTCAATATTTCGTGTTCTTATCACGATGCAGGAAGAGTCATGTCGACTCACAATTGCATCCCCCTATAGCCTGTACCTGCATAACCGATAAGGACTGCTACCTTCTTCTTCGGTCTTCTCTCTTCCGCAGCCAGGACTTCGTCGCTGAACTTGGTCGCATAGATCGGCAACTCTGGTTTGCCATCGTCGACTCGCTGTCTCTTTGAGGCCTGCTCGTCGTCGTTACGCTGCCGTTTGTCTCCTTTTGTTTTTCTTAGCAAGTCAGTCCTGCAATGTCGGGTGGAAAAGTTGTGGTATTGTGGTAACACCTACGCCCATTCCGTTCGGCCCATATCTCCCTTCTTGCCGTGGCGACCTCTTCCACCACCTCTGTTGCCTCCCCGGGCAAAATTCTTCGAACCCATAGCGTTTGCTGAGTGTGCAAGGTGGATAGGTTAAGGAATTCGCTTCGAACGGGACGGCTGGCCGCTACAGCAATGTCTTGCGTCGATTGCTGGACGTTACGAGGTTTTCGAATGTATGCCAACAAACGAGGAAGCGTTGGGTACAGTCTTAGTACCTGTGAGCAGCGGAACATTAAGAAGCATCACCAGATACCCATAGAATCCATGATTTACGGAGAACAGACGTTCGTGCGTGGGGAAATTTTCGCGCAAGTCTGAAGTCTGAATTGGAGAAACATGGAACTACCTTAGTCCAAGTTTGATCTGCACTACAGTTCTACGTCGGATCTTTGGCACGTGAAATGGCACTTTTCAATATTAGGATCGAGATTATTACATACAATGGAGCTCATAGTGCTCCGCGCTTGACCTTGACATCGAGCTTCCCCATCAGCGAGTCTCAGCCTTATTGTACACTACCCCTATTTGTTCAATCTGGTGGCTGCTCGCAGCGGCGAAGGTTGAAGGCTGTGGAGAAGAGGCGTCGGTCAACAAGCCGAATCACTGTTTTCCCCTGCAAGACGCAATGTACCTTCTAGCCTCTTGTATGAGCGGGTACATATCGCTGCAGGACAACAGGAATTGTACCCGTGTCGCTGACCATTCATATTTCGTTCTCTTTGGTCATCATATGCCGTAGACATAAGCTCTGATACTCCTCACGCGTGTATCCGTTGCATTCTAAGAAAGTGTCGAAGCCCCAACTACTCCTTCCATCGGTAGTGGTACAGTGCACGAAACCAGCCTTGAACTAGCAGGAGAGAGAAGTTAGGCAGGACTAGCGTATCGTCGTTTGCTCCTTCTCCCAATGTCGACGACCTCGCCGTGACATCGTCGATCATGTTCAGCAGGCAGTCTGTCCAATGAGACATCCGGTAGCCATCTGCCACGCTCTTCTCCGGGGACCAGAAGAATGCATAGCCATATTGCTTTCGGAAAAGCTCAGATTTCTGTTGAAGTGCCGATTTCAAGATCTGCATATTCTCTAGGGCTGGCTTGATGTACATGTCTGATTTTGCATGCATAGCCAGTTCACAGAATGTGATAGTTGCCAGAGACCAACAGTGCATATCAAGAGGGCTGAAGTTTGGGTAAGCTGGGGAATCGGTTGTGAGACATTCAGTGAGTTGTGTAGCCTTCATGAGGACGATCATGGGACTGAAGTCAGTATCCGGGTATCGTGCTGTGAGCAATTCCAGCAGAAGTTTGACTTGGCGCACGACGGGAGAGTCGAGACTGAGCGTGGGAGAACTCTTTAGTGTATTTTCGAATAGACCAAATGTAAGAATGCGCTTCACCTGCGCTCCCGCAAAGCTGGACGCGTCCAGGTGAAGTAAACAAGTGACCATGGTAATGATGTTGGAAGATTGCATGAGGAACGCCGCTTCAGCAGGCATCTTAGCTGTATCAGCAGGTCCTACCATGGTCTCTTTGGCTTGCGTTTCTTGTGGAGACAGTGTTCTGGCGTAAGATCCTGAGCTTAGGTCATACAGTTTGGACATCAAGCATTGACAGCTAAAGGCTTGTCTCACGATACCATCGATTTGTTCTGCTCCCATTTCGTCGGCGACGAGTTGTGTATCCTTGGACTTGAAAAGGTGGATGACCCGCAGACTTGATGCGAGAAGATCATTTTTCGTTGCGTTCGGGCCTGCGATTTGGTTGACATCACTGTCGCATGCAGCTGCCAGGAGAAGTAGTGTCCAGAGACAAGTAACATTATCAGGGACCGTGTTAGAGGCTGCATCTTGCTCCACAGATACCACGTAAGTCGTCAACTCTTGAATGTCCTCGAATGCTGTGGTTGGAAGACTGCGTCTATGAGAAGCCACAGATATCTCATCACTTTGGTTGCCATTGACAGCCGAATCATTCTGACTGCTGACTAACAGCTCAATGGAGAGGGTGAAGGCATGTTGTATGGCCGGGACTGCTTTCGAAACCACCTTCATCACCGAGTCCACCTCAGGAAGTAGGGCAAAGCGTGGATGCACGTAGGTGTAGTATCGGTTGAAGTAGTCTTCGCTTAGATCAAACTTTTCGAGCTTTGCATAGGCATCATCAAGCCGCGGTCGTTTTTGCGGCGGAGGTGAATCGACCTCTGACCAAAAGGGCTTGACACTTTCTGCCATTCTAACGGCTTCTTGGTTGGAGAGATTTCCAGGCATTGACTGATCGGGTGCGATCATTAGACTCCCTGTATCTCGAGACCGTAGACTGGGAGCGATGTTGCCCCAGGCGCCAGTGCTGGGAATTCGGTCGCGCTGAAAGTCAGAGGGCGTGAAAGGGCTTCGTGTGTCTGGAAAGGAAAACTGTCGTCTGGGATTGGCGTCGTCAGGTGAGAAAGCTTCGGCGTAGGTAGTGAAGTTAGAGCTGCCGTCGACAGACTGCCGCAGTGCTTGTGCTTGCTTCTGTACGGTTTCGACCTGTTGGACGCGTTCCGCCAATTCTTTGATGTAACTTGCAATCATGGTTAACAGAGAGGAACCAAGATCTTGTAGAAAGCTTACCCTTTGGACGGTCCGCGCTTCATAGGCTTGCGTTCAAATTCACAGGTTGCGCCAGCTTTCTGGCAGTTCGAACAGGTTTTGGGTGTGCCATCAGCTTCAGTCGGCGCATCGCATCGGACCTGGTCGAGTGAGCATGCGCGGCGCCGTGTGAGAGGTCCAGACACCCTACCTTCTTTCTTCTACACTCATCACATGCGCGTGAAGTCTTTGAACGCTTTCTCTTGTCTCCGGTTTGTGGGGTTTGCATTGCATCAGATAGGTCGTCGACGCTCTTGCGCGCGGGCATGAAGGATGCTTGGTTGGGTGTCTGAGGCGGGGCCATGGACGCATCTGCGCCATTAGAAGCTGCCGCAAGGGTATTCAGCTGTTCTGCGCCGGAGTGAGCCAGCGATGCAGTAGGGTCGTCAAGGTCTCGTGGATAGGTCGACATGCCATAATTTGGATTCATGGCTGCCAGCTGAGTATCAATGGGGAAGTTGAAGGAAGATGCGTCAAACTGTGAGCCGGTAGGTCCGGCGAACGAGGAAGTCGGATCGTCGCCAGACTGATCGCGACCATGGATACTCCGCGCCATGTCTTTGGGAAATCGCGACGGTCAAGTTGAGAGTGATGCCGTGGGTCCGAAAGATGGAAGACTGCGAAGAAGGGTGTCGCGTCTGTGATGCGGGAGTTTGACTGGAGAAGCGATGCCACCAGCCCCAATCAGCGCCGCCTCACCGAGTAATAACATGGGCCAATAATTCTGGGGGCGTCTTGGTCTACCCTGAGCAGTGAAGCTTGCAGTGAAGAGGGCTGTAGTCGGTCTTCGGTCTACTCTGAGGTAGTCATCTCTTCAAGATGCCTACGGTGAATAGGAACGCGCCACAGACACACTTTCTCGTCGCCGACTGACACCATTGACCCGTAACAATATAGAACTACTTTGGCGCGTCTCAAGGGCCAACGATCTTGGGGTGGACGAGGGCTCACTAGGCACTGCTTTTGGGCGACGACAAGCTTTAACTGAAGAAGGCAAACGATTTTGTCACCTTTATGTCTCGCGATCCTGATGCGACAAAAGCTTCATGTCCCAAGCACCTGATGAAGGTAGATTTTATTCCCTCAGTTTGTTATGTCTGTTATTGAGCATGAGTTGTCTGTTCTGCTTCAAGATCTAGAGAGTCAGAACGCGTACAATCAACCACCATCGACACGACTAGGATCACGTTAAACGAGAAGAGAGATTTCTGATCACATTGAATTCACAACAAGGTCAGGCCAGGATGGCATCGCAGTCACCACCCTCATTACCCTCAACAATGCGAGCGTGGCAGTTGTCCACGGCCCATGGCGGCGTAGAGAAGAACCTCAAATTGAACACCTCGGCGCCACTGCCGCCTCACGACGACCAAGCCCTGGGCAAGAATAAAGTGCTCATCCAAGTTCTCACCGCGTCCGTGAACCCCATCGACTACAAGCTGGTTGAGCTACCGGTAGTCGGGCGTATAGCGGTCAAGAGGCCGTTTTGCCCCGGTCTGGACTTTGCAGGGCGAGTGGTCAAACCTGCTGCTGGAGTAGCCTCAGATTTCCCGGTGGGACAGCTCGTTTTCGGGCGTCTGGCTATGCCCATCTCGTTCGGCACACTCGAAGATTATACTGTTGCACAGGCTGGGCAACTAGCAAAGCTCCCGCGAGGAGTATCTATGCAGGATGCAGCTTCCGTCGGCACTGCCGGGTTGACGGCCTATCAATGCATCGTTCCAAACGTCAAAGCGGGAGATAGGGTCCTCATCAACGGGGGTAGCGGGGGAACAGGCGTTTGGTAAGCCCTCCGTCTGGAAAGACCGCCCAAAACCATGCTCCGGATCTCTATTGACAGGGTTGCAGGGGTATTCAGTTTGCTAAAGCTATCGGTTGTTACGTGGCAACGACATGCTCGGAAAAGAATGCCGGGTTCTGTCAAGGACTGGGCGCCGATGAAGTGATCGACTATCAGTCCCAGAACGTCGTTGATGCTCTCAAGAAAAGCACCGGGGAGTCAGGGCACAAATTCGACTTGGTGGTCGACAATGTAGGAGCATTACCGGAACTGTACTGGGACTGCCACCATTTCACAAACCCTGGAGCCAAGTACGTGCAAGTTGGCAGCGAGCTTTCATTGGGCGCAATCTTTGACATCGCAAAGAGAATGCTGTGGCCGGGATTTTTGGGTGGAGGAAGACGGAAGATTCAATTCCTCCACGTCCAAGCAAACCGGAAAGACCTGGAAAGTATCGGAGAGTGGATGAGTCAGGGAATCGTCAGGGCTGTCCAAGATTCGGTCCTGGGTATGGAGGACGTCCCCAAGGCGTTCGAACGGCTCAGGACACATCGGGCCCGGGGCAAAGTCGTTGTCACGGTGAATGAATGAGTGTATGGGTTTCGGTCGGGACTTTGCTTGTGTATACCGTTCGTGTAGCAGTAGATTGAATGCACTCAAGCTTCACACTGGAAACAGGCAACAATGAGGCTCACCAGTGTGTGTCTGAATAAGGCTGCGGTGCGACATTTTCACCGCCGGGCGAGAACTCGCATGGGGAAGAGAGGGACATGGTGGGTGCATGGCACATCACCGTCACGAATTACCTCGACTCATTTGGAAAGTGGACCAACCCGCCAGGAGGTTCGAGGTTCACGAGCTGACGACCTCTGCTTCGTCATACACAGTGGTCAAGTTACACGGCGAACTTGGCTCGGATATGCAGGCACACGGTGGTCAGCAAGAAAGGAACAGATGGCCGGAACCCTCGACGGTCGGCATGTGGAGGCCGACTGCAAGTGTGAACACAGTATTCCCTTGCATGAGCGCGCGTGTACTGACGCATGACAGATTTCATTTCGATCTTCATGGAGCAGAGTCACAGGATACTGGAAGGGTAAGGTCGGAGGCCCCGGCGTTTAAGCGATTCAGGTGGTCAGGGATTGTGTCGTGTGGAATGCGACCAGGGACTTTTGTCGACCCTTTCTTTCGCCTATCAGAGACGATAGACGGTATCGATAGAAGAAGCTAGTTAGTTCCCGCAAGACGAACTAGAGTTCGACTCAGAAATGAGTCGGCCAAGTACATTTGCAGATGCCACGCTGGTGGAGGCGGTGCAGTTGCAGGGATACTTTGCGGCTGCTCACTGCTATGGACCGACCCGACCTGGTTCCGGTTGAGTCGAGACCAGAGAGATCATGTGCGTGGATACATACGAGGACCGAGTATCCTGGACCGAGTCACAGCTCTCCGCGCTCGGAACGGGAATGCGTCAGGCTCATTGCGAGGTTGATTCGTAGTAACGAGGATTCGTAGTAATGAGGACTGGTAGGGAGTACGGGCCACGGCAGTTCTCATCCGACGGTTGGCATCACGAAAGCATGGAATTGTTGCCAGTGTGACCAGCCAGTGCCAGACGCAACCCATGCGAGACCAGCATGAGATAGTTTTTCGTCCTTGGAGTGACTGAGCGGCAGAAGAATGGGCGTCGAATGCGGGCAACGGGCGTGCATCATTGTGCATGTTTTAGATTGTGATCCTCGTAACCGGTGAATCGAACAGGCGTGTGTTCTGAGCCCAGCAGCCTCCGCTTTGGCGCTTGTCTCACAGCAGCTTAGCGCCTGCGGAGTGATTGGGGCGCAGGCAACGAAACATCCCGGCAGACTAGGCTGTATTGGGGTTAGCGAGCTGGGCTGAGAACACTGCCACCACTCGTAATGAGCATCCCTGGAACCTGGTGAAGGTGCCCCTAGAGAAGCCCCTAAGGACAGCCTAAAGGCACCCTAGAGGCACCCGGGAGACCGCCCATGGACCCCACGGCAGCCTAGAGACTGCCCCCCTTGCCCTCTAACACGTCAAGACTTGGGCAGATTATGATGATTCGAAACACCATCATCACAATCACAATCACCACCACCATCCCCCCCCCGGTCGACACACTCCTCGTGTCGACCCTCCCGGCCACACCCTCCCTCCGTCATGGCTTGGATACAACAGGGTGCCACCAAGGCGGTGCCCTGGAATTCTGACGCCGAGTCCAATCGTGAGTCAGGGAGCACCTGATACGAGGAGGAAGAGATCCTCACGGCAGCCTGGCGAATTGGTCCCTTCCTTTCCTATTCCGGGCAAGCCGTGTGCAGGCTTCCACTCAAAAGTGCCAGGCAAAAGATCCCTCCAGTCACCGTATGCTCAATGCACCGATGTGTCCTACCATTGGCCTCGACCCTACCTCGAGGCTATAAACTGCATGGCATCCTCCTCTTCTTCCATCCCATTTGACTCTTCTTTTCTATACTCATACCAACCACTGAACACTACGCTTGATACAACCTGTCGGAAGATCCGTCTTGCCCAGTGCTGTCGCAGTCAACAAGGCTGCCACTCCTTCCTGCCTCAATACCTCAGCAACCCGTCACGCTGTCGCCTCAACGTACCACCACCTACTACTACTATCCCAAGAGGTCGCATACCTTAGATGACCTGACTCCCCAGTATCAATACATCACCATCACCCGGAGCCCAACCAGGCCACAGACTCCGCCTCCGTCCACACCAATCTTGAGCTATTCCAACACTTCCACCCCCATATCCAGGTCGCCGTCGACGCCAGTAACCACCATGGCCAAAGGTGCGACCAGCCAACGCGTGGTGAACTTCGCCAAGGAGATCAACTCCTCGCGCCCACCGCGCGACGACGAATACTTCGTCATGTACCGATTTGCCAAACATGCTTCCAAGTGCAACTTCTGTGCCGACCCATACGCCTGCTACGAACAGGACCTCGATCTCTGTGACCGAGGCCGGAGCTACGCCAGAGATGTCTCAAGCTACCTGTTCTCCAAGGGAGCCAAGCCGTTCTCCAAGATTGACAGATCCAACGGCGACTCGGTCCAGGTCGAGATCCCCGCCGAGTGTGAAGTCATCAACAGACTCATCAAGGCATGGGACCGTGGCATGACCTTGAGCAAGGCGAAGAAGCCCATCATCGTGAACCCTCCCACCAGGAACCCCGAGAGACACGAGAAGGTCGAGACCCCAAAAGCCAAGGAGTACTTCTACGATGAGCCCCGCCGGAGCAGAAATTACGACGTGGTCGAGATCATCCCCAACTCCAGCCGCCGAGGAAGAGAACGCGTCTACCGGGACGACCACGGGGCAGAGGAGCGATACCGCTACGTTCACAAGGAGAGACCAGTCAGCTACCACGGAAGCAAGGGCAGCCTGTACGAACGTGACGAAGAGGAGAAGCGACGTCGACAGCAGTACGACCAGCAACCCATTGTCATCATCGCCGAGCCTTCCAGGCGGTACAAACGGTGAAGGAACAGGCGATCGAACGGGAGTTTTCAAGGATCTCTTACCGGAGTATTATTCATGTATCAACAATGACAACAAAAAAAACACATGTACCAGAAAAGGAAAAAAGTGCTCGACATGTACCGGTCAGATGGAGCTTGATGAGTGACAGCATATAAATGATATCATCATCTGGATGGTCCAGCAGTGAACCGAATCAACCAAAAAAGGGGAGCTCGACTTGCAGCAATCCAGCCGCGCTCAGGCTCACATCAAGCCTAGGTACATACCCCGACACAGCCTCTGTTTCGATGGTCAAGGCAAAAAGAGTGATTGCGAGGTGGCGTCAACTCGTGTATTTTTGTCTCCTTGACTTGGATTCCGTACGAGAGTACGCTATGGCTCGTGGTATTACGAGTTAGAGATTTGGTCTTGGAATTGTGTCTTGTCATTGAGACATCTGCAATTGCTTTGGCTTTGGCTTTGGTCTAGGGCTTGGGTTTTGCTCTGCTTCCTGTCTTTTTTCATCTCTACCAAAACCCCCCCAAAAAAATCAAGTTTTGTTTTGTTCTCTGCACTGCAAAACAATGACGTGGTTGCGTGAAATTATGCATTTCTGCACAATTTGGAGGGTCCTGAGGTTTTGGGTGATGATGACTGCACGACGGCAAAGCAAGGCAAAGCAAAGCAAGCAATTTGAGGCATTTGTGAAGAGCAATTGATTATTGGAGGCCAGATGGAGGGAATCACTAGGAATGATTTCAAGGCTGGAGAGGCTGAGCGCAAGGCTGGGTCTCAGGAGGGGTGTGGTGAAGGGCATTAGTTAGTTACTGTGGGAGTGTAGCCACCCTCATTCCGACTTTGTTTAGGATTGTGGCGTCGGTCCTTTGGATTTTGGCAGTTTGGGGTTTTTAGGGGGGCCAAAAGTCCCCATGCACCCACCCTTGGAGGCCAATGAATGAATGATAATCAGGAACTTTTGTCTTGCCAAGTTGGCTCTCTCTTTTCTTTTTTCTTTGCCATGGGTCAGACGTCGTCAGCAAAGCAAGCACTTTTGTTTCCGGGGCCTTGGAAGTTGTGTCCCTGGCGGGCCCTTGACGATGACTACCTGTACATACCCAACAGGTACGGAGTACCTAGGTGACCTTTTGACTACGCTGATACTTATGTACGTGCCTACTAAAGCCTCGTGAAACGCTCGAGTGTGTACAGTACAGTATGGACGGGGACACCCAAAGTGCATACCCCATACGTCGGTACATAGGTATGCAGTCCTGGTGAAGAAAAATGACGGAGACAAGAGCGCACAAGGTACTTTTTCAATGAGAACAACCCACCTAATAAAAATGCGAATGAACCTTGGTTTCTGGTATTCTACGGTCGAGGCGAAGTGTGGCTTAGGTACAGGTAGATACATCCTGTATGTGTTGCAAATCGGAATAGTTACCTCACTCAGCAAAGGCACCTTCACATCCACCACCACCACGACTGATCAATCACCCACCATCGCATTCTTCACCTTTGTCCTATGGTACATGCCTACCTCTATTACTCGAGAACTAAAAACCTAATTTCCATTAATGGTTCGATCCTAGAGGGTGACCGAAGGGCCGCTTTAACCTGAGCTTTAACTGAGCCTGTGGTTGAGCATCACTGAGCACCACACCCAGTGCCTAATCAGGCCCCCTAGCAGTCGGCTAAACCTGCCTCTCGACTTAGCATCTGTTTCGGACGGGCGCCAGGGGACCTGGCAAATCGCCTGCTCTTACAGTACACTGCTGCCTAAACTTCCTCATAATTTTAGATATGGCGGTGCGAAGGAAGCGGCTGGCAACAGTCTCGAGACGGGTGAATCCCTACGCTGAGCTTGACCATGCAGCGCCTAATCAGGACCAAGTCAGCCATGGCGCAAATTCAAACGAGACCGACTGAGTCGTGGGGAGAAATGAAAATCCATATCTTACCCATTGTGATCAAGCCATACAGAACCGATGTCACGGCCTTTTTCTGGAATGACCAATTAAGCGGTCGGTAAGGGTCGTCGGGCCCGTCGAAATCGACGAGGACATCTGGACCACTTTTGCTACTGGTGAGCGGGTGATTGAAGATGATTCCAGGTTCTTGATTAGGGGCCCGCAGCCTTGTGAGAAGACGATGCACTTGTCCAATGACACCCGGTTTCTCCATCTCGGCTGAATGTCAATGGGAAAGCTCAATTGCCTGTGAATATCTGTCGCAAGGCCTCCGTTACATATTGCTCGGCCTTTGTTTCACTCGGCCGACTGCACACCCAGAATGCGAAGCATGCGCGAGCTTCAGGCCGAGTGGACTTAAAGGTTTGGGAGAGATGACGTGGCACAGTGGATAGCTCTTAATACATTTTTTCCGTCAAAACTCGCTGAGCTCGTAGCTGCGTACAAGAACGTACAATGCCTTTCTTTGAGGGCCATGTTCAAGAGCGAAGGAGTGCCCGACATCGGTCGAGGAAAACTGCTGAATTTGGAATAGAGCTATGACGAGGATCAAATGCAAGAATTGGACACTGGCAGGAAAACAAGAGTGGCCACGCCACGGACTCAGTACAGCTGGATAAGTTGCCGTTTGAAAAATAACCCATCCGCTTGCTCCCTGTCGCATGCCGAATCTCTGCGCGTTCTGGTGTTTTGTTACGTTCAAGCACTCGGGCGTGCATTTGGGTCCAGCACCACACAACTTCGTGGTAATCTTGCATTGAAGGGCCAGAATGACGAGTAAGCTGCGTCTGAACTTTGCCTGCGGAGCCCTACGATCGCATGGACGCCCTCGCTCAAGGAAGAGTTAAACCCGCGGGTATCGATCTGAACTATATCACAATCGAGCATCCCAGAGACATCTTCGACCGCATGATAAGAGGAATGGAGTTTGACGCCTCTGAGATGTCTGTTTCCGAGTACATCTGTCGTTGGGCTGATGGGGAAAGGGACCTCATCGGCATCCCGATATTGCCTGCACGGGCTTTCCGTCACAACTGCATCGCGGTCAACACCGACATCATCCAGAAACCATCAGACCTAAATGGTAAACGTATCGGAGTCCAGCTTTACACCATGACCGCCGCAGTGTGGATCAGGGGAGCTCTGCAGACCGCTGGTGTTGATCTATCCTCCATCACTTGGGTGGAGGGCGACATCAAAAAGCCCGGGGCCCACGGAAAACCGAAAGCAAAGCCACTGTTGCGCCCTGTCAGAATTGTGCCATATATGGACGCGGCCAGGTCGCTCAGCGATCTCCTCGCAGACGGGGACATTGCAGCCACCATTGGTGCAGATACACCACCCTGCCTCGGGAAAGCGCCAAATGTCCAACGCCTGTTTCCCAATATACGAGAGACCGAAAAGCGGTATTATCAAGACACAGGCATCTTCCCCATAATGCATCTTGTGGTGATCAAAAAAGACCTCGTGGACAAACATCCTTTTGTTCCGTCGAGTCTGTTCCACGCCATGAACGAGTCCAAGGATATTGCTCTGCGTGGAATGAGATTCTTGGCGACGTACCGCTACATGCTGCCATTCCTCCCAGCGGACCTTGAAGAGATCGACCAATTGTTCGGCGGCGACCCCTGGCCATATGGCATCGAGCCGAATAGAAAGAGTCTGGAAGCTCTGGTCACTTACCTCTACGACCAAGCGATGGTAGATCGGAAGATCCCACTGCAAGAGCTATTTGGTCCAGTACACGGTCCGAACTTGAAGATATGACGGTAAATACTCAAGCTACTCTAGACGAAGCCAATTGTTTTATCTTGCACTGATACTTTGTTCTCATCTCAGTGATGCAAGCTTCGACAACCGGGTCAACGTCCGAGGGAAGATGCGCCCTTTTAGACGCGTTGTACTCTCCCTGCCTCCATTTCTGCGTGTCGAAGGCGTCAGATCGATTCAACGGAACGGCGTCGCCGTAGAATAAGTCAGGCATCATGACGAAGTGTCCATTGGCTGCAAATTGATCTGCAACGAGCTCGGCGTTCACGAACCGGTGTCCGATGACATCGGTGAGACTGGCGGCAAGTTAGATAGCCCACGATAAAGTGTCTGAACAATGCCATTTGGGAAGGACTTACAACAAGACTCCATGCTCAGTCGACTTGTCAGCCGGAGCGCTTGTATAAATCTCGAAATCCCCCAAAGTGGAAATGCTGCCAACAGGCTGTCCTTCGTGCTTGATGCCCTGGTAGCAACATGCTCCAGGCGGATGAGATGCCATCTTTGAAGTTTGGGATACGTGACGGATGATCGTAGGAGAGGAGTGGTGTCGTTGATACCCTCTACGAGCGACCGTGGGCGGGGTTTATTTATGGAAGCGGCCAGACTCGGTCGGGAAGAGAACGCGTTCAATCAGCGTACGTTAGCGGTCACAGGAATTGAATCAATTCTTGGATCGGCCTGGTTCGATCCTGTGCAACTGCAGGAGTGGCATTCCTCTAGCGGTTTTCTAAATGCTAAACCCGACTCGCCCAAAAGGCCGACCGAGTGAACGCTACGACCGGGTTGCGCATGCACTCGTACGTGTAGGCTGAAATACCTTCCTGTACCGGTAGTCCTGACTGGTAGTTCTCACGCATCTGTGATGCTCTTGAGTGCCGATACCGGGCCGGGACTTCTCTCAAGGCCAGAGTGATAGGATGTACCCAGCTGAAAGGTATGGCTGGCGTCATGGAACCACGAAGATCAACATCAGGTAAGCTTTCCCAGTTCGCATATCGCAACTTCTCTCTCGATACCGTCTTTTGTGTGACCTTTCCTTTACTCTTCCCCTTTACGCAGGTTTGGCTTGTTCCAGTCGACCTCAACATGAAGGTAGAGTGAAGTCAGAAGATAGTGCTGATAAGCATCTCTGGCGGGGCGTAATATAAAAGCTTGGAACGGAAATGCGGCACAGCGACTAGACTTGGCAAGATAACAACGACTGTTTACTGACAGCGAGCATTCGACCAAACTTCGGCCTCAAGGACGGCTGTGGATACTGAACACTTACTCTCCCGAAAAGCCGAACAGAGGCCATAAGATTACATATAGACCATTTCACTCATATACCCTTGACTTCCAGGAAGTAAGAATGACAGCCACAGCAGCCTCAATTTCGGAGATTCTCGCAGATGTCCCCTCTCAGTTTCGAGGCCCAGGTGGTGCAGTCGCCGTGCTGAAGGATGGCGAACTGGTTGGCCAGCAGCTTTGGGGGTACGGCGATCTACACAGTCGAGTAGCTATGGCCGCTGATATGGTTGTACCGATCTGCTCCATCTCGAAGCAGATGGTGTGTGGATTGTTGACGGACCTGGAACGCAACCCAACACCAGCCATGAAAGCGCGCGGTGACGAACCCGCCAAGCAGCTATCAGACCAGCTCGAGAAACTGCTGAATCCAAACCTGCTCAAAGACAGAGGCCTGACGCTTCGCCATCTTGCCAACAATCAGTCAGGCATACGCGACTACTGGGCCTTGACTGTGCTATGGGGTGCGAAGCCCGAGGGCCACTTCTCGATCGCCGACGACGGACCGCAGATGCTGGCGCGGATGAAGTCTTTCCATTTCAAACCTGGCACCGAGTACTCGTACGCCAATACCAATTTCTTCATCATCGGCGGCTGCATCGAGCAGGTCACGGGCCAGCCGCTGGGAGAGCTGCTCTCGGAGCGGATATTCGCGCCCGCGGGCATGAAGACAGCGAGGCTGTGCGCACACGCTGCGGAGCACCCGCCGCCGTGCGTTGGCTACGAGGGAAACGAGGCGCTCGGCTTCTATCCAGGCGTCAACTGCATCGAATGGGCTGCCGATGCCGGCATCGTGGCTTCCCTGACCGACATGATCGCCTATGAGAAGTTTGTGGACCGCAGCTCCCACGGCGATCTGCAGAGCTGGTATACCGTCAACTCCGAGCAGCAGAAATACAATGACGGCTCGCCTGCGGAGTACGGCTTTGGTCTGGGCCGCAGCCTCGTCGGCGGCGTCTTGAATATTGGGCACGGGGGCGCCATCCGCGGGTATCGGTTGAACCGCTCCTACTGCCCCGAGCGACGGATATCCATCATGGTCTTGCTGAACCAAGAGCATGGCGATCCAGTGGGCCTTAGCGACTACATCTTGAAGCGAATGCTGGGTGTGACCGAGGCCAAACATGAGATTGTCAGCGCCGGCCCAGATTGGCCTGGAACCTATCTGGATCCGGACACTGGACTGGCGATCGTCGTGAGCAAAGCCAGCGCCCCGGGGCAGCTCTCCTTCACGTACCACCTCAAGCCCGAAAAGGTGCGCGTGATCGAGGCGTACAAGGCCCGGTCGGACGGCATAGTGGCCAATCTCGACGGAGATTCTCTGCACGTCCATCTTCCTCACGACAACAGGACTCTTCATGCCAAGCGTGTCGCCAACAAAAAGCCGGCTGCTGACTACTCTGAGTTGCAGGGTGATTATCGCTGCGATGAGATAGACTCCGTCTTTCACTGCAGCGGCGCAGGTGACATGCTGTACGGCATGTTCGACGGTTTTCTGGGCCAGGGTCCTGTACACTTGATGCGCTCGCTTGGAGAAGATGTATGGGCTCTTGCGTGCCCTAGGGCAATGGACTCGACGCCCCCAGGTGATTGGACGGTTATCGTCCGTAGGGGTGATGATGGAAAGCTCACCGGACTGACTATCGGTTGTTGGCTGGCTCGGAACCTGGAGTTCACCAAGCAGTGATCCTTCAGAGCCGACTATTTGTGGCGTACGTATCTCCGAGACTACCTTGAATAGACTGGACAGACTGTGACGGATCATGCGTCAACAAGAAACCAAGATTATCAAATGCTGTACCGGACAATTTCTACAGTGGTTTGCTGTACGTTTTTCTGCGTCACCGTTCAACTCTCAGGTTCGGCCCACTTGCATAAACTCAGCTGTCGCTTTCCTCCCTATGTGCTCTCTCGGACTTCCCCTGTGTTATTTAGGTGAAATATTTACTACATCCATGCTTTGACACCACGACGACGAGGTACGTAACGGATGGTTCCGGACAGAAACCGACATCACTGACACACCCAATTTGCCGGATCCTTCCAGGCATCAGTCGTCGCGTTTTCCCCACCGCCGCCCACGTAGACGTTCCTGAAGGGATATCTGCAATGGGCGCGCTGAAAGTCGACGCCCAGACTGGCCGTGTCGTTGACAAACTTGGTGCCTAGAATGGTGTCGGGCGCGGTGCCCTGCTCGACCCAGCGCACCATGGCCATCAGCACGTTCTGGTCCGGGTCCAGGCTGGCGACCGCGGCGCCGACGTTGCCGATGAACGTGGCCCCGGGGCCTCCGCTGCAGTGGCCCATGCCCGAGACGCGGAAGAAGCGGTAGAAGTCGTCGAGCGCCGTCGATGGCAGGTCCATGGTGCGCGACACGAGGTCGTAGTACGTCGGCGAGTTGGCTGACGAGATGATCGGGTCCGCCTGCCCGTGGTACGTGAGCAGCTTGCCCCCTTTGCTCTGGAACGGCGACAGGTCTCCGTCGAAGGTGTTGGTCTCGCCTGCGTTGAGCCTCTCGGCGTACGCCCAGTCCTTGGGTGTCAGGTGGTCAATGTCGTAGTTCGGGTCGTTGTATACGGCGTATCTGAACCAGTCGGCCGTGTAGGGGAACTGGGCTTTCCCGTAGATGGCATAGATGGCTTCGAGAATGCCCGGCCCAACCTGCATCTGCGGGTAGACCAACGACCCGTTCACGCCGTACAGCGGAGAGAATATGGCGCGGATCGTGTCGGCCTGCGCGCCACTGATGCAGGACGAGACGTTGGCGCTCAGCGTCGGACACACCAGAGCCTCCGGTCGGAAGTGGCACAGGTCGGGGTTCTCAAGGAAGCCGTCAGGCGCGTCGCCGACTGCCCCAGTACCGCATTGAGCCAGGATAGCCGCATCGATGGCCGCCCAGGTGGTGTTGGGAGGGAACCCTTCGGGCCCAGCATCGCGGATCGTTGGATAAAAGTTGCCAGACCACGAATCCAAGCCGTTGAACCTGATGGCCGGTGACCCGGCCACGATTCCGTCAAAGTCGTCCGGGAATGCCTGGGCAGACTTCATGCCCTGACGGCCGCCCGTGGAACATCCCAGGTAGTACGATTTGGTGTGTGGCTTTCCGTAGAAAGCCTGGCTGATTTGCTTGCCCACGACGACATTGGTGTGGATGGAACGCCAGCCAAAGTCCGTCACGACGTCGGGATTGTCGAGGAAAGCGTGGCCTCCTGTTCCATTGTGGCCGTTGTTGGCTCCGACGGTTGAGAAGCCCAGGCTGGTCGTGTATGCCAGGTCCTCGTACTGAATGCAGCCGCTGATGCCGCCGTTGCCCGTGCTCAGGAACCGACCTGTCCAGTTCTTGGGCAACCAGGCCTCCATGCTGATGCCGGAGCGGTTCGACGTCGCGACATAGAGCGCAACTCGGCAGAGGTCGACTTCGACCACTTGACTGGGTCGCGCACAGGTGACGTTGTTCTGGGAAAGTGTCAAGTTTGTCCCTGCGGCCACGAACTCTGAGAACCACACGGTGGCATTGTCCAACTGAAGCTGAGATGAGAATTGCGCACACTGCTGCTCAAAGGTCGCTGCTTGTGAGAGCGACGACAACCACGCCAGCGCTACCGCAAATCGCTGGACAAGCATTTTTATCGTTTTGACAACTGTTTCACCCACTTCTTTGCTTGACCCAGTGGCTCGTGGTCTCAGGGTCTCGGCGGTGCGTTCATAAAGGTAGTTAAATACCTCCATAACTGCCATGGTCTCAGCCGATCTTGACTGTCCTCCTCCGCTCCGCCTCTCCGGCTTTGAACAAGGCCGCCAGTTGATGCAGGAAGTCTCTTCATCGGCAGCGTTGCTCAGTTAGTGAGGTGGACCGTGTACGCAAGCAACAAGGAACTGCCGAAGGTCATGGAGACATCATAGTGTCTACTAGTGATGACGATCACTCGCCAACAAGTTAAGGTCAACCCGCTAAGTACCTAGGTAGACGAATCAGTCAATCCAAGATGCTTAATAGCGCCCGAAGCACCGAGGCTCAAAGCTGTTGCAGTGCTAAGAGAACAAGTACCTGCATCCGCGAGCAGCAAGATACGAGTAGGTATTGTAAATACCGACTCTGTCTGCCGACAACGGTCCGGGGAACGTGTTGCCCTTGCCTCAACACGGCAATGTGGAGGCCCGTGGAGAGGTTGAATTGCAAGCGGGGTGCATGACAAGCTGCGCACTTGTAGGAGCAGAGATTCAAGAGTAACAGTAGGTAGGTAGGTAGGTAGGTAGGGAGGTAGGGAGGTAGGGAGGTAGGGAGAGGGCGACCACTCGCCCTTGTACAAGTTGTATGTGCTGCTGACTACTATCCTGAGGTTCTAAGCTCTCATCCCCGCAGCGCTCTGGTCGATGTGACAAAGATATCCTATGTATGGGTGAAGTTCCGCACACCAATATCGGCGAACTGGGATCGATCCAAATACTAGTAGTAGCTTCAGCAGAACATCGTAGATACCTGTGCATGGCGAACAGCATTCATCCAAGCCATCAGCTGTCCTCCAAGTAACTATAGCTTCCGTCGCTGACAAAGGCGCATGGATTTGGCCGTGCATGGTTCTACCTTTCATGTCCGTATTGTGGCCCACATTCATCAACGTATCTGTACGGAATATACCAACGGCAGTCGAAAGGCATTCAGCTCCACATTTGCCCTTGCAAAACCTCGCGCTTTGTGTGATAGCTTTCCGTGGTGGCCGAGGGAGGTCCTTCTACCTGTTTGGTTTATCGCGCAGGCCATGCTGTGTAAGATATTTTGGTGCTTATATACCTACATCGTAACTAGGTGCATCTTGTTGACATGGAATGCGTGACACTCACTCACAGATCGGCTTCAGATACACTGCTGGCGGAGAGGACGACACTCCGCCTAGGCACCGCCGCTTGTGTAGTCCATCTTGAAACCAGTCAGTTGTCGTCACGAACATTGACACAACTCAACGAAATGAAACGAAACAGATGGACTTTGGCAGATCGGTACCGAAGTTGGTAGGGGGAGAAAGCAACTCTCTCAAACTCCAAAAACATCGTTGAGCACACCAACACCAACATCATTTGCGGCGATTTATTGTGGTTGCCTTTCCTCGCGGCCGTGAACGCCAGTGCTATGCCATTGTTTTCTTTTCGCCCGGTCTAGAATTATACAGCTCGCGTTTGACCTGTTTGACTCTCTTCATGTCACAACAAGAAGCACGCTTTGAGACTCCCTCAGGACGGAGGCTTGAGTCTAGCCTGTCTCGGCCTCCTCCTCCTTAGCAAGGTCGTGCTCTTTCAGAAGAGTCATGATCTCTTCGCTCGACCACAGATGATGGTAGATCTTGCCGTCTGCCGTCTTCCCGACTGTAGCAAATTCAACTGACCACAAGGTTAGCTCACTCTATCCTCCCACAGAACTATTAGCGTGACAACTCACTCTTCTCGCTGCTCAATTTTGTCGAATCCATCGTCTTGCTTAGTACCTTGACCGCCATTCCACATGCCTCTTTCAGATCACATTCTTCCTTGTAATCTTGTTTCAGCAGCGACTGTGCGCTTGCGTTGTTGGCTCCCACACTCGTAGCCTTCCATCCACCGTAGTTTCCGGAAGGATTGCTTTGATACAATTGGAATTGACGTTGAGGATCCCAACCGGCATAGATGAAAGAGACACCAAACGGCCGTAGACCGCCGTGCTGTGTGTAGCCTTGTTTGAGATCACACAGCCGTCGTACGAGCTGTTCGCAGGGGATGTCTTCGTTGTAGGTTAGGAGATAGCGTTGTGCAGCTTGTCGAGCGTAGTTGATCAGGATGTTTGCATCGGCAGTCATGCCCGCTACAGCACATATCATGTTGCTAAGGCCCGGGGAGTCAGCATATTTGTCCTCATGGGCTAGCTCCATTGCATTGAGGCATACTCATTCAAGATGTACAGTTTCTCCGCAGACGTATCCTGCTCAAGCAGTTTGCTCGTCACTTTTCGTTCAGCGGCGAGGACGATTCCATCCTTTGCTAATATTCCTAGAGCTGTGCCTGCGTGCGAAATGGCTTCAAGGGCGTATTCGACCTGGTATAATCGGCCTTCGGGGGAGAAGATTGTAGTCTATTTCACCATGGTTAGAGTTGTTCAATGGTGCAGCTGCTGTGTTTTGTGGCCTACTCTTGAATCATATCTGCGCGCCATGATGTTCGCTTGGTGCTGAGAGTTGAGAGAAGATGGTTGTGTACACTGTGTGGATCGAGGCGAAGGGCGAAAATGGTTGACGACGGTATGAACTTATGGACGCAGCCAGTGTGTAGTATGGACTCGCAGCAGGCACGGAAGCCTCACGCGTCCATTTGCCCAGCCAATGGGATGTCGATCAGCTGCGCAAGGCTGAACGCTTGACGACGAGGCTGCGGCTCAAAGGCGGTGGCAGAATCATCAACCACCCAACGCTTGCTCGGACTTTTTGTTTCTCTATCGCCCTCGCAAGTCAACCCTCCACGCATCATTCCCTGCAGGACATAAACGTGGTCTCGCTTGTGGAGTGGACAGTCAACATGCTCAAAACTACATACCGCTCTGCGGCTCCGGCACCAGCGCAGTCTCCTCTTCCACCGGGCTGGACCGAACACAAAGCCCCGACAGGGCACACATACTATTACAATGCAGGGACGAAACAATCGACCTACACACGCCCGACAGCACCGTCGGAGGAGCCTTTGCAAATTGACTATGGAGCCACCGAGCCCGATCATGTCATGCGCGCGTCCATGCAAGCGATGGAGGAGTTTCAAAGGAACAACGCACCAGGTCCGGGCCATTTCACTGGTGGGAAGAGCTACCAAGACCATTCCCGTCGACGAGGGAACCAGGGAGACAGGCCGAAGTCGAAAGCACCCATACCGGATTGTTTTCCATGGGTACTTGTGAAGACCAAACTAGGGCGACGGTTCGTCCACAACACAGAAACAAAGCAAAGTCTATGGAAGTTTCCACAGGACGTGATGATGGCCGTGATTGAAATGGACAGGAAAGAATGGGAAGCGAAAAAGAAAGCCGAAGAGCAGCCTGCCGAGTCTCGGGGTACGCAGAGGCAAGACTCGTCGTCCCAAGCGCGTTCTACAAGTCCAGGTCGACAAGAACAAGCACAGGGGCAATCCGCCGAAGCAGCCCCGGCGGCACCACCATCGGCGCCAGAAGACTACAACAGTGACTCGTACGAAGAAGTCGAGGTGACGGACGACGAGGACGAGGCGCACGCGAAACGTCTACGGTTGTCCGCGACACCACCGCCACCGTCCGGGCCTGTAGAATTCAACGAAGACGACATAGCATGGCAACTCGCGGCAATGGAAGACGACTACCCTGGCGACGATACATACTCCAACCCCGACGCGGGCGGGTACCAAAACGAAGGTGACGAAGATCAAGAAGAAGACGAAGGCCTGCCACTCACAGACATTGACAAGATCGCTCTGTTCCGGTCCCTCCTCGACGACAGCGGCATCTCGCCCTACTCGACATTCGAAAAGCTGATCGACGACATGGCCGTCGTCGAAGATGACCGCTGGGTCGCTCTGCCAAACACCGCGTCCCGCCGAGACGCTTTCGCGTCGTGGTCCAAAGACCGCATTGCCGAGATCCAGGAGCGCAAAAAGACCGAAGCGTCGACGGCCAAACCACGGGACGCCCGCGTCGAGTACCTACGCTTCCTGCACAGACACGCCACTCCCAAGCTATACTGGCCCGAGTTCAAGCGCAAGTTTAGAAAGGATCACGAGATGCGTGACGGCGCTTTGACAGAGAAGGACCGCGAGAAGCTGTACCGCGAACTGGTGGCCAAGCTGAAGACCAGTGACGGCGACCGGAAAAAGGACCTTGTCGGTCTTCTCAAGAGCGTGGACAAAGCCAGTCTCAAACAGGGGTCTCGGACGAGTATCGATGGATTGCCTGACGCTATACTGCGAGACGTCCGATTCTATACGCTCGACCAAGGGCGGAGAGACGAGCTTGTCAAGACGTTCCTGGAGACGTGACTACCGCTCACTCTGCGTGTCAATGGAATAGAGAGACGTACACGCAGTACAGTACCTACGTGCACCCAAGTGTCGTGTCTCTACCTATGCAATAGTTGAAGTAGTATCTACCCGCGCAGTACGTTACCTGTACTACCAGTACCTACGCACACTGTACTCACCCCAGGTACCTGACGTAGGGCCCTAAGACACCTCAGGTACGCGCGAGTATCGAAAATGCAGATTCCGGGAACGCATCAATTATCAATGCCGGTCAAAGCGAAAGTTGCGTCCAATATAAAATTCATCCATGTAGATTTAGGGCAGGGAGCTAGTTACCGTACTCGGTCCAGAACCGCAGACGAATGAATACCTCCCGAGGTGCCGTGGGTACACACGATGAACGCACACCGCTTTCGACATTCTCTTCCTACTTGCTAAATAGGCCCATAGGAACGTCTACACTACTTACAGAACGTCCTCGAACCCAAACCGATCCCAAACCGATCCCAAACACCATGATAAAGCGTATGTGAGAGAGCAAGCCAGCCAGCCCGATCCAACGCCATTTTCACCTCTCATCCCTCCCTCCGTCCTGCCTGGTCTAGAGACACCGTGTCTTGAGCATGTCATTCCATCATGGGCTCGCGTACCTATAGGCAGGTATGTATGTTGGAGTCAAGAGGTGATTGGATAGGTCTGTCTCCACGGAGACCTAGAGACCTAACAACCCTGTTTACTCCAGCACTATTTACTACCTAGGGATAGAAGACGAAAGCGCGAACTTTTGACTTCTAGGTACGCAAGTCCAGACGTTTTCACGCAGTTAACCGTTCCAATATTGGTACACTGCCGCAAAATGCATGAGATTTGCCGTGTTTGTTAGAACACTTCGCGTTGCGTCTGGTCCGTAGTGAAGAGCGGCAAACAGCAACAGCAATAACACCTCTCCATCTCAGACCGCAAAAGGGGGGGTATCTCCGCGTACACAAAAGCCCGATACAAATCTCTTTCGCGTATCCAACTCCTCTTCCATCCGCTATTGCAAGTGCACGCCCAGGACATGCTCAAGGTTCCCTTCCATAGATGACCCTTTTTCCACGTCAAATCGAACCGCCTGAGCCACCAGCAGCGACACTGGTCTCCTGCAACATCGTTGTAAGGACATCCAGCCGATTAGCCGCTTCGGGGTTCCTCTCAATACATTCCTTGATGATCTTGAACTCCATCTCTCCCGCATTGGGAGCCTGAGCACACAACTGAACGACAGCTGGGCTCCCGGCCATTGGACCTAGGATTTTCTGTGCATTAGCCATGGCAGGCGATTGTGGTAGCTGAGGTGGCGGCGGTTGTTGTTGTCCGTATCCCGGGTACGGCGCTCCTTGTGGCGCAAAGGATTGATTTGGCACACCGTTTGTACCATACTGGCCAGCCGGAGCAGGCGATTGACTGTATGCAGCAGCCGAAGCATGCTGTGACTCGAAACTGCCCTCGTGTGGAGTAATCGGGGTCTGCGCAACTGCAGGACCTCTTGTCAAGGGACTGTCAACAGATCCATCGTGGTTCACTCCCTTCATATGAGGCAACTCGCTGTTCTTAATAACGATCGGCACAAGCAACATCCGTTCTTGTGCCGGGTCGGGGAAGTCGGTCTCGAGTTTCTTGACGAACGTAGGCAGCTCTTGACCTTTGTTAAGTGGGATGAGGTAGATATCTTTGATGGCAGGCGTCTGCTGCTGGACACACACACCGAATCGTTCTTTCGTTTTGAAATAACGGAACAACTTATCAAACTCTTGTTGATCGGGTGAGTTCTGGGGTTCCGGCATATAGACTATGACGAGGTCTGAAGTGTTGCTGTATTCGAGACCGCAGAGGTATTCATCCGCCTTGCTTGGTTGGATGCGGCCACCAATAGTGATGTCCGCAGGTAAGATATCATCGTACGTCATGCGTAAGGTATCACTCTCAGGTGTCGCGCCTGCTGCATACTTTGCAATCGCATGGAAACGGCCAAGATTACCACCGTTGATATTTCCTCGCCACACCGTGCCGTCTGCCGCAGCAGTCTCTTGTGGAGAATAAGGCGGCGATTCGGCCTCCTCATCTTTGAGCAGCGCATCGATGTCCGCGTCGGCTTTGGCGCCTGGTCCGACTGGCTCTCGGACGGCTACACCAGGAGACTCTTGAGGTAGTTCACCGAAGCGTTGGCCATCGGTATCTGGAGAGCCTTGTACGTTGGACCATACTTTGGCGATGTCAAAGTTGGCTGAAGATTGGCGCTTAGTATCGACTGTCGGTTTTGGTCGATCTGCGATGTCCGAAGGACTCTTGACGTCTGGACTATGAGCGTCTCCCTCTGCAGGCTCCATGGCACTGGGTCGCCGGGCGGGTGCATTTGATGATTCGGATTCAGCAGCTACCTGTCTTGATTCGTCCACATACTCCTCCCCTTTATGTGTACGTCGAATCCGAGGGCCTTGTTCCTCAACGATGGTGTGTTGTTTCTCCAGCTCCTTCATGGTAGCTGCATCTTTCTTCTTCTGTTCCTCGCTCGCCATGTCTTTTGGATCCATGCCAGCAAGTTCTTGGGGGGTAATGTCGCCATTGAGTAATTGGACTGCAAGAGCGTGGTTCTTTTTGAGATTGAACGGGATCGAGCGCAGCTGAGCCTTGTATGCTTCGTTCGGCTCTCCGCTGCCACCTGCATGAATGTGATACAGTGCGGCTTCCAGGTTGAGACCCATCTGGTTTGCGACATTTTGAGCGCTTGATCCGCTCGGCAGGTTGTATTCGCCTTGTTTTGTGGCTTCCTTAATCTGTTGCTCTACCAACTTGATCAGGGTTGTTGCAGCCTGCTTTCTCACATTGTCAAGCTCTTTGACGTCGGAGGGGACGGGATACTCGGTCTTGGAAACCCGTCTCGAAGGAGTCTCGCTCGGCCTTGAGGCCGGGGTCGCGGATTTTGTACCGTTAGTGTTAGTGTCCGCGACGGGTGTGCCTCTGGCTTTCTTGTTCTGCCGATGGGTTAGATAGGATCTATGAAAGTCCTGTATCCGACTTACTTTGACTTCAGGTACAACGGGAGAGTCTTCGAGCTTGCGCTTCTGTCCAGTCGAAGATGGCTGCGGTGTCTGATCCTTAACCTCTTGACTAGCGACCGACGGGACCTCACTGGCACGGCCGGCACCAGACTTACGGCCCTTCTTGCCTTTCTTCTTTGTCTTTTCCTCGAATTTCCTCAGGGCTTCCTCCCACGGCTTTTCTCCCCGTGCTATGGCAGCCAGAAGGTCCTTGTGATCTTCAGGCCTGCATTGCTCGCAGAAGTATGTTTCAGCCTCGTAATCTTCTGCGAGACCCATACAACTGTTATGTTGCCATGCTGCACACTTGTCGCAACAGATCATAGCTCGAGGCACGTCTTCTTCCTCTTCGTATGTTCCGCAAATGCATCGGATTGTCTCTTCGGGTTCCTCCTCCTCGACAGCTTTGGCTTTGGAGGCCTTCTCCTTTCCTTTCTTCTTTGGAGCATCTTCTTGGATGTCGCGGTCTTTGGTGTATTGTCCTTTGGTAGCGCGACCTGATCGCCGGGGTTCGTCTGGTTGCATGTCAGTGAGGGGGTTTTTCGAGGACGCCTGCGCAACGCGCGGCAAATGGATGTGACAACGCTTACCAGCCATGACTGTGTGATGGATATATGATGTCGCGCAGGTCTACAGGACGCGCAGAAAGTGGGATCTCGTCACAAATCACGTTCTAATCGCGATCTACAACCAGTCGCGGGGGGAGACGTTCACGAGACCAGTGATGTATGCGCCAACCGGCACCCGGGTGCGGTTTTTTGGAGCTTGATAAGACTAACTGCTAGCGATGTAAGAAAGAGTCGAGGACTCTCCTGGATAGTGTTCGAAAAAGGCCTGCGGGAAAATGGCCAGAAAGAATTGTTTGGAAATCACGACGGGGAAAGGCGAAAGGCCATTAGAGATGCGGGAAATGAGTCGACGCCTCCTCACCTGAAGCTTGCCAAGCGGGAAGTTGATCCAAGGCAAGTTTAAAATGGCGCGGATTTTGGAACCTACCAGGAAATCAAATGACGCCGTTCTACTGCAAGGCTGTGTAAACCTGTGTCGTTACGAGGCTGCAAGGCTGCAATCATCGATTAGTCATCACAGTCCGTGCCGAAAAAAAGCTGGCACACGTGATCGTCGTCATTCCTCAGAACAAGCACAACTGTAACAATCGACAGGCCTGCAAGATCTCGCTTCAGAGGTTGTTGCGGAGTACAAGCGTTTCAGCTCGTGAGGCGCGTCCACATGTGTATACGTTGAAGTAAATTTGACGTTCTCTCCCTTCTTCCTTTTCTGAGCCATTCATTACCTCTCTCGATTGTAGAACACAACGCAATGGCCGATGTTCGTGCCCTTCTTGCGGCCGAGCGGCAGTCCCGCCGCATCACACACCCTCACCACACATACACAAAGTCCGGCATGTTGATATGCACGATATGCAATATGAATGTGAAGTCCGAGGCTCTCTGGGAAGGACACCTCAAGAGCGCGAATCACAGGAAGAACGCTCACGCTCAGTCACAAGTCCAGGCACAGGCACATGCACAGGGACATGCGCAGTCTCAAGGGCAAGGGCAGGGGCAAGGACAGGAGAGTACAAAAGGTACAAAACGCAAAATCCAGGACGTGGACGAGAGTCAAGATGATGAACGAGACGATACCGAAATCGAGACGAGAAAAAAGGCCAAATCACGTCCGGAGAGTCTTGTCACAGAGAACACTAGTGCGGGTGGAAGTACAGGTACAAGTTCAAGTTCAACCAGCGGAACTTCAGTTGTCAAGAAACAGTCTACAATGCCGGCATCGCAACAGCAACGGCAAAGGGAGGCCAGATTGGATACTACACCGGCGCAGAAGGAGGCAGAAGAAGAGGAAGAACCCGGCAGAACCACCGCCACGACCCACACCAACGGCCCCATTGCAACCGTGGATGAAGATGAATGGGCGGCCTTTGAACGAGAAGTAGCACCGCTCGCGGCCGCGGCGGAGTCGACAACCTCAGCATCACAAGCACAAGGACAAGTACCGGTCAATTACTACTCGTCGGCCACGATCACGGCGGCGCCCGTGACAGCGGAGCAACTAAAGCAGCAATCGGACGAGGAGAAGCAGCGCCGACTCGAGTCGGCGGCGGACGACGAGAAAGAAGACGAAGAGCGACGACTGGAAGAAGAGTTCGAGGTGATGGAAGAGATGGAAGAGCGGGTCCGCAAGTTGCGAGAGAAGAGGGATGCATTGAGACAAGCGGCGGCGGTGCAGGCACAATCACGAGCACGAGCAGGGACCGGTGCGGGTGTGGATGCGGATACAGGATATCAAGAAGAAGACGGTCCCTTGACCGGTTCTCGAGAAGAGGTGGAGGTGGAGGGTGTGAATGGGAATATGGAGAGTGAGAATGCCGTCGTAGGTGACAAGCGAGAGCAGGAGCAGGAGCAAGATTCAGGAAAGGTGCAGAAGAAAGAAGGAGACGACGACGGCGACGATGATGATGACGATGACGACGTTGATGACTGGTATTCATGAACCATAAAAAGTAACGAGTCGAAAAGAAAAGAAGAGAGAGTAGAAGTCGTCGTCGTCGTTGTTTGTCACCTACAATCCTATACGAGTGTGCTCTTCATGTCTCCCAGACGGCCTTGGCCAAGTAAATATGATACCCTAATTGCTTCATCAACCACACAAGCACGTTTCTTCGTCTTTTCTCCTTTCAGAAATTGACCCTGGCTATTATCCTTGCACTGACTGTCCTGTTACGTGAACTAGTAGTAGTCTATGATCTGATCTGGTGTGATCTGTTGCCATTGCATTGTCTGTTCTCGTTCTATCTTGATCATTGTCTATCGTGGTGGTTGTACTCGTCCAGTCAGTCATACGAGTACAGGTACGTATCTAAGGAATTGTATTGGTCTCTAATGTAGTAAAAGTCGTCATGATGATGATGATGATGTCGATGATGATGATGATGATGATGATGATGATGATGATGATGATGATGACGATGATGATGATGGTGATACTGATGGTCATGCCGATGATGGGAGTGATGATGGTCTGATGGTCATGCCGAAAATGTTAATGTTGATTTTGATGATGGTGTTGTTGATGGTGATAAAGATACCGATGATGATGATGGTGATGTTGATGACGACGACGATGATAGAAATCTTCTTCAGAGAGAAGTATATCCTCAGCAAACCAATTACCTCAGTCCCACGAACATGATATCTCTCCTCAAGAGTAGAGACCTCATCACTTGTAGTGATTGGACTTTTCTTTTCGTTCTTTTCGTTCTTTTCTTGTTGTCCATTTTCCTCATCTTTTGTCATTTTGTATATTTTTTTTGGTCCTGCACCAATGACAACAGTAACGAGACAAACAAAAAGAAAAGGGAAAGGATAGAAGAATGAAAAAGCAGAAAAGGTAAAAGTTGATGAGAAAAGAAACGCTCAAGAAGAAAAGAAGAGTCAAATCAAGAATACCAAGAAAGAAATTGAAATCATGAATAACCCAGTCGTCAATAACAATCAAAACTCCTCGCCCATCATTTCTTCTATTTCCACAATCCCCGTGACTTCGTTATTCCCGTCGACGATGCCCAACAGGGTGCCCCTGCGCAGGAACTCTCTGCCCCTTCCGCATCCCTCGTTGCGCATCTGGTGAATCCACCGTCGACACTCGTCGACGGTCGTCGAGCCCAGCACGGAGATCCAGTCCGTCTTCTCGATCACGACGCCGCCGAAGGCGTCCGTCAGATCAGCGACGCCCACTTCGGTGCTCGGGAGGTTCTGGATGCGGCGCGGGCCGATCATGTGGTGCGGCGACGTCCTCACGAACCCTTTCGGTGAGCGCACGGCGGCCAGGAGCACGTCGAAGCACATTAGGTCCTTGTATCCTGGACGTGGCGTCGCGATGGGGATGTGCGAGACGATCGTTGCGATGTCGGACATGCGCGGTTCGGGATCGAGCGCGGGTCCAAGTTGCGCGATGGCCATGGGGTCGGAAGTGCCAGCACCAACACCAACACCACCAGCAACGGCGGCGGCGGCGGCGGCGGCGGCGGCAGTCGTAGCGGTGCTGGTATGTTGGTGGCCCGGCTTGCTCATGTGCGCGCCGGCTTGTTGGCCGATGGCACCGCCGGGGTGGTTTGCGGCGAAGATGGCAGGTGTCTGCAGGCCGGCTGCAGAGTGGAGGTCGTCGGCGACGGCGAGGGCGAGACTGTCTCCGATGGCGAGCGTAATGGTCGTAGACGTCGTGGGCGCCGACACGCCAAACGACGCCGTTTCGGATTCGTGGATCACGGTCGGGATCAGGATGTTTCTGGAGTTTGCGCGCGTGGGGTGGCGGAGGATCACGCAGCTCTGTTCGGAAAGGTGGCCGGACATGACGATCAGGGGGATCGAAGGGTCGATGTGAGGAATGAGAGACAGGAGTTCGGGAGTCTTGCCGGAGAAAGTCACCATGATGACCGTGTCGTTAGGTCGGACGACGCCCAGGTCCCCGTGGAGGGCTTCAATCGGGTGCAAGAAGACGGCGTGGATGCCCAGGGACACAAAAGTAGCGACGAGTTTCTTCGCGATGTGGCCCGACTTGCCCACCCCCGTGAAGATGGTCTTGCCGTGACGGGTCTCGGACTGGATGATCTGACGGATGGCTTGGAGCAGAAAAGCCTGCAGTTCGGCGGAGTTGCTATACAGGTCTTCGAGATGGGACAATGCGAGTCTCTCGGTCGCCAGGACGTGGAGAGCCTTCTTGATGGTTTTGCTGTCGGCAACAAAGTTGTGGTCGTAGAATGGCTCGGAGATCTCGGGTGGTGTTATGGGCAAGGACTCGATCTGTTCCGTGATCGAACCGGACAGCGGCATGGACGGGGTTAACGGCGTGGGGAGCGAACATCTCTGAGAGTACGCCATGGTGATATGTTTGGGAGCTGTCGGAACGAGACGAGTACGAGGACGTTGTATGTCTTCTGGTGACTCGGGTCTCTCACGCCCCAGGATAATGGTTCCGGTGAGGATCGCGACGAGGTGTAGCCTTGCCGTATGGGAATCCGAAAACAAAAATCACAAAGTTATGATGTGCGTTTGTCGAAGTGAAGATGACTGCAATGATGGCGAGTCTTCCCTCTGAGGTTGGTGATGAGGGTTCTAATACTCTGGTAGTTGGTGCTGGTTGTTTTGGCCGTTGGCTGAAGTGACTGAAGTCAACGATCGTAAAGCCGATACAAAATTCGCCACTCTGTGGTGCCAGGGCCAGATGTTAATGACATGACGCCATAGATTTGTCGCACAAAAGACAATAGAAGACGGGACGACTTTGAGGAGGGAGTCCGAGTGTATGAGTCGATAGAGACCAGATCTCAAGGTTGATGGTGAACGGTGGATGGCGCGGAGGTGAAGAGGGACCGGAAAAAAAGGGTACAGCGCACGGTATAGGGATAATAAACGCCGACTTTGTCAGCCACGATGGTACAATTGTAGATATCGCAATCGCAAGGGAAAGATTCTGACAGGGGCGCCAGGTGGCCCGTGTGAATGTCAGGGAACCAGGTACGAGATACTTCCGTCCATCGGGGCGGGCTAGAAGAGCTAGAGCTCGGGAAGGGAGAGAATGCGGCCCAGGGATCCATCAGTCGAACGGAACGCGAGAGCTAGAGAGGTGGATGCGACGAGGCATTGGGCACGCAATTCGTTTAGCTTCGGAGGATGGAGGGATGGGAAGATAAGAGAACTAAAGGTAGACCAGACCGCCTCTTCAGTTGTAGAGAGTGTGTCCGGTGTACAGGGATTCGAGATGGTGAGACTGCATCGTGGTGGGATTCTTTCACATGGTAGGGCAGAGTATGAGAAGAGGTATCAATGAGATGAAAGAACAGAGTGCGAGGTCAGGGAGATGGACAGTCAGATAGATACAGCACATCGCATAGCAACACCAGACAACAACAGCCAATGTCAGCAGGGAGCACGCCGGACACAACCATCGACCAAACAGAACATTCCGAAGGGACAAATACATGGAGGGCAGAATTACATAACACAGCAACCATTGTGAACGGAGCCGGCTTTGTCCAGGCTGGTGGTGAAGCCGGGCACAGCTACAGTAGAATTGCCCATGTACCAACTACAAACAGCACAAGTATCTACTCGTAGGTGAACCCTGAGTGCCTGTACCTCCTAAAGCTTCAATAAGGGATAACAATGGACTCCGTATGGCGTGCAGAATGATGCGTCATCACTTTCTCTCGCCATCGACACCATGTACGAGTATTGACTCTTCAACGAGATACGGATACGGAGGACAAGGTCCCTAATTCCACTGCTTCCATCATCACCACATAGTATCATCCTTTGCCTTGGAGATGGGGTGGAGCCGACAGTCGTAGCTGCAGCCACCTGATTACGAAACCCACAAATGAATAAATGCCTTCACTAGGTACGGAGTACTTGTACATCCATTCAAGAATGTTGGCTCCAAGGACCTGACCTTCACATCCCATGGACCATAGAGCATCGATACTTTATGTACACCACTGTTTGGGAGCAGTCAGAGTCTCTCAAGACACAGAATACAACAACTTGGGGCTGAAGCTTAGTAGTTTGGCTTCAGATTCGGCCAGTATGCCACATTCCTCATTCCTCATTCCTGTGATGGTGAAAGCATTCACCCAAGCACCATTTCAATATGCTCCATGCTGTGGCTACCTACTCCCTCCCACAACATCTACCTCCCCAATTGGTCCCCCTTTTTACACCCTCTTGTCCGACTCTTGAACGACTTCAACCTCTGTTGCCTCGTGCTTTTCCGTAAGCTCCCTCTCTCGATCCAGCTGCGTCTGCATATCCGCGTGTCTCCGCCCATGTGTACCGATCTTGTACCAAGGCAGCTTGAATAAGCCGTCCATAGCTTCGAGCGACAACCCGGCTGTCTCGGGGATGGTGAACCACACCCACACGCCACCTAAGGCGGTGACGGCGAAGAAGAACCAGAATGTGCCCTTGGCAGTCATACCACCGTTGCTGGTGTCCAGGAGCATCGACGGGACGGCCTTGCTGTTGCCGTATTGGTTGACAAAATGGAAACACATGACCAGGGAACTCGAAAAGGCTCGAATCCGGAGAGGATAGATCTCGGCGTTGATCAGATACTGGACAGAATTCCATCCCATCGCCCCTGTCACCAAAAAAAAATTAGCATTGAGTTGAGAAGATATACAAAGATATACACGTGCCAAAAGTATTTCCAAATTTGGAATACAAAGCGCGCAGGGGAAAGTGAGAGACTTACATTTAAAACCTGACAGATAGATCATGACGATAGCACCGATACTAGCATGCTTCTGCGCCGGGGTAAAGGTGAATCCCTCATCCTCTAAGCCCGGGACTGCCGTGAGAAACGATGCAACATAGGCCATCGAGAGAGCCTGCAGGGAAATGCCGATGATCAAAGCCCGTTTCCGGCCAATCACATCGACCAAGAACAGAGCACACATGATGGCGGCGACAAACTTGACGACACCAAATATGGCGGTGGCGAAGAGCTTCTCGTTCTGGCCTTCCGTTCCGAGAAGGGCAAAGAAATCGGCCGCGTAGATCGTGATGCTGCCAGCGCCCGACCATTGCGACATGAGTTGCACGCCTAGACCGAGGTAGAGACGGAAAGCGTTGTTGGGCATGCAGAACATCTCGCGGAGCATGCCTAGGAAACCTGCCCCCATGGTGGCTTCTTGCTCTTCTTCCAGTTGGTGCTGGATATCGTGGATCTCGTGCACGATCACTTCATGCTCAGCGGGGAGATTGCGTACGCGCGCGAGGTTCTTGATAGCGTGTTCGACCTGGCCGCACTTGATCAGGTAGCGGGGAGATTCGTAGTTGAAGAACGACAGAATCAGGATGATGCCGGCAAACATAATGTGGAGAGTCGTCGGAACTACCCACGCCGTGGACGTGTTCTGGTTGAGGTGTAGAGAACTACCCCATGTCGTGAAGTAGGCAAGCATAATGCCCAGATATACGGACCCAGCGAAGACGCAAGTGCAGAGACCACGCACAGCCTTTGGTGAAATCTCCGCGATGTATACGGGTGCAATGACAGTGGTTTCTCCAATCTGTATAGGTGTGTTGTCAGTCAGTAATGATGTTCTATCAAGACGAACAAAGGCATTTCCAAGGCAGCAATTCAAGCCTGCAGAAATACTTACACCAATACCTGCTATGAATCTGCCAGCGTAGACTTGACCCAGACGACCATTGTTTGTCAAGAAAATGACAATGCCGAGAATCCAGACTATACAGAGTTGACGTGTGGCCCAGAGTCGGCCAATACGGTCGGCGACAAGGAAGGCGAGAAGCGCGCCAGCAACAGATCCAATCTGTACCATGGCAGAGACATTGCCCTTGACATCGGCATACGCCTTATCATCGAGTTCATCAAAATGGAGCATCTTCTGGAAATGCTTGGTGTTGAAGGTGCTGTACGCATTAGCTTGACTCGTTGAGCATGACCAGAGCAGACTCTACCCAGAGATGAGCCTTCGTCAATCCCCCGAGCAGCACCCATGACGCCAAAGGAAAAGACAGCAAACCATAGTCTCCAATTGAGCACCTCCTTGGGGTCATCGCCCAGATTAAGCTTGAAAATATTGACCGGGTTCTTTCCAGCACCCATTTTGGTGGTATCGGGAGGAATTTCCTGGGGAAAGTTGAAAAGATGGAAGAGGAACCGGGGGTTGAGGTTGTCGGTGGGACAGGAAGAACCAGGACTGATAGATATATACTTTGCCCTAGCTCGCTGTCGGGCGATTGTTCAGCGAAAAGTGTCATGTTGGGTAAATCCACAGCCGTTCATGCTCCATGCCCCAGTATCAACACCTTTCTCCGGCTATCGTCTTGTCGTTTGTTGGCAAATGCTTCGGAAGGCTTAGCCTGCCGAGCGTTCTGGTTTTCGTGATGCAGGGATCATGGTTGAATGGCACGAGGAGAAAGCTTGTGGCAGGATCCAACTTGTGTGGGTGTCATGCCAGTGTCAAGCCCCCGTCATGGAGGAGAAAGGGGGAGTCCAAGAGCCCGACCGACGACATCAATGTGCTCGATCTGACGGGGTCTCATGGGAGTCAGTTAGAGTCTAGGATGGTTGTGAAGCGCCCCAGAATGGAGGACGGTAAATGAGAACCCCAGTCTGGAGGCGAGACCCTCATTGTTGTGTAGCGGAGATCCTTGCTGGTTAGATGGCTAGACCCAGACGTGCCCAGACTCGCCGAGAAATCGAATGCAACATTGATTGACCGGTGACCGGTGATGGCGGTTTGTGTGCCGATGGAACTGCTGGCGACACAGACCTGAGAAGCATACACGATATTGTTCCACGGGAATATCGGCTTCTGTCCTCGAAGTTTACCATCATGGTGAGATTTCAGAGCGGCTGCTGAAGAAGCCACCCGAACTTTTCCGAATGTCTGCCGTTTTTCAAAAGCCGACGTCTGAGCAGGCGAGGATGCTTCGTGGCGTGTCCATGACTGTCACTTTCACTCCACGACTCCAAGAATGGCACCTGATCCCCTCCAAAGGGCAGCGTTCGTCGACCCCAAGTATGGGCTCCGTGGTACAAGAGCCAGTGAAACAGGAGACTCGAACACCGGCGGCACCAAGACTGTTCGTCCGTAGAAGGTTTACATGAACGCTCTGCCGAGGACGAGGGTATTCTTGCTTTCCGATTGTTGACTTTGCTTTGACCGAGCGCGAGCCAGAATTCTGGCTGATGGCATCCTTTTAATATGGGATATGGATGCAGAGTCTGGATCCGACCCCTGCCGCTTACCTAAGCCGCTGACACGTGCCTGCGTCGACACCACTAGCGCGGTGTCAGTCTGGACACGTTGAGCAGCAGAGGTGAGAAAGTTAACACATCGATAACATGCCCCTGTTCCTGCAATCCAACTGCAGTCCATTCCTTCAGCTTCTTGGTTAGACACAGTCGCTCCTTCGTCGGCGAACATCACCTCCGTTGACTCTCCGGGCTCCATGTCCTGACCTGACATCCTCTCGTGCCTTTTCACATGGCAGCGATTCCTTATCGGGATCACGTTCAAAGGCCTTCTACTGTGGCGCCGCCCGATTCTGGCGAAGATAGCTCGCCGTTTATCAATCCGCGTCGCAAATACAGACGTCGAGGTACTGGTTCCGTTTCCGAAAGCAGGACCGCCAGCTCAGGTGATGAGGCAGGGTCATCCATGTCCGAACCCGAAGCACACGAACTGGGAGCTTTCGACTCCGATCTGGAACCGGACGACGATGAAGAAACTGGATTAAACAAAGGGGAACGGAGGAAGTATCTCGGGAAAAAGAGGAGGCGTGATGGCCTGGACTCGCGGATTGCAGGCATCGCAGGAACGGCGACTATCTCCAAGGACGAAGTCAACGATGCAGACAGGACGGTTCTCCGCCGGCTACTGGTCAATGGCGGACTTATTCTCATGTGGTATTTCTTTTCTCTGGCCATATCTATCGTAAGTCACTTTCAGACCTGGGAGTTGCGCGGTCTGGCGACTAATGAGATCCAACCCAGTACAACAAGATGATGTTCTCCTCCGACCACATCGACTTCCCATTCCCACTATTTGCGACCTCTCTACACATGTTTGTCCAATTTGGCCTTGCATCGGCCGTACTCCTCGTCTTTCCTTCATTACGGCCATCTGTGCCGCATTTGAAAACGGCACGAGACGACTCTCAGCCACAAAAGCCCCTGCTTACGCCACTATTCTATCTCACCCGTCTGGTCCCTACTGGAACGGCAACTTCTCTTGACATTGGCCTAGGCAACGCCTCGCTCCGATTCATTACCCTTACCTTCTACACCATGTGTAAATCCTCGGTGCTGATTTTCGTCCTCATGTTTGCCTTTCTGTTTCGCTTGGAAACGCCTTCGGTCAAACTCATTCTGATCATCTTCACCATGGCGCTTGGTGTTCTCATGATGGTTGCAGGCGAGACCGCATTCAATGCGCTTGGATTCGCCCTCGCAATCTCGGCGTCTTTCTTTTCCGGCTTCAGATGGGCATTAACTCAGATCCTACTATTACGCCATCCAGCAACTTCAAACCCTTTTGCAACCCTCTTCTTCCTGGCACCTATCATGTTCGTTTCCCTGACGGTCATTGCTTGTTTGTCCGAGACTCCTGCAGCGGTCGTCACGGGCATTCAAATGCTGATCAGCTCGCAAGGATTGCTCAAGGCAATGCTTCTCCTGTTCGTCCCCGGTTTCCTCGCCTTTTGTATGATTGCGAGTGAGTTTACACTACTTCAGCGAACGAGCGTGGTCACACTCAGTATCTGTGGTATCTTCAAGGAAGTGGTCACTATCAGTGCTGCTGGAATCGTGTTCCATGATGAACTGTCTTTTGTGAATATCAGTGGCCTGATTGTCACCATTTGCAGCATTGCATGCTATAATTATCTGAAGGTCAAAAAGATGCGAGAGGAGGAACGTGAAAAACTCCGCAAACGGGATGAAGATCGAGAAGAAGCAGAAGCAGCTTTTGACGACGAAGATGAAACGAATGACGGTAGAAGCAACACAGAAGCGATGAATGCAGATACAGTGCCGCTCATGCAAGACCAAGAGAGGAGACAAGCGTGATGCATGCCGTTTGAGGCTTTCAGTTGGGCTCTGCGTTTCGCGCGTACACCATGAATTAATAAGGTGGTAGAATTTGCATATTTCTTGGTGGAGTAGACTGTATTTAACGCCCATAGATGTACAGAATCAACGTATATTGCATGACACACACCGACAAACGAGTTCATTTATCGTGGCCGATCTAGTCAACAGTTTCCTCAAGATGTTCCTGAGAGCTTCAACCCATCCAGATTCCTTACCGGGGTACGAGAAGCAGAAACACGCTTTAGGGTCTATAACTTTGGCTTAAAGGTAGGCCATTCTGCTTCAAATCGCAGGTCGTCGGGCAACTCTCTTTCTAGGATTTTGGTATTGACATAGGAAGGGTTCAGCTGGTCCAGGCTAGTCACGCCCATGTTTCTCATGGTGGTCTCTATCTCTTCACTGAGTACTGTTGGGTTTTTGTCAGCCAGCATTTTGCAGTGCGTTGGTTTTTCTTCTTGGGAGTTTTCATCGACTTGGAAAGCCGAGGTAGGGGGGGAAGGGGATGGACCGATTAAATCAGTTATGTAGGTACTCACACTGGATGACTTTCATCACACCCTCGTCACCGTAAGCGGTTGCGTACATGAACGGTCGGCCCATCGACACCGCGGTGGCCCCCAGGCACAAAGCCTTGATGATGTCGGTGCCCCTGCGCACCCAGCCGTCGAGGAAGATTTCGATCTTGCCGATCAGGTGCGGGTAGAAGCGGCGGATCTCGAGCAGGGTGCGGAGGGAGCTCGGGGCGTCGTCGCACTGGCGGCCGCCGTGGTTGCTGAGGTAGATGGCGTCGACGCCGTGGTCGTAGGCGAGGGCGGCGTCCTCGGCGCACTGGATGCCCTTGAGCACGACAGGGCCGGCGCCCGCCCACGCCTCCCGGATCCAGGGCAGGTCGTCCCAGTCGAGCGTGGACGAGTGGTGGCCGCGCAGCGGCGGGCCGTCGTCGGACGTCTGCGGCCGGTACCACTCGGTCAGCACGCTGGTGTCGCCGGACGCGGTGGCGAGCTCGGCGCGGTACCGCTCGTCGTCCTCGCGCTTGCCGACCACGGGCGAGTCGACCGTGATGACGAGCGCCTTGTACCCGTTGTCGCGGGCGATCTTGATCAGCTCGAGCGTGCGCGGCTTCTCGTGCGCCACGTACAGCTGGAACCAGAGCGTGCTGGTGTCGTCGTGCAGCTGGGCCGTCGTGGCCGCGTGGCCCCGCGCGAGCTCGTCGTGCGGCACCGTCGAGTACGTGCTCGGGCAGTAGGGGATGCCGGCCCTCGCGGCGCCGCGCGCGATGCACAGTTCGCCGTCCTCGTGGACCAGCCGGGCGCGCGCGGCGGGAGCGATGAAGAACGGCAGCTTGTACTTCCGGCCCAGCATCGTGCGATGCATGTTGACGCGCCGCACGTTGCGCAGGATCCGCGGCCGCAGCGACACCTTCTTCCAGTCGTCGCGGTTGTTGGCGAGCGAGCGGAGGTCGTCGGCCGCCGACCGGAAGTACACCCACGCCGAATGCGAGATGATGCGCTCCGCGGCCTTTTCGATGTCGTCCAGGTTGACGCAGTGCGAGAGCGGGATGCGCGCCGTCTTGTCCAGGTCGCGCGTAACCTGGGGCTTCTGCGGCGTCGCCACCGTCGCCGGGTCCACGGGCCCCAGGTGCTTGTCCTTGGGGAGTCCCTTTTCAATCGTCCCCTTGGGGTGGTTGGGTTCGTATATCGACGTGGCGTCCTTGCCGCCGTACTGGAGCAGGATCTGGGACCCGCCAGGGTGCTTGTCGAGATAGTCTGTCACGTCGTACGCGTGCCCGTTGACCACAACCCAGCAGGAGGAGCGGGAGGCGTGTTTGGCCACCTCGAGCCCGTGGATGAGTTTCGAGTCGGACATCGTGCAGATACTTCTAGATACCTGGTCGATATCGAGCCCTGAGTGGTGGCAGAGGGCACTCGTCTTGCCGTCTTTACCTCGTCGTAGTCAGCGTCGCGCCCCAGTCTCGAGGTGAGCCCGAATGCGACTCTTGTGTTGCTGGATAACAGTATGTCTATGGATTGTTTAGAATTGAGACGTGGTTGATTGGATTATGAAGCGTCGAATTGTTGGGCGATTCTTCTCCACGACGGCAACTCGGGGGCGACGCCGGTGAAGGCGCCGGTGTGGGGGAGCAACCAAGCATCGTGCTCCCCCATCTTTGAGCCTCTCTGTGCTTTTGTCTGGCAGCTCATTCGGGACACTGTGCGCGTTGGGGATGAGACGGAGGCGCTGACTCCTCACATATCATATTGAACACATTGTACGACCAGGGGAAGCCTGATGGTCAGCCAGGTATGTGGCCATCATCCTCGGTGTTGCTGACTTCTGTCACTCCCGCCGCGAATGGCTCATCCAGCCAACAAGCATGTCCAAGTTCTCCCCTGCTCGCCCGTCACGGCTTGCAGCAAGATTAAGGTGGCACCCTTAAGCGTCTGAATGACCTGCCGAGCGACATTCCTCTGGACAATTCTTCGCTCTCTACAGGGTATGGAGCCCCAGGGGTCGTCGCCAATTCATCGACTGGCTACACGAATTTGCTGCCCTGTGAGCCTATCGTTATGATCGGCTGTCAGGGTGCCCCAGACTCTCTTGTTTCATTTACTCTTCACTGGTCAATAGTGGCTACATCCTTATCTCCATCAGTGATCTCAGGCCTCAGGCTGGCCTGAGCATCGCCCATATCGGTTTCTCAGATCTGATCTAGGGAGCCCGCGTGGCTCGTGTGACACTTTTGTCACCTGCTTGCCTGCCATGAAGGGTGAGATCCTGTCGACGGGTTCATGGCAAATTGCAGACCGCTAGATTCTACCCATGACAAAATGTTGACGTTCGATGCCCGTAGCAGCAGGGTGAAAAGATCGTACAAAAGGACCAGTCTTGCACCAAGTTTGCTTCTGAGAACAAGTATGTCAATCACACTGGCAAGCTTCAATCACCCAGCAGCCTCTTGCTATGGCACTACACCTCATTCTCATTCTATTCACGTGGGTCTTCAATCTTGGTCTCGCGCAGGTCTTGACCATCTTTACTCCTTGTCATGATCCCACAAAATCTTTTCAGCCTATAACCATTACGGCACAGCATCAGCTCGTGCCGACCTGTTCTCCATCTACAGCATGCATCAGGGGAAGATGCTCCAAAGAATACACCTTCAGGACTTTTGCTTGGGTTTCGACAGTGATCCCATGTGCCTGGGACGGCACGACATTGTCGTCATGCACAGTCACAAAAACCGAACAGGACATCACTGTGAGCCGAACGTCGGTCTCCTCAACGGTCACACCTCGAAGCCCGACAGTCGCTGGCCCGATAGCCGAGAAACAGAGGATTTTGTCGCCTGACAAGAAAGCATTTGGATCTGAATGGCGGTGGTGGACCATTCCATACAATCGACTAGGCCCTTTGACGATTCCTGGTTACGACGGCAGTGGCCTTTGCAGGTCTTCATGCTCGGACACGGAAACTGGCTCTTTCCGAGTAGCAGTCGACATGACGATTTGCAGGAGGCATAGTTGGAACTCCAGTCCCGTTTGTGATCGAAGGAATGAAACATGGACGATCCCGGCCTCGCCAAAATCTGAAGACCCCCATGCCCTCCTTTCAGTGAAACAATAGCACCTCACTCATGACGCCAACCACGCAGCATCGCAACCGCGAACGAAGATCGATTGATACCACAGGTTCAGAAGGATGCAGAGGGCAAGACAATCTCTTCGGACAGATTTACGTACTTCGAGTACTGTTATGACGGCAATGCAGCAGGGACCATCATGGATTTTTTCATCACCTCAACAGCCTGCAGACGCAGCGGCAATTTCCTGCTTGCGAAATCTAGGGCCCTACCTAAATCCCTCGCCGCGCACGCAGAGATTTCGCCCAATTTACAGTTATATCGGCGTAGCTAAGGCCCGTATGTCGACCTCTTGTCACCAATGATCGACCAAAACTCTTCAATGAACGGTGCATGCCCGTTTTCCGCTGGCCTAACCGCTAGATATCGCCGATTGTCAATTGGAGGCGACCAGTTCCCGGGGTGGCCATCAACCATTATGCCGCCCGCTTCGGCCAGGATACACCAGGCGGCGGTGACATCCCACGCCCAGCAACCGCACTCCCAGAAAGCATCTTGCTGTCCGGCAGCAACCCTGCAGATGGTGATCGCCGCCGAACCAGTACAGCGTAGAGAGTTCGTGAACTTTCCTCCGGTAGCTGTAGTCCTGGCTAAGGTCATGAAGACTTTGGCGTTGAGCTCAAAATTGGGGCCTTCCCGGTCAGAGCCCCATTCTATCCCAATGCATGCCGGCCCAAGACCTTCCAATGGCGGCGAGCTGAAGGGCAGTTTCCGAGTCGGGCCGTTCGACCGTCTACAGAACGCACCCTGCCCTTTTGACGCCCACCAGAGCTCCTCGTGAATCGGATTGTAGACTACGCCAACCATAGGCTCTCGACCCACAGCAAGTCCGATAGAGACGCATACGTCGGGTATTCCGTGCACGAAATTTGAGGTACCATCAATCGGGTCCACGATAAAGGTCGGGTGGTCTGTTATCGCACTGCCGGTCTTATGCGTCTCCTCGCCGAGGAAGTGGAAGCTGGCATATCTCGCGACGAGTTGATCATGTATAAAGTCTTCGACCCTTTTGTCAGTCTCAGTGACAATGTCTGCAGCTATCAAACGGGTCAGCCGGAAGTTCGATCAGGGAAGTTGCCAAAACACAAACTGACTGTTTTTCTTCACGGTAAAGGCTTGAGGGCTGCTCATAGATGCGCTGAGGATCTCTCCAGCGTTGCGAGCAACTCCAACCATATATTCGCAGATTGCTTGCAGATCTAGCCCCGATTCGTTGTCCATATCGTCGGCTCTGAGACCTTAGCCACATAACGACTCACGACTCCCAACCCTCCGCCCTGTTATGTATTGAACAGCGGAGGTCCGGATATCCATATTGGGAAGCCCATGATCAAACCGCTTGGCGACCAACACGAAGGATCGATGCGAACAAGCGCGATGTCATTCACCGGGCTTGTTGGGATGAGAATATGGAACCCTCGCTCCAGCGCCAGCCAGGGGAACGTGCACGTGGTTGCGTTGTGATTGGCGCTCGCTTATTCCATCTCGACGGAATCCTCGTATCGACTCTATGGGCGACCGGCAAGCGGCTACTACAAGTCTCTGCAGTTGGTCCAGTGCTCGCAAGAACCCGCCTGAAGTCTCTTTTAGCCTGTTTCCGCCTCGCGCAAGACTCTGTTGCCGAGCGGCAACTTCATACTCGCTTGATAACGCTCTATGTGAAGGAGCATACGACATCAGCTGCTTCGATGCGGCAGCCTCAGGCGAACATGAACGGCGAGCATCGGATTCGAGTGCGGACTGGCTGCTTGACTTGCAGATCAAGGAAGGTGAAATGCGATGTACCAGATTTCGTTCCACATGCGCAGGGAACAATCGCTGAGACGTTGAGTAGGAAGCCCAGCCAGTCTGTGGAAATTGCACAAGGCTTGCGCGAGTATGCGTGTACTCATCGCAGACGCCTAAGCGAACTCGCCAAAGGGTCACTGCCAGGTCTGCACCTCGTCAGTCCATTCCATCCAATGGTGTAGCTGCACAGACGTCGATATCCCCGGACTCACACAGGCTTCGGCAGCGAGAGTCGATTCACGATGCTGCCACACCAGAGACCTCCTTACGATGGCAGGGCTCTTCGTTCCAGAGCCATCATGTCTCTGTCACCGACCTCACGGACCACCTGCGGAATGCTCTACAATCCCTGGACAGGGAGCCTATACCCAGTGCCGACCTGGAACTGGACTCGGCGGTGGATTGTCCATCGACTTACATATCGCGTGATATCCGCTTGACTACCACCATGGACCTATTGACTGCGTCCGAGGATCCCCTGCAGTCGCTGCTGTCCTTTTTCATTGATCATGTAGAGCATCCCCTCATCACGCCATACGATCAATGGAACTGGACGCAGATGAAGGCTGAAGCTGCAAGATTGGGCCAGTCCGAGCCGGCCATCATGCTGGCCATCATGGCAGTGTCTGCCTTGTACAAAGCGCAGATTTACGGTCTGTCGCGGTCCAAGGCGCTTTCATTCCACCATGCCTCGAAACGTGAATATGCCGTACTCTCAACTGACAGCTCCAAGGGCTCTGATTTGCCTCTGCTGGCGGCATTCCTCCTTTGTATTTTCACGACCATACAATACGATACTCATAGCGTCCTCAAGACTACCAATGCCGAGCACGACACAATATTAACCTCCTTCGTGCAAACTCAGGTTCCCCCACAATCGCCGTTATCCAGACGGATAATCGTGTGGTTCTCCCTCCTTGAGGCTGCTGCCATGCGTGGCGGACACGCCGGTCTCCTTTCGGAAACACTTTCTGACGCGCTGCCTCGTTCATTTACCGCCATGCCCAACCTCCCGCCGCTGCCAGATCAGCCCTCGCCACCGGCGGCCATGCAGATGTACGAATTTCTGTCTGGCCCGGTCCTGACCTTCTACCTGACCGTACAGTCCATATCGCTCTCCATCGCCAAACTAACCCACTACCATCGCTCGCGCGCCACAGGCCAGGACCAAGACCAAGTCGCCGAAGCCATTTCCCACATCAAGACCCGCCTCCGGAATCTCTGGGAGACTCGGTCGCCTGTACAGCGCCAGACTCCGCTAGAATTGTCCACGAACCTCGCACCGGCCATCGCGGGCCCGTTGATCACGCTAGTCGGCATTTGCGAGGCTGCTTACCACGCAGAATTCGTCGAGATGCATCGCCTGCTCGGCGACCCTGTGACAGAGCCTGACGAAGAAGTGAAGGTGGCGATGCGAAGAATCAGGAAGCTTGTCGATGGAGGTAGTAGCTGCGGTGTCAGTGCTGGAGACCACAGTGTTGTCACTCCGTTCCCAGACTCTAATGTGTACGGGAACAGCACATGCGCAGCCCGTACCGGCGACAGTGACACTGATTTCGTTGCCGACGATGTTCGGCGCGACGAGTACCATGCCCGGAACTCGGCCGGCTACATCCGCGCTGCCTACCTGCGACCCTTGTTCTTGTACGCCATCGAATGCATGGACCGCGAGCAGAATGCGTGGGCAGTGGCGCGGCTACGCGAAATCAACGATCCCATCTGTCGAAGTGCATTCTTCGCTGCTTTCGCCGAGGCGTTGGGTGATATGCAGCTCCGCAAATCCCGCAGAGTTACATCCAAGTACTTCAGCATTTGGCACTTTGGGGTGCCGCCTCCCTTCTTGTGAAGGGAGGAGAGGCACGAACACGGTCTCCAAAAAGGTACTTAGTAATACACTATGAAGAAATACTCGCCCCGGCTCCGAGACAGTCCTTGCAGGCAAACAACTTCCCGCTCTTTTTTTCCATCCTGAGGCGTGTCAATAACGAACGACACACACGATTTCGTTGTGCACGCAACAGCAATAATGCGGAGGCTGCTCAGACGGTCGTTTCCCTGCGCATCTCCCGCGTTTCCATGTCCGTTCGAATCGCCGCGATTGGATCCACGGTCGTCAAATGAAACTTTCTGGGACTGATTTTCATATCGAAGAGAAGATCCAACTCGGCTGTGCTCCGATGCTTCGTCTCGGGCACACAGAAGAACGCGAACGCCACCGCCACCGCACACCATCCTGCCCAGAAGAAGGCCGACTTGGCCGACCAGTTCCACGCCGTCGTGTTGAGCATGTACGGATTCAGGACCGACACCACGATGTTCGTCAGGGCGTACGTCCAGCGGGCCAGGACGATGGACTTGCTGCGCAAGAGCGCAGAGGGGATCTCCGAGCACAGTGTGTTGGTGAGCGGGCCAATGGAGCAGTTGTAGAGGAACGATGAGACGATGAGGATGGCGCCGATGGCCCAGGAATACGACGACGCCGGGTGTGAGGCTTGGGGCACCCCGAGGCTGCCGATGACAATCATCAGGAAGAACATCAGGACGAGCGAGTTGACGTAGATGCTCCGCCTTCCAAAGAGCGGGAGGAGAAGCCACTAGTTAGAGACGAAGAGAGAGAAAGAAGGAGTTAGTTTTGTCCATGTTCATGTTCATGTTCATGTTGTTTTGCAACAGTGATAAGCGGGTGGAACAACAAACAGGATTCTTGCAGGGTGTGGCAGTGGTGTACTTACAGAGAAGAAACCGCCCAGGATCGCCACCGCGTACCCAACAATACTCATCGTGAAGCTCATCGAGGTAGACATGCCTGCTTGCTGCAGGAAATACGTCGACGATCCACGTATCGGGTTGCCCGACAGCGTCTGGACGCAGTAGATGCCGATGCCGATCAAGGTCCGCTTGAGGTTGCCCTTGGAAAAGCAAGCATAGTACGTCGTCCTGCCGTCCATGTTTCGTTCGTGCTCCGTGGTGACGACCATGAGAGCCACGTTCTTGTCGACGTCGAAATTGGCATTGGCCGTCGACGTCAGCCGCTTTACGCTGGCCCTCGCCTCATCCAGGCGGCCGGCTCGGACAAGCCACCACGGCGACTCTGGAGCGAGATAGACGAGGGGAATGAGCACGACGGGCCAAACCCATCTGTCACGAATCTCGTCAGCGTGGATACACACGGCGGTGGTGGATGTGTGCACCACCAGATCGTCAAAGACTCACTGCAGAGCAAAGGGAATTCGATAAGACCATTGGTCTGTGCGGTTGAGTAGGGCTCGCAAGACCCCGACACAGAGGATCTGGCCAAATGCCTGCACGAAAATTGTTCAGTCTCGGAGCCAGAAATGAAGGACATCCCAGGGATCAGGTCCCAGCGGGGGGAGGGGGAGGGGGAGGGGAGGGACTCGCCGCTGGGCTAACTCACCCAGCAGAAGTTGACGTAGTTGGTCAAATACGCCCTCAGACACATGGGTGCGATCTCGAGCGCATATATCACGCTGACGGTCTGAAAGAAGCCGAGCGGCACACCGAACAGAATCTGCCCGATGAGCAACATGACCAGCGACTTGGCGAAGAAGCTGATGAAGATCAAACCGGTGATCAGCGTCAATCCCGCCAGCATGCTCCTCCTGAACCCGAAGCGCTCGCAGAGATAGCCCGCAACGAGCAAGCCGGCCAGCTGGCCGATGATGGAGCCGTTGCTGAGCCCGGCCTGCCACGCCGCCGTGATTTCCCAGTGGTCGCCCTTAGCGTGCACGCCGAAGTGTTTGCGGAATGTCGGCTGCGCGTACAGGGTGCCCAAGAGTTTGGTGTCGAACCCTTCCATGACGACAGCCGTCGACATGACAAAACTCCACATGACGCCTTTGGGGTACAGTCTCAGCGCCTGCCAGAGCGTCAGCGATCGCTCGGTGGTGTTGGCGTCGTTTGCGTCGGCGACGACCGTTTCGATCTGGACCGACGTCGCGGCCGGTTCAGCGGTAGTTGAGGTTGGCTGCTTTTGCTCCATGATGTGATGCTGCTATCCTAGTTGGACAAAGACGAAGGTCCTAGGGGCGGCCGCTGTCTAAGACTGAACACTCGAAGTGTGTCCTCCGTTGTGCTCTTTGGTCGCGGCGTACTGCAGTAGTCCGTTGAACTGTCGAGGCCATGTTGCGAGGACAATCATTGCGTCTTATATATCAGGCGGAATGTCGTGGTTGCTGGTGCTTTCTGAGATGTACATTGCTTCGTGAATCATACCACAGGTGTCTTTGGATGTCGAAGAACTGATTCTCAAAAGTCTGTTTAGCGTTTGGCCGTAGCGAAGTCTCCCCAGGCCTAGGGAGCCAGTTTTGTTGGAGGCCCCAGCCACGTGCTGGTCTCGACAAGGAGAATTGTGGAACGACTTCGGGATTCTAAGACTTGGTCGCTTGTCGCTTGTCGCTTTGGTGGTTTTTTGATGAGATTTGGATCATTGCCGAGCTCGGATCGAGATAAATAACAGGTTTCGAGGTGTGTTCATGCATGACCCACAGGCTCTCGAAGCGATCGGTTATCGCTTCTGTGACCGAGCACGTCTGTCTTGCCGATCAGCGGCATTCTTCTATCGGCGCAAGCTTCAACGTACCTAAAATCAAGCTTGGAAGTTCTAGCCGCCGAGTCAAGGAAGGACTCCGTGCCGAAGCTACATAAACTTCGAACACACCGGGAGTTTCGCCCGTGGACTGATCATCAAACAAACAGGTTGTAGTCTGCTTCGTCCAGACTCCAGAGAGGCCACCCAGCATCTTGATATCTTGAATTAGAGGACAGAAGCACATGAGCACGCTGCATCAAGAGAGACTACTCTTCTGGAACCCACGGTTGACCTTATCGCCATGGCTACCACCACGGCCAATCGACCCAGATATCCCATCGGCATTCCAGCCAAGTTCTCCGTCGACGGCGAGGTTCAGCGGTACCCTGGAAACACGGTCCTCTGTCACATTCCCCCTTCTTCGCCGCTCATCCCGGCGCTCCAAGCCGTCTACACAGCACTGGCAGACCATCCAAGGATCGCCCCGTCCATACATCTCCTCCCACCGGCCTCCTGGCACATGACAGTCTTCGACGGCATGCGAGAGCGGGAGTGCGAGCCGGGGATGTGGCCGCCGGGCATGGCTAAACTGTCCCTCGCTGAGAGTACGGCCATCTACCGCGAAAAGCTGTCGGCCTTTGGGCGGACGCAGCTCAGGGAGCTCGGGCTCGCGCCGCCCTATAACATGCGTGTGCGCGTGATCGAGGCCGGTCCTGTCGGGATCGGCCTGGAGCTCGAGGGCGCGACGGCCGAGGAGGAGCGGCGGATGCGGAGACTGAGAGATGCGATTTCAGATGTGCTTGGGTTTCGCGCGCCCAACCACGACGAGTACGGGTTCCACGTCAGCATTGCGTACTTGATGAGGCATGTGGATGGCGAGTCGAGGGAGGAGCTGGAGCGAGTGCTGAAGAGGCATCTGCCGACGTTACAGGGGGAGGTGCTGATACTGGGTGCCCCAGAGTTTTGTACCTTTGAAAACATGCATGCCTTCCCGAGAATCATGTACATTGGGGATGGAGAAGACTGAGGGCTGGCACCGTCTTGGTCAAGTGTTGTTACAAGGCACTTCTCCATAGTTGTTTGTGACCATTTGGACATTTGCCCACCTGGGCCGAGGACGCCTGAGTATAAACAATGACAAAACACAACAGTGGACTCGCCAACTGCATGCATAGGACTCTAGGAGGTCTACGAAAGAATTTCAGGCTCTGGTGGAGCAAAGCAGCGCACACAACTGCAATACCTGGTCTCCCGATAGCTCTGAGACAGGCTAAAAGATCCAGACCCTTGACCCCGAGTACATTGTCCGACCCGTTGAACACGAGGTTCACAAACGGTGATTGTAACTGTCCAATCTCTCCCTGCAGGCTGCTCGGTCTTTATTTCCCGGCTGTGGAATGTGTCGACGAACGCACGCGGGTATCCACATACCAACGGTCCTTGTTGTCTGTTAACGGAGATTCGCATTCCATTTGACCATGCCTCATCAAACATGCATAGTGTCGAACACTCCGGAACCGGACCTGCACCCGAAGAGAATTCGCAGCCGTGGCTTTTCGATGACAAAGAGGACAGTCACCCAGCCTGGGGTTCCTGGCTGGTTGCGGAAACAGCACCATACCCCGGGGCCGTCGCTGGAGAGTCCTCTCTTTGTCCTGTCTCGATCATAAGAAGTGATTCGAGCCCCTGACATCTGATTTCTGAACCCTCACAACATCATCCCAGCCGGCTCAGATATCGTGCGAATTGGAACCAAAAACCGACAGGTTGGACTTCTCCCGTTCACCATGAAGACGCTCTCAGCGGGAAATGAAGTCCCCGATGACTTGGACTATACGGATCCTACGCGCAAGTACAAAAATCTTGAGTTCCTGGAGCACCGCAACATGTGGTTCTTCGCCAGGCATTTCGATGGACCTGACAGAGAGCTCTGCTGGAGCTGCGGATGGAACACGCGTAACCAGAAGTATTCCTTTTACGGCTCCCGGGTCAGGGTGATGCACACTCGGGCCAACACTGGCATCTGGGCACTTGGGACGCGATGGATACTCCGGGACGAACCAAACGACCGCTACCTTGGGAACAACTACATGACGCTCAAGTTCCTCCACGAGCAGCCGGGTTCGAAGGACAGCATTCCCACCCCGCAAGAAGTCCGTAGCTTGAGCAAGCCAGGGGACCCCATCTATCTCACCCTGGAGTCCCGGGTCCCAGGCGACACGCTCATGGAAGTCTGGCCCAGCCTGTCCCGGGAGGAGAAGGCCAGCTACAGCCGGCAGCTCACCGACATCCTCAGGAAAATGCGACAGTTCACGGCGCCCCGACCGCAGAGGGTCGACGGCAGTCAGCTCAACGACAATATTCTCGGCGTGTGCTTGATGTCGCGGCCCGGGAACTGCTTCAAGATCCCGTACTCGGTCGACGAATGGCTGGACGGCCTGGGCCCAGACCTCCGCATAGGACTGACGAGGGTGCACAACACTCTGGACCCGGCCGTGATTGAGGAGAAATTCCAAGCGCTCAAGGCGGGTTTCCCGAGCTGCGAGCCGTACGTCTTCACCCACGGGGACCTGAATCTCTCCAACATCATCGTCAAGGACGGCAAGATCCAGGGCATTGTCGACTGGGAACACGCCGGGTACTATCCCTGGTGGGCGGAGCGGCGTGCCACCGACAGGATTCCGAACGACGATGCGTACGAGTTGTTTGACCCGGTGTGGGAGGAGCTTATGCCAGACATTGACAGGAAGAAGTGGGTCGAGCTCGTATATCACAAGTTGTTCCCGGCAGAACAGGCCTGGGGCCATTGCGACCATGGCCATCCGGGCGTCGACACCGTCTGGTGGAGACCGTCTTTCTGCGAATGCCATCCCGTCCAAGGGGAATTTAGAGCTCATCATTGGGGAATGCCGCTTTCTTGTGAAGTAAACCAGTTGAATGCAGGGCAACAGGCTCTTCTGGACAGGTACCGGAGAAAAGACCCGTGGGCCCAGGAGCATGATGAAAAAGATGCACGCACGCTGCCGGCTGGTGAGGGCGACGATTCAAAGTGACACCGCTGCTGAACTAGGTGCGAACATGTTGAGATGATTCCATGTACTCGTACAATGAGGTTCTCTTCCTCTTAGCTAGCGGCGATCTAATTGCGATTCTATGAAGGTACTATCAGCACCAGTTTCCAAAAACTCCTGCAAAACATAAGAAACAAAAACCCCATCTTGCACATCCATGAATAAACCTACAGAGACTTTCCGACCTCACAATCTGTTCTGCAAAATATCCCAAGGTGCTTAGTTGCAGTGACCCCCAGTCGACGGCGTTGAGGATGTAATAGGCCGTGCTGCCGCGTGTCCGGTAAGGTTAGTTTCTCTAAAGGTACATTGTCGTGACACTGCTTCCTTCTGACAGACGAGCAGCATCGCAACCAAACAGCAACCGACTTTCAGTCTCTAGGCATACTGCTGCCATCCCTGATCGCAGTCAATGTAAGAACCAACGACATGTAAGTGAACTTGCCTTACCGGGAAGTGGGTATCGAGGTCCAGAATCTCATTGACGGTTTGCCAAAATCGGTGGTTTGCGCCCATTCCGCTATCCAGCCGCACTATGTTTAACGTTGCGTTGCTGTTCATTTGGCGTGCAGCGTCCTCGGTAGGTCCACAGAGAGTGAAACGCTTGCCATTTTCCGGGGTTTTGACAATCAGTATCGACGGGTATTGGTGATCGATCTTGGGAATGTACCGGTACTTCACTCCCACCTTGATGACAGCTCTTTCCTGGCCGTCCAGGGAGTTGATTGCGGTGAAGAAAGAGGAAGCATGAGCACGATTGAACGTTGTCTCGTGTGGGTCAAAATTTGTTGTGGTCCATTCGACCTCGGTGCGCTTATCTGGAGTGGGATTTCGAATAGGAATTGCCAATGCTCTGCATGATTCACAGGTTATTGCGTCGGAAATATTGTGAAATCTACAGAACCAGCAGTTGTTCCTGGATTCAGGTACTAGGGCAGCTAGTGGTGACATTGTCGTGAGAGAGAAAGACCGATCAACAAGTGTATGGAGGTGAGGTTCGAATGCTCCGGACAAGTGGGTTTGATAAGTAAGGGGTTCCCCAGGGCGGAAGCTGATGACAGGCAGAAGTTGATAACAGGCAAAGCTGATGACAGGAGAAAGTCGACGACGGACGAAAGTTGATGAGCAAGGGACTCACCTCTTCATCATGGCTTTCTACCTCATATTTGAATAAATTCTCCAGATACATCTTGCCGTCACAAACAATGGATCGTCAGAGCATGATTCGGGGATGTTTGCACTCCCGGGCAAACAGTTCAGACAATGTTTTTGGCTGGCCTCAAGCCCGTAACAAGGGATGTGAGCAGGCTGTGCCAAAGGAAAGCGCATGCACTTGCTGAGGTTGACAAAGGCAGTGGCAAACACTCTCAAACGATGTCTTGGAGGCGTCATTGAGGTCTTATCCCGATCTGCATGCACCAAGACAGCGTCAAAGAGAAGAGGGCTTGGTATCTTCAAGAAACAGAGTCATTGCAAGACCACGTCAAACTGGTCACAGGCCCTGGGTCTTGTCGATGGTACCTTATTCCGCAACAAGCTGATTGGAAAGGATGAGAATGAAAAGGAGGGCATGGGGATGGAGTATCAATCATCTTTGTCGTGGTCGCTGAATTCCCACGCTAACCTATCTGGGCGTGATCCATCACCCTGTCTGGGTGAGAAAATTGGCCTCGCATTCCTCTCATCGCCATGCCTGGTCATTCCATGGGGCCCTCGTTCTGCAATTTCACTATTTCATCGCGCAGACCGTGGTTTATTATGCTACCAACTCCCGTGGGTTTCACACTTGACGCAAGCTGCCCGCCTAGCCCGCCGCAAACATTTTGACCTTGTGCAACGCATCTTAGCGACGTCCAAGAGAGACACGCTACACATGTTACACACGCACGACACGAGGTTTTGGCGATCCCAGGCAAGCTCCTTTCTACTGTATGGATGATCTGGATGACTGAGGTTCCTGGTTTCTGGTTCGGGCATGTATCTGACGGTGATATTTTCGCTCGACCAACTGCAGAAAACGGTGGGAAACATCAGCCAGCCGCTGTCTATCTCTATTCCTTCACGCAAAAGGCAGCGAGACTGTCTGTCTATCAACCTCCTCTGTCTCGCCAGCTCTATCGGGGTACAAGTCTTTTCGACATCCAAAAACACTCCCCATCATCATACTCGGCCATCTTGAACAGTTGTGAAATGAATCAATCAATCCAATCAAAATCCACACGGTACACGAGGGCACGTTCATCTCCTGACTGTCATGTCAATCCCCACCGTTCTTCAAGGCGAAACGTTAGTGATTCGTACTCCAGACCGTCATCGCCGTCGCCACTGGTTAAGTGTACCTGTCCATTTCCTACCAAGGAACGTTGTCACCTCACGATTAAAAGCCCGGTCCACCCGTTCATTCATACCCTCCTCGATGTCATGAGACACAAGAGAGCGGAGGGTCAGTGGCATTGTCCCCGTACACATGATGCATGAGCATGACAAAGACCCCCTGTAGACCTCACTACACTATCTACCGACCGACCGACCTTGTAATCCCAGTTTTGCCTGAGTACCGCCGTCTCCGGATTTCCCCCCTTGCTGTAAAGGGGTTCACAGCCTCGTCTCCAACCACTACTTTTGTACTCTTCAACTTTTCTACTCGTGTACTCGCGGAAACTATTGATTGTTCCAAAAAACCTGTCAAAGACATGGCAATAACACACCTCCCGTACCTAAGACAGCCCAAAAAAGGCGAAAATGAGAAAAGGTAAATCATATGTGCATTTTTTGGAAACTAATGACCGAAAAACTCCGAGTTACCGCAGTCGTAATAGAATAGCCACGACTGCCTCGGCCAAGCAGAAGAAATAGAACTCCCTGAGTCCCATCATCATACTCGCATGCGCATAAACCGATACGATTGAGTGAAAGAACAGCAGGAAACACCGTTAATCCTCTTGCTCAATAAAAGTCCTGGTCGTCGTCACGATGAATCCTCGAGTCTCCGAATCTTGCCAGATGTTGCTTCGAGGCCATGTCCTAAATACAACATGACCAATGCGAGCCCTGGGTATACAGTCATTCTGCAGAGCAAAAGAGTGGAATCGAGTCCCCTCAGCGTTACATATCAATGCCTGGTTCAATTCAATTCAATTCAACTCCCTCTTCAGAGTCGGATTCGGTGGGATCACTGCAAGGCAGTCAACCTTGACATCAACAAAAACGTTGCACGCGGGCGTATGCTTATCTATATTTGTCCATAAACTCGTGGTGGAACTTTGTCCACCGACTAACCCAGTCCGTACCAGGAGCCAAAAATGTGGTCCGGAAGTGGAGGGTATCGGGCTTCTGACCAAAACCGGAGCCTGGAACCACACAAATGCCGGTTGCATCTAGTAGCCGCAAGCAGTAGAAGTCGTCTGGTTTCTTGCCCGCCTCTTTCGCTGCTTCAATTGCCTTTGGAGGGAGACGGATGGTTGGGAAGAGGTACATGGAGCCCTACCTATGTTAGTCTGAGGCTGTAATCACGTCCGATCCGCAAACATACCTGGGGTTCACCAACTTCGACACCCTCCATCCTCTCAAACGCATCATACAGTGCGGTGGCGCGTTGCTGCAAGCCGTGCTTGATGGCATAGTATTCTTCGTGATACTGGTGATAGCTGGGATCACCCTTCTTTGGTGGGTTGACCACCATTTCGACCAGGCATTGTCCGATGACCGGAGGGCAGAGCATGATGCTGATCAACTTGTAAATCTGGGCTTGCACTTCTTGGTCCCAGCCGACAAGCTCGAAATAACCAGCACGATGTCCACATTCACCCACCATGCCTTTCGACACAGAGTTGAGGGAAGCCAGTTCGACATGGTCATAAAGCCCGGGCTCCTTTTGCTGCAAGATTCTCAAGGCACGTTTGAATGAGTGGAACTTTCCGATAAAAACGTTCGTCTGGTATACTTCGTCTGCAATGATGGCTAGACTCTTTTCCGCAGCGAACTTGATGACATCTTCAACATCCCACTCCGACAACGAAGCACCAGTCGGGTTGCCTGGGTTGATGACCACAATAGCACGAACATCGGTGCCCTCGGCAACAGCCTTCTCGTACGATTCCCTGATGACAGCCATGTTCGTGTCCCACCCATGCTGCTCATCCAGGTAGTATGGGACAGCACGTGCATTGTGTAGAGCCAGTGTAGCGGTGTACAAGGGGTACTGTGGGATGGGAATCATGACACCGGTAGAGGGGCTTGCACAGATAACGGTAAGCAATGAGTGCACTCCAGACGAGGCACCGGCCGTCAAATAGATATCGTTCTTCTCCGCCGGAAAGCCATCGCGCTGCTCAATGAAATTCGCAACCGACTGTCGGATGCCCGGGGCACCCATGGACTGCGAATATGCACCGACAGAGCCAACCTCTTTCAACAGCCAACGGGCACGGTCGATAGCATCCTGCTTGTAACCAAAATGTTTCTTAAGAGCCTCTTCGTTCTCCAGAAGTTTGGGGTGCTCCACAAGAGCGAGGACCTCTCTGAAGAACGTGATGGGTTTCTGGTCGAGCTGTTGGGGGTTGCCGATATTGGCGGAGATGACAGAGTCGAACGGAAGAGGCTCCTCTGGAGGAGTGGGCGGGTCGGTGTATCTTAGCTTGTGTCTGTATTCTTCTGATTTGATTGCCAGTTCTCCTCGGACAGCGTACTGTGCCGCCTTCACATGGGGGTTGATATTGTCTATGTTCAGACTGCGAAGGTGCGGTGTGGACGACATGGTGCGGCGAGTTGGGGGAAAGGTTTGGTGCCGAAGGTGTAGAGGAGAAACTGTTCACACGGCGATATCAGCTTCGCTCGAGCTCACAGTCGTCGCGTCGGCCAGTCTTTAAGTCATGGGGAGCAAAAGCAAAAATGCGAATGAGTCACAAGGCATGGACAGACCACTGTGTGCAAGGGTATTGCTTTTCTTACCACACGAAGGACGGCCACGCCGCAACGACGAAGATGGGCCGGGTCTAGAAGAAGAGGAAGAAGTCGACAGCGCCCTGTACACCCTGGCCAGTTCTGCAGAAAACCCTTGGGCGCGCATGAGAAGGACGGACGGGCTCGTGATGCGCGTCTGCAGCATTTTGGTCTGGAGAGGACGAACCGTGGGGAGAGTCGGAGTCGGAGGCGGGCGCGAGGAAGGCGAGAAGCACGAAGCGTAACCGGAAGCTGCCCCGGGTCTGTGTGATGGGCAGAGATAGAGAACTAACTTAGTGTCCTTGTTTTCACGGCACACGACCCCATCGGAGAGAGTTTTTTTTGGAGCATCAGAAGCAATTCGAAGCCCAGCCAGCGACGATGATATCGATGATCAACCGTGCTCGCATTGCCATGTTGGTGGTGCTCAAAGCTAGTGCGCCCTCGGCCAGAACAAAACACCACCCACCCTGGTCGACCACTATAGCCGTATCTTATCGTCGAGCGTGGGGGTTGGACGAGCCTCGACAGCCGAGCACCTTCATTGGGCTCTGGACGCCGATTGACCATCTTCAGCCCTGCAAGATGACGAGATTGCCAGGCACACAAGACGCACCATGCAAAGATGTGAGATACAGCATAATCGCCTCGATCACCACAAGCGACGCTTATGGATACTTATCTGTTGGTAGTCTTTGCTTTTATCGAGTGCCAATGCGAGCTACAACACCGATCAATGTACCTAGATACCCTGCCATCTACTAGCTTGCAGCCACCTTCGCCCTTCGATTCCGTGGCGAGATCATGCTATGTCACAGCCATCGTCCTTGTAGCCCAAACGCCTTGCGCTGCTCATGCTTTTTCCACGGCATGCATCTGGGAGCAGATAGCATGCTTAGCACGCACCATGTACTTGTTTGCATAGTCCTACGCTCTTTCACTCCCCCGTAACCTCACAGCCTGGCCATACTTTTGAAGTTTCGTGATCAAAGCATCGCCTTGCTTCACAACATCCGCATATTGCTTGTTCTTGTCGTCCGGCCGAGTAGTTTCGATCGTGCCCTGGACCCTGTCGATCGTACAACTGACCCGACCAGCAGCGATGAACTTGGCCAGGTCACGGTCCAAGAAATCCACGCTGACTCCAAATGCCTGCGCCATGGTGGCCAAGCCAACGACTCGGTACGACTGGAGCAGTTGCTGGTAGCCTCGGAGACGCATCTCGCGCACGAACCATGCCCGATGCTCGTACAGGTATCGGTCTTGGGTCAGAAAGTTTTCCTCTACTGTAGCTAGAGAAAGGAAGAACGACCGGTAATCGCCACCGTACAGGCTGTTGACCAGGCGTGCCAAAGACGACACATCCACGGGGGATTCAGTGTGCTGTTCAACGGCTGAACCAGACCCCAGTGCGGCCACGTTGACGAGTCCGGCTGCCCGTTCTGCCGTCGACGCCGAGACGTCTTTCATCTCTTCATCCGGCTTCTCATCGCCTGAGCCCAGAATGGCCTTGATTTCTGGTGCATCGACCACCTTGGCCTTGAAATCCACCCGCTTCAGCGACAATGAACCGGCAAGCACCGCATAGACCACAAGGGAGGAGTAGCTACAGAGCTCGTAGCTGGTGAAGGTAGAAAGACTGTCCAAGAGAAGAGGAGCGGCAAGGTTGTAGGAACGGACGGTCAGGAGATGTAGACCCTTGTAAGCTTTCAATCGGTTTCTTCGATCCCAGTCACCTCCACTTTCGACCAGGATACTGGCACGGTCAACCTGCTTCTTAACGAAGGCTTTGTCGTTGAAGAAAAGTCCTATTCGAATCATGGCAAGGACGATGTCGATCTTGGTTCCTAGAGGGCCGGTCTTGTCGAACACCGTTTCGTAGGCGGCGATAGCTTTGTCCTATATCACATCAAACCACTGTCTTGTCTTCATACCCATGCTGGAGACGTACCTTGTCGCCGACTCGAGCCCAAAACTCAGCTCGCTTGCTTCTGGCGGCTTGTACTTCGGTCTCACCAGCCTTCTCTTCAGCCTCTTCCTCTTCCTTCTGGAAACCTTCCAGCTCCTTCTCGTTATCAGCTTTCAACTCCTCGTAGAGTGACTCATCCCATGGTAGAATGCCCGACGGTACTGCTCTCTTGGACGGTAGTAGATTACTCGACACTAAAGAGGCTCTCCGACTTGGAGCTTTTTGAGGTGGAATTGCTGTTTGAGCTGTACTCTCCCCGACGGTGTTCAGTACTCCTTCCGTAGGATGGGCAAGATGCCGGTATAAAGGAGCCATTTTCTGCTCTTTGATTGCATTTTGAAGGTACGGTAATGACGTTGGCTGAGCAGATTGGGGAGTGTTCGCAAGGGTGAAGATGTGTTGGGCGAGGGTCAGGTCAGGATATTTCGCAAATTGAGGATCGGAACCCATCTTAAGCACCTTCAAGTACAAGAATTAGAGAGTGGACAAGAGAGGACAAGGAGAGGCAGGAATTGAGTGTTGTAGACTTGTTTGTCCGCCGGTTCAAGATCCGCAGCGCAATGGAGAACGCGCAACGGGAGCCAGCCTGCGCCAAGGGGTTGGTAGGACTGGTCGCGGCTCTTCCTCGATCTGGAAATAGAGTGATGCCGCCCTTGAGTCGCCGATTAGAGGAACTTAGCGTCAGCACGACTTTAATAGTGCAACGCTAATTGACGGTTGATGAGTGGCGCTAGCCTACTTACTCTATTAGAGGTAAATCGCGTTCCGCTAAAGAGCCCTGAGAATGCCAACACCTAAATAACCTATTGTGCCGCCAACATCATCACGCACGCCTCGACCTGCCTTGTCATTCTCCAGTCCAGCTCTAACGAAGAGACAAGAGGGGTTGTCTCAAATGCTTGAGCGACTAAAGGTATTCTGTGACGTTCGCCGGCTGAAACAAACGTCATCAGAGGCCAATATGAAACTCCTCTGGGCCCTCGGTCGAGGTGCGGATGATGGATGGGAGCAGCCGAGCATGCAGGCTGCAGGAACAAAGTGATAAGTAGTAGAACCATTAAAGGGCGGTATGACTGTTGGGGTGTCTGGGGGTGGGTGCATAACAAGCGGGGTGTTAGTAATGGTGATAGTTAAGATCCTGTCGTTGGGAGGGAGATGGTGCATGTGTCTGATCACGGACAGGCACTAGACACAAGTTGTCGATTTGATGAGGGAGACGTGCAGGGTCGACGGAGAGTCTCCGATGAGACCTTGTATCGTTAGGCACTAGGCTCAGCCAAAAGGGAGGCCGTAGAGGAGAAGGGAGCAGAGACTCGGTTCTTCGTATTCTGACATGCTACCATTAAGCTCGTTTCGGCTTTCCGACGAGCTCTTTGAGATACTAATGTACTAGCACATATGTCACTTCTGGTGACCGACCGGACAGTGTCAAGTCTACTCCGATCAGGACCCAGACCAGCTCCATCGTCCCTTCGGAGCAAACCTCACCCTTTCCGAGCCCTGTCAAGTCTTACAGATCCCTTGATCTGATGCCGCACCGAACACCGTTTACAATGACTTTAAAATGCTGCTGGACCTCGCATGACGGAGAAGAGGCTATACACATACACAGACTATCTTCTCTCTCATCTGAGCTCGATCGAACGAATTTATCAAGAAAATGTATCCAAACGCCCAAGATCTCGAGTCCAACGAAAAGGTGGCATCTCCAAATCAAGTCGATTGCATCGAGCATAGCCAGAGTGTGGACGTGGAGGAGCGCAGGGCCCTGGAGAAGGCAATCTTGAGGAAGCAAGATGTGCGGATTGTTCCTATCTGCGCGACAATCTTCTTGTTGGCCTATCTTGATCGCTCCAACATAGGTTTGACTGAGCAACATGAGACTCAAAGATAACGGCTAACATGCGTCGAGGCAATGCTCGATCTCTGAATGCCAAAGAAGGTGATGATCTCCTAACAGAGACGCACATGACTACGTATCAATACACGTTCGGCATCCCCTACCCTCTCGTCGGAGCACGGCTAATCCTCTCCAGCATCGCTCTCATGGCGTTCCTGATCGCTTATGCCGTCTTCGAGGTGCCATCCAACTATATGTTGAAGAAGATTCGACCAAGCCGGTGGATTGCCTGTCTCATGTTCGCCTGGGGTAGTTTGACGATGGCCTTGGGTGGTGTACATTCCTACGGCTCCGTGGTTGCGGTACGCTTTCTCCTCGGCATGGCTGAAGCCGGACTTTTTCCTGGCCTGGTCTATTACCTGACGTTCTGGTACCGCTTGGACGAGCGGTCGATCCGCGTTGCCTTTGTCTATGCATCTGCCACCTTGGCCGGCGCCTTTGGTGGAGCAATTGCTTTTGGCATTGGACACATGCAGGGACTCACCAGTCTCTCGGCGTGGAGATGGCTATTTATACTGGAAGGAATCCCCAGTGTTCTATCCTCGCTAGTGGTGTTTTGTTTCTTGCCCGATTTCCCGGAGACCGTGTCCTGGTTGACGCCCGCCGAGAGACAGCTGGCGGTCGAACGACTGGCAGTCGAAGGCTCGCATCAGCACGACAGCAACTTGACTTGGGCGCAAGCAAAGAAGACACTGACAGAATGGCGGCTCTATGCGCACTATTTGGTACGCGATATCCTTCACTCCCAGCCTTATTGATCAGCCCATACTGACTACTGCGATCAGATCTATTTTGGCATCTCGGTACCCTTCTCCTCGCTGTCACTCTTCTCGCCCAGCATTGTCCTAGGCCTTGGTTACGCAAATCTGGAGGCTCAATTGATGACGGTCCCTCCCTACGCAATTGCCTGTGAGTCATGTTTACAGCAAACCTTTCTGGATTCCTTCCTCAATTCCCTTCTGTGCACTCTTACTCATTGCGCCGTACAGATGTATTCACGATTGTCATCTCGTGGTCGGCCGACCACTACAATGCCCGAGCACTTCATTCCGCCGTAATGGCGTTCATCGGTGCCTGTGGATTCGTCGCATCCGCCCTATTGCCTGTACACGCTTACAATGTATATTACACTTGTCCTAACATGATATATCTCCACGCTGACCTCGAGGATAGGCACGTTACGGTTGTCTGATTGTGGCTGCCACGGGAGCCTTCTCATGTATTCCACCGCTTCTTGGCTGGCTTTCGTCCAACCTCCGCACCACCGCTGCCGCTGGTCTCGCCATTGCTCTCAATATATCCATCGGCATTCCCGGTCAAATACTGGGGGTGTGGATCTACACAGAGAAGCAAGCCAAAACTGGGTATACTACCGGTCACTGGACAAATGCAGGTATGCTGTTTTTCGTGACAGTAACCTCCATCGCTATGACGTTCTATTACCAGCGTCTCAATCGAAAGCTTGCAGCTTCACCTAACACCTCCGGAGACACCACTCGATATTTTGTGCTCTAAGTGAAGGTTCAGTTATCACTGGTGCAAAAGGGAGGGAACTATGTCCAAGTGAGCAGTCGATATCCATGAATATGGCGTTTAGTCTCTTAAGATACACGGATCACCGGTTTGATAGTTCTCTGAGAAATGAGCTGGCGAGATTTCGGTCGCCAACGCATCCCACGTTAGCGGAAACAGAACGAGCGCTCTCCCTCTGGGAATGAGCTTTGAAAATCATTAAATTGATGACCTGTTTTTGACCACGACCATTAATTTTGAGGCTTATCATGCGTCTGCCACACTCTGCCGCCATGTATCAGAGACTGTTTTCGCTCCAGTCATAGATTCGTGAAACCGAGATTCATCGCCTCGTACCACTGCGAGCCTCCTTGCAACATTCCCTCTTCCCCCCTTTTCACATCAAGGGTTGACCACGGTCACTTGGGTGGTATGAGAAGCTCGCTATATCGACACACTTGACGAGCAACTTGGTCTTGGACTTGGCTTCGTTCACGTATGTGTGACTAATCATCACTCGTGATCACCTATCCCCGGATATTTGCATCGGACGACACAGGGATCTCCGTCCTGCTCAACCTTAAGATTGAAAACGACAGGGATCGGAGCTTAGAGCAGTATGGTCCGATGTGCCCAAGCTACAATGGACGATGCCAAGCCTATCAACCCCTCCCGCTATTCCTGAGAGGGGTTACTTCCCCACAGAGGCTCCGCTTTACCCCGGACCCCCAGCTCCGGTCGTTCGTGAAGCGCCGGACTCTCTTCTGGCCGCCCTCTTCGAGCTTGCGACCCTCCACCCATGTGTATAGCTATCATTTATTAAATTTCATCCTTTAGCCGGATCACCTCCTGGCTAGGTCATAATCGAGAGCAAAATTGTGTGCTGACAAAACAGGTGTCCCTGGATCGGAGAACAATCGACATGACTTCGTCCGAAGCGTCCTCTCCAGCTCCGGAAGAATTCCTCGACAGTCGTAAGCCTGAAGCCGAGCGCGGAACAAAGAGGAAGCGCCAGGACCTTGCTTCAGTAGTGCGTGATTTGGTCATTCCTTCTGGTCTTGGTGTGCTGCTAATCTTCATAGGCTTGCAATTCTTGTCGATCACGGAAGGGGAAGTGCGATGAGGTTCGACCAGTTTGCGGAACATGCATAAGATTGAATCAGCGATGCGTATACGAAGAACGGCGCAAGCCCAAGTATGTGTCTGCCGCAGGTGTCAGCCTCTTGCTGACGATGTGTCGCTTACTCTTGACAGGCTCGAAGTAATCCTGGGAGACATACTAAACTCACTGCAGTTGCTCCAGTTGAGTACAGATCAGATCTTGTCCAGCAGATCCAGACCAGTACGCAACCGCCCAAGGTACGCCACCCAGTTCGACCTCTGATTCCTGTCTCGGAAAGTCGCTGAAATCCCCAGACCTGCCGCAAGTCCTCAACCAGAGAGCTCTACCGTCCATCATAGCCAGCTCCATCAATTACCAACGGCTTCATGGGCCCACCTCCCAGTGGAACAGAGCCAGGATTCTCCTGATGTTACAGACTTCCGAGATTTCAGACATGCTACGGCAGCTCACAAGCTCTACTCTTGGCCGCAGATCCAACGAAGCGTCACGGGTGTGGACATCATGTACCCTATCGTAGCCGAGTTCGCTCACACCACGTTGAGCACCTCGATCATACCACCGTTTCGTCTCGCCCAGGTACAACACCCAGGCCAAGCCGACTTCACTGATTGCATAACAGGCCGCGATGTGCGGACGCTCTTGGGCCACTACTTCCGAGACTATTATCCGGTCTACCCTATCGTAGCCAAGCCGCGGATCAATGAAATCAGTCAGACGATTATTCTAGATCGAGGCTTTGGCCTCGACAGTGAGAGTTGTATGCTCCTCCTGGTCTTTGCACTGGGGGCTTTCTCTGCTTATTTTCACGGGGAGGCCGACTGGGGTCAAGCAGGAGCAGATTCTGCAGCCACTCCCCCCGGAATCGGCTTTTTCAACAAGGCAAGACACATGCTGGCTCTGCTTCCAAAGGGACGGATTGAGACTGCCCAATGCCATGTGCTGACGGGGTGAGCTCTATGAAGAATCTTTTGACCCTCCCCGCGTGACTGATTTTTCCTTTCCAGGTTATACTATGCTCAACTGTTACGAGCCTATGACTTCTGGTCATCCATCCACGAAGCGGCGATCACTATTTGTCACATCATTTCCTTGTAAGTGACGATAAGCCTTCAAAACGCTCGCCCAAGCCAACCCACATGATAGATCCGGCCCGGACAAAGTTAGTGCAGACATCGTCCGAGGCTTCTGGGTGACATACATTCTGGAGAGGTGCGTGACATCTCCTAGACTATTTGGATATTCATTTGAGACCCTCCCCAGCTCACGTATCAAAGTACCATTCTGGCGGAGCTTGACCTTCCGGCGTCAAAGTTATACCAGCTCCAAGACACGGTGCCGTTGCCGTTCGGCTACGACGACGGTCACTCGCCAACAACAGATTCGGATTCCGAGTGTCACTTTGTATTGTTGGCCAACATCGCACTCCGAAAATTGCTCAACCGGGCATATCAGACAATATACTCGACAGGTAGGCGCCCACTACAGCGAGAAGAAGGCACTCGAGAAAACATGTATTGACGAGGTAAAAGATTCTCTCGGAGCGGTTGCTCCCGACATGAGCAATCCGCACACATCATTAAACTACGAGTTGTCACTTCAGCTGGACCGCTGGCGTCATCACTTGCCTCCCTCAATCTCGTCAAAGATGGACACCGATTGGGTTGACTATGTCGGTGAGTCCCCAAACAACCTCATGGGCCTGCTGAGAGCCAGGTATTGGGTCTCCAAGTTTGTCGTCTACCGGCCCTACATTCTCAAAGCCATCTCGGCTGAGCCTGGGGATCTGACATCGGATGATTTGCACAAGGTAGAAGAATGCCTGGATGCCGGGCTGAGGGTTCCTCAAGAAGTAGGACTACTGACTACAAGGGCTCGTCTAGTGGTGTCGCCGTTTGCGCCCATTCGAAGGTAAGAAGTGAGCAATGTTTGGTTGTTTCTGAAGTTCTTCTCATCGTGCCTTTTGAAGCTAAAATGCTTTTCTTTGTCCAAAGTTTCGTGGCAACCTATACTCTTATGTGTGCGGTACACAGTGTCAGTCACCTCCGCCACCTCGCTTCTCCACGGTGGGAACTTGCAGATCGGATTCGTTCAAAGATCGAAACAGAGTTTCAGTATCTCTCGCCGCTGGTCGAGTTGGATTTGCAGCTTTTGAAACGATATCAATCTTCCTTACCACCGACATATATCTGACAGGTGCTAAGTGCGACGGCAGAGGGCAAGCAACAAGTCAAGCTGCCCCGTGGAATGACGATTCTCACGACTTGAGGTAGCGAAATGAATCACCGGAGGGCGTGTGTCTAAAAGTGCCGTGACCGATCCTTTAGCACAGAGGATGAGGATGAGGAGGGAGGAGGGAGGGTGGAGGGTGAAGGCGGACGCAAGCCTAGTCACACGGAAGAGCACATCAACAGAAATTGCGCGGAGGTTGCAGTGCACTCCGTCACAATAGTTTATTGTAGCTTATTCCGTGGTTAACCCTAGGATTACTCTCTCTGGAACAGTGTCTGATGAGCACCTAGCTAGACAGTACGTCAAGATTCGAAACACACATTTCTGCCATGATTATTAGCATGACCGTTTGCGGCAAACCCTCAAACAAGAATCGCAACGAGTTGAGTGGTCCAGCGAAAGAAGACCCAGTCTTTTTTTCAAATCGTGAGAACTAACATTGCCTCCGCAAGATACTCGTGTTCAAATCCTTTTGTTTCACAGATGGAATGCCCGTCAGGTGGAGAGTCATGGTGAGATCCCCCAGTAGTGCTCTGAGGACGTGGCGAACACCATCTTCTCCGGCCATCGCCAGGCCCCATACGAAGGGTCTACCGATCAAGACCATCTTCGCACCTAGCGCCAGTGCTTTGGCAATGTCGGCTCCGCAACGTATGCCCGAATCGAAAAGAACCTCCAGCTTGTCACCCACAGCAGCCACGATCTCGGGAAGGCTGTCCAGCGATGCCACCCCTCCATCACACTGCCTACCTCCATGGTTCGACACGACAATGCCGTGCATGCCGTGTTCACCAGCCAGCCTCGCATCTTTGACACTCTGGATGCCTTTGAGAACGATGGGCCCGTCCCAATGATCCTTCAGGAAGGCGAGGTCTTCCCAAGCGTGCGAGCGTCCGGGCATGAAGATGTTGATCCACTCATGTGCGGCTTTGCCTTGGTCGTCCTCAATGTCCTTGCCATACGTTTCCTTGAAGGTCTTACGGAAGAGCGGGTCTGTGAAACCAGTGGCCACGCCGATTGAATCGGGCCGCAAGAAAGGACTGTAGCCATTGTCCATTTCGCGGGCACGCCATCCAAGAGCGAAGGTATCCAGCGTCACCACAAGTACCTCGTAACCGTTGTTCTTGGCACGAGAGAGGAGGCTGGCCGTGAAGTGATTGTGCTTGTTGTCAGGCCAGTAGAGTTGGAACCAGCGGTGCCCGTTACCATTCGCCTCCGCTGCTGCCTCAATGCCTACACTGGCGCCGGTGCTCAGGAGAAACGGGACGTGTTCTTTTGCACATGCACGCGCGGTCGCAAGCTCTCCTTCTTCATTGAAAATCCTCTGTACGCCGACAGGAGCAATGGCCAAGGGGGACGCGTACTCTCGACCAAACAGCTTAACACCGAGGTCTGGGAGTGGAGCCGAAATCAGTCTCCGGGGGATAAATGCCCATTTATTGAAAGCCTTTCGATTGTTGTCGTAGGACTGTCCAAGGCCAGCATTCCCGTGGACATAGCCCCACGCATTCGAACCGAGAACCGCCTCAGCTTGAGCCTCCCAAGCGGTGGGCTCAAAGGGCAGGGCGGGCTTCTCATGTCTGAGCCCACGTAGGAAGACGTCCAATTGAACAGTCGACAGGCTATGGCTGGCACGATCAACCATATGATAATCTTCGCCCATCGTCGAGACAATACAGATCGTCTGCCTCCGAAGTCCGCCGAGGCTTCAGATACCTGCGCAGACGTTTTTGAGCTCGAAACCTTGCTTTGTGTGGCTGCGTGCCGATGTGACGGACAACAGAACTGGAATCGGACAACCCAGGTTCTTATACATTCTTTGGACGTTGTTTATCCAATTAGAGCTTCTCATTCAGCCTGGCGGCATATTGATGAAATTCCTTCTCTATTTCATAGATCCGGATGCTCTCTGGCTGGTTTGGTTCATCGGTCGTAGCGGCCCACTGACAGAACGCTGAGGTGGTGCCAAAACGGAGGGCACCGTCCGGGAGTCCGAAGCCCAGACCAGTAAGACCCAGTTTGCCCCAGCGCCACCGGAATACCACCTCTGGCTTCCGAAACAGTCGCAATCCAACATGATCAGCCTTGCCCTTACACTCTCCAGTCATCAGAAGGCCGAATTATGGTCATGCACCACGACAGAGGTCTTGTATGGCACTAAATTGGCCGAGTAAGATCGCGAATGACGGGTGCGAGACTTTCGGCAAATGACTGCCGCTCCGTATACCGTCCGATCCATTCTACAGCGCTTAGTGTCGGGTCGCTGTCGTGTATAAAATGCAAGGTACACACGAACATCTTCAGCTCTGCAGACAAATACTTCACAGGGGGAAAACAGTGCCACTTTGAGACTGCTAAAGGATGTCTTTGACGGGCCATTGCATGTGTGGTGCAGTCACTGTGACCATCGAGGACGCAAGCCTATTCAACAAGCCTCGCGGTCATATTTGTCACTGTGGGAACTGCAGAAGATGGGGAAGCAGCAGTGAGTATTTGACCGTACCATCGACAAGCCCGAGATGCTTATGCCTTCAGTTTGCGCCAATATCCTCAAGATATCCAAAGAGGTTGTCAAGATCACCGGAGAAGATTCAATCAAAATATACCTCGACAGCAACACCTTGAGCGGGAGGACGATCGAGCGACACTTCTGCCGGAATTGCGGCAGGTAAGCGAAACAGAGAACTCCGTACAGTATAGTGACGCGACTGGAGACTGACCAGCTGCCATACCCAGCCCTATCCAAAAAATTACGCCCAAGTTTCCGGACATGACTGACGTGCAGATGGGCCTATTTGATCGAATCCCAAAGCCCGAGTTTGAAGTCTTTACGGATCGCAAACAAACTTGGGAACCCGAGAACGAGTGGTCAATTCCACAACAGTACGAGACGGTGCCAGGATGGGCGAGCGGAAATTGAGGACACGTGTGCAAGCATCCTTTGAGTCGCAAATAGGCAAACAGGGTTAGGATCACGTAGCAGATGTCCCGGGCTTGCCATATCAATAACGCTTCCCAACACAGGCATCTCTCCAAAATGCCAAGCCCTGCCCTGGTGGAGACCTTCCCTATATGGGGTTCTCCCATGCCTCATGCCTCTTATAAGGAAGCCGTCAAGTCAATGCTCGCTCTTGGATGACCTGGTTACGCCGGTTACAGTGAACCCTTGAGCACTGGTCTCATTCGACACATTCCTTGACACCATGACCACTCAAATGCCCAATCCTCTCGAAGCCCCTGCACGTGTGCTGGAGCTCTTGGACCGTTTACACAAGGAATCCGAGTCACAAGAACATGTGTTTGATATTACGAAATATAGCGCAGACGGCCTCCATGATGTAGCCAAGGACAAGTTCATTGCTCTGGACCAAGATAAATGCCAGTTTGTCTACCAGATCTGCAGGGCAATCAATGCGAAGAACGTCCTCGAGGCCGGCACCAGCTTCGGCGTAAGCACTATGTACCTGGGTTTGGCGGTGACCAGGAACATCGAGGCCACAGGAGGAACAGGGACCGTCATTGGTACAGAGCACGAGCCCACCAAGGCACAAAGGGCTCGAGGGTATTGGGCAGAGGCTGGCGAAGCAGTCTCGCGACATATCGACCTGAGGATCGGGGACCTTCGTGAGACGTTGAAGTTCAATCTGCCTCAGATAGATTTGGTTCTCATTGACAGTAAGTCCTCACGGCCGATTGATATTCAACCAACACAAAGTTACAAAAGAAATTTTGTACTAACCCAATTGTCCAAGTTTGGGCCCCAATGACCCTTCCCGCGCTGAAGATTGTTCTGCCAAAGCTGCGATACGGCGCTGTCGTTATCGTCGACAACACCATTGGATCTGCCGTCAGGTACAAGGAACTGCTCGACTTCATGCGAGCCCCAAATAGTGGTTTCGCCAATCTGACGCTACCATATGCCAAAGGACTAGAAATGAGTCTCTATGTCCCCTCTCAGATATAGCATGTCTCGAATAACAAGATCTGTCGCCCGAATCAATCGAAGTGGGTAGAAAGAAGAGCGAAATACAGATAAAGGGATCAGATTCTAGAGCAGCATAGTTCGAGCACTTGTCTGTCAGTCTTGCCCACAAAGCCCTGTCCGCCTCACCTAGTGCTTTCTCCTTTTTCTCTTTGGATGTGACGCCTTCTCAGAGCCAGACGTGAGGCCTCCAGTCGAGACTGAATGTGACAAGAACGCTACTGTTGCTCCTAGCTCAACTTTCTTTCATTATGGCTGGGCTCTAGGAATTTAGCTACAGTTACACTTTCCACTTCTGAGGCTTCTCGCTCGTCGGCGTCAACATCAACTCACATCTGACCCAAGCAACACTTGCACTCGCTGTAACCAGCAACGCACCCACCAGAATTGTCATCCCCGTATAGTCATCCGAGCTCTTCGGGTTGGCGGACCCTCGAATCAGAACCCCAGCAACGGGAGTCCCAACTAGAGCGGCCATTCCCTGCGCCATGTACAGAATGCCAGTAGTGTACGGAAGCTGGTTCACTCCAAACAGCTCCACCAGGATTGCTGGAAACAAGCTCACATAGGCACTTGCAAAGAGACTATACAAGACCGTAAAGCTGATGTACAGATGCTTCCCGAGTGCTTCATGGGCCGTTCCAAGTATCGCGCTTGGCAACCAGAGCCCAAGCGCAGCAATGGCGCTCAAAAAGGTCGAAACAAAGAAAGCGTTGACTCGTCCCATCCTGTCCGCATGAAACCTATTGAAATCTTGCCAATAGCGTTGCACGCATTGCTAACCGCTACAAAATTCGCCCCTTCTTTCACCGTGTATCCCAGTGTTTCCGCATATAATACCAGGTAAAACACAGGCGTGTAGTATGCTGCGCTCTGGAAGGCGGCGCCAAGCGCATGTGCAATGAATTTGCGTTGCTTGACAGTTTCCCAAGCAGGAAGGGGAATTCGAAATAGGCCTCTCAAGGGAGATATTGCTGCACTCTCCGCACGCAAGCGTCTCCTCGTCGTCGGTTCCCAGTCGAGAGCGAAGCCTGCAGCACCGATCAGAGCGGCCGCCACAGCGCCGGTCAGGCGGAGAGTATCACGAAAGCCCATGTTGTCAATACATGCAGTGACAACAGGCGCCCAGACGAGGCCTCCGATGCCGGTACCGGCAGATGCGATGCCCATGGCAAGCCCTCTACGGCTTTCAAACCATGTAGGGGTTACCGTCATGGACGGCACAAAGGAGAGGCTCGTCCCTATACCCAGCAATAGACCTTGAGCAAGCTGAAAGTGCCAGAGTGCTGTGCCGAAACTGGCTGCGACGTTGGCCAGGCCGAAAACGACGGCACCAGCCCAGACAACCCTTGGTGTCTCGAAGTATTTCGCCCAGGCAACTGCAAAAGGTGCAGCCATTGTCATGACGGAGGCAGAAAGGCTGCCGATAAGGTCTATTTCAGAGGAAGAAGCATGAATGAATGGGCCAGAGCCCTGCGTCGCCATCGACTCGTAGAGAGCTTGATATATTCCAAAGGTAAACAGGAGGCCACATGCAGTGAAGTTGACTGTAAACGCCGCCAGGACAGTCATAAGCTGACGACTGCTTTCAAGTTAGCCTCACTGGTGTCCTTCGACGAAGCCTGAGAAGTAGATTTTTGCAAGCGGGTAGCATGTTGGGGCATGGCAGAACTACTGGAGGCCGGCATACCATTTGGAAACCGCCCCAGCACCGTAGGTCTCTGTGCGAGAGTCTTCTCTTGGAATGTCCGAGTCAACTGGGGTTTCTCTAGCTGGAGAATGATGTTCATTTGGGTTCATCGCAGGTCGGGAGGGGTGGGTCTCGTCGAGTTGCGCAGACATCTTTGAATGGAAAATATGACTTGGTTATGAAAAAGGGACCTGAGTGAGTGCAGCTTGTGTTTGTCGTGGATATAAAAGTCTGAAATCCCAGCATTTCGAGCTTATATATGCTCAGGCTCGTACGCTGGACAATATGCTATATCCACAATGATCTGTTGAGGGCATTCTTTAGCACGGCCGCTGTTTCGAACGAGACATACAACCGATCTGTGCCTAGCGGGTGGCTCGAGTACCCCTGACCGGCCGCCATCTGATTCATCAGAAGCCGAAGCATTCTGTTGTCTACTGGCTGAGGCATCTGAAAAGGCGACCAGAAAGAAAATGTCTCGCTTCCGGTTGGGGAACGTGCTGTATCAGGTAATTCTCCAGGCCGTTCATTGAGAAAGCAAAGATGAAGTAATCATACAATGCATGTGCCGAACTGGTGTGTTTTGGCAGCTTGAGTCATATGAGAGTATCTATTGCTCTTTCAGACCCAGCGAATCCAGGATGGATACATTGCACCTTGCTGCCGCGATGGGGCGTTGCGTGATTCTCGCGCCGGGTTCGGCAATACTTATTCCCGACTCGTGATACGGAGGACTCACTAGACTCTGAAAAGCGGCGACACTCTCTCTCTCGATGTGGGAACGTCCACTGCTCCCCGAGAGGCTCTATGAGTCAATCTTTGTTAGCGACGGGGTTGGTATCAACTCGTCCTGCTACACGAAAGGCGACACCAGCGGGGAGGCGCTATTTCTGATAGTTGCAGCGTTTGCCGTCTGATCTGATCATACTCCAGGGTGCCTACAAGCCATGGGAGGACAACCCTCACCAAAGCGGCGCAACAACTTTGTCTGCCAATTCTGTGCAAGGCGCTTCGCTCGGCATGAACATCTCCAGCGGCATGAACGACTCCGTAAGCATCATTGGCTGATACATCTCCCCTATCTCTTACTCACATCTCGGCATCACCGCGTTAGATACAAATGAAAAGCCGTTCAGCTGCACCCAGTGCCCTTCCTCCTATACGAGAAGGTTGAGAAAGCTGGAAGAGTTTGTTAGGACGCGCTGACTCCTGGTGCAGGGATTTGCTCGTTCGACACGTGAATACGTCACATCAACAGCAGAATCTTACCCCCTGCTCATTGCCAATGATCCATCTAGATGCCTCCTCGTTCGACAAGAGCAATAAGCCCCCCATTTTGCTACCCTCTCCTGAATCGGCTGAAGCGACTTTCGACAGAATGCTACCCTTTACGACAACGTCACCCTTGTCACACCAGAATGGAACAGCCACTGAATCAACCCACCTACTTTTCGATGAAGACAGTAGACTGGCGACCAATATCGCAGAAGCGACCATTGACTACTTTCCACCAGACACCTATGACATGGCGTTCGTATCCAGTCTGGACTTCAACCAGTTCTTGACACTCTCGCCTCTTCCCTGTCTGGCAGCTAAATCGCCATCCCAGGCCAGCCCCGAGAAACAAGTCGGCGCATCGACACCAACCGGTTTTGCTCCACAGGGTATAGATCACTCGAGATGTTCGTGGACTCCGCTCTCGGCCGTGTCGGATCTGTCAGCTTCAACATCAGAACAGCGGAAGCTGTGTTGGACCATAAATGATGGCGAATGGGAACAGTTCGTTACGACCATAAAACACCTCTGTCCTGAATATGCAAAGTCTCGACTGCCCTCTCGTCAGAGTATATCCCGATATCTCGCAGCGTATTTCCGGGGCTTTCACGAGCATCTGCCGTTTCTACACCCCCCTACGGTCAATTTACACAACACAAGGGCGCATCTTGTCGTTGCCATCGCGGCGATCGGCGCCCAATATTGCCTAGAAATCGAGGACATGGTTTTGCTTTTCAGTCTAGCGAAGCTGATGGTCTTGAAGGCGATTGATAGTCGAAGACGGACACTCTCAAGCCGTGAAAGAGCACGAGCTGAATCGGAAAACGATGATCCATATGGGACGAGTAATTTGGACGACGAGGCAATCCAATCTTGCCAAACATTGCTTTTGCTTATGGTCGCGGCAACATGGGGCGATCCCAAGACTAATTTGAAGGAGGATATGAATCTACAAAGCATCCTCGCAACATTTCTCCGCGAAGAAAAGCTTCTGAATGTCGACAGCAGCGTCAAGCACCGCTCATGGCACGAGTGGATTCGAGTAGAAGGTGTCATACGGACAGTTTTGATTACATTCTGCTTTTTCAACTTTCACACCATCCTTCATAATGTTCCTCCACCTATATTGAACTCCGAGATTCAAATGGCATTGCCTTGCCATGAGGAAGAATGGAGATGCAGTACTGCTGTATCATGGGCAGAGCAACACGCCGCGGGGAAGACAGCCCCGATCCAGCCGGTATTCAGCGTGGCATACAAGAGCCTCTTCCACCCTACCGCGTTCGGGGGTCTCAAGACTTGCTCATCCTTGGGCATTTATGTTCTGATAACGGCAATCGTGCAGCACATCTATTTCGTCCGACAGCTTAGTAAACATACTCTTTACGACAATACCACGACACCGCCCGTGGAAATCGACACCCTCCATCAAGTACTATGTCGGTGGCAGGAAATTTGGGAGATGGATCCGCACAGATCACTGGGTCCGAACAATCCTGACGGTCCATTGCCATTCAACTCTACCGCCCTGCTTCGAATGGCATATGTCCGCTTAGGCGTGGACATCAGCTCTTCGTTTACCATCGGCTCGCGCAATCCGCAGCAGATCGCGTCCGCGATGCTGTGCAGTTCCCCCGTTCCTCGCAACCAACATAGCACGAGGGCGGCACTACATGCTGCTCACACCTTGAACACACCAGTGCAGATCGGGTTAAAGCTTGTAGCCAAAACTCAAGCATTGACGTGGTCTCTTCAACACTCCTTGTCGTACCTTGAGTCGGCTTTTCTGCTTAGTAAATGGTTGGAAAACATCATGCGATCGCGTAATAGTCTACCGCCAGACGAGGCTGAACGGCAGGTTCTGTCATATGTCCAAGGTATTCTGCATGAAGCCGTCGATAAGGACAACCAAGGCATGACTTCCTGCACCGATTCCAATCTGAGTATTAGCCTGATCCGGATCTGGGCACAACTTATACTCGAAGAAGGCATCTGGCCAATAGTGAACATGGTTGGGAAAACTTTGGCATTGTACGCTGATCTTCTAGCGGCGAACGTTGGAGGTGATGTTTCGTGAATGAAGCATTAAAGAAGATCTAGAAGCGTAAAATTCTAGAGAAGCCGGGCCTCGCTGATTCAGACAAGCTTCCCATTTCGTGCGATTCGCCATTGGTCTGAGGCGTGTTGGCATTTTGGAGAGGATCTTCCTCGCCTCCGGGCTGTGTCACAGGTCCACATGTCTCCATGGAGAACTACCCTTTTTGGGAACCCGCTTACTACATTACGAATGCTCGGGGTCATATATCGGCCATAGACACGCAGTCGACCACCTGACAGGCACGAACGTCACTCATTCCATAGTAGGCCTGTAGATGTTTGGATGCCCACTGGGCTCTTTAAGATACGTCTCCTACCAGGCCTCAGGAGATTGCTCGTTCACAACGGTCTGAGTCATGCGTCTTTCATTCGGGTTCCCTGATTACTTCCACCACCAAAGAGGCCGCAATGGCCAATTGCCACATGACCCAGTCTTCATTATGCAGGCGGGTGTCGCCGGGGTGGCTAAGCTTACGATGGACGGAGCTGATCAAGACGTACCCCTTAATCCGTCATGGACGCTGGAAATAAGGCTCAGTGGTCTGTCCCACCAGGATCGCAAGTGTCGGGATGCTGATGACAGTGAACAGGCGTTTTGAGATGCGAGCTCGATATAAATCCTGACTGCGGATTATCAGAGTATCGGGTGACCAAAACAACGGAGGTACAGACTAGTTTTCCACCACATCAAAAACAATCTCACAGCTGACCTGGTCTTCGCGCAGTTGGTCTCCATGACACATACAACAACTACTGACAGCCTTTTCGGTTCCCTGAGGAACTCACGAGTCGCAAGTTTGCCATTTTTTTTCGACCTCAGTTCTTGCATCCAAGAGGGCGGGGAAGACGACCCGCCAAAATACGGTTCGGCCTTCTCTGGCCATTTTATTCCACTGCCTCCGTCAATACTTCCCTTGTCACTGGGCTCCCGCAATAGAGGCAGGACGGGCAATCTGCGCGAAGGATTCGCCCTCGCCCGCGTTTGCTACACAATCACCGCTACGCTAATGTCTGACCAGACCATATGCCGGTGCAGCCAAAGAATCAATCTGATTCCGCTGCTGCTGGGCTGTCCGCCTACGTGCCTGGCGGATTTTGGGGGTGAATACCAGCCCTGTCAGCGGCGGACTTTGAAAGAGTCGATATTCTGGAAGAGCGGTGACATCCAGATTACAATCAGGGAGCCAGAGCAATTGGCCCTCAAGTCTGATTCTGAGACATCTGTTGCGAGACTTCCTGTCCAAGTACAGCTGGATCTGCCCAGCTCCTACAGAATTCCGGCAAACGGTGCGCTGTGCGTCGAGACTGATGTGAGATGGCAGCTCCGAGTGATCTCGTTTGTCTCCATCAAGGCCCAAGCGCACGTTCCAACCATCAGGGAGGCCCTCGCGAGCCCAACGATGGCCCCCGTGGGGACGACAATGGGAACAAGCACCTCATCTGTAACCTGGAGAGATTGGACGGTCATAGATGGACACTTCTCGACGAAAACCCGTTTTGAGAGTCATCAGGAACTGCTCTTAAGCTTTGCAAGCTCAGATATCATGACCCCGACTTTCTGGTCTCCTCATCTCAGCGTAAGGTTTACTCTTCGAGTACGGTTTCACGTTAAAGCACCAGGGACAACAACAATAGAGCTCGAAGTACCGATCCAGGTGGGTGTGGATCAAGAATCTCTGGACACCCATAGACTCGAGATCGACCAAGGTTTGAGCAAAAACGGCGGCTTCGTATTAGGGCGCACAGGATGGACCTCCCCGGTGGCCGACTGATGGTGACAACATCCCGAAGAATTGATTTTGTCTTGTTCAGTGTTTCAATCAGTCTACCCTACCCAAGGGTTGACGGAATGCCTGGAACGCTTGGACAAGGGATGGCCACAGGGAAAAGTTGCGGCAGTGCGGGGCTTCTAATTCCGTTGTACCTTTTTCTAAAGAAGAGAGTCGTGACAGGGACAGCAAAGATTTCTCGCAATTTTTGGACAAGAGCCATGTCAACATATTCGACTCGAGAATATGAAGAGCAAACGAGAAACTTCTTGATCAATTTAGCCCTCCCAGCCCAGTACAGACGCCATCGACGGTCTGTACACTGACATTCTTCGCCACAACGCCGTCTGCTGCAAACCGCAACATTTGGCCGCTTGAATAGCCCTGCCATCCCAAGTCCTTGGGCCCTGTCGCTGGATCTTCCATAAACAAAAGGACCAAGTCTTGTAGCTTCTGGCTCACGAGGCTTTCATACTCCGGACCGGCACCTCGGAAGTCATCGTACGTCCCAAAAAGCATCGGGAGGTCGGTGTCATGGTAGGCGCCCATCCATGGTAGCGGCGAGATGTTGGAAAAGTTGCCCGCATATAGGTATCGGTATGTTGGCAAATTGTTCTGCTCTCGGTAATCCGAGGTCTTGTGGGAAGGACAGATGAATGAATCGAGGGTCGTCTGTATGGCAAGAGTTGCATTCGGCCCTGTTGTAACATTCGTGTACGGCGTCAAACCAGAGCCTTCGTCGGCCGCATTTCCCACGATAGCCGGAATCTTGGCCACCAGACCTTGCTTGTACCGCTGCGTATAATTCGAGAAGATGATCTTCTCATCTGCCACAGGACCGAAATCAAGAGCTGGAGTGGTTTTGTTGTCGCCTCGGTGCCCGACGAAATTGACAATCTCTTCAACGGGCACGTCTCGCATGCATTCAATTTCTGCGGACGCGTTCAGACCCCCGCAGCCGAGGTGGGAGGCTACGAATGTGAAGTTTGAGTGCTTGGAGTCTGTAGAACTATCTTGTAAGAACGCGGTGCCAGATTCCATAAACAGTCCCTTTGCTATCGGGTCATCGTGGAACGCAAAATTATGGAAATCGACCGACATGGCACCTGCAGATTGACCCTGCTTTCCGTCAGCAAAGCCAACATCAGAAGCAATATCTTACCCAAAGCGTGATCCTGGACGGGTCACCTCCAAAAGCCGCGATATTATCACGAACCCACTCAAGACTACTGGCGTCAGTGCTGTTGAAACGGTGAGAGAAGATGTTCTTACGCCATGCGCTGGTCAAGTATTCCAAGATTCTGAGACTCGAGACCGGCAGCATTTGGGAATCCCATTATCCCGACACGGTAGCTCCAGAAGGTTAGCTGGAAAGTGAGCTGGCTACGGACCGTGGGCAACGTACTTTATGGTCACAACAATGTGGGCTTGGGTTCTCTGCACCCAGTGGTGCGGAAGCTGATACTGGATGTTGATTCCCCCATTGTTGAAACCTCCTGCCATCAGTCAGCTGAGAACCGCATGTGGCATTTGGGCACCACATGCCTCCCGTCATGAACATGATGACTGGCAAACTGGAGGCATTTCCAGTTGGCGCCCAGATGGCAAGGGACAGACAATCTTCGGCCGTTGTCGGCGGCATAGCTCCAGCATTTGGAGGATATGGCCCGGCTGGAATGACGAATTCCGGGACTATCTCATTATATACTGACAGACCTGCTGAAAGATACTGTGGACAGGACGGAGGGAACGTAGTAGCATCCATGAGTGTTGAAGAGTTGGTGGCTACTTTCACTGGTGGGAGCCATCGACGTCGACCGGTAGGGGGAAGCGCAAATGGTACGTTCAGGAATTGACGGACGTTGGGGGTGGTCCCGTTGATGAGGCCGACATATGTGCCTGTCTCTGCTGTCACAGCAAGGCCACCTGAAGGACCTTGTGCCTGAACAGCGACGATGGCAAGACTGGAAGCGAGCACAAAGAGAGTGCGCAAGACTTGAAACATGGTGTCTGCAGATGTCGACGAGGAATGAAGCGGCAGCAATATTCCTTGTTTATGAGGCGTCAAGGTAGACACAATTCATACATATATACCTGACCTATAGATCCTGACACTAGAATGTCCATGATGCTCCTCATTTTGATGTCCAACCATCTCCTTCCCCCACATTTGGCTGTGGAGAGGTTACTCCCGTCGGCATGAGATAGCAGGAGACATACCGCAGTGCCAGCCAGTGCGAAGCCATGAAACAAGCTTCGATCCACCGGGATGCCGTAAGTAGCCTGGGTTAAGAGGGACTTCACACGAGGATAATACCGCGATTCATTGCCCTGACTGAGAAAGTTTTGAAGTTTTGTGCTCGTCGGCGGGCATTATGCCGACCTAGCCGATTTAGCCTGGTCGCCGGTAGGAATGGTTTCTCTTACCTTGGAATAGATCAGTCAGCCCCGCAAAGTGGTGAATATTGGGATCCATAGGGACTGTAAGCATCTCGGTAGGTGAAGACTGGTTTCTTTGAAATATTGTACCCCGTATTCTCGGCCAGTTTGCTCCCCGTTGATGGTGCCGTGTATCATTTCTCCCGCATAAATTTCACGTGCCTTCTGAAGAGCGTATGGAGACGCTGCGACTTATAGCGAAGCAGCTGCGTCCCAGAATTGATGTCCGGTTACGCTACGTATTGGGGAGCTCAAGGTTGATCAAGTCTGTCGAAACGCAAGAGCATTACAAGACTAGGGTAAGTAAGTTTGATCTGGTGCGAAACGCGATCTGTGTCCAGACCAAAGTGTCCTGCATCAGGGTGCATTTGGGCAGCATTGAACAGGATGAGCATTATGCTAACAAAGGAAACCTTCCGTCTGCGAATGCATCGTGAAACTGGGTTCCCTTCGTTGGATTCCCAGACTTTGGCGTCGTGTTCTCTGGTCAACCGAAATACGAGTTCGAAGAGCGATGGGTCACATTGATCTTGGGCGAAGTCTGCAATTCCATTAAATCCTCCTGAGCTGTGCCGAGGTCCAACTGGAGAAGCTGGGTCTAGATATAGACGTGGACTCTAATCGATCAAGATTGCCCGGGAGTTGATCGGGGGATCGATACGACGGAGACAAGGCCAAGCTAGCAGATACAGCACGTTCTCAAAAGGGATGGTACCGAGGCAAACCCCCTGTAAGTCGGTAATGCGACGTGGCGAACGCCTTCTCTTCGATCTCTGGTTTTCCCTGCATTATCAACGGAGCCACGGTGTTCGCGTATCTGGACTATCGACAACAATTTCCCTGCTTCGAGTTGAGACCCAGACGCGTAGGGAAATACATCGGCTGTCTGGACGAGCGAAGAGAGGAGAGCAAAGAGAAATAAGAACCAGACAATCCTGTCCTCTCTGGTGTCGAATGCGCTGCCACCACTTGGCACATTTTCTTCAATCATCTTAGCGGCGGCGATCGTGGGCTTTCAAACTCCAGTCCCCCGGCTCAAGATTCCTCGATGTAACGCAACGTCAAGAACGTATCCATATCTGTTCCACACCAACGAAGAACCGATTATAGCCGACCTCGAGATGGCATCATGTGTCGAATGGGAGACATCAATGACAGAACGAACAGGATTCGACAGTTGAGACGCAGATAGGTAATGCTACGTATCTATCTACAGTACCTGATGTACCTTCATAACGCCTCACGACGCAGCCACCACGCACAGATTGTTTTGGTTTCCGCCTCAGGTATGTACATCATGATATTTTCTCGTGATATTGTACCATGATTGGACCCGGCGATACGAGGTTGACTTGAACATCGGCACCCTCCGTATTTCCACTCACCTCGGCTTTGGTCAAGCTCAGTGGCTTTTCAGCCCAAGTGCTTAAGGCAGATCTTCCCCCTGGTTTGCCTCCTCTGGAGCAACCTTGGGTGTCCTTGCCCAGCCTCACTAGCCTTACCAAGACTTCTCGGATACCCGTTATCATATCTGCCAAGTGCTTAGGGTGCATCCTCCCTGAGGCGTCAATGGCGTCTTTGGTGATAATATGCCAGAGGAAACTGTCGTTGCCAAGTGCTTGGGGTACATCACCGTTGCAATATCCAAGGCTCTCGCGATAAGAACCCAACGACACCTTCCTTACACAGCAGCTGCTCCGTGGTGGTGGCTCGAGGAGGACCATGGCCATGGCGAACTCCCATGAGGTTAAAAGGACGCAGTTCGATCGAGAATCCGGCAAGGGCATTCAACTCAGATTGCAGCTCCAGGAGAACAGTCCCCGAGTGCGCCTCCACCATGAGCAACATCGCAAACCTCGAAGCCCCCATCATTGCCCAAGCAGCTGTGGCTGATGCTCCACTCGCCGGTAGTGCGAGGGAGAAACAACTCGGCCGTGGCTCGATTGATGCTGCCGCGGTGTCGATACCATCTCATTCTTCAGACCAGGACGATGACGAGGTAACAGAGGAAGACCTCAAGACGCTCCGTCGCGTATCAGGCAAGATTCCATGGACAGCCTTTACGGTTGCTTTCGTGGAACTGTGCGAACGGTTCTCCTACTATGGCACGACTGTCGTCTGTGAGTGACCGTTGCCCTCGCCGGAGGTTTTCGCGTTGGGGAGCATTATTACTGACCTGTCGTTCTCATAGTCGTGAATTTCATTCAGCAGCCTCTACCAGAAGGATCTTCCACCGGTGCCGGGTTCTCGGGTCAGTCCGGTGCACTGGGCATGGGTCAGCGAGCATCTACCGGTCTCAAGACGTTCAACGAATTCTGGGCATACGTGATGCCTTTGGTATGTTCATATCCCGTTCAATTACGCACGCACAAACCCAGAGTGCTGACCATCTCAAGCTGGGTGGTTATCTGGCCGACGCCCACTGGGGCCGCTACAAGACCATCCACCTGGCCATTATCTGCGCGATCGTGGGCCACGTTATTCTGACGGCGTCGGCCGCTCCCAGCGTCATCAAACACAATGGCTCTGCCCTCGCTGCCTTCACCATCGGTTTGATCATCATGGGTGTTGGTACCGGCGGCTTCAAGTCGAACATCTCACCACTGCTCGCCGAACAGCAAACCGACAACAAAAAGAGGATCAAGGTGCTACCGTCGGGCGAACGAGTCATTGTGGACCCCTCGGTCACAACGTCCCGCATCTTTCTGTACTTTTACATGTGCATCAACATTGGCTCTCTTGTCGGACAAATTGGTATGACGCACGGCACCGCGCAGTCCGATTCGGGGCGGTTTTCTGGTACCCCAAGCTAACACCAATGCTAGGCATGGTATACTGTGAGAAGTACGTCGGCTTCTGGTTGTCATACATGCTCCCGACCGTCCTCTTCGTTTTCGCCCCGATCGTCCTGGCCGTGTGCAAGAAACACTACGTTCTCAACCCGCCCACGGGCTCCGTGTTCGCCAAGTTCTTCCAGCTCTGGAAGTACGCGGCCAAGGGCAACTGGAGCATCAACCCCGTCCGCACGTACAGGAACATGTCTGCCCCGAATTTCTGGGAGCGTGTGAAACCGTCCAATATCCCCGTCAACGAACGGCCCGGTTGGATGACGTTCGACGATGCCTGGGTTGACGAAGTGCGCCGAGGCCTCAAGGCATGCACCGTCTTCCTGTACCTCCCACTGTACTGGTTGGCATATGGACAAATGGTCAGTCTTGACACCCATTTAACATGTTTTTATCTCTCCGTGCAACCTATGTGTGTTTGTGCACAGGGGGTAAAGGGCGAGCAGATGGCTGACTTGGCGTATATCATCGGAACGTTTAGACTGGAAACCTGACATCTCAAGCCGCGGTCATGGAACTCAACGGCGTCCCCAACGACATCATCCAGAACCTCAACCCTATTTCGATTGTCATCTTCATCCCGCTGATGGACTTTGTCATCTACCCTGCCCTGCGCAAGGCAAAGATCAACTTCACCCCGATCAAGCGCATCACGTTGGGTTTCGCGCTCGCATCCATCGCCATGATTGCAGCATGTGTGATTCAAGTCTACGTAAGTTCAAGGATTCGTTCTATTCATTCACTCATTCATTGCTCTTGATATGCTTCGAACCCTTCACGTTTACAAACGTAAACCCTTTTGTAACTTCTTTTTTATCCTTGGTGGTTTTTCGTTCTTCCATTGCACAGTCTCCCGGCAAGGGGGGAAAAAACTCTTCATGACGATGCGCACATTTACTTACTTTTTTTTTTTCCCTTTCCCTTCAGATCTACCGCCTTTCACCGTGCGGCCACCACGCCTCGGACCCCGACTGCTCCGGCCCGGCGCCGATCAACGTGTGGGTGCAGACGCTCCCGTACGTCTTCATCGGCTTCTCCGAGATCATGGCCAGCATCACGAGTCTCGAGTACGCCTTCACCAAGGCGCCGACCAACATGCGCTCGTTCGTCATGGCCATCAACCTGCTCATGAACGCCTTCAGCTCCGCCATCGCCCAGGCCCTGGTGTCGCTGTCCGCCGACCCGCTGCTCGTGTGGAACTACGGCGTCGTCGCCGTGCTGGCCGCCATCGGGGGCGTGTGTTTCTGGTTCAACTTCCGCAACCTGGACCGCGAGGAGGACAGGCTGAACATGCTGGCCGTGAGCGAGTACCGGGGCAGGCGGGCCAGCCTGAGCCTGCCCGCCGCCGTCGGTGGGTCGTCGAGTGTGCACAAGGTGGGCGAAAAGGGAGAGGCGCAGCCCTGAACGGAACGCAGTTAGTTAGTAGTTGGAGGGATCTGGGGGGACACCACACACCTACGTACATACATACCTGTTTGGCCCCACTGCGGCCTGGCCTGGTCAAAAATCACCTTACCTGCGCGTCTATAATGCGCCTGGAGGAAGTCGTGGGCCAGGACGGCGGTCAGGACAGAACGTACCTACGAACCAGCGTAGCGGATTTGCATGTTGGGTAAAACACTAAACAAGACCCCTTCACCATCACAACATCAAGCCACAGATACTCGACCGCGGTAAAAACCTAGCGCTGCAAGTGATGGATACGGACGAGTCGAGAAGACCTACGCAGTATGAATAGAGAGTTCACATGCAATCTTGGCTTCGTTGATTCTGCCTCGTCGCTGAAAAATTTCTTTCGCTCTATTGTGTGGTAGAAGATTTACAAGGTAAGAGGCCCAGGCGAGTCTGATCCATACAACTGCAAGAAGAAAAGGCTTCGCAGGGCTGACCCACCATTCTGGAATGATTGCTTCTCGCATAAAAGGAAAATGCCATAGTCAATAACACCTTTTCACCTGTGTAAGTCATTGCCCGTGGTGTAACCAAACCCAAGCAGACCCAAATGCATAGATTCTTCTTGGTCCATGCAATTCCTTCAAACGCCACAAATGCCCTACCCCACGTTCGACGGTCATCTCTCATTGCTCATCTGTCCTCCTTTAGTGGAAGCCGTTCAGTCGAGAGACACCGTTGGTGCGCTGAGAGTAGGCTGCAGATCCAGCGGCGAAGTACGGATGGTTGCAAGCTGCTTTGGCGGAAATTCGGTGGGCGGGATCGTATTCAAGCATGGCGTCGAGAAGCTCGAGACCTGCGGGTTCGAGATTCGGCACGAATTTGCTGGTAGGTTCCCTTCGCCATTTAGGAAAAGACGTCTTAAAGTCTGGGAACGACGTGATGCCTGGCCATGTATTCTCGTCGGGTGTTCCTAGCAGCCTAGGTACAAGATCAATATTGAGAGGAACAAGCCAAATGAAACCGAAACTTACTTGAAAATCTTGAAAATCTCGTCGATTTCAGAGTCCCCTGGGAATAGTGGCTTTCGGGTGCACATCTCAGCGAAGATGGCGCCCACAGACCACATATCGACACCAGTGGAATACTGGCGACCGCCCAAGAGGATTTCGGGAGCACGATACCAAAGCGTCACGACCTAGATAAGGACGGTCAGCATCGTCCTGCGAGGAGGATTTGTCAAGCACATTACCTCATGAGTGTACGTTCTCAGGGGGACACCAAAAGCACGAGCCAGGCCAAAATCAGCCAGCTTGAGATTGCCCTCACGATCAATCAACAAGTTTTGGGGCTTGAGATCACGGTGCAAGATACGGTGACTATGACAGTATCGGACTCCCTCGACGAGCTGCGCCATGAATTTCTTGACCATGTCTTTCCCCAGTCCCAATCTCTGCATGTCCATTGTCGACCCCTCTGGAAGGGCTTTGCCCCGACCACCGTCTGACACTGGCAGAGCCTCCATGTATTTCTTGAGATCGCAGTCGAGGAATTCGAAGACGAGGTAGAGTTTGTGGCCGTCGGCATGGACAATGTTGAAAAGTCGCACAATGTTGGGGTCGTTCATTTCTTTGAGCAGGGAGATTTCACGAATGGCCGTGCTAGGCACACCCTCGTCCTCTGCTTCCAACCGGATCTTTTTGAGAGCGACGATGCGGCCGCCATTGGACAGGTCTCGGGCTTTGTAGACGACGCCGTAGGTTCCTAGTCGACAGGTGTGAGTGGTGTTCCGCTGCAGATCGCGTGTGAGCGAGCAGGTGACAGAATTCTACCTTCACCAATCTTCTCTATCTTCTGGTAATTTTCCATTGTGCCACTCAACTACTACTTCCTCATGAAAATATCCAAAGTCGCGACCGAGGAAGGCAGGACTGGGTTGCGAGAAAGGGGTGGGCGGTTGTCGAGGGCTTGAGGGGATTTTTGCAGGAGTCGCGGGCAGTAAATATCGAAGGACCTGTGTGTTAGTATGGCTGGTTCATTGCACTTGATTGAGGAACCGCAGCAGAGCCAGGGGAGAGCGAGGTCAAAGTGAAGATGTGCAGAAGGGTTGTTTACGTTTTCTATTTAGAGAGGGTGTTGGGGCACGCGTCTTTGTGATTGGCGGGGCGATTGTGTTCCTGAAGCCAAGCGAAGTCGCTGCGACGCAGCGCGAACAGCGCGGGGAACAAAATATTAATTAATTCATTAATTCATTAATTCCTCGTACCTAAAGGGCAAGACTCATAGAGTCACGACAGTACAATTTTTTGCAGAGCCTCGAGGTGCCGTGATTGACTCACAACGCCCAGCGAGTACACACCGCTGCGACTGAGTCTTCTCGGGCCCTGTGCTCTATCGTCGAAAAGACTGCTCCCATCCACCCTCCTCCCACTGCGCCCGCCCTCTCCCTCGGCTTCGCCCATCATGGCGGGTAGAGAATTGTCGCCAGAAGAGAAACTCTCTCTGGTGACCGACCAGCTGGCGGAGGTGCTGCACAAAGATATCCTGGAAGATGTCATCCTCAAGCAGCAAAGACCGCTTGTCCTCTACTGGGGAACAGCCACCACCGGCAGGCCTCACTGCGGTTATTTTGTGCCCATGATGAAGATTGCGCACTTTCTGCGAGCGGGATGTCACGTCAAGATTCTTCTGGCCGACATCCATGGGTTTCTCGACAATCTCAAGGCACCTATCGAGCTGGTCAAGTACCGCGCCGAGTACTACAAGTTCGTCATCTCTTCCCTTCTCAAGGCCGTCGGCGTGAGTCTGGAAAAGCTGGAGTTTGTCCTTGGCTCGTCCTACCAGTTGAGCTCTGATTACACGATGGACGTATTCCGACTGAGCAGTGTGGTCACTGAGCACGACGCGAAGAGAGCAGGCGCTGAAGTCGTCAAACAGAGTGAAAATGCACCGCTATCTGGACTTATTTACCCTCTCATGCAGGCACTTGACGAAGAACACTTGAAGGTCGACGCTCAGTTCGGTGGGGTCGACCAGCGCAAGATCTTTGCCCTTGCCCAGGAAACATTACCTCGAATAGGCTACAAAGAGCGAGCCCATCTTATGAATCCCATGGTGCCTGGCTTGACTGGAGGCAAGATGTCGGCGTCGGACCCTGATTCCAAGATTGATGTCCTTGATGGCCCAGAGCTCGTCAAGAAGAAGTTAAGAAAGGCATATGCGGCAACTGGCGAAGTAGATGGCAACGGTATCATCTCCTTCGTTGAATATGTATTGCTCCCATTCAGTGCCCTGCAAGACCCAAATCACAAAGGCACGTTTGTCTGTGAACGAAGAGAAGGAGAGGGAGAGCCACTGGTTTACCATGACATGGAGACGTTGAAGGCCGACTACAAGGCCGACAAACTGACCCCTCAGTTGCTGAAGGCTGGGGCAACTGCTGCTTTGAACGAGCTCCTAGCCCCGATCCAAGCTGATTATCAGGCATCCCCTGAGTGGCAGGAGATTGAACAGAAGGCTTATCCCCCAGCAGAGCCTGCAAAGAAGAAGAAACAACCCAAGAACAAGGGCACCCGTTATCCGGGAGCAGGAAATGTGCAGGCCAATCCAGATGGCACCGTTACTGGCGAAGGCAAGGAGCAAGTTGAAGTCGGCAAGACGGCAGAAGATGCAATGTCGAAACTAGAAATCGAAGGCAAGACTGCGTGAAGACTGTCGTCCGACACCGGACACGAAGAAATGCAAAATCAGGCCGCAGGTCAGACCACCTCGCCTTAAACCGTCGCTTTTGGTGACCAAACGATGACAGCACGGATGAAGAGATTGATGCGGATACATGTGAAGAGAACAGCCACGTCTAGATCATTTCGAAGGACCTTTCGCTAGAACACGGAAAGAGATGCCATGGAGCTTTGAATATCGAACTCCACGCAATCGCCCCGCCGGGGAAGCATATGATTCTTCGGGGATCTCGGAGCAATATTGGGACAGGTAGAGAATGGAAATTGCTATGGCTTCCTCTCTCGGACTGTCGACGCCGTATGTAGCGATTGATATCACGATAGATGGATGCAACGTTCGCTCGGCGAAATCTTCGCTAGAATTTTCGCTAGAATTTTCGGAGTCACGTTATTCCAGCGCCGGCGCCTCACGTGCTTTTTCCAGATTCCAACCTCACACTAGCCTCAGGTATAGAGTTCTGCCTTGCCTCTAGGCTTCGTCAGTCTTGTCGATGCTTACTGGGCCAAATTTGAGTACTCATCATTACGAGCTAACAATAAGGTTTTCTCGATCCCCTCAGACAACCCCAAATTTACCTGGAGAAGAGGATCAATAGCATAAGGTTGCCAGCCACAAAAGATTTGGACACTCAATCACCTGTCTAGACTACTTTCAGAAAGAAGCCTATCACTGTCGTTGATGCAGAAATTGTCATGCCAGAAGACTCGTACGACGAGTATCCCATGAACCCAAAAATCCATGAACCTCGGTTCCACCCCAGTTCTCAAATGCTCCAACACCTGGGGCCCTGAGATTCGGATCGTGAATCTTGTCAGTTTGCGGTCAGCACGGGCTTGGGGGATGTGCTCATCAACCAATGTTTCCTTCTTGGCCTAACAATGCCGTCCAGCAAGTCATGCGACCGCCTCCCAAACTACGCCACATACGCAACTCAAGCAGTCGTTCACCCTTGGCTCTTACAGCTCGGTTGGAAATTCACGAGGGATGAAGAGATCGTCACTGAAGACTGCGATGACCCTTTGTGAGGAAAGGCAGGTGGAATGCACCAGCGCCCAATGAAGATGAATAGCTGCAACCACCCTCGCCATCACGTCAGTGACATTTTCCCTAAAGTTTCAATGTGCTCCTCTAAGCTCATGAGCAATGTCTCCCCTGGCGTCATGAACCCCTTGTACGAGAGAATGCGAGGCTAAAACACGGGCCTGCACCAAGTTAGGATATGCTGCATAGCTCTCTTGCTATAACCTATAACGCTATGGGAGGTACAATTTCTCCGTGCATACACTCGTGAGGACAGGTTTCTCCGAGCTTGATGCCAGATGAGAGAGCCAAAACCTGACTCTCGACAGAAGGACGCGTCCTGGCTAATGACACCGAGTAGCCTCCGGCGGAAACTATGGCTGAATCAGTATGATTCCGCTTGATCGACATAGAGGGGTATTCTGGGAGAAATACGAGATATCATGTGTCTCGCCGACAGCTCAAAGATGTGCTGGAGACCAATTTCAGCGCGCCGGCCAAACTGCAAGTGGAGTTACGCCCAGGCCCATCAGCTCAGGCCAGGCCGGGGCGCTGAGGGGGGGAGGCTGGAGCTACACCATATGCGGGGTACATTCTGCGGAAAACGAGGGTAAAAAACTTCGATCAGCAGCTCAGTGCAGGGTGAAAGCATCTTGTCGCGAGACCTCGTCGCTTAAGTGGTGCCTTAAGCTTCATGACGAACCCAACAGGGAAAGCTTCACGGCGACTAACGAGAAGCCCGACATCTCAAGCGACACCAAGCGACATCAAGCTCTCATGCTACTGCTCCATCTCTTTCACCGAAAATCTCGCCAGCCAACGAGAGTCCTGCTTCGGCTGCTTTACCTTTTTCTTGAGTTAGATGTCACAAGCCCAAGCTCCCGCGTTGTTCTCTCTCGTACAACATTTGACGACAGTCAACATGGGTGCTGTTGTAATTGTTTGCAGTAAGCGATCTTCTCGGTGAAGCCTGAGTTGTATATATTCATGCTCGTGTCCTCTGCATCCCTACCCTCCTTCACTAGACGACTTCGCTCACGACATAACCCATCCCAACCGCAAAGGCCTGCAACAGAGACTATGAGTTATCACCACGATGAAGAAGGCGGCCGGACCGGCCGCCATATGAGCGTGTCTCACTATGCAGAGAACCAGGGAGCATCCCATCTTGATGCCACACGACGAAGGTCATCCATTGTCCCGGCTGACGTTGCTGGAGCCACACAGGGACAGGCTGTCTTCAACCAGAAGGATGACACTCTTCGCAAGATGTCCGTTGCGGTCCCAAATCTGGCCGAGCTCACCGCGGATGCCCAGAATGCTGTTGAGTTCGAGCACAAGATGACCTTCCGCGAAGGTTGCAGACTCTATCCAAAAGCCATCATGTTCTCCTTCGCCATTTCGCTTGCTGTCATCATGGAAGGCTACGACACCTACCTACTGGGCAATTTCTTCGGCAATCCTGCTTTCCAGAAGAAATATGGCTCCTACGCAGGGCTCAAGGATAATGCTCCGTCATACCAGCTGACCGCTACTTGGCAATCCGCTCTCTCAAACGGTACTGCTGCTGCTCAAATTATTGGTCTCTTCCTGAACGGTATCATCTCTGAAAGGATTGGATACCGCTGGACTATGATCGGATCTCTGATGTTCATCACGGGCACCATTTTCATTACTTTTTTTGCGGTCAACGTCAAGATGCTGCTTGCTGGCTATGTTCTCTCTGGCCTCCCTTGGGGTGTTTTGTGAGTCAAGAAACCATATTCACTTAATCTCATATTTGTTGTTAACCCGAAAACAGCCAGACTCTAACCACCACATACGCCGCTGAAGTCACCCCAGTACAACTTCGACCCTACTTGACAACTTACGTCAACCTTTGTTGGGTTATCGGCCAGCTCATCGCCGCTGGTATCCTGAAAGGGTTCGTAAGCAATACAACCGAATGGGCGTATCGTATTCCGTATGCCATTCAATGGATCTGGTATGGAATTGTTGACAGGTCGTTTGGATTCTCGCTAACATTTCCAGGCCACTCCCAATCGCTACTGCTGCATTCTTTGCCCCCGAGTCGCCGTGGTGGTTGGTCCGCCATGGAAAGCTTGACGAAGCTCGTAGGGCCCTGTTGAAGTTGACCTCCAAGAAGAACGCCGCATTCAATGTGGAAGATACTCTCGCCATGATGATTCACACCAACGAGCTTGAAATTCAGCAGACAGCCGGTACCTCCTACCTTGACTGCTTCAAGGGCATCGACCTCCGCCGTACCGAAGTGACTTGTGTGACTTGGCTCATCCAGCAAACATCGGGCTCTCCGATGATCGGCTGGGGCACGTACTTTATGCAACAGGCTGGTCTCAGTGATTCGAATGCTTACTCCCTCGGCGTCGGTCAGAGCGCGATGGGCTTCTGTGGCACAGTGTTGTCCTGGTTTTTGATGCCACATTTCGGCCGACGCGATTTATACATCTGGGGTCAGGTTGCCATGTTCGTCATTCTCATGGTCATTGGTGGCCTGGGTGTACCGGCTCCAGCCATTTCCCTCAGTTGGGCGACTGGTGCTCTGATCCTCATTCTGACCTTCGTCTACGACTTCACCGTGGGCCCAGTCTGCTACTCACTCGTTGCCGAGCTGCCGTCCACCCGACTTCGTATCAAGACCGTTGTCCTGTCACGAAACGTCTACAATGCCATGGGCATCGTCATCGGTACCCTTCAACCCCGCATGATGAATCCGACCGCGTGGAACTGGCGTGGAAAGACCTGCTTCTTCTGGGGGGGTCTCAATGCTCTGGGATTGATTTGGACGTATTTCCGTCTTCCGGAACCAAAGGTAAGTCCCCAGACCAACTATACCCTACTGCACGTTCTGACTGCGGGTTTCCGTAGGGACTCACCTATGCCGAACTCGATGTCTTGTTTGAGAACAAGGTCTCCGCACGCAAATTCAAGTCGGTCAAGGTCGACCCCTTCCGCTCCGACAACCTCGTCATTGTCCCCGAGAACGGAAATTCCGAAATACTCGAGAAGCAAGGTTTCTGAGGGTGTCGTTCATCGCAGGGAGATGCTTTGTGCAGGGGATGTAACATATCGTAATGCGTCTTGTTTCCTGGACAAGCGACACCGAACCGTATTTATTGTCGGTGCAGCACAAGTACGAAGCCATCTTTTCGTGGGTCTACCAGGGACACAACTCTGAAATTTCTGCAATGCAAAACATATCTATACCTACCTAATCTCCATGTGTGAATGAATTCATGTGTGTTTGTTTTTTATCATTGGCCATACTTTCGCCTATGCACGGGAGGCCTGGTCGCTGGTTTTGCTCCAATCGAAACAACATTGCGACAGTGGTTCGGCTTTGCCTTCCCCTGTCATTCAAGTCTTTGCCGGACGGTTGTCATGACGCATCCTCACTTTTGGGAAGAGTAAATAAGAAAAAACAACTCCTCTGTGCAATGGTCCACGCGTCCTTTTGGGACCGGTGTCTTCGAAGCTGGACCTTGTGCGGCCTAGCATGAAGTGATCCACGTCGTTGGGAGCTTCAACTAACCAAGGCGCTTTAGTGATTACAAAAGTTCCCAGCCCAGCACATCGGATCGACTCAGCCGCAAATCAGTCCACCCAAGACAACACACCAGCGGGCTTCTGATTCGCCAACCAGCCTCTGATCCTGGTATCACCAGGACACGGGGGGACGACAAGGTCGGGTTTTGTTTCGCCCAACACCACACCGGCCAGAGTCCTGTGGCTTTAGCCCAGGGCTCTAGTAAGTTGGTAACACGCATAACATGCACGAACGATTCGCATGCGCCACTTCAGCAGCCTGGTAATGTTGTTCAAATACTCGTTTCTCCTCGACCTTTGCGTCTCACTCATGCATTCTGTGCCCGCTACGAGTGAAGCCGACTCCTTGAGCAGGACACCGGCACCTTGCGCATCAAGTGTCCCTTGAATTGTGTTAAATCAACAACGTTACTCGACGTCAGAGTACGACATCAAGACCGTCAAAAAGCCATCACTTTCGGACGTCGCAACTCAAAAACATTATTCCATCTAGTGATTGATCCCGACGAGTGTCATGGATGACCGAAGGGACCTGGTGGGAGGTCGATACTATGGGCCGCCACCTCCTGAGATAGCTGTAGCACCACCGCCCAAACCCCGCCGCAAGATCAGGCATCAGTCGCCTCAGGAAACAGTGCGCCAATTTTGGGACAAGCTCAACACGAAATATCCCGGGAAAGTCTTCACAGTACTTCCTGACAACCCGTACGCTCGCAAAAAGGCTGCTAGGCGGCCCCGCGGTGTGGTGTCGGGCCAACGGGCTGCAAAGTCGTACGAGGAGGCGCGTAGGGAGTGTGAGCGCGACGTCGACCGCATCATAAGAGAATGTAGACGGCTGAACCAAAAGTATCGCGATCCCCACTTCGACATCGAATGGGATTTGAAGTCTGGGCAGCGCAACTGTCTCGATGGTCTGAGCAATCCTGGAGACTCAATGAAACCAAAGGGTGTCAAACGAGTCACTGTACGTGTCGGGCTTCGTATGCTATTCCAGACATGAATGTCACTGACATGGCGATAATCAGGATATCTTCGAGAATCCGCAGTTCTACATCAATGGTCCGACAGCAGGTGATGTTCGCCAGGGCCGAGATGGAGATTGTTACCTCATGGCGGCGCTCTGCGGCCTGGGTAACATGAAGGGCTTGATTGACAAAATCTGTGTGAAGCATGACATGCAGGTCGGCGTGTATGGATTTGTGTTCTTCCGAGGTAAGAGTTTACCGCCTACGTTGAGGTTTCTCGGTGCTTTCAAGGAGTATCCTCGAATAGCTGACCCGTTCTGCAGATGGTGAATGGCAACACACCATTGTCGATGACAAACTGTACCTCCGCGCTCCAGATTACGACGAAGCTCGCGAGGAGCGAGACGTTTGGGACGATATCAATCGAGTCGACTCTGCCGAAGAGTACCGGAAAGCCCATCAGACGGGTTCACGCGCATTGTACTTCGCGCAATGCAGCGACGAGAACGAGACTTGGCTTCCCTTGCTTGAGAAGGCTTACGCCAAAGCGCACGGCGATTTTGCAAGCATTGACGGCGGTTTCACCGGAGAGGCCATCGAGGATCTCACCGGGGGTGTGACAAGTCAGTATTGCATGTGTTCCCACATGCCTCAACCCAATGCTGACTGATTTTGTGATAGCTGAGGTGTACAGTACGGATATCCTTGACCGTGAGGCTTTCTGGAGAGATGAGCTCATGCAGGTCGGTAAACAATTCCTCTTTGGTTGCGCAACCGGATTTTACTCGAACTGGCTAGATACGAGTGTGGTGTCTCGCGAACGGGAGGGCATCTCGGAAGGACATGCATACTCGATTATGGATGCCCGGGAAGTGAAGGGGGAGCGACTCCTCAAGCTGCGTAACCCGTGGGGCAAGAAAGAATGGACCGGAAAATGGAGTGACGGGTCTGCCGAATGGAATGCGGAATGGATGGAGCTTCTCGACCACAAATTTGGTAACGACGGGGTATTTTGGATCAGCTATGATGACTTGCTCAAGAAATATCAGCATTTCGACCGGACACGGATATTCGGGCCTGGCTGGAATGTCACGCAGTGCTGGACGAGTGTCAACGTCAGTTGGAGCTCCGAGTATCACAGCACCAGGTTCAGCCTGACCCTTGAGGAGAATGCACCGGTCGTGATTGTTCTCGCACAGCTGGACGATACTTATTTCGGGGGCTTAGAAGGCGGCTATGGATTTGACCTGCAGTTCCGGTTAGAATCAGACGACAAGGAAGACGACAATGACTACATCGTGAGAAGCAACGGTAACTATGCAATGGCAAGATCGGTCAGTACGGACATCGAATTGGAGAAAGGGACGTATTCAGTGCTCATGCGGATCACCGCGACGAGGAACACAGACAAGGACCATCTAGAAGACGTGTTGCCCGTCTATGCAGCAACGAGGAGGGAAAAACTGATTCAGATGGGGCTGTCGTATGATTTGGCACATGCTAAGGGTGTGTATGTTGAGAGTGAGTCTGAAAAGGCAGAAAGAAAGAGGCGAGAGAAGGCGCAAAGAGTGAAGGACAGAGAAAAGCTCAAGCAGAAGATGAAAAAACAAGCAGAGAAAGACTGGAAAAGGCAGAAGGAGCGCCACAGGAGAGACAAGGAGATGCTAGAGAGAGACAGACGAAGGAAAGCGAGGAAGCAAAATGTCAACGGCGCCATGGAACAGCCGGAAGGACCAGTTGGCGAAAACATCGAGGATGGCCAGATCGCCGAACAATTCATCGTCGTCAATGAACAGAAGTCTGAACACCAACAGAAGGACAGCAATGCGGCAGTTGAAGAAACTGGACCTAAACATGCTGAGGTTATTGCGATTGGTGAAGGCACCAGAGTGGGGAGAAAAGCTGACAAAACAGACGAGATCCTGGAGCCCATCAGTGGCCTCGAGACAATCCGGGAAAAGGAAGATGCCCCGACTTCATCGGCCGAGCCCATTGTCGAGTCATTGGAGACTGTTATTCGCCGTGTAGAAAAGGAGGCCGGCCAAGCCAATAAGCAAGAGCTTGCACCAGCTGCCTCGAATGAAGCGAAACACGAACAACAACCTGTGAACAGTGGTGGGGGAGCAGTCAACACTTCGAGGCAGACTGAGCGAGAGCAGAACGCTACCGAAGTGTCGAACTCAACAACCAAGGTGATGCCGACTCTGTCGGCAGCTCCTGAACGCTTGCGCCGCGGTACACATAACAATACGTCCCAGGTGCCAACCCGATATCCGCGCCGCAGTGATACACTCGACACGACTGCCGCGGTAATCGATACTGGAAGCGGTGCCGGTGAAGAAAGCCTTCCAAATGGCGCTGGGGAAACATACATCGTCATCCGCGAGGCCAGTCGCGACAACATTGACGAACTCTCCGAAGGCTCATTCCCTCCATTCGATTGGAATACAGATATCGACATGTCTCCTGAGGAGTCGTGGTCGTCCGACGAGTCATCTTCCTCATCGCTTCGAATGAGTCGCTACAGAAGTGTACGTCGTCGACGTCGTCCATCGCGCCGAGGAACCATGCCAGTTTCTCCACCACCAGTCCTCGACGTGGTTGAGAGGTCCGACGACGGTGGCGAAGGCCCTGAGGAACAATGGAATGCGGTCTGCGTGGTCGGTCTGCGCGTTTACTCTACACTCAGTGGGGACGGAATCAGATTAAAAGTTCTCACACCACGAGAAAAAGACGATGAGGGTGAGGGAAATATAGAAAACGGTGACGACCCCACTGAGCGAGGGGTTGGTGGAGACGGGACTGCCGACGAGACCACGACAGCTGAAGTGAAATTAGACCCGGACGATATCTCGAAGGGTGCTTTTGCGGTGGACCCAGAGAGCAAAACTTCAGAGTCTGTCGGGCGATACCAAGCAGATGCAGAGACTGGAAAAAAGAGCGATGAGCTGGAAGTTGGGACTTCGTGGAACGCGCAGAAGGGGAAGAAGCCGATAAAGTTTTGACGGGTTGATGACTTCGCCACGCTTTCAGCTTGCATGGTACCCGTCAGCGCGCGAAGGTTTCAGTCGTCGAACGACATCCTCGGATCTTCTCAAGGTGGCTTCTGGTTTCCTCACAATTATCACAGTGTTACATCCCTGTTCTTGTCCACAGAAGGCGGCTCTCACGCCTCACGGCAACCTTTCGGCTCTTGGAACCCCAAAACAGATACGGACCGTGTCTTGTTATGGTGCAGTAGCTCACGTTCCGGGTGCTCATTTAAGCCACCCCTCAAAGCGACTTTATCCAAGCGATTTTACGTCAAAAGCGATATATTTTTCAGAACTTCCAGGGCTCACTACCAAATGAAGGGCAGATGAAGTCGAGAGATCCAATGGGATACAAGAGCGCCATCCCCGGGGCCCGTGCAAACGAGGTCCAAACATCATGACATGATATTGGAGCACGCACCATCCGAAACCCGAAGATCGTTCAGATGAGGCAGGGTTTCACTAATAGCCTCAGATGATCATCGAGGCTCTTGCACTATCGGTTGTTCGAAATATTGCCCTTTTGCGTGGTGTTGATCGACTGACCTACGATTGAGATTGACTTTTTTCCCTTCAAAATGTCTCCGATAAGAGTATATCGCGGGACGGAGGCACACTCGATTAAAGTTCCACTGAGATGATGAGAGCTGGCTCTGAGAAGAGGGTGGCATCTTCCGATATCCTCATCCCGGCAAAGTTTTGCGCTTGCAGACCGTTGAAAGCAGCGGTTTGCTATCAAACGTCAGTGGTGAGCGGATCTAACCCCTCTTCTGCTGCTACTCGTTGTGGTAGTATGGAGTCGCAGCCGGGCACGGTCCTTCGATGAAATCGTCTCTGCGCTCAGGAACACCGCTGAGCAGAACCAAGCGCTCAGGGACCCAGCTTCACGAGTCGATACGCTATGCAAACTCTCCCTGAGGGGCCACGGCCGTATTCAGACGTACAGGTCGTGGTGGTACCAAGCACTCGAGTATCGAGTCGAGCTATATACATGTGCAGGCACCCCCCTCCTCCAAGCCGAGTCTCCTAGTTCTCATGCCAACTGCTACCTCTCTATAAAAAGTCGTGCTGCCGTTTGCAGTTGTTTCAATATACACCACTGTATCAGACTTCCTTCGCAGGCCATCCCCTTATCACCACACCACCCATACCCAGTATGCATCTCAAAAGGATCCGTCCCGGTCACACCGGAACATTCATGGGTTTTCTGCCCGACGCGCACCGCAACCACATGACTGCATTCATCTCCGAGCTTGCAGGAACCTTCTTGTTCCTTTTCTTTTCCTTTGCCATTGCTCAAGTGGCCAACACGCCCCCTCCCACCGGTGAAGCCGCCAGGCCCAATCTCCTGACGATCTTCTTCATTGCTCTTGGGTTCGGCTGCTCCGTGGCCATCAATGTTTGGCTGTTCTATCGTGTGAGCGGAGGAATGTTCAATCCAGCAGTATGCTTTCTCCCCCCCCCCCCCTCCCTCCCCTTCACTCGACCCAGAAAGAAAAGATCATGTATATCGAGAGCAAAGCTTGAACATGCTGACCTATTTGCTTTTTCTTTCGAAAAGGTTGCTTTCACCCTGGTTCTCATCGGAGCCGTGCCCAAGTCCAGGGGCGCGGTCGTCTTCGTGGCGCAAATCCTCGGGGGGATTGCAGCCGCAGGAGCAGTATCGGCGACACTGCCTGGTCCCATGGCCGTCAACGTCCGGCTCGGCGGTGGCTGTTCCATTACTCGAGGGCTCTTTATCGAAATGTTCACCACCATACAGTTGGTGTTCGCGGTCGTCATGTTGGCGGCCGTCAAGTCCAAGGCCACCTTCCTTGCACCGCTTGGGATTGGAATTGCGCTCTTCATCGGCCACATGCTCAGTAAGTTTTTTTTTTCCTTTTTTTTTTCTCCAGAGAAAAAAAAAGCATCCGAATCATTTCCAGCTTTCTCACACCGCGTTGACCTTGAGAGAGGTTAGCTAGCTGACACGCGTTTGTACCAAAACAAAACAGGCATCTACTACACCGGCGCCGGAATCAACCCTGCTCGAGCATTCGGTCCGGACGTCGTCACCCACAGCTTCCCGGGCTACCACTGGATCTACTGGCTCGGCCCGTTCTTGGGGTCGCTGGTCGCCGCGGGATTCTTCTACCTCCTCGAGGCGTTCGACTGGACCACGGCCAACCCAGGCCAGGACTTTGACGACCTCGAGGTGCAGATGATGACGCCCTCCAAGAAGACGTCCAGGCCGAACATTGCGCTCGCCCCCTCGAGAAGCGCCGCCGGGAACGACTTCAACTCGATGAGCATGTCTTCGGACAAACACACCTTGACGGACGGCGCCGTGACTCACGATTCACATCCGTTGCCCGTCTCGCCGGGCGCCAAAGAGGAACAGACCGTCTGAAACGTGCCGGAATCTTTACCACGAAACAAAGGTAGCCCGGTGTCTCTGTCTCTCTCTCTCTCCCCGCCTCTCGTCCTTTTGGTTTCCCCCCTTCTCTTTTCGGACTTGCAGACGGAGCTGTCAATTCGTTCACTTTCTTCCCACGCCCTTTGGTGGTGAGAACGAAACCCATTGTCGACAGATTTGTCTCAAGTCTTGAAACGAGGGGAGAGACAAGGGGAAGAGGGGGGGGGGTTCTTTTTGTCGCTCCTCCTCCTCCTCCTCCGAACTCAGGACTTCCTGGACTAGACGGATTGCACCGGAAAAAAAGGGCCGACAGAAGACAATCACTCATTCGTCGACACTACTCGGTGTCAGTGTGCATCCGACCTTCCTTTGTGATGACGTCTGGAGCAAATGCAAACCCACGTACGACCATTTCTCTGGTGTGTGGTGAGGTTCACTCTCACCATCCTTGACTACTCCCCTACTGGTTTAATACGTACTAGTTACAACAATAATAATGTTAAAAAGACCCCATGACATTTACATGGTTCACTACCTATGAAGCGTTGTTTCACGTTTTAAAGAACGGATCAACGTGAGATCCCTCTCCCCGACCGGGCAGTTGAGAACGCACGGTACCACAGAATATGTACGAGCACTGTAAGGGATACATATACATATATAAGAGACGGACGTGAGATGAATCACCGAGAACTTGAAATGTCGTGGTTATTCGGCATTGAAAGACGAAGAACTGGGGAACGTTGTCAATCATCCCGTCTGCCGAATAGATCCCCCCCCCCCGCGGGGGCCACCCTCCTCTCCCCATATCTGTAGAGCTTTAGCAAGTGGAAAGTTGCCACTTCGGTCTCATCCTGAATTACAGTAAAAGAGAGGACCCTGACTACGGAAAGGTTGACTTGTCAGCGTCGACCCACGTACTTTTTTTCCCGATAAAAAAAAGTGGGATCTTGCTTGCATATTGTCCGGGGTCAATTTCATTCCCAACTGAGGAAACCCCCAACATCTTTGCTCTGGTTCAAAGAAATGGCGCCTTCTTTCTCCCCATTCCACCCAAAACGACCTCCAAACCCTCCTCGCGCCTGTACCAAGACACTGGAGCGGTGTAGGCTCATGGTCTGACGAGCTGCTCATTCTTTCGTACGTTATTCGAACATCGTGTTTGTAGAGGGCTGTCGAAAATCCGCTCATCATTTGATTGACACCGATTCAAGCGAGCCGTCATCCGAGCCGAGATTATATCCGGAAGAGTATCCCCGCAGAGCGGACGCGCTGAGTATAGATTTCAGCCTGTCTATTGGGAAATTATTCCCGGTTTCGGAACCCTGGTGCGTGTTTTGCAAAGGCGGCGTAATACCACAAACAATAATGTCGAGTAGAATGATCTCCATGGCCAGTAGTTTTGCTTCCGAATAAACGACCAAATTCGACGAAGACAGGATCGTGAAGGGCACCCGTTGAGTCTCGATGTCGAGAATCAGTGGCTTCTTCGACGGTGTAGGAATGGTGCGATGAAAAATGAGTAGTTGAAGAAACACGACGAATGTGCTTGCGTCGTTCTGGTCGAAATCAACCCAAGACCTTCAATCCTCCCTTTGTCTTCGGCTGCTTCTTATTCACGCCACCATGTTGCACCTTGCCATGTCCGCCGGCTCCTCCCTTGCCCTTGTTCTGCTTCTGTGTTGTAGGACGCACATCTGTGACGGCCTTTTTAACCACGATCGGATGACTTCCGACATACTTGCCATTCATGTCTCGGGCGGCACGGAAGTAGTCGTCTCCGTCTGAAAAACTCACGAAACCGTAGCCTTTGGACTTTGTAGTGCGTTTATCACGAATGACCCTCGCCTTTTGCACAGAAGGATACTGAGAAAAGGCCTTGAGCAGTGACTCGTCAGTCACCTCCCCCGCAAGATTGCCCACGAAGATGCGAAAGTGCGCTGGGTCCCACTCGAGCAAGGTCGGGTCGGTCCATGTAGAACCTCCTCCCGCGCGTTGGACCGTCTTTGGAGTATCATCTTGTTTGATGGTGTCTGTTTTGGTGGGTAGGCTTTGTGTCCCTGCCGGTTTTGGTAATGATGTAGACGGAGTAGGACCATCTTTGTTCAAGTAAGCGCTCTGCCACTGCTGTATTTGTGCCTCATATTCAGGATCATAGCCAGGGGGGAAGCCGCTCGCTGCAGAAGAGGTATCTGAAGGCGGTACGAAGGGATTGCGGATTTGAGGGGGCCCCGAGTACGGACTATCATATTGTGGCTGTCCTGGATATTGAGGGGCAGCGGGGTATGATGCGGCCGGGGATGCCGTGTACTGAGCTGGGCTGCTGGTGCGGAAGTTGTTCGAAGCCACGGATCGTGGTGCGAAGCCTGCAAAAGCAGGTTTGGAGGAGGCGATTGACGCCGGCTTGAAGGCGAGCGCAGGGTTGGCTGTTGGCGGCGGCGGCCGGGGAGGTAGTGAGGCAGGGGTGGAAGGTTTGTAACCTGAGCCTGGAGGCGGAGGATATGACATGATGAATGTTTGGTCTGGCAGAGGTTACTGATGCCTTTGACGTACCAAGTTCCTCGGTGAGGATGATATTCTCAGTGGTGGAAGCAGTGGCCTTCTCGGAATGGCCTTGGTCTGTCGACCCAAGTAGGAGTCAGCAGGAGGGAGTGTGCGCAGGCAGTCTTTCAGGTGTTCAGACCTTCTGAGTGGAATCTCGAAGACAACGACGATCGCCGCCTCACACGTAACAAATCTTTGATACGGTAAACAGATGGGTATCTACGAGTACGAGTACATTCTGACTCTGACCTTAAGAGGAAACTATACCGGCCCACGCTAGTCCGTTGTCGATTTAGCCTGTTGCTAGAAGATGCGACTTGGCAGGAGAAATTTTCGCCATGGGCCGAGCACCTGCATGAACTGGACCGCAGCGCCCAAGGAGAGCCAGGCACTGCCGATTACTATCCTCACTGGAAGGCTACAAACTCCCTGTACCTACCTACGAGTAGTACCTCCGAGGCATGTGTCGCCTTATGTGGTGACACAGCGGCGTGCCATTGAGTCAGTTGCAGACATGCTCAGTCATCACAGCAGCAGCATTGGGCGGCTGAACTCGGGACGGGCGGAGAGGCAGCATATCTGTAACCTGTAGGTGGATGTCCGCGGAGCCAGACTGGGCGTCATTATACCGTAATCGCACCCGGGCTCACTACACGTAGGTTTGGTGCTGAGTAACCACCACTTCCCTTATTCACAACGGCGCCGTGCACATGGCATTGCGGGCTGTTGTCGCTGGCCGGTCTGATGGCCACTGCGGCACCTGGCGTCCGTCGCTCTGCTTCTTTCAGACAGCGGCGGTGCGCTGGTGAGTGGCCGGCGAGGTTGAGATGCCATAATGATGGGCCGCTAGACGCTGCGTTGCCGTAGTTGGCCGACCAAGGGCGACTCTGACCCAATGGGGCGGAGGTTGCTGAGGCTGCCCGGGCTGCCCCTCCCACAGCCTGTTGCTTCATGGTGGGGTCTGCGCTGCGCTTCATCTCTCAGCAAACATACATATTTCTCTCATCATCCCCTTCTCTGCTTTTCTCCTACATTCGTGCCTCTCGTCTTTTTCGGTGCATTAGACAGAGACTCGACTTCTTCCTCCATCCTCCATCCTCAGTCCTCGTCCACTGCGGCTTCCCTTTACTACCGTCTTCAACTATTCGTCTCAACAGCCAAAATGTCTGGTCCAGTGTAAGTCCACTCTCCTCCAGCTCAAGATCAAGGAGTCTGGCCGGCTACGTCCACATGCGGGCCTTACTGCCTCATTCTCGCTGCTTATGGTTCTTGGAATGTGTCTCCCGATTGACGGCAACCATGCTGACTTTAGTGCGCGATTGGCCGGCCTCCAGGTCGGTCCTGCGCAGTCCGAACCCAGTGGTGATTTCGGTCTCATTGGCCTTGCGGTCATGGGCCAGAACTTGATCCTGAACGCAGCTGATCATGGCTTCACTGTCGTTGCCTTCAACCGAACTGTCTCCAAGGTCGATCGGTTCTTGGACAATGAGGCCAAAGGTGAAGGGCATTTTTTCCGGTTGTCTCGAGGGTGCGCTGACGGCAGTCATGATAGGCAAATCCATCGTCGGAGCTCACTCCATCGAGGAGTTCTGTGCCAAGCTCAAGAAGCCTCGCCGTATGATGCTCTTGGTCATGGCTGGCCCCGCCGTCGACGACTTCATTGAGAAGCTCCTCCCCTTCATCGAACCGGGCGACATCATCATTGATGGTGGAAACTCCCACTACCCAGACAGCAACCGCCGAACCAAGTACCTGGCCGAGAAAGGAATCCGCTTCGTTGGTACTGGTGTCTCTGGTGGTGAAGAGGGTGCCCGTTATGGTCCATCCCTGATGCCCGGCGGAAATGAAGAAGCATGGCCATACATCAAGGACATTTTCCAGAGCATTGCCGCCAAGTCCGATGGTGAACCATGCTGCGACTGGGTCGGTGACGAAGGTGCCGGCCACTACGTCAAGATGGTGCACAATGGTATTGAATACGGTGACATGCAGTTGATTTGCGAGGTATGAGAGATATTCCGCTCTCTTCCACCCCGCGCCAGCACTGACTTTTGTTCAGGCCTACGATATCATGAAGCGTGGCCTGGGTATGAGCTACGCCGAGATGGGTGACGTCTTTGCCGAGTGGAACAAGGGTGTCTTGGATTCCTTCCTCATCGAGATCACTCGAGATGTCCTCCGCTTCAACGACGATGACGGCAAGCCGCTCGTTGAGAAGATTCTTGACGCTGCTGGTCAGAAAGGTACTGGTAAATGGACCGCCATCAACGCCCTTGACCTCGGTATGCCCGTCACTCTCATCGGTGAAGCTGTCTTTGCCCGTTGCTTGAGTTCCATCAAGGATGAGCGTACCCGTGCCTCCACGCTGCTCTCAGGACCGACCCCCAAGTTCACCGGGGACAAGGCCGCTTTCCTCAAGAACCTCGAGCAGGGATTGTATGCTTCCAAGATTATCTCCTACGCCCAGGGCTTCATGTTGATGCAGAGCGTGAGTACCCTTCTTGGATCTGAGAGACGTTTGCATTGTTGACCACGTGTACAGGCGGCCAAGCAATACGGCTGGAAGCTCAACAAGCCATCCATCGCCCTCATGTGGCGGGGTGGTTGCATCATTCGATCCGTCTTCTTGAAGGACATTACCTCGGCCTATCGCCAGAACCCGGATCTTGAGAACCTACTCTTCAATGACTTCTTCAACAAGGCCATTCACGCTGCTCAGCCTGGCTGGAGAGACGTCATTGCTTTTGCTGTTCAAGCCGGTATTCCCATGCCTGCATTCAGCACTGCGCTGGCCTTCTTCGATGGTTACCGCACCAAGGACTTGCCCGCCAACCTTCTGCAGGCCCAGCGTGACTACTTTGGTGCCCACACTTTCCAGATCAAGCCAGAGTACGCCAACGAGAAGTTCAAGGTTGGCGCTTACACTCACGTCAACTGGACTGGCCGTGGTGGAAATGTCTCCGCCTCGACCTACAACGCATAAACCATCATCTCGATCGGTAGTCTCTTGTCTCGGATGATGAAATAGCCCGCTCTCGGTGGAGAGGCGCTCATTGTGGGCTGTTGGTCCACACTCATGGTTGCACGATGGTATCATCAGTCATGTTTCTCGACGTGACCGACAGCCTCTTCCTGCTCGAGCATTAGTTAGACCTTGCATTGAAAAGCTTTCTGTGCAGAATCTTTGGTGGGGTATGTATGCTTGGGGCGGTTGATCAAAAGGTCTTCTTTGCCCTGGAATAAGACAATGATACTTGTTCAAAATAAGCAGTTTTCTTTTCGCTGTAGAGCGTTCACTGTTCACAGAGTAGCTGGTGCGTTGGCCGTAAATCAATGCTCCATGACAAGCGGCGTGCGGAGAAGGAAGAAGGAGGTTCGGCGAGACCGTCGTCCGACGCGCTCAATCAGGAAAAGACCAACTCTGGAATTTAGGGAAATTGTCCTGCGCCCAACTCGACTTCACCCAAATTCTTTGACCACGCGCCTCCCATCGGCCTGCGCTTCATCCTCCCACGACACTGACGTTTGGCGCCTGGCGTATCAGTGTGGACTGGTCTTCAACCACACCTCCAGACCATCGCGACTGCCGGCTTTCAGTTAGTCTGACTGTCAGGGCCTCCTCGCGCCATTCCTGACACTGTCCTCTCCTTCTCCACACCTCCACCTTAGCCGCTGCCGACGGCTTGCTTGGTGCTTGTGAGAAGAGACGCTGCACACTTGGAGCCTATGTCAGTTGCCTGAGAATGGCGACAGACTCGAAGCGCCAGAATGCAGGAGCAAAAGTACCGGTAGCCTTGCCGAAAGGTGAACCCACGCAACCGGCAGCGTCACCTGTCCCTCTGGACATGGCTCTACAACAAGTCATCGGAAGCAGGTAGGAACAAGATCGCCATGAGTATGGATCATCCGCTCACGCTGTTGCAGGATCCGCGTGACAACTAGTGCGCCGAATCAGGCCTCGGTCGAGGGCATTGTCTACACGGCCGATCCTCTGACGAGCCTCCTTGTTCTGAATACCACTTCGGCACCTTCAAACAGTACGACCTCGACCTCATTGGCGGCACCTACAGGATCGTATCGGTTTCTCCCAATCTCCCAAATCACCGGCTTCCAGCTGCTTTCCCTTCCTCAGCAGCCTAGCGAGCTGCTCAACCCTGCTTTCAATACGATCGACACCAATGCCGTACAGGCTCGTTTGACAAGGAATATTTCTGCGCAACAGGCTGCTCAAGCCCGATTGGGGCCAAAGGGAACTACACCCACAGACCAGGCGCTCTTTGATGCACTCTCCCGAACACATCCTGCTCGCTGGGTTGGCAATGTCATGCTCATTTCCGACACATATTTGATTGAAAAACCATATACTGCGGCCACTGTGAAGCTGTCTGAAGGCTTGCACGGGGATATCGACCGCATGAGAAAGGTGGTGGACATGGAGAGGTCCAAGGTCACCCTGAAGCTGTCCAAGAATTTGATCGACGGCAAGATGGCCGCTGACAACATCGGAAAGGTATTTACTGGAGGTGCCAAGAAAGGTGGTTGAACATTCACTCAAGAGCCTGCGGCGGCAACGGTCGACCAAACATTCAGACACCTCAACTGACCTCAAGTGACATGGGCCAAGAGAAACGCACTTGAGTCGGTGGAAATCTTGGGAGGAACACAGAACAAAGGGCGAACCTACTTGGAGACTGAAGTGGGTTATCTGGGCAGTAGGACTACTGTTTGAACAAGCATGGCTTGTTCGGCATGTAACCTTTTAATGTATCGATGTGGTACATACTCGCACCGTTCTATCGCCGTGGCATGGACGAAAGGGGCGAGAGAAACTAGATTCAAACCTCCCAAGTTCGGGATTTCTTCGAGCCAGACAGAGTTCTTAATCACTACGAGTGTTTTCGGTGCCTACACTGAATAATAGTGTCCGTACCAAGGCTGGTGCAGAACTACACCGAAATGGCGCAGACAGTCGAATGGTACTTTGTCTAGGTTGAATTCTCTCGTAGGACTCGCCTAGGTCGAATTCTCTCTCTCCTTTATTTTTGTATCCGATTGTGCAAATGCAGATTGACGAGGTTCTTGCTGTGTTTCCTCTTTCTTTCCCGATCAGTTCACGCTGGAAGACAAACGAAGACATTCTGGGCTCCCAAGGAGCCGTCAAGGCCGCAGTCAGGTTCTCGTATACACATTTCGATTTGACGAAACCGCTGTCGCGAACATCGTAGAGTATACCCCCTTTTTTCGAGACGTTTTGGGCATGAGGTGCATCGAGGAGCCAAGTGTCTATTACGGCCGCGATTCTTCCTTCCGGGTCCAGGAAACGTGTCGCAGAGGGAGGACGGGACAGTACAGCAGACCGGAGTAGTACACCATAGGCACAGGGGCAATCACACACCGTAAGACACCGTGCGAGCAATCAGAAGAAAAAAAAAAGGCAGATCTACCGGATGAACGTTCGGAAGTCGCATTGTGCATATGTCTGTCGCGAGCAACCGTCATTGTGTGTCTCTGTGCGAGACGACATCAGAGGGCGTCACTCACAACGAGGCCAGGTGTCGTAGGAGGGTTGGTCAGTAAGCCAGTTTACCTTACCGTCCTCGTGAAGACGAGATGAGGGTTGACTGCGCCGGGGGAGTATGGCCCCGTTTTTCCTCTTTGCTTTTTTTTTGCCTGAGGTATCAAGCGTAGCGTGAGCGTGGTCAGATAGACCCTTGTTCGGCAGACACCACAGAAAACAATTTTGACGACTTCAGAGGTTGCGACACGGTCTGCAACGGCCACCTGCGAAGATCCGTGTACTTGCTTCGTAGTCGTGGTGGACAGCATAGTCGTAGAGGTGGTCACGGACGATATGTTGGCACAGGCGTAGAGGCGCGCGGTACGACATGTCTTTTTGTACTGGGGCAGTGATAGCAAAAGGACAACACAGATTGATGTCGTGTGTACAGTCGTAAGAAGCAAGATAACGAGTGAATCACATTGGGCAGGGCACTTTATCGATAACGGATACACGATTCTCGGGACACTTTCGGGTGGCCAATGAGGAGAGCCAGATAAGCAAGTTTCTCTTGGAGCTGAAAGATAGAGATAAAAAGCTGATAAGGTGCTGCTCAAGCTCCTTCTCAAGAGATAAGGCCATGGTACTCCCGGTATGGAGAGGGAGGACCTTATCATTGAAAACCAACGGCTCACTCGTTGGTTCGTACTCGTATTCGCATTCGTATATCCATGTACTCCATAATTATGTACGGACAAACACTTCATGAGCAACGTCGGTGGACATGTAACAAGCTTCAACAACCCGACGGGGCATTCGAGACACTGGGCTCCCCAGCGCATCTTGTCTTGTCAAGGAACAGAAACACAGTTACAAAGACATTTGAGATTTTCCTTTTCTCGAACCCCCCCTCAAAAGCCAGCAGAGCCGTTCGAAAGTGGTATGTAATGCTCGCGGGAAGACGGCCACCGGTACTCCATGAGTGGTACACCAGTAGACCAGATTTGTATACAAGTGTAATAAGCTCCTCCTACTGTTTCTGCTCCACGGACACTTCTACAGCATGACGACTCTCGCTACATACACAAGACGTAAAGGATTATTATCATTGGCGTGCTTTTTTTGGGGGGGAGACACAGGGGAACCAAATCTGACACGTTCCACGCTTTATGTTTGCATTCCACATCCCAGTCAACTGACTTAGTGCACTGCGTCCTCCCAGCCTACCCAGCCTCTCCCTTGAACACCCTTCAATTCCTGCTCGGTGATGGTGGCACCGCCGGTGAAATATCCTGCGTTGATCTTGGCGTCGATCTCGACTCGGGAGTCTGCAGGAATCATGTCTGTAGAAACACGTTACTTTTTATTGCCGCGACAGACAGAAACAATGACCTTGCCAGGGGAGAAAAGCGTGGGGAAAACTTACGGTCTGGAATCGGCACCCTTTCGAGAATGGGGATACCTTGTTCGACGATTGCGTCGTATTTCATGTTGGACATGGAGAGCATTCGGTCGATCTTCGTGATACCCAGCCAATGCAGGATGTCTGGCATGAGGGCTTGGAATCTCATCTGTTTCGAGGTCAGTCAGTGCCGGTTTTTTAAATGCGAGGCCGCCCAACTCCAGGACGACGAGGGCGTCACTCACATCGCGCACTCCTGCAATGTTCTCGGTGCGTTCAAAGTATTTGTCGGCCGTGTCGCCACCTCGTTTCCTCGCGTTGTAGACCAGATACTTGACGACTTCGCCCAGGGCACGGCCTTCTTTGCGGAAATAGATCACCACTCCTGATCCGCCGGCCTGTGCCTCTTTGATGGCCTCCTCGATGCCGAACGCCAGGTACGGTCTGCAGGTGCAGATGTCGGACTGGAAAACGTCGGACCCGTTGCACTCGTCGTGTATGCGGAGCGCCAGTCTTACGTTTGGATCCGAGACCCTCTGCGGAGGTCCAAAGATGTACACCGTCAAGCCGCCGATGGGCGGGAGGAAAACGTTCAAGTCGGTCCGCGTGATGAGTTCGGAATGGCTCCCGCCCGTGTGCTCGAAGAGAGCCCGTCTCAGGATCGTCTCGTCCACCCCGAACCGTTCGGCCACCCCGGGCAGATACCACACGGGCTCGACCGCAACCTTTGTCACGCGGACGTCGCCAGATTCATTGAGGACGATGTTCCCGTCCACGGCCAGCCGGCCGTGCCGGAGGGACTCGGATATCTCTGAGACGCGCATGGTCGCTCTGGTCACGGCGATGGTGGGTCGGATGTCGATGCCTTCGTCGAGCTGCTTGCCGAAGTGTTTGACGACGTCGTGCCCAAACGGGTCCATGGACACGATTTTGTGCTTGTCGGCCCACGCCTTCTGCGGCGGGAAGTCGAACGTGGGCTGCGTGTTGGTGAAGTCGGGGCGGAAGTCCGGGGCCAAGTTCCCCGACGCCACCGCGAGGGCGTTGTAGATGGCATAGGATCCTCCGTGGGCCCCGATGGCGTTGCGGTATTTGAACGTCGACCGACCGCGAGACACTACCACCGGACCTCGCTCCTGGGGATCGGCCGCGCCCCAGACGAGGTTCAGCGGGTTGACCACGCTCTGCCCGGGATACGTCGTCAGAACAACCCTTCCATTGTACATGTGCGAAGCACTGCTGCTGCCGGCGCTGACACTGGACATTCGGGAGCTTCGACCCGAGGCCGACGATGTCTCCTTCTCAGCGTCGTCTGCGGTGCGCTTTCTCGTCGTCATCGACAACCACAGGGCCACGACAGAAGCCTCTCGTCGTGGACAAGTTTTAGCTCGACGAAATCGAACGTGGAAAGAGTCCGGGAACTCTGTTAGTTGTGAATAGCAGGATGTGTGTGTGTGTGTGTGTGTGTGTGTGTGTGTGTGTGTGTGTGTGTGTGTGTAGGATCACCTCAAGGCAGAAACGTGAAGAGATTTTTGTATGTATGAAAGGCTACCAGTACACTGCTTGATGGGATTGCACTCATTTGAGTAGTTGACCTGGTAGCTACCCTCCACAAGGGGCATTTCTCTGTTGTTGTATGTTTGGTCTCCACTCATGATATGGCAGCGAAGCCCCCGCTCGATAAGACTTTGTAGCAACGCACGCAGATATGATCTATTATCGACCCACAGATAAAACCTTCCCCGGATCAATCAAGATTACGGTGGTCACCGGAGCGCGTCTACCGCCCGTCATGTCGGGTGAGATAATAATCTTCACCATCTTGCATTCAATCAAGCCAAGCGACAAGGCTGAAAGCCCCGATTGTCTTTGACGGGTATCTCGGATACTCTCACGCCTTCAAGCTTTGCCCATTCTGTATCGGTATCTCGTATCGATGCAAGGTGGTCGAATACACGCTGCCGGGTATTGGGAAATTCTGATACAACGGTCCATTCATCTTATTCTGCGTTTAGAACAGAGTCCCATCGCCCTCTATCAAAATCGGACTGGATGACGTCTCTGGCCTACGGAGTTTTGCAAGCTCTCTGCCGCTTTTCCACGTTCCCGCCTCCAGCACCTGCGCCATAGTCAAGCTCACCCCCTGGGCTTTGAAATGCTCGTTGATCAGACCGTGCAGGCGGTCTAGAAGTGCCACAGTCATGGCGCGCCACTCAACGATCATGTCGCTGGTGGCGTCAAACAGGGGTAATTCTTGACCCGACGCTGTCTTCCCTTGGCACAGGGTGCTCTCCTTGAGCCTCAAGACCTGAAGATCTACAAAGAGCCCACCATTCCGGTATTCTGGGAGGCCGGTGCCAAACTCCATGTTCTGCCAGCGCCGATCGAGAAGCTTCGAGAACGGCACAGACAGCGAATAAGCCAGCCACTGCGTCAGCTTGTGAAAAGGCTGGATGGTCATGCTGACATTGGTTTGTTTGGACCCGTCCGCTGTCGATCCAAGAACGGCCAGCGGCCACGCATCTCCGATCGGCTGTCCATCGAGCTGAGGTCTTGACTTCGGCCAGGCCGGAAGCAGGAGGCGCTGCAGAACCGCCCACATCTTCAAGTAATCGAGTGGAACGCTACCATCAGTCTTTGAATCCAACAAGTAGTCTGTAGTGCGACGTTAGGAAACCACCCGTAGGAAAGTAATATATTGGTGCGGCATTTACCGGCAAGACGTCCAGGACGACCATCGACGCCGAAGACATCTGTCAGGTTGAGAAGTGATGCTCCAACCGCTTTCAAAACCTCAACTCGAGCATTGACCCCGATCATTGGGTTCGAGTCTCCGATCTGGAAATGTGACTCTATGTCTCTGGCAGTGAGGCCGAGCAAACCGCGGCCTGGAATTTTGTGAGCTACATGTCACGCGTGCAGGCTGCTGGCCGGTGGACGTGTTTCTTACCGTCAACGTTCAGAGCTCGAGTAGAAGAGAAAACGCCACTTCTGAACATGTGTAGCGAGGCGACCGCAATTCCCTCCGAGCGGGAGTAAGTCTCACCAGTTCCGGGCTCTTCGAAACGCCAGCGGTCTCCTGCTCCTGCGTCGAGAAGAACGGAGACCAAGAACAGATCCACCAGAACCCTTGCTTCCTCCAGTTTATCGGCGAGATTCATCTCCTCAAGAAGTGCCGAGATTCGATCCCTTCCTCCGACGTTGAAGTGCTGCCATCGCCCGTGGGGTGGGATCTCATGGTACCGATCAGGTCCATAGTCGCGCTGTTCCGGGGAGGGGAACATAGTCAGAGCTGCAACATTTGAAACCGGATCTATTCATCACACACGACTCACCGATATCACCTGCGCGACAAAGGCAGATGCTTCTGTCAACCGCTCCTTGTCGAAGTGAAAGTGGTTCAGTCGGTCGTCCAGTGCCAGATCATAGACGAGATTGGCACGCTCTCGAACAGCCTGCAACGACAGCACGTAATCGATACCGCTGTGGGTGTTATTTGCCATCGTCCTCTTTGACAATTGATAGATTTGACCAGTTCAACGAAACTGAGAAGGTGAACTGAACAACAACAACGACCGATGTCACGGACTCTCTGGGACCTGCATCTTGAATGCAATCGGCTCGTGGCGAAGCGGGGCTGATCGCCTTTGGCTGGTACAGCCTCATACACGCATCACAGTTTGTTATTGTTAATCGCCATAGTTCAAAGTAGCCGATTCCCGCAAAAACTGGCCCGAATCAAAGATTGCGCGCGTGGAAGTTTTCCTTCGAGATCCTCCGTTGATGAGATACCGCTGCGCCAAAAACATTGTGGATGTGCACGGGTCGAGAGGGCTTATCAGCAACGATAAGTTGATAAAAACCTCCGGGCCACAATTGATTTTTATCTGGTATCCATCCGTGTAATCTGATCAGGTCCACTTTCTCCGCAAACCTCACATATCACGGATCTTGTAGGGCCTTATCAAGAAACCCACACACAGAGAGAGAGAAGCTGGCCCGGACACACAAAACCGACTCCCCTGGTGTGATGATGGTAAGCAAATGCTCCCGATGGAGCGTCTTGTAGGGACTACTAACTTCGAACGCCGTGCGACCGGGACTCCACAACAACACATCAAGACTCGCAAGTACCTCGAGCGTTTTCAATTCACCTTTCACCTCCCAAGTTCATCATACAAAGATTGCCCCCTGAGCTGTAGGACTCGACCGCGGCAAAAGCATCTACTTGGTGGCCAAATATACCCGTACATTCTCTCACCATGTCAGAGATCACGACGCTTTCGCCTTCCGGCCTCGACGCCAACTACGAGACCATGCTTTCCAAGCTACGAGATCCTTCGCTACGGCCGTCTGAGGTTCGAACACTTGTCAGCGACCTCACTGCCATCCTCGCCCAGAGGGCCATAGAACCAGTTGGCCCCTCCGAACAAGTGGCTGTCGTTGTCATCTTACGCTCGGGCATGGCAATGCAAGACAGGTTTCTGTCCTATTTCCCGGCGGACAGTAACGTCGTCATCTACCACCTGGGCTTGTTTCGGGACAAGAGGACCCTGCAGGCGGTGGAATACTATAACAAGCTTCCTCCTCGATCGCCCGACATCGTCCACGGCTACATCCTCGATCCACTGATGGCGACTGGAGGCACTGCGGAAGCCGCGATCAACATCCTAAGGTAAATTCCTTTTTTTGCTTTACATCTTCGACACACAGAATGACTGACTTGACCTGTCAGGGACTGGGGTTTGACGAAGATCACCATGGTTTCGGTTCTGGCGAGCGAAAAGGGCTTGAGCCGGGTACGGTCAATCTGGCCCGAGGGTGTGAAGGTCGTGGTGGGAGCGACCGATGGCGAACTCGACCATCATGGATACGTCAAACCGGGAGTCGGTGACATTGGAGATCGCCTCTATGGCACCCAGTTGTTGTAAGCGTAGAGAAGTTTTCAGTTCAGCTTGAGAAAATTGTTGTCCACCATGCGAACGAGGTCTTCCAAAGTGATATTTGCGCATCCGTGCAGTCCGAGCTCTTGATCCGTGGATTGAACCGACTTGGTTTGACACTCGTTGCCTCCATCTCTATGATAATCCTTGACTGCCCTTGTTTTCCCATTCCCCATCAAAGCTAGTGGGAGAGTACTCAACATATTCACCATCACTCTACAGGCTCGGCACTAGCCCCATGAATGACGGAGTCGGGGAGCCGAAATGACCTCGAAGAGCCCGTCTGGCGACACCGAGAAACCGCAAGTTTTTGAACACCTCACGGCCGCAAGTCAAGCCCATTGCCACAGCTTGATATCTTCGTTGCTGTTCAAAATGGATCCGTTGGGAAGGTTGGGTCTACTTGACGGAAGTCGGTTTCTTCTAGTCCACGTACGTTTCTGCGCATGTGCTGTGCTAGCTTAAAACGTCCATTGGGAGGCATCATGGTATTAGCTTGACTTCGGGCAGAAGACGTGAATGTAGACCATGATATGCAAAAGATGGCCTAGAGTCTGTGGATCAATCTGAAGGCCACAATGTTGTCACGGTCTTTACCGTGGTGAAAAATTGCCACTGGTTGCATCCGGAAATGGCTCCAAGATAAGAATCTTTGTTCGATGTGCGCGCCACGGGACCTGAAGGAGCTAGTACCGGCACGTTTATTCCCACTTGGCCCACGTTGACTTTAAGCTGGAAGGCCTGAGCATGGATTGGACTGGTGGTAAACAGTGTACAGCCGTTGCCAAACCGATTCTCGTTGACGATTTCAATGGCTTCTTCCAACGTGTCAACCTCAAGGCAAACCAGCACAGGGCCGAATATCTCATCTTGATAGCACTGCATGTAAGGCTTTACTTTGGTGATGATTGTCGGGCCGACGAAGTTGCCCAGTGGATATCCGGGCACCGATACGTTCCTCCCGTCCAGCATAATGGTCGCCCCTTCGGCCTCGGCTGTATCAATCATGGCTTCGACGCGCTCCTTGGCCGCTGCGGTGATCAGGGGACCAACATCGGCATGTGAATCCAAACCGCAGCCGACTTTCAGTGATCGGGCAATAGTGACCAGTTCATCTATCCAGTCTGCGGTTGGCCCGACGCAGACAAGGACGCTGAGAGCCATGCACCTCTGACCTGCCGAACCAAACGCACTTCCTGCAATGGCGTACAAGGATTTGCTCTTGACTGCATCCTGCAACAGGACGCCGTGGTTCTTCCCGGCTGATTCGACCTGCACCCTTTTCCTTGTCGCCTTGGCATGATCAAATACGCGCTCACCCACGATCTCCGAACCAACAAATGACACGGCACTGACCGAGGGCTGAGCCAGAAGCTTGTTCACAGCGCCAGAAGCTCCATGTACGATGTTGAAGACACCGGGTGGGAGATTGAGAGACATGAAGCAGTCTCCGAGCAGAGCTGACACTGAGGGAGCCTTCTCGGAGGGTTTCAACACGACAGAATTACCGCAAATCAACGCTATGGGGATCGACCACAACGGGATCATCAGCGGGAAATTGAACGGTGTGATTGACACGCAGACACCCATGGGCTGGTGTAGAGTGAAAATCTCGGTCTTGTTGTTGTTCCAGTGCTTGCCGAAGATTTCCATGGGCGATGAACATGCTGTCTCTACAGCATCTAACGCACGATCGATCTCGGCATCGGCGTCCTGCCACGTCTTGCCTATCTCAATCTGTAGCGCTCTCTGAAAGGCGGGCTTGTGGCTACGTATGGCATCGACCAGTGCGAGCATTTTGGATCGTCGTTGACTTATCCCTAAAAGATTCCAACTCGGTTGTGCCGTCTCAGCGGCCTTGACGGCAGCTTGAATCTCGGCCAGCGTTGATTCTGGCACCCTAGCAAGAAACTTTTGCGTGGTTGGGTCCAGAACATTGATCCATGTCCTCGACTTTGAGATCGTGAGTTCATTGCCGATGAGGTTTCTGGTCACTACAGGAGTTGGAGCAGGGGAGGTTAAAGAAGGCCTTCTGCAAGGCTGTAGAGGTCTAGTATGTTGAGGCCGCAACGACTTGTTTTGGCGAGGCTGTGGATACTGCGCGTCTTGCTCGGACTCGAACTGAGGCTCTTGCCTTGGCTGCTGTGGCGACTGCTGTGACTCGAGCGGCATCGACTGGTCAGATCTCTCGCCGGCTACCTCTGGATCTTGATTGATGCGCACTCTCTTGATCTGCCGGACTGGCTGGTCGGCGATGTCTTCGTGGAGAATGTCCTGCAGAGATTTGTCGAATGGATTCGAAGAGTGTCCATGATGTTCAGTCGAGTACTGCAGCGCCTCCATTGCTCATCGATGGGTGAGAGATGGGATAGCCTTGCACAATCCAGCGTCGGTCACTGTGGAGCGTTTCTGACCTGGAGATGGCGACGAGTGTGGGAGAGGTTCTCGAGAGAGTTCGACACCGAATTCCCGTCACGTAAAATCCCGAGAGTTCACCAGCAGCTCCGAGCCAAGCCGCGATAAGAGACCCACTTCTCCAGTTCTTCCTTTGGAAACTCGAGAGGGAGCAGGATTCGTACTACTTTAATACAGCATGCGGCATTCGTTATGATGTTTTGACCCCCTCAAACAACTTGGGAGGACTGAAAAGCTTGGGCGGTCGAATTCAAATTTCAAGGAGCATGGTCGAAGATATTCTTAGACTGGACTCTCCAAGAACACGCATTACAGCCACTCTTTCAGCGGCACCCTACGGAGTTGTCGGGGACGTCCCCAGCCGCCTGAATGCTATGGAAAAAGGGCCCCTTCTTCGGCAGAGCATAGCCCGCAGTGTCTCGCAAAGTGTCAAGTTCAATCACCTTCCCCTTTCACGTGAATAGTATCGAGATTCTGGGTCCAACGGTCAGTATCTGAAATTCAATGGCAAGGGTCGTTCTTACGATTCACTGTTGTGCGTGCGTCGAATGGCCTCTGCGATGATGGGACTGACGTCCAACGAGCGGATCTTCGGGCAATGCTTTGCAGCCTCGGAAAGAGGAAGCGTGTTGGCCACAACCAGAGTGTCGAGAGAACTGTCGGTGATCCTCCCTATGGCTCCGCCGGATAAAAATGCATGTGTGACCAGGGCAGAACAGCTGCGGGCGCCATGCTCTATACATACCGACGCTGCCAGAGCGAGGGTACCGCAGGTGTCCGCAATGTCATCCACGATTATGGCTCTTTTGTCGGCCACGGAGCCTACCAGAATCATACGACTGACCTGATTGGCAACCTTGCGCTCTTTGTGGATGAGTGCTAGGTCAACTCGCAGCTTGTCTGCCATGATAGCTGCCCTTGATGCATCAATCGATTCAGCAAAGGTGCGAGGTAGGATGCAAATCACAAAGGTTGCTGCACTCACCGTCGAGCGCCACCGACATCTGGGGACACAATAACAACATCGTCCAGCGACATGGTTTGTTTGATGTAGTCGATCATGGCAGTCTCGGCAAAAAGATTATCAACAGGGATGTTAAAGAAACCTTGTATCTGTGAAGCGTGGAGATCCATGGTGATGACATGGTGACACCCGGCGCTCTCGAGCATGTTGGCCACGACTTTCGCCGTAATCGGCGCTCGACTGCGATCTTTCTTATCCTGGCGCGCGTATGGAAAGCACGGCAGTACAGCCGTTATTCTCCTTGCTGAAGCGATTTTGCATGCGTTGATGGCGATGATCAGCTCCATCAGCATGTCATTTACAGGTTCAGATGCTGTCTGGATGATGAACACGTCAGCGTCGCGTACTGAGCGCTCGATCACGACATTGGTCTCCCCATTGGAAAATCGAGACGAAGAGATGCCCGGAAGATCTGTTGAGGCGCGGCCTAGGTGCTTGCCGACGAGTTCTGAAAACGTCGGATGGCTTTTGCCTGTGAATCAAGTGTTAGTCGCCAAGCTGCACGTCAACATCCCGCAGTATTTCTACATACCAGCTAGGACCTGCATCGCCATGGGCAAAGGAGGGCGCTCTGTCGGCTAACCAGGGCGTTCGAAGTTGTCTCTTCCCAATTCCATGAGCATGAATGGAGACTCTGCCATTATATTCCAAGTGTAGTCGTGCGCTGTGTCTTATTGATGGCAGCGCAGGACGTACGTACCCCACGATCGAGTCATGGTGTAGACAAGATACCTCAAAAAGCGATGTCCACCGTACAGCGCTCCTCACATCGCAAACCTGGTGTAGATGATGCAGTGTGTGTTTCGGGCGCCATGATGCGTCTGCACCGAAATCGCGATAAGAGTCTGTATGTCCAGATGTGACCTAGTCGAATCTTGAGATAAACGGGTCCCAGTAGGACTGGGCTTATCATCACGATAAGATCTTAGATACTGTACATACTCCAGAGTGCGCCCAAGCCTCACCCTTCGGGAGTGATTCTTATCTCCAAAAGATAGTAAGGTCCTCTCCGATTAAAGGTTCCACTACTAAATTCAGAGCCCAGAGCCCCGGGACGAGGCCTTGTGTGCCTTGTGTGACCGACCCCATAATCCCTTGCCACCAGGAGGGAAATAACGAAGAACCCAGGAGGTCTCACCTATTATAATTTATTTATCGTACATACAGCCCTGTACGAGTTGTTCGAAAGCGCCGAGGCCCGCCTACTCAGAACTAACTACATGATAAATGACTGAGAGACCTGTTTGTTGTGGTTTGGCCAGCCATGGCGAATAGTACTTCTACAACAACAACAACTACTACTACTACGACGCTGCCACAGACTGGCACCAGTCTTCGCCACGTCTTGTTACCACAGACCCAGCTGCTGTCGACATGGATGACCAGTCTGCGAGATCAAAAAACCGACAATAAGCGGTTTGTCGAGGTGGCTCAAAAGGTGGCTGCCCAGCTCATGGTGCACGGTGAGTGAGCGGGAAAGCCTCTGTCATGCACAGCGTTAAACCGGCTGACGCTTTCTCTTCATACTAGCCTTGGAGTTCGTTCCGACCACGGACCGCGAGGTCTGGACTCCCACGTCTCACCCCTACCCAGGATGTACATACACGCAAAAGCTCTGTGGCGTGAGCATCTGGAGAGCCGGGGCTTCACTGGAGGACGCGTTGCGTCAAGCATACGAGTAGGTCAGGCTTCTGCCTGGAATCCAATTGGGCTTCGGTCATTGATGACAGTGTACTGCTATAGTGGACCTCTCAGCTTCGGAAAGATTTTAATCCAGCGAGACGAGAAGACGGCGAGACCGACGTACCTGTACTCCAAATTTCCGAGCAGCATCCAGGAGAGTTGTCAGTTACGAAACTTCACCCGAAGTCGTTTTTCTCTGCTTTTGTGCTGACGCTGACATCCAAACGTTTCTCCAGACGTCTTCATTTTGGAACCGATGCTTGCCACAGGCGGGTCTATCTGTAAAGCAGTCCAGCTCGTACTGGATCAGGGAACGCCGGAGGACCGCATAGTCGTCGTCAGCATTATGGCTTCACGGACGGCACTGAACAACATGGGAGCTAGCTTTCCCTCTGTTGCTGTGGTCACCGCTTCTATCGATCAAAACCTGAGCCCTGAACGGTAAGCCCCACAGTCATTATAATCACAAAGCTTTCTGTGCTGATGAACACAGGTACATCGTTCCTGGTCTGGGGGATTTTGGAGATCGATTCTATGGGACGTAAGAGAGCGGCCTGAGGGCCACCTTGAAGGCTCGGGCTACAGAAACTAAGCCAAGCTTCCTTCTCATGTACTGTGGCACAGATACTGTGTCCTAGTCTGGTTGATTCCATGTCACAAGGACTCACAAAGAAGACTGACAAGCGAGGGACGGGGTTGATTTTTGGGTGATGATTGTGTTCGACACCCAACACCTTATCACGTACTAGAATTTGTGAATGAGAGTACGCAGAATTCTTCCTCGGTATTTGTTCGTAAGAGACTAGATGTCTAGGCATTCCAGTATAGCCAGCCAACTGGAGTAAGGAGAAAAAGGTAAAGGTATGCATCTCTGACAAGACGAGACATCTGGGCTGTTCTGAGAACGACCTTTTAAGAAATGGCGGACCTGGCCAGAGGAGGGCGACCAACATAACACATATATGGTTTGTAGCTCGACATCAGACTTGGATGTTCGGAAAACATCTAATGCTGTGACATTCGTCCGGTCTAGACTGATCTCGAGTTCGGACTATCTAGAAAGTCTCCGAGAGACGTTGATATTGATATTCCCCTGACAAAATGCTGGGATATTTCTTGCCCACGGGATCGAGTTCCCAAGTGCCGGGAAGTGCATCAATCAGGGCATCGAAGTTTGGGATGCAGAAGTAGGCGACCGAGTACCGTTCGGGCAGGATCGTCTCTGAGCCGGTCTCTGGCTCCTGGCTACTACTACTACTACTACCATCCGGCTTTGGTGGGGGCTGAACGACGCGGTGTTTGGTGCTTTTGATCAGATCGTTGCTCCACCGACTCAGAAGGTCACCGGCGTTGACCACGATGGTGCCGGGAATTGGTTTCGCTCGCACCCAGGTCCCGCGAGGTGACTGCACTTCCAGGCCTCCGATCGAGTCTTGGAGCAACAACGTGATGGAGCCGTAGTCGGAATGGGCTCCGGCTCTTATCCTGATCTTGTCGGTCCGGCCAGTCTCCCTGACCGACGGATAATGCAGGATCCGGAGGTTGTTATCTTTGGCGTCGACAAAGGGAGTGAAAAAGGCCTCGTCGAGCCCCATCCCCAGGGCAATGGCCGACATGATTTGCAAATTGAGATCGTGCATTCGGTCGTAGAACACACGCATGAACCTGGAGAACTCGACGCCTTCGTCATCCAGCCTTTCCGGCCATTTGTTTGGTTTGCTGGTGTTGCCGTCCCAGCCGATCTCCATGGTCTCTTTGAGGTCCGGGGTCTGGTTTCGAAGTTCGTCGCTGGCCTGTCCGGAAAGATTGAGCTTCTCGCGCCCTGCCTTTACGTAGCCGCGATTCGTCCTGGCGTCGGTCCACGCCAACGAGTCCTTCTGATCCTGCGGCCTTGCGAAGAAATGTGCGACGTGGCTGAAACAATCGTTCACCATTTCATCCGAAACTCCATGGTTGGACAGATAGATGAAGCCTGAGTTCCGAAAGGCGTCTAGTATCGCCCGCGCGGCCTCGACCCTGGTGTTCCTGTCCCCTTGCAGGAAATTTTGAAAGTTGATGACCTGGGCTCCGCACGTGATTAGCTCAGGAGTCTCAGTAGTATGTACTACTAGTAAGCTAGTCCTTATCCCATTCTCGTTCACGGAGTCGCAAAGCGAGGCCAATCAATCTCGACAAGAAGAAGGGATGATATTAGTACCTACAGGTATAACCAAATCATCGTCGTCAACCCCCTTGCTAACGGAGGTAGAAGAGTAGTCCATCCTTACTCAACAGATCGATCTGCAAGATACATGTATCACGATTGAAGTTGAGCAAATCCACACATAATTATTATACTAGTAACTCCGCAGAGAATCAGTCAGTTAACCTCACGCCAGATAAGAAGCCGCCGCGGAGTACTCCATCAGTGCTAATCTAAGCCACAACCAGCGAGACAGATAAGTTAACCCACATCGCTGATAAGACCGGGACCCACGAGGCTTTATCGCACAAGATTGGATCTGATCATCTTTAGTGGTAGTCTGGAGGCTCGGTTATCTATGCTCAATAGTGATAGCTATATGTATACTAATATTGTGTTTTTTCCTGGTTCGTAGTGTCTCCCTAAAATAAAGTTAGGTCTAGTTTACGCCCAGTCTGAAATCGATTTCAACGGATCATGGTATCAATGGTAAACAATACTTTAGAGAATTGAACCCATTTTTCAAAAAGTGCTCTACAAGTTCGACTTTCCCCAGCTTAAATAGCTGAGAGTAAATGGCTGAGAGCAATTCAGGTCTGAATCAGTCTTCAAGCACTTTGAATCTAATCTGCACTGCTTGAAAGACTTTATCTAGGATTTGAACAAGTTCTTAGATGCGAGTAGTCTAGACAACTAACAAGTTATGCCTTGTCTGCGAAAGCGGCGAGATGAGTTTACTAAAAGGGAAATTTGGATAGCGCGATTCTTAACACAATAACTACATTCTCATAGCTTCAAGCCCTCACACCAACTCGGTGGATTCAAATCTGCCGCCAACACTTTTCCCTTTGTCTTGTGTAAAGGTTGAAGGCATTACGTTCGTAACAGCAGCATACAGCACAGTAAGCAAGTTTATCGACTCTGTCCGTCTCTTCACACCCTTTATTTCACTTCGGTAAAATAGGATCGCAATTGCAACCCTGTTCCTGACGAAATCTTCAAGCTTTACAATTATCATCTTGTAGTGCGGTGCAGAGCTGAGTCATAAAATGGGACACTAATGCGCTGCCCTCATGATGCCTTCTTTCCAGTGGTGAAAGAACCCGGTGGCACTTGGTGCTATCCCAGACGTGTGAAATCCTGAGATATCAGAATCCAAGAGCCCTTGCAAGACACATGTTGAGCATGTATCGTTCGAGCCTAAAGCTACTTGTAATCCCCATCAGTCATCGCTACCGGCCAGATAGAAATATATAGGGCAAGCTGCACTCAATTGGTCACTTTCCTAGTTCCCCTTCTCTTTTGAAGCTGACAATCACTGATATCCTCTGGGACGATACGTGAGATCATCATCATTGCAATATGCAGCGTCCTAGGTCTCAAGATCAACCACAGTCCAAGGATCATTGGGCCGGAATAGCAGGCAGGTTGGCATTTCTATTGGCGAGCTCTGTCTTTTCAATTCGAGTTGCAAGCACGCTGGTGGGGAGTGCCGGCAAGTTTTGGCGCCCCACAAGGGACCTAGGTGGTTAGTACCACTAATATTTCGAAATATTTCGTAGGGAAGATAACAAATGTGTCTGAGAGCGTCTGTCTCGCAGAGTTTCCTTCACGGGTCTCTAAGAGATGACGACTCTCATATTGGAAGCACATCAGTTTTTCTGAAGTCGTCCTCACTGGGAATATTGCGCCACTTCACTTCCATCTTGCGGACCACCAAAGACTATTTACTGGTACTAGCCATTACTAATGATCTGCAGACTTCGATCAAGCAAGCGGTCAACATCTCTTGAGATCGTTCCTGTCGTCGAGTCGCTGCCGGTGCGAGCTCAGCTGTGTACACAGTAAACTAAGTAGTTGGTGACATGTGATCGTCGTTATTTCCTACGCAACTTTCATATCCTACCACAGTGCAAGAATTGTCGTTACAATATCGATTCTGCAAAAGGTCGGTCGATGGTCACTGACTGAAGGCGAAAAAAGTCCACGGTCGTATGGATGTACTTCTGTTATGTACTCCGTGGATAATGAATGATACGTGACGGCCATTCCTACCGTAGACAATCACGCAATACCTGGCAGGACAGCACGTCAGATTGCGAATAGGGAGGCCAGTCAGGTAGGTCTTTTCAGTTCTACTACTCCTCTTCTAGTCTTACCGACAATGCAACGTTGAGATTGATCGATAACTCGTATCAAGAATGCGGTTATACCCGGCCTGGTGACAAGCGACCTGTTCCTGGAGGACTTTTCAGATTCGGCAGATGCGACTGCCCGCTTCCGGCGGGTTAGTGCCATATCTTATCACTAATCAAAGCTTCGTCGAGTGACAACAAGCTCTCACAAGCTTCGCGGAACCCGCAGCGCCTCAAAGGCACACTGGCCTTTTGTTTTGGTACGGAGGAGTTATTACTAGGGGAATCATTTTATCATCTGGTCGCTGCCGCCGAAACCTTCGCGGTGCAATAATAACCCCATAAGTAACTTTGCTTGTGCATATATCAAATGAAGACTGGTGGATCGACTGAAATTCTACTGCTAGTAGCTAGTACTACTACTCAAGGAGTCAAGCGAGCTCGCCATTTGGATGAAAGATGTCCTAATCAACCACGATAAGTACGATTGCACCATCGCAAATCTTTTTCCATTACCACTCTCCATCCTGTTCCGTAGCATGATCGACAGTTCGGTGGTGGCCCACGTAGTATTTATTTGCTGTCTCATGAAGATAGCGAGAATGCGAGCCATAATCACGCACAAGATAGTGAGTGTACTACTAACATGGAACCCATGTCCAACAGGATAGGTGGTACCACTAGGAGCCCAGTGAGGACAAACGATGTGGTCCTTTCATCGTGGCCAAGCGTACTTAAGACAGGAGGGATAACGAACTGGACAAGAGAGGTGCTTAGCAGCAGCTGTCCTCTTTGCACTCTGGAGAGCAGAGCAGCCTTCACTGCGTCGTATAGACAAGCTTTCTAGAACTACGGCACTCCAAACAACAAATGGGTAAGCACACATGCCCACCACGGACGAGGTAGTAGTTAGTACTGCGTTGCTGATAAGCTTATCTACTAGCCAGCCAAGGCAGTGCCAACCTCTTGGCCGACGTCGTCGCCAGTCGGCCTCCTGCGAAGGTCGATGAAACCACTCGAAGAGTCTCCGTGACGCTGCCAGGAGACGTCGAGGGCACGAACACGCAAGAACGCGCACTAGCATATCCGAACGACGAGGAAGAATACCAGGCTCCGACAGAAGAAGAGAAGGCGACATTGCGCAAGGTCTCGGCGCCCGTACGGCTGATATCGTTCGCATTGTGTCTGGTTGAATTCGCTGAACGGGCATCATACTACGGCGCGAAGACGGTCTTCAACAACTTCATCCAGTTTCCACTACCTGAAGGTACGTTTGAAACAACCCATTGATTGCAGTGTTGATATCACATCTATCTGGCTGTCTTCTCGGAAACAACAACATCCACACATAGACTACTACTGTACTCCGTACTCAGTACTGACTTCAGCGATATAGGTGGCAATGGCGCAGGTGCCCCTCCGCGCCATACACAGAAAACCGCAGGGGCGCTGGGGATGGGACTGCAAGCGAGCTCTGCTCTCACACTGCTCTTCACCTTCCTGGCCTACGTGATCCCCATCTTTGGCGGCTGGCTGGCCGACGTCCACACCGGGCGGTACAAGGCCATCGTGATAGGGGTTCTTCTTGCCGGAGTGGCGCATTTGATCCAAATCTTTGGTGCCCTCCCGTCGGTGTTGCAGCAAGGCAAGTCGCACGCTGCTCCGCCGTTCATCATCGGGCTGATCATTCTGGCCTTTGGCGCCGGCATTTTCAAACCGAACATCGCGCCCACGGTCTTGGACCAGAATCGCCACCAGAAGGCGTACACCAAGGTCCTCCGGTCCGGGGAGAAGGTCATTGTCGATCCGGAAGCAACCGCCACTCGGACCATGCTCATCTTCTACGGATTGACCAACGTCGGCGCCTTTTACATGCTGGCCACCACCTACTCCGAGAAGTATGTGGGCTTCTGGCTCGCGTTCTTACTGTCGGGAATCATTTACTTTCTCCTCCCGATCCTGCTGGTGGTCATGTACAAGCGGACCTACAAGGCACCCCCGGCGGGCAGTTCAGACCTGGCCAACGCTCTCAAAATCATCGGGTTCGCTCTGAAAAAGTCAAAGTTTCAACCCTGGAAAAAGAACTTCTGGGACCAAGCAAAGCCAAGTGTGCTGGCCGCCCAGGGTGTGAGGGTAAGCTGGACCGACGAACTAGTCGAAGACATCCGAAGGACTATAGGTGAGTAAAGATCAGATCTGCCTGTTACAGACTGTGCTAGACAGTAAACTGAGCTGACACGCCTACCCCCGTATTTGTCCAGCTGTGTGCGAGATCTTCTTTTACATGCCAATCTGGTTCTTGAACGACGGGGGAATCGGGTCCGTTTCAACCAACCAGGCAGCGGCCATGACGACCAACGGTGCACCCAATGACCTCCTGGGCAATTTTAACCCTTTGACCATCATCGTCACGGTCCCGTTCATGGGCTACATCCTATATCCCACCCTGGAACGCTGGAACGTCAAGCCGGGCCGCATCACCAGGATCGTCTGCGGATTCGTCTGTGCCATGATCAGTTCCGTTGCCGGGGCCATCATCCAGTGGCGCGTGTACAAGACGTCGCCGTGTGGTTTCCAGGCGTCGACGTGCGACGGCGTCTCCCCCATCAGTGTCTGGTGGCAGGTTCCCATCATGGTCTTCGCCGCGTGGAGCGAGTGCTTCTGCGCCGTCACGGCCTATGAGCTCGCGTACGCAAGAGCGCCTCCGACCATGAGAGGACTTCTCACAGCCGTGTATCTCTTCATGAACGGTCTCGCCAGCGCACTGGGAGAGATCCTGATCCCCGCCACCAAGGACCCCTGGCTGATTTACATTTGGGCGGGCCCTGCCGTGGCGCTTTTCCTACAGACTATTTTGTTCTGGTTCAGGTTTCACCACCTCAACAATGACGAATTCATGCTCGACCACAAAATTCAACAGGCCACTGATGGTCAAGGAAGTGCGCCAGGGTACGACGTCGAAGGACATGATGTGGAAAAGAAGATTTTGGAGAAATCGTAAAGTGGTACGGAAGTCGGTTGGATGGTGTGGATATTGCTGGTACAGTGTGGTACGGCGGTACTAGTTACTCTCAATTATACCTGGATATTGAGTACCACCGTCGCGAACCTAGGAGTTTTGTTTTTTGGTGGATCGCGGGGCATGGAGGGAGATAGATCCCCCTGGACGATGTGTACGAAGAGAGAGGCGAAATACCAGACAGTGTGTGTCTTGTCACTACTCACTCGTTCATTGGGTATGCAAGGAAGGAACCTGAGGCAACTTCTGACAACACGAGGGGATACCAGGTATAGTCGCCCTACCACTATGGAATCCCACAGTAGCCAAGGACTTTAAGTACCTAACTGGTCTGTCTACCTTGGTACTTGGAGTATCCAGGTACCCCCAATGTCCTGAAAGCTATCATAGTTATCTCTCGTCCTTTACTCACTTACTCCGCGGAATCCTACCCGAGGGAGACATGAATAGTATTTATTGTGTTGCTCTTGTCGGGGAGTAGAAGCACCTTGACACAGCATCTACCGTGAACGTCAAAGGGACCCAAACCCATCCGTACGTACTAGTTTTCTCCACAGAATGGCCAAGCGTGCTCGTACTCGTACTCACTCGTACTCGGACATGTACTGCGAAGTCTGGAATGGAAAGGTTGTTGTTGTACGGAGTATGTGAGGCCGCTTTTATCCAGAGACTCGGTGTCGGGAACAGTAGTTTCTCCTCATGCATGATTCACCGATTGTTTACCTTCTTAAGAAGTCGTATCGCAGTCTCACACCCTAGTTAGTATCGTACCATACCGTAAAGCCGACACCTCCCGTCTTTTGAAAGCCCCCCAAAAAAGAAAGGCTTTCCATTGTCGATGCTGCATGTACATACGAGTACATAGGTTTACTAGTTAACCCACTGTGAGGGGGTTCATCGGGCTTACATGGGACCGGGGGGGGCCAGGGAGATCGACGTTTCCTGAGCACGGACGCCCGAACCTCTCTTCTCTCTCTCTCTCTCTCTCTCCACACAACAACTTTTGTCTCGTCTGGCCCGCATTCGAACAGGGTGGGAAGGTGAAACATGCATCGTGCATGATGTGGGTACAGTATGGGGTGAAGAGGCCGAAGGGCGGGCAACAAACAAGTCATGGCTAGCCACCCAACCAGGAAAAAAGTGTTCACTGCGGAGGCGAGCCAGACAGGACCAAAAATACGTGATTGGAGGGTTTTATGCAAGTCTGTATTTTTTAAGTGCGTAAAATGTGAGTTGGAGCTCTCGGTGAGAGGGGGGCCGGGGGATTTTGGTCAAGGTAGTAGTGGTGAGTGAATGTAGGTAGGTACTCGACCGACCACTGTAGGAGTTATTTAGACCACATGTGGACGGATTGATTGATGGGTTTGTGTTGTGTCAATGACACTGCAGTACCGTTGACATTGACATTGACATTGACACAAGCCTCGTCCTCGGAGGGAAAAGAGGGAGAACAGAGAGAGTTATCGGGGCCCACCAACTGCTCACCTATGTGCTTGGTACTCACTGCCCATTCCTCCTGCTGTACATGTACTGTATCTAACGTAGGATGCGACCTAACCGGTCGACCCGAGGTGGTTATGGTAGGTCAGGTATTGGGTGTCGAAACTGTACCTACCATCTATCTACTTTACTATATCTACCTTGCCTACGGGTATGGAGAAAGAGGGGAACATCGCCAATTGTGTAGGGTATTATATCACCACCACCACCACCACCACCATCCTCATCATCATCATCATCATCATCATCATCATCATCCTCATCATCCCCCTCGGGGCGACATCAATACTATACAGTAGTATTACAGCATATCAGAACAATCCCCATGACGAATACCGTGTTCAATGAGCCCTACGAACATGAGAATTGCGGGCTGTCGTTGGACCCTTCCTATTTTAAGCATTTGTTTTAAGGCATTTATTTAGTGATGGCTGTCCAGGCGCCATGGTCGATTTAAAAATATATGACATGTATCATTAAAATCACACGACAAGGAATAGAAGTCGTCACCTCTTGCCACTTTTTTCGCTGCGTGTAAAGTGGTACTTGTAATCGTCCTTGGTTCTCCAAAAGGTTTGGCGAGAGGAAAAGGATGGTGGAACACAGGGCGGAGATGGACGGGAACGTGAACGCGTGGCACCATTGTATGTAACCAACCAATGTTAAAACATCCTTTGACGGACGAGTACCACTTTTCCCTACGGTTCTCGCTCGGTCTCGTACTTTGTACGGCAGTAGGCTTTCGGAGCAATGACAGAAAGAGAGAGACAGAGAGAGAGAGAGAGAGTTCCATGACAGACTGACAGACTGACAGACTGACGGTTCAGCCAAGTTCGGTCAGTTGAGGTTTTCTGGAACCCCTCGGCAGCCGGAACTCCGGGAATATCCTCGTACCTACTGTGGACTCGTTACTCGTGACGGAACTTGTACCGAATGAAGACGAGAAAAGGGAGGAGGGGGGTGTGTTGGGTAACTTGCAGCTACTAGCATGAACCACCTTACCCTACCCACTGTTGGGTTTCTGTTTGCCGAGATGGTGGTTCGGGATGGACGACGACTGGGTGGTGGTACCGGGTGAAGGTGGGATATTTTTATGACCATGACGAGCAAACACTCTCTAGTCAGTACTCGTAAAGCCTCAGTTTGCCCGTTTTCTGTCGCCGTGCGTAATATAAGTATTCTTCTCCACCAGCTAGACGGAACCACATCTGTCGTTGAGGACAGATGTCAAACAACCTTTGCACGTATGGCCGGACCAGTGGCACGGGAGCTCGTGAGCTCGTGAGTTCGTGAGTGGTGAGTGGGTGGGAGGGGAATTTTTTGAGAAACCACTAGCCACAGACAAGACAAGACAGACAGACAGACTTGTGTGCATAACATGTTCCATGGAGCGGAAGAAGACGTGGTGTAGCTCGTCAGGAGTTAGTAAACTACTGCTCTAACCTAGGTACAATGTAGTTACTTAGTCGTACAACACTCGAGGACCCGAAAAAGTGAACACGCTATGTACCTCGGAGGTGGTTGGACAATCTGAGTTGGATCTACCGCGGGTTGCTGTGTGGTACTGTACAGACGACCGACGACGACGATGATGATCCATGGGCCGGAGCACCAACCAACCAACCGAGAGTCGTGTTCAAACTGTGTCTCACATTATTAATAACCCTACAGTGCCGTAGTCGGTCAGTACATGATCATTATCATCACCACCATCAATCACTTGTGCCGGTCACTCCGATTTCAAAAAGTCGACGACGTCACCATCATCATCAATCTCTCATGATTCATTCCCATGCTTCTCACGTACACACAGTTTGGCTGCTTACTCTGACACCGAGTACGGGGACGAGCACGCGAGAAACACACCATACTGTATGTGTGCCGCCTCGTCTTGGGTGGAGACACACTGTCTCAGCCTCCAGTATTTTATTTTGCCGCATGCAACTCACGCCATCTTGAAAACCAACAAACGATACGTGGGAATCTCGTGCCGGACTGATTTACTAAATGAAAAATACGAGAACAACCTCCGGTTCAGCTAACTAGTGAGTCGTGAGAAGCGTTGCGAGGTACAGAGTACAAACTGTTTTTGACAGTGTTGCCGCTACATCATACATGTCCATACCTTGTGCATGCAAGATGATCGATCCCTTTTCACCCTTTGACCACCGACTCTGCGTGATGCAGGGTAGATACCTTGTATTGACAATGATGATTGTCAGAGTGATGCTATGCTGGCTGCCACTGCGAAGAACAACAGCAACAACAGCAAAATATCGACACACCGATTCATTTGCAACCCACTCACTTTGTCTATCCCTCATCGGTGAGCGTAGATCCTCGGCCTTTTCTCCTCCTCCTCTTCGCGTTCCCCCTCCGTCTCAGTCTCCGTCTCCGTCTCCGTCTCCCCCCGCATTCGCTTGGTTTTTTTCAGCTCGTGTTACCTCTCAGCTGGCCAGCTAGCTAGCTAGCTAGTACCTTTTCTTCCACTCGTCATTCCGTCCCTCGGGTCCTCGTGTGAAGAAACTGGCGGGGTCAGGGTCGTCCGGAGGAGCCCGTGTCGATTCGATCGGCGGACAGCGCGCCCCTCGCACGCAAAAGTATAAAGTCAATAACAACAAGATTTAAATAATACGAGAGTTCCTATTTTTAAAAAACAGAGTCCTCGACGAACGCCATGACCACTTTCAGAAAAATGAAAAATGAATGACGCATAGAAAGAAGCCTCTCTTACCACCATCACCACCATCACCACCATCACCACCATCACCACCAAACTGGCCTGAGCAGAAGAATTAAGCATGTTTCCAGGGTGTCATAGCTCTAGACCCTCCAATGCCTTTCAAGCTTTTCCAGTCTTTCAACCTCTCAACCTCGCAACCTTGACTCGACTCGACCCGACTTCGCCTGACTTGTACATTGTCCTTATCTTGCAAGGGTGTAGCTAATGACGATGAACGAGTAAACCTGTACCGGCGTCGTCGTCGCTGATATTAGAATCGTATCACTGATGCAGTTTACTCTGCCCGTCTGTGCCCGGTCATGATGAACCCTTAAAGTCAAGACAAGAGGGGGGCCCCCTCCGATGTCACTCGTCACTCTCTCCCCCGCTCCCCCCCCCCGGCCCGCCCAAAGCAAAAGAATCGACGACCCCGGACGGTTGATGAATGCGGGGGGATTGACACTTTGGCACCAGGTACATGTACATACATACAGACTGACATTACTAACTACTTAGTTACTACCTGCACGATACAGCACGTAGCGTAAGAAGAAGGCCAAGCCAAGCCAAGCGGCCTACAAGCTCCCACTTAGGTTGCCTTAGTTTGCCTTGCCTTTTACCCGACCATCTGCCTCCAGCTCGTCAATGTTACCCCCCGCCCAGACAGACCACCCGTGGCGAGCTTGCTTTCACCACACCCCCCCGGAATTGTCTTTACCCTCTTGTGATCTGAAAGCGATCACACCATCCACACGATCGCCAGGCCATGATCCCTCCAGCCGTATGTGCACATGACGGGGTCCGACTCGCCGAGGACGCCTGCCTACCTCCGCCTCGTCGGCACAACCCCTCTACCCGTAAGCAGAGGCGTGATGTGCGTAGATCATCAAAAACCCCGACCGGTGACCACTACAGACCGATGTAAACGGAGACCTGACTCATGCGAGGTGACAAAGAAGGACAACATGTCATTAGCTATTAAGGCCCAGGGGGATTTTTTTAATTGGGCAGCGGACCGGCGCAAGCGACAGTAGTGAGTGAGCGAGCTTTTCTGGGGGGAAAAAGGGCCCAACTACTTCCAGTGGCCGTCCGAGTCGTTCTGATCCACGCCGATGCGAATTTTCCAATCCATGCATGATCCTAGTCCCTAAGTTTCTCCCCCCCCCAAAAATAAAAAAGAGCCAACGTTGCGAAACTAGTCGGCTAGTCTCTGTCCATCCAATATGCAGGCGCTATGCATGCATCGCAGCAAATCCGGGGTTCGAAAATCAATTCCAGTGACATAATTCATTAATGAGCGTGAGGGCGGGGTAACGGTGAGTGTGTCGTGCTGACGTGGATGGCTGCTCGATCTACAGGAAGGCCATGGCGCCAGCGATACCTGCCACAACGGCAAGGCTGCCAGAGAGACCTTCACGGTTGGCAGCACCAGTGTAGGTAGCAGGAGCAGCTCCAGTGTTGGAAGCTGCCTCCACCCCGGTTGGGGCTTGAGGCTGTCCGTCAGAAATCTGAGAGACGGGAGTTCCCGTGGGTGCTTGGGGCTGGCCGTCCGAGATCTGAGAGACTGGAGCTCCGGTGGGTGCTTGAGGTTGACCATCCGAGATCTGAGAAACGGGAGCTCCGGTTGGGGCTTGAGGCTGTCCGTCAGAGATCTGAGAAACGGGAGCACCGGTGGGGGCTTGAGGCTGGCCGTCCGAGATCTGGCTAACAGGTGCACCAGTAGGGGCTTGAGGCTGACCGTCGGAGATCTGGCTCACAGGAGCACCAGTAGGTGCCTGTGGCTGGCCATCAGAAATCTGGCTGACTGGCGCTCCGGTGGGAGCTTGAGGTTGGCCATCAGAAATCTGGCTCACAGGAGCACCAGTTGGTGCCTGTGGTTGACCGTCAGAGATCTGAGAGACGGGGGCGCCGGTGGGAGCCTGAGGTTGTCCGTCCGAGATCTGGCTAACAGGTGCACCAGTAGGTGCCTGTGGTTGACCATCGGAGATCTGGCTGACAGGTGCACCAGTAGGTGCCTGTGGTTGACCATCGGAGATCTGGCTGACAGGTGTACCAGTAGGTGCCTGAGGTTGACCATCCGAAATCTGAGAAACGGGAACCCCAGTGGTCGCCTGTGGCTGGCCATCTGAGATCTGAGTGACGGGAACACCTGTAGTTGCCTGTGGTTGACCATCCGAGACCTGGGTGACGGGAACAGCTGAAGTTGCCTGAGGCTGGCCATCTGAGACCTGAGTGACGGGAGCCGAAGAAACAGGCATGGCGTAGATGTAGATGGCATTGCAAGTGTTGGCCCAGTTCGTGTTGTACAAATTGTAGAAGCTACCACTGAGGCACTGATACCACAAAGCAGATCCCCCCAACGCGAGACTGTAATTCGCACAGACCGAGAAACCCGCGGTGTAGATCGCACCGGCCTGAGGAGGTTCGTCGAATTGGAACTGGTAGTTCGAGGCAATGTAGCCAGTGCGGCCGGCCTGATCTTTCAGAATACCATCACTGAGTGTGAGCGTGAGAGTACCATCCTTTTGTCGCTGCCAGCCCGCGTTAGTTGAGACGCCCAAATGAAAAAGAAAGAAAGTCGACTTACTTTCTCAACGTCCCTCTTGGCCTCGGAGGTGACGTTCTTGACGGTGATCTCAAAGGTACCAGGCCATGATGATTGACATCCAGCGGGAGCAGACGCCTCTGGAGCAATGACAGAGGTGACGGCTTGGGGCATGGGATTGGCAAAGGCGACTGCAGCCAGAGCCGCGAGAGGGAGTGTTGGTTTCATGATTTGAGGATGGCTTTTCAGCGATTCCTTGAATCCTTGAATTCACCTCGATACCCGGTTCAGGAGGAACTCAAACGACGGTAGAGCAGAGCAGCGCAGAGCGTAGCGAAGGTTGACAGACGACCGATGAAACGAAAGATCAGTTGTCTGTTGCAAGGACACACAACGAGTTTGAGGATGCGTGTTGGAGGAAGAACTCAGAGATGCTTGTCACCATTCAAGATTCTTGCAAGCCGGGCCGCGGAGTTTTGTAGTTCCAGACCAAAGTGGTGGTGTCATGATCCCGGTGGCAGTGAAGCTCCATCTTCGCCTCCTCACCATGCGACCCTAATTCGGTTAAGACTTACCTTCATTGGAGAGACTCACATCCACGCGAGCCCGTGACGGATGGACACTTTGCTACCCGGAGCCTGCCTGGTGGAGGAGGCGAAGGATGCATGTCAAGCTCGAAAGCTTCGTCGATATCGGGATGCTGTTGCTTACGGATGAAATGACAATACAACATTGATCGAGCTATTCCCCTTCCGGAAGTGACGTAACGCCCGTGATCGACACTAACGCATTGCCGCTTTTGTCTTTGCTGTAGCGAGTTCTGTTCAAGCACTCGCACATGGGTAAGTCGTCCGTCGGTCGGCCATATTGTGAGCCTGCTACTTCGTCAAGGCCTTCTTTTCGCAGGTACTTTCAAGTCGATGTCGCTCTGACTCATTTCTTCCTCCGGGTGGTTTTGCTCGATCGCTGGGCGGCCTTCTGTTTGTATGCGTCCAGACCCTCGCGAATCTTTGGCAACAGTGTTTTGACTCCGTATTCGAGAATGTTCCTGATCGCACGCGAGAGCGCCACTAGACCGTCAATATGCATTAGCGGATAGTGCTCCAAAGCGGTGACATGGAAGACCGTCGGTCCTTTTTTGGCCGGTCTTTCCACCCAGTGCAGGTTGACCCGGGCTGAGGTATAGGCTATCGTGATTGAGAAGTGGTGAGGTTCTTTCTGGTCGAACGCATCCAAACCAAAGCTGTGCTCGGCCAGGTGAAGTTTACCGTTCAAGGCGATAGCCCCGGGATTTGCCGCCTGATACCTGGCGACAAAGTGAGTTCCATGGGTTGCTTCCGATTTGAATTCGATTGTGAAGAATGGAAACACTGTGTTCATGTCTGGCATTGCGTAACTCCCTCTGCCCCCGTCGAAAAGGGTTTGCAAGGTGATTTTTTGGGCCAATGTGAACGCTTCGGCGGAGAATCCGCAAGTCACATCGGGTTTGGGATTGCTAAGTGGAGGGTAATCCAAAACATTGCCCTTGAACGACTCGTGAATCGGGATTTGTACGCATCTGAGCCATAATTGTTTGCGATTGATTCGTAATATCTGATTGCGTGACGACCGGCCAGGAATGAGAGACACATCAGTGAGCACTCCGACAAGATTAGCTTCATTTCCAAACTGTTCACTTCTCAATGACTGCCGCAGGTCCTCAAGTGTTGCGAGGTCCATGTCACCTGAAGCCGGCACGCGTGATATTATCTCCAATGCTTTTTCCTCTAATTCCGGAGGAAGCCGTGCTTTCTCGACCAAAATGCTGCGAATCTCTAGGGCATCCCCATAATCCATGTCGCCAGGGCTACTGACTCTCCACGACATTGCCAGAGATTGCAGGTCAGATGGCTCTATGAGTACGGAATCAGGAATGCTGGTGATGGCTGGTGCTCCGTGGGACCAGTTTACCGCTGTCTCGTGAAGACTTGTGGAAGAATTGGGTGAATTGGGAATATTATCCAGCCAATGCTCAATATACGGATCCTTTCGTCCAGAAATCTTGCTCTGTTGGGAGGAGTGGTATTCTCCGCTTTCAGATCGCTCTCTTGTGACTAGATATACAGATCAGCTGAATGGCCGAGTGTTAATTGAATGTGGATAGAACTGGCTCTTCTCACTGATCTGACAATCTCCCTTCGGTGGTGGTGGTGGTGATGATGACGACGACGACGATGAAATACTTTTCCTCTTGTGTCTTTGCCGTGAGCGAAGGGGTTGTAGTTTTTCCTTGGGCGTCGGTAGATCCCCAACACCTCTTCGTATACGATTGACTTGTCGTGATTCTGTGGATGGTTCCCGCTGCCGTCTAGTACTTCTGCGAACAAGCGCTGCAGCCTTTCCGTCTTCAAGGTCCTGAGAGTCCTTGTTTGCTGTAATCTGCCAGTCAATTCAAAGCGCGAGGAAATTGATGATGAGGATGGTATGAGAAAGAAGAATACTGACGAGGCTTTTGTATCTTTCGAACCGTCCGCCGGAGGGTAGGTCTGCGACCGCTTGGCAGTGCGCCCCTGTCTCGCCCTGTCGCCATGCTGATAGACATCAAACAAAGAAGTGTCAGTGGCGCTGCCTCGGGTTTCTGAAATCCTTCGTAGAGTGCGCAAGGTTAGATGTGACACAATTGCAATTGCAACTGGCGAGTTCAAAAGTTGTGGCGAAGCACATTATTTTTTGACAAAGACAGACTGGAAGAGACGCCGAGAGAAAAATCGCAAACAAGATAAATAGAAAACGACAAGGGAACTTGTGTTGATGTTGATGGAATGCAAGGTAGACGAGATGATGAATACCTCCTTCGTCGCTAACCAAAACAGGGAATCAGGACAACAACGCTAATGCTAGTGGAATGCGGAGGATCATAGCTCGTATCTTAAGTAAGGACGGTGAGCTTGACCTTATCTGCTGGACTTCTCCGCAATGGCGGAAACTGCTTGCCCATGGGAGGCGGTTCAGTTGCTTGCAGAGTCGTCGGACATGTACGCCGTGCCTGATTGCTGCGATGATTTTCTTGTATCAGCCAGATCCTCGCTTGCCATTCCGGATACTCACAGTACTAGTACCAGCATAACATAGCGAGAATACCGTCCGTGTGTAAAGGGCAGCAGGGTATCTGGGTCATCCGCAGCTCATTACCATTCCCCATCTGACCTAGGTTCGATATTTGGTGAGGCTGGGTGAGCGCGGCTGTGGTCACTATTCCAATTCATACCCTTGTGAAACCGATCGGAATGCTGGCTTCTACGGCTGTTGTCTTTGCCCTGGCATGGTCGCAAACGGCACTCGGAGTCGACAAGTCTTATCAAGTGGCAGAACCAAGTGAGACCGAGAGAACCACGCGCTGGAAAGGAGGATACAGTTTCCAGGGCATCCAGACTTTCGCCCATTTGCCTCATACGCTGTGTCTCATCGAGCAGGATGTAGAGTTTGATCTCGCGATAATCGGGGTTCCATTCGACACCTCAGTTGCATATCGTCCAGGTATGTTGTCTGAGACAGTTTTCAAACATTCTCGGTCCACGATTCCTTACAAGAGTGACAGGTGCGCGATTTGGACCAAAAGCCATCCGTGGTGCCAGTCAGCGGCAAATCCCAGCTCGGGGGTTCAACCATGCCCAAGGTCTGAACCCATATCAAAACTGGGCAACTGTTATCGATTGCGGGGATATTCCTGTCACGCCGTTGTAAGCAGTCCCCCCAAAATGCGATGCAGGCGGGAAGATCTGGTACGGAATGATTAGATATGTATCTGACCAGTCGGAAACAACAGTGACAATGCTGTGGCGTTCGAGCAAATGACAGAGGCGTATCGAGACCTGCTTCGACGACCAGCGAAGACGCAACCAAAGGCCCCCACACCCAAGACTCTGGGGAAGGATGGAATTTACCATCCACGACTGGTGACGCTGGGCGGGGACCACTCCGTGGCGCTGCCTGCGCTGAGGGCTCTTCACGAGATCTATGGTCCTGTCAGCGTTCTGCATTTTGACTCTCATCTTGATACGTCCGTCGCCCTGTATTGAGGAGCGATTATCTATCCACGCTGACGATCTGCAGTTGGAATCCATCTTCGTTAGCAGGAGCTTGGGCTTCAGAACAGTCGAATTACAATCATGGGTCCATGGTGGGTTTCAACAGGGCGGTTCGGTTGATGTCTTATCGTGCTGACTGCCTGTCCTAGTTCTGGATCGCTCATAATGAGGGCCTCATTGCCAAGGAAGGCAACATCCATGCTGGGTTACGAACACGCATTTTCGGCAACGATTACGGTGACTATGCTGAAGACGCCAAGCAGGATTTCCAGTACATCGAGACCGAAGGTAAGCAGTGGCCAGCGAGTACTGCGGCCTTCAACTGTTGTTCGTTAACCGATGCCGTATCTACCACACAGATCTTGACATTGTCGGTATCGACGGCGTCGTGAGTCGCATCATAGAAGTTGTCGGCGACAGATTGGTCTACGTCAGCATTGACATCGACGTGCTCGGTAAGTCTTTGAAAATGATGAATGAGCTCAGAAGCCCGTTTATACTTGTTGCTGACAGAATGTTCGTTTGCACTGTAACAGAACCAGGACTCGCTCCAGGTACAGGGTGCCCAGAGCCAGGAGGCTGGACAACGAGAGAACTCAAGGCCATGTTGCGGGGTTTACAAAAGTTGAACATCGTCGGTGCAGATGTTGTCGAGGTGGCTCCGCCGTACGACGACTCCGGAGAGTCTACGGCGTGGGCGGCAGCGGATCTGGCATATGAACTGCTAGGCTTGATGGTCGGAAACCCACCTTATCCAGTGGAAGGGTATGTTGCGAGGAAGAAGTTTGCACCAAAATGGCATGAGGCATCGGGTCGCAAGGACGAGCTTTGAGAGGTGACCGATGGTTGTTTGACATTGGTGTTTGGAGTCGCGGTGCGATCGGACTTCAGGCGAGTTGCAGCCGGAGTCTCCTACTTGTCTCTGAGGACTTGCAGTCACTCTAATTGCCGTCTGTGCTCCGTAGAGTGAGGCAGGTTTCGCTGAAGATCTCTCAAGTGTGTAGGAAAGAAGCTGAATCGACGACCTCGTTCCAAGGCCTACGTTCCTTATGTAAGCACAATGCTGAACTAAACCGTTGTTGGTTTAGCTCTTCCGTCAACGTCATCGCCCCTCGACACAGCACATTGTCGATAACCCCGGCGGGTTGGTGGCATGAGGATGTACTCGTATCATTGGCGACCCCCCCAAGATCCACGGGCTAAACAAAAAACCTGGTGTTAGTACCAGGATCATACTCGAGCGAGAGGCATCTTACGCAATACCTCGTCTTTGATCTCGATCCACGGACTTGCGTTCTTTAACCGCGGACCATTCCACCCTACCTCGCAAGGTCCAGCACCAACATAACCACCCACACCTCTACGCCACCACACAGAGCGCCGTACAGACACATACGTTGACATACTAACGGCCGGCTTTCACAACAAGCCCTTGGAATCATGGTCCGGGTCGAATTAGGCGGTAAACCCATCATCGACATCGACACCGTGCCCGGCGACTCTGGCCGACTCAAAGACCATGTCCGTCGACGGATCAGGGGCGGGGGGAGTCGGGCCGTCCGCCTCAGCTGGAACACGACGGTACCTCGAGTCGTCTTGACCAGCGACACGGACGACTTCGACCCGACCATCATCTCATATTTCCACGAAGAAGGCTTCCAGCTGAGTTACGTCGCCTATGACGGGAACAAGGCCGACTACATGGCCAAGCTGCAGCATCTACAGGATCCGCTTGAACTGGGCGAGAAATATGCCATTGTAGGTACGTGCCCGAGGAAACGCAACGCTCCGAATAGCCACCGTAGGTATGTAATAGGATCCGAGGACTGACATCCGGACTTTGTTGTCGTTGTTTAGCGTACGGCGACGCAGCAGCCCACGTCCTCGAAGCGTGCATGAAACCCATGCCCAAACTGGTCGCCGTCGTCGCATACTACCCGCCCTACATGCCAAGGTCCACAACAAACTTCCCCCCGACGCTCGGCGTGCTGATTCACCTGGCAAGCTCGCAGAAGTTCGGCACCCGCCACCCATCGTACCGCTACCCGAACACGCGTCCTGGCTTCGCCGAGCACGACCTCGAAGAGTTCGACAAGATCGCCGCCTCGCTCTCCTGGACGCGCACGCTGGGACTGCTCCGCGAGGCCTTCGACATGGGAGGCCCTGACCTCGAAGCTCTGTGGGAGAACCACACGCGTCTCGAGTTCGCCGAGAAAGACGCCCAAAAGACCATGGCGACCATGGTGGCGCAGCCGTACGTGAACCACGTGCCCACCATGACCGGCGGGATGGGATACGACGAACTCCACCGGTTCTACGACGAGTTCTTCATCCCCAACAACCCCCCTGATCTGTCGATGAGGCTGCTCAGCCGCACCGTCGGGGTAGATCGGGTCGTGGACGAAATGTTTGTCAGGTTTACGCACACCACCGAGATCCCGTGGATGTTGCCCGGCGTCCCGCCGACGGAGAAGAAAGTCGAGGTGGTCCTGGTGAGTGTGGTGTGCATGCGAGGCGGGAAGTTGTTCCAAGAGCACGTCCACTGGGACCAGGCCTCTGTGCTGGTGCAGGTCGGCCTGATCGATCCCAAGCTGATCCCCAAGACGTTCAAGACGGTCGAGGCAGGGAGAGAACAGGAAGTCGAGAGGTTGCCGGTCTGTGGTAGGGAGGCGGCGAGGAAGGTGCTGGATGAGGACAGTTCGAGGAGTAATCTGTTGATTCCTGATTGGTAGCGTCTCACTGACGTGTCATGGGAGTCCGGACAATCAACCACCACTGAACCCCCTTATAATTTATGATGTTTCCCATTTGTCGGTCTCGGCCGTCCGTTCCTGTTCTGCTCTTCACACATCCTCGCGTAAATCTCCTTGAACCTCGCCAGGTCGGTTCTCGCGTAATCTTCGACGTCCTTCCACACCCTCACCTTGACGCCCCGCTCGTCGGCCAACTCCAACTCGGGGGTCAGAGACTGTGTCCGAATGTACTCCTTGCCGAGACGCTGGCTCTCGTGGAGATCGAGCATCCGCTCCAGTGCCGGGATCTGCTCGCCGCTCTCCAGGCGCATGTGCTCGAGCAACTCGGCAAACAGCCGATCGAGCACCGTGGCGAAGTGGGGTGCACTGGGTCCGTCTGCAAACAAAGCGAGGAGCTCGTTCTTTGCCCGGTCGTGGTCCGCCCGGTCATGTTCGGCCATGTGCTCGCCTTGTTCGCCGAGCTGGGCGATGAACGCGGGACGCATGACCAGGTCCTCGGAGACGTCGTGGCGGACGAGGCGCCAAGTGACTTCTCGCAACAGGTGTGCGCGGTCGGAGGCGGTCTTGGCTCGTGTCAGACGCCCTGCGAAGCGGTTGATGGTGTTATGGTCGTTTTCGATGACGGTGGAGAATGTGATGGGTTGTACGAATGAGGGAGACCGGGAAGGACTGGTAGTGCCCATAGTATTGTCGTTGTCGCCGGCGTTGCTGCCGTCTGACCCCGGAATCTCGATGGTAGGGTTGATTTTATCCTCGTCAGAATCCTCCGTTACCCGGGGGGATGGGAAGGTTGAGTACGAGGGAGAAGGTGGTGGAATGAAGGAAGACATGTTACCGGTCGAGGACAGCACAGGAAATCCTCAAGGAAACGTCAACGTGGTGATAGTAAAGTAGTCACGGGAAATCTGATTGGGGGAGTTGATGAAATCAAGGGACCAGGCCTGGGACAGAGACAGAGACAGAGACACAGAGAGAGAGAGGGTATTCCTCGAGGATAAAGAGGGGACGCAAGAGAGGGCAATATATACTTGGTTCATGCAGAAGAATGAAAACAGGGAAAGGGTCACAATCAGGTCAAAGCTAGTTGTGGCAAAATGTACGCATTTTCAGACTTGAGGATTATCAGGCCAGAGACAAACTCGGGGGCCTAACGGGGTCGATCTGGACTAGCAATCCGGGGCTTGCCTGGCGCGACAAAAAGGCTTGACACCGCCTCAGTCGAGAGAGAGGGAGAGAGAGAGAGAGCGCGCGAGCGAAAAAAGAGTTGGCATTGGGTCTTTGCGGGTATCAGAGTCTGGCTGAAATTGACGAACTGGCAAATCACGGCGTCGGGGCCTCGAGGTTTGAGCAAAAGTACAACGGCAAAAAGCAGACTAACGACGAGCTAGTATTAGCGCAAAGCATGGGAGCTCAAGGTACCCAGTGGAGGACGCAACGTGCTGTGGTACCTACGACAGACTACAGTAGGTACGCGTACGTCCAATAGGACCGACTGTGCCTCTTGTTCAATGGTTGAGACTGACCTGGACGATCCCCGTTGCGATACGGAGTATGAGACGGGGAGACAACACCACAGAGATGCGGTGATGGGCAGTTGCTCACACGAGGTCTACGAGTACGATCGGGCCATATAGAAAACCTGGTCCTGAAACATCCTGCATACCCACATAGCACATGTTTGCTACTGGTCTCGCCGAGCTATCGAAGTTTTGTGTACTGACCGCTGCTGTACCCCATACAACCCACTAATTAAGACCGTAGTCCGGTCGTTCCCATGTGCCTTCTCGGGCTCTTTAATCGTAAACGCAGCCCCATCTCGCTTGAACGCAAGCCGTACAACGTCGTGTCAATAATGATCATTCATCGTCAGAAAGAAATGGAAGCTATGCCGTGGGTGGAAACAACCCCTCCTTCACCGAGAAGGTGGCGCCACATCCCCAGCCTCGTAAAACCCCCGGCTTTCCCATATGCGTCGGAGCAAGGCCTCTTCTGGGCTGAGCCCGTGCTCGTCATCCCGTCCATCGTCGTCCGGACTGCCTTGAGAGGGCGTCACTCCGATGTTCTCGTGACTGCTTTGTCGCTGGAAGTGAACTCTTCCGCTCTGACTAGTACGATGGCTGCTCCGAGACACCAGTGCGGGCTTCTTGTCCTCGAGACTTCGCCCGTTGATAGTGGTTGTGCCGGGCCCACGCCGGCTTGCTGGCCTACTCTTCGAGGTGGGAATGGCAGACGAACCTTGGCCCAGTTCGGCAGGTAGAGCATTGTCTTCCTTCAGTCTAAGCATACTTTCGATGATCGGACTTCGAAACTTCCTCACTACGGTGATCTGTTTGACTGCACTCTCATAGTCCTTTTGGATCGCTTTCAGGTCGCCTGCCAGACCTCGTCCACCAGCTAAAGATCTGTTCCGATTTCTGGAGCTGGTCCGGCTATGCAACGAAGTCGACGAACCAATACTGAGACCCATGCCATGTGCAGGGGGTGTCGTCGGAGTCGCCGCACTTGCGCGCATAATTTCCCGTCGTTGCAACTCAAGCTTCTGCTGTGTCCTGGATGGGTGGGTTGGTAACCGGACTTTGTGCAGTGTCCTCGTCTTCTCGGGAGATTCCGAAGGTTGCGGTTTGTAGTTGTCCATAAATGTCGACGGAGAGTCGTCGTCAGATTCGTCAATCACTTGCTGGCGTGAGGGAGCTGCGCTTTCAGACAGGAAATGAGAAACACCGCCATCGGCAGATGACGAGGCTGCAGCCTGTCCGGACCCAGACATGCCCGGGAGAGTATGTGTCGAGGCCGCTTCACCATGAGTTATATGAGTAAAGGACTTCGAGGATTCACTCCGTAGTAGTTGACTGGGTCCTGCGAGAGCAGATACTGTCGACATTGCCGGCGGAGCTCGAGATGCGCGGTGCTGTTGGTGGAGGAGAGCAGGATCAGGAGCCAGTTGAGGCGGGGACATGTTGGAGTCTTTTCTCAGATTCGGCGCCGATCTATTGTTTGTTCGTAACGAAGGAGCAGGCGGAGAGGAAGTTCTTCGCGTGTGGCGAGCCATACTCGCTTCCATGCCATTGTCTGTGACTTCTTCGTCATCGGGAGTACCGACTTTCAGAGGTGTAGATGTCTTGGAATTGTTCCTAGTCATTTCCGGCGACTGCGTGTTGGAGTCCTCCCATTCTGCCTCCTCTTCATCCGAGGAATGATCTCCCAGCTGAAAAACTCCATCCTTTTTCTTGGTCTTCTGCTTGGGTGCTGGAGCAAGACCAATCTTCTTTAGGGCTGGGTGTGAGAGATTGCGCGCCAATGCATTTGCGGACTGGTTCTTTCGAAGGTTTCCGTGAGATTGATTTTTCGGCAAAGCGGCATGAGAACTGTTTCGCTTCACGAGAGGAGTCTTTGGGCTCTGAGGTGGTGTGGTCCCGCTGGACTTTTTGCGGTGGTGGTGATGATCGGTCAGAATGGCTGCGGTCGAGTGATTTCGACCCAGCTTGCTCAGACCTTTCCCGTGAGATACGTTTCTTGAATGTCTAGTGACCTTCTGCGGGCGGTGAACTTTGTGACCTGTGGCTTGTTTGCCAGAGGAGGACAAGGACTGGGTGGACAGGGTGCGTTCGTTCAGAGACGGCCGTTTCATCGGCGACGGAGACGCGGAAGGCATTGTGCCAGACCCATGAACTTTGGGATGTTTTGGAGGTGGAAGATAGTAATGAATGATTATCACTGCATTTAGTGTATCATGGTGCTTGATTAGATCGATGCATGAGTACGAGAGATGGAAGGCACGAGGGCATCTCGTCCAGCTCGCGACATCATGGCTGAATTAATTGGTGACAGCCGCACGCTCAGTGTGGTGTTTGTACGGTGGGGGGTTTGTGCATATACCGTACTCCGGCGGCGCATTTACGTCGGAGTGTGTGTTGGCAAAGTCCTTAAAGTCGCTCCAGAGCCTCAGCCTGGTGAGCCTCGTCATTCACGTTCATGCTTTCACCAACGTGAGATGTCCTTCAAAACTGCTTTTCTGACGCTTGACAAGTTCCTATCTATGGTGAGTTGAGCGGGAGGACACAGTAGGCCTCTCTGAGAGAGCCGGAATTGCTCTGGCCTACACGCAGAACCACAGGAAAGGACTTCCGACAAGCCTTCTAACACTTTCTCCTCGACTCATCTCAACTGATTCAGCGTCTCCTTGGCCATGGCATCATACACCGTTAGGTCTAGGTTTTCGACACTTCGCAACAAGCCCCACGCAACTGACACCGACTCCGCAACGTCTTCCCGTTCTGAGGCTGTTGGGCTCTCAAAATCCGCGGAATCAGTTCTCAACTGGATATTTCTCGCTTTGACACATGCAAGGTAGAACTCCATCTGGATGACCCTGTCGTTGTTCCCGGATTTGATCGCATACTCCAAGGCTCGCTTCGCGAATCTATCAGCATCGTTAACGTACGCCATCCGCTGTGCTGGGGTGAAGTTCAGAAAGTGACTGAGAGCGAGGCATGTCGACATCAGTTTGTTGTACAGGTAGGCGAACTCTTTCGGCTTCACCGGAGGCGATGGGCGTTCACGCTTGGCATGTAGGACCTGTACAAAGTCATTGTAGGCGTTGATGAGGTCTGTGTGGGTGATGGCGTCTCGAGGCCTCTTCAGGTTCATGTTGGCTCGGTCGATCAATTCAGCTTAACGGAGTATTAGGTTCTCTGTTCAAAAAAGACCTCTTCTGTAGGTGTCAATGCTCACAAATCTCAGTCGCAGTAATGACATTGGGCGCGTTCTGAGTGCTTGCCCTATCTTCCTGAGCCTGACACTGTGCTCGTTCGAGTTGGAATGCTTGATTTGGAGGATCTGCATAGTAAGCACGAAATGCCAACTTGACATCAAGAGGTTCGACGAGGCGTACATTTCTTGCCTCTGAGATTTGTTACACAGGCGAGTAGCCGAGGCTTTGTGTCCTGGCTTTCCAAGTATGCAGCCGTTGCGGCATTAATCAGTCCTCCATGCTTATACTCGGCCAAGCCGACCTCTTGAAGTCCTTGGTGCACGTTGAAGCGAAAGTATCGCTTGTTCCAGTGCCCTCTCCATCGACTTGAGACTGCCTCCTCGGTCTCGCGGGTGTCGGTGGCTACTTTCTTGAGGTTCTCGGTCAAGAACTTCCACGCTTGGTCGCTGATGGGGTTGATGCCTCCGTTGCCCGTGCCGACCGAGATGAAGCATTTCACAAGTGGCTCAAGTTTGCCGGTGACCTCGCACCAGATGTCGTTTGCCTCTTTTTCAACTTCACTCGCTGGATTGTTGGCCCCCAGAGCTCCATCGACGTACAGACGATCCCCGATTTGTACCGGATCAAAAAAGCTCGTCGCTGCTGAAGTCGCTAGAGCGGCTTCCCAAATTGTGGCTGGTTCTTCATGCACACCTTTGAGAGGATAGCTCCTCAAGTGGGCAATATAGTTCGTTTCTTGAGCCTTGCAGCAGACGAAACTGATGGGCGGAAGTCAGTCCTTCCTTGATCCTCTTATCCTCTTAGGAGCCGAGGGCTTGCTGCACTTACACTCTGCATTTCCGTGACTCCTCGTCGTCGGCCTTGACGCAAAAGGATTCGTCGACTGGAATCCCTCGCTTCTTGATCACCCCTTTGACTGCTTTCTCGAGGGTCTTGGAGGAAAAGCGCGACTTGATCTGCCCGAAGATACCAATGGCAAAGCGATTCTTCTTCTTCTCAAAGACAGTCTTCATGAGCTCTTTGTACGCATCGATGCATTCATCAACGCTCATCTCGAGTCGACCAAGCATGATAGCGATCAGACTGGAATCACAAGCATTAACGCAGAGTTGACAATAATGGGTTCCCCAGTGACAAACTCACCCTCCAGTGCTTGTGCCGCCAATGAGATCGAATATTTCACAAGGCTTGACACTACCCAACTTCGCTTCTCGACGCTCATCGTTGAGTCTCTGCATTAAAGCACGCAGAATATACAGTGTAGAAAGCCCTCTAACCCCTCCCCCATCGAGCGACAGCAGGCATAACCCTCGGACATCGAGACTGTTGTCAGTCTCGTTTCCAGGAACTGCGCCGCCGACATCGTGATCTTGTTCTAGCATCAGGGCGATTTTGAGAGGCTTCAGCAACGATCAGGGGCAATGAAGAGCGCGCAGAGGTTCACTCGGCAGTGATAAAGCAATGTTGTCTCTGTCTGTTGCAATGAAATCACGGAAGACTCAGTGGTTTCTCCCTGCTGCTTGAAACCAGTCGCAGCTTCGGCCAAAGCCGCTGCGACCTCTCAGGGAACCAGCATTTGGCGAAAGGGGAACGCATCCATTGAGACATTGTCACACGGGGCGTTCGCTACTTGAGATCCAATTGCGAGGGAGAGTCAGGTTGTGTAACATAGGCACTGGCAAGGCCGACTCCAAATACGAGATTAAATTAAGCCACACTGACTTGGCCCAGAGGTATTTCGGGCCAGAGGCACAGAGTGTGATGACTCTGCGCATCCGGAAACAGATTCGCTTAAAAAAGGGGCTAGAGACGGGCCCAGAACGCTCTCGTCCGGGACATCTGAGCAGAAGCAACAACAACGCATACGTTAACGATCCAATGGCCTTGGGCCACCCCACGATCGTAGTCGCTATCAATTGAGCTTGGTGTACCCTTCCGTACCAACGCGGCGGCTAGACTCGTTAATGGGGGGTAAGGTCGACGAGACGTGACATACGTCGGCGTTATCCCAGAACTCGTTCCGAGCGATCTAAAGGCTACAAATTCTATGTCAAAGAGGTTGCTTTCGAGATGCACATACAGAGGCAGCGTGATAGAATCCGAAATCACACACAGTTCTCAGTCATCGCCCATCTCAATTCTACATGACATCAGTAGATCCATGCACACGTCTCCAGGTAACTGTGGCTCTGCCCAGTGTCGTGAGTCGTCATAAGTACATCAGAATCTTTCATCTGTTTTGTCAAAGACACTCGTTTCAGTGCCGATGGTAGTTAAACCCAGGGCCGACCGTGGACTGATTGTGTCCAGGACGATTTGACGAGATGGCACTGGGAGGAACTGGGTAGTGTGGGTACGATGGTCCCATGTTCGTGGGGAGACCAATTTGAGATGCAGATTCGTTTGGATAGACGTCTATCTCGGTTGATGCGCCATCGAACCGCATCTTTTGAGAAGAGGGATTGTCTAGCCATGGCGTCAGGCTCACAGGCCCCTGATATGGTACATTCCTTCTCTGCCTGATTTTCAAGAACGCATAGCCAGCGGCCAGGATGGCAATACCAGCGACAGACCCGACGACTGCCAGAGCAATGGTCAAGGGGCTCGTGCCGGACGAGGATGCAGACGAGGAGGGACTGGAAGACGAGGATCCTGTTGAACCGGTTGCCACAGGTGAGGATGTGCTACCCGTTCTGGAACTTGGTTGCGCAGCTTGTAAATCGCCATCCGAAGAGCCTGTTGTGGTGGTTGCCGTGTTCTGCGCTGCAAGAGCGGTGAATCCCCTCTGTGTACAGTAACCAGAATAAATGCTAGCAGCATTCGCAAGATTCACAGCGTTGTCGCCTACGCTGCATGTTTCGTCGATGCAGCTTGAGAGGAAGTCATAAGCCGCTGTCTGGAGATCTCCTCGACAATAGCAGTTATCAACCGCGGCGAAGGTTTTGCTGCATGGTGAGTTTGGACAACCGAGTGCCGACCCTAGGACGTCCGAGAAGCAGTCGATATCAGCATACCCTCCGACGAAGCAGCTCTGTACACAGCTCTGCTGTTGTGAGAATGCGTCGAGAGTGTAGATTGACTCATAGGACGTCTGCGATCTTGCAAGACCAAGCAACAAAGGCATCAATGCATATCGAAGCATTTGAAGTGAAGCCTCGGGAGACATAGCGAGAATCATAGTAAAGCTTGTGCGCTGAGAATGGGAACTGGCAGAGGACCGCTGATCGAGCAGCGAAGCGTACGACGGCTACCCATGACTAAATGTAGTGCAAGGGCACTGCCTAGTGCTAGCTCGGTGTCCTACTTGCTTCTAGATCTCGCATTACGCCCTCCAGGGGGGAATGCTCTGAAGCAGGACTTGCTGGGGTTGTTGACTTTGAAAGCCGGATGTGAGTGGACGACGAGGGTAGACGTAATACAAACCATTGCCGCTTCGATTGGAGTCATGTCGGTATAAGCGCTGACTGGAGGAGTGGCCGAGATGCCAAGGTGAAAAGGGGTGCAGAGAATTGTGGCTGATGTTCTGCTCGTCTGGCAATGTTTCAAGCAGACAACTCCCGGGCAGAGATCAAGGCCATTCCAAGCCTGACTGAACCTGAGGCTGTATCTGCTTCCTCGGAAGCTTCAATTGCCTTTGAGGACTTGCACACCAGTGCCTGGTCTGCCAGGCCACATCCCTGGTATGTCGGGTTCAGCCTTACCGCCATGTACGGATAGTCTAGTCGTATCCAGAGGGACCTGCGGCGCAAGGTCAGGGGGGTTTTGCGCTCACCGGTTGAACTCTTGACACTTCAAAAAGTTCTCGCTGGAGCACCCTTGTTCCTGCTCCGTTGCAATGCCATCTGTCACTCCCTTTCTGTTGCAGGCTGTCTCAGCCCAGGTTGGTGTTGGAGGGCTCAACCAAAAGAACTCTGAAGCTGTGATGCCAGAATTCGGGAGCGTCTTGTGCCTCAATGCGCAATACGATCCGCCGGAATCACAATCTTCCGGAATGGTCACGTGCGGGGGAAGCGAACTGCGCCAGGAGAACAACACCGACTCAGACGATGAATGACTTCATGCTTTCTGGTAAGACGGCAGACAAGTTGCTGCACGTCTCAGTGGTACAAATAAAGAAAAGAAACCTCTTTCGCAGGTGCACGCTACCTCGATTTCCCTCTCTTAGTCATCTCGCCTTTTCCTGGATTCGTAAGACCTCGTGATTGTGTGAACTTCGACGGAACACGAATTCGTGCTGTTAGGGGGGTTTCTTTATCCTTATTTCATCTGTCTCATCTCGTCTTCTTTGACCTCTCCTCCGTCGGCCGTCTTGGGTGCTCCTGTTCCGGCCTTCGACGGTCAGTTTCCTGCTTACAACTCCAGATTTCTCCAGCCTTCGTCGCAGCCAAAGTCAGACATGGGTGAAAGGCTTGTTGAAGGCCATACTCTCCAGATCGAAGACTATGGCCTTATTGGTGACATGCGAACATGTGCTCTTGTAGGGAAAAATGGCAGCATCGACTTCATGTGCTGGCCTCAGTTTGATTCTCCTTCGATCTTCGGAAGACTCCTGGACACCAGCAAAGGCGGCGGAGGACACTGGAGTATCTCGCCACGGAACAGCACAGTGTGCAAGCAAAACTACCGTGCCGCTACCAACATCCTGCAGACGAAGTGGATTGCCGAGGAAGGGGTGGTCGACCTTACCGACTTCTTCGCCCTCTCGAAGCACAACAAGGTCCTGCGCGAGGAATGGAGCGGTTCGACATTGGTCCGTAAACTCGACTGTGTCAGGGGCCGCATGTCTATTGATATCGAGCTTCGGCCACGACCCGACTATGCCTCGAAAGCAGGCTTCATGAGTGGCTCCGATGTGAAGGCAGAAGACGGCGCATATCACCAGTGCCTAACCTGGATTCCTGAGGGAGATGAGGCTTCCGTCGACGTTCCTGAATTTTATGTTTCATACTGTACAAAGGACCGCCCTCTGGAGACGACCCCGGTCATGTTCCAATCAGCGAAAAATCACAAGGGCGTCGAGGACAAACTCCGTGCCACATTCGAGCTTCAAGAAGGGCAGGAAATATACATGATTATGTGCAATAGTCATGTCAAGCCTCATCTCACTTGTGATCTGATCAAGGGCCTCGACCACGACACGTTCGAGTACTGGACGAGTTGGATAAGATCTTGCACCCATCGCGGACGCTTCCAGCAAGAGGTAGAGCGCAGCATGCTCATTCTCAAATTACTGACCTTTGATCCGACGGGCGCTATCGTCGCCGCGCCGACGTTCTCTCTGCCAGAAGATATCGGCGGGCGACGCAACTGGGATTACCGCTACTCTTGGATCCGCGATTCCAGCTTCACTATATACGTCTTCCTCAAGATGGGATTCCCCGACGAAGCAGAGGCGTATATCAACTTCATCTTTGCACGCATTGCAGAGTGGCGCAAGGCAAAAGAGTCCGGCGATTCAAGCATGTTCCACCTGCCGCTAATGTTCACCATCGACGGCGAAACGTCTCTGCCCGAGCTTGAACTGAACCATCTCTCCGGATACAAAGACAGCAGACCGGTTCGGATCGGCAACGCGGCGACTGGCCATGTCCAACTTGATATTTATGGCGAACTGATGGACAGCATCTACCTGTACAACAAACACGGCAAGCAAATTTCGTATGCGCAATGGCTGGATATCCGCTTCCTAACCGACTTTGTCTGCGAGATTTGGAATGAGCCCGACATGTCGATCTGGGAAGTTCGAGGCAAGAAGCAGCAATATGTATATTCAAAGATGATGTTATGGGTTGCGGTGGACCGCGCACTCAGGCTAGTTCACAAGCGCAACTTTCCGTGCCCAAACCGCGACAAGTGGTTGCGCACTCGGGACCAAATCTACGAACAAGTCATGGAGAAAGGGTTCAACTACGACATGAACTGCTTTGTGCAAAGTTATGAATCAAAGGATGTACTCGACTCGGCCGTCTTGATTGCACCTTTGGTGTTCTTCATCTCGCCAAATGATCCCCAATTCGTGGGCACCTTGGACGCAATCCTTCGAACTCCCGAGAAAGGAGGCCTCACTTCTGCCGGTTTTGTGTTCCGCTACGATCATGAGAAGAGCGATGACGGTAAGTGTCGTGGTCCTTGGGATAGACTTCTGCTGCCTCTTTCGTACGCGAATCTGACCATATACAGGTGTCGGTGGACGCGAGGGTACATTCGTCATGTGTACATTATGGCTCATCGAAGCTCTCGTCCGGGCCGGCAAGTACAACAAGAAATACCTGGGGATAGCGGATGCAATGTTCGAGACTATTTCGTAAGTACCTTGTCCCAAAAGTTCTAGAGACTCGGTTGGTCGGACCTAAGCAACACTGAGTCTGGCAACTCCCCAGAGAGCTATCATGCTGTCAATTTGTTGGCGGAGTTTGTTTGGACGCGCAGTATTATTGACACCCTCGCAGGAATTTCAGAAATCATGTCGGGATGCTGAGTGAGGAAATCGCGCTCAGCGGCGAACAACTGGGAAACACACCTCAGGCATTCAGTCATCTGGCTTTTGTGAGCGCGGCCATCAACCTAGAGAGAGTCGTGAGCGGCTAGTCAGATTTTGCGGCACCAGCCAGCATTGCGAGTGAAATGCGAGAAGGGTCTGAGGAAGCATCTTGGTGCTGGGAAGCGTGGTGCCTGATGGTGCGAACAGATCATGCAAAAGGGAAGGGCTGCCATTCAGGGTAGCCATTCAGTATAGGCTTTTTAACGGAGACTTAGCATCGTTCAGTGGTAGCTATCAAGTTTGCTTGGAACTCATGACTCCCTCAAAGCATATCTAAGGTATCTGCCTATGCCGCACCGCGGTACGGAGTAACCTATATTCCTAACTCCGTCCTTTTGCGCACACTCGGGGCTTTGATTAGATTAGATGGGAATCTTGGCCACGTTTAATTAGTGCGAGATTGTGGGGAGGGCAACGATAGAGCTCTTGTGCTGGCGTCGCATCCAGCCCCGTCTCAAGCTTGATCCTTTTGCGACCACCAGCAGTCACCCAAGGATACTTTGAGTACTACCGTTTCCTGCAGTCCTGGATCATTAAGTTGCATCTAGACTGGACACGGGTTTTGCAGCCATGGATTTCATCAGGAACTTTGCTGGCGGAAAGCCATCGCAGGCTCCCGTCGTGGCCGATGACGCCGGTTTGTTCATCCTCCATCGCTATTCAGACCGACCATGCACTAACATTGTCTGATGTAGACTTTGCAGACTTTGCAGCCGCACCTGAACCGACACCGGCATCCATCCCCGTCTCCCCAGCCGATGCGCAGGCGGCACTGCCAACTGGAGCCCAAGGCGCTCCTGTGGTCTACACGAAATGGTACCGTGTGTGGGAGAGGACGCAGCTGTCGGATTTCGTGATGGAAGGGGTCTTGATTCCGATAATGCTTCTGGTTCTGCTGATTCATTTTTGGGGCACTCGGCGTAACTCGAAGAAGGCAAAGAAGTGGATGGCCGCACATGCACCGGTTTTGGAGAGAGAATTTGCCTTGGTCGGCTTCGGATCAGTGCCCAAGATGACCCCTTATGCCGAAGGCGTCCAAGGGGATAGTCTCTTGAGCGCGAGCGCGAAATTGCCCGGCGACAACGTCACCGAGGACCTGCTCAAGGAGAAGGCGGCTTGGGAATACCAGACCTACGCTACCGGACGACAGAACATTGCATTCCTGGACGCCACGATCTTCTTGAAGCGAAGGATGAACCCGATGATGATGGTCGCGGAGGAAATCGCCGGCATGATTGCCGAATCTGTCAAGCCCAAACCAGAACGGATGGAGGCTGTCATTTACACCTTCGGCGGCAAAGAGAAGGAGTTTGTCCCACCCGCTGTGCCTGGGTCCGAAGAGGCAGGCAAGGCCAAAGCTGTGGGCAATTCGAACTATGACGCCTTTGTGTTTGCCATTGTGAATAAAATGGCCATGCGGAAGCTGCGCGACGAGCGCTACGATCTGTCTCTCACCTTCACCAAGGACAATCCCAAGCTCCCGAACTGGGTGACCGTTATGAGCGAGACTGGCGAGGTCACAGACTTGATGCTGACCAAGGAACTGATTGATGCCGTGGAAAAGGCCGGAGACCTCTTTGACTATCTGATCGTCACTGATCAACCTACCGACAAGCCCACCACGCTCAACGAGACGACTCCCAGAAAGCGCCTGAACCTGTGCCTGAGACTTCCTGCCGATGGTAATTATCTTCCCACATTGCCGATCTTCCAAGCATTCTTGCGGCTGCCGGATTTCTTGGTCGGCTCTGCCAAACTCCGACCGGAGGTGATGCGCAAGATCAACGCCATTCGCGAGGAGGAGAAGACCAAGTTGAAGAAGATCAGCGATAAAGAGGCGGAAGAGGAGCGACTTCGAGCAGCTGACAAGATCAAGAAGGAGGAGCGGGATCGCAAGCTGAAGGGCATGACTGCCGAAGAGCAGCGGAAGTTCCTGGACCGAGAGAACGAGAAGCAGAGAAAGAAGCAGGAGAAGAAGATGACGCGGAGAGGATGAAGATGAGGTTGGAGCGAGAAGAGGAGACGAGACGATGGTGGTTGGTTTCATTTTGGCTGTTGTCTTGATTTACATCTTCTGTCTATCTTGGATCAGTCATTTGGGTCGCGTACAGAAAAAGGGTCTAAATGCGAAAAGTTCAGCAGCGCATCCGATTTGCATAGTACAAAAATGAATTCAAGGATCAATAGAGAGTGTTTGCTCGTGAAGCCAGAAGAGCGAGAAGATCATTCCGCTGCTTCTTCCCCAGACTGTTGTTTGGACTCCGTGCTCTGTACTCTGGGGGAATGCTGTGTCTCACCCGGTGTTCAGAAGGGGGTATGTGTGTGTCTGTGTGCATATGCCGCAGTCTGTATACACTGCTCTGTGTGTGCTATTTAAAATCACTTCTCGTTTAATGGCATGGATGGATCCAAGGCTTACGCTCTCGTTGATGTGGTGAATTGAGGCAGTGCTCTGGGCAACAACAGCCTGTCCAAGCCTTGTATGATCCACGCCGCCAACCACTTGCTGGTGTTTCAGGCCTGAAGATCCGCTGGAGGCTGTTTCGACGGCGCTATTGGTGTCTCTGGGGTCTGTTCTCTCCGCGAACTTCGCCTCGTTCTCAGCCTGCGTCGGTGCGTCCACGCGGCCTGTGGTTTTCTCCATCAGCCCCAGGACACTCTCACTCACTCTCAGCCGGACCTTAAACGCCTCGTGTTTTATTCTTTGTACCATCTGGAGCTGGCCTTCATTCTTGATCACTCTCTTGTCTCTGTATTGTCTCGTGCTTGATCTCTTGCTTTCCGTCAACTGGTGCATCTTTTCCATTCACTTGCCGTCGTCAAACACTCTCCCCCACCATACGTACAAAGAGTGTTGGCATACACAATCAGAAAGAAGTTGGACAAACAAACGCTCATATTGGATTGAAAGATGGGTCTACGGTCTCTATTGTCGACTTCCCTACTCTCTCTTCTCAGCCTGGCTTCGGCTGCCTCCGTATCCTCTCACAGCCTGTCCTCGCGCGCACAAGCCTGCAACAACTCTCCAGACCTTTGCTCGAAACCGTACAACTCGGTGGTCCACCTCGGCGCCCACGACTCCCCCTTCGTTCGCGATGCCTCGACGGGCTTCTCTACCTCGGGAAACCAGTACTACAACACGACTGTGCAGCTGTCTGCGGGCGTCCGCCTAGTATCCGCCCAGGTTCACAGGACAAACTCACAATGGCACCTGTGCCACACATCGTGCGAACTGCTCGACGCGGGGCTATTGTCAGATTGGCTCAAGACGATCAAGACCTGGCTCGACAACAACCCGAATGAAGTTGTGACTGTTCTGCTCGTCAACTCGGACAATGCCAGGCCTGCAGAACTCCACGCCGAGTTTCTCGACGCCGACATCGTGGACCAAGCGTACGTGCCATCCTCGATCACCACACCCCCAGAGACATGGCCCACGTTGCAGGAGATCATCGCCGGCGGGAAACGACTGATGACCTTTGTCGCGAGTTGGAACCTCACGGATCCCGAGCTCAACGCCACGACCAGCTACATGATGGATGAGTTCACATTCATCTTCGAGAATCCCTTTGACAACACAAACTCGAGCGACTTCACGTGCGAACCCGACCGGCCGAGCTCGCTGAAGAACAACGTGCAGGCTGCAATCTCCAGCAATCGCATGCCTCTCGTCAACCACTTCCTGTACAGTACCGGGGCGTTTGACATCGAGACGCCAGACGTGGACAAGATCAACGTGACCAACGGCGCCGGCAATAGCGTGGGCAGTCTCGGAGGAACCTTGTCACAGTGTAATTCGGAGTATGGTCGGGTTCCGACGTTCACGCTGGTGGACTTCTTCGACCAAGGCCCGGCCATTGACTCGGTGGATAAATTGAACGGGGTGACGGACCCAGTGGGACGGGTTGCGCCGCCTCCGCGAGACACGAAAAAGAGCAGCAGCAGTCTGAGTCAGAGCACGTTTGCTGGCGTTGTACAACTTGGCGACGACGTCCGGTCGGGCGAGACACCCAAACTCGGAGCGTGGATCTGGGCGGCAGGGAAATGGACTTTTGGTGGCATCAATTTGAATGGGGGAGGCTTGTTGGATTGAGCGATTCACGCTGAGGAGTTGTCGGACGAACACCATCAACATTAATGATTGGCAAATGTTGGACTTGGGATCGGTATTTGCAACTGTGCATCTGGATATGCGACACGACACCCGACACACGACATACCTTTGGCATACCTCTAACGACGACCTAGCTCGCATGGGATGAGTTGTTGATTTGGCGGGAAGAATATCTGCCCTGTTGTGAAACTTTTTTTTCTGGAGTCCGGAGGGCAACACAACAAACCAAAACTTGCGCATCGGCATCGACGTCGCCACATGGCGGTGAAGAGTAAGGGGAAATTACGAAACTCATCATGAAAAGGACATGGTCGGCAGTTAGGAGTCGAGCGTGAGAAATGTAATGCGGCCCATTTCTCACATGGAAGGGTATTTGTTTCCATGACACACTGGACATCATCTTGCATCTTTCGGCATAGCGATGGGCGTTCTTGGGATTTTTTTTGTTTCAGGAGAGAGAAGTCAACAAATTGACGTGGATGGATCTACGGAGTCAAGTGCATATAGGATACGGTGGGTCAAGAGGGAAAACAAACAATCAAGATGACGGAGAGATAACGGATAAAAATGCCTGGCCTAGCCAGGGCTAGGGACGCACCTTCGGAGAAAGGACCCATCGATAGCTTGGATACTGATACTCTTCGAGACGAGTATCTGGGTGAGTGAGTGGGTGGTCGGTCCACGGGATGAGCTCTGAAAGGAGAAAACTACTCAACGCCGATGAAGAGAACGGCGATCGAGTCAGGTAGCAAAGCCATGAAATGAAAATCCTGTCTACTTGCACATCTAGTACCTCATCACATGCAGACTGGAGGTACCTGATCTATCATGAACTTTGTTGGCTCCACCCATGGTCTCTTCTATGCATGTCTTAACATTCTACACTTTTGACCACCAAGTAAGCAAGTACCTAGGTACCTTTCCCCCTCGGGGGTTTCCTTTTTCTTTCTTTGAATAATCTATATGTCGATTTCCACCGATGCTTTTTTGTTTTCCCCCTCGACATGTCGTCTTCGTCGTCGTCGTCGCCGCCGTTTTGTTTTAGTTTTGCTTTTGTTTTGCTCTGGTGCGTTGCTCCCGACGCTCCCGATACTCCTTGACGCTACCTTACCGGTACTGCAATTGATGAACGACCTCCTTCTTTTACTACAACCTAGAAAAAACCCGTTTCAGCACGTCTCGTCCCTTCCACAGATTCTCGACCCTCATGCGTTCATTGTCCAAATGGGCATTATCGCTCGCTTGGCCCATGGGGAACATGGCGGCGGGGGCATCGAATTCCTTTTCCAAGAAGCTGATGGCGGGGATCGAGCCTCCCTCGCGAATGAAGAGCGGTTGACGCGGCAGGTTGGTGGATGTGAATGTTCCTGCGCTGGCGAGGGACGAGGCGCGTCGGTGCGAAGATCGTTTCGCTCCTGGATTTGGCGCATTGAATTGCGTATTTCTAGTCGTGGATGCCGACTTTGATGACTTTGACGGCATCGTGGGGGATGTACGTGCACGAGTTGTAGACTTGACGGTGGTGGGCGATGATGATGACGATGACGATGAGGACGACGACGACATTGATGATGATAATGAGGTGGTGGTGTCAGTGGTGGTTGTATCGGCTGCAGCGATGGCGACGGCACCACCACCACCACCACCGACAGCAGAAGAAAACGAACGATGCGAAGAATCTGTATCAGGATTCCACACTTCCACCACGGCTTCTTTCAACGCGTGGTACAGAGCACTGCCGATGTCGCCTAGCCATGGGTCCGCCTTGGATGTGATTTCGACCTTGAGCTTGTTGGAGCTCTGCAGGGTCGCAAACTGCTCCTCGAGGTACCGCGTGAGGCTGCGGGCAATGTGCTCGGCCGTCTGCGAGGGGACGATGCGGATGGACAGCGTTGCGTTGGCGAGGCCGCTTATCGTCACGGCCGTCTTGGCCTCCGGGACCTCGATCCTGTGCACGGTGAGGTTAGGGTAGCGCCAGCGCTGCATGAGCGAGAGCGCAAACGCCTTCTCGTTCTTGATCTCCGGGTGGCCCGGGATCAGGGCCGACGTGATGTCGGCGTACGACTTCAGTTCGAGCTCCGAGAGGTCGTCGACGCTGTCGTAGAAGTTGGGGATCGTGACCTTGGTCCCCGTGGGCCCGATCAGCGCGGCGAGGAGCACCGTGAGGTCTTTTAGCGGCTCGTGCTGGACCGACTTGCCGTCCATGCCCGAGTGTTGGTCGGGTCGGTTTGAGGAGATGGTGACGGTCGCGTGGATGACGCCTCGCATCCCGAACGTCAGACACGGGATGTGGTCGTCGAGCCAGTAGCTGTTAGAGAGGAGGATGAAGTCGACGGGCCCGATCGAGGACGAGGAGTGCATCGACTGCACGGCCTTGCGGAACCCGCGCGACCCGGCTTCTTCGTCGCCTTCGAGGAGGAACGTCACGTTGCACGACAGCGTCTTTTGCTGGACCAGGTCCGCGACCGCGTAGATGGCTGCCAGGATCGGCCCTTTGTTGTCCGTCACCCCGCGCCCGTACAGGTATCCGTTGAGAGGCTGCAGGCTGAACGGGTCGCCGGCCCAGCTTGGGTTCCCGTTGCCGATGGTAGAGTCGACTTCGGCGTCGACCACGTCGTAGTGGCCATAGAAGAGGACCGTTTTGGTCGACAGCGAGGGTTTTGACGCGCTGAACTTGGCCAGGAGGATAGGGTTGACGCCTTCTTGTGGAGATACGAGGTCGGTGGTCGCACCGAAGGCGTTGCACTGTTTTCGGAGGAATGTGACGGCATCGTGACAGTCGCGTACGCAGGTTGGATTCGAGGCGACGGTGCGGAAGCTGATGAATTCGCGGAGACTGTTTACCAGTTCATCTGTCGTTGTTGTTAGTTTCTGCCGGTACGCGTGTGCGTGCGTTGTTTAAAGGCAGTGGGAGAGAAGGCAGATATGAAATCTTCTTTTGCAAACTCACCATTGCTTCGGACTGAAGATGCGATCGAGGTGTGAGAGTGTCCGTCGGCATCCCAGAACGAAATGGAGGCGTCATTACCACCTGTGATCAGTATATCTCGGCCAGAGGTTGTAGTCTGACTCATTGCAAGGATCTTGCCGTCGGCAGCCTTCCAGCATTCTGTCTCCATGAAATGGTCATTGTATCGCTATTGGCAACACGTCAGCCACTGAATAAACCCTCCCCGAGAGACCTAATATCAAAACAGACCTTAAGACGCCCTTGGCTTGTACCACAGAGGATACTGTCGGTGTTCACTGATATCTGGCTTATGTCGCCATGACCGATGCTGAGTCGTTGAACTAGCTGGTTAGAGGCCAGGTTGTAGACATTTGCCGTGCCATCGGAAAGACCAGCGTAAAGGAAGGAGCCCCTGAAGGAGAGACTGAGCACATTCAACCCCGTATTCTTGAACTTGGTGAGTGGAACGACGCCGTCTGAAGACAACGACTCGATTGACCAGATTTTGATGGTTCCGTCTCCAGCGCCGGTCACGAGAACTTCTTCACAACTACTGTAGTTCAATAAGCCTTTGACCAGAAGCATGCTATAAATATAGCTCTTGTGCGCATATGGGAGATAGTTGTGGCTGGGAACAGTCAAGACTCGGCCGCCCTGACTGTTCAGAGTCAAAGACGTAGAACCCTCTTCGTCGGAAATGACATTGGACGTTCCACCGGGTCCTAACGAGTCGAAGAAGCGATGCTTGCGAGATCCGGGAGCAAAACCAAGCGTCGGCGACATGGTGCTGGCGTCGGCGCTGATTTTGTGCCACTGTAAGCTCGCGTTTTGAGCTCCCCAGAACAAAGTCTGATTTCTGGTGGAATGGGCCACACAGAATATGTCGCCGATTTCAAAGTGAGAATAGAGCGAGTAGAGGCGCTGCAGCGTTTGAGTCGACCAGACATTGACGATGGAGTCTGCACCGGTGGAAAACAATAACGATCTGTCCTCACACAGAGAGAGGTTTAACACACTCTCTTTGTGGGCTGGAACCGTCGCGAGAAGCTCGTATGTCTCCAGTGACCAGGCTGTGATGCTGCCGCCCTGGAGTCCTGCGAACAGTACATCATCATCGACGGCCAGAGCCTGAACGCTTCCAGGAGCATGGATTCGGTGCAAGGGACTCTTCGACTGTGTTGGCTCGGAAGATGGTGATGATTCTCTCATCGATTCTGCGTCATTGACATGGCGCGAAGATTCTATCTGGGACCCTCGGGAGGAGCTGCTCGAGATAGAGGAAGTTGTTGATGATCGACTCTGCTTGGATAAATCAGCCGTGGCCATTCCTCGGAAACCAGCGAAGAGTTGAGCTGCTATGTTAACCAGGGAGAGGCGGAAGAAAATGTTCGGCAGCACATACGGAAGATGGTGGTCTGAAATTCCCCCACGTCGTCGCCGATTCTGGCGCTGTGGTCGACGACTCCAATTGGCCGCCAATCTGACACATAGTCGAGTCTTTGTATCTCGTCCCGGGGGAGGAATCTCTGAGCTCATCACCTGTTGCTATCTTTTATCAAATCCTGAACTCCTTTAGTGTGAATTGGCGAGCAGCCGGACCAGTGTCGCGTTGTTTGGCGGTCGCTCGGTGATACAAAAGAACATTCTTGGTGATTCAGGCGCTCGATGGCGTGATGACAGGCTGAGATTGCTCAGTGTTGCCTTACGCACCTTCACCGCCGGAACTTGACGCGAAACAATGAACACCCCTTGCACTGAGAAACATCGTGCGCTTGGTCCCTTTGAACCAACGGTCATTCTTCATGGCGGCGCGGGAGCAATATCTCGTGCTAGTCTGCCACCGGAGCTCTGGGCTCGATATGAAGCGTCGCTTTTGAAATACCTGGCTGACGCACGAAAGCTGCTCGATTCGGGCGCTTCGGCGCTCGATGCAGCCTGTGCTGCTGCAACATGGTTTGAGGACGATCCGCTCTTCAACTGTGGCCGGGGCTCGGTCTTCACCGAACAAGGTACCATTGAAATGGAAGCCAGTGTGATGGTTTGTTCACTTGATCCCAGTGGTTCTCCTGCAGGACAGATAAAGCGTGGTGCCGCCGTCAGTCTGATTAGGAACACAAGGCATCCCATCCTCCTGGCCAGGGAAGTATTACTCGCCGCAGATGGGGATCAAGGTATGGGCGGCACAAGCACCATGCACTGCCACCTCAGTGGTCGAGATGTCGAGGAATGGGGCTGGAAGGAGAAGGCACTAGAAGAGAAGCCCGATCGCTGGTTCTGGACGAGAAAGCGATGGGAAGAACATCGTCGTGGCCTCAATTTGCAGAATTGCTATACCTACAACGATCTTCTAGCGTCTACAGGCCGCTTCGCGGCTATGGAGGAAGACGGCGGCGGCGGCGACGGTGTTCACGAATACCCTAGTCAAGGCACAGTTGGCGCAGTGTGCCTCGATTCCTGGGGAAACCTAGCTGTGGCAACATCGACCGGCGGGCTAACCAACAAAAAGGCAGGGAGAATTGGAGACACACCAACTATAGGTTCTGGGTTTTGGGCTGAGACTTGGGAGGAACAACTCCCGGCGACGACCTCGGCCGTGATGAGAACAAGACAAGAGCAAGACTACGGCCCTATAACAAGTCGGCTGTTGCGACCGATTGGCGGTGTACTGGGCTCATGTCTCAACCTATTCCAGGACTATGAAGAATACCAACCTGTGATCAACTCTCGGGCATACAATTCAGCCAGCCAATATCGCTCTCCTCTGCAGATTCCCGATATCAGGCGCTCGACGTCCCAAATACGTCGTCGTGCTGTTGCTATGAGTGGTACGGGCAATGGTGATTCGTTCTTACGGACCAACGCCGCGCGGACGGCTGCCTCAATGTGCAGATTTTCTTCCAGCATATCTCTCACACATGCTGTCAATGCAATTGCCGGACCTGGTGGCGAACTACAACAGTCAGCGGGTGATCGATGGGGACTCACAGGCGAAGGCGAGGGCGGAATCATAGGCATTGAGATTGATGATGGCCCTGTTCCAACGGAGTTTTCAGTGGCGCATGGCTACCCTCACAGCAAGAGCTCGAGTGCTTGTCTGTCGACGAAGAAGAGGGGAAGGGTAGTGTTTGATTTCAACTGCGGAGGCTTGTTCCGCGCGTTTTACGAACTGGAGGAAAGGACTGGCAAGGAGACACCTAAAGTTATGGTGTTCAAGAAGGATTACTGAATCTCAAAATATGCAGGACTGGATCTAGACGTAAGTATATACACGTGGAGACTCTCATGTCTGGCCTTGTGCCCTGCGTGAGGTCTTGAATGCATTCTTATATACGATTTCCAAAACACATCGTGGTTCTTTCAGCAGTAGCACGCTAGATAGATGGTGAGGGAACGCGAAAGCTTTCATGATGGGTAGGTAACTCCTGGAATATTGGATCCAAAATGGTAGCCCTCTTCCTTTGACAACTTAGTTTCAGGATGTTGTAGAATAGTACATCGAGGACAATTTGTCTCCACTTAAGTCCTCCATGTGTCCAGTCACGATCAATTATAGTCTGATCTGTTCGGCATCAAGCTCTTGTCTTTCGGAGGGGTATATGCAAAAGTAGGAACCCCGGATGGATGGCGCTGAGTTGTCCCTGTATTGGAGGGTTTGGCGTGTCAAAGGTCGGCTGAACGTTTGATAAGACTATCAGTACTCTAGTGTCTTTTTCATTGTGTCATAGATTCCTGTTGGCCGGTCAGCAGAATCCTGGGGCGATGTATCTCACAAACAATGCTTACTCGTAATATCCGGCACATTAAACTTCTCGTAAATGAGACCGGCATGGACGCTCCAGCCAGTTACTCTGGCTACCGGAGCTTCCAATCGGAGAAAGGCACGCTCTTGGATGCTAGCAGCGACTTCTGCTCCAACACCAGCGTTGTACATGCTCTCATGCACTACCACAGCCCGGCCAGTCTTGTTGACGCTCTCCATAATCGTGTCTCTGTCCCAGGGGTAGATCGCTCTCAGGTCGATCAATTCGATGCTGAGACCTTTGACATCCTTCTCAAGCGCCTCGATGGCCGCAGAACAAAGGTATAGGGGCTGACCATATGAGATGACGGTTAGATCTTTCCCCTCCTTCAGCACATCGGCCTTGTCTAGCGGGAGGGTATACGGATCCCGCGGTACAAACTCTTCCGCGGCGCGATATAGTATTTTAGGCTCCATGAATATAACTGGGTCGTTCGAATGGAGAATCGAAGAGTTTAGCAGACCTTTAGCCTGAGATGGTGATCTCGGCATAACCACTCTGAGGCCCGGGACATGGGAAAACAGTGACTCAGGGCTTTGAGAATGGTAAAGAGCACCATGGCCGACACTGCCGCATGGCATGCGGACAACAAGGCCGCCACAGTGACCGCCCGTTGCTCCTTCTCGATAGCGGAATTTCGCGGCTTCGTTGACAAGTTGGTCAAAGGCAGGGTAGACGTAGTCAGCAAATTGGATCTCGGCGATAGGTTTCATGCCTCGAGCCGCACAGCCTATTGCGAAGCCTACAATGCCCTGCTCGGATAAGGGAGTGTTGAAGACTCTACTCGTGCCAAATTCGTCCGTAAGACCTTTCGAGCACCTGAAGACACCACCAAATGCTACGTCTTCACCGAATAACAAGACACTCTCATCGGTTTTAAGAGCATGGTGTAAAGAAGTGTTGATGGCACCGTGCAAGTTTTGCCAATCAAGTTGTGCATCTTGCGATAAACCGAAGGCAGCTCTGGCGCTGTTCTGTGACTGGTGTAGTATTGGACTCTTCTTGAACTCTATCGGCTTGTTCAACCTGGCCCCTGCCGCTGTTTGACTCGCGTTTCGTGTTTGGCAAACAAGATTGCGTGGCCTCAGTATTGAGGAAACCCTCCGAGGGACTATCATCTCAACTGTCGAAAAACAAGCTTGCTGCTGGCAACAAGAGAAACACCGAGACCAAGGGAAACGGCATCGCCTGGGTATATGAAGGGGGTTGCGGAGGCCGATGATAAGCGCGCACATCCGGGCCGAAAACACACTAACAATCGCCGAGGACAAAGTCACGTGACGTAGCCTCCGGTGTCGGTTTGTGGGGGATCGGAATATCTATACTCCGGAAGGCGGAGGTTGTCCTCAAACTGCGGCCAATCGCTCACCTCACGTATTAATCTTCCGGACGCATTGCACATGGTTTCATCACTGTCCCCAGAACTTTGATTGCGTCGTTGAAATCTCGTTCACTGGGTACACGATCTGGGACGAACGTTGTTGTTGTTGTTGTTGTTTATTGTTTCCCTTTGTACAATAATCCTCACATTTGCGGAAGGAGCATCTATCTCAGCAGATCCGAGAGCTTCCCTGTTATTGCTTGACCTTCCGCCCGTACACCCCTCCATCATGGCTCAATAAGCATAGCCTGCCTGGCAACACGGTATGGAGGCACGAAACACCAATTCATACTTGGCTACGAGACCTGCGGTCTTGGGGCTTGCCAAGATCCTCGTCCTCTCTCTTTCCCAGCTCCCAATAGTGCGAGCTGCACCAATACACGCTTCCTACCTGTTCTTTGCGGCGGAGGAGGAAGAGGGAAAAGACCCGGAGGACCCTACTTTATGGATATACCTGAGTGTCGCGGCAGCTTTAGTCCTGCTTGGAGGAGCATTTGCCGGCTTGACTATTGCTCTTATGGGACAGGTGAGACAGCAGAGCATTACGCCAGGGCCACACCGGCTAATGAGTTCGCAGGATGAGATCTATCTGCGAGTTATCCGAGATTCAGGAGAAGGAGCCGAGAAGAAACATGCCGCCAAAGTGCTGAATCTCTTGCGGAAAGGGAAGCACTGGGTGCTTGTAACATTACTCCTGAGTAATGTCATCACGAATGAAACGCTACCTATAGTACTCGATCGTTCGCTGGGCGGTGGATGGCCGGCTGTCTTAGGATCGACCGTTCTTATCGGTATGTCTGTGTCGTAAAGTATCCCACTCCTACTGACCTGTCACAGTCATTTTCGGTGAAATTGTCCCCCAGTCTGTGTGCGTTCGATACGGATTACCGATCGGTTCATGGATGGCTCCGTTTGTTACCGCCCTCATGTACATCCTCGCTCCGGTCGCATGGCCAACGGCGAAGCTACTAGACTATTTGCTGGGAGAAGATCATGGGACAGTGTACAAAAAGACAGGCTTAAAGACTTTGGTCTCCTTACACCGCAGTTTGGGAGAGCCCGGACAACAGCTCAATGCGGATGAAGTCACGATCATCAGTGCCGTGCTCGATCTAAAGGAGAAGTCTGTTGGAAGCATCATGACTCCAATGGAAGATGTCTTCACTTTGTCTCTCGATGATGTCCTGGACGAGCCTACGATGGACGACATTCTGTCCCGCGGATACTCACGAATCCCTATTCACCATCCAGACAACGACTCGAACTTCATCGGGATGCTGTTGGTCAAGATGCTGATCACATACGATCCTGAAGACGCAAAACCTGTTCGAGACTTTGCATTGGCGACTTTGCCGGAGACGAGGCCAGACACAAGCTGCTTAGATATCGTGAATTTCTTCCAGGAAGGGAAATCGCACATGGTTCTTGTGTCCGAATATCCTGGTGACGACCATGGCGCACTTGGTGTGGTCACACTGGAGGATGTGATTGAAGAGTTGATTGGAGAAGAAATTGTTGACGAGTCTGATGTCTTCATTGACGTACACAAAGCCATCCGGCGAGCAATGCCTGCACCTACGCGACGCATTCCAAGAGCCTACTTAGTAGCTGAACAACACCCATCGACCGGTACCACGACCGATTTGGTGGATATTGGTGAAGGCGAACCCCTGGAAAACGGCGAACTACAAAAGACAAAGACTGGTGATAATCCGCAAGTGGCAAAGATCTTGAGTAATGCTCGTCGTCGATCCAGTGCGGGAAATAGCTTGCCTGGTGAGACAAAGCCTGGTCAAAGATTGATCCGGGCAGGCACGGACGAGGCCCTCAGGGAACAGCTGAAACATCTTGGTCATCTTGGACCCTCAAATCTCGCAAGCAGGCCTAGGTCAACGAAGTACACCACGGTGAAGATCAAACCCGGCACAGAAACCATGGTCAAAAATGACGTTCCTGACGGTCGACAATCAATCTCTCGGCGAGTTTCGGAGTCTGCCTCGGATTACCATGGAGGGATCGGCGAGGGCATCGTAAAGTCGGGAGGCAAAGATGCTAGCGACGGAGTACAGGCTCTGAAGCAGGGCTATGGAACCATTTCCGAATCACCTAATGGCCGGCCACCCAGTCGCACAAAGGGTGTCCAAGCTAATCTCCCACCCAGCCCAACTCTCTCAAGGCGGGCTGATGGTGCTGCGGACCATGACCATGATCGGTCAGAGTCTCGCCCAGTAGCGACAAAATCTGCCAGCCACAGCACAATAGGTAGCCTACCTGGATCGAGGTCTCAATCGAGAAGTCCCATCTACCGGTCCAAAGGACCTGCTCGAAGTGGTAGCATCACGGAAAATATCATCGACGCTAACGGCTTCCGCAAAGTCGTCCTCGAGACAACATCCAGCGAGTCGAATGAGGAGGAAGACCACAATGGGACGAACAACGGTCACCCGTCAGCTGGCCAAGAGGAAGGTTCGAGTGTGAACCCTCGAGGTGGAAACCCCGCTAGTGGACATGGCGAGGCAGCGAAAAAGAAAAAAAAGAAGAAACGCAAAAACAAGCATGCAAAGGGAGAACGCGAACCACTGTTGGGGGACAAACAAAGCTAGCGACGTTTGTTTGATGCCATGCGAAATCACATCATAATGCTGTACAAGGCCTTTTGTACCTTTATTGGCGCCATTGAGAGACCTGCCTTGTTTTGACCAAGATCGAGAACGAGGACAAGGACAATAACAAACAAGAATAATGGGATATTAATGCCAATCGAGTGTGGTGAAAACATTTGTGGATTGTGACAAGTCTCACTATCTCGACCTCGGTGTGCAAATGGTAAGATCGAAACCTCCTCGAGGGTGGTTGTTGACTGTCTATCTGGGCAGTGATGAATACTACAGAGTGGAAGTATAATGGTCTATGGTGAATGGTTTCTTCACTTCCACTGCCTCAGCCACAGGTAACAGATGGTGAATTTGCAAAGGCGGCAGCGAACTGCGATGCAGTGTAATGCAATTCACTTCTTCACTGCCTCTATTGAATTGTTCTGAACTTGAGATTTTGCATGGCCCCAATTGTCCTTCCTCTGCTTGTCTCTCTCTCTTTCTTCTATCCAACACCCTTTCTTGACACCGCTCAGACTTGCTCGTTTGACTTGATATCGTCGAAAGGACAGAATCGTCTTTACCGGTCCTGAAGACCTACTTGTCAAAACTTAGCATACTGCTACCAACTCCTCCCTTTCTCACTACTTCGGACACTGCGAATACTACTCCTAGTACTACTACCACCACCAACATCACCACTCCTCTTCCCGATCACCACCGTTCCTGCTACTGTTTACGACTACAACTAGTTGCAGAGTCTCGGAAGAGAACGAAACGACCCAGTTGCAGCATCTGAAAAAGAGGACGGAACGAAGTCTTTTGGACAGCCAAGTGAACTGAGCAAGATGCGTATCCACACCTTTCTGACTGTTTTGAGCTCGGTGGTCCTGTTCGGATTCATCGACGCGTGCCGAAAGAACGACGACATCATCGTCGACTTCCTCAACGCATACTTCGACCTCGAAGCCAGCGAGGGCCAGTTTCTCTGGGACTGGTTCGACGTGTGGCGCGAAGACTTTGAGCACGCAATGTGGTACTGGCACCTTCTCATCGCCGTCGGCGTGTGCGTTGGATGCGTCTGGCTGACCGTCAACAACGAGCGGGTCGCCCAGGTTTGTGTTTACGACACCGGGACCGCCATCTGCAGCGACGTAAAGGATCTGTTCGATCGGATGTCCTCTTCGACACGACACTTCTTGAACGATTTGCTGATGACGACTGATCTTCCTCTCGGCACCACCGGCGTCCTCGTTGTTGACCCTTTCTTTGTCCCTGGAGCGTTCCCTGATGAATCCGTAGAGACCTGGGACGCTCGCGAAATTGAAATCGCCAGCGATAATGAGGAGGCGGCCACCGTTTAATAGACTGACCTCCTTGATGAGGCTGGTGTTAGTGATATTGATGTCGCTAGATATGAATGATAACGGTAGGAGTAAGATTGGGCTGATGAGCGCGCTAGACTGAACGCTGAACTTGTAAAGGTGAATGACGCTCTCGCGGTAGAATAAGGCTGAGTTGCGATCTTGAAAAACGCACTCGAGACCACAAAGGCTGCTTCCGCCAACAACAAGGAGGAGCAGCCGCGGGAGATCCGAATGACGATCCCCGCCCGACGCAAGTTGGAGGCGGAGATCGACAGACTGCGAGACGAGGTGCGGGCCTTGAAAGGTCAAAAGGCGTCCGTCGAGCACAAGGCCGGCGAGATCAAGAATGAGCGCGACGACCTCTTGCGCGAGAAGCAAGAGTGGCAAGCTCGATTGTTGGAGACTGCAACAACAAGCGCTACTGCAACCAACGAGCAAAAGGGCGAGTACCAGCGGAGTGAGACTGGGACGCAAACGGATCTCGTCCAAGTTGCCGAAGAAGATCAATCTGCCGCCACTGCCATGGTGGCCGAGCTGCAGAATTGGAAACAATGGTTCGGCGAGCTGAACCAGGCATACGAAAAAACAAAAGAAACGCTGGGGCGGTGCGACCAAGCACGCCAGGCGGCCGCTGGAGAACGCGACGCGGCATTGGCACATGCTGCGAACCTACAAAACGAGGCGACGGAGGTGGTTCGAGTATTGACGCAGGAGAACGACGCCCTCAAAGAGTCGATTTCGCAGGCGCAGGTGCAGGCGAACGACCAGGGGTCCCGGAATAGCGCAGCGGCAGCAGCAGCAGCAGCAGCATACAAGACTGCCTTTGAGAATGCCGAAGCAAAGACTAAAGCCTTGGAGCAGGAGCTGAAACACGTCAAGCAAAAGTTCGAGGTATACAAGACGAGCGAAGTGACGGCCATCAAGCGGGAGCTGGCGCACTTCAAGAACGAACACAGTAGATACTTGACCATGTACGACAACGCGCACAAGGAGGTGCAGCAACTCGAGCAAAAGGTCGGCGGTCTCGAGGGCATCGAGGCCAAGTACGAAGAAGCCCGTTCGAAGGCGAAGAAGTACGAAAAGGCCGTCCTCGGAGAGGAACATTACAGAACGAGACACGATGAGATGGTCAAGAAGCTCGGCGATGTCGAGGCCGGCAAGCGATGGATGGAAGCGCAGGCCAAAGAGCAGATCCACAAATTGAAGGATGAGCTGCGTCAAGTCCGAGCTCGGTCCGTGGGGGGAGGTGGAGGCGACGGCGTGCAAGAAGCAGAGGACCGAATGCAAACGACGCCGCCGACGCCATCGCCCTTGCCATCGCCTGTTCCTTCATGGCTGAGAGACGCGAGGTCCCCCTCGCCAGCATCGACACCAGGTAGAATGGGTTCTCCCTCTCCTGGTGGTGCTGGTGGTGGCCGTGCCTCAGCAGACCGGGACCGAGCCGGGATGTTGAAGACGATCCGCGGCCTTGCGACCGACAAGGCCACCTTGAGCAAAGAGGTCAAGGGGCTCAAGGCGGCCAACGAGGACATGGAGCGTGAGATCGGTCGGTTGAGGACCGCCAACGCCGGCCTCGTGGGCAAGGTCGACGAGTTGGAGACGGAGGTCGACGTGTGGAAACAAACCAACGACGTCGACGTCGAGAGGCAGAAAAAGGCCGCCGCCGAGAACGAACAGCGCCTGTGCTGGAAGCAGGCCGAGGTCCACGCCGCAGAGAGCAGGGCCGAGGTGGTAGCTAGCTTTCACGACGCGCTCCGAGCTCAACAAAGCCAGCAAGGGCAAGAGCAACTCGACGAGTCGACGTCGCCTAGGAAGAAGAACAAGCGCGTCGCCAGTGAGAAGCTGGGAGGCACCGTGAAGAAGGGGCTTTGGCAAGAGGAGGAGGAGGAGGAGGAGGAAGAGGAGGAAGTTAGTGAGGAGGAGTAAATGGGTGTGTACGTGAGTAGGAAGGGAGGGAGGTGACACGATAAAGGAGAGCAAAGAGGTTGGAAAGGGGAGTTGGCAAGTCGGGACTGGAATTGGGATTGGGGTTCTGTGCAAGGATGACGATAATTTCCGTCGCATTAGGCAGACTGGACTGTGGGTGTGTGTGTGCGCGCATGAAGCGCCTGGAGCGCAGAAGCATAAACCGAAAAGGGGAACGGGTCAATTGGAGAGAGCGAGAGAGAGAGCGAGGTGTCTTGATTGTGTGAGTGCGAGACGAGTGGACTGGTGGTCCGACTGATACCAACAGCAACAACACAATGAATGACAGAGAGAGCTTCAACAGTTTTTGAGACAGCAATACAATGATATGACATGATATGATACGTCGCGAAGTGTGTAGTGACATGAGAATCCCACAGCCAAAGAACACACTGCACAGTATATATAGTATGTGTGAGTCTTTGCCATGCTACGTCTTCCAAGTAGGAGAAGGCTTGGGTTTCGAGACATTAAACAACTTCATCGCCTGCTATGTATGTATGGATGGAGGTAAGTAGAATAACCATGATACCACAACGGAACACATTCCATACACCTGACATCGTCACCATGCACACCCACGAGAAGTGAGAGTGAGCCGGAAGAAGGGAACTTGAAAAAAACCAGCCACACACAGACACAGACATATACATCCGAAAAAAGCCAGAAACAGTTCCACCAATGCTTCTTGCTTCTTGCTTCTTGCTTCTTTGTTACAACTATCAATATAAAAACAAAGACATTACCATTCATATCGTATCATCATCACCCATGAGGAGAAACGAAAAACAAAGACTTTTTGAGACATCAAGTAGGGATCCGGTACCACATTCAATCCCTCTCAGCACCAAAAGACATCTTCAAAGGACAACGAGATGGCGAGGAAAGAAAATCATCTCGCATAGGCAGGAGGCGGCAGTCTTTCCTCCTCCCTGGGAGACATTGGGCCAAAACTGCCCTTGAGTCTCTCATCTTCGTATCTTCGAGCCAATTCCGCGGCCATTTTCATCATCCACGCTCGCTCGGCGATACTGCCTGCGTTGCTTGGGTCGGCCACGAATTGAAGGAAATTAGGGAGTGGTGTCAGAGAAGGCCCCGACCCCGATCCGGCTTCCTGAAGGCCGGATTTCTCAGTAGAGGGGCCTGCGGGGATGGCAGGAGACGCCGTTGTACTTTGTTGGAACGAAAGTGGAGGTGGGACTTGGCCTTCCTTTTGAGGTGGAGGAATATACAACGATGCTCGTGGAGTTTCGTCGTCGTCAACATTGCTCGTTGTTGCTATGGTGGGAATAATCCTCCTATTGTTACGCACACGGATTGTTGCGTTGGGATCTGACGATTTTGGCGTAGCTTCCACGCCTAGTCGACGTTCGTCAATTTGTGCAGCCACAGAAAGCCCTGGGATGCCTTCACTGACGCTCCGCGTTCCACTGTTGTTGCTCCGATGATGTAGACTTTGTGGCAGGCCAGGTTTTCTCGCAACGACTGGGCTCGTCGGCGGTGTAATGATACCCAAGCCCCGTGGAGAGTCAAATGAGGTGGTAGCGGCTGGTGCAGAAAACACCGAAGGTGCTGTGGCTGAGGTACTTTCAGAAACACTTTCCGTGTCGATGTTTGAGCTGCCAGACTCCGTAACGCTCTCGGGCTCTCCCGTCTCTGGGTGGGCGCGCAAATCGACCACTCGCTTCTTCCTTCTGCGGCGATGTCCCTGTCCATGTCGTCCGCCGCCCATACCTAATCCATGACTCGCAGAATTCATAGTCTGCAGGGTCGGTCGTGTATGAGTGCTGTCGAACGTGTAGGTGGTTGCAGTACTCAGACTTCCAGCATACGAATGCGATCTCGACAACGCGGGCGTAGGAGATCTCGTATGAGGATGGGACGGCGACATTTCGCCACGTTCCAAAGGGCCAGTCCAGGCTCTGAACACCGCGTCTCGGATTGAAGGAGTGAACAGAGACAGAGTCCGGTGTGAATCGGTCAATGTTGCAAGTCTGATTAGGTTCTTCCTCGAGAACAACGATTGGGTCTCGACAGATGAATCGAGCGACAGAGATGCGATTTCAGCGGGAGTCAAGACTGCACCGGTACTATCGACAGGGTCTTGAGGAGGGCTGGCGAGAGGGTCGACCACAACCTCATCTTTGGTTGGCTGCAACGTACCCAGTTCCCGTTCCTCTTGGGCTTGCTGCTCTGGTACCCACAATCGCAATGATAGCCTATGAATGATGGCGGGTAATTCATCCATGAGCAGACCACGCAGTTGCGTTTCGATTTCCTTTTGCAGAAAGTTGGCCACGAATGGGATCGAGTCGAAAGTAGACGAGACGCGAAGGGATTCGAGAGGGTCATTTCGAAAGACCAGAGTCAAGCCCTTCTGTCGCGAAAAGACCAAGATGATGAAGCCCGTTAAGCGAAACTCTGAAAGCGTGATCTGTAGGGGGATGGTGAGGCCAGTATCCGCAGCCAACGGCTGTGGTGAAGCAAACGCGGATCGTGTGCGTAGATAAGTGTTTAACGGATTGGCCTGCACCTTGGTCTTGAGCGTGAGGTATGCGTTTCCCTTGTACATCATCTTAAAGGTGCCTCGAAACCTATCCTCGGCCAGGTCCCCGATCTCCAGAATTTCCAGCTCCGGCGGTACATCTCCCAGATTCAACTCATTCACCACGATATCGTCGACGATGATGGCAGGTTTAGGATCGGCTCGGTTCAGGGCATTCGTGAGGAGTTCCTGGGCCCGAGGCAGGAAGCCGGCGTCGGTAGATAAGGGCGACCAGTTGAAGTTGAAGGCCATTGTTGAAATGTTGGCCCTCTGGAGGGATGTTGTCGTGTGAGGGTTATCGCAGGGAGCAGGCACACTGCTTGACCATGGCTCAGGAAAAGCTTCTCGGGGAGATGGCCAAAAACACCCGATGATATCTGAAGATAGTCGCGGTACAGAGGGTGTGCGTGAACCGGTGTTCGCCGTGATCAGGAAAGGCACATGCACAAGGACTTTAGCGATGGTGGTTGGTGGTGGTGTGACGTTGTTGTCTGATCGAGACCGGCAGATGATGATGGTGGTGATCAAGCTTCACTTCACGCAAACGAGTTCTTGGGCAGACGAGGCCTGAGACCAAGACGAGTTGAAGAATGCACACGGACAGTCGAGGTGTTGTTGTTATTGTTACATGGATATGGATTCCGTGGGTGGAAGCGAAATTGGAGCGTGCAAAACTTTCCTCACAATCTCATTTCGCAGCTCACGGCGACCGAGACCATAATAATGAACTGTGCCTTCCCACTTTCTGCGAAAAAAGACGGGCACCAACGGGACGGAACAACCTTGTCCGGAGTCCCAACTACTCCCCCGTATAGTACGGTGGGCTAAGCGCCTAAGGTACTTACTAGGTGCCAAGGTAACTAAAGCTGTAGGCTTCGGCTGACGGATTTACTTTCATCCTTGAACCCAGTACCCTCCCGACCACGGTATTTGCTCCCTTACGGGCGCCGGGAGAACCCTCGTACGTACCGGCCTGTAGGCTGCCAATGGATGTATAAATGTCGGCAGAATAGTAAGAGACCAAGCCGTTCCCGGACCATTTCGAAAACAGACCGAGGGAGAGGACCAAGATGAGCCAGTACGGGTTGGTCTTGGACTTTTGCTTGAGGGAGTCAAAGCAGTGTGGACGTTTGTGGACGTTTTCTTCAAAGGTTGTCAAGTATGGCCTGCTGCAAGATGCGGGGGCCCTCATGTGGAGGAGGAGGAAACATGAACCACGCCCACGACTTGCCTGGACACTTCCTCCTGAAATACCTCCCTTGTTGCTCACTGCTTTACTTCACTCGTTTGACTATCCTGGTACTCTTGACCTAGTACGATTGCTGTTGATGGCTGACGAAAACGACACGCGGCCCGCCTGTCACCAATTATATTTGATTGGATGCGTCCCGTATTGTAGGGGTGGCATTGCAAGCCTTCTCAACCCCACTAACCGTAGTCAATACCTACATAGGTAATTAATACCTGGACACTATGGCTCGAGCTGGCTACTACCAAAGTCCACATCAGGCAGACGTTCTCCAAATTTTGGTCTATCCGGTGTCAACCTTCGACCTTGTCCAACTGGTATGCTGTCCATGAGATACAGCAGACCTTTGCAGGACCCCGGGCGCACGATTGATGAGTATAAATCTGGCATGGGCGACGACATTGAGCTGGGAGAGTCTGTACATGCCTATGTATCGAGTACACGCAGCTCCAATAATGCCGGTCCGAGTCAGAGTCGTCCTCAACGGCCGTCTCTGTCCTTGAAGATCCCAACGTTTCCATCCTCAAGGAGGAATCTTGAGCAGCCGGGTTCGTGGCAGTCCCGGTTCTCATTGAGAAGACATAAGCGACCTGCTCCACGACTCTTGACAAAGGTAGTGAATCTTCTGAGACTATGCTTCATGCTTCTGTGGGTGTATACAGATGCTCATTAACCTCAACCTTCACTAACCTTCCTCAGAGGAATATTGCACTGCGTCGCCTATGTCCTGGGCATCCTCAGCGCTCTCTTTCCGGATGACTTTGACCTGATTCCCATGCCCTCCAGGGAAGTCTTGATCACACCTGGAAGCACCGGGGCATGGTCAGAGGATCTCACCGCAGACGTTCAACCTCTGATGTGCCATTCCCACAATGACTACTGGCGTCGAGAACCCCTCCACCAAGCCCTCCGCGCAGGCTGTACAGGAGTCGAAGCTGACGTCTGGTACTTCGACGACCAGCTCTATGTGGCGCACACCGTATCGGGGATCCGCCAAAATCGGACCCTAAAGAACCTTTACCTCGATCCTTTGACTGAGATTCTCGATCGGCAAAACCAGCTCCCCAACTTTCTCGGCCCGCTGGGTGAGACAACACGCAACGGTGTCTTCGCCACACGTCCGATGCAAAGTCTTGTTTTACTGATCGATTTCAAAAACGACCCGGATCGCATCTGGCGCCGCTTGGAATCCCACCTAACTTACTTCCGGGACCACAAATACCTGACTCACTTCAACGGCACTGCGGTCGTTCAAGGCCCTTTGACCATCGTCGCCTCCGGAATGGCCCCTTTCCATCGCATTGTGCAAAGCTCAACCGCCCGGGATGTTTTCTACGATGCTCCACTCGATGTTCTTGCCTCGTTGACGGGTATCAGAGGATCTTCGGCCGCGTCCTTAGCCCACTATGCCGCCGACGCAGATGACCCTTCCCTCATCGACGCGCCTTCCTATCCACAGAATGCGGCTGTTTATTCCCCCGCCAACTCCTACTACGCATCCGTCTCCTTCGCCCGGTCAATCGGCTATCCCTGGCACTCGACCCTGTCACAGGCTCAACTCGATCTCCTGCGGAGACAGATTCGCGCCGCTCACAGCCGCGGCCTAAAAGTGCGGTACTGGGGCATCCCACCCTGGCCCGTCGGCTTGCGCAATTACATCTGGCGCGTTCTTGTCCGTGAAGGTGTAGATTATTTGAGTGTGGATGATGTCGCTGCTGTCACGAGGGATAATTGGGGTCCCAGGAAGGGCGGATGGGGAAGAAAATGGTGGCAATGAAGAAGAAGAAGAAGAAGGAGGAGGAGGATGAGGAGGAGGAGAAGAAAATAAAAAGTAAATTATATATACCTAGGTAGTTTGAGGTGTACCAAAGCGTTACGAGGCGGACTTAGTTATTGCGAACGACGTAGAAGCAGATTGCTCGTCGAATTCTCACGAACCGCTCTTGGACATCACTCAATGGGTGTGCCATCGCAAAACTCTCCTCAGAGCTGTGTACCCTGGAGAATTAGCGAAGATGTGAGTTACGGATCTGAGACCGATTCTGAACATGGCCAAGATGACCTCAGGTAATCAATCATAGTGCCACCGGGAGGCGTCAGAAAATGGTTTTCCTGAAGCGTGAGACCGCTGATACAAACCTGTTGGACAGAGATGGCTATGTTCCGAAGCATTGTCCCGGCACACTTGTCGTAGCCAATTTACACGGCAATCTTCCCCGTTGAGCCAAAACGCCACGGGCGCAAACTTGTTGGCCTGGCAGCCCTGACATCGATCCGAAGCGGGACAGTTGGTGTAGACGGTATGACGGTAGCCGATATCTCGAAACCTATCGTAGTACAATACGCAAAGCGTCAGCGAGCAGCACAAACATACAAGCAGGGCTTCCACCACCCGGGGGGGGAAGGGGGGGGGGCTTCCAACCAGTGTATACTCGACACGTTCGCGAAGAGCCCCAGCGCGATGCTGTGGACCGGTGCGTCTCCCCATCGTTCGTAGAAAAACCCGTTCGTGCGATCCAAAGCTTGGAAGTAAGACTCGTAGGCAGGGTGTCGCCAGAATTCGAGGTCGCCAATTTCGAAATTGCTCCAGAAATGGCACGTACTATACCCGTTGGCCCGGGCATTGTGTTCTGGTCGCCCCGTGCTGTCGGTGAGCCAACCCCAAGCCATTTGATGGCTGAGATGTTGAGGGTTTTTGGCGATGAAGTCGAGCGTCTGCGGCCATAATGATGGCAGGGTCAGGGGGTCGTCGTATATATTGATCGTAAATCCGTACACCTTGTTGTTATCCGACATGTATTGAAACACGTCGTACTCGACGGCGCAGAAGAACCTATTTCGAGAGGCCATCAGCACCGACGAACCGAGGGAGTCTGCCAGAGGGGCCCTTCGTCCACCCGTGGAGAACGTACTGTATCCACGGTTCCACGCGCCAGTAATACCGAATGTTGTCGAGTGCCGGGTGTTTGTAGAAAAAGCCTGAATACCACCGACACATTTGGTGGTAACTCAAGTCTGACGCATGTTTGACCCCCTGAGAAAGCATCTCGGCCATCCGCCGGGCCATCGTGTCCCTATCGACCGAGTCCGGGACATCCCAATGCTCCTTGGGGATCTGCTCTGTTGTGTTTTATCACAAGGAATGAGCATCAGCTGCCATGGACCGAGGCGATACCTTCCCAAGATTTCACGATACGACCGGCCACACAAAATGACATGGTGGAATCACTCACCATAAAAGCATGCGGCTTGGGTCTCCGAGGCCGTGCGGCGTTTGAACTCATCGGTGAACGGATCGTTATTGAAGAAAATCCAGGGGTATTGGAATTTCGAGTTAAAGCTTTGCTCGACCTGACGCATCGAGTAGACGATCCCGCCCAACTCTTCATTTCGAACCAGGGCGATGAACGCCGAGTCATTGCGCGATGGCTTACGGTTGCCGACGTCGTCTGCCCGTAATAATGCTGTCATGGTGAACGGCTCGCCCATCGCTGCAGAGGAGCAAATGGCTCATGTCAGAAAAAGAAGATCCAAGAGAGGAGTATAGAGGACTCGTACGTATGTGTGCGGTTCGAAGGAGAAGGTCCCCGGAGCTCATCAAAAAGTCACCCGCCAAATACCACAGAGACGAACACCCAACCAACAGCACCAGAAGGTAGGCTAGCTGTCGTCGACGCCGTGGCGGTAACATGTCTACAGTCACCTGAAGTCCCCAGACAGAAACCCTCCTTTGTCTCAACCAATGCTTTGGCAAACTGTTTTCGCGCCCGCGTCAACCAAACACCATGGCCATCTGAAAACCCGGTCAGCGAGGATAACGAGCATCTTGCGAAGCGATATATAATGTTATGGAGCGTGATTGGTACCGGGCGGGTGGCGGATGTTGATGCTCGGCCGAATATGGTCGTATGCGCGTCCCAGTCCAACCAATGGCATGGGAACTGTTGGTCACTGAAAGCAAGCCTCGTCGCCTCTAGCGTTGTTTTCAAGATCTAAAGGGTGGGGTGTGTCGATGGGTTGACGGAGAGGACTCTACACCGTAACGAGGCAACGGGATTCTCGGTCGAAGGCGCTCGATGGAGGGTCATTCGCATGCACCATGACGAAAGCATGCTCAGATACAACAGTCGCCTTCATGCTGACGGCTTTTTCTACATTGATCCAAGGAACGGGAAGACCTGTCTCATGTGCCAGCGAGAAGGGTCGCACAGGCTCGACTAGGTATGAAGACCCAGTCCCATAGTACGGGTCACGATATGCCCGCTCAGCCTCTGTGGTGACGTGTAACACGTTCTATGGGACTTCTGGTCCAGAAAACAACCCCTGCTCCGTAGTCGCACATTCGGGATAGAAAGCCTGGCTGCCTGTCAAACTGTTCCCTGGCTCGACATTCTTTCACCCTCGACCCACAGTACATACCGATCCCCAATACCCACCGATGATGTGACCTCCTTCCCATTTTGGGAGCTACGGCCGATTTTCACCTGATGAGTCTCAGCTTGCGACTACGGTTTCCCATTTCTTGTTTCTCATTTCTTGTTTCTCAAAAATCCGACTACGTCTCTAGGCCTATCTGTAGGTGCACGGAGAGAGGACGGAACCTCTGCATTGTCGTTCAGAACACTAAAATGGCTGCGAACATCTCAGTGTGGTTTTCATACATTCTAGATTGGGTTGTGGAACTATTAGTCTATTCCGCCGCTCTAGCTAGCTCTCTTTTAACAATTCTGTCTTGCCAGCGCACTCCAAACTACATTATCGGCAAATTCATGCTTCACGTCCTGATAATATTGGTGTTTCGTATATACGACTATCTAGTCATACTTTTGACTCTCGATCCCGAGATTTATGCTTGTATTGAGCTGATATACTACCCCATACTGATTGCTTTCTGCGTACTGTTTATGTCGTGCCCACTGTAATCCGAAGTTGGCTTCACCTTCCTGCATGAAGTGTCCCACGCCTCATTCTTTATCCTTATCTGAAGACCCTCCGCTCTCATCGGATACCCGCTTCGTACGTTTGCCCAAAGCCTTCCCGAGGGCTGCCTCAGCTTTGGCGGTGGCTTCATCCTATGAAAGCTTATGCACCATGGCAAAGTGCTTACGTAACTTGGCAACCTGGGTAAACGACGCCGTCGATTTGCAGTCCATTTCTGGGCAATTGACAGCTGTAGGTGGTTTTCGTTTTCGCATTTTTTTGTTGAGGGTTTCCTCTGCCAGGATAACGGCCTCTTCGTCTGGCATTCCGTGAGCAGTCTTCAGATGGTCTCGGAGGCTGGATAGTTGTGTGAAAGGAGCCTCAAGCTTGCAGCCAGACTTGGGACATTGACGTGGCTCCGTCTTTTTGACATCACGCTTTTTAGACCACCCTACATTGACCTTGCGCTCCGGAAGGTATTGTTGTACCTCGAGTGCGTTGAGTTGATGTTTGTACTTCAAATGAATACTTAGTAGGTTGCACCGCTCGAATACCAACTCCAAACCACAATCTTGAATGAGTGGACATTGCTGAGGTTGGGGCAGACCGTCGTGCTCCGTTCTTTGATGTTTGCAGTACTCATAATAGGTTTGATACACTGGTGATGTGTCTGGATCACAGCCTGATTGACATTTGCGCGGTTTCCATTCATGCGTCTGGTACTTGTGATTGAGCAGAGCCTTTCGGTTTTTGAAAACTTTGCCGCAGCCTTCCTCTGAACAGCGGTGTTCCTCGTGTACTGTGTCTTGCTCGACGTCATGACCATCGGGGCCGGTGCAAGTGGCTTGATGCTTCTGAACAACGTAGGGATCCCATCTAGCATAGCCACACCCTTTGTTGCAGTGGTGTAGAAAAGCGACCGGGTCGTTTCTGCTCCCTCCGGTAGGAACGTGCTTTGCAATCTCCTCAGCATCATTGTGATCCCACTTGCCAATGATTCTGAACTCGTTGATGGCGGCAAAATGGTCAACAAAGGCATCACCTGCGAGCTCCCACGGCGTGTTGAAGGCTTCTTCTGTCATCAAGGAGCCGATGGACGCCATTAATAGATCATGCTCCAAAGCCTGGGCCTCCTCGGGATTTATAGAATCGTTTTCAGAGTCAGAGGGTCCGGCAGCGGCAGGCGTAATGAATTGCTGAACTATGTTGACGCTCGAGGTGTCAACTGAGAGCTGCTCCATATCTTCGAGAGCCATGTCGGAAATGCGTCGTTCCGGAACGCTCTCGTCCAATGCTTGTTGAGTACTGAGGACTGCGGTAGCAGAGGGCGCAAGGAGTTCTGCTCTCAATCAGCCATCATTCCGCGCGACTGTGTAACAATCAACCTACCAGGATCAATCAGCTGTCGAGGTACTGTGTGTTTAGGGGCCTGCACATTAATCTCGGAATCAGTGAGCCCTCTCAGCGGCAGGCGAGGGTTGTTGGAGCCGCCTGATGCAGTAGAGGTGCCAGTCGTAGCATCGTCGGGTACCGCGGTCGAGCTGGTCTTACGCTTTTTGGTTGCATGATTGTCTTGGGCGAGATTCCGTTTCGGAAGAGGAGCACGCTGTGCCTGATCCTTGAGGCGGAGTTCCTTGATCAAGGAGCGGCGAGCAGATCCGACAGCGTCGATTCCTTTTTCTGCTGCCAAGGCATCTATCTCACGATTTGCAAAGGTTGGACGCCGGATAGGTGGCAGACGCTCATCAGCTTCTGCCTCTCGCCACTCGGGAGCCAAGCGGTCCTGGAAAGGCGCTTTTGCTCTGGCATTGAAAGTCTGCTCTTGGGCGGGACCCACGTAGCCTTCAGTCACACCAGTGTTGAGACTCTTACGCTTATGACCCAATCCAGAAGCCACAGCTTTACTGGCCGTACCTTTAAGAGGTTTGTTCAAGTGAGCAATATCGCGTGCCGATCCACGACGGAGTGCCTGCGGTGTGATGGGCTTCAGGAGACCTGTGATGCATGACATGACACCCATGGTATCACGAGCCTGCGACGTTCCGGCTGGATGGTCATAGTCAAGGAGGTGGGCTCTCTTGATCTTGCAAAGAACGGGACGGTCCGGGAATCGCCATTGCACCAGTCGACCCCTCTGGCCCGATGTATGTTTCAGGACCTCCGCAAGGGTACGACCATACGTATTACCCTGACGCAGAGCATGGATGATCAGAAGCTTGACAGTGCAACTTGTGCTTTGAGAGGGATCGTCTAGTGGGTCGAACCACTTGATCTCATCTACGTTGGTCGTGTCCCTACGAAAAAGTCAGAGTCAGCCATTCTGGAAGATTTCGACGACGTCGATTTCTATCAGCAGGGCGTGCCGAGAACTTACTTCAACCCTTTCGTGAATCTCAATGTGACCTTGGCACGGAGTTGTTGGATGCTGGACGCATCCTTGTCAAGCCTCAACTCGATGTCTTTCCATTTGACATATTGATCGCCTTGATAAAGATATGTTCTTGCCACATCACCTGGACGAGCACTGCAGGCGACTTGTAGCATGATACCAAGCACACGTTGAATTGTAACGTCCCAGTTGTGAACCCCGTTTTGAAAAGCTGATCGGAAGTAGTCTCGGGTCATTCTCTGCACGAGATTGAAACCAGCCCATTGCTTGGAAACCCATTGGCCTTTGGTCAAATTCCCTGCTGAGACTTGCTGACTGAGATATGCGTTGATTCTAGATACTTCGTGAGTTCCATAGTGAGTGCTTATGTCTTTGTATTGAAAGCGTAGGTAGCAGATAAGCTGATACCAGTAGTCCTTGATTGTTTCAATGCTGACCACGGGCTTCGTCTTGTGACAAGGCTTGAGCCTTTTGACCAAGGTGACGATGAATCGTTGAATATTTTCACCGGAGAGGCATGTCTTGGGGCTATCCAGAAAACAAATTAGCTGTCTTGTCAACAACCATAGGGGCTTCGGCTAAGCTTACTCATGATTGATGGTGTTCATGAACGCATCGACATTGGTCTTGATGTAGGATTGTTGATAGGCTGAACTGGGAGCGCCATGGAGGTAAGACTGCTTTCGAACTGCCTTCTTCGAATCGACGCGGTCGGTTGCCTGGTGTAGAAGGATTTCTTCTCGAGTTCTCCTACCAGCATTCTCAAACCGTGCGTAGGGATTGGTGCTCGAGTTCCCTTCTGCCTCCGAGTCCTCAAACTCAGAGGAGTGGAGCTCGAGGCTCACGTCCTCATGTGCCATGTCTGAGGATTGACTAGACAGAAGAGACTGTTAGAGTAAGCTGAATCCGTCGTGGCAGATGATGGGGTTAACAGGAAGAGGGAAGAGGTTTAGAGAGGAACAAGCAGTATAAGGAAGTGGCGCAGGCAAGTTAGGCAGTAGTTTATCCTTCTAAAGGCAGGTGCAACGCAAGCAATAAGTAATGTCACGAATCTTGTTTCTATACAGTGCAGCAAGTGTTCCATCAGGGCCACATGGAATGTGTCATTACTGTTCAAGGGCATATTGTGAAAGTAATTCTTGTTCCAGATATTCTTCTTCTTGGCCTATGGCGATATCTAGGTTCTTCAGGCATCTCCACTGTCTTCCTCCGTCTCTCGCTCAACAGCGCATACTGGACAGCCACAAGAACTTTGCTCTGCTTCCGTAGCCTTGATTTCTTCTTCGGTGAGAGGCTCACCGGACTCCCGAAACGTACCCCGCTTACAGGGTATATACTCGTACATCTCTTCGTCGTCGTCGTCGACATCATCAATCTCTTCGTCCAGCGCAGGTATGCCAAGAGCTTCCAAGTTATCGCGTTCTCGCTGCATTCCTTCCTATTTATGATCAGCTCTGGCATGAAATCGACAGCGTCGAATACTTACAGCCTTTCTGCAAATGGCCTCCAACCGTTGGTTGAAGCGTTGTCGAGTCTCTTCGAATTGGAAGTCTGATTTGACTTTATCTAGAAGTGTCTCGTCGTCTATTGGCGAAGGATCGTTGTGTTGGTCATCGAGGACTTCTTCTGCCTCATCTGAGCCTATCTCTTCATCATCCTCGGAGACTGGGTTGAATTCATCTCGAAGAGTCTCGTCGTCTTTTGGCGAAGGATCGTCATGTTGGTCATCAAGGACTTCTTTTGCCTTATCTGAGTCGACCGCTTTGCCCTGCTCTCGGAATGAGCGAAACGAGTTGATCCAGCTTCGGGATGCCGACTTGCGGTCCTCATTTATGCGTTCTTCCTTCTCTTTCTGTATCTCTGCTAGTTCTTTGTTGGATTCTGCGATTTCCTGATCAAACTCTTCCATTTCACACTCATGGTCATGGCCATCTGAGCCTGATGATTCCGCGGGATTGTCCTCAGCCGACGCCGTCGATTCGGTGGAGTCGTGGTCCTGAGATTGAACATCCTCAACGCATCGAGAAGCCATATTGACGCAATGATATCGATGGTTATAGGTCTGACTAGGGCAGCTGGATGAGGGTAGAGAGAGTTGTAGATGAGAAGGACAGAGGAGAAGCGAAGTTGAGGAGGGAAAATGTTGCACATCCAAGTCTAGGTCATCGTGGAGTGAGGCAGAAGTGAAGCAAAACTAAGTCTAGGCTGTTATTGATTAGGGTGATACCAGGTATATAGTCGTCCTCATTATATTTTCGGAAACCTTTTACTTATCACTTCTACAACCTCCTTGTATTCTCTCTATCCTCATCATCACAAACACACAGTATGGCGCCGCCTAGGCATCTCCCTGAGGAGATTCAGGCAGCAGTACTCAGAATCAAAGACGTTGAAGTTAACAATAACACACCAAAGATCCTCAACCATGCCGTCGTTGAAGCCTTCTCAGAAGAATATCTTAAGGGTCTTAAACCCGGAACTTTTCTTCTTGGCACTCCAGATGAAGAAGACGAGCTTGCTCGTTCCAGTACCTCTCGCGGAGACGACAGCGTCGGTTTTGACTCTCTACCATCTTTTGGAACTCAAGACAGGAGGAGTGATGATAATGAAGAGGATCTATTGTCTGATAGCATGTCCCTTGATGAAGATCTCTATCAAGACGAAGATGAGATCCCAATGGGAATCGAACCAGATCGAAAGATCTTGGTAGATGGAGAGACGTATCATGTCGCTGAGTATCTAGGAAAGTCTTGGGTGGCAGAAATTGTATGTTGCTACAACTGTGTTGAGTCACATTGTACAGTCTGAACTAACAAAAATCAGATGGCACAGCATAATGTCAAGCCTCTCCAAAAGCCCCCAAACATTCTTTTCAATCCCTTTGACCACCAGCTCAAGGGAGCGGCGCAGATCGACCACTGCCTTGAAGGCGTATTCAAGTTCTTTTTGCTTGGCGACCGCATGGGGATGGGAAAAACACTGACCGCAACCCTGGCAATGTGGATACGTAAGGACGAACCGGGGATGAGCTTGGTGGTGGCACCCGCTAGTGTATGTGCGCAGTGGGTAAACGACATACATCGCTATTTTGATGAGGTAAGCTACAATTATTTCGCCATCGACGCGGTCGGTTTTGCCATGATTGCTCACGCTACCGTCTCAGGAAGGTGGACTGAGGGCATACTGGCTTCACGACCCGAGAAAATCGGCATCTTGGCTGCTCTCCCAAGGCTTTGACATTATTGTGGTTTCTTACGAATTTCTTGAAACGTCCCTAAGGCCAATCCAAGCATTTAAAGGCAGTATCGAGGCATATGCCAACGCAACAAGACATGCCACTAAGAAGGTACACTACCCAAAGCGCCCGACCTCGGCTTTATTCTCGAAGATATGGAAAGTTACTCAGCAGCCTTGGAAGAGAACAGTCCTGGATGAAGCTCACTGTGTGAGCAAGCGTTCTGGCAAACGTCACCAAGCCATACTCAAGCTGCCAACAGTAGGTGTCGTGTGTCTTTCTGGCACGGCAGCTCATAATAAGTGGACTGCCTTCTCCGGATATCTTGATTTCGTCAAAGCGCATCCATGGACAAGTCATGCCCGCTTCATGCGGACCTTTTGTGGAGCAAATGCAAATCCCAGTAATCCTGGAGTGGTAGAAACAAGGCTCCTACAACGGATGTTGCAAGCCATTCTGGTTGCGCGGCCTTTGGATGCTGAAGGAATGTCAAGATTGCATGGTCTGACAGCTTTTGCCGTTTGTTTCGAGCTAGATCCCTTTGACCAAATCTTGGTCGCAACATACACGCAAAAGTATAAAGAAGAGGTCGTCAAGACCGCCCGGATGGGGGACGACCAAACCGATCAACTCAAAAACGACGGCGACGATTCTCGATCGGCGATGGGTTGGGCATCGAAGGCTCGCTGTGCAGCCGCCCACCCGTTGCTTCTCGCTGAGATCCCAAAGAAAGCCAATGTGCAAGTTCCTGAGACCTCAGAGCAAGGGCCTACATTCGGCAGACTCAAGACGATTACTGAAGACATCCTGGACACAGAACGTGATTATTGGCTTGGCTTGGTGCAGAAAGATTCCCGGCTTATGGAGAATTCTGCTCGTGTCAGAGTTTGTGTTGCAACATACCTCTGGTATCGTGCACAGTATCCAGGCGAAAAGATCGCCATTGCCTCAGTGTCTCTCAAGATTCTGGACATCATGGATGAGGTCCTCAAGAAACGTTTGCAAATCGACGCCGTCCGTTTCGACGGTACTGTGGCCCCACAGAAGAGGCATGCGACACTACGAAAGATGGAAGTTGCCGCACCAGAAGTACCACTTCTGATAACGGCTGGCGCTGGTAAGTCAAGGTGCTACCTAACGAGACAATTACCTGACCTGTAATACTTAGGTGCCTTCGGTATCAACTTACCATTTATCTCTTGTCTCATCCAGATGGAGCCGTGGTGGAATATCAATATGGAACTCCAGTATACCTTCCGTGCCTATCGTCTTGGACAACAGAAACAAGTCAAGTACATCCGCTTGGAAGCCACAAATAGTGCCATCGACCAAGAAACCATCGAGGTACAACTCAGGAAGAAGGCCGTCAACGACCGTGTCATGGCACCTCTCACCCATAGCCACAAAGATGAACCAAAGATCCTGGACCTCTGGGTCTAGCACAACGGAAGGTTCTGATCATTGAGAATAGGGAAGAATCGACGCCGTCGCTTTCCCCTTGCCAGACAGAAGTATACTTTCGAAGTCTCAGGAGGAACCAAGAAGAGAGGATTTTCATAACCTGTCTGCTTTTCTACATAGACATACCACATTGCATTCTTCCAAGAGATGATATTAGAGTCTGATACCGAGCAACTAAACTCGGCCACAATAACAATATTGCGCTGTGAGCATAGAGGTGTTCTTAAGGTGGAGGAACAGACTATAGTCTGATAGAAGAAGCACATGGTGCATTTTGTATTTATCAAGAGCAATGGCTCTGCAGCTGGCGGTCCCCGATGGACTAATTTGGGCGACCCGTCGGGGTGACTCAGTCCAAATGCAGTGAAGTGAAATGATCTGGTAGGTAGCTGTGTCTGATCCCACTGCTCACCTTCTTGTCACTTTGTTCTCCCAAACCACCCTCTTTCATAGACCATTTTCCTTGTGGAAAGCGGCATCTAGTCCATCGACGCGGTCGATAACGGCGCTTCTCAACATGGCAACAAGAGAGGAGATACGGGAGGGCAAGAAGGCCAAGGTGACTCAAATAAAGGACCTTGCGTTTAACATGTTCGGCAAGGCGATGGAGGACGGCGTCAGCGATAGGGAGAACCCTCAAGTGATAGTGGCCCGGGACCATACCAGCGTCAACTGGATGGTAATTTTGAAAAAGCCGGACCAAATTGACCCAAATGCCAGCCTCTTTCGTGCGAAAATGGACTTTACCCCGCGAGAAGCAGAAACAGATTTGGCTCCTCAAATTGGCACTCAGCACTATTTAATTGTTGGTTACGCCAAAGCAGACCTCGACAAGAAGTATTTCCAGCAAGACGCAGGCGTCACGGCCAAGATGATCGGATACGATCGTCCGGCAGAGATTCTCCCCTGGATTGATTCACAGAATCCTACCTGCTACGTGGTCACCCCCATTACCGATGCTGTCCCAGAACAGAAGAAGTTGTACGTTCTGTTGGCGCAAAAGGCTGGCTTGTGTACCCCTTATCAGATCTCGAAGGACATGGTCTTCTGGCGTTGGGAGTATCGCAGTGATGACAAAAGTCTATCAAAAAGAAAGGTTGCTTGGCCCAATCTGATGACCCAACACTCCGTGCGTGTGGGAACAAACCTGCCGGCCTCAAGCAAACAAGAGGTGTTCAAACGCGCCCAGAACGTGGGCAAGGTCATCGTGGAGCCTCACGAAGACTTGGGCAATGAAATGAAGATGATGGCACTGGCATTCAAGGAAACCAAGAAACCCTGGTTTTTGGCTGAAATGAAGAGGCTTCTCAAGAGAGCCAACATCGACCTCGATTATAGGCCCTTGCTACCAAACAAGGGTCTCCGAACTTTCGTCTTACTCGACGGCGTCGATTTCGGAGAGGACGATGCGAAGTGTGTAGTCGAAGAGGTGGCTTCGATGTGGCCTGAAGTTGAAGGCATGACTGCGGACAAGGTTCTGTACCTCAACAAACTTCTTCGCCAGGAAGGATTTCAAATCAAACTCTTCCAGTTGAAGGGACTCCTTGCGGAAGCAATGTATCAGCTAGCGGAGGTCACTCCTGACAACCCCTTGATGGATGAAACAGGCTTTGTTGCTACTCTCGCTGCCACGCTCGACCGAGTCGTTGGTAAGGAGGCACAACCAAAACCGACAGCGACGAATATGACCGAGGAAGCCCGTGACGCACTGCTTGCTGCTGTCCTGACCAAGCTGAAGGAGATATTGGAGGTTTACCACAAATTCCACGACGATCTGAATGCCCTTTTTGGCGACCATGTTCTTGAGGGCGCTGGGCCGTATGATTTCTGGAGCAAATTCAAAGAGTCTCCGGACACCGACTCTGCTAGGATGTGCTTTTTCCACGTTTTCAAATTCATGGCGGTAGAAGAGCAGCACGTTCTCCATGAGGGTTTCATCAAGCCCCTTCGGGAAGTGGTCCAGGTGCTCGAGAACTTGGATCTATCTGCCAACTGAGGTCTAGAGGCCTTCTGCTTTGGCATTCTTGTCCAACTCATGGCGAAGTATTTACAGTGGCGGGGATTAGGATCGACAGAGGGCGAGGAGGCAGCGCTTCTGGAACTCGGACTGGATCGAGGATGATTGTTGTCTTTCGGGGTTAGCTCGAGGGGCAGGCTTTTGGTACACTATCTCGGGTGATGAGTTGGATTACGCGGTTTCTGTGGTCCTTAGATGACACATGCAACGGGTTCGCGTCTCTGGTAGCTCCGAAGACCTGGCATCATTGACAGGTTGACAGAGCTCCATTCCCGCAGCCGCTTGACAGTAGAAGGCGCGCCCGGCGCCGGCGCGATGCACTTTCTTCTCCGCACTATGTACCTAGAAGCACAATAGAAACCGACGCGGACGAATACGACCGCGAAAGTACGCAAGGCACCAACCCGAAGAATGAGAGTTCTGAAATTGGGCTGCTTTTAATAGCATGATACCAGAGTTATCGCCTCGTGTGGATAACTATCTACGCTCTTCTGCCTGTAGTAATCTTCAATTGACATAAGGCCATGCACCTTCTAAGCCGCCTTATGCTACCACTCTGCGACCTGATCATTGACGTAGTCCACTTCGTCCGGGCGAGGGACAGACTGAACGCGAGTCATCCATGCTCTGCCAAGAATATCTTTGAAAGACCAACGTTCGCCAATCTCCGAGTCGTAGATGAATCCGATTTCGAATTGCTCTGGCGTACCAGGCACGGGGTAGGAGGGAGTTCTCGTAAGTCTCTCATACGGCTTACTGGGACCGTCTGCGAAAATCGTCAGAACACCCAACATGAGATATCGAGAATACGAAAATACCTATGCTATCCTTGTAGTGTAGAATAATTCGCATCTTTCCGTCGGACGAAGGGTTCACCTTCCAGGCTTCCGTGATCCCGAACCGGTAGAATTGGTCGACACCGACTCGTGTATTCTGTGTAACAGATGAGATGAGGAAAGATGCTGTAGACTTATAAACATACTTGTGGAAGAAACCAGGTAATGCTGTTTGGATGCTCTTCAGATGACCAGCCCCAATGGCTCGCCAGACGTTTACCGATAACCGTTGGAGCCATGGCTGTGGACTGGGGGCTGTGGAATGTTGACGGTGTGCAGAAAATAAGGAGGTTGGAGAGTACGAGGTGTAGCGCAGGCAGGACAACAGATGCCTGAAATTGCTGCAGCCTGGCAAGATGGGTGAAGTGAAGTAGATGTGAGGTGAAGACAACTAACCTACCTGCCACTCTCGCGTCTGTATCCAGTCACCTGCATGACAAACACCTTCGAGTGACGGGAACAGCACGCACACTCACCTGAATCCAATCCACGTCGATCTATCTATCGTCGCTTAATTCAGCTCAGAACCTTACGCTCTCGCGTGTACCAATACCTTCAGCGGCCTAACTCTTCATTTTCCTGGGCAGATCGACGCCGTCGAATTGCACACATACCCCACCATGTCAGATCAGAATGACCCAACACTCTCGCCTCCCCTCCGTCCATTCCGAACCAAAGATGACCTGGACGAGGAAGACAAGGACGAACTGGAAATTCTGATAGATCGGCTCACACTCTCCTGCGATAACTTGGCAAAAGCTAAACCGGCCGGCACCAGAAGACGATTTGGTAGAGATGACAGAAAAGACCTCGAGACCGACCTGGAAAATTTGTTTGTTTTGCTCAACGACTGGTTGTCCAGACCAAGAGCCAGCACTACAGCGAAAATTCAGATATCAGAGAAAGCCAAGAAGTCCAGCCTTCAACTTTTTTTTCTTCTCGAGACATACGAGATCGTTACAGGTGCAGGCATTGTTCTAGGTGATGACTTCGTCGAGAAGATCTTCTCGGCGGCTGTCGACTTCGTGGCGGCTCTGGAGCTGGAAGAAGTACTCTTGGACAACGGAGAAATGTGGAAACCTGCCTCCATTGAGCGATGGGAACCGAGCGTGCACGGCCACGAACAAGAACGTAAGTTCCATACCCCTGATACATCAATCTTTTCGACGCCGTCGATTCTGACAATATAGACTTTTCCTTTTCAGCACCAACACCGGAAGAGGCGGCAAGAGAGAGAGAGGAGGCGAGAGCGAGAATTGAGAGATTGTTGCAGGAGCAACAGCGCAGCCTACCTCGGCCAGTCATCATGGATCGAATTGATGTCCACACAGACACAGTCAAGAAGAAGATCACAGACATATCAAAGGAGCAGGTGAACAAGGAGGCACACTATCATGGCATGCTCGGGAAGAAGTGGCTTGAAACAGCCCAAGAGCGGCTAGAGAATTTGGGCCGGGTGGAGATCGCGGCGAACGAAGAGCCCGATGAAACCTTGGCCGTCGATCACGATCGTGCTGGAACGCCAGATGACGATGATTTGTTGAGATATCCAGATGCGGATTACGTTCCTAGAAAGGAGGAGTAGAGAATGAGCATAATCGACGCCGTCGCTTTTTGATCCATAGTCACAATGTGCCTCGAAGTATTTTTTTGGCGTAGCTACGGAGGAATTAAGTTGGCCAAGTATATGAACTACTCCAAATACCTACCTAGGGTCAGGGGTACCCGAGTATTGTGCCAAGTACTGTGCCAAGTATTGTGCCCCGGGATGTACCAAATAAGGTAGGTAGTAGACACCTCTAGGTGTATCAGGTTACAATATGCAGCTAAATATGTCTACGCTCCTACGAAGCGGGGTTCCGAAGAGGTAGTGAAATGGACGTGGTTGGTGCTTTCCTTCGAGAAGCTAATGGAACGGATCTATCCCTCATGTAAGTGGTTGTGTGAGTCGTCACCACTTTAGGTCTTCTTCAAAGCGGTTTGCTGACATTTGTGCTTGTGTAGCGTGGTGGCTGCTGCGGGAGGCGTCTTGAACTACATCAGTGGTTTTCACAGGCCGTTTTCACTTACCGACACCGACATCGCGTATCCCAACAAGCCGGACATCGTGTCGCTACCGGTCCTAATCATTGTCGCTCTTGTTCTTCCTGCAGCCATTATTGCTCTGGTGAACCTTTTCACGGCGGCAGTCTTTGAATCTCCCTCTCGACCGCATCGCTTTCGCAAAACATTGTGGGAAATTCACGTGGGATGGCTGGGTCTCTGTGCGGGTCTGGCCGTCACGCTGTTTGTGACGTCGGGCTTGAAGGATATGGTTGGAAAGCCTCGACCACACCTGCTCGCGGTGTGCCAGGCAGACACATCTCGGATCTCTGAGTTCACCGTGGGCGGCTTCGGGGTCTCTCTGGACTCTGAAGCCGCGGCCCTCGTGAGTTCGGGCATCTGCCAACAATCCGACAAGCGACAACTCGACGATGGCTTTGCCGCCTTTCCGTCTGGCCATTCGTCTTTCTCATCGGCTGGAATGGTCTATCTAAGCTTGTGGCTGTGTGCGCGCTTTTCGCTGTCGATACCTTACCTCGACCTATCCATCGATCAACTCAGACAAGGAGTTGGGAAACAACAGATGGTCGCGTCGGCACGGACCAGACAAGCAGCTCCCCCGATGTGGCAGTTTGCGCTCGCGTTTGCGCCTATTGTGGCGGCTCTGTTCATATGCTCCAGCAGATATGCCGACTTTCACCACTCCGGCTTTGACATTATTTGTGGTGCTGTAATCGGATCGGTCTTTGGATGGGCTAGTTTTAAGTTCTATCATCTGCCGATCCGCAGAGGGCACGGGTTGCTCACTTGGGGGCCGAGAGCCAGGCGCCATGCTTGGATCTACTACAGGGAAGAAGACGAAGTTGCTGAAGACCGGGGAGGAGTTTTGGACTACGAATTGGGCGCCTATGGCCCAGGCACTGCGGGAAGAGTACAAACAGGCTCGTCTGGTCACCCCATTCTACCTTAGCAGAGGCAGACCAGCAGATCGTCGTGGGGGTTTGGAGACTCCTGAGCATCCTTTGCACCGCTTACGGATATTTACTCCACCGGCAAAGAGTGTCACTCGCGGTCTCGGATTGGCTACTCGCTTCTCCACATAGGGACTAGAGCCTCCTGAGATCTCGACATCGACATCCCGACGTGCAGATGTGATTTGTACGCCACGTAGAATGACAAAAAGTCATTAGGTAACTGCAATTTGAGTAAGTTACAATCCAGGTGCAGTTATTATCACGCCTGTCCGTTGGCATCGTCGTCATCGGTTCGGTCTTACACAGCTTCTCTCGAAGTCACCGTCCACTGTTTCCTTTCCACCAGGATTGGCCTCTTCTCCAGCCGAGCGAGGTACGCTTTAAACCCGGAACCGAAGAAGTTCTGGGCGAGGGATATCCTTCCGCAGCAGATCCCCGATGCCCACATCATGGCCTTCGGCTATAACTTCGCTACGGCGTTTGAGCGATCGCCGGGTGAGATCATTGACCATAACTGAAAGAAGAAACAAGCTTTCCCGATCCCCAGTCACCCAGGAACAGTAAGATTTGGACAAGCTTTGGGCTAAAGACCAATCACCGCCGCGGTTGGAGCAATCATATCTCAGTTCGACTGAACGTGGCCAAGCAAGCATCCAGCTTCACTCAATCTATTGCCGTTTTATATTTCTTCCAACCCAGACTGTTTCCTACTAAGAGCCGCAGCGACATACAGCTCCGTTCCCTTTGGCTCACGTTCAACGACCTGGATATCCTTCCACCCTAAAGAGGTAGGTGCTGACGCGGCTAGACCAAAAAAATGCTGAAAAATTCTCGTTGTACCTGAGTCTGCTGTACCTGTAGGGTAGTGACGAACAAGTTCTTATAGTTCGCAAACTTCCACTGCCGAAATGAAAGCTGGATCATCCAACAGAATAAACCTTTGGTGTCCAGGAGAATGGCTTCACTTTCTAAGTTTGTCCTTGGTGTTGCAGCCGCGCTGCTGACCGTCCAGATCCGCGCCGCACCAGTCCCAGAGGTTCCCTACAAATATGTCTTAGCTTTCAGTATCGACGGTATGCATTCCAGTGACGTGGAAAAGTACACTGCGGCGAGACCGGGCTCCAATATAACCAAGCTTTTGTCCACCGGCTACGAGTATACGAACGCCTTCACATCTGCCGTGAGTACCTCAACTGACCTGCTTGCCCCGGCGAAGATTATGAGTTAATTTCCTCACTGTAGCCTTCGGATTCTTTTCCCGGTTCCATTGCACAGTTCACTGGTGGAAGCCCACGAACCACAGGCATCTGGTATGACGATGTATGGGACTGGACGTATTATCCGCCAGGAAGCAACTGCACCGGCACTCCAGGCGCCGAGGTTGCGTACGCAGAAAACCTCGATTACAACTCGAGTCTCCTGTGGTCCGGGGGGATTGATCCCGGGAACCTGCCGCAGACGCTTGTAGACGGCAAGTGCGTTTCCGTCTACCCACATTCGAGGGTGCAGGTGAACACGGCCTTCGAGGTCGCTAGAGCGGCAGGGCTTCAGACGGCCTATGTCGACAAGCATCCCTCGTACGAGATCATGAACGGTCCCAGCGGCAAAGGTTTGTCCGTGGGCTACTTCCCGGAGATCCAAGCAGTCCCCGTGACGGTGAACGACACCATCGCGTACGACGAACTGCACGTGCAGGCCTGGCTCAGCCTCATCGAAGGCAAGGCGCCGTTGAACTCGAGTGGAGCTCTCAACACCTCGGCGATGCCGTCGTTGATGGGCGGGAATTTCCAGTCGGTGTCCGTGGCGCAGAAAACCGTAGGGTACAACAACGACTCAACCTCATCACTGAGTCCTGCTCTGATCCACGCGTTCGACTATGTGGACGCCGCTCTCGGGCGGATCCGGGCCAAGCTGGAGCAGAAAGGGTATCTCAACGACACGTTGATCATCGTCGCCAGTAAACACGGCCAGGCTCCGATCAACCCCCGGCTCTGGACAGAAGTCGATCCAGATGCGCTGGTCAACGCGACGGGTGTGCCGGTGGCCTTCGCGACGGTGAGATAAATTACTGCCCCCCACCCTTGATCGTTAACGGTATGAAAGTCAACAAGGCTGACTGACGGCTTAACCATAGACGGATGACATCGGCCTCATTTGGCTGAATGACACGGCTGACATTCCCACCGCGGTCGGCAATCTTGCGAAGAATGCATCCGAGCTGGACATTCAGACGACGATCTCCGGCGCTCAATTGATCGCACAAGGATTTGGGAATTCGGCGGCGTCATCCCGCGTGCCCCATCTCATTGTTCGACCAAAACTTGGGACCTGCTTTACAACGTCCAAGACGAAATTGGCGGAGCACGGCGGCTTGAGCGACGACGACCGAAAAGTCGCATGCTTCATTAGTAACCCTAAGCTTCAGAAGATGACCTGGTCCCAGGCGGTCAACACTACCCAGATAGCGCCCACGATTCTAAAGGCCCTGGGGCTGGACCCAAATGCGCTGGAAGCGGTCCTGTCTGAGAATACGCCACTTCTACCTGGCTTCGCTTAATTTGATATATGCTAAAATCAGTACCGGTACTTCGTATCGAACGCTATATAATAGAAACGTCAGAAACGTCGAAAGCAAAAACCCTGAAATCCACGGTCATTGACATACAACTCGTAGTTCGGACCCAGTCTGTCACTGTATGCCGGGGGAAAGTGGACTGAAAGAGGCGACATCGAAACCCCCGGTTGACGTCGGTGATAGTGGGTGACTCGTAATCGAGACGTGGACAAAACACACGAGCGGAACTCTGCTCTTAGATCCTCTGGACGGTGTAGGCCACGGCGCGACAGAACTCGCTCCCTGACAGGTACTTATCATCCAGAGTTGAACCGCAGGTCTGGAGAAGGAATGACGTGACCAGTTAGGGATGAAGGCTCAAAAAAGAGTAGAAAAAGTAGCCCAGATCCGAAGGGGATGAGAGAGAGCGCGCGAGCCCACCGAGCACCCAGTCAGCCATCTGATCTATTTCTCCGAATGGTGTCTCTGCATATCCCGACGAATCGTCGTCTTCCTCGTTCGACAGGTAGAGAGACATGGCGAGAAAAGGTTCAACAGGCAAGAAGATGTGACCGTCCGTTGTTTTCCGTTGCTGAGAAGAGATAAATCATCCACCGACGGCGGGGTGCTTACATAACCAGCCTCGCGCCCCGTCCCTTCCCGCCCCCCCCCCGCCCCCCCGGGGGGCTGGAGGGTCTCCCTTACGTTGCAAAAAAAGCCTAATTAGCTCTACGAATACCTCGAGGTACCTGGCTGGATATATCCGTGTCCGAATGTCCACTGGGCAGAAGGAAAGGAGCGAGCCAAAGGGGAAAAAACAAAGAAACATTGTTCACAACTAAAATACTGACTAGGTTGAAGCCCATGGGATGGGAAATGCAGGTAAACGAACACAGGTAAGAGAATATAGATAAGTAGAGAGAGGGAGTAATAGCGTTATTAATAAGCTTAGTTATAGTACAACCAAGACGTCTATTAATGATAGCCTTGATTAGGCCTAGAATAACGGCCTTAAATCGCGATAATAGATATCTAGCGGTTAAGTCCTAATATAATACCTTGGTTATAAAGCAAACATAAACATATTTCGACACCTATACAAATCCTAGGCAGGAAGAGGTGGAAAATGTGCCAGGGACCCCTTCGCTATCCGGTTCGACTTAACTAGCGTAGATACTACTGCGACCGCCAGGTCTACTATCGCCGTAAACTCCAGAACGGCCACGGCCGCGGCGCAGTCCTTCGCCTAACGCCTCGCCTGAGCTAGTGCGTGGATTGCTTGCGTCAACAGCGCCAGCTACCATTAGCAATGGTAGTGGCAGAGGTAAACGAGTCCAAAACGGACTACTAGGCTGGTCGAGGCAAGGCAATAGCGCTTTCTACCTAAGTCACAGGACGATTAAACAACACTAAAGTCATCTATTCAAAACGGGCGGCGGCGAGGTTAAGAATAGCGTGTATACATTCATATCTGTTTAACTAATGCTGAGACAAAACGATCCATATAGTAGATTCTGCCGAATATTAAGCGAACTCGCTGCCGTACTCGCTCTCCGGAGGCATTCCCACCGTGCCGCCGAGCCGCTTTCTATCACAAATGCCAAGCCGAAACTAACCCAACTTGGCCCGACATTTCTGATTACCTCTTTAGAGAAACAAATCTCGCTGCTTTGTATCGGCTTCTCGAACCCGGTGTTGCCACGTGCTGGCTCATGCGCTAAAGGCCGGCACTAAAGAATCTCCGTCCCCGCTCATGCCACCTACTTCCATACTCCCTTTACTGTAAAAGACCTCCCTCTGAAACCAGTATGATTAGGAATACCCCTCCGAAACCATCCTCTCGCCGGCGTCGCCACTCACGAAAGTATGCGCCCTCTTCCGAAGAATTCCCGGAGCCTCTTGACAAGAAGAAGCAGGAAAAAAATAAGGTGGAGAGGAAGCCGCGGCCACCGGGACTCTCAGAGCTTCTAGGTAGCTATTTCGTGACGGGAGGACGAGCGGGCGACAATACTCGCGCGGAATTGCGGACAATTGAGAGAGACATTGTGGAAAGAGAAGCAACAAGACCCCGGGATCCTAAGCCTGGAGAAATCGTTTTCAAAGAACCGCCACGACCAGAGGCAGTGCGCAGAGAGAGGATCAAAATTGAACAAGCACAAGCGGAGGTTCTACGTGAGACTCGACGTCGAGAGGAAGTAGACCTTATATTACGGCGCCACGAAACTGAACGTCAAACATGGGAGCAAGAGCTTCGACAACGCGAACAGGAAATTCGAAAATACGAAGCTGAACTTCAACGTTTGAAGTATGAGCGTCAATTTGAGACTCTACATCGAGAACAGGAAGATAAATTACGGCGTAAGGAGGATGAATATCGACGACGTGAAGAGGATTTTGTTCGAAAACATGAAGCTGAACTTCGACACTATAAGAGGGAACGTGACGTTGAAGTTCAACGCCATGAGAGCGAGCGTCAACCTCATCAGGTTCAAGTTGACCATCATTCTGAACCTGAAATTATTGTTCGAGAACAAAATCCTAGATCCGAATCCCGAGGACGTTCGCGTCATGGCACGGACAGTGACAGCGACGATCGCCCTCCAGACCAACCCGAACCACGACCAGGTCTCCGAGGGGGAGGGCCTTCGGGAGGAGCGAGGTATCGAGCCGAGTAAGTCGAGATTGCCTACCTCGGCTCAGCGAAAGATTTATTCCTAAGTTGCTACGTAACAATGTCAGAACTGAACCCGAAGATCTAATCTACATATTTTACGTTCGATACGGCGAAATTAAAGAGATATCAACAGACCTTTCACCTAGAAGACAAGGCGGCATTGGCCGCTGGACTGATAAGCGCCTTTTGACGCACCTCGTGGAGAGATACCGGAGGCAAAGTGGAAATGAAAAGTGGTGGACATGGAGGTATTGGTGGGATTCCTTCATGAAGGAGATTGCTGCCTTGATCCTTATCCAAGTCAGTATTTCGACATTCGAAGACTCTTCTCTATCTCTTTCTCTTTCTCCTCCTTTTTTCCTTGTGCATCCGTATATCACTATCCCTGAGATTTTTACCCTGGTTATAGATGGAAGAATCGACAGTCTTTTACGAAAGAATCCCATACCCCGGCGAGAGACAGGAACCCCCAATTACCGACCTACGGCGCCGAGTCAAGCGAAGTATCGATCTCTTTGGCGGCAAAGAAGCGTCGGGCCAGTTCAGGTACTTGATTCGCCACTATAAAACCATGACCGACAGCAGCCGAATCATAACGAGCCAGATCGACCGGCTGGCCATATCGGGACAACAAGACCACGCCGAGTCGGCACATTACAAATATTATTTGTTACTCGAGGTAGTTGAGGGCCAGAATGGGCAGTATGTTCATTGCTATTTGCTATTTGCTCTCCCGTCTCTTTCAATTTAGTCTGAGGAGAGAGTATCCTTCCGTCCAACCAGAACAACCCACATCCTTTCCCCCTTCCCCCTTTCCCCCACCCAAGTTCAGGAGCAAAAGAAAATTCGATAAAAGTACACTACTCTAAGTGTCCACTCGGTCTATTCCAACAACAAAGGAAGCTAAACCTCGGAAAATATAGAGCGTTCCTCCTTGGCATCCTCATAATAATACTCTGCTTCCTCGCTTTCGGCCTCGCGCTGGGCGCCACTCAAGCATCGAGCATCAGTTGGGGCGACGTCTTCTCCATTTCTGGCTTCGGTCTGGCCGCTCTAAGCGGCTTATTCGCCCTCATGGGGCTGGCCCAGTACCTCGGGCTGGAAGATATGAGTCCGGGGAATCCGATTTCCAGAGATACTGCGGAGGATTAGCCAGGAAGTTTAGTAGGAATAGGTGACTGATGATGGGGGAAGGGGTTTGCACAGATAAGGGAGTGTCGGGGATCCTCCCTCAGGTCATTTCGCTGGCTTAGGTGCTGGCGAATTGTCCGTAGTTTAACTCATTGTAAGGGCCGTAGGCGAGAGGACAAGCCAATAGAAGAAATGCCACCTTGTATTCGTAGCCCTGGCGCTCCATACACCGAGACTGAAAGCCTTGAAGAGGCTTGGAGGAGGGTACGAGTCGCGTCCGTCCTTTGTGCGACCTGGGCACCCGGTTTGGCCTGTTTGCTGTGTTCGGGGGGGAAGGCTATCGGGGTAAATAAACTAGTACCTCATCTTGGTCAATTAGACCAAGAAGGCCTCTCTTTTCGGCGAGTATTTGTTAACAATATTATGTCACTGGCTCACCCGAAAAGAGTCACGAGTCAAGAAAAGAAGAAGGGCACAGGCTAGATCAAAGCATTCGAGAAAAACCAGCACACTTGACACACGTTGAACGACTTCATAACGATATTATTATTGTTATTGTTAAACTTTCGAGGCTCGATAAAACTATCTTTCTAGACTGGTTTTGCGGGTCACTCGACTCGCCATCTAGTGTAATCTTCGTCGTAGGCAAAAGGTAGGTAGATCTGAGTACGTCTCATAGGGTGTTCCCTGGCCTTCAGGGAGCCGGAAAAGTGTACATACCTAGGTTCGCCCACCCATGTTCGCTCACCCGTATTCGTTTACCCATACCTGCATTCCTCTTTAGCCATGTGACTCTAGCATAGAGAGCCCAAAGAGGCTCAGGAGCCCGAAACTGTAAGACGGCTAAGATAAGAGTGAAGGTCGATAGAAAGGGGTGGTTTTTTTCCCTAGCCTGGTATCCTACGCACATAAGTGTACTCAAAGCCTTGAAGGGCTTAAGGAGAGTAATATGCCCCTCGCACACTTGTCGGTGCGAGGGGTCCAAGACTCTCTATCCAGTGAGCGAGTCTCGTGAATGCCTCTCGCATGCGAGTCCCGTGCGGCTGCGCCCAGTGTCGGGGCTCGTAAGCGGTTTGATGTTGGGGTTCGCATGCGAGTTGGGTGCTGGTCTAACAACTCCGAACCTCGTTATTCTGCTCGATCGAAGAAGGCCCTTTCGCCCTTTCGCCACCAAGGACACAAGCAGGACGACCGAGAGCAGAGGGAAACTCGTTGGTGGAAAACACGCTTAGAAAGAAGGACAATTAATGAGGGCGTTGAAATGGAAATACACAGCGCGTGAACACTGTAGTGACGACTACAAACCACGTTCTTTCAAAAATTTCAAGCTCAACTACTAGGTGGAAGGGGAGTATGTAGCGAGTGAAGGGCGGCGTACTTATGTCCCAGAGAATCACTACAAGACCTGCCTTTTACTGGGCGGTCGAACGAAGTGGGCGGAGATCCATTATTGACAGGCAAGAGAGCAGCATAGGAGGCGTATAACCAAGTAGTCTGAGCGCACTAGAGAGGGGGCCGAGTTAAGATTTCTCAGTATCCTAAACGGATCCAATTGTCTCAAGTCGACGAAAGTTGATGTCGTGAATGATGAGAAAGAATGAAGAATGAAGTGCTTAGGCAGTTCTTAGAGAGCGCTTAGGGATCGCTCCGAGAGTAGTAGATGAGTTAAGGATGAGTAAAGCGATGAGTGGCTAATCAAGACGAGACGACGAAGGAGAGGTTTTTCGCCCGCGACTACTTAGGTAGATACTATCTGAGAGTCAATCGAGCAGAAGAATAGCAGCAAACCAGAAAAAAAAAATAACCGTTCTGCAGAACTATCAAGACATCTCTATCACCATTCATTAAAGGACCTCTAATACAACAAAAGTCCAGACTTTTTTTATCATGAACACTGGTATCTTTCCCGAACACACACACAACAAAGGCTAAAACAGTCAATTCGTCTCCCGTCACTCACACAACACAAACATCATCCTCGTAAAACCCCCTACACCAGCTCCTTTGAGGGCATGTCGACTTTCGTAATTTCGTCGTCGTTGTGCAAGCTGCTGGCGGGAGACGCCGTCTTGCCTTGCGGTGCCGGGGTGGAGGATTCATCGGCCGCGACGGCCTCGTCGGTATCCTCAAACTCGTGGGGGAGGATCAGGTTCAAAATCATCGTCACGAAAGCAGTGACGGCGAATCCGGTCTCCATGACCAACACAATGGCGTCGTAGAAACCCCTCAGGGCGTGGTTGTCGCCCTCGTACGTGAAGACGTAGGCGAACCACGTCGGGACGAGCGTCGCGCCGTAACCGACGGCCAGGCCGGCCGTCAAGATGAACCTCGTGCGGCGATTGAACGGCACGCGGTTGACGATGGCCATACCACTGACCGCGACAGCGCAGAACAGGAACGTCGTCATTCCACCCAGGACCGGTGACGGAATGGCGACCAGCGAGGCGGAGAATTTGGCAAACAGGCCCATGATGATCAAGAAGACTAGCAGACATCGTTAGTTTTTGAAAACTGTTCGCGAACGGCGTTCCAGAAACTTACAGCAACAGCAATATCCAGCCCGACGGTTGGCGCATCGCGTGAGCGCGATGACACCATTGTTCTGTGCAAAAGTCGACATGGGGGTGATGGTCATGAGTGCGGCCAGACAGCCGTTCAGACCGTCGGCCAACACACCACCTTGGATTCTGGACTCGAATTCGGGGCCCTCGACCTCTAGTCTGGAAACATCGCAGGTCGCGGTAACGTCACCGATAGCCTCGCAAGCACAGATGATAAAAACCGTCATGATCGGAAGCACCAGCGGTCCGTATACCGACAGCTTGAACGTCTTGACCCAAATGAACGAGGCGGCGGGTGCCGAGTCAATGCCCGAACGATCGAAATAGCCACAAGCAGCAGCTACAATACAGCCGGTGAGAAGGCCAAGGATGACACTGGTGGACTTCATGATTGGGGAGCCGAAGCGTTCGCAGAGGATGATGGTGATGAAAACGAGGAAGCCCAAGCCGACGAATTCTGCGCTCCCCCAGGGCAGCGCGTGGGGAGCAGCGATGTTGGGGCAGAGCTGGAAGAAGCCATCCTCAGGACGAGATGAACAGAGACCACTACCGCCGGCCCAGTTCTGGAAGCCGCTCTCGATCAGCGAAACGCCAATGAGCATAACGGTAGGGCCAGTGACGATGGGTGGGAAGATCTTCTTGAGCACATGCGGGGGGAGGAACGAGAGCGCAATTTCTGTCAACGCGCATACGGCGCAGGTACCGATCAGGGCGCCATAAGCGTCGGGACAGGGCAGCTTGGTGCCATCCTCGGCGACGGGGCAGAAGCCGTTGTCATACATCTGGGTGAAGGCGCCGGTAGCGACCGGGATAATGGCAAACGAGGTACCTGTAGGAGGTTATTAGAACGAGAATCTTTGAGCATCTGCTTGATTTTCCGTGTCACAACATACCGACGACCGAGATCAGTCCGGTGCCGATGAAGTAGGGTGTCTTCCAGATGTGGAAGCGGGTGATCTGGATACTCGACAGAATACCACAAACAATGAGGGAGGTCGAAACGAGGTACTGCTGCCAGTCGGTGTCGAGGTTGACACCGCCGGCACCAGACAGGATCAGAGGAGGTGTGATGACACCGGCCAACATAGCGAGGGCGTGTTGAAAGCCGAGCAGCAAGGCCAGCACCACGGGCATGGTGTCGTTCAGGCCGAAGAAAGGCGACGCTCGACGAGGCTTCTTCATGAAGGGAATGTTCGGTCGGAAGAGGAAGCCATAGTCGTATTTTCCGATAAGGCCCTGTTTGGTGAAGAAGGTCTTTCGCACCGCATTCAGTCTGTCGGCCACGGTCTTCTTGGGGCTCATGTCGGGCCCGATTCGATCTGCTTCGCCCATGTTGTTGAAGATGCCGGGGCCAATTGGCTAGGTAGAGGTATTGAGATGTACGGGCTGCGGGAATCTGCTGCACTGCTTGACAGATAACCAGATATCGACGGGGACATCTTCGTTATATAAGTTCAGCCCTCGAGATCGAAGCTCACCAGGTTGTCGGCTCATGGCCGCCTCCGCTAGCGTCCAAAGCAACATGCATCGTTAGTATCGTGACAGAGTGGGGCCAGGAGGAGGCCTCTGGAGCGACACCCACGCCAATCTCGCCGCGAGGCTGGCGGACGGCGGCGACAAGAAAAGTCGAGTCTCCAGACAAGCAGGGATCCCAGGGCAGAAGAAAGGGTTCGGGGCTTGCGGTCGGCCATCGCCTGGCTCCCCCTGTCGCTGACTTTCTCCTCCGGGTACTTGGCGTTCCACTTCTATAACTCCCTACGATCCACCACCGCCAAAGCGCGTATCGCAGATCGACCATTGGCCCGGAGGCGACCGATCCATAGATGGGAAGCTTTCCATGAGTTTTTCTTTCAGATCATCGCTCGGCAAATTGCGACCGTCGATTGGGCCATCACCACGGTCTCGAACTATCTTGCTTCTGCCATGCGAACTTTTTCCAGCCACATTGGCCTAATCAAATTCTGCCATTCACCTGATCGGCCGTGTCTCGCCAGTCAAAGCAAGACAAGAGCTGGTATCAAGCATCTCGAAGCTCATTTGCGTGCCTCTGCTTGGCATGAGAAGCATCTTTATCGCAAACTTCATTACATGATTATTTGTTATCCTCGTCGTAAACGAACCCGCTTTGCCTCGGAGGGTTCACCCTTTCTTTCTTGTGTGCTCCGCAGTCTGCAGCTCCAGTCTTCTTGATCTTCGGATGACACGATCCGACGTCCTGTGTGGGCTAGAGGCTGAGGCAATTATACGGCAATTGGTCGTCTGATTCCAGACTTTATCAGGCCATCTTCCGAACCTCACCTCGACGCCGAAGTCCGTCGAGGAGAAGTACCGACATGAAACTGTCGTCAACTGAACTTTTGGTTGGACGTTCGCTGACAATCAGATGAGCGAGTCTTGAGAGGAGCAAACGCCAAATGTCGATTGAGAAACATTTTCTGCCCTATATGATGAGGGATATCTTGTTGGCACAAAAAATAGTTGACGGCGCCCCATTCAACGCCGCGCGCTATGCTTCATCAACTCCCATGGCATACTTTTGCATCCCGACTATTGTACATCGATCAATTGCTAAATTTTCACACGGCACCGATGCCCCCCTCTGCGCCGGCTCTTTCTGTTTGGAGCAATTCCTCGCTGGCAACAGGAGGGTCTCTGGACACACTGGAGACCAAAGATCCAGCTCTTTTCGCATGCTTCAGGAGTCGCAGGGCTCCGGCCGGAGTAACACCTTCAGTCCTCCGCGCCATCCCGACACTTGAAGGCCTCACAAGCTTGAGTACCTCTCGCTCACCCATACTAAGACCATGAATTTGGTCGTAATCAATGTCCAAAGGCAGCTCCAATGACTCGTCTCGTTCAAATGCCAGGGCTGCCCTTTGCTGATACCCGATATAGGGTGCGTAAATGCTTTCGATCTGTACTCGCGCTTTGACATTGTCTTCATAGTTGGAGGCCGACGGCAAGCTATCGATGCGACCGGATAGCAGATCAATGGTGACGCCTGGTGAGCGGAGCAAGTCGAATGCACTCTTCTTGGTCGAATCAATGCGCGACTGTATACCAAGTCTCTGCCACTCTTGACTTGAAAATCGAGCTTCTTCTAGGCCCTTTTGCAGCTCAGCCATCTGATCTCGGATACTGCTGAAGTGTGCCCAGCGTTTGTCGCCAACAACACCCGCCTCTCGTCCCTTCTCTGTCAACCGAAGGTCTGCGTTGTCTGAGCGACAACTCATTCTATATTCACTTCTGGCAGTGAACATACGATACGGCTCACTGACTCCTTTGGTGATCAAATCGTCGATGAGGATACCGATGAATGCCTCTGACCGCGACAATGTGAAGGAGCCCTTTCCCTGAGATGCGCGACCAGCGTTGATTCCCGCGATGATACCTTGCGCCGCTGCTTCCTCGTATCCAGTGGTACCATTGATTTGACCAGCTAGGTACAAACCCTGGATCAACTTCGTCTCCAGTGTCGGAAAGAGGTTTCTGGGATCGATGTAGTCATACTCCACGCCGTATCCTGGCTGGAGCATTTTGACATTCTCCAAGCCCTGAATCGTCCTCAACATAGCATACTGGGCATCGGCTGGTACAGTCATGCTGATACCATTTGGGTAAATGATGTTGTTTGGCTCGAAACCTTCTGGTTCCAGCCAGATCATGTGCCTGGGCTTGTGGCCAAAGCGGATGATTTTGGACTCGAGAGAAGGACAATACCGAGGCCCCTTCACAGTTTCTCGAATGTGTATAGACTTGTCAAGATTGGCCCGGATGATGTCGTGCGATGCTTCGTTGGTGTAGGTAGTCCAGCAGCTCAATTGTCCTTCGTCGCTTATCTGAACAGTCTTGTTGAGATATGAAAAGGGGGCCGGCGGAGAATCACCAGGCTGAACCTCTAAGGCACTGAAGTCAATGGTGTCTCGGTCCAATCGTGGTGGAGTCCCTGTTTTCAGTCGTCCTAGAGTGAAACCCGCTTTCCGTAGCGACTTGCTCAAACCAAAAGTGGCAGCTTCACCCATCCTTCCCGAAGGGTAGGCTTCTAGACCAATATGTATTTCTCCCCCAAGGAATGTCCCGGTGGTGATAACCACATGTGATGCCGGAATGATTTGACCGTCTTCCAAGCGTACCCCAGTAATGCGGCCTTTGGAGATGGTGCTCTTCGGATCGAGATCGTCCTGCGAGACAATTATATCGGCGACCTTGCCCTCGAGAACACTTAGATTTGGTGTTGCCAGCATTTCCTCGCGCATATATCTCTTGTAGAGGTCGCGATCGATTTGCGCCCGGGGACCCCAGACCGCGGGGCCTTTTCTCTTATTCAGGATCCGGAACTGTATACCAGCTTTGTCGACTACCCGCCCAGCGACCCCGTCTAGAGCGTCAATCTCCCGCAACATCGTCCCTTTACCGATGCCACCAAGACTTGGATTGCAGGAGCAAACGCCCAGATTCGATAGGGAGGGGGTCACCAGCGCCGTTCGCGCGCCCGATCGGGCAGCGGCAGCACTGGCTTCTGTGCCGGCGTGGCCTCCTCCGATAACCACCACATCATACGGTCTGTGACAGTTCAGAATGCGTCGCATGGCACATGGTTCACGCCGTAAGAACATACCTGGTCGCATCGGCCACTGCAGCAAAGGACCGGAGGTGCAAGCCTGTGGACCTTGCACGCGGCGTATGGCCCCATCTGAAAGGACCAGAAGGTCTCAGCAGCGCTCTCATAATTGCCCAGAGACCAGAAAAGTCTACAACGATAGAGTTGCCCTGCCAGACGACAATCTGGACGAGACATATTTTCGCAGCCTCGGGTAAACTTCGGCGGGACAGTGGCAAGGCTGAGCAACAAGGCTGAGGGAACAAGATCCAGAGAGGGACAATCCTTTACCCGTGGTCGATCTTCTGCAGTGAGGTACTACTTAAACTCGTGTGCTTTGGATTCTTGATGATTGGAGATGCCATCTTCATTATTCTGATTGGAGACTCTATCCGCATCGCCAGTGTCATCAATGCCAGTATCGGCTTTTGCCAGGAGGTGTGCTCGAAGATATAATGTAGAATTAGGATATATTACATGGGGCTGTGACAGAGCCAACACGGCTCCTGATCTCACACTTGAACAGAGGTTGCGCTCTCAAAAGACCACGTTCACTACTTTTCCATTGCCGACAACAATCACCCTCTTTCTCCGGTCCCAATCGTTCTTCTCGGTCAGCCACAGTCGACCTTCGTCCGTAGCAAGAATCGTCTTCAGGATCGCTTCTTCACGTTCTTCCTTTCCTCCAGAAGAAGCTCCGTTGGGCTGAGTAACAGGAATCTCCGTCGTAAATCGAAGCTTTCCGTTCACCTGAACTGCGCAGGTGATCAGTTGTTTGCGTCCTTTGAGGACAGACTCTTGTTCCGGGCTGATAATATCACCGCTCCAAATCTCGTCGAAGATGCTTCCCTCTGATTCGTTCTTGATAAGCTCTTCCCAGCACTCTTCCGCGAATGCCGGTGTGATTGGTGCCATCATCTTCAGGAGCGCATGGATCACCTGCTGCGCGACTTGCAGGGTGAGGTTGTCAATTCCAACCTCCTGAATTTTATTGGTAAGTTTAGTAAGGTCCGAGATCGCTGTGTTGAGGCTGTAGATGTCGTTTTCAAACGTATCGCGAATGTTTCGACTTGTACTTGAAGCCAGGAGCAAGACATCGGCGTCGCTGTTCGTCAACTTCTGTATCATGTTGGTTGAGTCGGGGTCTCCATCGACGGCGGCCAAGGAGGTGTTGCGCTCAGAAAGATCTGCAACGAGACGTCTGACCCGACTAAGCCATCTCTGGATGCCGACAATCTTCTCTTCATCCCATTGCAAAACCTCGCTAACGGGAGCTGCAAAAAGGATATGAGCTCGTAAGGTGTCAGCTCCGAATTTTTCTATAGCTGTGGTAGGATCGACGCCGTTGTGTTTACTTTTTGACATCTTCTCAAAGGTAACATTGGGTACTTTTCCAGTGGACTTCATGACGATACGATCCCCATCGGCGGCAAGTTCTCCTGGAAGGAGAAATCGACCAGTTTGCGGGTCAGAAAATGTCTTTCCATGTACCATGCCTTGCGCTACAAGTCGCTGAAATGGTTCTTGTCTTCCGCATTCTTTTGTCATGAGACCTTCCTTGCAAAGAAACTTGTAGATGAAGCGTGCATAGAGCAAATGTAAAATTGCATGCTCAACGCCGCCAATATATATATCGACAGGTAGCATGTTGTGCGCTGACTCTTGGGAGCAAAGCTGATTTTCGTTTTGAGGATCAGGAAACCGCATAAAATACCAGGACGAGTCAACGAAGGTATCCATGGTATCTGTCTCTCGTCGGGCTGGATTTCGGCACTGGGGGCATGTGCAATGGACCCATTCTTCCAGCTTGTCAAGGGGATTGCCTGTCTGGCCTTTAATAGATGAGTCTAGAGGCGGTAGGACCACAGGAAGATCTTCTTCTGGTACAGGAACGATACCACAACTGGGGCAATGGATGATAGGTATAGGGGTACCCCAATATCTCTGTCGACTTACCAGCCAATCGCGGAGCTTCCAGGTTTCAAATGGCTCTGCAAGATTGCGCTTCTGCAGGTCGCTGACAATCTTTATGCCTGCTGCTCGGCTTTCCATTCCAGCATAAGGGCCACAGGCCGAGGTTAATAGTCCGTGGCCGGTGTAGGCCTCGGAAAGGTCATGAGGCAGGGAGTAAAGTGGTTCCGGCTCGGCCTCCGCGCACGCTACCACTCTTGTAACGGGATCCGCGGGTTGATGTGACTTCCAAAAGCTGAGATCCCTCGTATCATGCGCGGGCACACCCATAACAGCTCCCTCACCATAGTCCTCCAAAACATACGGCGCGGTAAACACCGGCAGCGGTTCTTGGGACAAAGGATGGACAGCTTTCAAAGGCAGCTCAAAGCCTTCTTTGGAATCGGGTGGAAAGGAAGCTCGCCTGTCCAGAAACCGCTGCAGTTCAGGATCATGGGTGGCCAGTTGCTTGACGAGGGGATGGCTCATAGACAAAGCAAGAAATTTCACCCCATACAGCGTATCAGGACGTGTTGTGAATACAGGGGCTGGTGTTGAGAAACCAGCTTGATCTCTCAGCTCAAATTTAATTCGCGCTCCGGTAGAACGACCAAGCCAATTGCGTTGTTGCGAAACGACTCTGTCTGGCCATCTGCCGCCTTCAGACAAGTAGTCAAGGTCTTGCAGCAAAGCCTCTTTAAATTCGGTGATACGGAAGAACCACTGGCGAAGATTGACCTGCTGTACAAGGGCTCCTGATCTCCAAGATCGCCCATTGCTGTCAACCTGTTCATTTGCAAGAACGGTTTTGTCCACCGGATCATAGTTGACAAGGGCTTCTGCTTGGTATGCTAAACCATGCCGAAACAGCTTCAAGAATATACTCTGTGTATGCTTATAGAATGAGGGTGAACATGTAGATATTTCCTACCAATGAAGAGATCAGCACTATATACATAGTCCCAGGGTCTCGACATACCGCGTCCCAATCGAAGCTGGTATTCATGCTCTTGAGCTGTTGCTTCATCTTTGTTATGTTCTGCTCGGTCCACACTGCAGGATCAATTCCACGCTCTATCGCAGCATTTTCAGCTGGTAAACCAAAGGCATCCCAGCCTGTGGGATGTAAAACTTGATCACCTCGCATTCGTCGATATCGTGCGATTACGTCGGAGATTGTGTAGACACGAAGGTGACCCATATGCAGCGAGCCTGAGGGATAAGCGAACATAGGGAGAATGTAGGACTTGGGCGACGTGGATTTCGGCCGCTGGGCTTGGGCTTGGGCTCGGGCCGTCCATCTCTGCTGCCATTTGGAGTCGATGGCTCGAAAGTCGAGACGACCTGTGTCCTGGGATAAAGCTAAACAGGATGGAGAGGTGCTGAAAGGGCGCACATAGTTCAGCCTCCTGGCTTCTCTGAAGCTCAAGCCCTTCCTCATCACCTCCGGACCTCTCCACGGCGTCGATATGACTGTTCCGTCAGTCCAGTAGTCTCGAGCGAGCCTTATGTGTAGATCCGCGCAAATGTCGTTGACCACGGTTAAACAAGACCGGAAAGTTGATGCGTTGTCAAAGCGGCGTGATTTTTGGCCAGAAGATAGTTAGTGTGATCAGACACGCTACTGCGGCGAGACAGTGGGGGTTTTTGCTAAAGGAGAATTCTATCTTCATACGTGACCTAGAATGATTGAGACGCCTGTAAAATGATCGATATCAGTGAGAGATCGCTTTGCGCACTGTGGAATACATAAAGGCCGTCATATTTCTCACTCAAAGATACTCAGAGTATGGCCTTGTGCATTCACCGCAATATCTGCGCGTTGTCCTGTGTGATCATGAGTCCCAGTCAACGGCTGCAATCTGGACCGACATTTATGGAGAGAGCCAAATTGACATGCATAAGTCGAGTTTCCATAATGAACTGCAGTGAGTCATCCTTGTGGAAGCGGAATATCGCCAGCTCTGCTTCACAACCAGCTATGCCTCGCTGTGCCATGGGTAAGTATAACCAAGTTCAGGTCAGTGTCGTGGACCACAAAACCAAGTAGGTCACAGTCAAGACAGGCTGTCTTAGCGTCAATATGGCTGTTTGGCCTAGAAAATTCCCTTCACATTCACTTCACGGGACAATACACAGCCTCGTTGACCGGCACCGTGCCTGGTGCCCTTGACGGTACCCAGAGGAATGGAATTATTCACTGGACTTGGACCCTCTCCAGAGTGATATTGTCGATATCCGACAATAAGCGAGGAGAGGGTGATTTACCTCCGGGCACCGTCATCCTCCTGGTTCAGTACTCTTCAGATTCATAGTCCATCCCCTGGTCTTATATCTATGTTCACTTCTTGAGCTTTCACCTCTGCACTTTCTTACCTCGTCAGCATTCTGGACTCATATCACATTCATCGTTGCACTGTTTTCTGCTTGCTAGACAACAGACAAACACCAGGATCTCTCCAAGATGTCATGTTCATCAGGTTACCGTCGTGGTCAGGGTGTCACCAGTAAGATGCACTGGGCGTGTAAGTATGAACCGGTCTAATAAGTCCTGCAGTTTCGACACATCCACCGATCTTCCAGCCACTTCCCTCACGACTGTCTCCATGCACGGTTTCTTATCCTCCTCTTCATCTTCTTGGTGTTCCCCAAGAAATTCGTGATCGTATATTCGACATTATCGATGAAGATACCGGCAAAGCTTGCGCGAAATCACTTGAAAATCTTCCAGTCACAGGATACGAAGCATTGCCTCTGATTTGCAAGCAGCTCTCCCTCGAGACCAGCACTACAAGCGACTGGCTGCCTCGCAATCGGATCGTACGTCACAAGCAAGTGGGACTGTTCCTTGATTGGGCTATCTACAACACGCCAGTACTCCCTCAACTGCAAAGTCTCACCATCGAATTACCACATGATAGCCCGACAACGATCTTTACGCGTCTGGCAAAGCTGTTCCAGGACGATCTTACTGGCCTCCAGGAGCTCAAGATCCTCGGAGTGGGCCACGATCGCTATGGACAGAAGATGTTCTGGCGAGACGAGCGATGTGGCAAGAACGATACATCCATGAGCAACAGCACCAGAGGGAGGCTTTTGATCGAAGCTCAAGAATGGAAACGCAGAATGGTTGTGATCAACGCTCTGGAACGCCTTTCAAACCTGGAGGTCTTGGTCATTGACCATTTCAACCTCCCAGTCACCCAGGCACATGTGCTGAAGAACAAGCCACGTCTTCGGCGACTTCGCATTGGGACAGATGAGCGGTCAGCCCTTCATCACGAAATGCGGTCAAGCATCGGAAATCTTGCGTTACCTCTCAAAGAAAGCGCTCCTGCCCTGAGAGAGCTCAACTTGTGCGCCAATGGGGTCTTGACGACGTTTGGTATTATTGATAAAGTGGCCGAAACACTGGAGAAGCTCACCTATACCGTTCCCGACAGCTGCCATCAACCAGCAGGGAATATTAATTTCCTACACGAAGCAGGCATGGTGCTTGGCGTCCTCGGTCGAAAAGCCAGAAAGCTACGAGAATTTCGCATCTGTGTCCATGGCAATGTCTACGAAATTCCAGCGCACAGTAATTTCATTGGCAACATGAGACCCGCTCTGGAACGAATGAGAGAGCTGGAGGTGCTCGAGATGCACATGCACCTGGAGTCGTTGTACCTCGCGTCAGAATTCATCGAAGGAACTCCAGGCTCCGTGGAACGACTCTATCTCTCTGACCAGTTCTTCTGTAGGAGCGCAAAAAGCTTCGCGGAAATCCTCAACTGGCAGAGCTGTGTGATTGTCAAGGAGGACATTGTGGAAGAGACCATGAACATCAAGCGTGAGCTCGACCGGAGGGACTTTATACCATTTTCTAATCGCCTGGAGTTCATTGAATACGAGTTCCACAGCAACCTGTCACCTCCCCAGCGACAGGAGCTACGCCGCTTGCTCAAAATTAATGCTAGGCTCCTGGACCGCGCTCGCAACAAGCACCTGTACTTCAACTATGCCAGACACATTCCATATGGCGTTTGCGAGGAGACGGTTCTGTCCGACGATGTTTGGGAAGATGCCGAGCTGCTCCAGGGCTCGCCCGCAGCCACTCCCGAAGAGATGGACGGTATTCGTGAGGACTTGGAGCAGTGTGGTTTAACAGACAACGAATACTTTGGAACGGAGAACGACGCTTATGCAGTCTTTCAGAAAGAGCCTGCTACGAAGATCTCTGATCGATTGCCCGCGTCTTATCCCTGCATTGTCGCTGTCGAAGCGGGGTCTGAGCACTGGCTCAGCGGCCGTTAGTGACTACCCCGGGAGAAGACCCTGGCACTGAGCAGTGCAGAAGGATCTGGCTAGGGGAGAGATGTTGATGAGCGACTGCATCGACCTTGTGTCCTGCTTCGGGATTCAACCTTTGCGATTCAGGGGTGAGGACGCTCATGTCATCTGAGAATGATTATCGGGCCAGGGCTGGCGGTATGAGAGACTGGACTAAGATCGGCTGCAAGAATGATTTTTCTGGGAGAGCAGTATCTTTAGACTTGATTATGAGGCAGAGTTCTACAAGATGCCATCAGTTGACTATTATTATTCGAGTTTTCGGCATCAGGTAGTATTGCAATTCCGAGCAAAAAGTTCTTCATGCATCAAAAGTCAGGCGCAGCAACCAAGACGCGAGGCTGCGCAAGGCTGAGCCCTCCGACCGCTATATCACGTGACCCGATGTCTCTGATTCATGAAGCCGGCAACAGCGCCAAAATTTGAATCGTCGTCGCCTCGTCAGTGGCCCAGGCATTTCCAGCCCGTCGGTCGACAACCAGCCTAGCGAGTCAGTCACCATGCAGCATGACTTGAATGCCTCGAGTACATCTTCGCCAGCAGGCAACGGCAACGGCAACGTATTTCTTTCGTCACCGCCTCAGGTAGGGCGGAAGAGAAAGGCTCCCTCTGCTGGTTCCCGAGGCGTCGCGAGCCTCACTCCTGAACAACTCGCCAAAAAACGCGCAAACGACCGCGAAGCACAGCGGGCGATAAGAGAACGGACCAAGCAGCAAATTGAGACGCTCGAGCGGAGGATTCAAGAGTTGACTTCACAGCAACCATACCAAGAGTTACAGGCGGTCATCAGACAGAAAGATGCGATACAGGCGGAGAACGATGAGATCAGAAGGCGCCTTGCCTCGGTCATGTCAATCATCCAGCCCATCGTTGGAGCCCAAGGATTGACAGGTAGTGATTGCCCAAGTACCAAGAGACCAGACGTTGTTGACAAGTTTAACGCAGACCTTGCAACGGCGGCGCAACACAATGTCCAGGCCGCGCTCGGTCAGCAGCCAGAAGCCTTTCATCCCAGCAACATGCCCGCTTCGGATCCCTACTTAACCAGCCAACAGGGCACGCGGCAATTCACGACGTCTCCGAATGTATCTCATGGCCAGATGGACAACTCGGCGTATCCCTCGCCATTTACCCAAGAAGAGCAAGGCAGTGAAAACAACCGATTGTGGCCAGCATCATCACGAGATGCTCTCGCGAACCAGCGGGACAATCTCCAGCGCGGACTTGAACTGAACGATTCTGGAGAGCGTCTCTCGTTCAACTTTTTACTGGATAGTCTGGGCCAGAGAACGTTGAATCCATCTGCGCAACAGACAACTTCGCCGACACACCTTACCGCTGCCTACCCAGGCCCCGTTTCTATGGTTCCTGATGGCCAGGTTCAGACACCGTGGACGACACTTCCCAAAAACGTGGCACCAACATGTCCTCTCGATGGACTCCTTCTCAATTTCCTTCACGCCCGTCAACGCGACAATACAAATTCTGATACAGTCCTCAATCCCAGTCACCCCTCTATGACCTCGCTGCTCAACCCTTCGGGCGACCACCGGGCCGACCCTGTATCACGACTGATGGCAGACATCATCTCCAAGTTCCCCAATATCTCTGAACTTCCCGAGCGAGTAGGAACGCTTTTCCTGATGTTCGTGCTGATGCGGTGGGAGATCAACCCTACGCAAGAAAACTACGAGCAGATGCCTGAATGGATGCGTCCGATTCCAGCACAGCTATTCACTCCTCATCCAGCTTGGATAGACCACCTGCCCTGGCCGCGCATGCGGGAGAGAGTGCTTATGAACTACCAAGATTACCCGTTTGAAAATTGGTTTATTCCATTCACGTCGGATTTGAATGTGAATTGGCCTTATGATGATACGGACTGTCTCTTGGCGTCTACGTCTGAAAATGGAGAGCCTTGTATGAACCCGGTGTTTGAAAGACACATACGACGACTTGAAAATTGGTCAGTCGGGTCGAACTTTGCAGCTGCATTTCCAGGACTGGTAGACACGACGAGACTTAATCTTGTGAATAGGAAGGATGGTAAAGTGACTGGGAAAAAGGCGTGAATACAAGGAGGGGGACAGTACCGAGAAGTGTGACAAGAAGCCTCCAGATAGTTATGAACATGGTTTGTGTGGACGTTCAATATGAGATGATACCCCTTTCTTTCTCTAGGTACGGACGACGCGTCCAAATCGCCAGTATGGACAGATACGGTTTGACAAGAGTAGGTATGTAGTTCTTTGAAAGGTGGTGACGGTGGAAGAGAGGTGGTAGAGGATGGACGTATCAGTCACATTGTCAAACATACCACTAAGTAAGCACCGATACATAATATAGGAACCTATGTAACTGCGTCGGTCGGTCTCTAGTTTTCATCCTTCTTGTCAGTGGTCACACCCGTTCGATTCGACCTCGATCGGATATTTGATTGTCCTGTTCTTCTTCTTCTTCTCGAACGAAAAAGCATTTCCCGGTCCAGTCTTTTCGTCCGTAGTAGTAGTAGTAGTAGTAGTAGTAGTTCAGTTCGCCTGACGGGGAGGGGGCGTGTCGTCTCCCTTTTTACCTTTCTTACTTCAAAAACGCGCCGTTCGTCTTCGCCAGCTGCTCGTCGTAATACCCCTGGAAGGCGAGCCAGCCCTTCTCGTCGGTGCCGACCTGGGCGTAGCTGAACTCGGCCTCCTCGTCGCTGATGAGCTTCTTGCGGTGGCCGGAGCCCGCGCTCGCGGCGTCGACGAGCAGCTGCGCGTGGCACGTCTTGTCCAGGCTGATGAACCAGAAGGCGGCGGCGTCGACCGTCTTCGCGCACGTCAGCAGGCCGTGGTTCTGCAGGATCACGGCCTTGCCCGCGGGGCCCAGGGCGCGCGCGATGCGCCGCCCTTCCTCGCGGTCCAGCACCACGCCGCCAAAGTTGTCGTACACGGCGTGCGACCGGTAGAAGCGCAGCGAGTCCTGCGTCATCATGTCCAGTTCGCGCCCGAAGACGGAGAAGGCCTTCCCGTAGACGCTGTGCGCGTGGCACGCCGCGTCGACGTCCGGTCGCGCCTTGTGGATTTCGGAGTGGATCGCGAATGCCGCCGCGTTGATCTGTTTTTGTGGTGAAACGAGGGGATGAGTCAGTTGGCCGTCGGTGAGTTGACTTGCCTGGGCGGGTAGGTAAAGGGACGCATGGAGGGATATAGGTAAGTAGGTAGGGATTGTAGGTCGGTAACCCCTAGTGAGGTCCCCCTCCCCCTCCCCTGGGTGTTTGGGAAAGTGTGGAACATGTAAAACTTACAGGTTCATCACCAATGACCACATCTCCGTCTTCATTCACCAGTATCAAATCCGACACGCAAATTTGAGAAAAGTGCGTTGATAGTGGATTCAGCCCTGATCAGGATCGACGTGGCGGTGTGCGACAGCACACCACCGCGCAAACACAGTAAGTAAAGTAACTCGGTCACTCGCACTTGTACCAGGAAGGTGAGATTGAACAAAGAGGACAGAGTGCAGAGTACAGTCAGAGTACAGAGGTAATGGTACACTCACAGAAATGATCCCTCAAAATAGGGTCCCTCACACTGATGTGGCCCGCCACGCCCTCGTCGAACCCTCTATCCGCAAACACCCGGAACGCCGCGGCGAGATGCTGTTTGCGGTACAGTCGCTCTTCCTCGAGGGAGTCGAATTTCGGGTACGCCCTGATCTTGAGGGTTTTGCCGGACACGGTCTTGCCGAGGGCGCCGACACTGCGGTTCTCTTTGGACGAGGAGTCGTAGACGTCCAGAGCGGGTGCCATGTCGATCTATTTATTGGAGATCAAAGGTAGGGAGGTAGATAGACAGATAGATAGATATCTAAAGCGGAACCTCCGACCTGGGTGGTAACGAATACAAACGGGTAATTGGGAGAAGATAAAAGTACAAAGTAGATGTGAGTAAATCGGTAAGGAAATGGCAGTGTACTTGTTTGGTTCAAAGAAGAGTAGGACGCAGACACTGAACGTGGCGACGGCGGTTAATACTGCACAAGGTAAGTGTCTCGTGGCATCACGGTTCATGTTCCATCGGTATGAAATGGACAAGGAACAATATACGGATACACGGACACATGAATGATCATACTCTCGTAGTCAGAGACACGGAGTCGTTGAGTGCGGGGGAGAGACACAGAGTATCCGGGGTCCGTGGAGGAGATTCTGAACCACTTCAAGACTTTACCATAGGTACATAACTACTACAGCCAGACTCATCCTGATCTTCGTTCAATTCCCTTCCGACGGAACAGGGATTTGTATCATTGGTTCAGAACGTCCTCGTAGTGGAGGTTGGAGAATGCCAGACTATTTCTTCTTCTCCTCCACCACCACCGTCTCCAAATCCTACGGTGGGCACTGGTCACTCAGTGTACTTGGATGTAAAAGCAATGTCATAAATTTCTATACTCGAGCAGTACCTAGTGAGTATGGCTCTATACACTGCATCCATACCTTGTTCTGAAGGGGAAGAAAACTTGACCAAAGTCAAATCGATCAAACATAAACAGGTAGACTTGAGAATATTATACTCGGTACTTCGACCTGAATCAACTGCCACCTCCTCCTCTAGGTATTTCTCGGCGACAACTCTCAATCTCAATATTAGTGCTTGATAAGTTACCTATGTAAATAACATGCTGCGTGGGTATCGTTAAATATGGTTGAATCGCCCGTCAAAACAGTGTCTTGCCCACAACGAGCCGTGAGCTATTCTCGTGCCTTCACGACTCCTCCTCACAAGATACCAAGACTGGTGTCAGGCTAGGACTAGGACTGTCGGGTGGTGTTATGGCCTTCGCCCTCTTCGATGGGCTTCCGAGAGGACTGGCTATCATGATCCTCCTGGACGGACTGGGAAGAGGAGGTGCTGGAGAGTTGCGTCTTGCTGGACTCGACAGGGGACTTGCCATTGCAAGGCTTCGTGCACGTGCGTGGAGTTTGCGTTCCTCTTCTCCGTTCCAATCTTTGGTCAATTCGGCACGCACGCCACTGCACCATTGTCGGACGACCTCTTCAAAGGCTGTCCAAGTAGCATCAGTGTCGACCTGGTTAGCTACTGCCATGACGTCCAACTTGAGTCGCAGTTCCCATCTCAACTCGGCCGCCTTCATCCAATATCGGAGGTTGTCGGCTCGTCGATATGGCTTTCCGATGTCTTCATGGAAACTCTTGATGTAGTCAAAGTGCTTCTTGGATCGCTTCACCGCCGCGTTGTGAATTTGAACGAGATGTCTCCCATCGGCGAGATTCCGAAAGTAGTTGGGATCGTTGTCGAGGTTTCCTTCTGCGGGATTCTGACATTGTCCATTCAAGAGAAAATCAAGGAAGTTAATGTCCCGTTCTCGATCCCGGTTGATCCATTTGGAGTCGTCCATCCAGTGCCAGTCCTTTCTTTCTTTCTTGTCAGCCTCTTCCAATTTTGCTTCCCTGTCAATCATCATCCCCACGTCGCTGACCCAGACGAGTATCGCCAACCGCTCATCCTCTCTGAATCCGCCAGAAAAGTTACGCGAAGCACATTTTTTCAAGACATCAAGGACAGCATGCAGATCTCTCCGCAATTCTTGGTCCGATCGGATCGAGTTGAGCCGTTGCGGGTTAGGATGGAGTGTGTAGTATACTCGGGCGGCGCGGATGGCCTGAGTTGTGGTGTCAAGCACGTGGAGGCCCTGTATCTCGTGGAACCCCTGCGTCTGCTCTTCGGGACTCTCATTTGCCGTACGTTCACAGGATTCAACCGCTTGTAATGCATTCTCTAGTGCCTCGACCAGTTCTCTCTTCATGGTTTTTTGATCCGGCGGAGGAGCAACATTGTTCGGTCGATGGCTATAGGTGGAAACCGTAGGAGGAAGCATGACATCCGCACCCTCCTCCTGAGCGGCCTCCCACAGAGCTTGCCCTTCGTCGTCAATCGGTGACTCGATGACGGTCTGACCTGAATCCAAAGACGACTTGGGAATATCGTACTCTCCATTTTGTTTCTTCTTGGCCAATTGCCCACCTTTCCCATCCAATAAACCCGTCCGTGCAAAGTAGTATTGTAGATGGGCAATGCTCCCGAGGCTCATGACACTTTCTCGGTTTTTGGCCGACTCGGCAAACTGCGCCCCTTGTGGTCTGACGTATCCGCGTCTTCGAGAAGCACTGGCCTTGGATACGCTAGAAGCCCCAGAGGATGATGACAGGCTGGAGATGGAGGAAATGCCCGAACAAGATCGCAAACTGGCTGTGTCTGGCGTAGGGAGGAGAGAAGGGGAAAGGGTCGGCGATGGAGAAGCCATGTCGGCTGAGGAGGGACATTCAAGGTTGGTGCTCATGCTGTGAAGCCCAGGAGGAAGAGGAAAAGCGTAGGGTCACGTAAATATAGGGAGGGACGGTTGTGAATGGCATCGACACACTGGAGGTCGATGTATCTATGAGTGGTGTTTTGAAGAAGCATGTGGTGGGAGACGAAGAAGCTGACAAGCTAGCTGCATGGATAAAATAACGGCCAACACTGCTAACGAGGTAACGAGCGCCAGAGGCTGAAAGTGTCTCGAAGCACAGACAGGACAAGTTGATCGAGGCAGATGGGAAGATGGAGGCGAGATGAAATTGGACTCTGGTGCCATTGGCCAGATTGTGAGGGATCCAGGGGTCGCGGCAGTCACAAGTTACAACTTATCTCCTCTGCAAGCGAATCTTCAAACCTCGGAGCCGGAACAAAGACGACTTGCTGTGCGCATCATCAGCAACGCGATATCCATAGACAGATGTAAGCATCAGTCTCGGACGGACCCCTTGACTGCTGTGTACAGGTGCCACCGACTGCGCTGGCATGCGATGATTGTTGACGATTTCCGAACTCGGCACCGATACAAATACGACCCGCGTGGCTGTATTGAGGACGGAATACGATACCGTATACGAGTAATATTACGATGAGCAATACAAATCGAAAACTCGGGGCTGTGGCGTCATAGTTGGCCAGTACATATTATATTCCCTTGGATGTATCATGAAGCCAGATAAATGCGAATATGTAGCAAACATCACACAACCACACACACGTCGTTGATGCTCAAAATGTCAAAACGGATTTCATTCAGGGTATCAGGCACTGTTCAGGGAGTCGGATTCCGGTAAGCCATCTCTCTTTGGGGACAGTATCTGCACCCGTTGAGACCATGATACATTGACCTCGATATTAGTGACTTTACACGGCGAAAAGCTACCAGTTATGGATTGACTGGCTACGTGAAGAATACTTCCGACGGTAGAGTATGTCACACAGAACCACTGTTTGGGGGAATATGGCTGACACGGTGCAGGTGACTGGAGAAGCACAAGGATCGGAAGATGCTCTGAAAAAGTTGAAGGCCGACCTCAACGACGGACCGCGGTCTGCCCATGTTGTCAAAGTCGAGATCAAGGAGATCGAGCCCAAGAGCGGCGAAAGCTCTTTCGATGCATGATGTGCCTCTCGTAGTACCTCTCATATGGCTTACACCGGCTGCGTTGATTTCTGGTGTGCTCCAGTCTGATATCCATGGCCCCGTCGATGATGTCGACTTTTGGCCGATTGGCATCCATTTTTGCATCAATGGTCAGCACTATGAAATTGATATGAGGGAAATAACGAAGATGAAACCACCACAACGGTGTCGAATATAGTCATAGATTCCGCAAAACTGAAAGAATGACAATGTACTCCGTGCCGCGTCGAGGTCATTCAGCCTCGAGTTCCCGGATCCTTCCGACTTGCTTGGGTCACGATGGACGGGCCAGTTTTCTTTTGCAGCCTTGCGAACTCATCAGCCTCGCTCAGCCTTCCTCCACCCGGTCTTTTCCGAGGACGAGGTGAGAAAGCAGTCGCCGAAGTTCCAGATTACCCTCGTCGCTTGGAGGGGGTGGATTGGGAGGCGAGATCGAGCTTCTCCGTGGAAGAGTAGCCCCTGTACAGTAGTTGCTGCGTCTCTGCTGAGTACGCGACGTGCGTTGGGGGGCTAGAGTGTTTTATTGAACGTTGCAAGTACGGTGAGTCAGCATGCAGTGCCCTTTGAGATCGTGGTATCTGACAGGGATCGGACCCAAACAAACAAGTCGCCAAGTGCCCGAGGAACAATACGAGTAGCGGTAGGACGGCAGAAGAGTGGCTGAGGATGGAGAATGGCATCGCCGTCGGTGAATAAAGCAATATTGGGAACCAAAAGGACCCTTTAGAACGGCGCTTCATCCTCCACTGTGGCATCAATGCAGTCTAGTTTCCGTTCGGCGCTCTGTAATCTGTTCCACTGACATATGGCACCATCTCTATTCGACCAAAGCTGATCAGACCCCGAAGAAGCCTTCTGTTCCTGGGTCAAAAATGTCGCAGCGCTGGACGCTTTGTGTACCTCTGGGCCCTTGCTCGAGGCGATATATTAATGTGCCCCGTGCCTTGCAATGCCTGATACCAGATGTTTCTGCTAACCACTACCACCCAACGCACTCTACACTCAATCCCCAGTACTCCTTGACTGACCAGTGATCAGTGATCCGCGATCATGGCCTCCTCAAGAGCCTTGTTCAACCCCACACTGACCGCCACGCTTTCAAGGGCCACCAGCACGGGTCTCTGCTCAACGGCCACAACGGCCGGGCTGAGAACTGCCTATGTCGCCCTACATCCATTCAACTCATCATCGCGACGAAACTTCTCGGTCTCACACAAAGCCCAACTAGATTTCTTCCCTCCTCCAAAGGATCTCCCAAACATCAAACAAACGTATGTGCTTGTCCGCCCCTCTGGTAATAGTGCCTGGCTAATGTCGCGTAGTCCTGCATCATGGCCACATCCAACCGCTACCGACGAACAATTGAAGGCCGTCCAGGTTGATCATCGAGAGCCAAGGACCATTTCTGACTCAATAGCGTACAACATGGTGCGCTTTTTCCGATGGTGCACAGATGTGGCCACCGGGTACCGTCACGATCCAACGAAGCCCTACATCATGAATGAAAGGAAGTGGTTGATTCGATTCATCTTTCTCGAGACCGTCGCCGGAGTGCCTGGGATGATGGCCGGGATGCTCAGACACTTCCGAAGTCTCAGAAGAATGAAGAGAGACAATGGATGGTACGAAGCACCCGTCATGTCCACATGTTGCCAAACGCTAGACTGACAGAACTGACAGGATCGAGACGATGCTTGAAGATGCATACAATGAGCGTATGCATTTGCTCACTTTCCTGAAGATGGCCGAGCCTGGCCGCTTCATGAAGCTCATGATTCTCGGAGCCCAGGGAGTGTTCAGCAACGGATTCTTCCTTGCCTATCTTCTCTCGCCCAAGACATGCCACCGCTTCGTCGGCTATCTAGAGGAGGAGGCTACAAAGACCTACTCGTATGCCATTGAGGACCTGGAAAGCGGCAAATTACCTGGCTGGGAGAAGCTCGAAGCGCCAGAGATTGCCGTCAAGTATTGGAACATGCCAGAGGGGAAGAGGGATATGAAGGCCCTCCTCTATTACATTCGAGCCGACGAGGCCAAGCACCGAGAAATCCATCACACCCTGGGTAACCTCCAAGCCGAAGATCCCAACCCGTTTGTATCCGAATACAAGGATCCCACAAAGCCACATCCTGGCAAAGGCATCGAGCATCTCAAATCCAAAGGCTGGGAACGAGAGGAGGTTATCTGAACGAGCTTGACCTTCTCATGATGAGTCCCAGACGTTCCTGCTACGGATCGAGTCGTTTTGCACTTTGATCACGAGAGGGCGCAATTATAATGTAACAACATGATCCATTTCTTTTCAAGGCGCTCGACAATGCTGGTTTCGCATTGTGGCAATGGGAAAGACGGCGGTACATAAACCAGCAGTGGGTGACGCGGTTTTTGAAAGCAGCCGCGCGCTGCGAAATGGCGACCTGCAGAGAGGACACACAGAGTTTACCAGCCTCTGATGGTGGACATTGTTTGCTTCTAGATAGAAGTGTCCGTAATCGATTCGAATGGCAAAAGGATAGCATTCTCCGATCCCCAACATTTTGCTTGTTTGGTGCCACGAGCACCAGCCATGATCATGTCGCCGAATCGGTATGTACTGTACGCATAGCGGGTGAGTAGCAGGCAGCGTTTCGGCCTTGGGTGTCAAAATACGTGACTTGTTTGTTATGCCGAATTGCGTTGAGCTCACCAGGAACCGCGTTCTGCCCCAGGCAGCTTTGATGTCAAGGTGCATGAACCGACGGGCTAAGGAGGCTGAAACTGGGATGTTAGTGGCCGTCCAAGAGTGAAGCCAGGATGTCCAGGGTGTCCAGCGAGGCCTGGTGAGCCAGTGAGCGCTGCGAGCTCCATCAATCAAAGCCTAAAGGAAAAGGGCCCGAGGCGCGTCGGTCGCTGCGCTTGAGGCTGGCAATCTTACCAAACACCCACCAACACTGCGACTACGACCTCGACTACACGACGACCAATCCACCCCCAGCTGATCCTCTAAAACACTCACTGCCATCTCGACTCTTGTTTCGTCTAGTTACTCGCTCCATACCCTCGCTCGCCTGCGCCTGCGCACCACATCCCGATACAACTGTCCGTCCAGTATTCCTCAGTATTGCTGCCTTCAACCATCACATACCGCCTCCTACCAAACCCCCCCGACTCCGCCGTCATCACGATCGGACTCTCCCTCTGCTGTTGATTCAGTGAATGCTCGCTTATGAACAATAACACCGGCCACGCTGCTGTGCCCGTTGCGGGTCACCTGGCCAGAAACTTCAGTCGACTGAGCAGAATTAGATCCAACACATTCTGTCGGGCATGACCTCCCCTCTGCGCCGTCCGTCGATGGTCGAAACCCAGAGCGACCTGGACCTTCATCAATTACTCGTGCCGACTCCTACCAACGATGTACCTCCCTCTCACCATTCGTCGTCCGCCTCTTCCGGCCCCAACAGTGATGCCGGCTCCTTTGTCATCCCGGACAGTCTATCTCGAAGCAACTCCGTCTTTTCCTTCTCGAGGGCCTCCTTTAGCAGTCAACTGGCGAGTCTGACGGCGATCAATCTACCTCAAGCCGAATCCCTGGCCGCGACGGTAACAACACTTCCGACAGCTCGCAAAGCCGTCAAGGCACTCACTGGCGCTGCCGAACAAATCCAGTCCTGGATTAAGAAGGCCCTGAAGGTGTTGGACAATCTTGACGCGGAGGAAGACGTGGAGTGGGCTGCAGCGGCAGGAAGACTGGGGTTGGACGAGACGGACAAAATCGTCAACACCTTTGAAGATCTCATCAACGTCTATGTCATTTCTATTGAAGAGTTACAGACGCGACCCGATATCGCCGATGCGAAGACCGAGGAGCTCCAAGGGGTCGTGGAGCAGATGGAGGTGACGCTGGAGGGATGGGGCAACGTGCGGAAACAACTGAAGAAGATCCATGGGCAGGTCGAACTCGCCATGGAGTGGGAAGAGTTATGGGCAAAAGTGCTGGGGGATGTTGGCGCAGAAATGGACAGCCTCAGCCAGCTGGTGTTCGAGATGGAAGAGAAACGGCACGCCGCGTACACCACTCAGACCCAAGCAGGCCCCAGCCAGAACATCGATCTGAACGAGCTGGAGAGTTTCATCGACGAGCCAACCCAGAAGAAAAGCACGCCGAACTCCCGCTTCAGCCTCCCACCTTTCGAGTCCTCTCCATTAGGCTCTCCGATCATTGAGAATCCTCAAGACGACTCGAATCTACTGGCCCTTTTTGCGAGGATGCAACCGCTCAGGGCGTCTCTAGACTTTCTTCCCATGCGCATGTCGATGTTCCAGACTCGGGCCGAAAAGATCTTCCCAAATGCCTGCCGCGAGCTTGACGATAAACGTGATCGATTGGAAAGAAATTGGATTGAGTTGTCTAAAGAGGCCGACAATCTCCGTCGAGAATTGAGCGAGGATCGCTGGGTGATTGTGTTCCGTAATGCTGGTCGACAAGCACAGAAAATGTGTGAGTCTGTCGAACGGAGCATCCTGAAGGTGCAGGAAGCCATCCACGAGAATTACCAGGCCATCAACCCTGCTGCTCTGGCAAAGAGGATTGAGAGTTTTGAGGCCAAGAAGATGCACTACGGACCGGCCATCAACAGAGTGCTTGCCATTATACAGAAAGGCCTTAAGGACCGCCTGACTGTCAACGGCGAGATTCTGCGTCTCCACAAGGATTTGTCTTCAAGAATGAGGGATTTGACAGACACAATGGAAGATCTCGAGACCCTGCTGGAACCATTCAATACTCGACAGAACTCGAAGCTCCGGGAGTCGATCTCTAGTATTGTTTCGGCCGATCGGTCCTTGTCGAGCACAACATTTGCAGGAACTCCAGGAAGTTCTCCGCCGTCGTCGATTGATCTCCCCCCGCAATCGAGCCAATCCTCCACCCCAAAGTACGGGTTGAATGGATATACGAAATCACGGACTCCATCGTCGAGCCGACCGCCGCCGCATGCACTGGCCAACCGGCGCTCTTCATTACTTCCTCAGACAAGACGGCCAACAACGCCTTTGTCGCATACCGGCAGCAGCACCATCAAACGTGGAGTATCGCCTATGCCGGGACCACCGTCGGTCTATCGTCAAGGGGTATACAACCCACCCGTTGGTCCTGCCCCGCAATCGAGGCAGACACCACCGTCAAACAAGCCGAGATGGTCAGCTGTTGTCAAGTCGGACGACAGTACGTTGGCGCCTTCATATCGTTCATCCACCACGACAACTCCGCTGACGACACGGAGATATACTCCTCGATCGATCTCCTCAACCACTGCTGTTCCACTCCGAAGTCCGCTTAGCAGAGAGGCATCCGCATCGCCTTCTGCGTTACCCACCATGGCACGGAGGGAGAGCCAACAATTCAAGTCGTTTGCGGAACGAGTCGCTGATCCATCGCCGGCCAGAAGTAGTGGTCTCATGGACCCTGTGCCTTATCACAGAGGACGGAACCCAAGTGCACCAGCTGTGGGCACGATAAGGTCACCGTCGTCGCTTGCCGTGCACAGCCAGCATCGACCGACGATGAGTGCTGTTCAACCGGCCCGACCACCATCGTCACTCAACCGGAGCTATGGTCGATCTACGGGCGTACCCTCACGGTCAATCAGCCATGATCCAAGAACCGAGAGTCAAGCTGAGAACCGTGAGCCTACACTTCCCAGCGTGGATTATTATGAGAGGTTCAATGACGTGGAAGAAGAGGATCAGGATCAGATTACGGAACCAAATTCAAGTCCATTATCGAAACGGACCATTACGAGACCCAGCAGTGTATTAGCCATGAGTGGCAAGGGGAAGAGGATGTCCTTGTTACCAGTACCAAAGGGTAGTGGAAGACAAAGTTCGCTTGGGTCAAGGATTTCTTGAAATGAGCTTTTTTTGTTTTGGCTTCGCAGCTGGCATGAGAAGCACCTACGGTCGTTTTTTTGTTTTCTTGGGCAAACAGGAAAGGAAAGCAGTCTTTCGGTATGTGTGTGTGTTGTCTGTCAGCGTACAAGCGTGTTTTTCTGCTTCATCAGTCGTTTCCACCATTTTTCATAAGTTTACCTCAGAGAGATATCATAATGCCAAACTGCGATGCACCGCCCTAATTTTCGGGGAGATTCTTTATGCTCTGTCTGAAAGACGATTTTGGTACATCAAACCTTGGAGAACTCGATCTCGTTATCTCTAACTCAGGTAGTTTATATCCACAGTGGCACTAAGTTTACTATGCCATGTCTTAAAGGCAAGGAAAATATATCAAACACGCATTCAAGGACCGGTAAAGAGACCCATGTATGTACAGAATAGAAATGTACTGCATCGGTTTATCTACTAACCATTATAGTACAGTACGTTCGTTATTGTATGTAAAGCTTAGGGAAAGCTTGGAAAGCTTAAAGGTCATGGCAATACACGTTGTCCCATTCCCGTAACTCCGTACCCCGCCAGTACTCCGGGTAAAGCGGAACGAGAGGGAACTGAGGTGACGATGGTATTGCTCGGAAGGAGATACTGTAGGTAGGTAGGTAGGTAGTACTGTGACTTGAGTGGTTGTATCCGCACGATACTACAGTACCGAGGCAACCGCCGCCTAACTGCAGATGGGAAAGATATATCTGCCTGACACTGTGGTTCCTTCGTGACTCACTCATACCCATCATACATACCTATACTTATTTATATCCCTACCTCATATTTCACATGAAACGAGGAAGGACACGGACGTGTCCTCGACCACAGAAAAGAGAAAATTGGATGAACAACATATCCTTTGACTCTGTCTGCACCAATCGGCCACGAGCGACAAGCTCGATATCTGACTTACCGTAAATGGTGTATCCTTGCGAAGGAGTATACATACGTCCGTCCGTCTACACATAACGTACGTACCCGGGGTTTGTTTAGTGTAGGGCTTCCCTGGAACTTCAAGATATCATTTTCTTGGTTCTCTTCTGGCCCTGGACACAATCCGATTCTGCCGAAGTCGAGAACTCGAGACTTGACTCCCGACAAGTACCGATTGAATACCAATACTCCGAAGAGAGAAACGAAAATAGCATTGCGAGTGTCGGTGGCATAAGTTCATCGAGGTCGCGACGGTTTTCAGCCTTCACACTGTCCAAACTAGACAAACCAACCATTGTCGACGCATACCAAGCAAGCAAGCAAGCAACCAACCAACCCGGAGATCACAGTCCAAGTCGTTTGCGACCATACCCGTAGTCACTTTCCTCGCTCGCTCGCTCGCCGCCGTCGTAGTCCTCATCAACAACAATCACAATGACACCACAAAACAATCAAGCAGACCCAACGTTCCGCAATTACACGGCATCCTCGGCACAAGCGTACGCCAAAAACCGTCCCGGGTACCCGGACGAACTGATCTCACTGGTCATCGAGAACCACACGTCTACAGGAGGCCAACTCGACGTCCTTCTCGATCTGGGATGTGGCCCCGGCACCGCGACGAGGTCTCTGGCGCCGTACTTTCAACACGCCATCGGCGCCGATCCGGGCGAATCCATGATCGCGACGGCGCGCACCATCCCCTGCCCCACGGCGTCAGGGGAACCGACGACGTTTGAAGTGTGTGCCTCCGACGCCATCAGCTCTCTTGACGCTCTGAAAAGATATTCTTCTGTTGGTGGTGGTGGTGGTGGTAGTAGTAGTAGTGAGACGGTCGACCTGATCACTGCAGGCACTTCGGCTCACTGGTTTGACTATCCGGCTTTCTACATCGAGGCGTCCAAGATCCTCAAGCCGGGAGGCAGCATCGTCATGTGGTGCACAAAGGGGTACTTTCTCGACGAACGCACGACGCCCAACGCCAAGAAACTCCAGGCGCTGTGGCAGGACTTTGAGCACGTCGTCCTCAAGCCCCACGAGATGCCAGGGAACAGACTCACGCGCGAGTTGTACGCGAGTCTTCCCCTGCCGTGGAGCGAGTATCCCGATGCCGCCGCCGCCGTCGCCGACGCCGACCACAACCGCGGGGAGAGCAATAAGGCGCGGCCGCTGAGGCTGCTCGACGAGTTTCCAAAGGACGAGTTCAAGAGACAGGTGTTCAACGACAACGGAGAGATCGGGCCCGACGGCAAGTTCCTGATGAGTCGCCGCGCGACCTTCGAGCGGGCGACCGCCACGCTGGGCACGGCGAGCCCCGTGACGCGCTGGCGCGAGGCGCACAAGGAGCAGCTCGAAAGGGGCGAGGTCGAGGACCTGGTCGATAAGTTGCTCAGGCAAACCAGGGAGCTGTTGGACGAGGTCCCCGAGGGTAGAGGGAGGGATTGGCTCGAGGGTGGGTCGGCCGTGGTTGTTATGACTATCAAGAAGAAGAAGAAGAAGAAGACGAGTGTCTAGGGGGTTCGTTCAATGTAGGTAACAGCGTCGCCCTCATATGCCAGGATATTTATAAAACATTGTCTTTTTTCTTTTCCTCTCCCACTTTTTACTCTCTTTAATTAGGATCAAGTAAATAAGAAGGGGCATGAACCAAGATCAGTGATTGCGGTGGCGGTAGACTCGAGGGGCGCCAACCCTTTAAAACCTCAAGTCCCAACCAATACCAGGTCCAAGTCTGGGCAACTCATCGGCAACTTCTTGGACGTCCTTGTCGCCACGTCCACTAAGACATATAACAATCGTTTCATCCTTCTTCATCGTCTTGGCAACCTCCATCGCCCCGTAAACAGCGTGACTGGACTCCAACGCAGGGATGATACCTTCCGTCTCACTCAGCGTGCGGAAACCAATCAGGGCCTGCGGATCCGTGGCGTTGATGAATTTCGCCCGGCTGGCTTCTTTCCAACTCGACAATTCCGGCCCGACACCGGGATAATCCAGACCGGCACTGATCGAGTGCGTATCTGAAATCTGGCCATGTTCGTTCTGGAGCACGTACGTCCTCACGCCGTGCAACACACCGACCGATCCACCGGAAAGTGTGGCCGAGTGCTTGCCCGTCTCAACGCCCTCGCCACCGGCCTCGACACCAATCAACTTGACAGAGGGGTCTTTGCTGAAGGGGTAGAACATGCCCACCGCATTCGAACCACCACCGACACAGGCAATGACGGCGTCAGGCAATTTACCCGTGAGTTCTTGCATCTGCTCTTTCGTCTCTTGACCAATGACGCTCTGGAAAGTTCGCACGATCGTGGGAAACGGGTGCGGGCCGATGGCCGAACCGATAATGTAATGAGTCGAGTCGAGATCAACGACCCAGGCGCGTAGGGCTTCATTGACCGCGTCTCGCAGCGTACGGGATCCTGCTTCGACGGCAACCACCTTTGCACCGAGAAGCTTCATACGGAAGACATTGAGAGCTTGTCGACGCACATCCTCGGCGCCCATGTAGACTACGCATTCGAGTCCGAACTTCGCACAGACAGTAGCGGTGGCGACACCGTGCTGACCAGCACCCGTTTCTGCAATTATTCTGGTCTTGCCCAATCTCCGCGCGAGCAAGATCTGGCCAAGAGCATTGTTGATCTTGTGGCTTCCGGTGTGATTCAGGTCTTCTCGCTTCAAGTAGATCTGTGCACCACCCACCTTTTCCGTCAGCCGGTTCGCCAGGTGCAGTGACGACGGTCGTCCCATGTACGGATAGTATGATCGGAATTCTTTCCAGAACTCAGGGTCGTTTCGTGCCTTCTCGAAACCGTCCTCAAGTTCGGCCAGGCAGTCCATCAGCGACTCTGGGACGAACTGGCCACCGAACTGACCGAACTGGGCAGGGATGGCATCCGGGTTCGGCGTCGTTCCGTTGGTAGCTGAGTTGAGAGCATCAAGCTGATCTGCTAGGCCCGGTTCAGAAGGTATATCTGCGTCCGTGATGACCTTGTCGACTTGGACTTGGTGGCCATTCAAACCGTTCGTGGTTGCATTGGGTTCCTTTGCAGCGTCCATAGTCTCCACGATTCCAACTTCCCTCGTCAATCCATTCGTCGTGTTGAATTCGCCCACTTTTCGGCCGGTGATCTGCGAACAGTATTCCCGTACAGCGTTTGCACGTTCACCTTCCTTGGCCTTTCCAAGCTCCAACACGATTTGACTGCCGATGACGACACCCTCGGCGATCTTTGCGACACTCAAAAAGTGATCTCGGGTGCTGACACCGAACCCGACGGCGGCGGGCACACCGCCGGAATATTGATGTACTCGTTCCAGCAACTCTGGAAGTTTTGTGTTCAATGTGCCCGTGGCACCAGTGACGCCCATTCTTGAGACCACGTATATGAAGGAGTCGGCAATCTTGCAGAGCAGCTGCATGCGCTTCTCTGACGTAGCCGGGGCGATCAGAGGCACATATGAGAGCCCCACGGTTTTGCAGTTATTTCTGAACCGGACAGCTTCCTCGGGAGGTAAATCGACCATGATGAATCCATTCACCCCTGCTTCCTTGCAGTCTTTCAGCATGCGATCCTCGCCGTACCGCAGGAGGGGGTTGTAGTAGCCCATGAAGAGCACTGGGATCTTGAGGCCGCGTCTCCGAGCTTCCCGTACGAACTCGAGGCAAGAAGTGACTGTGACACCGTTGGCGAGGGCGACCGTATTCGATTTCTGGATCGTAGGACCGTCTGCAATGGGGTCTGTAAAGGGAAGGCCGAGTTCGATGACATCTGCGGAGTCAGGTCAGATTTGTCGCCGTTCGTAGTCAAGGGCTGGACCAACATACCGACACCACCGGCCTGGAGGCCCAACATGATATCAGGACATTCCTCCTTTGTGGGATAGCCTGCGGTGAAGTAGCCCACGAGGGCAGGTCTGTTCTCCTTCTTGCATTGTGCAAAAGTCGCCTTGATACCTTCGGCCATGGTTGCGAGCAGGGAGAAGAGCGAGGATGGATGGTGATGGGAAGTAGAGAGGAGGAGAAAGAGACCAGATTTATGCACAAACCTGACTCATAAACCGAATGCTGCAATCTACCGCCTGCAAGGAGCCTGGCTCTCTGGGTTGTAGCGAGGCGGACGGGGTACAGGTGTGAGTACGGAGTATCTTTTGGTAGTAAGTGACTTTTAGTGCAAAATTGATATGCGGGTTGATGGTTGATTAGCGCCACTCGTCAAAAATTGGCGGAAGCGGGAGTGGGCGGTGATGATTTGGGTTGGCCTAGATCTACGGAAGTACAAGAGCAATAGAGAGGCCTGTGCCTTGCATTGTTAGATTTCAGACGAGGCCCACGCCCTAGAAGGGTGCTTCGGAATGCTTAGGAATGACTCTGCACAAGAGGAGCAATCTCACCAAGGATCTTCGGAATGGAGGATTAACACTTTACTCGTACTGCTGGTCGTATTCGTATTCGTATTCGTATCTCCCACTGCCGTCGGCTACAGGCGTTTGTTTAGGCGTCTCTTTGCCGCCCGCTGAGCCCTCGACGCATACCTTAGGTGTGCATAGGTAGCACCCTCACCACCTAACATTTCTACCAGCCAAATCCCTTGGTCGAGATGGTACCCCCTGTATCTGCTTGGTTCATTTTCGCCAATATGTTGTGTTTGAACAACTGTTTTATTGAATCTGATGATTCAGATACTCATATCAAATGAGCCCCGGCGGCTAATGCACCAGACACTACCCGCAATCAGTCAAATCCAGTCCGAAATTGAGATCCAGATGTTGATAACCAACCTGAGACCCATGGACGGTGGCAGGATATCTAAGTGACTCATATATACAGAGTATCTTTCTGGCTGGGAGGGGAAGACACGGTACAGGACCCCGAGCGAGGTATTGCTGCAGGCCCCCTCCCTCCCTCCTCTTCGTCGTCTTCTTCTTCTTCGTCTTCTTCTTCTTCTTCTTCTACCCCTTTACTAATGAATGTCCATTCTTCAAGTCAATCTGCATATTCTTGCCTATCTCTTGGTTTTCCTCATGCGTCCATTTCAGCTACAGGTCAGATCTATCTCGCCCTTCTCGCCGTGGACAGTATACCTAGGTATCTATGAATCAGCGGCGTCCCGTCTTTGACGCTGCTACGCTACTTCAATCCCCTTTTTTGCAGTCGTCTTCAGAGAACGTTTAGACAGCCTTGCCCGATAAACGGTTCACATTCAAAGACGCAAGTTGGAACACCCTCACGGCCAGCCGCGGCCAGGCAGGCGCTCATGGTTTGCTTCCACTTCGCCTTTGAGCCCAGCCGATTTGCCTCTTGCGACATTGTCCATTTCTTCTAGATACAAGCCGGCGCGGTGAGCGGCATCTTCGAGATGCGTTCCTCCATTCCAGTCACTCACGGAACATATGACTCTGGACACTTGCTCGGCAAAATCGTCACCACAAACCGCGCTCTTGAGGCAAAATTCCAAAATGTGTGGGCCGATAAATGTAAGCCTGCTCTTTGCTCATCGTCGGGATGCCGTCTTTCAGGTGAACCACAAAAGGATCCGGACTGGGCCACTGGAAGAGAAGCCCCAAGTACGCGGTGAAGCGAAGTGCATCGACCTTCTAGACGTCTGACCTAAGCAGCGGACTCGCCTGCTTCGAAAACTCCGGTTTCAATACCACCAAGGGAAGGACGGGGCGAAAGCAGATCTCCAGATTGAACTCCCGCTGCCATGACACCAATCGTTCGATCGACAGCTACGAGTATGGGCTGCGAAACGACCAGTACTGGTCGACCTGGAGAGGCGGCGTTAATGTGATAACAATTAGGAAACCACCTTGCTCTCTCAATTGATGAAGGGATGTGGGGAAAGAAGGTCATATATATTCACGTATTACTCGGTATACTTTTGGTACAGTATACTCTCCCACAGCTGGGGATTGGGAGCCTTTATTTGCCCCTTCGTCTTTTCCTAAAGAATCATCAGCCACGCTAAGCTTTGGAGGTTGGTGGCGGGTTGTGAGAAGGAGAACCCGAATTAGCGCCCTCTCGAAGAGTGAAAGTGATTAATCTATTTTCGACATATACAAGTGAGAAAGTATGAAATAGTGTATTCACGAGTAGCAGAGATCCAATCGTCACCTGGAAGACCCAAACCGTGCTGAAGCAAGGGGCCCACTGCTTGTCAAAGCTGTTGAAGTGAACGCAGACGACTGTGATCGATTGCAACTACGTCGGCGTTATACTTAACGCAGGGGCCGAGCGAAAGTTCAACAATTGCAGTATCGAGATTCCAGTCCTGGCCGACGGCGTCTAGGGCTGGGAAATAGATCCTGTCCCGTTCTGATCCGGTTGGCGAAAGGATTCACCACTGCTGCTGGGAAGGGAAGAGCAGAGGCGAAGGAGGATTGGGAAGACGACGACAGCCGCCGTGCTTGGGACATTCTGACTTCACGGCCTGAACCCTTTACTTAAACCAGGAGGCGAAATGGTAGTTTAATGACTCGGAGCCACAGCCACAATCTCATCTCTACGTTCGGCTTATAATCGCCTCAATTCTCAGACCCCTTCAACTGCGATTCCTTCAGCCTTTGCTCAAATACATCCAACTTCGAGAGGCTCTTGAACGTTGAATCGAACATGGTGACCGGGAAGATGGATACGATCTTGACCTGCGAAGCCGACTTGCCGCGCCATATGATGGTCGGCGGGCTGTTGTTGTTGAGGTCGCCGACGACATTCCTCGCCCACAGTCCCGCATCCTGGCTGTCCGTGATAAAGTCTCCTGTAGAGAGCTTCTCAACCTCGGCTCGCACTGCGGCATAGGGAGAATGAAGTGGTAAGTGGCACAAGTTCCCGTTGTCGTGGATATTCGTCTTCACGCCGCCAGTCTTGAGATCGATCACTTTTATCCCGAACGGGGCGAGCTCCAGGCGCAGGTTTTGAACGAGCATGGCTGCGGCGGCTTTTGAAGTGTTGTAGGCGCCGAAGAAGGGAGCGCCCAAGACGCTGCTGACAGAGGTCTGATTAACAAGGAGGGCGCCGCCGTGGTCCTGGGCCGCCTTTCGCAGCAGAGGGAAGAAAACCTGGGACATGCGCAGGATTGCCCAGAAGTTGAGATCGAACACCTCCTTTGCCTCGGCGATTGAAAGATCGATGATCGGCATGCAGTAACCCCGGCCGGCGTTGTTGATTAGGATGTCCAGTGAGCCGCCCGTCAATGAGGAGACGTGGCTCATGCACGCCTGGATCGATTCCTCGGACACGACGTCGAGGACGAGCGTCTCGATACCCGCGGACTTCAGGTCGGCCATCTTTGAGAGACTTCGTGCCGTCGCGAACACGCGGTCGCCGCGTCGGTGGAATTCTAAGGCCAGCGCGGCGCCCATGCCGCCACTGGAGCAGCCCGTGATGAGGACGGTGCGAGGCATGCTTTGAATTGATTTGCGGCTGTTGGGAGCGACTAGAGAAGGTCTGCGGACGGGATGTGGTAGGGCATCGCGGCCGACGAGAGCATTTTATTCTGGCTCCATCATTATGAGATGCCCGGACGAGTGGGTACTACCTCGTCGTCCGTTCATGGTCGGTTGACTTACGGCTCAATTGGCAGTGTCGAAGGAGATATGCTTCGAATGGCCGATGATCCTATCATCAAGCTATTAAAAGTCGTTGCCTGATCCAGATTTGAAGAATGTCAAAGGTAATCGATGTCCCGCCCGTACGAACATCATGTAATGCCTAAGATGGACTAGTTTGGTCGTTGAGACCGGTGTAATGCCAAAATGGGATCAGTGTATTTTCCAAGAAGATTTTCTCTGATCAGGAAGCGCTAAATACGCTCAACCTTGGAGAACATGTGCCCTCCTGGAAGTTTCATGATCATCAGTAAGGGGCTTCGGCTGAACTCGCGCAAGACTTCGGAGGGCGTTGATCAATATAGAGCTAAATTAGTATCACGTAACATGAACCTATTCAGACCAAGTGCTGATACGAGGCGGAGAATCTCTACTCCGTCGGAAAGACCTTAGAATCAAAGGCGCCACGATAAACTGAAAAGGGTATTACATGGCGGCTCTAGAATAGTCGAGTATCACTTTTGACCAAATTCATGAATCGCCCCTGTAGAGAATAATCAAGGGAAATGACCAGTCCGGCCATCCGGGAACGCAACTTCATCAACATCACCGGCGAACCCAACGCAGGACGCCATGCACGCCGAATCCACGTTCGCCGGACGGTGATGAAAAACTACCACAGACAAAGACGGCAGAAGAAGAAACTCCCGTCCAAACAAGGCCCTGCAGCCTCTTCTCTAGGCTCTGAACAGGCCACACAATCGTCTTCGCCGTATTCGTCGAATTTATCCCTGCTCGATGGACGGTCACCAAACGAAGTTGTGCTCGACCCTGCGGCGTCCAGCCTATTCCGTGCGAAGGCCCACGACAACCCGATCCATGCCCAGATAAGCACCTCCATCATAAGGTTCTTGTGCGGATTGGTCGTCAAAGCCAGACAGAGCATTTGCCATGTTGGCTTCATCCACCACGCCGCTCTGGAAGCTGAAAGCCCATCGAACCATTTTCTCGCGACGTGTAGGGACATCTTGTCCAGCCATCATGATTCCACAGCCCCAAGCCCAAGTTCACCAGCGCTCTGGGAGAGAGTACACGTCGCGCAGGAAGACATTTATGTGACAGTATGTCTTGTATTGCTTCCTGTCTAAGGGGCCTCCCTTCAAGTTGCGCGATAGATGGGTTAGTTTCTCTAATGTTTCCAAGCTCCAGTGCGCCCAGATGAACAACTGGCAGCTTCTTTCTGCCGCCCAGGCCATCACGTTGTATATACTCGCACGGTTCAGGAATGGCAAGGACGACAGATTCCCACACATGGATATCGCCTTGCTGTTTACGTTGAGAGTAAGTGTATCTGCTTATTCCAATCGAATGTCTGTCCCTCCCCCTCCCCCCACAACTCTGTCTCGGTTTTGGACGATATCTCTAAAATCTGGAACAGAAAGTTTTCAGCCACCTCAAAGCCGACTATCTCTCCGACGGGTACCATAACCGCAAATGTGGTCCGCCTGCCATTCCCACGTCGAGTTGGCGGGATTGGATCTTCCACGAATCAGTCAGCAGAACAGCGACAGTATACTTTCTCCTGACAGTGGTTGTATCTATGGATTTTGGCATCGAGTGTGATCAAGCCGACCGCTGGAGAGTTGAAGACATGCTATTGCCCGGAGCCAAGGCATCATGGGAGGCTCGCGATGAAGTAGCCTGGCGGAGTAGTACCTCGGTCAGCGGGAATGTGGATAGACTCCCATTCACGTTAAGGCTCGGCGACCTTGCGAGTGTAGACTCGAGCAGCGGTCTGCAGGCCCAGATAGCCGCATGGCAAGAGGAATTAGACGAATTTGGCATGGTTATTACGCTCGCAGGTCAAATGCTGATGGATTAAAAGCGGGAAATCCGCCAGGGATCGTCTCGCGCACCGCTCGTCTCAGGCCACCCTGGAATTGGGGTTTGATGTATTGGCCCTTCAAGTCGGGCAAATTACGTGTCGTGCCTAGTTTGATCATCTGCAAACGCCGCATTTGATGGATGATTTAGTTGTGGAGGCTCCACAAATCGATGACCATATCTGAACATGGCAGGTACCATACGCTGGGTGGTTTATGACACCGGTTGTCACCTTCGAGCTGTCCGTCGTGGAATGTAGTGGTACTGTTTGCAAAATATCCTGCCGTGGGCCGATGGTGTCCAGGCGCAAAGTTATCTTCGGATTGAGAATCGCCGAACTCGTCGGTCAAAGATGGGCAAGGGCCAGAAAATGCAACGATTTTTCTTGAGCCCAAAGAGAGATGTCACCGAGGGTATATTGGTTGTTCAAAACTCTTGCGGAAAAAAAAAGCCCATGCCCGAGACATTGAAACCCGGGGCAGGCTCCACTATTGCCCGTCGATGTCTGGACCCACTATGCGACCCGTCGCTGTACGTCTTTCAACGCCAATTCATCTCCCCTCGCCCATAGCCCTTCTTTTACAGCAGCCATATCTTGCTGCCTCGGGCTAGAATGCTAAGGATCTTGCTGACGGTCTTAGTCGCATAGTTCTCCGGAGGGAGACTTAACCAAGTATTGACCTGGGACTCGACTGTTTGGTACTGCACAATGCAGTTTTGCCACCAAGGCCATCGCAAAAGAGCAGATGTTGCTGCCAATACCTGATACCTGGTCTTCACTGAGGCCGCGGGGCGGGTTGTCTCTGCAGCTACAGCGTACCCCAGTTCTCGTCGTGAGGGTGAGTCTTCAGAAAGGTATAACCGCATGAGACATCAGATTCTATGCCTCTTGCTCTCCACCTGCAAAGCTGACCTTCAAAGGGGATACCGTCCTCATCCATGGGGCAGCAGGCGGAATTGGCCTTGCTAGTGTCCAAATCGCCAAGGCACTGGGCGTCTCCGTCATTGCCACAGCCGGATCTCAGCAGAAACTAGACTTGGCGAAACTATACGGGGCGAATCATGTCATATCGTGTAAGTCCAGTGCGTAGCCGAGATATGTTCAGACAGCTATGGGCACCCGCCAGGCGGTCGACGTTGTTCTAGATCCTGTAGGACTTAAATAGACCCAGGCTTAAGTGCATTTGGTGGGACGGGAAACTCGTGGTTGTTGGCTTCACAGGCGGGGAGGTTGAAAATGTAGCTACGGATAGTTTGCTCTTGAAGAATTGCTCCATTATCAGACTTCATTGGGCGAGGTATAGTGCCATCGAGCATTACACGGGAGAGAAATTGAGGAACGAGTTGCTTATGATGATCAAAAGTGGACGGTTTAGGTCGACTTGTTGCGCTAAGGTTGAGTATGTCGGATTGGAAAGTGTTCCCGCTGCGTTGATGGCGTTAAATGTAAAACCAATGCAAAAACAAAAAGTCTTATTCCAAGGCTAGCTTGCACAAATAGATCGCAGTTCTTAGGGCAAACCGATAGCCAAGACTCCCACCAGGAGAATTCAATCTTACCACCCGCATCATAATGTGACGTGAGACAAAGGAGGAGCCAGTCGGTGCAGAGCGATCGCAAAAGCGACCAGGACGTCAGTACGGACATCGTCGCGAAAGGCCCAAACAAGGTGAGTGAAGAGGCATGAGAACCCGAGACAAACTTCTCTCGACTACCTTACCAGGTTACCTCGTAGTAACACTCGCTCCTTTGCCCCGAACTATCTACCCAGGCAATCTACCCCAGGGACCTGAAGTAAGCCAGGTACCGCACTCTCCACACAACTATCACCCATCATCATGTGCTCTCCTTGGGTACAGTACCTGTGTCTGGGTTTGATTCCCCGAATCCGCCTCGGACTTGCTTACATACCCCGGGCACGGATATTGAAGCTCTGTGTCCACGGGGGGTGGTCGGACTTGTCCGTCAGATAATTCAACCGTATCTGGTCCAAGCAAAGCATACGGGGAGTATCTGAGATGACAGGTATAAAAAAGAGTCCTGGACATGAGATGAGAACTTGGAGACTCATCTTGTAGACTACTCTTCTCCGATAGTCACACACACACACACCCACACAGAGGGATACAACTTCTCCTTCTCCTTCTCTTCTCTGCTCTTCAATAGCTACCCCTGTCCCCGACAATGTCTGTCCAACCCACTCCCTCCTCAGACGAACAACGTCTTCGAGCAAGGAAACCCCTCCCGCCTCCACAGCCAGGATACCTCCCTGTGGCCGGCTCGCCTTTGGTAGTCGACCAGGAGCTGTACGCCTCCATTCAACAGGGTCCCAGGGAACTGGTCGAGTCGTTCACGTTGCCTATCAGATCTGGACGAGCATGGAAAGCGCCCGCCAAAAGCATCGTCAGAATCAGCACCCCGGAAGGACCGCAAGTAGGTAAGTAATGAAGAAGTTTAGTTGTTTTCTTTTTCCCTTTCGACGAAACAGTCTCAAGCAACAAACCAATACTCACTTCCTCACTCACGCATCTGACGGCGCTTCCTCCGACCTTTACGGAAAAAAATCTGGATTTAATAGGTGACTTGAACATCTGGAACGCGGTAAACCCTCGCGAGCGATTCTGGGCTTCTCGAACAAAACAATTACACTCTTCCCACGTCACGACATACGATCGATTGTGGTCGTGTCTTCCGTACATGCGTCCTCTATGTACAATCATAGCCGACTCCTTGTCCTGGTACGGCAAGGACGAGACCGGTGGTCGGGTCCACGACCTACTCGGCACACGCTGCGACCCCTACATCAACACCCTCCTCGCCGGGCCGGAGGCCTCGTACGACTTCCATTGCCATTCCAACCTGACGAGAGCAGTGACACCGTTCGGGCTCAACGAGTTCGACGTCCACGACGTCATCAACCTGTTCCAAGTGACCGGATTAGACGACAAGGGGAGGTACTTCATGCAATCCTGTCCCGCACAGCCAGGAGACTATATAGAGTTCTTCGCCGAGCAGGATCTGTTGATGGCCTTGTCCACATGTCCTGGCGGGGATTTGTCACTGTGGGGGTTTGGCAGCGACAGCGAGAAAGACATGATCAAATGCTGTCGACCTCTCAAAGTCGAAGTCTTTAAATTGGTCAACGAAGACACCGTCTTGGCTGGAAAATGGACACCTGCACAACGTCCAGACTATCGCGGCCTCCACGGCATGACCGTGCCGCTAGGAGAGAAAAAGTAGAGCAGTCGTCCGGCTCAAGAAACGCCCGAACTAAGAGATCAAAAGACTTTTGTGCCCATCATCTGCCTGCCATTTCTTGCTGCCCCTCAGGAGCTTTTGTAGACCACCGTCATCGCTTCCTCCAGTATTGAAAGACCTCGATTGATCTCTTCGGCGGAAATGACCAAGGGAGGTACAATTCGTAAAACACCGTCTCCGGCTGTGATGATGAGAAGACCTCGTTCTCGTGCCGCGGTGATGACGTCTGAAGCTTTTGCTTTGGCCGAGTCGCTCAATTGATACCCGACAATCAAACCACGGCCCCTGACTTCGGAAACAACTCCTGGGAACTTCTCCTTCATTGTCTCGAAGGCGCTGAAGAACAATCTAGACTTGACCCTGACCTCCTCCTGCAGCTGTGGCTTTGCGAGGCGGCCGAACACGTGATGTCCAACCCGACAAGCAAATGGATTACCTCCAAACGTCGTGCCGTGGTCACCGGTTTTGATGAAAGGCGCGACAGTCTTCCCCGACACCAGGGTGGCTCCAATTGGGATTCCGTTACCCAGTGCTTTCGCAGAGGTTAATATATCAGGATGTACTCCTGAAGCCGTGTATGCCCATAGATCCCCAGTCCGAGAAAGCCCACATTGGATCTCGTCGAAGATCAGCACAGCTCCAACTTCGTCGCATCTCTTGCGCAGTGATTGGAGGAATTCTGGAGTCGCCACGTTAATGCCTCCCTCGCCTTGAATGGGCTCTACGATCACTCCGGCAGTGTTCTCATTAACAAGATCTTGCACCGCTGCTACATCATTATATGTGCCATAACGGAAGCCGGGTAGCATGGGGCCAAATGGAGGCTGGTACTTCTTGTTCGGTGTTGCTGATAGCGAACCATACGTTCGTCCGTGGAAGGATCCATGGAAGGATACGATATCCCTCTGCTTGGTGTCTGGATCCTTAGCATAGGTGACTTTTCTGGCAAACTTGATCGCAGCTTCATTGGCTTCGGATCCCGAGTTGGAGATGAAGACTTGTGTGAAAGGGGAACCGGGAGATTGTTTCTTTGTCTCCTCAATCAGAAGCTTGGACAAAGTTGGCGTCCACGGGTTGTGGTATAAATTTGAGGCATGGATCAACTGTTGTGCTTGGTGGGCAATAATTCTGCTAAGCTCGGGGTCTGAATGACCCAACGAATTGACAGCTATTCCAGCCGTAAAATCGAGGTATTGTCGGTTTTCATTGTCATATAATATACAGCCTTCTCCTTGTACCATCATAGGCGGCGGTCGCACGTAGGTTGGGACCATGAAAGGCGCAGACTGGTTGAGGAAGGCCGCGGTAGCGGAGTCCGCTGATGGGTCAGCATTCGGCAATGAAGCTTCACGCTGGGCTTGATTGTGGTCCAAGACAGGCACTGTAGAGGACGTAGGGACTGCGGCAGCACTGGCAGCATAACGGCGGACTGGAGTTCGATAAGGGAGTTGCGAGAGCCGCGACCAGGCAGCTCGTTTGCCGACTGCGAAAGCCATCTTGTCACAAGACCTTGTAACTCAATACCGGGGGAGTTGTCGGGCTATATGGGAGAAGAATGAGGAGGGCAAGACTTTGACTCATTCATATATAGGGCGCGCAGAAGAAAATGGCCCCGGTACCGAAATTGTTTGGGGAACGAGTCACTAAAACTCAACTGCGCAGGAAAATTCTCTGCGGAGAACAACGATATCGGCGATAAGATGGCGCGATCAGCGTTGATTAGATTAGATGTGGCCGGGGTTCAACCCTTTCTCCTTTGACGCTGTTCGGAACTAATAAGTCTAATTGTCTCGTGTCTTCCTCGTTTGCTGCCTCTGCCTGGCCTTCTGTTTTTCTTTCTAGATGTGAGTAAGCTCAACATCTGACGAGCGTGAAAGGAGGTATTGTCTCTGGCTCAGGCCAAGGATTTATGAATTCCATTTCCGCGATGGCGGTGCTGCAACGCCCAAAGGGTACAATGTTTTATGCACCCTGCCTCATATTTGAAACACGACTAGGTTGGTATTGACATGTCTCAAGCCACATATTGATGTGCAATCCATCGTATGCCGCCGCTCGCTGGCAAAGGGCGGCCAAACTCGGCGTTGTCTTGCTGGGAAAATACGCCTTCAGGAAAGGGGTGGTTGAGACAACCACCTCCCGCAGGGAATCGATTGCGCCCCCGAAATTGGATGACAGCATTGTTCCACGAGCCTTCAATATGGTCCGGAGATCATGGTCGGTCGCATCCATTTCCGAGGTCCTAATTATATACTCCAGGGCCTTCGACTGTATGAAAGGAAGACTCCGGATAAGTCGTTTACACGTAAGGTCTGAGAGTACGGGGTATGAGCGGAGAACTTGTGGCGCCGCCTCCCAATTTGCGATCACGAGCGGCGGCAAGGTATATAAAACCCACACATCACGCTCCGGGTTTCCTGTCTGTCAACCTGTGTTTCTCTACTTCAAGTGTCGAAGATCATTGAGAGCAGAAAGCAATAAACATGCTCCTTTCCAGTTTTCTCTTCGCTGTCTCGGGCTTTCTGGCATTGGCCAGTGCCAGTCCGCCGCCAAACACCTGCCTCACTCCAGCCAAGGCCACTTCAATCGTCGACAAATTTGCGTCTCTTTTGACTGCTCCTCAAGCACCAGACTTCAAGACCAAGGCAAATGCTCTCCTGGCATCAACGTTCACAGACACAAGTGGTTCCATCAACTTTCTCGCCAATCAAGATGTGCGTGCCAGGTTGCTTCGACTCGTCACGTCAAGAGTGCTAACCGGGGTTTAGGTCACTGCTGTTACATTTCCGAACAAGGACGCATTCATCGCCGGACAAGGCTCGCAACCTCCAATCCCAGTCTTGAAGACGCTCGAAATTTTCTTCACGTGCAACAAGATTTCATGGCGATGGGTCGCTCAAGGCATTGGGTCTGGTCAATACGAGGTCAAGGGCATCGACGTGTTCACAGTTACCCCCCAAGGTCAGATCAGTGAAGTGTATGCCGAATTCAACAGTGGTGCTTGGCTAGCCGACATTGGAAACCCTCAATGTTCCTAGGAGGAGCAAAAAACCTGAGACATATAGGCGTGGTTGTGGACGACGTGGCGATTCGATTTTCGAAGACGCCCTGCGTGTTACGTGCTGAAAAAGGAGTTTATCTTTGTTTGCTTCGTTTCTCTGTGTTGCGGGAAAGTGAGGTGCTCCTTGCATCACCGCCAGAGACCTCATTATTTAAATGGCCTCAATTTTATTATATCTGATGGAGCGAGGATGTTGTATTCCATTGTTGCGTTGTAGGACATTCTCAGGCTTCACTTACCAGAGTACCTTAGGTAGGAAGACAAGTTGAAGTCCATAAGGTATTTAGGTATGGAAAGGCTACACTGTAGGTATCTAGGGTACCTGGCTCCGTGTGGCCACACCCGATGCCCGAAGAACAACCGGTGAGGCTGAGATCATTTTCTCAAGATATCGGAAGCTGAACCTGTAACCTAACACTTTCTGCATCTTCGCCAGTCACCATCTGCGCCGCCTCGTTGATCCTATTTCTTTGTGGGAAATACGCAAAAACTCACACAAAATACTATCTGACATTGCACGCATCATCATCATCATCAAGGTTGAACTTCAATTTCAACAATGAAGCCGACCAACACCAGCTTTCGAGTCGTCACTTTCGCCCCGCGGGCCTACCTCTTCACGTCATGCACGCGAACAACAGCGGTGTCGTCACGGACTTTCAGCGCGTCCAGTGCTTCGAGAAACGACTCTTCTTCTTCTTCTTCTAAACCCGCACCCTCTCCGTTCGGCTTCGGCGGCGGACCGTCGCCACCGAGACTGCCCAAGGAAGAACAAGAGATCTTTGAAGCGCTGCAGCGGTCGTCGACGGGCGCATTCTCAACGCCACGCACGCCGCCGAAGATCAATCAGTCGCCTCACTCCGAGCCAGCGGAGGCCGCCGATGCGCAGGTGAGAGTGGAAGAGAGGGTGGACAGGATCCAGGCGCAGTCGGCGACGAGACAGAAGGATCTGGGCGAGAGCATGTCCAGGTTCAAAGAGCAGTTTGATCGAAAGATCGACGCGAGGGGCGACGGCGAGGAGTTGCATCCAAACGTCGTCCGCGGCGCGCAGCCCGAGTTCGAAGGCGACGTGAATCCCAAGACCGGCGAGGTGGGAGGGCCCAAGAACGAGCCCTTGAGATGGGGCGCTTCCGGGGAATGGAGCTATAATGGGAGAACTACGGATTTTTGACTCCCGAGAACGAGAGGAACTGTGGAAAACTTGAAACTGTAAAAGTGTCTATTGAATCGAGCGCTGGAAAGTACGGCACCTGAGGTCCATCTGGAGAAATGTAGAATTGTGCAGTATGTAGACTCTAGAGGTACATACGGAGCAGGAAGACGCTCTTGACCATGTGCTCGATCTCCAGCTCCCGCCTAGTGTAAGCCCAGCCTTTCATTGTCCTCAATTTGCATGTCAAAGTCATGTCATGTCATGTGTGAGTTCATGATCGTCATGTCCTCGCCCTAGCCATTGTTCCATCGTTCCTATTTTTTGTATCGTTGCAAAATCATCAAGGAAGTAAAGTGTGTGTTTGAGAGTACACTTGTGTCGTCCTGCTTATTGGGTCTTGACTTCGCCATCTTGTTCGACGTGGATGTGTTCGTTGGTCTGGAGAACGCCGACTTTGTCCTCGGGGAACTCGACACTGGGAGATTCGTGGGTCAGCACATACAGTAGAACATTATGGTCATGGTCGCTAGAGCGTACGTGAAGCCCTTGATCAGAGTGAACTCATGCTTGATTGAGCCGCCGTCCGCCTTGGCCTTGTCCTTGGCCTTGGTCAGTTCCTCGGGAGAAGCATTTTCCTTCAAAGTGACCTGAAAGATAGACGATTAGTCGAGGGTGCAGATAGCATGCTCGTGTGGATTCTTACGTTGAAGAGAGGCATGGTGATCCGTGTGTTAAATGCAAGCGGCTGGTGCCTGTTGAGTCTAGAGGGCGCAGATCTGACGATAAGGTGCGCTCGAGAAGAACAGCTGATAGTTATGCAGGAGAAATGAATCCGCGCAGATGTGGTGTTGGTGTTGAAGGTGACGAAGAGGAGAACAGATTAAATTCTTCTTCTTTAGATCGAAAGATAAGCGTGGTGAAGACAAAGGAAGAGTACGTAGGTGTAAGAGAAAGAGAGAGCGAGAGCCTGTGCTCTTGTTTAATGTTACGGCACGAGAAACAGTCACGGATGCCAGGGCAATTCACCTCATCCCACGCATGACGCAATTGACCGAAGTGGCTTTGACAGTCTCAAGCCACAAGCGACGGAGACGAAGTCTGAGTGTCTCCGGCGAGCACCGAACAGTCAGCAAGGCCTTGTACGTCGGTCCTGTACAAGATGCCCAGTGGCCGCAGATTGTATCCTACACACACACGCCAGGAGGGACGGATAGTGATCTTTGGTGTACTACAACCATCGTCTCCATGAAGTCTCGTCGTCACAGCATCTCAATCCATAACATGGTCTGCCCATACGAAAATATCAATCGGGAGAGTAGCTGAACGGTAGGTAACTACCGTCAGGAACAGAGTATGGGTGACGGTGATCGAGTCGACGAGGGCCCTACATGGCCTCATATAGTCGCCGCCTCACGGTGGGATCATAGGAGACTTCGGTTGGAGGGCTGCATTGTACTGTATCATTCTTCAGCCTCACCAGCCTAACTAGTGAGCCCTACAAGGCTTTCTATTTCCGTGACCAGGGTACACAGCCTACAGGGGAGCGAGATTCTTCAGGCCAGCAACGTCGAGTTCTAGGCCACTCGCTTCTGTTTCACACCAGCCACAGTTCAGCTCTTGTCAACACCACCGCCGCAGGCGAGCAGCGAGTAGGATGGGAGCGAGCCGGGGGGTGGATGAGATAATATCGCAGGAGGGAGGCGAATGGGAGGGGGGTGACTGTTCAGCCATGAGGCCTTGTGAGTTGTATAATTAACACAATTAATCACTGCACCATGAGACACGCTCATCGAGGCTGCATCCATCCTCATTGTCGTCTGCTTGTCGCACAGTGTTTCACCCCCACGAGGCCCGAGAATCATGACGTTCCAGTTCTCTAGGCTCGTCCCTCCCGCTGCGGGTTCAACTAACCAACGCCAACGCCAGCGCCTGCGCCGCCGCCAGTCGCAGCAGGTCCGGGCTTCGTCTCCAGCACTGGCATCTTCCTCCGCATCAACACCGACATCTCCACGAACCCGCAATACCAACAATAATACAAACTTATCCTCGACGCCAGTTTCCGCATCTACGACTCATGACCTCTCCGTAAGCTCTTCCCACGAGGGACCTCACGTTGTGTGATACTAACTGATGCTCGCAGATGTCGAGTTCAGAGCCTGTGGACGGGCCTAGCACAAATGCCACCATTATAAGTCTCACCAAAAAGTTCAGAACTCTTGGACGGCTCAGCCCATGGGTGAAGTCTGGGGTATGGCTATCCCTTGCCGCGTGAAGAGACTCTCTGGAGACTGACGACCCATGCAGGAGCTACGAACGCCCCCTGAAGAGTCCTACATCTGCGACACCTGCCTGCGCCTCGATCTCCGAGTCGAATCGTTCTGTGTACAGCCCGGGGACAATGAGTATGAGAGACAGCACAAATTCAGATACCTAGGGAGACTCTCGCAGATACGAAGGAAAACACACTGCCCCTTTTGTCGACTTATACTCGCCATAGCAGATCGACCATTTGACCAGAGAACTCCATCACTCCATGCGGATGACGACCCAGTATGTTATGCAAGATGGGTGGTAGACGGGCAGGAAGACGTAGGGCCGGACCCTGCCAGACCTGGAGAACATATATTCAGACCAAAGACACGTCGTTTGCTGATCTACAGCGAGCCCCAGGCCTTCAAGGACGGCTACATTGTGCTATTGGCCGATGATGCACCTAGCCGGGAGTTCTTTGGGCGTCGAATAACATCCCCCGACCTCCTCGATGCTGAGGTCCTTCGAAGATGGATCCATGTCTGCGAGTCGACCCATGGAGAGGAGTGCGAAGAATCGTTGGTGCATCCAGATCTACTGGGGAAGCCCAAGAATGTCTTTCGGGCCATTGATGTGAATAATATGTGCATCGTGTCGGTACCTCAGTCCTCAAGATACGTTGCCCTGAGTTATCTGTGGGGCAAGAATTTCATTCAGCTTTTCACCACATCCAAAAATCTACCAAAGTTATCCCAACCCGGAGCATTGGAAAAGGAGAAACTCCCTCGAACCATCAAGGACGCCATCAGACTCACCAAGATGCTCGGAGAGAGATATTTGTGGACCGACAGTCTAGCACTACTACATGATGATGGGTTCCAGTACCATGATGACTGGGTCTACGCAAGAGCTACGGTGACGGTCGTTGCTGGCTCAGGAAAGGATGCCAATGCAGGCTTACCAGGCGTGAGAAAGGAGTCTCGAACTTTCCACCAGGATATCGAGGAAGTCAAACCGGGGCTGCGCCTGATGGTATCGCATCTGGCAGAGGGTAAGGCTCTTCTCGGTTTGTTTGGTCGTCCTTCACTGACCCCAGCAGATTACATCTCCACTTCACAGTGGGACTCCCGGGCGTGGACGTTCCAAGAGAGAATGTTGTCGCGACGGTGTCTGTTGTTCGTAAACGGACGAATATACTACCAGTGTCGACGGACGACTTTTTGCGAGGACATAGAAATGCCCAAAGGTAATGGTTGGTCATTGGACTCGATTGATATGCCCACCAGGATATTCCGAGAAAGGCCTTTTGTACAATACACATCGGCAGTCGAGCTGTATACACGTCGGGAACTCACAAACCCAGCCGACATCCTGCATGCCTTTGAAGGGGTTCAACTGGTGCTGGAAAAACGAATCGGCGCCAATATATACTACGGTCTTTTGGAGACCATGATGGATTCATCATTGACGTGGGAGTCCAACAAGAGACTGCTGCGACGTCCAGGGTTTCCCAGTTGGTCCTGGGCAGGATGGGTCGGGGAAATACAGTGGAAGTATACCGAACCTGCACGGTCATGGATCGAATGGCATGCCGATCAAGCCGATGGCATCCACACATTTCCCAGACAAACATTGGAACGAATACCTCCACCGATCGAAAGAGCTGGGGATGATCAGCCCATGTCGAGTCACAATCTGAGCAAAACAATCCCGCTGTTACATTTCCGGACCGTTACAGCCCATTTCGCCCTTACCTCTCCCGCGCTCATCCATAAATCGGTCATCTCCCCTCTGAGAAAGCGGCTTACTGGACCCAGCGCCCTCTCGACTGTCAGACCAGCCCCGGCCGACCCAGGTCTCATCCGAGTTGGAATAGCAGACAAGAACGGGCTCTGGTGTGGGACAATCGATCTCGATCTGACCTGGATGAATCGCGCGGGCCGAAGTTTTGAATTTTTGATCATGTCCAAAGTTAGCCGGTTTACCGATGACGAACTTAACATTTGGGAAGGCACTTTGCCTGATGATGTCGAGGACATTTTAACAGGGCGAAATTATGGCGTTTACAATGTCATGTTGGTGTCGAAACGAGCTGGCATCTACTATCGGGAAGGGTTGGGAAGGATATTGGCCGAGAGTCTGACGAGGGTTCTGGAGCCTGGGCCAGAATGGAAGGATATAGTACTTGGATGAACAACATCCAATCCGTACCGTACAGTATGTAGGGTACATACAGTATGTTGTTGTACATGGTGCTTTGTACTCTATTCTCTTCCGGCCAAATTCCGATTTCCCAAGTCTGCCTTGGCTACTCAGGTGGTACCGTTCGATTGGGAGATACGACGATGATCCTTGTTCTGCGGTGTGTGGCTATGACAGGCTCAGCCTCTTTTCGGCAAACAACATGAACTAGTATCATTGCCCATCAATCAATGAATCGGTCGATCGTCGTCACGTGTGACATCCAAGTGAACGAACCTTCGGCTTTCCCCATGTCGGACCAAGACTCGTGAGGTGAGGTTCGTATTCATCCCGCTTTCATTCAACCAACCTTTGGGGGCCATCATGATAGGAAGTGTAACGTAAGGATTCTAACTAGCTCGTTTTTTTGGTAGACCCATGGAGGCCGCAGTGCAGTTCGCTTAATTCTCGTCTTCATTCCCTTTTTCCCTTTATTACTCCGCTTCTCCGTCTTCGTGACAGAGAACTAAAAAAGTCAGGCATATAACTACCTACTACCTTAATCAATAGCGTCTTGTTGATCATCAGATCCCGGTTTCAAAGGGATTTGGGATATCTTCGATGCGCCCGACATGCGCCTCGCTGCTCCGTAGCCGGCACACCTACACAGACTAACACGGACCAGCACAGACACGGGTGCATGCAGCTTTGGAAGACGACGAAGTGCGCGCGCGAAGTTACTCAACCCCTTTTTTCCAGAGGATCAAATCTTCTGAAGACTGATTGAAGGGTGAAGAGCCAAAACCCAGAGAATCGAAAACGAGGAGAAACGAAAGAAAAGCGGGGGAAAGGGAGAGAGAGAGGAAGGGAATGTCAACCGGGTCCGTAATACTGATACACCGACTGGGAATGAATGAATGAAAGAGACGAATCAACCGGATGAACGAACGAATCAACCAAACCATGACTTCTTCTTCTTATTCTTCAATATCGACGGCATTGGCGACGACAATACCGACACCGACACCAACACCAACACCAATGTCATGGAACCAATACGACAACGTCACGACCATCAACTGCGTCTACCCCATCTCCGGGGCGTACGGGTTGCTCCCGCGGGTTCTGTACTACCTGACGCTCGTCGCGGCCATCTTCGGGCGCAGCCGCGAATGGCTCGTCATCGGCGCCCTGGTCAGCGCGCTCACGTACGCGGGCACGAGTTCGGTGCACATGATGACCCTGGTCCGCAGCCGCACCGGCGCGTTCGACCTCGACATCCTCGCGGCGTGGGCCGTCCTGTCCACGGGCGCGCTGGGGTACATTGGCATGATGCACTGGAGCAGCACGATGAGGAACAGCCGGGCGAGGATGGTGATGATCCTGTGGGGCGCGTTGGTCGGGATGGGCTTGATCTTTGGGAGGGCCCTGTTGTTCGACACCCCGGCCAGTCCGGGTGAGAAGGCGTGTTGGTCGACGACGGCGACGAGCAATCACTACTACTACGACAGCCACAGTCACAATCACAACAACAACAATAATAATGCGACGGACGGTTCCGGATCGATGGTCCTGTTGACTCAGGTTTACCAGCTACAAGGGTCAGAGTTCAATTGCACGTACACGTGCTTCGGGATAACGAAACCCCTGAGGCAGTGGAGCGAGATCATGGCCGTTCCTAGCCAGCTCGTCCACGGACGGTACAGCTCGTTGAGTTTTGTCCTCGTCGGGCCTATTCAGTTTGCCGCGTACGCGGCCGTGAGTGCCGACAGCGCTTCGGAGCACACCCCTAGTGCCCTGTGCACGAGGCTGGTCATGAAGCACCTGTTGCGTGATGGTGGGTACGGGCGGGCGGCGGCGGCGGCGGAGGATTTGACAAAAGTCGTCTACAAGGCCAGTATGGAGTCGTGGTACGGGGGGTACTTTGTCTTTATCGGGTACATTCGACGCGTGCGCTGGTGTTGGCTCAAAGTTCGCTGGGCGAGCGTGTTGTTGCCTTGGTTGGCGCTGAGTTTTGCCATCGACGTGCTGTGCTTGCCGTTGATGGTGGCCAATATCGTCCTGAATGAGGTGACGCTGTTGGGTGGTGGGTTTCCGGTCAACGAGGCGAATATGAACATTGGCCAGTGGGGCCCGGTGGTCAGTTCGCTGCTTGTCGTGATTGCTGCCTGCGTCAATAAGGGTACAGAGTGGTGGGAGGAGAGAAGGACGAGGAGGAAAAAGTGTAGAGAGTGCGAGCCTGGAGAGGGAGACGTCGTCGTGGAGGAAGTCACCGTGGTTGCAGGGAAGCATTCAGATGACGACGATGATGGTCAGGTCTTGGGCGTCGTTAAGCCGAAGATGGTGCATGTTCACACGTTGCAGGACATGGAGGATTTGAGGAGGCCGGGCTGAGAGAGTGAGGTCGATAGGGTGAGGTCTGAAGGTATAACATGCAGGTTTACTAAATAGCACAGAGTTCCCAATGAGGGTTAATGCGCGTCAAGTCCTTGAAGTCACTTCATCGGATCATGTTTGTTCTCTCATCTCTTCACACCTGGGCAAAAGGTTCAGAAAGCAGTTTGTCGAGACACAGCAACAACAGAGGAAAAGCTGGCGTGGGTATCCCCAGTCAATGGGTTGGCTTCTGGAATACGGAGGACGGCTCTCCTGATTATTCAGGGCTCTACGAACTGACACTTTCATACATACATGTCCGCTTCGGATGTATGTAGTATTCTCAGGCAAGATTTGTCGACTCGACCATCAACAGATTCTGTCGAGCTGATAGATATTGCCTTTTCATACCACCTTTTGACGGCCGCCGAAACATGTGTGCATACGGTACCACCCTTGCTGTTCGAGGGGAGTGCACAAGGCAACCACACCATAGTCGGTGCAGAATCGTTCACTGAAAGAACGGATACACCGTCGTACGTGTAGCTTCAACAGCCCTTGTGACGGCGTCACAAATCTTATGATCTCACAGCTTTTCTAACGGATTGAAGATTGGGGGTAGCTTTATAAAACAAGAGCAGGTGGAGATTGAACAGCGGGCGACGGAAACAAAGCTCATAGAACTGGTGATTTTAGCGTAGAGATCGGAGACACTTGTATATCTCCCCGGCCACTAAACACGCCCTTAGATCTAGCGGCCACTCGCTCCTCCAATCGGACTGATGGGCGGTGGCGTGGCTGGACTCGGCCAGGGTGTGACAATGCAACCATGAGGCTGAGCATCTACTGTACATAAAGTCAGGGGTGAGGCAGACTTTGGGCTTATCAAGGCAGACGCTCTGTCGATCTCCAGCCACCACAAAGGCTGCATTGGTGTGCGGCAGAGGTTGAGCCTCCAGGATTGTGTTTTAAAGGGACGACGAGCCAACCATACTTGTTCTTGTTCACAGTGGTTTTTCACGCAAAACACGGGGGAACATCTGGACAGAATTTCTAGATTTCTGAAGTTGCTTCTTCAATTGTTAACTATGGGCGACACTCCTTTATTGGATGGATTGTTTGAATCAGCTCGTGCGGAATTCCTTGCAGAGGTTTCGAAATTTCCAAAGTCGCAAAGATATGACCCGTCGAAAATTGAAACCATTGATGATGTGTACATTGAAGTCATGAAAATTCAGAACGAGCAGAAGAAGACAAAGACATTGGCTGCTCTGAAACGGATTGAGCCATTCTTGAATGGCTTGAAGGAATACTTCAGCGCAGTCGATACTTTTGCACAGATCAAGCCTGAAATCACCTGTATCGTCTGGGTATGTTGTCGTGTCTGCTGTCCCCTCTTCGATGCAGGGCTGACTTGCGCCAGGGAACTTTGAGACTCATTCTACAAGTATGTTTCTGAGCGCGCTTCTTCGATTCGCGAGACTAATATTCATCTGGCTTGGAGTTCGCCAATTCGTTGGTTACGGCCTTCCAAAAGCTTATAGCACTGCTGTCGGACATTGGGAACATACTACCCAACTTCAAGAGGTATATCCAGACAGGTATCTTCGACAACAACGACCAAGTCAAGCGAATTATGACCTTGTTCTATCGTGATATTCTGGACCTTCATCTTGAGATGTTGAGGTTCTTCAGTCATAGGGGTGAGTGACAAGCCCTGCATAACCGAAGTCGACGCATCTCATTTCGGACGTCTTCTAGGTCTGCACATGGTTCTCGAGGCACTTTGGCCCAAATTCCGAACTAAACTAGCCACCATTCAAGAAAATATCGGAAAACACCAAAGTCTAATGACAAGCAATGTAACATTTGAACACTTCCTTCAGGCACTGGAACACCGGCAACTGTCGTTGAAGCAGTACGACGAACAGAGAAATTTGATAATAAATACCGAGTTGAATGAATTCCGCGAAGTTCTATCCAGCCCTTTATGCCTTTCAAGGTTTCAAACTTCCATAGAGAACATGACCATGGGGACCGGTGACTGGTTGTTTCAGGACCCAGTATTTACGGATTGGCGCAATTCAGACTCGACTGGTCAGCGCTGTCTATGTATTCAAGGCATTCCAGGATCAGGTGAGTTTCCATTTTAGTGACCCGGTCACCTACCGAAGCGGTCTGAATACTACGGGACTAGGTTAATAAAAAGCCAGGGAAAACAACCTTGTCAGCGAGAATGATTCAAAAGTTGCAGAAAGATGGCGAGACCGTGCTCTTCTCCTTCCTATCCCATGACAAACCGTCGTTGGGAAGCAGCGTTCGACTGTTACACTCCCTGCTATTTCAGGCCTTGGTCAGACATCGTGATTCGGTGTCGGCGATTTACGCAGCCTATAACGGCGATCGAGAGAAGTTCAACGGGGATGTGGAGTACAACAAGGATCTATTTTGCAGCGTGATAGAGGTCTCTGGCCCTGCCTACATCATTATCGACGGACTGGATGAGATCGAGGAAGGTAGACGCAAGTCACTCCTGAAGACACTAATAGAAGTCGTTGATCTCTGCGGGAACATCAAGCTCTTGATAAGTTCGCGAAAAGAACACGATATCTTGCAGACATTTTGCGCGAGAGCAGTGTCTCTGGTCATCAACGAAAGGAATTCTAAGGATATTGAGCGTTACATGGAACAGCAAGGCGAAGAATGGACAGACGAATTGCGGAGGTATGGTGCTGACGAGACCGAATGCAATGAGCTGAGAAATGAGCTGCAAAAAGTAGTGATCAAAGCAGATGGTAGGCACCTATGGTACAGTGCCTCACGGTAACTAGAGCCGCTAACAACATCTAGGGATGTTCCTTTATGCTAAACTTGTCGTTAGCATCGCAAAGTCTCAGGTGGATCTTGAGGGCATACGTTATGAGTTGACAAATCTCCCCGATGGCCTTGACCAAGTGTAAGTCCTACCCTCAAATACATCTTCGAGAAGGCATTGCCATGCTAAGAGCATACAGCTACGGCAGAGTCTTGTCCCGGATCCAAAAGAATTCCTACGCCTCCAAAATCTTACAATGGCTGGCCTGCGCTAAAACCCCTCTGACTGAGCTTCAACTTCTTCAAGCACTTCTCATAAAACCCTCCATGTCGGATTTTTTGGGAAGCCGAAGAACCGCCTTATTGAACCTCCGTCAGGCGTGTGGGCCAATCATCGAAATACACAACGATACTGTGAGATTTGCACATTTTACAGCATATGAGTGAATCATGTCTTGGCCTGAGGTAGATGCTGAGCTAACGGTACCAGGTACCTATTCGGAAAACAAAGCAATAACTTTCTCAGCCACCAAAACGGCCACTTGGAGGCCTTATATGTTAGCCTCACCTATCTGTGCTTCACTGGCTTCGATGACATCTTTTCGCCCGAGCTCGAAAGCGTGGACACAGGCCTTTTGCGAAATCGTGTTTTGGCGGGTGATTTTATCTTGTTTCGCTATGCTACACAGTTTTGGTTGGACCATGCACAAGTCCTAGGGCGGGCCGATGCACAAATGACCGACGCTCTTTGTGATCTTGTGGCTCGATTCTACAGGGATCGAGGCCAACTAAATGAAGACAATGATCTGGAATCCGGTATTGACCCATTCATTGCAGACTTTCAGTCCTTCAACTTGAATCCAACAACTCGGCAGACTCTGTCAGCTTCAGCACGATTTCATCATCGCCTCAAATATGGACATATCTCTCCACAAGGTATTTCTTAGTGACCGCAATGCACAAGGACTAGTGACGCTGATTAGGTTTGAAGATGAGTGGACGTTGGAAGACCCCACTGTGATGTCTCTCGGACTCCGGAATTTTCAACTCTTTCTAGAGACCATGATTGAGGATTGTGAGAAGTCGTCTCATGCTCAAGAGTGCCATTGTGAAAAGTTGAAGAACATGTACGGTGCATCCATTTTCAGGTGCAAATGGCCACTCTGCCTCTCAAACAGCACTGGCTTTAATTCATCTTCCGAAAAGAAGCGTCACGAACAATCCGCCCATCGAGGGCGTTTCATCTGCTCAGAGGCATCATGTCAATATCATTACTTTGGCTTCTCATCATCCAACCAGCTGGCTAAACACAAGTCCGCTGTCCACGTACCGAAGTCCCAAGTCTCTGGCTCATCGGAAGAACTCGAACCGTTGTCAACGGAAGATTTGCTGACTATCCTCGAAGATGCAGTTTTTCACGATCAGATTGAGCAGACTGTCAACATCATCCAGCTGATTACGGAACGGCAGGAACTGGCCAGTATCGATTTCAACCTTTTGCTACAGATCGCCGCCTGGAGAAGTAGGACTTGCATGGTTGAAACTCTCATGCCTTTCTCGCCAAAATTGATGCGCGACCGCCAAATCCAGCAAGTTCTCTGCAATGCCATCTATATTGCAGTGGAATTGGGCAACTCGTTAACAGTTCGCGCTCTTCTAACATTTGGTTTGAACCCCAAAACAACGTGCAAACCCGCAGCCCATACGAAGCTATTAAATCTATACTTTCGGCCCCGAAAAATCCAACATACCTCCCACTTCCGGGGGCGTCTCGGATACGACTTGATTACTTTTGCAAGAAACAAAAACGACGATGCCCTTGTGGAAGTTCTCTGCAACTTCGGTTTCAAACCAACAAAGTTGACTTTCCACGGAATGATTCGTGATGCGTTCCGCCAACAGCAAGATTTGTCGGCCTTTTCAGCAAGGTGGAGGGAGCTCATCACAGACCAAAAGAACTTCGTTTCTCAGGGAGTCAAACTTGCTCTCGAAGAACCAAACCCTGCTGTCCTGGGTTTCTGGTTACAGCATGGTGCAGACCCCAATCTGAGAAGCATAGAAGTTTGTGGCCAGTCCCGCTATTTGCCGACTGTCTGGTATGGCACTGAGGTGTCATTGACGCCGGTGGAGTACGTTATGTCTCGGCTCGGTCATGGATTGCAAGAAATACCCGGCCCCGGCCTTATTGAAGTGATATCCCTTCTCGTGCAATATGGTGCAAAAGACCCCAAAAAGGTCTCTTGGAAAGACAGAGACATAAGAGGCAGAAAATTCAAAGAGACGAACGCGAAAGAGATGAATGAGGAAGATATGAAGGACATAATTGATCGGGGTTTCGGCCGGGTGGAAGAATATTTTGGAAGGCCTTGGGACGAGATCTTCCTGGCAATGCAAGCTGGGCAGGATCTGGAGCCATATATGTCATGACATTTACGCTTCTAACTAGAGTACTCCAATGTCACTGGAAAATCTATCTAACAAGAGAATTCCCACACGCACCCACCCACACACACACACACACACACACTCTCTCTCTCTCTCTCAACTTGTAAGATCACCCCTCATAAGGGGGAGAATATCGGCGAAACCCTGTATCAAAGGTGTTACGATTCAGGATTGAAGATACAGGTGGGAGTTCTCACCATCATGGTCTGCTGAAGATCGAGGTTGTCCCTTTCTTGAAACGGAGACACGGCCAGTCGCATTTTATTTTCTTGCACTTCAGAAATGTACTGTTTGCACATCAGTCAACGCTGTACACATATGGACTTATGACGCTTTTACGTGCCCTCTCCACAGAATCAGTCTTGTCCACAATATACCGGAATATCGTGACTTCTTTTTCTTGGCCCAGCCTGTGGACTCGGTCCATAGCTTGACGCTCCAGCATCGGGTTCCAGCCCAATTCGACCAAGTGGACGTGGCTTGCAGCAGTAAGGTCGAGTCTGTTGCTGTCAGGATCTGTTCTCACGAAAAAGAGAGGTAGAGGACTTACCCAACAGCAGCGCTGCCTAGAGAAGCAAGGAGAATATGACAGGATGGGCCATATCGGAAGTCGTTGAGGGCTTCTTTCCTCTGTACTAGGGATTTGCTGCCGTCAATTCGTCGGTATTTTAGCCCTTGGTCACTCAATGCTATCTCAAGCAGGTCAAGCATTCTCGTCCAGCTTGAGAAAATCAGACTAGTGGAAGAAGACAACGTCAGTGGTGCGAATGTGGGAGCGATCAAACGTTTCTGTACCTCTTGACTGGCTTGCCACTTTCGTCATTCGGCGTTGAAGCTAGATGCCCCAGCAGTGCTTTGACTTTGGACGAGGGATGATATTCTCGAGGCCGGCTGATGCGCGAATTCCTCCCTTTGGCCGGCCGACTGTCATCGTAACAAATCGGACAGACAGGCCCATGTGAGTCAGTGTTCGTCGACGCACTGAGACATTTGTCGCAGACTGAATGTGAGCATGGTAAGAGCCCAACCGACATATCTCCATCGTGTGCACCGATGTCCTCGATTGGGCTATTACACAATTCACAAGTCTGGTTCTGGAGCAGGTCAGGGGGCAGAGTGTCGGCGGATCTCGCAGCATTTCCCAGCCATTCTTGGATTGGTCGAGGCAGCAAGTCAAGTCCATGGTTGCAGATCTGTCGAAGCCGCAAGAGGGTGGTGAAGTATGATGTGTCGAAGGGGGCCCAAGTGATACTGCGAATATAGCTTCTCTTGACGAGGTCGTACATGGCAGCTTCTCGATCATTCAGAACAACTGGAACATCATGTATGATCTTGGACGGAAGGCACAGTTCACTTTCGCAAGCAGCTTTCGTCCGCCTCAGACATATGCCCTTGATTAGCGTGTCGACTCTTGCCCAACCATGTGGTTTATCGATGTCCAGTGGTATGGGCAGGACCTTGTCAAATGTGGGCTTCTCATCGAAAGGAGTGATCCGAAGAAACGCGACAAGCGCTCCGAGGTCTTCCATGCTGTTCTGTATCGGAGTTCCAGTAAGACACCATCTGTGCCGAGCTTTGAGTGTATTCACGGCTCGGAACAGTTTCGAAGTCCGGTTACGAATAATGTGTGCTGGTACTTGGTGTTATTTAGGGTGAAAATCCGAGATGCACCGGAAACTTACCTTCGTCAAGTACAATCCGTCGCCAATCGTAACGATGGAGAGGCCCAGATGGACGATACTTGGTCGCTCTCAGATGATCTTGTCTCACTGTTTCATATGTAGTGAGTACTATGTCGCATGTTTGACGCAGCCCTTCCAGTTTCTCATGTCTGGATGTCCCATGGTAGGTCAAGAAAGAGATCGAGTCTTGCTTGAAGTGCCTATGTGCAGTGAGCACGTGTGATATCATTTCTTAGATGAACAACAAACCTGAGGATTTCATTCTCCCAATTCGGAAGGACTTCAACAGTTCAGTAAGCCGAGGTCACCGGAGCATCAAGTAAAGGACAGAATAAGACGATTGAAGGAGAGGAAAGCCACATTACCAGACTTTGGCGTGATTATCAATGTCGCATTTGCCAAGATCTCAGCAGTCTCTACTGGAGAGGAGCCGTTGTCAATCGATCCCGCTATCAAAGCTAGAGTGGTGAGGCTTTTCCCCAGACCCATATCCTGTGCCTATTGTCAGCGACTGAAAATCTTAATGGTAAGCTCTCGGAGTCTACGTCTGCAAGAAGGCCCCCAAGGGCCAGTGACGGTCGTGATTGATGAAATCTCCCATCCACAGTACATTGAAACCTTTGTCGTTCGTCAGCGGGTCTTGGATGCACGTAGGGATCTTTCAAGATATTACCTGGGATTACCTCTTCCGTCACGAATCTCCCTCCAAATTGTCGGAAATTCTGGGTTTGTTATGTTCCCACCCTCTTTCTCTACCATCATCGCCAGGGCTTTCCTTTGGTGGCTATGGGATAACAGTGTCAGTCTAGTCCCAATGGAGCCGAGTCGGCTTGTTAGAAATCCAAGATACATACGGTTTCAATTGCGTCACCATTCTGTTGCTCACATTGACTTCGCTGAACGACACTGGTCCAGTGGCAGAGTCCAGGACAGAATTGACGAGACTTTTTGTAGCAGGTTGAAGCTTTAGGACTATTGGGCTGTCGATGGGCAGACTAGTTTGTGAGGCATCGAATTCTGTGCCCGGTGGAAGTAGCCACTGGGGGTTATAGTAGGTTGTTGAGCGATCATAATCGTCTGGCTCCTGGAGAAACCAATAGTTCTCAGCAAGAAAGTCACCGATGGCTTCAGCGTCGTCACGATGACTATATATCACTACCCTCAGCGTGCAGTCAGCTCCAATTGAGACACAAGGTGTAACATTGTACCGCTCAGGCATTTCAGTGAACAGCATCGTCGCCTTCTCCGGGATAAGCCCAACGAGCTTGTTGGTCTCGCGTTGACGCAAAAGCACAATACGCCCCTGTACCTGAAAGGTCACCTCTGTGTGGCGTGCTTTCTTTTTACGATCTTGAAGGGACGCCGTGCACTCCCCAACTTCGATCTAGTTTCAAGTCAGGATCTAGAGCCGATAGGAAAGAATCGTGACATTGCTCACCATCCCCAAACATGTATCATATTTGTCAGACGTGTCTTTGCGTTCGAGGGAGCTCTCTGCAATGGGGCTTCCGGCTTGGTAGTTGGGAGAGGTGTCCATGGAATGCGAATCCTGGTCGACTTCCACGCTAGTGGAGTCAACCTCGAATATGGAAGTTGACGATCCTGAGCGATCGCTTCTGCTTCTTTTCGATGCCTTGTCCACGCCCAAAAATTGCCCATAGTGATTGTCGTACAGGGATGATGTTGGGTTCAAGCGGTCGTGGGTTCTTTTGGTGAAGAGCCTTTGTCGAGGGGCAGCCTCCTTCATCGCAGCAATTGGACAATTAAGTCAACGGTGGACTGCTCGATATCGCTAGAAGATTCCTGTTGTAGGAAGCTTCCAGTATGTACAGAGAGAAGGAGTACAGCAAAAGGCCACCTTCCGCGCAAAGAAGACCACGCGTGTTGTTGAATTCATCATCGGGCTGAAGCTCGGTTACCACACCAGTCAACTCGTCGACTGCCAAGCGTGGCGTTGACACTCGACTGCTGGAGAAAACGCCGATAGAGCGCCAGCGATCGTTAGTTGAGTAACTAACTAACTAGTGTTGCCGAGTGGGTAGACAAAGAGGCTGGTGAGGCTGAGCGTACCAATCTCGAGGCTCGGCCAAACAGGCCGGCTAGACCAACTCATTGGCTCAGCCTCTGAAACTCCCTATCAACGACATGGATAACAAATGCTACTGTAGGCCACAAAAGTACAAAGGTTGTTTGTCTCCCTCAGCTGTCAATACAAACGCGGTTTCTCCTCCAGGGTGGACTTAATATGGTCCGAATCCTCTTCCCGAATATCAGCAAATGTATGCCATCCCGATTCCAATGCTGAAACGTCTGATAACAATGAACATATTTCCCGTTCCCATCTTCTTCATCCAGGGATGGGCCGTGAACGGCACGACGATGCTAACTGCATTGCGCGCGAAGGTCACGTCGATGAACGCATCGGCAGAAAGACTCTTTACGCGGGGCAGGAGAAGGGGCAACCGAGCTTGGTAAGCTCACCCTCGCAGTCCACTCGTGCTACCACGCTGCAGGGGCTGAGGGGGTTTGACAGAATGAAAGCGTGAAATCTGAGAGACATGGTATGGTTCTACGATGTTCTAGAGACGCGCCCTTTTATTCTGGGCGGCGGCCAGGGCATTCATCTTGTCGTGAGCCCTGATGAATGTCTTGTAATTTGGGAACAAACCCTTCGGATCCCACTTTTCTCTTATCCCCAAGAACTTAGCCAATGCGGTATCGGAAAGTACCTTCATCTAAAAGGGAGTAAAGTTAGTTCTCTAGATCTCATGGCCAATTGATCGACAGACTTACATTAGCATCGTCATTGTTAACGTCGATCTCTGTTATGTACTGTCCAACGCTCACAGGCCATGCTTGGAAATACTTCTCACGCATGGGTTGCTGAATTGCGGGCTCTAGCTTGGGGTCGGTCCAACCTGTTATGGTCGAGATGTACAGGTCTTGAACCAGACTCAAAGCACCGTCCTCCTCATTGGGAAGGATATCACAGTGACACATGAAGACAGATGTTGTTCGTGTAGGGAATTCCGTCAGTGCAGGCTTTATGGTTGCCAATAACTAGATGTCAGGGTCAATGGAGGTCGGATTCATCGAGCAGCCGGGCAATTTACCTTCGGCAAAGGAACTGTTGGGTCGTTCATGATGCTGTTGATCTGCCATCGCTGGGTCTTATCATTGCCCAAGAACCCACGCTTACGGTCGAAGACTTCTTGAAAAGTTCTCCTCTCAACGGGTCTCATCTCAATGAGCTGTTGACGAACCCCTAAGGGGATCTTATCATAAGCGCCCAGCAACGTCTTGGCCTCTCTCATTGTGTCGGCATAACAAAGCAAGTTCAAGGTCAGGACAAGCTTGGCACCGGCTGGGATCTCATCTGTCGTGTAACTCTGGTCGTACTTCTCGGGATAGTCGATGGTCAGATTGAGATCGGTGCCATATTTGGGAGTATCACGGCCTCGTTCAACGGCCCATGTCATCAACTCCTCGTACTTGTCTCCTAGCTCGAACTTGAATATTCTTTCCCACATGGTGGAGGCTGGTATTGTTCGGCACCAGAAACGAGTGACCACGCCGAAAAATCCCAGTCCACTGCCTCTCGCAGCCCACCAGAGATCTTCATTCTCGGTTGGACTTGCAATGACCGTTTGACCGTCCGGGACTACGATCTCCATCTTGTTGATCCAAGTCTGGTTGGTCGCACCCCAACCTCGCAAGAACCACCCTTGTCCACCGGCAAGAAGGAATCCAGCGGCACCGACTGTCGGTGCATGGCCGTGTGGAAAGAACCTCTTGATCTCGCCCAGCTTCTTGGATAGCTCTTCGGTCCGCACGGCGGGCCCAAAGCAAATCTCGTGGGATTTCGGGTTGTACTCAATATGGCGATTTAGATTGATAGTATCGATGAGGATGCCGTCTTGGATTAGGTTTCCCATGTTCATAATGTGCCCTGAAGAACGAATGCCGACATTTGTATTCAGGTCAGCAGCTCGCTTTAGTGCGATGCAGACGTCCTCTGGAGAAGTCACGATGTGTATCTCGCGTGGGTACCGTTCTGGGGTGGCTGCCGTAGGATTGTTGCGTCTGCAGCGGTCATATTCCTCGCTCCCTCGGAAAAGAACCTTGGAGGAGTACGAAGGCGTGGTTGTATATCTGGGTTTAGCTGCCATAATGGTCTTAGACTGGGGAGTCGCTCGTTGTGAGAAATGAGATGGTAAAAACCCAGCACAGGTAATTGAATGTGTTCAATAAACATAAGGTGGGGTCCTACAGTAATCTCACATAGTTCCTTTCCCATGATTAAGGTTACAGACATTTAGGCTCGAGGTATCGTGAGCGGAACGCCGGAAACGGTTCCGACCACACCACCCGAGGATAACAACCGGAAAGGAGGAGCATGTATGTCTAGAAGTCATGGAGAAGACGGAGATACTCGTGGATGGTGGCTTTCGGAGAGGTTCTGATGCGGTCAAGGCCACCTGCTTGGGAGCATCCACCACGGGTATTTGACCGACCGTTCATGTATGCACTACACTATGGAGACGAAGGCATCAAGCACGCTGTCGAGAGTAAGTGTTGGATTTCTCCTAACATTCTGTTGCTAACTCACCGATCAGTTATAAAGGGTGAGATTGAGACTACGATGCGTCTTTCCGGCATAAATGATCTCATGCACGACGTACACTCTGACTTCGTGAATACTGCAGAGATTGACCATCTTGTACCAAGCATTAAACATCCATATGCCCAAAAGGCGGTGCGGTCAACTGCAAAGTTATAGTGGCACTAGACCAGAAACTAGTTACCGGTGTCTGTGAGCATTTATGTGATTGATCCTCTTGTGACTAGAACTTTGAGATGACGGCTGGTCAAAGTATTACTCCATCCATGTGACCGCCTTGCTGTAGAGGAACTCTTCGAGCCCTTGATAGCCATTGAACCGACCGAAGCCACTCTTCTTGACCCCGCCGTGAGGTAAAGCAAACTCATCATGTACGGTCATCGAGTTGATATGGACCGCACCAGATTCGATACCTTCCGCCACGCGAAAGCCTGCTCGTAGATCTTCAGTATATACCGAGGCCGACAGACCGTATTCAGTGTCGTTTGCTAGCTCCAGAGCCTCTTTTTCTGTTTCGAAAGTAAAAATCGAGACACTAGGCCCGAATGATTCGGTTCCATACAAGTCCATACTCTCGTCTATGTTTGTCAAGACGACCGGAGTCATTTTCGTTTTCAGGCCTCCTGCTAAGTCTGTATCGCCGTACAGGGGCTGTGCACCCTGCGAAAGTGCACTGTCTACAAGGCTGCGGTTTCTCTCTGCTGAAGCCTCTGTCACCAACACAGGAGTCGTTTCAAGCGTACCAAACATCTGCTTGACCGTTTCCTGCAGTATCTTTTTAAATTCGTGGGCGATGGAGGTATGGACAATAATTCGTTCCGTGGACATGCATATCTGGCCAGCCTAAAGTCCTCATTAACTCGTCCAATTGTGCTTAGCAAAAGGGTGTGACTTACATTGAGGAAAGCCCCCAAAGTGCATTGCACAGCAGCGTTCTTCAAGTCGGCGTCTTTCAAGACAATAGCGCTCGCCTTGCCTCCAAGCTCCATTAACACAGGCTTCAAATGCCTACCAGCGCTTGACGAAATGACACTTCCAACTTTTGAGCTGCCGGTGAAGTTGATTTTCTTGATCAATGGGTGACTGATCAATTGCTCAGTTACCGCTGCGGCATCAGAAGGTCGGTGGAAGATGGTGTTGAGAACACCATCGGGTAGACCAGCTTCCCGAAATACGTCCGAGAAGGCCCAGTAGCAACGTGGTGAGAGCTCAGGCCCTTTGAGAATGGTGGTATTGCCTGTGGCTATTGGGAAGGTGATGGCGCGTAGTCCAAGATGATACGGAGCATTCCTGGAACTCGCGTATCAGCGATCTTGGTCAGCCTCGCAGAGCGACTGTACTTACCAGGGTGCAATACCCAGAACGACCCCATAAGGTTTCTTCAGAACCATGGCGCGCATATCCTTGTGAATGGAAACTGGGATTTCCCCAGTCACAGCGCCAGCAATTCTACCAGCCGTATCCTTCAGCCCTTCGATCGCCAACCCAATGATAAAGTCCTGATAGTGCTTGCTGGCTCCAATCTCTTCGTGGATGTAAGTTGCCATTTCTTCTTTCCGTTTGTTAAAAATATCAGCTGCTGCGAGAAATATGTCTCTTCGCTCTGATGGTTTTGTTGCTGACCAACTTGGGAACGCTTTCTGTGCGGCTTCCACAGCACCAACGACCTGCTGAGTTGAGACCGTTGAGCATTGTGATATTTCTGCACCATTCAGACATCCAATGACTGGGAACGTCTCTTCTGTTGTAACATCCTTGCCATTGATTATCAGTGGCACGGTATGAAGATATCGAGGTCTTGTGCCACGTATTCTTGGGTGGGTTTTGGCGACCACGTGGTAGTTTTGAGGTCGCCATAGGCGGCAGCTTGATACTCTTCTGGTGGTGGTCATAATGCTTCGGGAGCCGAAGTGTGCAATGAATTGAACGCAGAATGTATATCTATCTCGGTCTTGTTAATGAACAAGTCTAAGTCTGGTTGGGTAAACTACTTCATTTCGTCTAGCCAAAATGTAACCCCGTCGAAGCTACAAGACTATCATGAGACTGCTTCACAGCCGAAGCTGACATCCCGTCCCCCGGAATCTGCTCTGTGCACAGGTTGACCTGGCGCCCGAAGCTCTCACTTGGAGCCAGCATTGCAATATCCGTCATTGGCGGAACTTCCTATGTCGCAACAGGAATCTGGATTCCGATCTACTAAAATCTCACTAGGCCAAATTGGGGTTGTCTAACCAACTGGGGTAGGTGGCCCAATGTGGATTAGTGTCAGGCTGAGGTGCTCTTCAGGATTGTGCTGACGAAACCTCAATCCAGCCCAGGCCCGATGGCTAAGTACCGTCCATAATGATAAAGTCACCGCGTTGCAGCCTCAATGTCTGCGTCCCACTGAGTTCTGCTCATGTCATGTCGAGTCGATAGTTGATACTCAAGCTTTCTTCTGTCTCTCGAATCCATTCCATCTGTGGAAACTATCGACGAAAATACCTAAAGCATCGAACATTCTGCCCACACTTTGGTTGACCAGGTCGTCTAGGTCCTTGGGTTGAGTGTAGAAAGCCGGTACTGGAGGAAAAATGGTTGCTCCAGCTCGTCTCAAAGTGAGCATGTTGTCCAGGTGAATGTCACTGAGAGGCGTCTCTCGCACGACCAGCAGTAGCTTGCGCCCCTCCTTGAGACTCACATCACCGGCACGCGAGATTAGATCATCGCAGAAGCCGATCCGAATAGCCGCTAGGGTCTTCATACTACAGGGCACAATGACCATTCCGTCGTGTTGAAATGACCCAGATGCTATTGGTGCAGAGAGGTCTTTTGCTGTGTAGCTTGCGGTCGCCAGGCTTCGGATGTGGGACTCGGAGAGGTCAGTCTCATATTTGAGAGTGGCCATAGCCCATTTGCTGATGACAAGATGTGTCTCAATATTAAGTCGACGCATCATTTCGAGCATGCGAATGGCGTAGATGGCACCTGTGGCTCCAGTAATTCCCATAACGATCCTTTTGGGCCGAGGTGGCATCAGCGATACAGCCTCGTCAATAACTTCGGGGGTGGGAAGAGCTACGGCTGCTTCGTAGGAGAGCTGGGCTTTTAGACTGGAAATTTCGCCCTTTCCTTGAACTTTAAAGTCGTGCAATTGCTGTTTAACGGAGGAACAGCGCATATAACGCTTCGTAAATGTTGCTTGTATAGCAAAGTGGGCATTTGCCCGAACGAATGATTTTAGGGCGTCTATTTTGAACATCGCCGGAAGTATTGAAGGATTGAAGTGAAGTTGTAGTTGTGAGAATCAAATGGTGGGTATCTAGCGTGAAGCATACCATATAGCAAACTCAAGTGACAACACTAGAGTTTACTGTTAGCCTGTTGCGACGCGAGGCTGGAACTGCTTAGAGATCACCTTTTTGAATCGCCCATATCTTTGATCCACTCAAGGGCTTTGATCAAGATAAAGTCCTCCACTTCTAGTTATGCTGCGAATACGGAACCGATTCCGGATGTACACAGGAAGCGTCCCTTCTCCATTTTAGCTAGCTCTTTCGCATCTATCATCACGTTGATCAGAATTTCCTGCGCTTCAAGTGAGAAAGAACACACACACACTTCTTCATGCCGACAAGTAACCACAGACATTGGATGTGATATGCCATCCGAAACGCTCTTGAGATCGATCGGACGGCCAAAAATGATTTCCGGATACCTCCACTCTGCATCTTCAGCAACTTCAGAGCCAAATCCATCTGCAGCATTGACAGACTTTCGCTCCTTTATTGAGCTTCTTCGTCACGATGACGACCTGGTAGAGATCAATCGAGAAGTGGACCCACATTTAGAGGTGGCCGCTATTGTGCGGAGGGTCAGTGAGCTGAATGGCAAAGCACCGCTCTTCAACAAGGTCAAAGGAGCCAAAAATGGGTTGTGGAGGATGTTCGGTAATGCTGCAAGTCTAAGAAAGAGCGAGAAAGAGAGGTATGGTCGGCTTGCAAGAACTCTTGGACTTCCAACGGACGCGAGTTGGAAGGATATAGGAGAAAAGACCCAAGCCGCGAAGGCTTCCAAGTTATTGAAACCCAACATTCTGCCATGCGGGCCTTGCAAAAAGAACAAAATGTTTGGCCACGAAATCGATCTGCACCAGCTTCCTGCTCCATACCTGCATCTGGGCGATGGCGGAAAGTATTTGCAAACATATGGCGTCCATATCTTGCAGACCCCCGATGCCTCGTGGACCAATTGGTCCATATTTCGAGGCATGATTCACGACAGCAAACATCTAGTTTGCTTGGTTGGCAAAGGACAACACAATCAGATCATTCGCGAGAAGTGGAGGGCGGAAGGCAAGACGGAAATCCCCTGGGCTCTTGCTTTCGGAGTGCCTCCAGCTCTCAACTTCGTCGCCGCTCTGCCAATCCCCGAGAACGTCTCAGAGGCGGAGTACGTCGGTGCACTCACGGGAAAGCCTTTAGACCTCGTCAAATGCGAGCTTAGTGATCTGCTTGTTCCAGCACACAGCGAAATCGTCTTCGAAGGTGTCACTTATCTCGACGAAGATAAGAAGGGAGTCGAGGGCCCGTTCGGAGACTACCTGGGATTGATCTTTGACGATGATAAACACCCCATGCCTCTCTTTAGGGTGGATGCAATAACCTACAGAGATGATGCTATCATGCCAATCTCAGTCCCTGGAAGGATCACAGACGAGTCGGTGAGTTCCAGGCTGCATCGATCTAGGGAATCGGGTGTAAAACTTGAGCTGACTGTCAATCTTAGCACACAACAGGAGCACTCGCTGCAGCTGAGCTGCTCCAGTTTTGTAAGGAGCGCGGTCTGCCCGTTCTCGACGCAAACGCTCCTCTCGAGACACACGGGACTTGGTGTGCACTTACGATCGACACGGAAAAACTAAGGTCACTTAAGACGAACTCTAAGGACTTTTGCAGCATGCTGGGGAATGTCCTCTTTAACCAGAAGAGCTCGATGCTCATCAACAGAATCATCCTCGTGGGGGAAGATGTCAACATCTATGACCTCAAGGACATTATTTGGGCACTGGCAACGAGATGTCGCCCAGGCGTGGATGAATACGTGTTTGAGGATGTCCCAGGCTTTCCTCTGACTCCTTACCTGTGTTATGGCAGAGGAAAAGACTCCAAGCGTGGAGGAAAGGCGATCCAGGATTGTGTGATGAAAGTGGAGTATGAGACCGGACGGCGATTCAGGACGGTCGACTTCGAAACGTCGTATCCTGAAAGTGTCAAGGACAAAGTAAAGTCTACGTGGCGGGAAATGGGCTTCGATGAGGCGTAATGCAGATGACAGTCAGTGAGTGTCGGCCCGCAACCGTAATCACCAATAGCATTTTGGGGCTGTATCGGAACTTCCTCAGGAATGATCCAGGGCATTTCCGGGCGTCGAAGCTTCGGCTCGGCTCCACAGTTTTGGTGGCGTTCCTAGCACTCATCTCGCACGGTCCGCTCTCAAGTTAGATAACATGCGATACGGGCGCCAGAGGCCGATAAGGAATCACAGAGCATGAAGCTCACGACCAGAGAACTACTAGTAGAGGTCTTGTAGGACTCTTCAGTCTTCGGTAGTCTGTTACATGGAGTTCCACCTCTCAACAAAAATTTCAAGGAACACTTAAGGAATCATGGGCGACGCAGCAGCAGTAAGCAAATCTTACGACCTTGTGGTCATTGGCGCTGGTCAGTGGAATTACAACATAGATCATGTCGCAGCTTCAAGCCACTGACAGTTGATACACAGGCTGGTATGGGCTTGGAGCCGCCAAACCGTACATTGAATTACACCCAACTGAAAAGATTCTGATCCTTGAAGCGGAATCCAGTTGCGGTGGAACATGGTCCAAAGACCGACTGTACCCAGGGTTGAAGTCAAATAACCTATGGGGATCATATGAATTCCCAGACTTCCCCATGGTAGAGGAAGTGTACGGTGTATCAGAGGGCCAGCATATTCCAGCGGCAACGCTGCATCGCTACCTTACCGACTTTGCGAAGAAGTTCGGCATTTATGAGCGAACGCGCTTCCAGACTAGAGTTGATGCAGTGGAAGCAGCCGCCAACGATGAATGGTTGCTGCATATAACGGATACCTCAAGCTCAGTCAGCGAGATCCTCCAGACCAAGAAGCTGATTGTGGCCACCGGGCTGACCTCTCAACCAAATATGCCTTCTTATCCTGGGGAGGAAAACTTCAAAGCACCTTTCTTCCACGCCAAAGAGTTCTGTGCACGGGCAGATTTGGTCAATACCTGCAAGCGAGCAACGGTAGTGGGAGCAGGCAAATCTGCATTTGACGTGGCGTATGCATTCGCCACCGACGGCAATGCTCAGGTCGACCTGATCATCCGCCCTGCCGGTCAGGGCCCCGTCTGGATCTGTCCTCCGTACGTGACACCACTGAAGAGGAAGATGGAAGAGCTGCTCTCCACACGCGCCTGTACCTTCATGAGCCCATCCCCATGGCAGGGAGAGGACGGGTTCTCTGTTGCGCACAGCTTCCTCCACAAGACAGCCATAGGAAGATGGATCGTCAACAACTTCTGGAATCAGATCAGCTCCGAGGTCATTGAGGCACACGGCTACAACGACGACCGGGAATTGTTCAAGTTGAAGCCATGGTACAGTGCCATGTGGACCGGCAGCGGTGTCGGTATTCACAACTACCCGACCAATTTCTTCGATTTGGTCAAAGAAGGCAAGATTCGCGTGCACATAGCCGACATCACCAAGCTCGAGAACACCACGGTCTACCTGAGCAGCGGTGAGGAGGTTGAGACCGATGTGCTCATCTGTGCCACTGGCTGGAAGAAGATCTCGGAGAACCTCAAATTTATAAACTTCAACAACGGTCTGCCCTTTCCGGCTGCAGAAGTTGAACGCCTCTCCAAAGACGCCGACAACCAAGTCCGCGAGATGTTTCCAGGACTCAAAGACCAACCAGTTCTTCGGTTCCAAGCAAAGCCCGAAGAACCATTGAGAAACTACCGGTTCATTGTACCCTCAACGGCCGTGTTTAAGAGAAATATCGCGTATGCTGGTATGGTTTCAACGGTCGTCACCTCGACCTTCTCGTCTGTCCAGGGTCTTTGGATCTCTGCATACCTGGACGGAAAGCTCAAGAGAGCTCCGAAGACGGAAAGCGAGGTCACAAAGGAGATCTTGCTGCACACGCAGTTCGAAAAATGGAGATATCCTTGTGGGTATGGTGCCAGTTTGCCTGATTTCGCGTTTGATTCACTTCCTTACGTTGACCTTCTTGTCAACGACCTGGGTTTAAAAAATCATCGTAAATCTTCGCCGATATTGGAGGTTCTGGAAGCGTATAAACCAAAGGATTATAAAGGGTTGGTGGATGAATGGGTTGAATTGTATGGGAAAAGATAAGCTGGAGCTTGAGCTTGAACTAAAGGATGAGGTGTAGGAGTTGCTGGCGAATCGAGATGTTCAGTCGAGTTTCAGTTAGGGCAGTCAGTACGAAATATGTTCGGATGTTTTTAAGACCCTCAACCAAAGAAAATCAGATATAATACCACGCTACTTTCCTGCCTTTGTTGTCCCAGAGACACTCTCAGTGCATTACATGAAGTTAAAACACTCTTGACATATTGAGATTCCAAACCGTTGGATTTAATTAGTCTACATATAGTATATCAACCCATCAATCGTTCCAGCATGCAATCCTCCTGTGATGGGAATGTCCACAGAGGTCGTGAACCTAGACGCGTCACTCAGAAGATAAATGATGGCCCCAGTCAAATCGTTCTGGTTGCTCAATCGTTTCAGCGGTGGCGAAATCTCCATTTGCTCTGCTTCCTGCGGGCCCTTTGACGCCTTCACTCTTTGCAGCATTTCTGAGTCGACAAAGCCAGGAGATATAGTGTTGACGCGGATCTTATGCGGTGCCAACTCGACACCGAGAGCTTTCGAGAGCATGAAAACACCGCCTTTCGACATGTTGTACGCCGCCATGCGATGTCCCGGGATGGCAATGTGTGCTGTTTGCGAAGCCAGAAGGACCATGCTACCGCCGGTGCCTTGCTTGATCATTTGCTTTGCTGCAAGTTGGCAGCTGAAGAATAGACCCCGGCACTGCGACATACGTCAGTCCTTGTTAGCTTTTGGTTGTCCAGTGGACTGCAGAGACAACCATTTTGGGCCTGACTATAAAACTCACGTTGATTTCTTGAATGCGGGTAAACTCCTCCCACGTCTGATCGACAAAGGGTTTGTCAATAGCAATTCCTGCCGCTGGCACCAAGCCGTCTATGCTTCCCAACCTCTCGATGGCTGTCGCAAAAGCAGCGTTCAAACTCTTTTGATCGGTTACATCAGTCTGGATGTAATAGGTCTTTGCTCCAAATTTCTTCGATAGAGTCTCAAACTCGTCCACGGGCTTGTTCTGTACGTCCAATATCGCTACATTGCCGCCCATCTCGCAAATGGCTCGTGCAGCAGCGAAGCCGATACCCTGGGCACCTCCTGTAATGACATAGTTACGACCTCGGAGTTCAAAACTCGGGCGTACGTCTTCGAGCGGCGGTGCCATCTTGAGCAGGAAAGGATAGTAGCTCGAGGCGCGAGACACGAGATTCGACTCCTTAGCACACAGTTTCTCCTTACGCCGTCCTGGTGGTATTTGGGCTATCATAATCACCTCGAAGTTAAAATTCCTAGGAACAGTCGGATAATGTTCACGGTCATTCCGCTACCCGACGAAACTTTGATTGTCGGAGCGCACACCTTGTCGATCTTCGGAACTGCGGAACCGTTCAGCGGTACGTAGTCTCCAGCGGGCGCAGGTGGAGATCATCAAAGCTTGATACGCTGGACCTACACCCGCGGTCCACGAGTGCATATTGACATGGAACACGAACATCTTTCTGGCAATTGATGCAAACAGAGTTGAAAATGCTTGCTTCGTCGGCGAAATCGAATCGACGTAAAACCACTCCCCCAGAAGACCGCACGTCCTAGCATATCAAATTCTCAGCAAGCTCATCATGGGTAAGTACAACGACATCACCAAACCTGCTCCGCCTTTACCAAGCCCCAACTTGAGGGAGCTAGAACCCGGCGTCTCGCTCCTATGGCCTCTGAGTCGCAGGGGGTATGGACCTGGGCTCATTGTTCTCACAACGGACACCGATGACCCACTGGCCATCAAGGACGGGGTCCCCTCACATCTGGTCAAGTGGGCCGAGGAGGGATACGCGGTTGTGGGGATAGAGGAGAGGGCGTTTTCGTCTTCTCGCGCCTCGATGCTACTCGCGCTCGCGGTTGATGCTTTGGCACACTGTGAGAAATGCGACCCAAAGGGCACAATCGGCCTCGTTGGTGGGTTTTTGTCTCCCCATATAACACCCCCCGTTGCTCATGTTATCATCGCGCGTGTGCTGACCAGATGTCTATGTCTCTATCCCGGTCTTAGCCTACATCCCAACGCTCTGGAACAAGATAGCACCCGCCGTGGCAAATGCACCAGAGGTTGTGGCTGCGATCACATACGCCAACGCTTCAGATGTATCCGCCGGCCTGGCATGGGCTGGCGAGGTACCACTGTTGCAACAAATCACGGGCACCGATGGCCCGAGAGACTCTAAGAAGCAAGCTGATGATAGCCCACGACCTTACTACTACCCTGACATCAAGTCGTATGAATTTGCGACCCCGTTTTCCCCTTCGTTCCATTACAATAGGGAAGCACTCTCCCATACCCGGAACCTGACTTTCCTCAAGCCTCTCATGGGAGGGCCGTATTTCGACCTAGAGACCATCTGGGACGAACACACCTATTATGAATTTACGGACCGCTCGGTTGAGCACACCATGAGCACCATGGTCCAAGAGCCTTATGTGAACCACGTACCGACGGTGAGTGGCTCTGCGATATTGTTTTAAGAGCCGTTGGGGAATATAGTCTCGGCTAGTTGAGTCTCTGACCTTTTTGTCGATTTCCCAGATGACGGGAGGAATCGGACGCACGGCTCTGACCTCATTCTACCGTAACAACTTCATCTTCAACAACTCCCTCGACACCGACCAGGAGCTTCTGAGTCGGACGATTGGCATAGATAGGATCGTCGATGAGTTTCTGTTCAAGTTCACCCACGACAAGGAACTGGATTGGTTGTAAGTGAATGGCCACCCTTGTCGATGCAATGTAATGAAGACCGCCGCTGACAGGTGGGCCACACATAGTCTGCCTGGTGTCCCTCCGACGTTCAAGAGAGCAGAAGTGCCGTTCCATGCCGTCGTGAACATCCGAGGCGACAGGTTGTACCATGAGCACATCAACTGGGATCAAGGCACGGCCCTGAGACAACTAGGTCTCATGCCGGAGTACTTGCCGTACCCGTACCCGCTCGCAGAGGCAAACGGGAGTACCCCAGCAAGTGGGAAGCAGTTCGAGTACAAGGTCCCTGTGGGAGGGTTGGAGATCGCCGAGAAGATGAGAGAGAGAAACTCGGTCCCGTCGAATGAGATGATGAAGTATCAGGTGAGGGAAGCATAGGGGATGAATAGGAGCCACAAGATATAGGAACAAAGCCTCGACTTCACAGTTGCAGTAACATATCCTTCTATGGCTCGTTTGCTTTGCTTTCGCTTGCAGAAATACAAACACAGAGCCTTCTTCGCCGCGCCTCGCTCCTCGTTGCTCAATAAGCCGTCGTGCGTAATTCGACGGCCAGAAGAAATCATCAAAAGGCACGCCAGGGCCAAACCATGCTATCGAGCCGGTGACGACAGGATTTGCTATTCATGCGGCCAAAGCCACCTAGATACTCAACCGTTTCAAAACCCAGAAGAGCCATCCAACAGGAGACAATTCGCAAGCTCGCCGGACGGCCAGTCGTAATCTGAAAACTCAAAATTCGCATTGAACGCACTATCACCTGGGCTCGCTCCGAACATGGGGTTCCAAAAGTCAGAAAATGCAGAAGCCATTGTGACAGGCTGTAACTCCCCGTTACGAGTCTGCCCCAGACCTTGTTGCGCCGTCGGTAGTTGCTCTGGCACCATTGGTCCCTGGCTGAGAGGGTAAGGTATCTGCTGCATGACCCCTGGGTCCGGCTGGATAAGATGAGCTGGGCATTCATCGTTGGAGAGAAAGCCCACTCGGAGAAGTGGTTCTTTGATCGTGGTCAGCCGTTTGTGTAGTTTACGCGAAGAGATCGACAGGCCAACATATGATTGAGACAGATCCAGAGCCTTCCAGAAGTTTTTGTTGACTTTGGTCAAGAAGTCGTGGGGGAGGCTCGGAGAGATGGCTGCCCGATTTTGTGCCGTGTGCACGAGAAGGAGGAAAAGCAACGCACATGCTCCGGCCAAGAAATGTTGGAGAAAGGGGTGTTGAGTTCTGTAGATGTTCGTAGTCCGATCCAAGACGGAGAGGATGTTGATCGAATCGGTAATAAAATCCAGTGCCGGCGCGATGTGTCTCTTGCTTGCATCGGTGGCAGAATCGGAGAGGAAAAACGGTCGCAGAAGAATACTTCGGACCGAATTGGCTCGGAGATATAGTATGATAGTCCACGAAGGAGGTCGAGTCGAAGGCATGCTTTCCCACATTGACGGATCGGCGAAGTTGTGATTTTCAAGGAACCTCTTTCTCCACTGTTCAATCAGGAAGTTCGTAACTTCAAAGGAATCATCGTCCGTGTAGGCTTCTCCTTTCGCGGCTTTTGAAATTGGCTCATTGAATTTGTGGCTCATGAACGTGAAGGTCATCATGGACTTCATATATGGGACCTTTACCTGGAGTAGAAGACGTTAGCAAAACTCTAGATATGGTGAGTGCCTGACGAACTGCAGAGACGATGGCAGCATCAAAATCGGATTCCTGAAAGTTGTTGGGAAGCCCAGCTGCCGCACTCCATTGACGATCTAGCACGAGGATGCTGCATGACAAGTTGACGACCGCAGTCCGTTGATCATCGCTCTCGAGACAATGTTGAGACATTTCCTGATTGTGCAGTCCTAGTTCCATGGCCATCCGACCTGCAAGGCCGCACATGCGCCAGGCAAGACGTATCGCAGCCTTGAAAAAATGATGAATGCCCTGCAAATACTGATTAGTATCACTGTGCTGACCGTAATGGAAGGTGGTTTCGACACTCACCACAAGAAGGATAATGCTGACTTGCTTTATATCTTCTGTAGTAGACGCTAATTTGGATTTGATTATCTCTGAGCAGTTGTCGTAAATCGTTTTGTCTGCGTCTGAAGACGACCCGGACTCAGCGCTCAGAGCAATCGCGATTGCCAAGTTCACCATAAGTAGGTCATCTTCGTCTATGGGAGTGTTGTGGCTCGTCATCATGCTTCTCTCAGAATCGGACCGACTGTAATATGTCTCGATCTTCTTGATCAGTTCTTCGATGTCACATATCGGATGCAGCTCCCCAATAACATTGTTGTAAACGCGCAAAAGTCTGATAGCTTCTGGCAAAGGTATCATGTTCCTGAATCTCAGCAATGATGCTTGATGTGTTTGTTCTGAAGGCCGTTGCAGGTACATGGGGCTTTCGCTTGCTTGGCTGCTGTTCTGATCCTGCTCGTCATCGATGCTAGGAGCCATTGTTTGTCTCGATTTCACCCCGGTCATTGCCTCATGTTGCATTTTCCTCTGTGCGGCATTCAGACTATACTCTGGACTGGTCGGCCCACAAAAGACATTCATGGCGCGTCTTGAAGGACGAGTATTGCTTCCAGAATCGGTTGTTGGGGATAGTGCGCTACTGTTAGGGAATTCAATCATGGCCGGTGGCTCGGAAGAAGGCATAGTTCCGTGCACTCCTGGTTCTCCAGGTCTCCGCGTCAATTCAGGAGCTAACATGTCGCTGGACATTTTCATATGCGCAACAAGAGCATTCAGTTGTCCTTGCATGTTTGCTACAAGTTCTCCCAGGGAATCCAGCCGCCTTCACAACGAAATGACCAATCAGTTGCACCGTTTTTATTTCGTGACAGAGACTCAACTCACTCTGACCCATTCTCACGAGGATCACGACCCGCCTGCTGCGTGTGACTGCCGGAGATGTGAGGCTGCTCATTTCGATTCTCGTCGAGATTGAGCGTATAGTGGCATTGAAAGGAACGACCGAGACAGTACTCGCAAGGTCTGCGTCCGTTGCACCGGCCCTTTCTCTTGCGGCAAGTATCGCAAGCTCGCGGGGTATAAGGCGCGCGCTTCTTGCTTGGCTCAGTAGTCGCCTGCGACATGTTTCTCTTCTCTGGAGGCATGGCTGTCGTAATTATAACAGTGGCCTAAGATCGAGTCTGGGGACCTCGACGACCTGGGCCACACAGGTAGTGAAGGGATTTGTTTCGAGCGTTCCCACCCTTCCGAGATATAACCCATGCAGTCGCAACGGCGGACGGGTGCACTGGAGGAGAGATAAAGGGCAGCTCGAGCTGTTGGCGATAAGAAGGACGGCAGAGCTAAACCCGGCACAGAGAGATAAGCGTGGATACAGGGGGCTCGGACGCGGGGTGCTTAGCTTGCTGGCAATTCATTGCGTGGTGTCGCCTATCACTAGGTAGGGAGGATGGGATGAAGGGCATCTAGAGGGCCACAAAGGGCACTTATGATGCCTAGAGAGAGCCTACAGCGGCCTAAAGCCGGGGCTGGAGCTGGCCGGCGTGCCGGGAAAGATAACTGACACTCAACGAGGCTTATCAACAGACAGTTAGGGCTACTAGCCCTAAGGAGGTGGGCCCCCCCGCTGTGCTGCTGTACAAGGAGGCCCCACCGTGCTCCTACGAGAGCCTAGTTAACTAACTTAGTGAGCCCTGCCCCTGCTACTTGGCCCTAAGTCAGTCCGGATGGTTCTGACTCCTCTATGATGACAAATGGCGAAGGTGGGCAGCTACTGTTCATTACTTTCCAACCCTTTCATAGCGCCTCTCTCCCAGGCGTCGCGGTTTTCTATTGATTGCATGCATCGGACATGCTCTGTATGACTCGCAGGTCGATGTATGTCGAGTACCGCGTAGTCTCAGTTTGGCCTCCCTTGGAAGATAATCCAACACCCTCCAACAATTCAAATCCTGTCCTCGCGACGTGCTCTGAATACATCTGCAACATGACCCTTCATATCATACCTATGCGGCGCTTAGCCATGTCTTTCAACTAACCGACCATGGTACTTACCTGTTCATTTCCTCGATGGTGAGTTTGTTGGATTCGTCGGAGACCTTGTACACGGCTGTGTCCGTATTGTCCGAAAACCCTGAAATGGAAGAAGTGTTTTGTTAGCAACGCCCCGCGGAGCATCGGCCCAGTATCACCCTACCAATACGTTCGTTAATGTTTTCACGCGCCTTTGCAGATGCAGCTTGCACCTTGGTTGCTCTAGGTTTGCGGACCTGCTCAAACACTGCCAGGGACTCCTGAATGTCGCCATTGAAGTGCTCTTTGCTGAAGACAAGGCCTAGCGCGGCCGAATCTTCAATGGCTTGACAGGCACCCTGACTCTGGTCTGGCATCATCTGCATATGCGTCAGTGTCCAGTTACGCATCCTCTCATGTTTGGACGGCCTTCACTACGGACCGGATGTGCTGCGTCACCCATGAGAGCGACCACGCCCTTCGTCCACAAGGGGTAGGGTTCATGAAGCCACAATCGCCATGGCCGAATCTCGTATCCAATCTCGAGGTGTTTGAAGACCTGCCGATCCAGATCCGGATATGGAGCAAGCAGCTCGTCGAGCGAAGCTTCTTGATCCCAAGTCTGGGCTCGGAGGTCGCCTGCCTCTCGTGGGAAAAAGCAATAGTACGACAGCAACTTGCCGCCATTACACGGCGAGAGCACAATTTTGAAATGGGTGTCGTAGCCGCCCCAGTACTCTAGGGCGCTGTCCTGCGAGTAATCTACCAGACCAAGTTTGACAGCTTTCTCGGTGTCCACGTTCGTGTGGAGACAGGTGCATGTCGCGGGCTTTCGAACAGTCTTGATTCCCATAACATTTCGGAGGGCGGAACCGATACCATCGGCACCAATGACAACGTCATGTCGTACCTTCTCGCCGTTGCTGAAAGTGATCTCTCCAGCCTGAACGTCGACATCTACCGCCTACCGTGTATGAAACTCAGTAAAGCCGTCTCGTGCACAACTCAGGACAAGACATACCTTATGATTGACAATCAGCTTGGCTGGTATACCTTCTCCGTGCTCACCAAGGGCGCTGTCCATCAGCATCTTGTGCATATATTGGCGATGAAACATGTTGTAGACCTGTTTGGCGTTCGTCAGCCAGCGGACCATTTCTGTCTGGAACAGCTCAAACCTACGTATCCCCAGCGCTCCTTGTAGTCTGCCAGGTCGTACACGCTGACAGGCTCACCGGTCTTCCAGTCGCGACTGATCAGTTTTTTAAGCAACACGGGATCGCCAAGTTCGATGTTGACTTTCCACTCCTCGAGCCATCGAGTTCCGTTTGCGGCACAGGAGATGCTCGCGCCGACTTCGCCTGCAAAGTCGGCTCTCTCATAGATGGTGACTTCGTGGCCTTGTCGTCGAAGAGACGTGGCGGCTGCCTGACCTCCGATTCCGCCTCCAACAACGGCGATGTTGAGTTGCCTCCATCCAGTTTGGGCAGGCATCTTGGTAATGACTCCCCGTCGCAGATTCTGTCTTCCCTACTAGCGATATTAGACCTCAATTGCGGGTTAATGCCTGTATATCAGGGCAAGATACAGATACCACGATTCTGCACCGCCGACTTTATCAAGATATTGATAGCAAAATACCTCGTACATCAGTCGAATGTACGATGGTCGGAAAAGCAGGCTTCAAGCGTACATGACCCCTTGTTCCGACTCGGAACTGCTCCGGCCGTCAAATTGTGTCTCCACTCGGTAACATACCAGTAGCAAAGTTTCTCGCCACGACCATTGCCATATCAATGAGTTGCAGTTTGGCAGCCGGCAATCCCACTGGGGAAGGACTCATGATATTCAAGGGGGATAGAAGAAGGAACAGTGTACTTAGTTGGTTGTACAACAACAACGCACTCCCTCGATCAGGATATAAAGCGGATGCTAGTTAGCATGATAAGAAGAGGCCGATAGCACATGAAAATGGTGTGCATTCCATACAAGCGATAGATTCAATACCAATGTACAAAGTCCGCTCTCAAATGTAAAATGGGTATTCCGTAGCCTGAGAAGATTCTACTGCTTTGGGGGGAACGAACAATGACTGTAATATCGCTTTGTGGCGGAGAAGCTCATTCCACCCTATAGTTTGGCCTCGTTTTTGTCCCAGGAACCCTGTAGGCGGACCTCTAATATAGCTGATGTGCCATTTAGTACAGTCTTGACAGCTTCTGGAAGCAAGCGTTGCAAGTCTGCAGCGCTTTGGACAACGGCCGCAAATGCATGTCCTCCGGCTGCAGATTTGGCTATCCCAGAATAATCAGGAGTCGGAGTAAATGAGATGTTCAGGTCTTCATTTGACACCTTGGACCCGTATCCATTAGGATGGACAAGCTCTAGCGAATTTCGGGGAGCATTCCAACCTAGTCTCGAGAATTAGCTGTTACTCCAGAGCCATGAGGAAGTTGAAGCCAGAATGCTCTCTAGAGACGGGGTGGTCTAAAAGCATGTGAGGAAGAGCTCTTACCTTTGTTGCTTAAGACAATTGTCAATGTTGGTATCTGATACCTTCGTGCAATCCAGTAAACGGTGGCAGGCGAACCAAACATGTAAGTGCCGTCGCCGACAATCTCACAGACAAAATTGCCCTTATTTGGCCCTCCTGCTAACCAATCGGAGGCCAATTTGACGCCCAAAGTGCCCCCACCCGACCATCCTAGTCCGCCTCCTCCACCATTGACGAGGTGTCCTGGCTCATCGACCTGAAGCTGGTCGTAGACGAACATGGCATTTGTCACAGCTTCCACAGTCCAGATAGTATCCCTGGGACATTTTTTCCGCAGTTCTGAACAGAGGTAAGAAGTGCTGGGCGGGAGAGAGTCATGCGTTGGGGGTGCAGCTAGTTTGGCAGCCTTGGAGAGAGCCTGTTTACGATCTTCCGCCAGCGCCTTCCAGCGAGAAACGTATGTCTCCTCTCCTCTCAACTGGGAGTATCGAGGGTGTGTTGAGATATAGCCGTTCAACTGTACTAGAGCAGTATGAGCGTCGGCACGGTATCTGCGAAATGCTGGTAGATAGTGTACTGGCATGTTCTCCTTGAGTGGATCTACATCAATATGAACGATTCTGGCATCTGTTCGTGTGGTGCATTGTGTCGGAATCCAGGGCACATCACAATCAATGAGAACGATTGCGTCGGCAATGCGGATGCTCTCGTCTTTTCCGATTCGGACACCCAAGGAAGATCGATGAGTGTATGGGAAACACACATCACTTCCTAGGCAGTCTAAGACGCGGACACCAGGAATGGCTTCAGCAAGATTGACGAGCTCAGAGACTGTTGCGTGATTGCGACCGGTATAACCGACAATGATAAGGGGCTCCTTGGCGTCCGAAAGTAGATTGACGATTGTTTCGACACCGTCTGGCGGAAGTGCAGCTGGAGCAACACTTTCCCAAACACTCTGGTCTAGATGATACGGCTCGACCTCTTCTTCCATGACCTCTCGAGCACCTACCAGATAGACAGGACCGCACGGGTCGCTTTTGGCAAATTGTAGTGCTCGATTCACCATCTGTTTGATGTTCTTACCAGTCTTGAATTCTGCAGTATACCGGCAGAACTGTGCTACAATTGCCTTTTGGTCGGGCGCGTCTTGAAGCCAGTGGATGTACTCAGTACGGGAACCACGCATTTCGCCTTCGAGAGTAAACGGAGATAGACCGGCAAAAATCAGGACGGGACATCGAGCCACCGACGCGTTGTGGACAGCGCATCCAAGCATCTGTGTTCCCACGTCGACATGAACAAGCACGCATTGAGGCTGGCCTGTAAGGCGAGCAAACCCATCCGCCATGGACATCGCCACCATCTAGTGAAGTCCCTTGATTAGTAGGTCTCGAGGCAGAGTAATAAGAGCAAAACCTACTTCGTGCGGACAGGTAATCACCCTTGGGAACTTGGTGTCCTTGACCAAGAGGCCTTTTGCCAGGGCCTCCATAATGGCCGGATGGTCAGACCCCAGGTTAACGAATACGTGGCTGATACCTGCCTGTTTCTCGAGTCACTCAGGAGACCAACAAGAGAGAGCTGTCTGGTCGCAGTGGCTTGACATACCTCCGCGAGTGATTCGAAGAAGGCGAAAGACGCAGATACTTTCTTGCTCTTGCCGTGATCCCTATTAGTCCCAGGTCAGCGATCGTCTTTCGGACATAGTAGCAAACATACGCACATTGTCTCGAAGTTTTGAGGTGATGCACTGATGAAACACCTGGCAGCACGGCGAGATTATAGTTGGCTCGCGCTATCACAACTAGGTGTCGGAAAAGAAGATAATTGTAGCACGAAGGACTATCAAAGAGGGTTGAGGCCTCAGGAGGCAGCAATAGAGTGCCTGCATCGAGGGCCTCAATGGGGAGGAGGCTTGGCATAAGCCGGATCGTCACAATGGTGACACTCGCCTAGCTAATCCAGGATCTCGTCCGCTAAAGGGCTCTCTTTCTTAACTAACTCATTGCGGAAAAGGTGACCAAGAGAGTAGCTCGCATTCTGCTGCTTGCCTGGTGCCAGTCGAGTGTGAAACTGGATAGGGAAACGTGGAGACGGAAGTGGCACGGAAATTCCGAAGTAGGACCCACCCATTCAATGCCGGCAGAACTCGCTATCTTCAATCTAACCCAGGCTAGTGATTGTTTGCCCTGGAACTGGAGCCCGAGGCTGTGCCATCAGTGCTCCGTAAGCAATTTTATGAATGTTCACACGAGGACCAAGTCTAGACTTGTGAGCCTGGAGACAAAGTCGGGTGGAGAACTCCACGACACCGGCGCCGAAGCCATGTCCTGAAGTTTTGAAATTTGGGATCTTTTCTTACCAAGCAGGTTATTAGCTTTGAGATTACCTTTATCTTATACGGAAGGGTCTTCTGCATATTTCGTCAATTGAACCCGTGCTCGAAAAGATGCGCGGACCTCTGTAGGTCCAAGACCGACACATTCGCTCTACACGTATTCTCAATTCAGGACGGCTTATCAGAAACTTCAGTTCTGATCTATCTCACCTGGAACCTATAGATTCGGCTTAACAACACAGTCATGGCGGAGGTGTCATTGGAAGGTCTCAATAATCACATCATTCGAGGTATATACGCTCTTCACCATCACATCGTCGGGCATAATTGGCTAACCATGTGTAGTGCCCACCGGGCTCTTTATCGACAATGAATTCGTGCCTGCAACTGGAAATGCCACACTCGACCTTGAGAATCCAGCCACTGCCCAGCATCTTGCTACCGTCTCCTGCGCACAGGAACAAGACATAGACAGAGCGGTCCAGTCATCTCAGAAGGCGTTCGTCAGCTGGAAATCAGCTTTGCCTTCTACCAGGAGGCAATTGTTGAGCAAGTTGGCAGATCTTTTGGAACGTGATGCTTCTGATGTGTCAACCCTGGAGTCGTTGGATGCTGGAATCTTGTACAATGACTCCACTAGACTCAACATTCCTCAGGCTCTGGAGAATCTCAGATACTTCTCGGGGTGGGCTGACAAGGTCGATGGGATGGCACTCGCTATTCCCGAGGGCATGGCGTACACAAGGCGCGAGCCTTACGGCGTCTGCGCGGCTATAGTGCCTTGGAACTCCCCGTTGTAAGTCACAACATACCCGAGTTTCCAGCACCGACTCGCAGTGAAAAATGGTATACTGCACAGCCACTTCTGACATTTTCCCCCAGGATGATCACGATCTGGAAGCTAGCCCCATGCATTGCAGCAGGAAACACTTTGATAATTAAAACCCCAGAACTTTGCCCACTGTATGGTCAGAAACTTGCCGAGCTCGTCCGGGAAGCGGGCTTCCCTCCGGGTGTCATCAACATTGTGTGTGGACTCGGCCCAGTTGCTGGCCAAAGACTCGCTGAACATCCAGTCGTCCGAAAGATTTCGTTCACGGGCAGTCCAGCTGTTGGCAGACAGATTTTGGCCACCTCGGCTCGCACGAACTTGAAGAAAGTCACCCTGGAGCTGGGTGGTAAGGGCCCGTCCCTCGTCTTCGACGATGCCGACTTTGAAAATGCCTTGTTCTGGACAACGATAGGTATTACTGCCAACAACGGTCAGATTTGCGTCGCAGGGAGCCGCATCTACGTCCAAGACACCATTTATGACAAATTTGTACAGGAGTTCAGCAGACGGAGCCGCGAAGCTGTGCATGGAGATCCGTTATTGGCGACAACCACGAAAGGGCCAATTATCAGCGCTCGACAGCGTGATAATGTGCTATCTTTTGTCGACCAGGGCAGGCAGGCTGGTGCAAAGCTCCTTCATGGTGGTGAGAAACTGCCAGGAGCAGGACATTTTATAGCCAATACCGCTTTTTCGGACGTCCCTCAAGATGCGAGCATTATGCAGCAGGAGATCTTCGGTCCTTTTGCCAGCATTTCATCCTTCAAGACCGAAGAGGAGGCCATCGCCAAAGCCAATGACACCTCATATGGTTTAAGTGCAGCTGTTTTCACCAGCAACTTAGATAGAGCGTTCAAGGTCACCGAAGCCATTGAGGCTGGACAAGTCACTGTAAACATTTGGGGCACAGTTAATGCGAACACTCCTTTTGGTGGAGTCAAGGAGAGTGGGTTTGGACGAGATATGGGAAAAGAGGCATTGGACGAATGGACTGTTCCCAAGGTGGTCAAATGGTACATACAGAAGGGGTGAAGATAAGCTGAATATATTACGAATTGCGTAAACAACAGCCAGTACAGTACGTGCACAATCAGTCCCTAGAATTATTAACTAGAGTCGCTCTTCGGTGGCACGCCGAAGGTTTCAGGACATGGTGGCCATAGTATCTTTCGGTTTGGCCTGTTCCGCTTCCGACAAGGAGGTTCCGATAGATTCATACCTGTCTGTAGGGGCGTCCTCCCTATCTCGGATTCCAATGCATGGCAGCTAAAGGGTGGCACCAACTGGTGTGTGTGCATCGCTGCAGTGTTCACACAGCATTGCTACCTAGTACATCTCACTCTGGAGTTGTCTTTTCATTATATAAAACCATACTCGACTTCAACTTCCAGAACGTACTGAACTTTTTCAGTGCGAACTGTGCTTTACTCTCATTTGCCCAGAACATACACAGCTTCCTTCATGGTTGAGCTTTAAGTAGTAGTATACATACAACACAAACAGTAAGTCTTCTGAACGCTTGTCATGGTCATGAAGTTTGTACTGACTTCAGTCTAGTGGCGTCCCAAACCTCAAAACTCTCATTCGAGAAGGTGACCGCGGCCTCTGGTGCTGATCCGGCTGAGGTGCCGGTGTCAGAGGGAGAAATCGTCACTGTAAGAGGAGCACACAGAAAAGCACTTGTACAGTACAATGGTTGTTGATGTGAAGACAGACTCCCCGCAAGAACTTCAACACCCTGTCAACACTATCGCTAGCGACCTCGTTGATGGCAACATGGGAAGCTTTGTGCAGTACCATGGGTGCGTCCTTGGTCAGTGGAGGACCTGTTTCGCTACTATACGGTTTCATATGTATGGCTCAAGCTTGTGTATTGGAGTCCCTGAGACTGACCCTTGTTGCAGTGGCCGTTATTGGTAACCTCGCTACAGCCATCTCTCTGGGAGAAGCAGCTTCAATGTGAGTCCAGCAAAGATTGTCTAGCTAGTCTTTCGGCGGCACTGACACCACCATATACGAGGTGGGTTTTGAGTCCCGGCTGACAAACAACGCACAACCAGGTACCCCGGCGCAGGTGGCCAATACCAATTCATCGGTGAGATGAGCTCTGCAAAGTTCAAGCCAATATTGAGCTTCTTTTCTGGATGGATTACCTTGCTCGGCTGGGTCGCTTTGACGGCAAGTGCCCCTTACGCAGCTGGAAATCTCATCCAGGGCCTGGCTTCGTTAAGCAACCCGGACCTTGAGCCGGAACGATATCGCACGACTCTACTTTACGTTGGCATCCTGTTGCTGTCCTTCTGCTTCAATCAGTGGGGGAGTAGGATCCTACCTTTGCTCGAGAACCTCATCATGACGCTACATATCCTGTTCTTCTTCATGATTCTCATCGCCGTCTGCATCATTCCACCCAAGAGACACTCGGCTTCATTTGTCTTCACAGAGTTTCAAAACAACTCAGGCTGGGAGAACAATGGTGTTGCATGGTGTCTTGGGATGCTGACGTCTGCATATATCCTAGTCGGTAAGAGATCAACACCCGTTATCGGAGTACCACTTGCACGGCGGCCCTCTCCTATTTCGCAACCTCACAAGTTCCATTTACACTAATGGGACCTGTAAGCTGGGCTAGTCGAGTACGTGGACTAACTTCGGTTGTAGGCTACGACTCAGCAACTCACATCTCGGAAGAACTGAGCAATCCGCGGACTGGAGTGCCCCGTGCGATGGTCGGCTCCATTCTCATTAATGGCACCATGGGATTTGCTCTGCTCATTGCCATCCTGTTTGGCATGCCTAGTATCCAAGAGGCTCTCTCCTCATCGACTGGCTTTCCCATCATCCAAATTTTCTACTACATGACGAGAGAAAACGCGGCGGCTGCGAGTGCCATGACTTCGACCATTATCATCTCGGCGTCTCTTGCAACTGTGGGCCTCACAGCCGCCACGTCCAGAACCCTTTGGGCCTTTGCTAGAGACGGCGGTCCGCCTTTTCACTCTTGGCTGTCTCAATTGAATGCGAGAAGTCGAGTCCCCACCAACGCTCTCATATTGATCACAGTCGTCTTAGCTCTTCTGGGCTTGCTTAACATCGCGTCGACAGCAGCATTTGGCGCCATCCTCTCACTGACCGTCGTCGCCTTGAATCTCTCGTACCTATTTCCGGTGGTGGCGATCCTCTACCGACGACTCCGCACACCCGAGTTGCTGATCTGGGGACCATGGAAATTGTCAAAAGCCTCTGGCATCGTCGCGAACATCATATCCATCTGTTGGATTTTGTTCGTCACTGCGTTCCTCCTTCTGCCTGCTTCAAAACCCGTAACGGCGTTGAACATGAACTACGCCAGCGCAGTTCTAGGGGCGGTCGTGATATTTGCCGCAAGCGACTGGATTCTCCGCGGGCGCAGACACTATCTCGGAGCTATGATGCGTGAATAAAAATCGAAAAGATTTCAGGAACTGGAAATAAGGGTGTTCAGATGCACACAGCACAGCGATCACCACTTATCAAGTACAGTAGTAATTGGGGATCTGTGACGGAAATGAAAATGCCATGGCATGGCAGCCTATCAGAGAGATGAGATTGACATTTCTATTACCATTGCTCAAGTCTACCAAGTTGGCAAGAAATATCTACCAAGGTCGCGCTCCATACGCAACGGGATCGTTGCAACATTTCGACGCCGTCTCCATCTCACCTCAAGTGACTTCGCCCCGCTTTTGCTGTCAACGTCGGCTCAGGAGCAACTTAAAGGCGGCGGTGCGATGGCTGTGCTGATTACTTATTCCTTATTACTACTAGTGATGCGTTTTCTCATCTGTTTCGTCGGCTGTGAAGGCGACAGGACCGCTTGAACATTGTCGTCTAAACTTGTTTCTGTCCTCAATGGCACCCAGATCGTTCCTTTTCCTTGACGTGTACGGACACAATGACGTTGGCCAGGTGCACGCTCACGTCGCTCGAGAGTATCACCGCACTAAGAGGCAAGCTCGACAAACTCCGTGCTTGCGCAAGCGGAAGCTATCACAAAAACCCGTGAGCGCTCGACTGATTCCTTCTCCGTTCGATCTCGGCTCTGGATCACGCGACCCTTGCCTCGCCGACCCGTTATTGTCGAGTCACCAGGATCGCATGTTGATGTACCACTGTACTGTGTCTTCTGCCACCCAGCTCCCCTCTCGATTGTTGGAATGGCTGACATGCTGACCCTCCTCACGTCTCTAGACACGTGCGTCATCACTTCTATATTCCGAAAGCGGTGGAATCACGCCGGAAGCATTACGCCGGCAGTCGACCTATTCCACCTCTACCGCCAGCATCGGCCGTCACTGCTGGCTATCTTGCTCGACGCCGCCAGTCATCGTGCAAAGCTATGCGGCCTGCCATATCCGAGCGAGTATGAAAACCGCGTCATCCGCCAGATCCTACCAAATGCATCGTCCCCCGATCGTGGGATTGTCCTGGCGACAAGCGTCCTAGCGACAGTCAGTCGACTGAATGCGAAGCAAGCCGATTCGCTGCACTGGACCGCGCTACAACGCATGATCGAACTCATAGGCGGCCTCTCAGCGCTGAGGTTCGAACCGCTGCTGTTCACCAAGATGGTTTGGATGCTACTCGCGCTGGGCGGCTCGACACCCGGCTTTGATCACGCCCACCACCCCGAACAAGGTACTATGGAGCTCAAGGCGCTGCTGGAATCGCGGAGACGGTCACATCTGAAATCTTCCAGCGTCCCTGCACGAGGAAGATGCGTTGGCTGAAAACCCTGTCCTCCTCGCACTCTGTCCAGGGAGGCCCCTCGGAAGCTTACTGCGAGGGTTCTCCCCACGCAATGTCCTCGGCGATGAACGCGGCAAAGAAACCCATCATCAGCTTCCTGGGGTACAAGACAGTTGCCGCATGGCCATCATCCTCTTCTTGAGCTCAGCAGCCGAGCACTATGGCCAAGACTCGGACGAGGCGAGATCATACCTAGCCAGCCTCCAAACTCACCTGGAAGGCCGGTCGGACGACTCATACCTAGCTCCTGCACACCTTCTTTGGGCCATGCTGCGCTTGAGCTTCTTGAACAAGGCGAAGGAGAAGTGCATAGAGAATTGGATTTCAGTGGTGCGCATGACCTCGGCATGGAAGGGACTCGACGCTGCTGAACGGGAACAGTTACGTGCCGATTTCCTGGCGGGCATGACCTACAGTAATGCAGAGCATGACAACAAGCCACACACAGAGACCGCATCGTCGACGCAGCCACATAGACCGGATCCGGCTGTGAGGCTTGCGCCCGAGGACATTCATTGCGAACTCATGTGGTTTACCATGGCCACCGAAGAAGTGTGATAGATATATCCGGCAGACCCACGCCAGGCCAGGCCAGAAATTGTGAAATTCTCTGTCCGAAACAAAACGTAATGTCCATCTATCTATCTCTCTCTAATTTTTGTTCAGCGCCTCTGCGTCTCTCTTCATGCCCAACAAGACCCAACTGCGACTGTACTCCTCAAACTGTTTTGCTTTCTCACCCGTCTTGTCGTCCATGAGGGCCTGCACGGGGTGCGGTTCTGGGACATTCATCCCTCTCTGGACTCCCGGCCGGTCCAGAAGCCTGCCGTACCATTTACCCACGTTTGGGAACTCGTCCAGGTCGATCCCCGCCCAGCCGGACGCGGCCGCCATGGCCCAAAAGCAAATGTCGACGACGGTGAACTTGGACAGGATGTAGCCGCTGCCGCTGGAGCCGAGTTGTTTCTCCAGAACCGTGTACAGTCGACGGGTCTCGTTGGTGTACCGCTCGATCGCGTACGGGATGGGCTCGACGACGTGGCGTTTGAAGTGTGTCATTTGGCCCTGCATGGGACCCAGGCCGCCGATTTGGAAGAAGAGCTGTTTTTGGCAATCAGCATCATCATCCGTCAGGGTAACTCCGCCGATCGGGAGAGCCAAGTGAGGGGAAGAAGTAGAAATAAGAAGAAATAGTCAGAGCGGGAGAAGTGAAAAAGAACAACAACAACAAAGCGCACAAACAACTAACTTACCCAGTTGAAAAGCTCATAGTTCTCCTTGGTGCCTGGCTTGTACCACAGCTTATACTCCGGGTCGTACTGCTCGACCAAGTACTTCAGAATGCTGCCGGATTCCCACACGTTGATCTGCTCGCCCGTCGCGAGGGTGTCGGTGATGGCGGGAATCCGTCCGTTGGGGTTGATGGCCAAGTACCACGGCTCCTTTTGCGTGCGAGTCACGAAGTCGTGCTTGTGCACCTCGTACTGCAGCCCGAGTTCTTCGAGCGCGATGGAGATCTTGATTCCGTTGGGCGTCTGGGTGGTGTACAACGTAATAAGCGCTTTTTGTTGCTCTTGAGCGGATGACGTGCTGCTGCTAGTGGTGGTGGTGGTCATCTTGCCCACTTTTTTCCCCAGGAGGTGCTGGCAACTTCGCAAAGGAGTTGTGGATAGAGTAGAGTAGGTTGGGAGCGGCAGAAGTAGTAGTAGGAAACAAAGTGCAGCGAAGCTGGTGTCTGTCCTTTTGTACCCTCTTCTGATCACGCTTCCGACTTCGCATGCTGACAGACAGCACTCCCGCTCTGTGGTGCCGCTGCTGCTGTTGAGGTCTGTTGAGGTAGACAGATAGAGAGCGGGACTCTGGAGTGACGCCGTCTGACCAATGGGCAACCCGTGTCTCACGCACTGTGACGTCGGACAGCTTCCCCTTTGAGTATGCAGTGGAGCCCATACTGGGGGCTCGGCGGCGGGCAGAACTTGAAAAAAAAAAACCACGGGCAATGGAAACGCTACTCACCGTTCAACACACCCCCATGTTCTAGAAGTCTGTCGACTCTCTGACGGTCGAAATTTCACGGTCGAATTCGTGCGAACCATTTGTCAGGGTTTTGTCGTGATTAGGAGATCAGGCAGGGACAGCAGGAGCAGAGAGAGAGAGAGAGAGAGGGAGAGACGGAGATATGCCGAACTAAAGTCTCTTACAGAAACGGATGTCAGATAGTTTGATTTATTACGCCATTTTGCTCAAGTATACCAGGTTGGCTCTGGGGCCTCGCCGAGCAAGAAATATCTACCGAGTTCTCGCTCCTTGTATGCGACTGGGTCATGCAACGAGTGCGTCCTGACATCTCGCCAGAACCGGTCCAGTCCGACCTTCCGCACGGTTGCGCTGGCACCCGTGACCTCGAAGATGCCCGCGGCGACCTTGAGGGCTTCGTCGGTCGCCACCACCTTGATGCTGGCAACCCACTCGGCCACCTCGCCTCTCCGTTCGGCGCTCACGTCTCTCTTCTCCCCGTGGTCGGCGTACAGGGAAGAGATTTCGTCGCCGGCGCGATCCGCAAGCGCTTCAGCGGCCCGCAGGTGCGCGAAGAAGCTCCCGTAGCGAGACAGGATGTAGAACTCGTCGGTGGCGCGCTCCTTGTTGTCTCCGCCAAAGGGCCACGCGCGGGTCTTTGTCGTCGTCCACTTCCGTGCCTCGTCGAGCGCCCCGAGCCCTATGCCCAGGTAGAAGTTGGAGAAGACCAGCTGGATTGTGGGCAGGAGAAGCGACGCAAACGGGATCTTAAGGACCGCGTCGATGGGCTTCTTGGTCTGCGCGTCCCAGCCGAGGGCGTCGGTCCACGGTGCGCGGACGTTGTCGATGCGCACGCTGCCGGACTCGGTCAGCCGCATGCCGACATTGTCCCAGTCGTGGCCGAACTGGATGCCAGGCTGCCTGGTCGGGACGAGGGCAAAGATGTGTTGGTCGGTGCCTTCGAGGACGCCCTCGAGTATCGTCGCGTCAGAGATGACGCCGCCCGTGTTGAAGTTCTTGTGCCCGTTGAACACAATCTCGTCGCCGTCGGACGTGATCTTCAAGTCGGCGTTGCGCGGGTTGACTGCCCCACCGATGAACCAGTCGTTCTCGAGAATGAGTTTCTGGGTCCGGTGCTTCTGCTCGTCGGTACCGACCACGTTGGCTGTCGTGGACCAGAGAAGGTGATAGCCCAGGAGCATGCCAAGTGATCCGTCACCCTTTGCGACTTCTCGGATCAACTTGTACCCCACTGACCAGTCTTGCCCTCCACCTCCATACTCCTTGGGTCCGAGAACCTTGGTGAGACCGGCAGCTTTGAGGAGCTTGACCTCTTTGACGGGAGATCTGTTCTCAATGTCCCTTTGGGCCGCGTCGACGGCGAGAATTTGTGCAACCTCTCGGCCACGAGCAAGCCATTGTTCAGCAGTTTTCGGGAGACCAAGAGACGCGAACTTGGAGTAGTGGTCAGGAGAAGCCGTCGTTGGATCGACGGACCCCATCGTTTTGCAAGGTATGGTAGTATCTGTCTTGAATGTTTGTACAGGGTGTTGGTCGATCCTGTGTTCTTTATCCGGGCGGAAACAATGTCTATCATCGGTGCCAGTAGGATCTTTAAAACATATTCGACGAGCCAAAGCACGTGCTAAGAATTTGATATGAGCAATTCCAAGAACCCATGGCGACATGGGCGACGCAGTGAACGGAAAACTAACGCCATGGTATTCCACCGCGACAGGTTCCTGTGCTCCGACCCTAGTGGGAAATCTGGATCCTCCCCTGCAAGGTTGGGGGCCTTGAGGAGTCTGATTGGTCGTACAAACAGAACATGTGTGCATGGGTCGCGCCATCCCCAGAGATGATGGCGCAATCGAGGACATGCTGCAACGGACCGGTTCTATCCCATAGCGGTTCCGAACCCAAACGCGCATGTGCTACTTGCTCATGTTTCAAGTTTTCCCCACTACTTACCTGGGAAGTGGCCCTGTGGAGCATGGAAGCCATCCGCAGCATGATCAATATCTACAATATGGTGGCGCAGTAGGTGGATCTAACGAGCAACTCTGTACTATCAAGGAGCTATGGATATGTGATGGTCGCTGCTCAGACGGAGTTGGAACAGAATCTGCCTGTCTCCATCTTCCTCCTGCACCTGTCTAGAACCGCCTCTACTCCCTTGCTGAATCATCCAGAATGTCTCAAACATTCTTCTTCAATCTGCGCCTGAAAAATCTACCGGTGTCGCCCATCGGAAACGTGAAGAATAGCGCTTCCTGACACATCAGATGGCCGAGTGTGTAGTATCCAAGAAGTCCAGAGGCGAACCCAAACGCGCCACCAGCCTTCTTCAGGTTGATGCCAGCACCGTGATGCCCATCAGCGGTTGCAAAGTAAGATGCAGCCACTAACCCAAACGAAAGCTCCACGGTGAGGAAGATCAGAAGGTACACGACATTACTAGACAGTGTTAGTCGAGCAGAGAACGCCCACACTGGACGGGAGGTGGTACTCACATAGGTGCGCTTGCAATGAGGAAAAAAGTGTTGAAGACAGTCCATACTGTTCGGCTGTTAGCTGGGGGTTAGGGTTAAGCTTGGAAGACAAAACATACAGAGCATCCAAAACCCGAGTGCATTGTTATATTGCGTAATATCGCCTCCGTATGCCTGCAGGACTCCAAAGTCGGGGGTGATGATGGCTCCAAAGCCGGCATAGAACAAGCCTTTCTGAGTGTCAGTGTACATGTATCCGACCGCAGAGAATGTACTGTGCAGGGCCTTTGACCCACCGAATGCGCTGAGCACAGTATACGCGAAAGAGTTCCCCTTCACCAGCTCCCACTGGGCGCTGATGAGCATGCCTATGCCTGCGACGAAGAAGAAATTTCCAATGTAGACATTCGTCGTGGTAACCCCCCGCCACTCCATTAAGCTGATCGAGAGGGTCGTCAAAGTAGTTGCAAAGGCTCCAATCGCCAGGGCCGTCTGTCTTCGATGAGCAAAGAAGCGAGACGGTCGGAGGACCTTGCAAGCAGAGAACCTACCGGACTCCCAAGACCATGCCCGACGCCGGGTGACAGATAAATCGGCTTGTCTTCGCCAAATGGGTGCTGGGTGCTGCTGCCAGAACTTCTCTGCGTCAGTTCTGGCCGTGAAGTCGCAGTCAGAATGCGCGTTGCGGCTGCTTCAAGGTCAAGTGATGCGGCTGCTTCCTTTGCCATTTCGAACAAAAAGACGATCGTTATTCTTGAGTGCTGGACAACGAAATAATACTATGTATAATCAAGGCTCAATTGAGGTCGAGTTCAAGGCCAAGTTCAAGTTCGTTCGAAGGAGCTATCTTCTTGATGATAGCAAACACATCCTTAGGGGATATGGTTTCCACTCCCATCTTAAAGTCCGGCCGCCGCCCAAGAGCCCGGATCGTTCTCATTCCGTGAGGCAATTTGAGTCGACGGAGACGCTATTGCAGTCCGACTGTGTCTTGCTCTGTACTACTACTTCTTGTGGATAACTTCCATGGTGAGGTCGGTAGTTGCACGTTCGCGCGTGCTTGATTGCGCCAGTGTCAGTGTCCTTGAAAACTCTGAATTCCTCCACGGATCACTACGGAAATGGGAATTCCAGAGTATCCTCGTCCTCAGGATGTATGAAGTCGGCTGCAGTCCTAGTAGTTAATGTCTTCGTGATGCACAGCTTACGTACTCGTATGGGGTTGGCAGCTGTGATAGAGTTCGGAACTTGCTCGGGACCCGCCCCCACCGACCAATCTCATCCGGTGGTGGAGGATGTCACCATCTCCCCCCTGGATTGCATGATGTTCGGGTCCTCGTCCAGGACAGGGACCGAAGCATGGATCATCCACTACTGCCCCGCGAAGATCAGCTCCGGAAACTTCAAGCTGTGCAATTTGCTCTGGAGTCGAAATCAAGCACGCAACTTGAAGCCAATTGATTGCGAAGAGATGAGAACGAGGCCTCCTAGTGTCCGAGATTGTGCAAGGTCTGTAAAACACCGGCTGCCAACTTTACGGAATCCAGGTCCGGCAGATATTGTATGCGCTTCTGAATCCTTCCTTGTTGGATCCATCTGTCTATGTATGGCGCGAGATGGACAGTCGGTCATTGGCCATTCCTTGCTCGAGTTAGGACAAGTAAGTTAAACTCCTCTGATCCCACTCCTCAGATAGTGTTAGGTCGCGTGAATGGTCCTCGATTCCGACATTTTGAAGAAGTTTTTTTTCTTTTGACGTCTCGCCGCCACTGATCTCGTCCACAACGGTGGGATCCTATATTCATTCTTCTCAGTACATATATGTACATGGGGGCATGATCCGTTCGAAACTACATTTCAGGAACAAAAATAACGAACGCACAACTCGGAGCGATGGCCGGTACTACTAGCATTCCAATTCTAAACGGGCACTCCGATGATACCACCGGCGGCATCAATTCCGACCCTGGCCGCATCAAGTTCGCCTACTGGGTGCCAAATGTCTCTGGCGGCCTCGTCATCAGCAAGATCCCGCAACGCACCAACTGGGATTTGGCATCCAACGTGAAATACGCCCAAACTGCGGAACAAGTTGGCTTCGAATACGCCCTGTCCCAGATCCGGTTCATGGCTGGCTACGGTGCTGAGCATCAGCACGAACCTGTTTCGTTTTCCCAAGCCATCTTGCACCAGACCCAGAAGCTCATTCTCATCGCCGCTCTCCTGCCGGGTCCGTGGAACCCCGCGGTGGCTGCGAAGCAGATTGCGAGCATCGACCATTACTCGCAGGGTCGTATCGCCGTCAACATCGTGTCGGGATGGTTCAAGACCGAGTTCACCAGCATCGGCCAGTGGTGGCTCGATCATGCAGAGCGCTACCGCCGAAGCCGCGAGTTCATCGAGTGCCTCAAGGGCATCTGGACCCAGGAAAAGTTCACCTTCAAAGGCGACTTCTATCAGTTCCACGATTATCCGCTGTCGCCGAAGCCCCTAAAATGGGACAATAGACCACATCCGGAGATCTTCCAGGGAGGTAACAGCATCGACGCAAGGGAGAATGCGGCCACCGTGTCCGATTATTACTTCATGAACGGCAATAGTAAGTTTTCTTGACCGTTGATGTATTGGTGTCGCTCGGTGACACAGTACTGTCACTGTCCTCTGACTTTTTTTGTTTTTTTGCAGCGCTCGAGGGTTTCCAGACGCAAATTGCAGATGTCAAAGAGCGTGCGCGCCGTGAAGGCCGTGAAGCCGAAGTGAAGTTCGCGCTGAATGGCTTCGTGATCGTGCGTGACACGGAGGAGGAGGCAATTCGCGTGTTGCAAGAAATCCAAGGCAAGGCCGATCCTGAGGCGGTCGAAGCTTTCCGCAAGGAGGTGCAGAACGCCGGAGCGTCGACTGCCAACAAGCAAGGCATGTGGGCAAATAGCAAGTTCGAGGATCTCGTCCAGTACAACGATGGGTTCAAGACCAAATTGATCGGCACAAAGGAACAGGTCGCCGACCGGATTCTGCTGCTTAAGAGTCTGGGCGTGAACGTTCTGCTTACGGCTTTTCTGCACTACGACGAGGAGATTGAACGTTTTGGCAAAGAGGTGATTCCTCTAGTGAGGAAGCTTGAGAGTGAGGGCAGAGGTAAAGATCAGGAGGATGAGATCAAAAGAACTGGCGATGTATACAAGGCCCGGGAGCCAAATGAGACCAAGAAATAGTGTGATATAAGTATAGCTAGTACCAGTATCCAGTCTATTACTTGCTGACTATTAGTCAGGATACAGCTCGAAGAGATCTGCTGAAGCAATAATAGCACTAAAATAAGGGCTTCAAGTTACCGCGCACGATACTACTACATATACATATATCATAGGTAGGTTAATCCGGGGAGTCAAAACCGGCTAAGGCTCACGCCGTGAACCCTGTCAGGTTTGGACCAAGCCCACAGTTTGAAATCAATCGATAATTGGGGTATCGCGCTAGTCCATTTGAAGAAATTTCAGTGTCTCGTTTTTAGATAACGTAAAGTTAGAATATCTACCGGTAGGTCTTTCGAGGCTTTATAAGAAACAGACTTAACCACAATTAAAAGTGAACTGTAATCGAATCAAACCTAACTCCACGCACATAGACAGTACTGCAGTATATATACAAAATAAACTGGTGCACATAATACTATACTAGACTCCAGGCCTCAGCCAAGTAGGTTGACTTACACCTTTCTTTTTCCCTTTGGTATTCTCAAAAGCCAGTACAAAGCAAGCGTGGCCATAACATTGAACACAACATAGCCCCACATAAGCCCAAAATTTCGCCATCGATCATCATAGTGCGCGTCGATTCTCTCCAGGTAAACATTCGTTTCTTTGATCTTGCAAAACTTGCAATTCGCGGTCTCATTAGCGTCCAGCAGATATCCACCAGCTCTTGAGATGTAATCGGCCATGTACTGGCCACAAGTTTGTCCTCTGGGCGGACTGAGTGTAATGTACTCGTTGTTTGCACAAGTAATGTCGACGTTTGCCAATCCTGTAGACAAAATCGCCGAGATGAAATAATTGAATGGTGATACTCGGTAGAGGAACACCCAGAAGCCAGGCATTTGGTCCTTCGTGGCCAAAACACCACAGAAGAAAAAGATCAACATGAACAAAAAGTTCGCATTGTTGCCTCCTTCGTCAGCTGTGTCGGCGAAGGTAATGCACAAATTAGCGAAGGTGCTGACGAAGATCATGAACACCCAGAACAAAAGCCACATCAACGCTCCTCGTTCGGCGCCTTGGTCCGCCGCATTGGCATTCTTGTAAAAGCCGACCGGATAGTAGACCAAAGCCCACATGAACACGGAAGCTAGAGTATTCCAGGGCACTTCGGCGATGATCTGGCTAAGCATGAAGACGATCCAAGAGTAGGTCTTTGCCGGGCGCTCGCGGACTTCGTAGAGGGAGCGCTGCGTGGTAAAATGTGGTAGCTGTTGGTCCACGAGCTGTCCGACAATGGAAGTCAGTTCGAAGATGGCAAACATCTGGTTCTGGAGGCCTTGGATGCTGAGAGGACTGTCGATGAAGACGAGACCGATGAAGAGGCTGGCCGAAATACATAGACTGAGCTTGGAGTCGATGTATATTGGCGTGCGCCAATATTGCTGGAAAACTCGCCGTGTGACGATGACGAACTGTTGGGAAAACGGTGCTGCGAATTCGCGATACGACTCGCAGGCAGGATCTCTTTGCTCAGCAATAGGCAGAAGTCTCTCGAATTTGTGCTCACGAAGACGGGCGAGCTCATCTTGAACGTTCCGATATTCTGGGCTGCCACGCCATGTCTGATGCCAGCCCACATCAGAAGAGCATCCTGGTGCTGCCCCGATGGTCTTAAGCATCCATTCTGCGGGGTTGGCTCCGGGCGGGCATGGTGATGCGCCGTTTCTCTCGAAATATCCCGTCAATGTCGTTGAATCATGTCCAATGTCGCCTTGAAAAAATGATTAGACGATGGAGTGACTGACATATATGTATAGAACATACCAAAATAGACGGTTTGACCTCCCTCCTGAAGCAGCAACAGGCGGTCGAATCGTTGGAACAGCATGGCAGAAGGTTGATGAATGGTGCAAAGGATAGACTGTCCAGCTTTCGACAACTTTTCCAACAGGTCCAGAATAGCCCAACTGCTTTGAGAATCGAGCCCTGAAGTTGGCTCATCAACGAAGAGTAGCAACGGCGGTTTGGCGGCCAGTTCAACACCAATTGTCAAGCGCTTGCGCTGCTCCACGTTGAGACCCTCCCCAAGCACACCTACGACAGCATCGGCATAGCCTTGCATGTCAAGGAGCTGAATGACTTCCTCGACATAAGCTAGTTTGTCCTCCTTTGAGGTCATTGATGGTTGTCGAAGTAATGCTGAAAACTCTAAGGCCTACCCTGCGAGATTAGTACATTTTTTGTCGGAGCACGGGTTTCAAAGCCGAGGCGACTGGCAGCACTCACCTCGCGAACGGTACTCGTCTCCAAATGGAGATCAAGCTGTTGAGCATAGCCTGTTTTGCGTTGGAAGCTTTGATTGCGCAAATGTCCATCAACCAGCATCTCCCCGGTAAGAACGCCCACACCGGTACGCCTATCAGCTAAACAATCGAGCAGTGTCGTCTTGCCAGCCCCAGACACACCCATCAATGCCGTGAGCCCACCAGGCTTAACCCAACCATCAACATGATCCAGGAGACGTCGTGTTTCCTTCTTGATCTTGATATCATAGCATACGTTGTTCCAGTGGAAGACGCTTGTTGAACCCTGAAAGGCCCCCTTTTCGATGCTGGCAAGGTTTCCGGCGGAGTTCATCACAGTGGACACTGGCCCGGTCACAGACATTTCAATGTCATTCCCACCTTTGGTCGTGCGCGATGAAATGGACCCTCTTCGGAAGACCAGAACCTCGCCTTTGGACCTTTTGGCTTTGATGAATTCGCTTGCAATGAAGTAGACCAGATGGTTGAAGATCGCCATGGCAATGATAATCCCAACGTTTCGCCATTTGTGGCTATGGTGGTATCTGTAGGCTGAGTCGATATAGTAGTCTCCGTTCACATAAGCCTGACCGGGAATCGCTCCGATAGCATTGCAAGCCACGTAGCTCGTCGAGACAGTGGCATAGTCGGGAATATAGGCCGAGCATGCAAAGTTGCGACCATGAAACTCGTTGACCATGAGCGCTTCGTATGCGTACGCCACGGGGTCAATATAATTGATCCATCGACACCATTTAGGCATGTAATCCACAGGAACCACAAAGCCAGTAAAAATGAGTAGCGCAAGTAATACCAGTGAAGCCGGGACCATTGCCTGTGACTCTGTGCGGGATAACGAGGCTCTTGAGAAGTGTTAACGTCCATTACTGCTGGCATCGAAAGAAACCAAATACCTACATGGATCTGAAGACTCCAGACATAGCCATCACAGTCAGGAATGATACGAGCAAGTAGAAGAAGAATGGTCCTGGTGCTCTGTTGAGATTTGTCATGAAGTAAAACACGATATTGAAGGAGATGCAGTTGACAATTTTCGCAGGCAGGTCGACCAGTACCGACGCATATGACTCGGCAGATGGATGATAAAAGGCGTACCGAGACTGCTTTTCCACGACCGATCGTTGAGCGTAAAGCGTGAGGATTTCGAGCATAGATGCGAAGGCGTTGAACAGAATTGCAATGAAGAGAACGACCGCTCGGCCGTAGAAGGAGTCTGTGTCCATCCTGAGATTGTAGTACAGAGAAGAGATAATCAAGGCCATCTATGAGACGTCAGCCAGTGCCACCGCAACGTGAAAGATTTACAAGACTCACAACAACATTGCCAATGCCCATTGCCAGTGTTAAGGACGGATCCGCCCTGAGCCTCTGAAAGCCGCGCCTGATGCAAAGCTGAACCTGTTGGGAGTAAGTCAAGGTATAGGGCGATTTGAGCCGTTGTGTGCTAGCCTGATGATGCTTTTTAAGCTGCCGAAACTTCTCGGCATCAGGGCCACCGATAGGATGCTGTTTTCTGTATTCTCTTATGTCGACTTGCAAAGCTTGGTATTCAGAGCTGTTTTTCCACGCCGCCGCAAACTCTTCAGCTGTTCGTGGAGGATTGCAGCCAGGTCTGATAATACGCTCCGCTGAAAATGTCATGGAAGTCAAGAAGTCAGGCGTGGTTCGTCGGGCAGGGCATTCAAACCCTAGGTTTTCAAAGTATTCTTTGGCTTTTGGCGCTGGACCAAAGTAGATTTGGCGACCCTCGTATAGGACAGTAACCTTGTCGAACTGCTCATATGCAGTCTGTGGAGCCTGGTACATTGATACAACGCACGTTTGGCCAAAGAACTCGGACTGAAGCCTAAGTGTCTTACAGAACTCAATCGCGTTGGCGGAGTCCAGACCGCGCGTTGAGCTTCAGGATTACGGCGATTAGTGCGTTTCTGGTTATTAACACTTCTTCAGACTCACTTGTCCCAGCACTGGAATGGTGCATTAGCAAGGGTCGCCTCCGCGATAGTCACCCGCTTGCGTTCCCCCCCAGAAACCCCCCGAACGTACTGATCCCCTACTTTCGTATGGACGGTATGACTTATGCCATACATGGCCATAACCACATCACGCAGATGCTCACAGTATCTATGGCCAATGTTTAGCAACAGCCGGAAATCAGCTACAGGAACTTACTGGTTGCGTTGGGCGCCAGGTGGTAAATTTCTCCCGCAACGTGCTCGTGCAGCGAATGACAACGTCTCGCCCACGGTCAACTGAGGAAAATGAACGTCCATTTCCGCGGTGTAAATGGCATCGCCTCGATGTTGGTGATGCATCTCTTCACCTGACAGACCTTGGTAGTTGAAATATGAGCCTTCGCTGAGATAGATGCCGTTCGTGTCTCCGGATAGTGTCTTGAGAAAAGTTGAGCAGCCGGATCCAGGCGGGCCTAAGACAACACACATTTCGCCAGGATGAAGGAGCCCATCAAACTTTCTCAGGATGTCTATTCGAGTTTGACCACTTTGCCTGGAGAAAATGCGTCGTATCAGGCCAGGAAGGGCTAACCAAACATTTCCGACATCTTTCTGAAAGTCGGTTGGTGTGCCATAACCAACGACATTGACATTTTCAAAGCACAATCCAACCTGACGAAACTGCCGACCATGTTCGTTGGCAATCTTGACAACGTTGGTTGCCCATGCACGCGCATTGAATTTGTCACTTCGAGGATTCAGGGGGGATTCAAGTTCGTCGGTTTTCAAGATAGCCGCTGTGTCCGAATCCCCTGTGTCAGCGTGCGTGTAGTCTCGTACCGACTCCCCCACGATAGACTGACGTGTCTCCATGGATTCTGGCTCTTCCGTCTCCATTTTACACCAAGTATATCGACTTGAAACGACCGACGTAGGTGATACAGACGCTCAGACTCGATAAGATTTCCACGTAGTGCTATAGGATGGATGGAAAGAGTTGCAATCGGGCAGTGAGGATGTTGCTGTGAGCAGCTACACTGAAGGAGGAACAGTGCAGCGAAAGGAGAAACGATGGAATGGATATTCGAGACTGGGGCATCGTGACTGCATCCCTACCATTAAGTACCAGAGGTTCAGGTCCATCAAGGTCGTCCATCATCGACATGAATAGGAAAAGGGGGGCGGGAGTCCGTCTACGTCCGCAACGGCTGTAGCGTCTGTTCTCGGGTACGAATCACTTGGCCGACGTGAGTGACAGTGTAATGTGGTGTATGGCTTGCCGAAGTCAAAGCATCCGATGAAGAATACATAATATGCTGCTTTCGTTCTCGCCCTTTCCCACTCTCGGCCGACGGAAAAACAGTTTGACCGCGATTGGCCAATTTGGTATTAACTCCGCCTATGTGCGCTCTCACCCGTGAACCCGCTGCATCCAACATCATCTTCGCCGTCAATAAAAGAATCTTCTACGGCAAAACACTAGAATGCGCTCACAGGGTACAGTGATCTCTAAAATAACGGACATTCCCTGATGAGTATCTTGTGGTCCGGCCGAAATCCTCCAGCCCTGGCTTTATGGACCGACAGCAGCGTCGACGGCGTAGGCCAGCCTTGTCCTGCCTCGAATGCAGGCGCCGAAAGATCAAATGCGATCGGAACGAGCCTTGCACGCATTGTGTCTCAGCTAAGATAGAATGCACATACAAGTTCTATCCTGATTCTGTGGTCGATGTACGGCAGAGTCTCGGGCGGAGTGCTCTACCCTCGGCCGCCAGTCCGTCTGCATCGGCCGTGTCGTCGATTACTGTAGGCAATCAACATGTATTGTCGGATACGCGGACCGCCGACAGGCGGCGCCATGATCAATATTCTCGGCACGGGCCAGAGATACCATTGCCAGAAAATCTAGTTCATCCATGGGGTCCTCGAGCCACAGCAGCAGCACGAAACAACGAGGAATCATTGCCATCAGTATCACAACCTCAGCTCAATGATTCCGCCACTGGCACTCGTAATTGCGACACAACTCAGCACCAAACTGGTACTGTTCCAACTCCTAATCATCACCACCAACCACAGAATGAGGACGCTATTGGTGCTGCGAGCATTCAAAGCCTTCTGCAACGCATTCGGAAGCTTGAAGAGGCTTCCGCAGTCGACCCGGCGCATGCCTTGTCCGAAACTACCCAAGACATAATTGCCACTCGGTCTGGTCTCGATGGGTCTCAGACCGTCCTTGATAAATCAAGGATGCTCAGATGGAGCCATTGGATGGGAACTGCCCCAGAGGTCAGTATGTTTCTGTGAATGGTTCAACGAAAGTGATTATTATGAGCGGTCCTAACTTCTCTCAAGTTCAGTCTCGTCGGTGACTGCTACATCGAGGTGCTAGGCCATTCGAAGGATTTCTCAATGGAAGATGCCGAAATACAAGCATTACTCGTCAAAATAGGCAATGGCCTTCAGAAATGCAAAAGTCTAGCGAGACGAATCAAGCTCGGGAGACCCACAAGATGCCTCTCATGGCGCGAATTTTCATTGTCGACTCCTCCCCGAGACGTGGCGGATACTATGGTGAATCTTTATGTAAGTACAAGGACCAACTATCTCCCACAATACCAGCGATAAGCTTACCTCCCCGAGCTCCCTTCACCGGTGCACCATTCTGACAGACTAACAGTTCGAATCATTCGAATCAGCGCATCGAATACTTCACATTCCTACCTTCTGGGCAGAGTACCAAAAGTACTGGAACGATCCAGAGCGAACAACCCCCGACGTGCGCCTCAAGGTCCTTCTCGTCATCGCAATAGGATCCAGCGTGTCCCAATATAGCGACACAGACCCTGGATTCCGCAACATGGTCCACCAGTGGGTCTACACCGCCCAAGCATGGCTCTCGGGCCCATTGGAGAAGGACCGTCTAAATATCAACGGCCTACAAGTTCACTGTCTTGGTATCCTGGCTCGTCAGGCGTTCGCAATAGGCGGTGACCTCGTCTGGATGTCCATGGGCTCTCTGATCCACAGGGCAATGCAGATGGGTTTGCACCGGGACCCCAAACACCTACAGAAAATGTCAGTTCTGGAATCCGAGATCCGGCGACGTCTCTGGGCGACGATTCTTGAAATGGTTCTGCAAGCGTCACTGGACTCTGCCATGCCCCCCAGAATCTCATTGGACGACTTCGACACGCTGGCGCCGTCAAACATCAACGACGACGAAGTATCTGAAGAAACAACCACTGCCACGCTCAACCCGCACCCTAGAAGCACATACACCTCAGCGTCCATTCAGCTTCTCCTCCTCGACTCACTGCCCACTCGACTACGCATCCTCCAACTCCTCAACGGTCTCCACTCGGAGCTGTCCTACGCTGAAGCCCTCGCCCTGACGAGCAGCCTCACCGAGACACGTCGAGCACATGGCACTTTTATCAAAGAAAACCGCGCGAGCGGCATCACGCCCTTCCACCGGAACCTCCTCGACTACCTCGTGCGTCGGTTCGTGATTGTTCTCCACTGCCCGTTCGTGAGCAAGGCGCGAACAAATCCACTGTTCCACTACTCTCTCAAAGCGAGCCTCGACGCCGCCATGTCCGTCATCTCGCCGGAGCCAGACAAGGGCTTCTCTCACCTCATGACCATCGGAGGCGGACTATTCCGAGAGGGCCTGTGGCACGCACAGACGGCCATCTGCATTGAACTACTGGCCGAGGTCGAGGCGCAAGCTGCCGACGGGACACTGCACCGTAAATCCGCCTACCACGAGCTCCTGAAGCAGGCGGTGCGTGACATGATGGCCCTGTTCACGGAACGTATACGGCACGGAGAATCGAACATCAAATCACACATGTTTCTGACCATGGTCCTGGCACAAGCGGAAGCGATAGAGACCGACGCGTCGCCCCGCTTACGTATCGCGCAGGGTGCCATTGAGAGTCTGGAGATCTGTACGGGGTTACTCCAGAGTCGCGTCGAGACCAGTACCGCAACGACATTTCCTAGTCCTATGGACATGGGTCTTGGGATGACGGGCCTGGGTGATGACGGAACAGGGGTGCAGGGAGGGTACGGTTATAACGGTGGTGGGGTGGGAGGTCTTGACCTTGCGGATTTGGATTTGGAGTTTTCCCTGCCTGACGCAGGATTCAGTTGAGAGCACCGGGTACGATAAATACTACTACGTACTACTGGTGGTACTGACAAGACGGTGCCACTTCAATCATTACGTACGTGCCGAATTATATATAACCCGAATATAGATCAGATTACATTGTCTGACTGAGCGCCAAAACCAATCCAGGTCGGTGGATATTGCTTGCAATGCACGCACAGTACAAAGTGACGTACAATTTTTGCGTAGATACTCAATCCGTGTTTATGGGGATTGACAATTACACATCATACACAGATGATAATGCACACAGCAACAGTCTGCGAAGATACCTAGATATCCTATGTTGTCCTGGCGTGGGAGATTGAATCTACTGTGCAGTCTGCGTGGACGCAGCCATCGTCCTGATCGACGCAGCAAGGACACTGCTTTGTAGACTCTCCCACGGCTCTGCTTCGTGATCGTCCAATTGAGCATCCACGTATCCGTGCTCAGCGACTGACCGGGGAAGAATGGCGAATGAGTGGCCTGTACCAATGCCGAAAAAAATAAAGTCAGTCCGTATCAGCAGCTCTCTTTATTCTCTTCGTTGCTTTTCGAAGATTCCGTATGTTGAAGGGGAGTGGTACAGGGGTCGGAGGGAGGACGACCGTAGAGAAAGTGAAAGTAGGTGAAGTGGGAGGGGACAGGCTACAACGCACCATTGATACTCTTGTCACATGCGATCCTCAACACCGCAGCCGTGCAGTCTTCCACCGTGGAGAATTCGATCCCCTTTGACGTCAATCTCTCGATGACTTGTGGTTTCAGGATGGTCGTTTTGGTGTACCTGTGATGTACGTGATGCCAAGAGGTTAAGTCAAGACAAGACATGAAGACGGAAAGGGGGGGGGGGAAAGAGGGAGAGTGGCAAAACAGCAGTAGATCTCTGAGGAGAGACAGATGGAGATAGGTTGAAAAGGGGGAAGATACGCAGACCTGGACATATAGAAGAGGGAGGGGGGAGCAACAATGGATTCATCGGTGAAGGAGCAGTGGATCAAGGTCCGACGAAATGCACATGGATACGTACCAAGGAGCAACATAATTCACCCTCACACCCTCCTGCCACGAGGTCCACCTCGCACTTCTCATCAACCCTCTCAGTCCAAACTTGGACGCCGAATACTGAAACGAGCCAGGCTGATCGAGCAATCCCGCGACACTGCCCTTGAAGATAAAGCACCGGTCACGATCCGCAGACTCGGGCTGTGCGCGGAGGTAATGCTGGCCAAGTTTGAAAGTGTACATCGCCCCGACGAGGTTGAGGTTGAGGATCCGTAGTTGTGGTTTGGTTGGTTCGGTTGATGGGTCTGTCCCAGTAGGTGAAATAGAACTTAGCTCTCATGAACTACACGGATTTACCGCCCCTTTGCCTCCCTCCCATACATGCGCAGACGTACCTTCAAGTGCAAAAATCTCATCGGGTCCCGTAATCCCAGCGTTGGCGACGACGATATCACAGCTTTTCGCCGGGGAGTTCGCAACGGCCAACTTGAACATGGCGACTTGATCGTCCCAGGACGTAGCGTCACATTTGACGAATTGAACATCTCTGTGTCGTTGTTGTCATGGAAGTCAGACCCAAGTCCAGCAGGTGATAAAGGACACAGAGATTCAGAAAATGTGCAAGGCTTACGATCCAAGTTCACCAGCAAGACTCTTTCCTTTGGCTTCATCGATATCCCCGAATGTCACGAATGCCCTGCAGGTACCGTTGTCTCCTTATTAGCAACCACACATAAATCAATGTAAAAACACACGTATGCACTTCGTAACCTGCCAACATTCCCGAATGAACTCCTCGCAGACTGTAGGTGGTGGAGGAAGGTCTCTAACTAGAGAGGCTGAACGTACCCTGCTTTAGCAAAGGCTCGAACATGGCTTTCTCCAAAACCATTTGCACCTGTACAAGACGCATGACACATGTTAGAACCAACCACCCGACTCTCGCCCATACAAGAGTGCAAGGGTAAACAAGAGCAGACATCGTACATGTCATCGAAAATCTCGACTGGGACAGATGGAGGCGGCGCATCTGTCTTGCCATGCCCAGGGAGCAATGGTAGTGGTACTCATCAAGGCATTCTACACTCACCACCAGTAACAACGACGCTTTTCCCTTTCAACGCCCCGGTATCGGGCTTGATCGTACAATCGACCGGGCCGGTATTGGTATATGGCGGAAGCGGCATCGTGGTTTCGCTGCTCGAGGAGTTCGAGACCTTTTAAGTGAGATGGTGTTTGAAGTGTTGTTGATATCAGAGAATGCGAAGAAGTCTTGATCTCGTGCGGAGAAGTGATGAGTTTACAAAGGGGCCTCGGTCTAGATGTTGGCCCGCCCTCGGGTATGGTCGCGGTTTGGGACGCCCCGCCGCTTTTGATGTCTATAAGAACCCTTGTCCCCTCCCCATGTTCTCTTTCTCACCTCCTCTGCCCTCATATACCCGTCGTGCGTCTCACGCACTGCAGCCTACATCCTTCTCTGCCGCGTTAGGCCCCCCTTCTTTCTCTTCGATTCTCCATCAGTCCCTTCAATTTCCGCCTCGCTAGGGAGACCCTCGTGAAGGGGGCTTCTCTACCGCCGATTGTTCTAGACTTTACAAAGAGGTGGGAGATCCTCACCAAAAGTAATTTCGACCGTCGTGAGGAAAGGTGACACTCTGGTCGTTCTATAGCGCCATCGGCACTGAACATCGAGTGGAGAATGAGATGGCAGCCTGAAGCGTAGCTGGTGATTAGGAATAGACTGGCGCAATAAGTTGAGCGCCGTACTTGGTTCATCTAATCATAAAAACACCGTTGATTAGTGAACAGTGAAAACACGATGTGTTTTAAAATGGGCCGGTGCGATGATCTATTAAGCGGAACATGATGTGTTTTGATCGAACCTAATATCTGTAGGGTTGAGCGTTGGTCGATCAATCACCAATCCCAAAGCTTAATTCCTTGACGGCCGCATCTCTCATATATCCTCCGATTGTGGTCAACTTCTCCCTATCCTGTCTGTCCATCCGGAGCATGGGAACCACTATCCGGAAAAGTGACCATTGTGCTCAATGTTTCGGAAGACCGTCATCGTGTGGTTCCACACCTTTTCGCGGGTTTCGTCTTTGCGTATGGTTTTGTATCCTTTTCCTAGGGGAACGTCCTCTCCGTCGTGGTTGACTCTGTAGGCACCACCTCCACGAATTCCATCCGACGATGTTGCGACAGTGACCCTTCCGGCCATTGCCGAATGCGTCTGGCTGTCCGGCGGTCGGGCTGGAAACCGGGCTGAGGTGTGAAAGAGCACACGATCGCCACATTCTTGCGGGTTGACGCTGAGAAGTCTGAAAACAGGGCTCAGAACCGTATAGACTCCCTTGAACCAGCCTGGGACACCATCGCCCTTGAACGCAGGAGTTATAACGAGCATAGGAAAATAATGCGACAAGGAGATTTGCCCAGGATTGTTTGCCGCAATTTTCTCAAAGAAAAAGGTCGTCATGTACGCCGCATGAGAACCCAAGGTGGTGAAATTGAAATTTCCCGGCTTGTTAAGAGGAAGATCGTCTTGAATGAGCTTGGTGTCACGTCCGGGGCCAAAGACAGAAACCACGCGCCCCGGGAGAGGCGAAGCCGTGAGGAGGGGGAGGAGCTGGGTGACAAACCGCATTCGCGAGTAGTAAAGTAGAGACAAGGACTGGTCGAGACCTTCTGTGGTCACTGTTTAATCCGCATTAGCAATGTCACATGAAGGAATTGCGACGTATAATGAAGCTTGTACCTTGACGTTCTAACTTGCTGCCAAAAGAAAAAAGTGCCTGAGACATGACAAGCAAATCAATAGCAATCGATTGGTTGGCATTTCCCTCGATTAATCTCGTTATCTCGCTGCAAACGCGATCGACCTCTCTGAGTGATGCGAGATCGCTGGCGCTCACAAAATGGAAGTCCCCTACGGGACACAGCTTTTTGCAGTCGGCGAGGATTGTATCTGCAGCTTTCTGGTTCCGGCCGACAAGGTAGATTCGCAAACCATGACCCCCACTGCCGTGCAGAGCTGCCAGGGCACGCAAAGAGTACTCCCCAATGCCTGAAGTGCCGCCCACGAATACAGCCGTGACAGGTTGTTTGTTGATCAGTGCTTTATTGCAAGCGCGGACCACGTCGAGCTGCACCATATTTGCAAGCCGTGACCGTAAGTGACGCCGGTGATGATGAAGGCGTGAAGGGATAGAGAGTGTTTCTGGCCAATGGTATGAGAAGAAAACTCGAAGTGTTGTTGGAAGATTAGGTAGACTTTGGCGGTATTTAAACCCATGAGGGAAGGAAAGTGACCTCGCCATGATCGTCTGTAGATTGTTTTTCGGACCGCTCCAATGCTTGCCCCCCTTTTGTCACACATGAAATAAGAACGGAGGTTAGAACCTGCCTCTACAGAAGTGAGGAGGCTTCATACGATGGTAGCAGCAATTTCCATGCCTCGAAATGATTCAACACCTTCGGCTTAGTACGACTTGGATCCATAGCGTCTGTGTCGGCCCCTCAATTGATCTTTCAAAGGGTACGGGTCAAGGTTAGCGTGCGCACAGGACAAATGTCGTAGGTGTAAACACAGCATAGCACAGCATAAGGAATTAAATGCAAGCTTCAATGCGGCGATACAGCCTCGTGCTCGTTGATGCCAACCAGACCATGAGAAAGGTATCCTAGCTCCGGCTAGTCCAGTTTTGGTTAGCGGACGTCTGGAATAAGAATCGAGGTTAGCGCCTGGGGATTTAGGAGATAGGACTCTGGGGTGTAAAGCCCGAGATCAGACCAACCGTCTCTTAACCGTCCTCTCATTCTGTGTTCTTGCTCTGTGTGCTCCATACTCTGCTCACTCTGTCGTTTCGGACTGTTAGTCACTCGTCTTAGTTTGCCTGGCCTGCTGCTCCGCTGCGATACCATGCTTTAGGGAGTCCCTCGCATCAGTATGGTTCCCTCCCAAAAACCACACAACGGAGGCGACGTTGTTCGGAGACGTAGAGCACACCGAAAATCACGATTAGGATGCGCGAACTGCAAGCTTCGTGGAGTAAAGGTCTGTTTCCCCTCTCCCTATCTTACCAAGCAGGAGAAGGTCCAACGGCTGATCGTTGCGTGCAGTGTGACGAGGGTTTCCCAGAATGCTCCAAGTGCATGTCATATGGCGTCTATTGCAATTACGACGTCATAATCCCTGACCTCCAGCCTCGACATACGGCCAGAGGAGACGTTACCTACAGCATACGGACCGTAAAGAGCTCGGATACGGACCTGATGTTTGAGAAAGACTCGGGGTTGAGGTTGACTGAAAGGGACTTGGCCGTTCTAGAAAGATTTCGGACCAGAACGGTATCGTCTCTTGGGCCTCCTTCGTTGAAGAAGTTCTACGAGAACGAAGGTTGCCGCTTGGTGCTAAGGGTGAGTTTGCTCACTTTTCTCCTCCCAAGAAATTGCTGATGCAAGTTAAGCACCCTTTTCTTACGCATTTCGCGCAAACTATGACTTCCGTCCATGACCGCTTTCTGTATGTTATCTTTGGAGCATTGTTGGTTGACGGCCACTTCTATCTTTGTGCCACGATTATTGCAAACTCTCCTCTTTTTTATGTCACCACTACTCTGTCTCTTTCCATTTTGACACAGCCTTGAATCCCAAGGTGGAGGGTCTGATTCTGACACTGGTTTTTAGGTCATCTGTGCCTCCCGGGCGGACAGTCGAAGAAATTCAGCACTGGAATAAAGGCGTGGCTCTCTTTCGCAAGAAACTCTCGGTCCCGTTACACCCTTCTGATCGCGATGCAATTTGGGTTGCTGCTTCCATGCTGGCGGTTATCAGCTTTGCTTCCTTCGAAATCAATACGCCCCGGGGGTGCTGGCCACTCGAGCCTTCCTGGAATTCAGGACCTGAGTGGTTGAAAATTGGCCAAGGAAAATCCGCACTGTCTGAACTTGTGAAGCCATATAGACCAGAGAGCCTTTTCCGGCCTGTCATCGCGTCTATTCCTGTAGCTGAGAGATCACTTCAGGGTGTTCCGCCGAGGATCCTGGAACTATACGAACTCGATTCGCTTTCTATGGACAGCAGTCCATATACCACCCCGGTGACCATCCTATTTGCTCCCGGGAATTTTGACTGCCCGTCATCGGTGATTCCATTGTTCTACGCGATAAACGATCACATGCAGACCGCTTTCGGTCGCCTGGTGCTGGATAAGGATCCACGCGCTCTTGTCCTGATGGCATATTGGTACTCAAAGATCTGCAATGGGCCATGGTGGCTCAGTAGGCGGGCTTCCATGGAGGGTCAGGCCGTCTGCATGTACCTGGAAAGATATTGCACCGACCACCCAATAATTCAAGATATTTTGAAGGGTCCTCGGGACCATCTGCTTCGGAATAATTTGTGAGAAGAGTGATCGGTATCTGAGAGATTGAAATGCTTCAGAGAGCTGCAAGTGTAACGAGAGTTTTGCAACTACATGCAAGTCGACGAAAGAGAATTTCAGTGTCGCATTGAACACCATACGCTGTCCTGGTATGTCGCCACTCGACGATAGAGTCGAGGACAACCTCCAAACGTTCGGAATCGTGTCAATGCTGGAGGCTCCATCCTGAGGATGCAAACGGAATTATTGGTGTTCGGTCTCGCCTTCTGACAGAATACGAGCGGCGTTGGTTGTCTGTTCAACCTGTTCGTGGACACAAAGATCTTGTCCTCAGCCTTTACTCAATCCCAGCAGGGTCTCTCTGCACCTTGCCTTGACTTGGAAATAGATATACTCTGCGGGGCATTCCTGGGTTTCCCTGAACAAACAACCCGAGCCTTGCCGAACATGAGGTATTACGAGACATTGTGTGGGCGTCTGCGGCGGCTCATGCCCGATTGCATACAAGTACGAAAAGTCTGTACACGGGGAGAGATGGGTAAATGCAGTGGTGCCGGATGGAGCGAGGTCTCGCTAACTACATAGTGAGTCGTCACAAGGCTCGACCGGCTACTTCTCCCCAGTACCCAGAGGTCTCCGCGGTACCATAGCATCATCTACGAAGAAAGGAATCAATAGGTCCAAGAAGAAAGAGGTAGATAGGCCCCAAAGAGAAAGGAATAGCCGTGAAATCTCCAGGTCCTTGTCTTTGGGGCCCGAGGGAGGATACGGACCTTGTTCTAGCATTTTGATACACCTCCCATTCCATCGTTTGGGTACTCTAAGTTTTCGAGCTTTTGGATACTCTTCTCATCCGTAATGCCATCATTTCCTTCCAATTCAAATCCATCCGAACTCTGGCGCCTCCGTCTCATTCACCAGCAGACTCTGAACGACCTCCAACACACTCAACGACTGCCCTACGCCGATCGACCCATCCCATTCTCCCAGGTACCAATGCGCACCGCACTTGACTCTGGCCTCACCAGCGTCGACGCCCGTACACGCCTTCACCGCCGCCTTTGCACTACTCTTCAGCATCCCCCCAACTCGCCCTTTCAGCTGCGGTGCGAGCACAGTCGTATCCGCCATCCACCTTGCCAAGTAGGCCTTGAAGCTGAACTGGTCGACGTTGCAACTCCAATCCAATTCACAAGCCTGTTCGACCATGATTCCGCTTGCGTTCGTCAAGCTACCACCGCCGTAAGTGTCACCGAAAAACACTCGCTCCGCCCTGGAAAGGAGCCCCTCTGTGCGGTTCGTCCACACGCCTCTGCGCTGCCACGCGCCCGTCCCCGCCGGCACCGTGATGTTATGCATGACGGCGGCACCGTAAAGGTAGACGGCGATATTATAGCTCCACTGCGTATGATCGAGTCTTGTGCAGTTCAAGCCACCGTCGATCCCGGCGCCGTCGTAGACACTCAAGTCCGCTGCGTCGACAAGCCCAATCCTCTCCGACCAGTCCCACACCCGTTCCGCCCAGAGAAGGTAGGTCTCGTTTCCCGTGTACCTCGCCAGTCGCGCAGCAAGCTGAAAGAACCCTCCGTTGCTGACGGAGTTCTTGTAGTCCCACCCCGCGGACGACGGGAACACCTGCCATCGTAGCCCGCCGGCACAGGTATCACTTGCCTTGTCCCACCGCGTGACGAAGTCGTTGAAGACGTTCTCACAGATCCCAAGCCATGAAGGGTACCGAGGCGACGGAGGATCCGGGAACGAATGTTCTGCTGCAAACATGGCTGCAAATGCCCAGAATGCGATATCGTCGTTGCCCTGTTTCATGCCACCCATACATCCACACCTGTCGTCAGCATAGAGGCCGTTGCAAGGAGCGGAGTGGTCGAGCCGACATTTTTGTTCAACATCGAACCAGTGCAATAATCCCTAGGGGCGGCGTAGACAGGGGGTAGGTAGGCAGGTAAGCAACTAAGGAAGCACTACGTACCTCATCAAACATCTCGGCAACGGGCAGATAGTTATTCGTTGGCGAAATCTGACTGACTAACGCCGTCCAAGTGACGTTGTTGTAACTCTCGTCCCCCGTAAACAACCAGTAATGCAACATGCCGTCCCACGCTGCACCACTAAGCCACCAGTAGTACGGAGGATAGGGGAACTTGCCCAGCGTGCCACCGGTGCGATTACCGTTGTAAAGGGACTGTAGACTGTATGCGGCCACGGAGGCTGCGTGGCGGATTGATGAGTCGTCACTGATGTTCAAGGGGATTCCATCGTGTTGCGCGGCGGCGGCTACGACGACCACGACGACTTGCCAACAAGAAAGCCATGATAATATCCTCATCATCAGCAGCAGTGGAAGTGACATGACCATGGTGATATTGCCGCAGACAGCCATTGCCTGACTTAATTCTCCTCTTGGATCCCTCACTGCTCGGTGTTGTTTTCCAGCTGAACGATTTCGGGCGGCGAAAGCGACGGTTCTTGAGACAACGAACCAGCGGATCTTGAAGATCGACCCATTTCTTCACATCCTCATTCCTTGCAGTATTTGCCTACTATCTTTTACTTCTTCTTTCTTTGGCAGGATTGGGGGCGAATCGATATGACTCGTTGATAGCCTGCGAGTGCTAAGCAATATGTAAAAAGGCAGTGTGCATACGCATACTTGGAACGTCAATCAACAGATGTTGTGTCGCAGGATCACATGTGACGAGACCTGTAGAGTAACAATTCACCAATGGAACCAGGACAAAAGGGATCTGAGGATTCAAGGCTCGGTTACCTTTGAGATCGCTCTCGAACCAAGATCCAGATTTGGGTCAAGATGACGTTGACACGACGATCATCAAGTCATATCACCAAGTGGCCATCTCCCGGCAAGGGTTGTCAGGCGGCTAGAAAGAATCCTGTAAAAAAGGACATGACGAGACTCTCGACAGGATCAGATCTTTGGCAGAATTGCTGCGCGTTGTTTGTCGAGTCGAGGTAACAAGGTAACACTGGCATCAGCCACTCGCTACTGGCGTCGAGATCATGACAACCCCAGCAATATCGATACTTTGATCTACGTGTGGCAGGCGACTAATCTGACCCATATTGGATTCGTACAAAACGCCTCGTGTGTCGAGCCACCTCACAGCCAAATCTTGTCCTCCATAACTGTGGATGGCATACAACATCTCACGCAGCAACGCATTGCTTGCTACCCAAATACCCTCAGCACAAGCCGCCCACATCATTCGTCAGCTTCACAAGCCAAAAATTCACCGCTTCCCCTTTTTCTTCGTGGCGACGACCTTGAACGCGGCGGTGTTCTCCTCCTTGGGAGCAGCGGCTGGTCCTTTCTTCGCAACTTCACTCCACCCACCGGCACTCTTGCTGTCTACACCACCTGCTTGGGCTCCGTTGGTGGCGGGCTCCACGATACCCTTGTCGGCCAGTTTACGTCGGCGGACGAACTCCTCTGCAAAACGACGACCATCCAGGGTTTGAGAACTAGCATAGACAGAGTCGGAGATGATCTCGATCTCGGGCGGGAGCTGCAACAAATCTTGCACGAAACTATCGACTGAGGAGGAGTTAGTTTATATGGCGGAAAATCAGTAAAGAGGCTCACCATTGATGTTGTTGTTCAGTCCCTTACTCAGAGAACCCTTAATCCACTTGGCGAATTCCTCGTTGGCTTTGCTCTGGTTGGAGAGTGCTGTACTTCGCTGAGGCTGCATGGTCGGTCGTGCCTTGGGGCCAGAAGGCGCCGAACTGCTGACGCTCCGTGTGGCTGGTTGAGGTGTTGCAACTACTGCAGCAGGAGTTTTAGCCTTGCCACTGGAGCCAACTGTGGTCCAGGCACCACTGGCCGCGGAAGGAGGACTTGGTGCGACTTTGCTCGCCAATTCAGCGTATCGTTTGCCAACAGGAGCTGAGGCTGGGCTTGTTGACGCTTGAACGTTTCCGGCGACGGCAGCCGAGGCGGCCGCTGCTGCTCTCTGCTTGCGCGCTTCTTCCTCCTTCTGAATTTGAGCGAGCGTCTTCTTCGCAGCCGCAGAGCCAGAGCCAGCTTTAGCAGAAACTGGCTTGGCCCAGACGCTGGCACTCTGCGAAACGGGTGTGCCGGGAGAGGCTGTACTGCCCCACGTCGACGTGGATGGGAGCCCAGGCGCAGGGATCGGTGCCTGGACCTGTTGGACGCGTTCTTGTTCAGCCTGTGCTCGGCGTGCGGCTGCCGCGAGCTCTTCTTGCTCAGCAGCCCGTTTAGCTTCTGCCTCTTGAATCTCCTTCAACGAAGGTCCTTTGGGATGCTCAGCCGTCCGTTCAGCCCACGGCGCGACAGAAACAGGTGGGGTTTCAATCGGAGTTTGGCTGGCCGAACGCGATTCCGCTGCTAGTGCATCAGCAACATGTTGTCGGTTGCGCTGAGCCGCGGGGGCTGGCAAGGGCGAGATAGACACGGGTGGCGGTTCGATGGGAGCATCTCTCTTCGTCCGGGCACTCTCCTCTGCAGCTGCCAGTTGACTAGCCGCGGCAATCTGGACTTGCTGAGCCAAAGAGAGGGGCTCATGCTCAGACCTCGCTGGAGGCGCTGGGTGTCCAATTGGCCCTGGAGCTCGGTGTTGCATCTGCTCTTCCATCTGGCGTTGCGCGCCAATAGGTTGAGGTCGTGGTTCCTCAGGGCCGAGACGACCAGTTGGGATTTCCGCCTGCCCACGCAGTTCGCGGAACTCTTCCAGTCGGTCGTTGCGGCCCTGAGGTCCTAAAAAAGCATCCTGATGTGTTCGCATATCCGATCCCTGCTGTTGCTGCTGCTGTTGGAGGCGAGCTCTATCTTGAAGCATTGAGTTGACTTGCTGAGGAGAAGGACCTTCGGCAGGGGCCCCGAGAGGCGCGTTGGTGAAGGGTTGGCCCGTTCTCTGACTGAAGCTCATACGATCCATCATGTTGTTGATGTCTTCGTCGCGACCAACGCCTTGGCCGGCATTGCTAGGTGCACCTTGTTGCCCAAAAGGCATACCGCCCATTTGAGGTGGTTGTATGGGTTGTTGGAAGCCTGATGGAGAAGTCATACTTCCAAAGCTAGGCTGGCTTTGTAGAGAGTGGGCACTGGAATGGTGGTGTAAAGGTTGCATCCCATTCTGAATCTGGATATGTTTCATTGCCATTTGCTGCTGAGCGAGGTGTTCCTTCTGTCTTGCCATGAGATATTGTTCTTCTTGTTTCCGTCTTTCCAGCGCGTTCTGCTGTTCAGCCGTCAACGTCGTCCCAAAGCTTGGAAAGCTGCTCGCAAATGGCGGCTGAACAGAGCCACCAGGGCCCCCGATGGAGGGGTTGGCCCAGTGATTACCTTGGCCTGTTGAAGGTGGGCCGTGAGGTACGCCGATCTGGGGCACGAGGAATGGTTCTCGAGAGTTGCCAATGCGTCGGACGAGCTGGGCGAGAGGCTCATAGTCGGTGTCTTCCAGCTTCTTGACTTGCAATTCCGCAGTAAAAAACCCTGCCTTGAACCAATCGTGCATCTCAAGACCCGAGAAGGGGCCCTGGGTGTTGCCTTGAGGGTCACGATAGATCCAGCGCATACGATCCGGCATTACCATCTGTCGTTGTTGAGCAGCCGGTAACTGATTGGAAGAGTTACTGCCGCTGGACTGGCTGAGCCCGTGGCCGGCTTGGTAATCACCACTTGCTCTCTGTCCAGCCGCCTGCGGAGTGGCTAGCGACGAAATTGGAGCGCCTGAAGTCCCAGGAGGAAAGGCCCCAGCTGGGAGGCTAGCCTCCTCGACACTTCTCATAGATGGAGATTCCTCGAAGAGACTGGATCCGCGACCGAATCCGTCGGAGCGGCGGCCGGTGTTATCAAAAGCATCGCGCATAGACTGCTGTTGTGCGCTGTCGGGACGCGACTCGAACGTGCCAGGCTGCATCTCATTTCGACTATCACCTCGCATTTGCTCTTGCATGGCTGGGGGGAACATCGCACCTAAGCGACTTGCGCGGCCGGCACTGCCAAAGCCAGAGCCAAAAAAGCCGCCTCCTAAGCCACCGCCTGGAGATTGAAGATCACCCAAGGGGCTGAAAATGGGATCGCCAAAGGCAGACCCCATGCCACGATCCATAGCCGGTTTGCCAGCACCAAGGCCTGCTGAAGACCAGGACGGACCACCTGCGAGGCCTCCGAAGCCGGATAGACCGCCGAAGCCACTTGCGCTGCGCATATTAGCTCCCGGATGTCCCCGTTCGTCAGTAGTAGGCAGCATATTTCGTCTACTTGCGCCGAACGGAGGAAGTCCCGAAGCCTGAGAAGTAGTATCATTGCCGTCATGTTCATCCTCCTCCAGGCGACCTTGAGGGCTCTGATATGGATTTGTGTTTGTTGGGCTCATGGGATCGTGGAGGTTGAACTTGCCGTGCGGCGTGTGTTGATATGACTCGTCGTGTGCGAAATCACGTGCTCCAATATTCGATGAAGGGCCAAAAGCTGACATTCCCATCTGTTCGATACCCGCACCGGGGAGAATATTGTCCTGAGGACCGCCCAGCGCCGCACTTCCAGTCTGAACAGGTGGATCATCGTATGGATTGGTCTCACTACGACCAGGGCGTGTCTTCAGCTCGTCCCGGAACCTTGAATGAGCGGCATCGGCGTCCTCTTCAGGCAGTTTCTCCAGGGCACCGAAAGAGCTTTTGTCTCTGATGCTTTGTGATATATCCTCCGAGCTTGTTTTGGACAACAAATCCTTGAAGCGGCTGGCCCCCCGAGCACTACCAAAGCCGGGTCTCTTTTCGCTGGATTCGGCGGGCGCAGTGCTGGAGCCGACGGCGAAACTCCCAAAGTTGCCCATGGACCCAAAAGCAGATCCTTGAGTTCCGGCAGACCAAGGTGACGCCGAGGGAGGATTGATGCCAGCACTAAGTGGCCCAGTGCCGGCTCGTCGTAAGCCGGGGAATGAAGCCTGGGCGTCGCCGGCGTTCTCATCGGTCTGAAGCTCTTCCTTTGCAGGAGTACTCTCTTCCTCCTTGTAGTCCGTCCGTCGACGTAGCAGTGCGGGTGGAGGTGTTGCGGTATTTGACTCGCCTCTCTGGAAGCTTTTGTTCTCAGCCGGGGACATTGGACCATTGCCCATGAATGAGTCACTTGTGTCCCGACGACGTGTTCCCGGTCTGGAGCTGCCAGGAGTATTGGTGTAGCTTGACAACGAGGCCTTGCGTCCTATAACACCTGGTCCCGAACCATCTTTCGTGCTGTTCTGTTGCAGCTTTATCGGTGAGTTCACTGAGGTCGTGAAAAGCTACCACCACATGTCAGCCACGCCGTCGAATTTCATGGGATACTTGTCTTGCTCACCTGCTTCTCCTCTTCAGTCATCTCCATCAAGCCGAGGGGTTCTGAGCGCGAATTGTAATTCCAACAGACTTCCGGGCCTAGAACTTGGTCCTTTCCGCCCGGAATCGCCGCACCGTTCTTGTTCTCCAGAGGATCCCAGCCACCCAGAAATATTTGTTCCAGGTTCCGGTCAATTGCGGAGGACTCTCTGAGGGCCTGGTAGATACCTAGCATCTGATCCTTTGCGTAGCGAGTGTCATTCGAAGGGGCATGCCGCGACGTGCTATTCACATTCAGATGTGGCGGGATGTACACGCCATCATTGTTTGCGCTTTCGCGTTGCTGCATATGTGACTGGGAAGGTGTTGTGGCTAGGGAGGGTCTGCGGAAGGTTTGCGTGGCACCATTGACGCGGTTTCTCGACCTGTGAAAGACGTTGTTAGTAAATGCGATTGCTCTTCGCGCGGTGTCTGAAAGGAGCAGAGGCAGGCAGGGCAGTGGTGGTGGACGGCGTCGAGCAATTCACTGGTGTCCACCGCAGCAGAACGACAATGTGCGCGCATAAAGGTAAGGCAAATTTCAGAGCCGCACCATTCGTTTGTGGCATTTTCCCTCCTGTTTCCCACACCATCTCCATTTGTGCTTGCAGCAGCAGAGGCAAAGGTCGAGGAGAACGGAGAAGGCATCATGCAGACAGTCCGTGGTCGTATGAGTACTGTTGTGGACAGGGTAGACGAAAATTGGGATTTGAGCGCGTGAGTCTGTGTGGAACGACGGTATTTGCCTCGAAGGCGAGATCAGTCAACGGTGGCAATGCAAGATAGATATTTGGGTCGTGTTACAAGGTCAGTTTGGGACAGAACGACTGCTTTGGTTGGGAGCAATAAAATAAATAGGTACTTCGGTACGTGGGTAAGAAGAGAGAGGCCAAAATCGATGCAGAATCCCAAAGCCCAAAAGCGCAGAGGCACAAAGCAACCAGCCAGTAGTAACTGGACGGCGAGGGCGACGAGGCCCGCATTTGCATACAGCCACCGTTCTGGGGGAGCGTAGGGACCCTGAAGCGCAGCAATTCACCGGCGCAATGACTTAAACACATTGCTAACGGTTACCTAAGAGGCCGAGATGCTGCCCCCGTCGAGCACCTACAGCGAGGTGGTGAGTGCCTGGCAGTGCCTGGAGCCGTGCGGAGAATCCTAAGGGAGTCCATCTACGCGACTCTCCCCTGTATTGCCCTGCAGGCTTCTTACCTCGGCCCTCAGGCACGCTGTAGGCAACTAATGCACTCCCCTGATCCCGACATCCACCTTTCGCACCCCTATCTGCACTCCTGACTGTCTCCTAGCTCTTCTAGACAGATAGCGTTGATGCCACATTTCTCCTGACTCGAAGCAATTTCTACCTATACAATACGAAGTGGCAGGTGCTCAGATGTCTGGTTTGTGGTCACACATGCCGAATTACATGGAGACCTAGCTACATCAATAATGCTCGCTTCTTCCTAGGTCAAAGACCGGCCATAAAAAACAATACAAGGTCGACTTGACAGCTGACCAAGGTAGGTCTGCATTGGTATCCTTCAGTGCTTACCAGGTATCTTTGGAATGGTGACCCAGGGGGAATAGCCTCAAGAGTGACTACGTCGACGATGGCTGACAAAACTGCACAAGAGTTGCCCGCCAAGTCTGCGGGCTATTCAGGTATGCATGTACATTCATCGGTCCCCATGGACGGTGAGATCATCAGTCAAGAGATCGATGCTTTAGGCTTCTGAGTAAGGATCAAGTCCTCGATTTCCAAGAGTGTCGCAGAGTCTTGCAGTATCGGGCGTCGTGATCCACGGACTGCGACTCATCAGGTGAATGCTTCGAAATGATTCGGGATGCCTGAGATGGACAATATTGTGCCCAATATATCCTTCCAGTTGATGCCTTCCTCTGGTCTTTGAGACTGGAAGCTCTGCATGAGTGTTTTAAGCGATAATAAGAGTGTTTCTGGTCTTCAAAGTCGCAGGGCCTGTCACGATCGACAGAAACTGCAGAGGGTGAGAACCGTGTTTGGCCGTTCGTTCATCCATTGGTGGTTGAAAGAGGTCCGGGTTTTGCTACCCGCCATGTCAAATCTTCTCTGCTCTCATCTTTGCTCTTATTCTGGCCTGTTGCCATCTGATATGGTTGTAGCATGAGCGACTTGTGTCTCGTGTTCAATTATGGCAATGCCGGCTTGCAAGAATACATCGAGCTTTCGTTCAGGACCAATGTCGGCAAACGTCCCAGAGGATGATAGAGCCAAGCGATGCGTCTCTTCGCCAGAGAGAGGTTATAGGACACAGGACCAGATGTTACCTGAGGAAGTGAATGACCAACCAGCAGAACAGGAAGAACACAATCACTCCCCCCCAGAAAATCCACTTGTCCTGCATCGCTCTCCGCTCAACCATGCGTATCGTGTCTCCACTGACCCCCAGAGTGTTGGCCACGCTGTAGAGTCTCTTCTGTGTGCCCTTCAAGATTTCTCGTTGTTGTCCCAAATCTCCTAGAACTGCTCGTCCACGATCCAAGAATTCGTCTATCTGGGCGTTGGCTGTGCTGAAGAAACTCTGTTCGCGGAGGGCATGATCCTCGCGAGAGTAATTGCTCGGACCGGCGCCAAATGACAAGCCATCTTGTGTGTTTCGATGCGCCGGTGCAAACGCGCTCTGACTCGACGCGTGTGCATATGGATTTTCTGGCGTTGCGGCATGGTGAGGTCGTCTTCCTAACAACTCGTTCCGGTTGTTCGCTGCCACCGCACCTTCACGTTCTTTCTTGAGCTGGTCGAACTGCGCGCGATATGAGGCTAGCTCTGCTCTGAAGTTCTTTAATCTCTCGACTGCCTTCTCTTTCTTCTCTTCGTTGAGCTCGTTTCGCGAAAGGTTCTGGTAATCATCTAGCGTCCTTGCCAGACTCGTCAGTGTGGTTGAAATCTGGCCTTGAAGAGCAGGGGATGCAGTGGCTGGGGCCTGGGCAAAGGTCTCGAGATCTCGTCGTACGGCAGTGGACTGCTTCAGTGCCTGGTTGAATTGCACGTTCTGGGTAGATGTTAGAAGGAAGACATGTGGAGGCACTGCAACTTAGACTTGCCATTGTTTTGCGCTGCTCACAGCAACAACAGGAAAAGGAGCAGAATAGTGACCTTGAGAATGCGTACAGCTCGAACTCTTGCAAAGTTTGAACGCTCACGCATCATCACATGGATGTCGCTGGAAAGTACAGACTGTCCTTGCCCAAGTGGTGCACCCCAAGTAAAAGCGGCGGTATGGAGCAGGAGTAGCGTGGTGAATCCAATCACTTACTCACCATATCTCACCTCTCTGGTTCACATCAACTATCCCAAGATTGTTATTCTGTCCTGAGCGTCTCAAGCGATGGAGAAACGTATTTCCATCCAGGCTCTGTGTCACCTTGATGCGTGGTTGAGCACCGAGCACCGGAAGTACGACTCGAGTTATGCGGTCCTCCAGGGATTGAGCAGAGGTGATATCCGAGTTGTGAACACTGAACACACACGAGAAAGACATCTCTAGGAAAAATCACCGATCGAGACCAGAATTCAAAGGTTTGCGTCTCGTGCATTCACACCTTGAGACAAGCGCACAACAGGTTTTGTCTCTTAAGGCAGGCACTGTCTCTCCGACTGCATCATCCTCACTCGGCGTTCGTCCTCGTGTTCTGCGATCTTGCACCAAATGCTACACCTTCCCATAATATTCGCTATCCCTCGAGAGCATTCGAATGATCAGGGGAACATCCTGACTCTCTCATAATCCCGCTCCAGAGGAGGGAGTTGCATCGACCCTTTCTTCACCATCGTTAACCCCACAGGTTCGGCTTAACAACAAGTATTCATATCCGCATCGGTCCCATTGATCCTCGAGACCATACTATCATCTAGCGACAATTACTCAACCTGGACTTGTCCAAGAACACCCGTCACTTCTTACCATGGTCGCCATATCTGCCGCCTTGCAGAGAAACTGGCAAACCGTGAAGCAGGACTGGCCCTTGGTGTCCACCGCGGTACTATGCAACCCCGTCTTGATTCTTCATGCTATGAACGGCGTACTCAGCTATCTCGACCCGGCCGGTATGAGCAATCCCCTCTTCGATACACGGGTCAACCCTCATCTCGACGTTCATGCGGACGAGAACTTTACAAGAGTCTTTACGATCGTCATAGTGGTTGCGCAATTGGCAGCATACCGTTCTCTTCGAAATGATGGCCGGACGTCATAGAAAATGGCAGAGTATTCGCCATTGGACACTGATCGACGGCATCGGCTGTTGTGCTAGGGATTGAACAAGAATGCCCCGTGGGGGGCTTTCTCAACGTTAAAGACGCGGGAAGAACAATTGTCGTTGAGGTATCATAATACTGAGAGAGAAGTTGAGGGGATATCAAATTGTGAGCAAAAACAGTTATGAACCCGAGAGCTCGCGCCTTAGCCGCCCTGCCAACCGAGTAGAGGGTACAAGGAAAAGGTTACACGGTGAAATAGCGCCACCATCGTACGAAATTGGTTACTCCTGCACAGCGTCCATCGTCCATCGTCTATTTGGGAGGATACTTGTTCTCAAAGAGCCATCTGATCCGCGGGTTAGCTTGCACAATCAAGGTAGACACGAAAACGCGCCGACTCACTTGCTGCCAAAGTAATCGGCCACAGCAAAGGCACCAACGAATCCGGCAGCCTTCCCGGCGAGTTGCCAGTCTAATTTGCCTTCAGAGTGCTTCTTGTAGGCACCGTAGCCAAGAGTGGCTGCTGTGATGGCCCAGATCAATGCATTGCCCACGACGACAGGATTGTCTCTGTTGTCGCTCAATTTCTTGCCATCCTTCCTCAATGCGTCCTTGACGGACTTGCCCTTGGTAGCAGCCTTTCTCTTGGCGCTTTCGGCCTTCTCGGCTGCGATACGGGCCTGGTCCTCTGCTTCGTGCTGGAGTCGTTCTGCCTGAGTCTCGGTCTTCACGGCTTGCTCTTGGAAATCAGACTTGACGGAAGTAACATGAGGAGAGTCAACGTCGATCAAGCTGGCGGATTCGGACTCAGAAGGGGCGAGGGAAGGAACTGGAGGAGCGCGACTATAACGGGGTGTTAGCGAGATCCATGCAGTTAACCATGGTCAAAAAACGTACGCCTGTTGCAGAGTTAGTATTGAGGTATTTTCGACACACGAAGGACCGGCATCAACCAACCTCTTCTGGAGACTGCTTTGGGCCTTTAGCCGCAATATCGGCGTAACTCATGGTTGGGGAAGAGAGTGCGACAAGTTGAAAGACTCAATCTGGAATGGAATTGATGGTATGGCAGGACGGCGGATGAGACGACACGAGGTAGAGGAAGCGTGGAGTGTGGAAGAAGAACAAGAGCAACAAGCAACGCCTGAGCTTGGTGGTGTCGAGATCATGCTATGACGCAGGCGACATCTGGCATGTGAACTAGCGACCGACACCTGATCAGGTTAGACTGGCCGTATAGTTGGCTTAGTCTCTCCTAGTGGCTTTTGAGGCTCTACTATTGGATCTTGGTCTGGACCGTCCAGCTGAGGTGAGGCACGTGACTTCTATGAGGATTGGATGACTAAGGCAAGTTGGTGCCGTCCTTGTACTTGTACAAGTCAGGTATACTTGATACAGTATGTACTAACTCAAACCTCGGCACGCCAATCACGTCTCAGACAAGAACAACCCGGGTATTGGAGACAGACCACGCCCCATCCCAGCAATAACCACCTTCCTCATTGAGGTCAGACGCTGCGATAATCTGGGAATCAAATTCACTGATAATGCATCGATTTCCTGGGTTGCTCTCCTTCGACCTTTCGAAGAATAACGGCCGGCCTCCATTCGCTGTCGTTGCCGCTGGCTTTGAAGGGATAACCACCAACAACTATCTAGACCTATGAGCGTTGCTGGTCCTCCACGATGACGGACTCCGAGAAGTATCATTACGCCGAACCTAGGGATGATACTTTTGAGCCCGAGCGTCTTTCCGCGACTCGAGGTGGGCGATATGCAGAGGGCGCCCCTATTGGCTACCATGGTGCGTATTAGCTTGCTGCCCGTCGTCGTCGTCAAAGTAGTCGTAAACAATGTGACTGACATGCCCATAGATAACGACGTCTTTGGCAACGAGGAGAATGCCGCAATCAAATACAAGACTCTCTCCTGGCCACTCGTTGCAGTGCTCATGATCGCCGAGATCGTCAGCAATGGCATGCTCTCGCTCCCTGCTGCGACAGCTGTAGTAGGTATCGTGCCAGGAATCGTTTTGATCGCTTTTTTAGGTCAGGATAACGGCGTCACGCTTCGAAACTGCCTTTGCTGAGATCAATGATTATTGTTTTAGGCATATTCGCATTGTATACGTCTCTCGTCTTGATCGACTTCAAGCTCAATCATCCCGAAGTCCACAACATGGGCGACGCTGGGCTGATAATGGGCGGTCCAATCCTACGAGAGATCCTCTCCGCAGGAACTGTGATATTCGCCGTCTTCGCGACTGGCTCGCAGCTCCTCGCTGGCCAGATCACCCTAGGCGTCTTGTCTGAGAACAAGCTATGTCTGATGCTGTACACAGGTAACATCCCAACTCTTTGTGTCTCAGTTCGGGACTGAACTTTTGGAAAGGGATCTTCGCCGCCGCGACGCTCGTCCTATCTTTCCCCAGGACTCTTGATTCTCTCTCATGGCTCTGCATACCGTCATGTATCTGCATCCTCGTGGCGGGGATCGTAGGCATGGGTGCAGCAGGCGGTTATCCAGCACCCGATCGCCACGTTGACGTCGCTCGATCTGCAAGCTTCTACGATGCGTTTGTATCCATAACAAACCCGGTCTTTGCATATGCAGGACACTTTATGTTCTTCATTCTAATCTCAGAGATGCGGAGGCCTCAAGATGCCAAAAAGGCAGCCTGGGTCTTGCAAGTTTTTGCCACCACGTATGTGTGCCTGATCCATCTTAGTATCGCACCAAGAAGCTCCTAACACTATCTGATAGGTTCTACATCGTCTTTACGATCGTCATGTACGTCTACCTCGGCCCATCCGTACAGTCACCGGCATTCTCATCCTTGCCTACAAAATGGGCCAAAGCTACGGTTCGTATTGCCGGCTCTCTTCCCTCTTCGCCACTGTCACACTGACGCTCGACCCTGGGAATAAATAGTACGGCATCGCCCTTCCGAACTTTCTCATCGCCGGTGCCTTGTACTCGCATACAGCGGCGAAGTTGTTTTTCATTCGCCTGTTCCGCCGCACCCGACATCTGCACGAGCACACCGTCCTGGGCTGGACGACATGGACTATTCTGATCATCCTTGCCAACGGGGCCGCCTTCGTTCTCGCGGTTGGTGTACCGATATTTGCCTATCTTGTCTCGATCGCCGCGAGTCTGTTTGCAAGCTGGTACACCTATGGCATTGCAGGCGCGTTCTGGTTGTATGATGCCTGGCATGGTCTGGACAAGGGCCGCTTGAGGGGTGTTTATGGCGTCAGAGCTTGGAAAGGTAACCCTTTCAAGACGGTCTTGAACAGTCTCACGTTCCTGGCTGGGGCGTTTATCTGCGTCGCTGGTGAGTTCCATTCATGTCCCAGGGGGTTTTGTTGTCTTGTCAGAAACGACTTCCACGAGGTCTTCAGGGCTGACTCCTGGTTTGTAGGAACCTATGTCTCAATCAAACTTATCATTGACGCATATAGCAGTGGCAGTGTTGGCGAACCATTTGCATGTTGACTGCTGAGATCGCCGAGCTGAATCTTAAGATAGTCTGGCGTACCTGCCGCAGGATCTGATGCAGTACTACCGGTTACTGCTACGAGGAGATAGGGGAATGAAATTGTCTCCATATTAAGAGTTGTCAGAGTTCCAACCACTCTTTGTTAGCCTGCAAGAGAGTGTCGTGTATATAGGTTCGTCCTTTCCTGGAAGAAGGTCCAGATGTTGCTTAGACAGACCATGTCTTGGCACACGTAACGCCCTGTCGCGAGCTTCTCGACCTTGTTCGTTCCCAACATGTTGACGATATTTGTCGTTCCTCAGCTTGTCTCTTGGATGCATGTCTTTGTTCATTGTGGTTCAGTGTTCGAGGCCGAGTTGCTTGTGAATTCATCAAACCCAAAGCTCCTGGCCAAAGATGCCGATGTTCCCTCAGCCATCCACTTCTAGAGACTCAACGCAGCCTCGATGAACATCAAATTCGGTACAATCCTTTCTTCTTGCATTTTCATGGCGCTTTCATTTTTGGGTGCCCTTCTTGGGTACTGGATGATTCTAAGACATACATCGCTTGTCGTGGGGGTCTTTGCCTCCTCCTTCTCCAACGCTCAAGCACCTCTGGCCAACACACCTCATGCGCTTGATCCCAATCTCACCAACAGCATCGCGAAAGATATAATCACGCTTTTCTATAATGGCTCAGGGCCAGTGCCCGATTATGAAAGGAAATCGCCTATCCCAGATCCAATCACCCCGCTTTCGCCCATGGCAATCGAAGAGTCGCTGTTGTTACAATTGGTGTCGGTTGCCAAAACCTCATTTTATCCAGACAATTGCTCCAAATGCCTCGCAGCGACACAATTGCTCCACGCGACCGCCATTAGCCAACCGGTGTCGGTATTTACAAGCATCTTAATTAAGGCATGTAACAATTTGCCGTTCGTCAAAAGCAGTATTCGAGCCAAGTCATGTGAGGCTGAGTTCGGAGGGGTGGCCTCGTTTGGCCCCTACCTGGCCCAATTGTTTTCAAAAATGAGCTTCGCTACGGGAGACATGCATTATTTGTGTTCTAATCTCCAACCTCTCTGCCAGCCACTACCGCCAGTGTTGATTGATGAGGGCCTCTACTTCGATCCAAAGCCAGAATCTGCGGAGATTGCGCCAGAACCATCAGGAAACACCTTTGATGTCCTCCATCTCTCGGATTGGCATTTAGACCCTCGCTTTGATATCGGGTCCGAGGCTAATTGTACTGGTTACCTCTGCTGTCGCCCTTATTCGGAGAATGACCAACTTTCAACTAACCGACACAACGCGTCTTTGCCTGCTTCAAGATTTGGATCGTTCTTCTGTGATTCTCCCGCTGATCTCGCCCTCTCGGCCTTTGACGATATGGGCCAATTCGTTAACATGGACGAGTTGGGCTTCAGTATCTTTACGGGTGATATTGTATCTCACGATCCGGAAGATACCCTGTCGCGGGACTACGTGGCTTATGAGGAGGAGGTTACCTACCTGGTCTTCAAGAGAATGCTAGGGGACACACCAGTGTATGCAGCACTGGGAAATCATGACACTCTTCCTGTGAGCTTCAACACGCAGCATGACTTGAACCCCGATCCAAAGAACTCCAGCAGCAACGTGTATCAGTGGAACTACGATCTCGTTTCGTCGCTCTGGTCGGATTACTCCTGGCTTAATGATACGGAAGCATCTTTCGCGAGAACTCACTATGGCGCTTATGCCACGACTACCGCTCAAGGCTTACGAATCATATCTCTCAACTCAGATTTTTGGTATAAGGCAAACATTTTCAACTACTGGAATGTTACCAATCCTGATCAGAGTGGTATCTTGAAGTGGCTTGCTGATGAGCTATCGGCGTGCGAGAAGCGCGGCCAACGAGCTTGGATAATTGCACATGTCCTGACCGGCTTCGATGGTACTGCGCCTTTGCCAAATCCAACTGGCCTCTTCTATTCAATCGTGCGTCGCTTCTCTCCAGCGACAATCGCTGCCATCTTCTTTGGGTATGCTGTCCTCTCCAACAATTCAAGCGGATTGAACTAATCTCACGCAGGCATACACACCAAGATCAATTCCAGATATTCTACGACTATCTGCCCTCCTCATTACAATCACATGAAGACGCAAGCGGACCGCAAACGCTGCGAGATACGACTCAGGTTGACTTTAGTAAACCCCTGCAGGTTTCATACATCGGCCCCAGCATCACTCCGTTGACTGGACTCAATGCTGGATATCGAGTCTACCAGATCGACTCAAAGACATTTTCCGTTATGAATTCCCAGACTTTCATCGCCAACATGTCAAATAGTCTGTCGTGGAGGAAGCCTGTTTGGGAGTTTGAGTACGATACCCGCCATGCGTACTCTGAAGATGTGGACGATGGACGGACGCACAATCCTGAAAGTATACAGTGGCCCGCAGCATCACCGTTAAATGCAACATTTTGGCACCTTGTGACGGATCGCATGCGGAAAGGTCCAGAAAGTTCCGGTTCTCCCGATCCCTCGTTACTAGAACTATACAACAAGTTCGAATCCAAATCTAGTTCAGCCAAGACGCGACGTGGGAGTGGCAACATCAGCCCGGAGCAGAAGGTTTGCTTTTTGCGCGCCGGCAGCAGCTGGCTCGGACATCAGTGTACGGAGCAATTTGGGACCGATGCCAGAGGCGCGAGAGAGAGGACGGTCGGACTGGTTTAGGCCATTGCAGAATCTCGGCGACCATCCAGGGGATCTGGCCGTCATCTTGACCATTTGCTCAATCAAACTTAACCGTCACCACTACTCTGGACCATACTATTTCTATAACCATAACGCAACTCTACTTTATCTTCTTATGGATCAAGTCGACACGCATTACTACACTGTGGGATAACGATTGTCATGAAACTGCTCCATAATTTTCTATCTATCCACTGTACATGCGCAAATGGGTTTGCCTCGTTCACACTCGCAGGTTTAATCATTACTGCAACTGTCTATCACCATTGTACAAATACCAGAGCGGAGAAGATTATCAAGAAGTAAATGAAAAGAAAATTGATTCACACAGAACAGTTCGAATTCAGACCTTCCCCATGAGTCCTTTTGCTGTTGTAGCCTTGCTGGCAAAAGCAATGCAACCACCCACGAGACACATGGCTCCACTGAAGATGGATGCCTCCCAATATCCTCCAAAATGCTTGACAAGGGCACCGTTGACCGGAGGACCGATCAAAGATGCGAGTGATCCTATGGCCAGACCTTGACCCATGAAAGTACCCAACTCCTGAGGATTGGTTGTGCAAAGAGTGAAGGCTGCTGTAGCTCCCGAAACGATGGTTCCCGAAACAAAGCCCACGAACATCGCGTACACCACCAACCCTGCGGTACTGCTGGCCTTTGTCAGGAAAAAGATCAAGACACCTGTCGAGAGGCCGCCTGCTGCAAACATATTTAACCTTCCAAGTTTGTCTGCGAGTATGCCGGGAATGATGCGACCAAATGTAGAAGCACCGTTGAGGATTGCCAGCAGGTAGGAAGCCAGGGTCGGGTCCATGCCTTTCGAAACTGCGTATGATGGTAGATAGAAGAGAGGCGTCCACATGCCGATGAACATGAAAAAGAGGGCTGCTATCATCAGCAGGAAATTGGCTTGTTGAAAAGCCCTCCAGATGAAGAAAGTGGTTGTCCGTGGCGGCAGGCGAGGCTTGACAAATATGCAGGCAAACGCCATCAGCGGCAGCAGCACGAAGGCCATGATTCGCACCGACCAGCCGAACCCTAGAGAGGAACCGTTGAGCATCTTGGACAGAGCGATCGGAAAGACGACGCCTCCAATTGATGATCCGGATATCGCCAGACCGAATGCAGCGCCTCGTTTCTTGTCGAAATACTGAGACATGGCTCCTAACGGCGGGAAAGTCAAGAGTCCCAAGGCTATTCCAAGTAGGATGCCTTGAGCCAGCATGAATTGCCAATACTCCTTACAGATACTGATCATCATCAAAGCGAACACGTATGTCAGGATGGCTGGGCGGAGGATCTGCATGAGTGTTAGCCAAATTGACGACGGAGGAAGAGAACCCAAGACGTACCCAGATGCCATATCGATCAAATATTGGCCCCGCGACTGCTCCGACGGCAAATTGGAGGAAAGCTGCGATTGATCCAATCCAGGCGATATCGTCTGGTGACTTGTCCGTCAATTGATGTGTCAAGTAGTATTCTTCAAAAACCCCGAACGCATTGACGAACCCCAAGGCTGAAAACGTTATGCACGCTGCGCCAACGGTCACAAGCCAGGCCTGGAGGCCGCCGTCAGGGGGAGGGTCGAACTCAGGTTTCGTCTCGTCATCTGTTTGGAACTTTTCCTGTCCCAATTCGGGATCGGTGGAGGGTGCTTTCTCCTCAACGCTCGGCGGCGTCTGGGTTGTCTCTGTTTGAGATTCCATGGAGGCGTAGTGCGAGAGGCTTCAGGGTATATCGAGACTAGTATTCGTCGTGGGTTTGTTCTCCTGAACTTTACAACAGAGGTAGTGTTCAAGGGTTATTAACACCAAGGAAATCGATCGTGGTGCCACGAAAATGAACTTAAGGAGACACGAGAGTGAGATATATAAGTCCTACACGGTCTAGTCTGGCGCCGTTGACTTCGGAGTCGGCGCGGCTACTCATGGTGTTTGTGTGACTTATCCCCGATGAGAGATTCGGCCCTCAGGACATCAAGTGAGATTGATTATTGGTTGCACTGATGGACTTGGACCAGATTGTCATGTTGTTTGAACTACTACAGTCTACACGTCGGATTACGGCGGAGTACAAATTTCAGTGTCGCATATATCCTTGGGAGCTCGGCATATTGTCAATCATAGAGACACAAGCCGCACAATTACCTCCGGGCCGACTCGGACATCAACCTCGACAACTCCCTCACGCCATCTTGCGTTCCTCATATTAGAACTCACAGCAAGGATCCCTCAGCATGACCTTCAATCGAGGAAACTAACCAAAGGCCCGAACACCCGCTAATCAGCAAATGTCCGAGTCCGAGCGCCGGCGAAGAAGGAGGCCAGCAGTCACTTGCACAGTTTGCAGGAAGCGCAAGATCCGATGCAACCGAGAATATCCATGCAACAACTGCACCCGTTCGAGGGACGCAGTGTGCACCTACGAAGATTGTCCTCCTCTGAAAGTGCGACCCAGCAATACTGCGCAGGGTGTCATCGCTCAACATGGACAGATGTCTCCTGGGGAGACAGGGTCGGCGCACGGCATAACCACCAACACCACTACGAGTAGTTCCTCTACAGTCCCCCAGCAGTACACTGGTATCTGTACCCCACTGTCGACAGACCTCCCCACCGATACTTTGATGGTCGAGTGTCCCCCAAGGGTCTCTTTGGACCAGAGCCGGGACCTCTCGTCTGCTCCGTTGACGCGGGAACTTCCTGACCCTGCACAATGCAGACAGGACCTTTTCGGTGAACCTCGAATACTTGGGCGAACGGTATTCCTCAAATCCCGCCAGCTTGGCCAGAGCCATTGGATGAATGGCGTTGCAATGGTGCGTGCGTGGGTCGTTTGTTTTTCCGGTTCATCTTCCTCTTTCTTTTTTTTGGGATACAGGTGTGCACGGCTCATTTCTGACCACGGTCTACATTAGCAGTTTGGAGACATTCTACATCTCGTCGAGTCTTACATGCGCAAAGAACCTACAGTAATTCCAGCTGGTCTGCGACGGTGCAAGACATTGGCAAAGAACATCAAATCAGCACGAGTGCCGGTATGGCCCACACCATTTCTCAGTGACGACCTACCGCCTAAAGACATCGTCGATCATCTCATCGACAACTACCTCCGTACCATCGAGTCTGTGTATAGAATCATACATGTTCCCACGTTCGAAAAGCAGGTAGAAGCACTTTGGAATTCTGTGGATGGCTCAATTCCTCGTCGCGATGCCGCTTTCATGGTTCAATTAAAGTTGATCCTTGCCATTGGTGCCACCTACGACGAGAACTTTGGTCTGCGCGTCTCTGCGATGCGGTGGGTCTACGAGGCTCAGACATGGTTAAATACGCCGAATTCCAAGATACGATTGAACTTGCAGTCCTTGCAGATCAATATATTGCTGATCGTGGCACGGGAGCTTGTCGACGTCTGCGGTGACCTAACATGGATTTCCGCGGGTGAACTGTACCGACGAGCGATCTACATGGGCCTGAACCGCGACCACCAGAGCCCTGTTGGGTCGACAGTGCTAGCTACAGAAATGCGCCGACGGTTATGGAACACTGTCCTCGAAATTTCACTGCAGTCAAGCATGTACTCTGGCGGTCCTGTGCTTGTGTCCATGAATAACTTTGATACGAAACCACCCAGTAACCTCAACGATCTTCAACTGGGAGAAAAGTCTCCCAGCATCAAGCCGGACGAATTCCATACTCAAGTTTCGACATCTATTGCACTCCGGAAGTCATTCTCGGTCCGTCTGGCCGTTGTTAAGTTCTTGAATGATCTCAGAGCCAACGCGCGATATGAACACATGCTCCAACTTGACGGTGAGATGAGAACGGCATATAAGACACTTACTCGAACAATGCAGGGCATGTTGGTAACATCATCATCGGGAGCAACAGCACCAGTTTCAGCATTAACTCTGCCGAATACCTCGTCGGACCGATCTTGGCCTACCAAGTTTGAACTCACGACTACAGACCTCATCATGAATCGATACCTGCTGTCTCTGCACATCCCGTTCTTTGAACAATCCCTCCACGAAACCAGCTACGCATACACGAGGAAAGTGGTTCTCGAATCGTCCTTGAGGATATGTTACATGGCGTCCCGGTCGCCGTTCTCGGAGCAAGACAGTGGTGGAGGTGGAGGTGTAGGCCGCAGCAACAACAGCGTGTACACACCAAACTCCACATGTCGCCAAAACACAAATTTAAACACAAACACATCGTCTTCTTTGCCCGAGAGGTCTGTCCCATGCGGCCTCGGATACGGCATCTACCCAGTCTACCGGAGCGGGTTCTTCCAAGCGTCGTGTCTCGTCGCGGCGGAACTTCGCGCGCAACTTGAAGAACAGGACGGCGTCGGGATGGGATTCACTCCGCTACGTCCCGACCTGTTGCCTGTCGTGCAGGACGTGAAGAATTGGTGTCACCACGGCCTGCGCATAGGCGAGACGAATATCAAGGGATACGTGTTTTCGTACCTGATCGCTGCGCATATCGACGCGCTGATGCGCGGCATGGACAAGGAGGACATTCCGAAGTTCTTGATACAGAGTGCGGAGACAGCCATGAAGGAGAGCATCGCGATATTGGAAGACCTTGCTGGAGTGCGCGGTAGTGGCGGCGCGAACGGGAGAGGAGGGGGAGGGGGAGATGGCACTGGGAGTGGGAACGGGATCGGGAATGGAGGTGATCAGTCTGGATCGAATTCCTTGGAGCCTTCAACACTGGGATTTGAAGCTCTCGAAGAGGAGAATGCATTCCTGGTGAGTGAAACTGCCATTCCACGCTTGCACCACGTCACCGGCGTACACACTATCTGTCCTCTCAACTTCCGCGCTTGTCTCTCCTTTTACCCACATGACTTTTGACTTCTCGGACATCTGACTCGTGGCTCGTAACTCCTGGCAATTTGTCTCTCTGGGTATTCATCACGCGTTCAGAACAGAACACAAGGGCTTGAAGGCTAACCATGACATTGTGCTCGTTGGCGCTAGACTCCAGACGGAATGTTCGATTTCGGAGACCTGGGCCCCATGGAATGGGGCTTCACCAACAATAACAACGACGACAACGAGGAGAATTTTGCCAAGTTGTCTTTTTGGTGAAAAAAAAAAGGACAGGCTCAACTCACACATGGCATGACATTATATTATATTATATGCTGCTCACTACAACCGACCTATTATGGTCTGTCTCACTGCGTTTTCCCACGGTTTAGGGTGCCGACGGAACCGAAACAGGTACCTCCATAGGCCCAAGTAGCACGAGGGACATTCAAATTCATTTTCACAGCTCATCCCTCTTGGTCCTTCTTGACCCCTTCGTCTCATCCCACTCCTTCAACCAGGTTTCCACGCGCCTGATCTCCCACTCGTGCGCGGCCCTGATAAAGTCCGGCTCGGCGCTGACGTTCAGGATGCCGTACGAGTCCCAATGGTGGCCGGCACCCGTGATGAGCATCTGGTTTTCGCCGTGGCGCGGCCGGCTGGCGTTGTGGCCGTGGTAGCACACGTCCCTCCACACGTCGCTGCCGCCGTCGATGAGCGCGAGCCGCGGCGCCGAAATGTCAAAGCCGCCGTACTTGTTGTACCACGTCAGGTCGGGCCCGTCGGGCGACGGCACGGCCTGGGGGGACAAGGGGCCGGGTGGGAACGCCCACGTGCACCACTGCTGCGTGTAGTCGAGGTCGATGGCCCGCGAGAGCAGGGACGGCGTCCCGTACGGCTGGGGCAGCTGGTACGCTCCCAGCTCGGTGCACGTCGAGTACAGGTACGATCGGGCCGCCGAGTTTGTCGGGTCGGCGTAGAATGTTTCTAGAAACAGAAAAATGTCAAGACAAGTACAAGACACACACACACATACACATACACATACACATACACATACACATACAGACAGACAGACAGACAGACAGACAGACAGACAGACAGACAGACAGACAGACAGACAGACAGACAGACAGACAGACAGACAGACAGACAGA